AGAAAGATAGGTTAACTTAATTAGTTTCTAGGTATACGAGTTATAAGAGATATAGAAGTAGCGTTAACCTAGCTAATCTAGAATTTCTTTATTAATAAGGTTACTAATAAGTTTAACCTACTTCTAAAACTAGGTACTAAGTATCTATAATTCCCTATAAGAGAGAACAACCTCGCAAAATCTATAGAGGCACCTAATAGAGAGCAAACAAAGCTTTTCTAGCAGCTAGCTAGCTTGCTAGCATATATTTTCTACTTTACACGTCTAGATATATTAAGAGCTTACTTAGTGTTAGCTTAACACTTAATTAACCTAGGTTAATAATATCTTTACGCCGCTATACACGTGTAGCAATACCTTATAAAGTTAAAAACTCTTACGCTAAAAGCGTTATAATACGCTATAGAGAAGAAACACTTCTAGAAGGTAGATATTAAAGAGCCTATCTTCTATAAAGCCTTAGATACTTTATTTAGTAACAACCTAGATACTAGAGCAAGCTCTAAAGACTACATCTTTAAGCTATATAGATTACCTGTAAATTAGAAAGCTACAAAATAATAGATAGTAACTAAATTAATAACTAAGGCAAAGCTTCTAGCGCTTTTAAAGATAGCTTTAGAAATAGAGTAGTAGAACCTACTTTTCTACTACCTAAAGCTAAACCTTAATATTAAACTAAAGCTTTAGTATAATAATTAGTAGACTATAGGTATAGTAACTAAGGCTATAGAGAAGCTTTAGATAAAGCTTAAACATATTAACGTACACTAAATATAGCTTTACTAGAAAGTTAAGAACTAAAGAATTAACGTTAAATAGATTTCTATAGGTTAAATGCTAGCTAATAGACTTATAAAGATTCTATTACCTTAAAAACACGCCTACTTTATTTAATAGCTAGAGCTTAAGAATATTTCTAGCAAGTTAAAGCTTCTACTATTCTTAGTAGAGTAGTAGAAGCTACCTAAGAACCTCTTACGCTAGTACTAGATTAGATAGCAAACCTAACTAGAGTAATACATGCCTAATTTACTAGTATTTTAGAACCTCTAAGGTAACTATTTACTCTTATTTCGCTTCTAGCTCTACTACAGAAGCGCCTACTACACTTATTTAACTATTTTCTATTAATTTTAATACATATATATACTAGTTTTATACGCAATTCTATTATATTTTAACTAGCCACGTTTATTATAATTTATTAGATTAACTATAAAATTAATAGGCCACGTTTATTATAACGAGCCTAGTCTTAATAAAATATATAGTAACGTGTTAACGTCTACTTAATAATCTACTCTATAAAGTTGCTATAAGCTATAGAGGGCCGCGGCAACTACAAAAATACCCTAAAAGCTATTAAATAAGGTGTTCTTTCTTTTTGCTCTCTGCTCTTAAGTTTAATTTACGCCTTTGCTATTGCTCTGTCTCTCTTTTTGCCTACGTAGGAGCTATAAGGGTTAGCAGTAGAGGGGTGTTACACTATTACTTAAATACTTAAACGCTCTACTATCTAAACCTAACCTCTAGGTTCTATATTAGACTTCCTAATTAGGAATAGGGTTAACCTTATACACAAAGCTCTTACCTCTCTTAAGCATATACTCTTTCTACTTATTTTAAGTTCCCTATACTTTATAGGAGCAAACTAGTTTTTAAATCTCGTATATATATTATTTCTTTCTCAACTACTATCACCTAAAAGTTAACGTCCGCGGCCACGGCTAGGCGGGCTAAAGGTACAATAGTATGTACCTTCTCCAACGTTATCGAGGCTTTCGAGCTGTTTAGCGGAGCCTCTAGGGGTGAATGGAGCGATTTTACTTTTTTGCTCCTAGGTTCGAGCCACCGCCCAGACGACGACGCGGTTCTTCTGCTTTCTGCACTTCTTTTTGACCCTACAGGGTCCTCTCACAAGGGGGGTGGCCCTCACAGAACACCACGGCACTGAGGGGTGTATTCACAGGAGACGATCATCGATTACCTTTTTGGGTATAGTCAAAAGCCTCACCTTCTCAGACAGCTTTCCGTATACACTTCAAGCTGGGGGGGTGTGTTGCCGGATATGGTTACTACTTCACGTGACCTGGTCATGTATATATATAGCCATATTTCTCGTATTCTCAATCAATCAACTCATGTCTCAATACTCTGCAATTCACCCAATAACAGAGCTTCAGCGGACAAAAGAAATGAAAACTCCGGTCAATGAATCCCGGCAAGAATAGATAAGGCCCGGCGACTAATCGCTGAGCGAGAGAGCAGTCGCAATCAAGAAATCCTAGCAGGCCGGGAGCCTTCAGAACCGTGAAAAGCAAGCCAGGAGTTGGAAGATAGAAGCTGATGATAACGCGGAAACCGAAATAAGCAAGTCCACCTTCGAGACCAAACGTGTCGAAAGGGAAAATCTAAGGATATCCAGAGCGTCGCCGCGGTTTGTTAGAGGTCCAGGCCGCGCAGCAGTGAGACATCTTGGCCCAAGATGATAGCAATAATAAGCATCCTCGGGTTAGCCGAACTGGAAAATCCTAAGTCCCCAAGCATGTTACGCCCATGGGAAACGCCACAGGTCTCCCTCATCATAATCATCGATGTCTGACATCTCTTCGTCCTCATCCTCCTTCTCGCTATCGTACCCTTCTTCATCCTCCTCCTCAGCATCAAGCGCCGGTTCCGCTTTACAGCACCCGACGCCATTAGAGCAGTTATTATGATACGTGTTGCAGAAAGCTTCGTCATCTTTAGGGGAGAGACACCGCACGGTGTCATTCTGCACAAGACGCTCTTCGATATCTTTGTCGGACCATCCGTTGCCGAAGACGGACTGCTTAGGCAGCCAGCCCTCGAACAGACATGCGTTGTGTGAGTGCCAGACGCCATCGTCGTGAGGCATCCCGTCATCGCGCGGGCGGTAGACTAGTCGGCCGATCAAGCCGCCTTCTTCGAGATGGTTGGATGCTTTTTCTTTTAGGAGATCAATCTGTGGATGTAGAATTTCTAACACCGGTCGTAGTTCCCTGCATCTCGCTTCAGCCGCGTTGATCTCCGTGTACATTTGATCAAGCGGAGCGTGATCCCAATCAAACATCGTGGCTAATTGTACTTGCTGGCTCAGATTGTCGCTACGCGCATTGAGGGCTGTGAGTTTGTCGTCTATCTTCTTTCGGTCTCGCATCTTTCGGTACATGAGGAACTCCGGATGCCAGTGTTCTTTCTCTTCCTCGATCCTCGTGCGGGCGGCGTCACCCTTGTGGGAGAAAATGTCAAGCAAGAGAAGGCGGATCGGGTCGTCGGAGGTGGTATTGCCCCAGACGTAATTGAAGTCCTCAGGTTCCAAGTCCAAGATTCGACAAGAGGCATCAGTTTTGTCGTGCATGTCGAACTCCCCCGACCTGTACTGCTCAATGAGCTCTTCCTCATCACGTATAACGTTTTTGATATGATCGAGGACCATGTCGCTGACGTCCGGTGTATCCATCGCTTGGGACAAGCAGTAGACCTTCAGAACGTCGCCGAGCGTGGGAGACGCAGCGGCATCAGCGTAGATCAGATCCGTCTTGCCCCACGCTTCCAGAAAATTGATGCGCTCAGGAAACTTGTGGCGTATCGTTGGGGAGAAGCAGCTCGTGTAGAGATCGAAGATCTCTTCAGAGACCTTGAGAATCATCTCCGGTTCAATATCCCGATAAGAGACGGCTTCGATATGCTCGCGAGTCAGCTCCCGCACAGGCAGCGGGCTGTGCTTAGGACAGCCGGCTGGAGAGCCCATGCGGGAGATATGCTCAAGGTACCGAAGACGCGAGTGGTTCGGCTTGAGCGGCTGCGGATTGCAGCGGCATGGGCACAAGCACATGCCCTCCATAGGATCGCAGCACTTGGGGCAGCAGTCAATGTCGGTCATGCGACAGGCTCCGTCATAGCAACTGCCTTCCATGCAGCATTCCAGACAACGATCGTCTCCATGGGTAGATTTCTCGTCTGGTTCGGCAGCGAGGCTGCATTCCTTGCAAGGTTGCTCTGCTTGAAAGCATTCGACGCATCGGAGTTTGCGCTCCTTCTCGGAAGGCTGCAGGTAGACCTTCACGGTGTGGCCGAGGCAGATGCCTGCCCTGTACTTGTTTCGCTTCCGCACGGTTGCGGCTTCGCCTGTGACTGGCTGATCCCGCTTCTTGATGCGAAACTCGTCCAGGCCTTGCGGTGAGTTCTCGAAGTAGACGCCAGTGGCATCATAGACCCGCTGGTTGGCCTTGAAGAACTGCTTCCGGATACCTTCTTCGGATGTCACCGCACCCTGGTCACCCGTTTCCCTAAGTTCCTTAAGAATTTCGTTGAAAGTCGGTCGCTCGCCGGGGTTCCATGGAGCACGGAGCTCGTAAGCTCGAATGTGCTTGTCAGTCAGGGGTGTTTTAGTATACTTTTTGGCGTGGGTCCGAATGTACTCCCAGTCGATAGGGCACGGAATCGACTGGTTGTAGGTGCACGTCGGCGCTGGGAAATCTTCATCCCATGGCGAAACCTTGGTTGGCGCTGGACGGTTGAAAGCTAAAAGAGTCAGCAAATTGATTTGACGATGAAGGCTTGAAATCTTACCCGTTGAAGGAGCATTAGCAGGTCGGATTGCATTCAGATTAGATACTAGTGAGATGGATTCAGGAGGAGCGGCAGCCGGAGTCACATCCTGCGCATTCAGTGTCCGTGTCGTTTTGGGACCCTTGACCGGTCGTGTACCCCAATTCGACGCGTCCTTGACAGCGGTTGCTGCACCCGCAATGCCTTCTGTGGCATCCTTAGCTGAGGTCAATGGCGGGAGCGCACCTAGAAAGCCTAGAGGAATGAGCTTATGTAACAAACCACGAATTCATGGTGACTTACCGGTGATCCTAGGCTTAGCTGGAACGCAATCGTGGATATCCCTCATATCCGCGTCCCCACTATGCGTGGCCAATCTAGGCTTAGAGACGAACTTGAGGACGACCGGAGCCTTAGTCTCGGCTGACTTGCGCGCCTGCTTTGGCGGCGCTTGAGGGGAGCCGCTGGGGTCAGCCATCTCCAGACTAGTAGTGCTCTTTGCAGCAATTGCTATGACTTTAGAAAGGTGGTCACTAAAAGTACCTGTTTTCTGGCGCTTGTGGCCTTCCGTCGCCGGGGCTGAGGCTTTGCTCGCTAGAGGAGTTGGCGTATTGGGGTCAACGACAGGATCCTGGCTGTCTGCCTTGCGCTTCCTGGACACTCTAACTTTAGGAGGTGAGCCATGAACGCGCTGGGCGCGTTCAGGAGTGAGGCCTGTCATTTTGCGTGATTTCGGTACAGGAAAGCGATTGAAGGTCAGCCGACAGCGAGATAAGAGTCGATAATGGTCGTCTGGTTGGAAGCCGAGAAGAGTACGAAGTCAGAGGCCGAATGTGCAATTTGAGGTTTTCATAAACAAGTGAAATAGGGGTTTGGAAGGAGCGGAGTAGATGAAACTGGGTGATTTTATATGCGCAGGGGGTTTGGCCGCGGGCGAAGGATGGGGCCCCGGAAGTTGCGATTACTAGGTCTGTGCCTAATTGTTCACTAGATGACTGTAGAGGTGAAACGCTCGTGAAGGCCGAAAGTTGCGCCCCGAAGTTGCCATAGGAGGTGATCACGAGCTTCGTCGCATCCTCGTGTGGCTGTAAGGCTACTTTCACCATGAGTGTGTGTCGGCCGGATGAACGTAGGATAGACGACAGTCGGTTGCGCCGTTTATCCTGGAAGTGAAGACTCCAGTGCATGCTCTCGAGACGAGCAAGTGGCCATATATGGATGCATCGATAAAGGATAACTGGAAGCAAAGTTCAATCCGTATATCCAACTCTTTTTACCTGCTTACACCCTGGTCGCATGCTATCTCGGCCAGACTTGTCTTGTTAGCCGTGCTATCCAACTCGTTTGGTTCCCTTCGCCCTTCCATCTCTAATGCAGTATGTACGGTCTCCAGCTCTTGCGGTGCCAAATTTGCGTGCCGTTGCTGATCGTAATGTGTCGATTTGGGATACCCCGTACTTCAGGGTCTCGTAGCTCGGTATGTTCTGCGAAGTCTCGCCGATAATAGGAGGTTGATTAATCGCGTTTCGCCTCTTCCTTCTCCGCAAGAAAAAGAGAAGCCCGACGATGAGAGCGATGAGGACTGCGCCGCCTATTGATGCACCTATAGCGACCCCCGCCGAACTGGGAAGACTGCTAGATGAGGACGGTTGGTTCGAGCCGATGGGATGAGTGGATGGTCTGGCTGTGCGTATCGCAGTGGGAGTCTTGCGTGGTTGCCGTTCTCTGTGTCGCACGGCGAAATGTCGTGGGGTCAGCAGTCGTGGAGGTGTGGCTACTGGCGATATTGGAGGAGTCGGTGGGCGGAACGGCGATTGGTGAGCGCCGGGTCCGAAGAGGCGCCCGGCCAGTCTTGGATTCGATCGTGTGGGTATGAGCCATGATGGCTACACGATGAGAGAGGAGTTGTTGATGGATACCATGCTTTATGCCGAGCGGATTTCCCCAGCACACCCAAATGGTTAGCGTTCCGCCCGATCAGGAGGTAGCTAAAACCAGTGCGTCCATCCCATCGAACATCACAATGTTCTTTCCTTGTCTTCGGCCTTCACGCCAAGCAGTCGCAAGTCACCGGAGCCCCTCGGGTCCAGTGTCCAAGAAATAAGTCTTAACGTCGGTGAGGACTTGTTTCAAGCTCCAAAGCGATATTAATTGATGCTACGTTTCACATAGAAAGGCCCCGAACCATGAAGGGAGCTAAAATCCGAACGTATCCCGGCGCTTAACTAGCCCTATTCGTTTCCCGTCGCGTTAGCCGCCTGCCTAAGGACGCAACATGAGTGTTGTCTGTTTTAGGGTCGGCGAGAGGGAGACGTCGAGGACAATGGCGCCTACAGGCAACGCGAACCCGAAATGGGAGGTTTGTCAGGACTTGGCTCGATAGCGCGACACGAATTGGGTCTTTCTGGCAGTGCTTCGTGCGTACAGTGAAGAATATAACAGGAACTTAATCCCGTATAGATCGGTCATTGTAGCCTATCAATCTACCACACAAATAAAAACCCTCCTTAAACATCGTTCCTTGTAGTAGAGCTTCGTGGGCTTGGGGCCAATGCGCCGTTAATATCATCTGCACGTGACGCTATGTGGGGCACACGGTTCCCCTAACACATCAACACCACGATAATATAGGCTTCTAGCATAGTTTGGCTCGGAGTTTTCATCGCTCGCAACTACTGCCAATCCATCCGACTCTTTTGCTGGCAATGACCTCAATCTAGAAATTAGGGGGTATGCTTCGCGGATTGCATTGGTAGCTTCCGCAAGCAAACGAGGATGCGAAGCTGCATCCCACCACTTCTGGAGAGCGAATATAAGGCCGCTCGGATCCAACAACGCAAGCTTATCAATCGTTGTTACTGAAGTGCACAATAGTAGTACTTCAGGACCGAGTTTTTTTGAGATGGCTTTTAGAATATCTCGCGAGCGACGTCTGATACTTCGGCGTCCACTGGATAGCTTCTGCAAATCGTCCTCATTTTCTTGCAGAAGGCCATCCCATCGCTTGAAGCTTTCGACCAAAATTGTCGACAGGGTGCAGTTGCCTTCATCGTACGCAAGTCGTTCTTTCTCAAGCGAGTCGTAGAACCACTTGTTTTTCGACATTGAATGGACGAGAAGCGAAGAGGAGAGGAGAGATGCGAGGCGGAGAGAACCGAAGCACAGATGCGTGTAAGTCTAGTGTTTTCCGTGGTAGTGATTGGTCATATGGGATCCGAATGCTTCCGCAAAACGGGGCTATCAAATGCGGGGTCACCAGCCAAGTTCATCCCCGACCCTTACCAATGCCACTGCCAGTGCAAGCCAGCAGCTCAGTATTATTACCCCCTAGAGCGTTCATTGACTCCGTGGCTGGTAATGGCGAGAAGCTGTCGATTTCCGCGCACATCTGAACTATTCTTTCTTATTAACTTATACTACCTATAGTTCTATAATACTCTATTCCCTTCTCTTAATTTTAGCGTCTTTTAAGTTCTTTTATACGTAGGCGTAGTTAGCATAACCTCTATAGGTTAGTAACTTAAAACAAGAGAAATTAATTAATCAATCAATAGAAGCTTTGTATTCCTTGCTAACACTCATAGCGTCCCCAGGTAAGATGTGAACCTTGAAAAGGGCCGTTGTTGACTTGATAAACACTCAGCAGAAGACCCAGAAGCGGCTCGTCGCAACTGCTGTGTTTAAACTCGCGTAGAATGTCCCGAGTAAACTGAAAGTCCGGATCTTCTGCTCGTTTGTGCAAAAGACTCGCCTTTTCAAAGGCTTGAGGGAAGAAGCCGGCCCAAGCCCAGTCCAGAAACCACAACTTTCCAGCCTTGTCTAGGACAAGGTTCCTCAGACTAATATCCATGTGGCACATTACCAGATCTTTGAACATTCCAGTGACATCTCCAGCGCCGAGGATCCTAAGCTTGTGGTTGAACCATGGCTCCATATCAGCTGCCGTTTGAAACGTCCTGCCAGCACCATAGACGGTAAACAGCCCGCCCATAGGAATTCCTTGCCCTACCGGTCCGGGATGGTAGCCTCGCAAGCTTCTGATACAGCGAAGGCCTTCGGTGACCTGGAGGACGATATTTTGTCGTTCCTGGGCGGAACGTTCTGACCATGGCACCGCGTCCAAACACTCTCCATCGATGAATTGCATAACAATGTAGCCTATGTTCTCCGAGGCAAAGGTTCGATAGACGTATGGGACTCGTATCTGCCCATTGGAGTGGTTGAAGACATATTCCATATTCAAAGCCTCCTGCGGATGAACTTCAACACTAATCTTTAAGACTGCAGTGCTTGAAATCCTCACAATCTTCGTTCCTTTGCCGGAAATAAGGGGACCAGTCTTGGCGGCGCGAATAAACTCGGCCTCGGTGACTGTAGCCAGGTCTTGTCCCTCGAGGGGGAAATCAGACTCCATGACGATGGAGTAGACAGGTGGGGTGAACTTGAATGTATATGTAGGGAAGAGATGTTGGTGACAGATTCATCGAAAATCGAGGGACGAAGATTCGAGGGACAAAGATTCGAGGGACAAAGATTCGAGGGACAAAGATTCGAGGTAGATGCCCAGCTCGCCAAACTCGGAGCTCGGCATCTATACATGCCGACAGACCGCTTACACACGTGACAGCATTGTTGGCAAGGTGTTGAAGCGCCTCATTCTGTTCATCTAATAGGTTGTCATCAAACACCCTTAGGCCACAACATTCTCCCAGTCATTACCCAAATGTCCCTTGCGTCCACTCTGGAGTCTTTGGTAACCGCGCTCCTCCCGTCGTCCACGTTGAGCTGACTGCAGCGTATACTTCCGTTCCGTTACCCCCAACGTAGCCAGCATCTCGGAAATCCTTCATCACAACGTATGCCCAGTATCTACACTCTACCATCTTATCCCCATATCGATACTCATGGTAGCCTTTTGCCGAGATCCGATCGAGAACGTGCCGGGCGTAGAGACCCCGGACTGCAGGAAAGGGGACCTGATGTACAACTTCCGATAACACATTGTATTCGAGTCGCTTTACGACCAACGTTCCCAGTTGGCCAGCGATGGGGTCCGGCGACATATCGAGGCGTATGGACCCTCCTTGTGTCATCTCAAGGTAGATGACCCAATGATTAACATAAACATCGCTTCCCACCGCTAATGGAGTAGGAGCATGCCCAGCGAGGACGATTTTGGACACCGTGAGGGCGTCGGCGTCTGTTAGGAGGGTAGAAGGTATAAAGTGTGGGTTAGGCATACTTGCAAACTAAATTCTGCCCTAGTTAACGGTATAGCTAAAAACGACACTCGAGCGATGCCTGTAGGGTTGTTTTATATACGTAGATTTACACTAATTTTGGGCGGTTATCTACTGCAGCGGCAGACTATTCCTACGATATCGTTAATTAGATTGCTTTACCTCGCTTTATGGTACTTTGCTTCGTTTTGTTTTGCTTTGTTTTGCTTTGCTCTGCTTTGTTTTGCTTTGCTCTGCTTTGCTCTGCTTTGCTCTGCTTTGCTCTGCTTTGCTCTGCTTTGCTCTGCTTTGTTCTGCTTTGCTCTGCTTTGCTCTGCTCTGCTTTGCTTTGCTTTGCTTTGCTTCGCTTCGCTTCGCTTCAATCGTTACACTTGGAGTGCTGCAGCGCATTGAGGTAATGCGTCGCAGAGAGTCAACCCGTCTGCAAGCCTCTTAACTTCCGCTGACATATCCGCAGGGGAACGCCTGAAACCGTGCTCTAAACAATATAGCGCATAGGGACGCCTCATCATTACTCCAAGTTCTGGCGCTAAGTCTCTCACTTGGTAACTAGCTATCTACGCGGGCAAGGCACTTAGTGCGCGCCTTATATCCACTGGCAGCATGCATGCAAGCTATGAACACGTTCAGGATGAATGTTTCTGCGAATTAACTCTTTCGAGCCTTAGAGCATGCATTGCCGTCGATAGCGGAACATCTGCTTGAGAGGAGTGCCACTGTTGCTCCTGCAGCTACGCTACATAATACTAGGAAGCGCAGATCGAAGGAATGGGGAGGTATGGCGTGGATGGGGGGTCCGGTAAGATATGTATGAACTCCGCGATGAATCCGTATTCTTCATCTACACTTCCGAAGCCACACCTCGACCCGCACCATTCTACAATGCATTGGCCGCCCGTCACGCTTTGTTCGTTATCCCTTCTGTCACCTTTGTTGACGTCTTCCTCCGGCAGCAAAGCCCTCACCGTCGAGAGTCCGTTCTAAGGCGACCGCCGTTTGATGTACCGAGGCGGCTCGAATCGATTGCCCTTGTACGCCGCAATAACGTCAAGGTGTGAACAGGCAGTGCCTACGTATAGACAGCATTTTGGCACTCGCATAGAGATCCGCTAGGCGGATGGGGTTACAGATTGACTGTCAATCCGGAGAACCGGAAAGACGGGTAAGAACTTAGCACGTGAAAGATTAGCCAGAAAAGAGCAGACTCGTTCTGAAGAGCTGATCGGAAAGCAGTGACGAAACGTCTCCATATAAAAATGCAGGATGTTGTACAGTTTCTACAGCTAGCGAGACGGCCTCCGGAGCGCCTCTCCAATGACAATGGGTACAAAAAGTAGCGGACGAAATGAAATTCTCAGAAGGCTTAGAGGCTGCATACGCACTGGCATGCAGTGCCCGATATGCCACCTCTTTCTAACACACTCCAAAAGTCTTCGCTGTGGGTGTATGATATCATGCAGGCATCTCTTGAGGTGATTGCGGCGCGTTCGGTGGCGCTGTGTATCCGTACTTTTTGGTGCTCTCCGACCTTCCAAATGGGTTCCACCAATTTGCTACACCTTTCCGCTGGTTATCGAGCTCGTCACTCTGTACGGCGGGCAGCTCCGCAATAGCAGGCGGCGGAAGAGCTCCCGGCAATTGCCTCAACTCAGGACTAGGGTCTTTGACCAGTTTGCCAGCACCAGCGTTCGGGTCGTCCACTCTTCGCTTCTGTCCTCGTCGCTTGCCGATGATGTAGCAACCGATAGCGCCTGCAATCGCGATGACGCCGAGGGGTACGCCGACGCCGATTCCGATCTTCGCAGCTTTCGTGAGACCAGTCTTCTTCGCTTTTTTGTGGGCTTTGGTGGCTGTTGCGGTGGCAGCGTTGCGCGTCTTCGTGGCTGTCTTTGTTGCGGATCGAGCTCTGGTATCGTTAGCTTTAACTCTTCGGATTGTGCACACGAGGACTCGTACTGGGTTTTGGTTTGTGAAGCTGAATTCTGCCGTGGAACAATATCAACCTGAGGATGCTGTAGGCTCGTCGCAGCCACAGTCCATATGCAAATAAAAAGCAAGCAGAAGGAAATCGGGAAGCGCATCTTGACAAGCTCGACGCGGCAATGACGAAGCTTTCTGGAGAGAAGACAAGAACCGAACTAAAGGGTCCTCCCAGCTTTCATAGCGACAATCGCCCCATGTTCAGGGACATTTCAGCTCAGACCAATGACGTCCTCTGACGAGCGGTCCCATCCCTGATAGAGCCATTAATGTTGCAGCCACCGACATCAGGCATGTCAGGCGTCCCGCGCTGCTGCGACGACGACAAAAATACGGAGGCGAAACGTCGGTGAGGCTGGCGGTCCCAAGATTAGCGGGAGCTTGTGGGAGGTGAGTGGTGGTGGGAGGCGGAGCGGAGGCTGTGAGGTTTGACGATCTTGCCGGCGCTAATGCAGGTTAACCGATTGAGGCTTAGCGCGGGCTCCCGTCATCTCCACCCGTGGACATGCCAGGTTTCTGCAACGTTAACCTTGGAACGGGAACCATCACGGCAAGAGCTGGATTCAAGCCATCATGTCGCTTGGCTGGCATACCAGCAGGGCATAGGGCATAGGGCGGCCGCATCCTCCCCGGGGCCAATAGTAGAAGTTGAGATACTTCAATGGCGCTCTGGGTGCTGCACTCCTGAGAGACAGGATATATCTAACAGTATCGCTAGGTTTCAGTATGCTCATCATTATCAGGGACCAGGGATGCGCCGACGCTACCAAACGGCTAGCCAACAGCTGACGTTGCCGCGATTAGAGCCGAAGAGATATCATAGGAATGGAAAGGAAACTCTTATAACCCACTGCGCCCTTCTGGAAAACTACAGGGCAGCAGGATTTTATGTTTCCCGGAACGCGACCGATTCTCTAGTGTGGCGGGCGGATGGTCGACATCAAGGCCCTGAATGCGATACCTCAATCGCTTACTGACACGGACTGAAGAACCAACCGTATAATGGCGCGAAACTTCAAGGTGCTCCTTCAGACGCAAGGTGAGTGGCGGCGTCAATCATCACCGTCGATAACCTGTATGCTGTCGAAGAGCTGGCCAGCGCTCATGCCGCACAGAGGACGCTCTACCGTAACGAGGTAGCAGAAGTAGACGCCATCCACTTTCCGGTTGAATAAAGGGATAGCAGGCTAAAAGGCCAGCTGAAAGCATTTTACATTATTCTTACACGGTCGCCAAAGTGTAGCCTTCCCCAAGCGATCCGTAATCCGTTGGACGTCTGGTGGTGCCGCTGAAATTTCATCAATAGAAAAGTCAGCGGAGATGCTATCCAGGAGAAATCAAGTGGTAAGCTCTATTTGGATCCACCATATTGACTGACTTCATTAGATTCTCCGCCAGGAATTAGTCCATCCAGATTCTGGGTGAAGTCGAGCCCAGCAGTCGGCACGTGAGCGCGCGCCTTTAGCGCGTGCCCACCTGGTCGCTCCTTCCTCACCGTCCGATGACGCCACTCACGATAAACTCTACTCAGCATGCCCAACCGACTCATCTTTCCTCCACTCCCCCGACATCGTCAGCCGTCCGCCCACAGCCCGCGAGAAGATGGAGAGGCTCACGACCGAGTTGCACCACGAGGTGTGCAAGTATCTTCCTTACCAGGACCTCCCAAATTACCGTCTCGTCAACAAGACGACCGCCACCATTGGAGCTTCCAGCCTATTCCGACAGCTCGTCTTCCACGCATCCACCACAAGCTTCAACCGCATTCTCGCAGCCGCAGCCCATCCAGTATTACGGAAGCACGTCAAATCGCTTTTCTGGGATGCGAATTTGTGGAATATCGGAGTCACCTCCTTCATGCAATGGAACGAATTCATGCTCGAGAGAGACTTGGATGGCAACCAATCGGCCACTGTAGAAGACGCCATCGCGAAGCAATTGAATACACAGGTCCGTCAAGTGAAGGAACAGCATATAACAGACGTCCGGTTTGAATTGCGAAGGCACTTTTTGCTTTACCAGCAGGATAGGCAAATCGAAAAATGGGTCCTCCGCCATCGCCTCGACGTCGGCCACTTACGGGATACATTCCGCCGGTTCAGTAATCTCGAAGAACTCCATGTGGTCAACGGAGTTTTCCATCTCAGCGACGGCGCGATCACCAAGAAGTGGGACGAGTATGGTGCACCAGTTCTGCCGGAGCCTTCCGAACAGTGGCTGTTGGCGAGAGGGGAAGGTGTGTTTCAATGACCTCGAGGAGGGACCGCCAGCCCAATACGCGTTCGAGCGCAGCGTCCTTGCACTAGGCAGAAATCTGACGATTCTCTCGGTTGATCACCTGTCTTGGATCTCTTTCACAAAGGAGGGCATAGCTGCTACGCTGTCCGATATCTGTGCCAACCTGACGTCCTTGAAGCTCACCTTCACCCCCTGCGAGAGAAGAAATGGATCGCATTCCGACAATTGTAAGAAGCCCCGCGCGGAAATGAGACAAGGGACTCTCAGGGACTTTCTGGCAGGGTTGAAGAAGCTACAACATCTGAGTCTGTCCTTCGTCGGTTGGTGCGACGTCTTCTGCGGTACGCCTGCATGCCTTGCCGATCTCATACCCTCGATGAAGAATGGGCTCCAAAGTCTACATATCCGTGGTGTGGATACTCCCGAGAACTATTTAACAAGCCTTCTTCTGAACAACTCGGAAACTCTGATCTCACTTAGCCTCCACAGCATCTATCTAGATCCTCCGGGCTCTTGGGTCCGAATTTGCGACGCGACCAGACGCCAACTTCATCTGCAAATTGCTCATTTCCATGGAATTCTATGCGACCGAGTCGACGAAGATGCCGACCACCCGTACACTGGCATGGAGGACGGGTGGGACCTCGATGCAAGCAACCTGAGTGCCCCCCTGGAGACATACCTCGTCCAAGGAGGGCGTACTGGAGGGTGGAATGGATCCTATTGCAGAATAGTGGGGCAAACTCTGCTGCGCAGCGGAGATGCAAAGGCTGGGTCATCTTTGGGCAAATTGTCATTCATTCAGGTATGATACAGGCAGCTACCAGCGAATTCTGTGCAGTGGGGGCACGATCGCACTAGTGCAGTTAACGATATCCCTTCTAGCAGGCAATTATCTACTCTTTTATGTAAACCCACCTACACCCTCCTACCGCGCTCCTTCCTTAAGCTCGTAGCCGCGCCGCGCTACTTAATAAAAAAGCTATCTTATTCGCGTACACATCTAGATAGTGCAATAGAACGGGCACTGTAGTCCCTAACTGTAGATCGCGCCTAGGGAGCTAGGGACTAGGGTTTTAAAAATAAAGGTAAAAACACAGTAGCGCTCGTGGTCCACCTCTAAAGGTGTTACCCTAAGGAAGAATAGATACTACATCTAATTAAAGCCAAATTAGCAAAGAGAAGAATAGGAGAGGAAGAGGAGGGCGAGGGAGGCCGGGTTTATATAGTAGAGTGGGGGATTAGGCAGCAGGAAGTCACGTGAGTGGAGGGCGAGAGTCATGTGAGGGATTGGTGCCTCGAAAGAGGGCTGTGCTGAAAGAATTAGCTAGAGAGATGAGTATAATAGTCGATTGCAAAACCGGCTTCCCCTCTCTACGTGCCGTAAATATTTCCCCTACACTACTCTTTGCATCTACCTTACTAAACCAAAATAAGCGTTAAATAAGAGTGGTGCTTATGGCTTTCAGTAGCATCTACTCTCTCATACTTTGTAATCAACACTCTACACTTCTATGCAATTCGAAACATCCACAACTCCATAGCCAGAGCGGGTTGGCCATCCTCCCTGCTTGTAGTGGCACCGTCTTAAGCCGATCACTGCTGTGGTATGCTCACATCGTTCGATTCATTCTGCATTAGATCAGCATTGGGTTTTTCCTACTCAAGAAGGTAAGAATAAACTTTTCTGCATCATTTCCTTACACTATTAGTCGGTTTCGCTTCTGGCTCATGGCGAAATATTTCCAAACTAACTCCGGGGGGTAAATTTGCCCCAAACCCAATCACAAGATTAGAAGGTTGGAGGGACTGACACGTCAGAACCTTGAAACTGCAGAGATTCAGTCTCCTTCGTTGAAAATCGCCATTCTCAAGTCCCCTTGCACTATGTCCCATCATTGCTATGCCTAGCTTTACCATTTCCTCTTAACAAATGCAAGTTCACTCGGTCGTTTAAAGGAATAGCTATTGTGGAAGACCACGAAGCAGCATTCTCGATTAGCTATCATATGATCGAGATTGTGTACTTGTCGTTACCGCATGGTGTCTCATACTGCATCCATGCTTCGTTTGCGACATTCCGGAATCGTGCCCAATCCTTCATTCCCAATGCATCCGAAAACACGCTCAGAACCCCAATCCTTTGAGATTGACCTTTCTGGTTTCCCGTAGGACTGAGCGGAAGACATGCGAGAAGATAATCTGGTCGCAGATGAGTGTCAATGAAAAGAGGCAAGCAGATGCAGTCAAGAAAAATGGAAAAGCCCGATCCATATTTCCACCACTTCCCATCGAAGAAAATTCTCCACCTGCTTTCGGGGTCCGGTTGAAGTTGGAAGGATGCAAACCAACCAGAAATTTTCAGGGTAGCCTCCACAACTGCGCTAGTCCGGTCACCCGTAGCAGTCTTCACGTCGCAATTGATAATATCGATCAACGGTCTCAATGTCCCATATGACTCTTCCGTATGATAGCCTCTTGGCGTGATATGGCCATCTAAGCATGCCCATGACCACGAAGGTGCACGGTAAGGGCTAGGGCGTAAGGTCAGCCCCTGTGTGTTATGAGGACCAAACTAGAACAGCTCCGTAGCGAGGCGGCTCCTCCACAGTCCGGCACAATATTCGTCGTCAAGCGCCTGTTCCATGAGCTTTGCGATACCCGAAAGAGCAACCAATTTGTCGGTTGTATACGTTAAGTTGCACTTGGTGTACATCTCCACGATTCCGTGCCAGAGTTCCAACAGTGTGGTCTTTGAATGCTTCGGGCTGCTCTCCACAGCAACGTGCCGAGTTCCGGCTTCACTGAAAGCCTGCCATCTTGCATCGCCTGACACCCAGTGCAGAAGCGAAGTCGGTGGCGTACCGCCTGGATAAGTCCCACAGGCGCGCAAGTTGTAACATTCCCAGAACAGCTGCTTACCACATAGATGAAGCACCCTCGGAGCCAGTAACAACTCTTGGACCGCCCGTGCTCTTTTTGTCAGGGGCATATTTTTCAACGTATTGTCCCAGAAATCCTCATGGTAAAGGTGGTAGGTGTCATTGTAGCTGTCGATCCATGCTGTCTGAACCATGCAGGGTCCAATTGATGACGGGTCTTTTTCGGAAAAGCAGCCAGCATTGCTATCAGCTGCAACACTAGCTGCAATGTTGAGAGTAGAGTTCTTGTAGACATGACTCATGAGAGCTGCCTCCTGTTGCCAGTCCTTCTGAGAGTCCTGGAATATGCATAAGGAATCTATCCAAAGGAAATGAATACCCAGTGACCGGGCGGTGAAGATGGCATCCTGGAATGTTTGTGCCAGTTTTGAGATCTCTATGCCTTTCTCCAGGTCTTGGAACGAAGCCGACGTTAACCTCAAGACCTTTGAAGCACCCCAACAGTGACTAAGCGTTGCATACTGAATGCCGTTGCATTCTTGGTTAGGATAGAGTCGTAAGCGGACTTTCGGAGGATCTGGTTGTCCAATTTCGAGGAGACGAGTTGGACTGAAGCGGGTATTCTCGGTCGAATACGGCGTTTGACACTTGTCGTGGCTTCTCAAACATTGGGATAGCCACTTCCTAGCGCACGTCATGCTCGAAACCCAATCAGTATTGTCGTATTTTTCGGTCTATAGCAAGGAGGCCGCGAGCATCTGGATAGATTATCAACACAAAGGATTTTTAATGGCAACCAACCCTACTTACCGCTCTTAGCTTGCAAACAGAATTTAAATGCTCTGCCAGAATTGCCCACTCCATTCCTCTCAACAATAAAGAAGAGCTCCAAGATTCCTTTTCCTCAACCAAGTTTGTGGCGCACGATGAATATCGAAACAGGTTTTGTATTTGTTGCTCCTTTCACATCAGAAGCATCAGCGGCCTCTTTTGGATGTTCTGGAGGTAAATCTGAGACCCCGTACCATAGGACGCGGCAAATATAGCAATCTCCAAGAGCCGCTCGCCGCAGTTCGTGGACGAAGAAGTGATGGGTGGAACTTTTTGATGGGCAAGAACTCTGGAACATCCCCCGGCAGACTTCGCACAACATGATGCAACATCTGCCTAACAACAGCCAGGCTGACACTCGTGGAAATTCTTTGGGGAGCGCCAATTCAATCCATAAAGTATGAAAACCTGGGCTCTGCGACAATGTAGCAAGGGTTAAATACAGGCAAGAACTAATATCTAAGATGGAACTCCCATATCGGCTGCGAAATGGGGCAAACTTTAGTAGGCTGGGGTGGGGCTGTGTCGTGGCTGTACTGTGGCTATGGAGCGACTCTCGTACTTAAATCAGCTGAAGTGTGGGAACTTGAGGACAAAACGAGTATATTTCCAAGGATTCCGATGGAAGGTCAGAATCATGTGACCGAGTAATATCCGGTATCGCCGAGGGATCACCACATAAGCGAACAATTTTGCTCCCGTGAATGGGTGCAAGTGAGGAGGATCGCCCAGCTTCCAGGCTTCTATATCACGTGAGAAGAGATGCCTACATCGGTGACCACAACGGCATCCCTGGTTGCACATCCCGGATGACCATGGATATTCCAAGGCTTAGAAATTAGGCATGTGGGCTTCCACAGGCAATATTCACCAAGGAGTAGGATCGACGGAAGCCGCAAAGAGATGAGGTTTGCATATGGTGGTGTACAGGTGATTGCAGAATCGGCTTATCGCGTCCCAAGTACTCTCTGGATTGTACCCCGCATCTAGCCGATACAGCGTGGAAGTAAAGCTATGTTCTTTCTTAACGTGGGAGCTCATTCACCACAGCTCACATACACCTCTGCCCTGCGACCAGAGCGGCACCCACCCTGGGACCACAGAACACAAACGCCGAGTGAAGAACCCTACTAGTATTCCAATCGCACGCATACTCCTGTGAACCGGCTCTCCCCTGGAGGGGCAGCAGTCGCCGCCCCACCACGTCCACCACGCGGGATCGCAAAGGCGCGAAAAACGCATCCCCATTCATTCCCTAGAATACTGCGCAGCGCGCATCCACTTCCATTACGACATACTCCTGAACCGGCATCTCCGTCCCTTCTGCGAACGTCCAGTACTGCCAACAATCCCCGTCTCCGCACTTAGCGGGGAGGCCACCGGGCACGCCTCACGTCTCGCACGCCTCACGACCGAAACACCCACAACGTTCAACATCATAACGGCACGCACGCCCGAAAATGATCGCCATTAGGAACATCAGTAGAGCTGGCAGCGCTGTTCACGATGCAGCCGAGCATTTCACCGCTGTCCTGTCCAATGTGAAGATCATGGCATCATCTGTCTGTGCGACAGCCAACTATTACGCCCGACTCGCCACCTCTGCTTTCGCAGCAGGTATTACCGGGCATTTTGTGCAGGCATACCAAGGGAAACAGGCGCTCGACAAGATCGCACAACACCTCAGTGGCATCGAAGATGAGCTAGCAAAGCAGACCAGCTTGCAAGTACAAGGCAGCACCGGAGAGCAGGGGTTCGCGAAGCATGTGTACTGGTACATTCGCATGTGCATCGACGAGACCGAGGCAGATGCAGTACAGCATTGCTTTTTCGTCTATCACCCAGACAACGATTGGTATCCCGCTTTCCACGATCTGGTACAAAAGGAGCGTTTGCCTCCAAACTTCTGTGGGAAATCGCATCATCTGGGCGACTTGTGTGTGTGGATGGAGGCTGTTCGAGCGGAACTTCTGGCAAGCACCGCCCATGAAAAGGACACCATCTTCCACCTTCTCGTGCCGGCTTATCAGCACATGGTCATTCTGGAGCCGCTTATTGTCCCTGGAAGTCTGCAGCCCTTGTGCATTGAAGGGGAAGTCCACGATGGAACGCCATACTGCAGGTTCAACTTTCCGGGAGCTAATGCGGGATTGCTTCGCGACATAAAGAACCTGGCGTCGCGGCTTCACAGATACCTCCGAGCCGACGCGGACGCCTCAAGGTCAGGCAGACGTCGTGGCGGAGAAATGGACTCCCAGAATGCCATGAATTTGACTAGTGCGTCCTCATGATCCTTCGGTGCGACAGCCTGCAGTCCGTACGGTCTGCCGCTGCTCTCGATATAGCCTAAGGGTACGGACGCCATTGGATATCCTTGTCGAGGTTGTTAGTCATGGTGGAGATCGTCGGAAAAGGTTACTCACGGGCTGCTACTGAGACTCCAGCAAAGAAACTATCTGAGCAGCAGACGACTACATGCACACCATGCTCGCGGACTGCTTTGTCAACACCTTCAGTGGCGGCCCACTTCTTGCATTGCTCCAGTGATGCCCGCATTTCTTCATCCGGCTGTGCCAGTTCAACCAAGCGGCGAAGATTGTCTTGGTTCGGGCAAAAGTCTATCACATGTTACCGCCCAGTTGGATCCCTCGCCTTCCTATACCCATGTACGATGCGGGAGGACTTACCTTTGTCGAATTCAATGTCGCTATGCTCATCGTTGAACCTTACTATGTCGTCTAGGGATCGCACGTCCGAATATATGAGGTCATTTAGATAACGATCGATACCGTTCTTTGCCTGATGATCTGAACAAGTAAACATCCGTCCGCGTTAACATATCGCTCTACCCTTACCGATAATATCATCCATCAACTCGTCAACATTGATGTCACCCACTATGTACTTCTCCGGCGGAGTGATGTATACATCTACGACTTTTGCCCCATGCTTGCGAAGCCTTTCTTTGGCTTCAGTATACTCCTCTGCCTGCATGAGATCAGCTAATATATCCCTCTAGGCTTCGTGAAACTTTACCGTCTGCTCAAAATACTTTGGATCTTGCACCTGGCAGTCCTTTGGTAGTCGCCACAGTTCGATATCGACGAAGCCGACAGAAATTTCTTCTGGTTTGACATGAGCGGTAGCGTCGGCGAGAAGGCCACTCTTGCCTTCAGGGCGAAACGAATCGCAGGTCAAGGCGACGTCTTTCGGTGTCTTTCCCATGGCGCCCACGGTGTCGAAGCAGGCGGTCACGTGGAGGACGCCTTTGAGTGACACTGAGCCCGGCGTCAGCTTGAGGGCATAAAGTGCAGCGGCAGCGGCAGGAGAGACGATGGATCCCGTAGTCTCGGTACCCAAAGCGATTGGAGCAAATCCACAGGCTACTCCAACTGCGGAGCCCGTCGAGGATCCTGAAGGGGTAGTTTCTCCCCTCCGCTTCTCGCCCAATTTGAAACCGCTGGGAATATACGCTGGTTGGCACATTCCTCCTACAGCAGACCATCCAGCACGCCCTTTTTGCCCTATGAGCTCGGTCATATTCGTCTTCCCGAGGATAATGAGTCCAGACTCAAGCAAGGCTGAAGCCACATCCGAATTTCCGGAAGGACTTGAGGTCAGCAGAGCATGGGACCCAGCAGAGGTAGGCATTCCGAGTTCAACAGAGGTAGCAATCGAATCCTTGAGGAGAACAGGAATGCCATGGAGCGGACCTCGTATGCTTCCCCTGGAGCGCTCAGAGTCCAACTCCGCAGCCCGGGCCAAGAGTTGGAAAAGCTGCGGAGTATACAGAACAGCCCGACATTTGGCTCCATCCTTGTCATGCCTAAAAATATGGTCCAGGTAGGTTTTAACAATCTCTAGGCTGGTTATAGTTCCTTCCTCAAGAAGTTGGCGGAGGTCCTGGGTAGTAGCCGTGAGGACGTTGAATCGAGGCCTGGGATCTGAGGCAGCCATTTCGACTAATGGGGCAAGGGGGCTGGAGCGGGATGAAGAAAAGCCCATCGAGGAGGCAACCCTCGCCCTTTCATGCTCGCGCTCAGCCTGCTGTCACCAGTGCGACTCGGGGGGAAGAATGAATGGGACCACGTCTATCCCGTGTTCACCGGCCAATATAAGCGCCGGGGTCGGGATGCACGGACATGGGTCCGATCCCGCCATCACCGCACTAGCGTCGGCGCTAAATCTGCTGCGCTATCCCGTCCCGCCTCACGTCCAAGGTTGCCCATCTGTGCTTCCTAAGTGCTTGAAACCTAGCTTATTTTCCTGCAACCATGCTACTTCCCTTGGACACCCAAGGACATGATGTCCCGCAGCACGGTGGGTCGCAGCGCTCCGCTCCCTAAACAAAAATCCATGAGCTAACAGGCACTAGATTGTATCGCGCCAGGTCTGGGATGAGCTGTTTGAAAGCATAGTTGGCAGGCCTCATCAATCCGAGGACGACGCGCAAGATCTGAACGCCTACCTCGAGTATCTCCAAGCCCGGTACACTCCGCCTTTGAGCGATGCGTTCACTCCCATCTTCCACCCTTCGACGTCGAGGTATACATCATCAACTGCCAAGATTGTGGCTTCAGTCGTCGCCGTTGCGGGTACATTGAGGAAGAAGCCTAGCTCGAGCATCTGCAACGTTGTTGCAGAGCTCATTGAGGCGTCTATTCTGCGCGAGGAATGCAGAGATCAATACAGGCCCGTCGCAGAGTACTTGGTCTTCTGTATCCAAGGCTGGATTACAATGCTTTACGATCCGATGCCTCCGGACCACATGCCGCCGGCTACTTTCAACATTAACACGACTGGCTTCGAAACCCATCATCAACCAATCTCCCAAGCAAGACGTCCCTTCGGCGAGGTTTTAGCCGGGTTCCGAGTGTGGTCCAACCTTCAAGTCCGTTCCCAGGATGGCGGACTCCCTGGTAGCCGCTTAAGTAGCGGTTCTGGCTTCTTGCAACCATCCTTTCTCCACGCAGGCGTTCTAACGTCAATCGGAGGCTTACAAATATGCTGGGTTAATGCGATAGGCTTGCACTTAACTTTTGAGCCCACTGGAAGGCTTTTCTTGTTTCGCATGCCCTCTTTCTGTCGAATGCAATCCGCTGAGGGATCCATACTAGACATGTACGTCTATCTGCGCCCACGCGTAAGCACATCCACTGACAGCGTCTAGCATTGCCAACGCCGTTGCCGACGAAGACGAAGACGGCAGCGATGACGGTGAAGAAGATCGTCATGCAAATGCGCTCCAGTGCCGCCGTTTAGCCACCGAGGTCGTCCAGAGTTATAGCGTCATCTTTGCCGCTCATAGCAAGGCTCGTGAGCTATATACTCATAAGGAACGAACAAGAGCATCTGTCAACTCGAAGAAAGAACCTGATCCGCTACTTGATACCGTCTGTGGAAACTCGATTCGCAAATGGACGACGATGTGGGAGCCGCCGCCAGGAGCCATCAACGCATCAACAGTCTTTCCTGTTCTCTGGCGCCGCCTTCTAGCCCTTCAACAATACATTGAGTCCCGACCCGCCCGTGGGGGTCTTCGAGGCATCTACAGTGACCAGCGAAACTCGTATAACTGGTACACTTTCTGGGCAATTCTTATCATTGGTACTATTGGACTGGTTTTGTCGTTTATCCAGACAGCCATGTCGGTATTACAGGCTTCCTACGCTATAAAGGCGTATAACAAAGATACAAACATGTGTGCTTAGCCGCTGCGATGCCATCAATATTCCTTATCTAGCTTGCCATGGAATAAAAAATTCGAACACCTTTCCTGGCTCGTGGAAAGTCGCATTACCTTCGTTTGCAGAGGTGGGTGGTGGAAGCGATGCAGATGCCTCCAGGTTATGTGCGACCGCCTGTACCTTGAGCTCAAGCTCTCCTATCGACTCGAATCCGCTTGGCCGTTGCCTGGGGTATCTTTTCATGTACTCCAATTTGGAGAGCAGAACACGGCCAATATCGCCCTGTGCATTTGAGCCCTGTGCAACCTTCACTGCGCTTGTTATCTCGCGGCTGTAATTGTTAGTGTATCGCAAGAGGTCTTCTGGGTAAATTAAACCAACATTGCAATCTCAGGATGATTATGCTCCATGGCAATGGACGCCAGTTTGATGTGACAGCCGCACGTCAGTGGACGATTCTTGTCCTTGATAAGGTCGTCATATCCGTTTAGGCATTCCAGGTAATTCGTTCGCGCCTCGTTCAGCTTCCCTTCAGCCAAGTTCAGGTTTCCGAAACAGTATTCAATAGCGCGCCGAAATATCGGGTTGTCCGCTCCCTTCTTGAGAATGTCTCGACTCTTAACCAGATTCTTCCGGGCTCCCTCGTATTCCCCTTGCATTGTGAGACATCTTCCATAGTTTGCGGCATATTGACATGCCGCTAGACGTTTTTCATTGAACGAGTGTTCCGTAGTTGCAGCTTCCGCGTCCTTGTAAAGTTGGTAAGCCTCGGCATAGAAGCCTCTGGCGGCTGTGAGCGAGGCTAGATTCTGCCTCGTGTCACCCGTCTCTTGATGTGCATTCCCATATATCCTTATACGAACCTCTAGGGCTTTCGTCAGCGCCTCTTTGGCGAATTCATACTCATACCGGCGGATGCTCATCACACCCCTCGTGTTCAAGAGATGCGCGACAAGAGCCTCATGGCTATCTCCAGCTGCGCGTATACCTGTATCTACGAGTTTGAGGCCGTTATTGTAATCCTGGATCTCATGTAGATACCTGGAAACGTAAACGTCTGCTCCCGCCTTGTTGGCAATAATTCAAAAACCCTTACCAGGAGGCATGCGACAGCAATTGAATGAAGTGTTCTGAGGCCTGTATTGGATAGCCTTGAGCCTGTGCCGTGTCCCAGTGTCTGGCTAGGCTCTGGGCGTGTGTCAGGTACTGTGAGCATGCGCCCCAATGTTCGAAGAGTGGGTCTCCAAGATGCTGCTTCGGGAACGCCGCATTCACCAATACCGATGCAGCCTCAAAAATGGTTACTCGAGCCTCGTGTTGAACGTGCTTGAGGAAGGCTGCTTGACTCAAACGGTGAATGCGAATGGAGCTCTTCGACAGGCTAATCATTCCGGTGGATCTGAGGGACCTCAAGTGTTGTCGCAGCCTGACTGGTCAGATTTGGACCAACTTCCAGTGTTAGCGTAGCGCTTACCTTCTACCATTTGCACAGAGTCCGGCATCATCACCGGGCACCTGAAGGTCTCTGGGAGGCTGGAAGAGTTTTTCTGGTATGCCATCCGGCGAAAGGACGCATATGATCCCCAGAAGAAAACTATCTTCAGGAGTTTCGGAGCTCGAGATGCGCTGACAAGTCAATGACCAAACGGTATCGATCGAGTGTGGATAGTAAGGGCTATGTCCACCAGCTCGGTCTTGATGAACTTCATCCGCGTGTTCGTTGTAGTCCTCAAGGAAGTCTCTCACTGAGGAGCCATCCGCACAGATCAAACTTGAGATCTGGTGAAGCGCCAAAGGGAGACCGTCCAACTGAGCTAGAAGTTGATCAAGGGCCTCCTGTTCTTCCTTGGAATCGGATTCCCAGTCTCTCAATAATGAGTCGACGAAGTCTCGACTCTCTTGGCGGCTCAGTTTCGTTAACTCTATGCCGTCACTTGCAGGGCTGTTTGCCAAAGCAAAATCCCGACTAGTGACAATGATGGAGCCGACTGTTCCTGGAAGGGGCCAAAAGCCAGGGTGTATATCAGTCCATTTCTCGGCATTATCGTATATCAATAGCCAAGCCTCGTCTTGTGGAATCAGCAACGTTGCAATCAGACAGCGTGGCTTGTCATACCTATTTTCTTCAGCCAGTCTTGTACCGTGCGAATGACCAGCTCGGGACTGCTCGCCACTGATATTCCAGGAAGCTGAAGTGCCAACGCAATGTCGATGAAGCTCTTCCGCATAGAGGCGTCGTTCTCGCTTGCAATCCACAAAACAGCCTTATAAGCATTGTTGTCGTCGGAATGGCCGTATCGGTATGCATACGCAGCAGCAATCTGGGTTTTCCCGACCCCTCCCATGCCATATATTGTGAAACATCGCAGACGAGAGCCTCTCGTTTTGGGATCAAGGTGCTCATGCATCCGTTTCAACTCAGCCTCGCGGCCGAAAAACTGCGGGTTCTCCGGTATAGGAAGCAGAAACACGGGGAATGTGACGCAGCCATCGTCGAGGGCGTGCTGTAGCTGGTCGATCTTGAAAGACTGGTAGTACTCTGCCAGTTCCCGCATTGCATCGTAACTCGCTTCGATGTCGACCAAGGTTTGAGTCAATGCGCCGGTGATATCTTTTAGTGTCGAATGCGGCAATTTTCCTTTTCTCTCAGCTTTGACACGGTTGATGGCGATTCGTCCACTTTACCATTCGGGTCCTTTCGGAGCTCCTTCCCCAGTCTTACCCAGAATTCTAGCAGTCTGACGTAAATCTCAACCAGCGCCTCTTTGACCTCTTCCTCCTTTGCGAGTTGTCCTCCAGCGAACCGGTTGACTTTCAGCAAAACCTTACGAAGTGAATTCAGTATTTCCGAGACTTTCCGTGCTCTCTGCTCTGTCATGTACACCAACTGGTCCCCGTTAACGATATGTTGGCAAGTCCGGGATTTCCACTCACTCGGAGAACTACTGAGAAAACACCCCAGGCGAAGGATGTTTCAACAGAATGTGGCAGCATAGAAATGACGAAGCAAGTAGTGAAAGCCTGTAAAGACTTCAAAAAGGGAGAAAGCTGAAACCCGAGGTGAGCCATCCAGTTATCGTTCTGCTGTTGGCGCTGAACATGTTCCAAATCCCGCAGAATGGCATCAGGAGTTCGGAAACTTTCCGCAATCTTGCGATCCTCGTCTTCCAGTTTTGCTTTGCATCTCTCAAGGGCTTCGTGCCATCTCCGCATCAATGCCTGATCAATACCACTGGTGATTATGTCAGCAATGAGAATAGAAACCTCGTCGAAATATACCTATCGTGCTCTAAGTCCGTCCAGTCCAGCTGTGAGTTAGCCATAGCTGTGGCTCAGTAAGTAATACTAAGGCAAAGGGCGAGGAGCTCGGAAACTAACACCATGAAATACAAGCAAAATGCAGGTTCGGAACCGAAGGTTTGCTCTTCGAAACCGATGTCCCCGCGCCGGTCCCGAAGTCGCGATAAGAATGATACGTTTTACGAACAATGTGACATGGACATTTGACTTGCCCAATAAAAAAAATGCCGCAAGTGCGGGGTAGCATGTGGCACCGTTACATGAAGCCACAGCCTGACGCGCTCACGACAACCTTCATGCATGCCAGCGGCCATATCCGTCCACACTCGGCTTAATTTCAAATCCAAAGGTTAACCAATCATTGAGAAAGAGCCTGGATAGCTGCTTCGTCTATTCCATGCCAGACCTCGAGTATATCTTCAAGCTCCATAATACCAAGACGTCGACGCTGACTCTCAGTCAAACACACCGAATATGCCCGACATTGAAGCCTCACTTAGCTTCCTAGCCGACATACCTCTTTATGGCCATGAAAAGCCATTTCGAGTGGTACTATCGGCGGACGAGCCGGACGTTGAAGAATCTCTGAAAAGCAATGTTGAGATGGAAATCCACGACAAAATCGAGCTTAGAAACATCAGGGGCATGGACATGCTGCCTTCCCTGGATATTCAAGGGTTCGAATTCATCCGCCACAAGACGAAGTACAAGCGACTCGACGAAGTCTGGCAGTGCAAAGGGTATACGAAGGAAATCACTGCGGTTTTGGAGAATCATTTGGGAGCCGAACGTGTTATCACTTGGGATCTCAGGGTACCGAGCAGCGCCTTCCATGGGCAGCGACTGCTAAGCTTCTTCAGAAACGCCATGCCATTACATACAAGAAGGGAGAAGAGTATGACGCAAATGACCCCCGCCAGCCAGATGGTCCGGCCGTAATGGCGCACTGCGGTGGGTATATCGGCGTCCAAACGCGTATGGGCTCACTGAACTACAGACTACTCTTTTGATGGAGGCTTGAGAATGATTGAAGCCTACATGCCGGCCGCCGACAAGCTCAAGTACTTAAACGATAAGTACAGAGTCAGACTGATCAAGTGCGTTGGGCTATCACCCATTCATACGCTCGGAACTAACCAATATAGCACGTGGCGGCCAATGGTACCAATCATCCAGGACCATCCACTGGCTGTATGCGATGTTCGATCAGTGGATCCGGAGAAACTTTTGCCTTGCGACAGAGTCCTAGGCGGTCGACTGGGTGAGAATTACCTTCTCCAATATCATAAAGGCCAAAAGTGGCACTGGTTGGACGGCCAGACCCCTGATGAACCCCTCCTATTCCTGTCGTGGGATTCTGAAGCTGGCGAAGGAACACGATGTAAGTCCTGCCAGTCTATGTTCTACAAAATCGATGGCCTAAACGCTCCCAGCCTGCGCTCACGTATCTTTTCGGAACCAGGCAGCGGATGCGAACGCACCTCCTCGCATGAGTGTAGAGACTAGATCGATCGTGATTACTCCCAAAGAGCTGGACTAGGCAGCCCGTCACGGCGCAAGAGGGGATCTGAGAGGGATATCTCGAAGGCTACTTTGTTTTTCCCCATTTCATCGCTTACTGTGGGCATATGTGTCCACTCCGCTCTCTAGGTACTTTCAAATGCGGGGTGTTTAATGCGATTCGTTTCCATTCATGCTTTAAGCTTTCTTCTTTCCCATGTGCATATGCCATCAATGTTTCTATCCACGCTGCGGAGCTGCCCTTTGCCGTTCGGAACCCTTTCATGCTGGTTCGGTTACCCGAGCGAGCCGTGTATGCACTTGGCGCATGTTCGTGGATCCGAATGTGTTTATATGATCCATCTGGTAAGTCTCTGAGTTCGGGGGTACCCAGGCCCGCGCCGTCAGGTAGAGATAGGCTCAATGCCATGGTCGGTCATTGGCTTTGCCTGATAGTCACGCTGACATGACTGTGTAACTGGACCCCCACTTCCATGCAGCTTGGGACGGGCACAACCGAAGATAAGCGCTCATCACGCATACTGCAGCCTTTGTGACCTTTGCGGCGTTTCAACGCAGACGACACCACTGTTTCGTCATCCTATAGAATTGCAAAACAACATCTACCGCTCCGCGCTAAAAGCAATGGTCAGTGGCACATGAGTTCCTTTCGCTACTACGGCGGGATTAGCCCGCAGGTTACTTATTAATGTCTCCTTGGGCCACATCTTCCATGTCCCAACTCGATCAATTTTCATTTTCCGGAGAACCTTTCACAGTGTTAGACCCCTTGGCGAATCAAACGCGGAACAAGTTTGAATGCAGGACTAACCTTGCAAAGAACCTACCACGATGCCTCCAGCAGTCGCGTCACCATTCACGACATGGGCCGAGTCCCTGTCGAAGGCAGGCCATCCTAGCGAAACGAAGACTCAATCCGCGAAAGTCCAGCCTTGGAAGAAGTTCTGTGAGGGAGAAAGGATCGCCACCCCGACCAAGGGCGTTTGTATCATCACGCGTGGGTACGATGATGATATCTCCGAGAATAGGCTTGGAGGACATTAAATGGTGAGTGTAGATCAGACGCCCCTGGGAGTTCCGCTCACCACTTACTGACAAGCGTCAGAAGAGCAATGACTTTCCGTGGAATGAAACCAACACCTTGAGTCGAAAAGAAGGGTATTGCTATTCAGTCGGTCTTTATATGGTTATGACTTGGATCTAGTTTACTCTATGAAATATGTCATTCACTCCGCAGTCGAACTAGTTCCGTTTTTGTTCCCATGATAGTTAAATGTTTACGTGACTCAGTGCGTGCGCGCATCGGTGGCTACGGATATCTCTCTTGCGATGTATACTCGACGAAAGAATCGCTCTAGGTAAGCTGCTATTACAAGTGGACCATTATTTAAGTTCCTTTGCTTTCATATAATTTCAGGGGAAGTGGCAAGTACTGAGACATGAGTTGATTGATTGAGAATACGAGAAATGTGGCTATATATATGACCCAAGTCAGGTGGTGCAGTAACCATATCCGGCAACATATAACTAGTAGTAGATAATATATCTAGGTTGTACTGAAGATTGTAGAGGAAATAGCTATATACAACCCAAGGTTAAGTATACTAGTGACTATAGCCAGCAACATTATATCTTGCGCGCCATCCATGCTTGAGCCTCATACGCGTTTTTCGTCAGCGCTTTCCCATTGAACCCGTACTCTGCCTCCTTCCCTCGAACCTTCTTCTCCGAGAACGTCAAATCTCCACACGAATCGTCGATGTCTTCGAATTGAAAGCCCATGTCTTCTACGACCATAACGATCTCGTCTAGACTCAACTGCACGAAAGGTCCAGAGCCGTAGAGAAGGGGCCCGAAATTGATCCAATGTCCACCCGGCTTGAGCAGACGCTGGATGGTGTCGAAATAGAACATCAAGTTCCGGGCCGTGTCGATGAAGAAATGGGTGATAATAATGTCGAACTCCACGTCTTTGCCCGAAAATGCTGACACGAAGTCTCCCTCAACTAGAAGTACAGAAGGGTTGGGCCGCACATTCGGCGAAGTCACCTCGCGCATCATATCGCTGGTACTGGCGTGATGCGACATGCCGTCGATGAACGGATACATGGAGATGGAGTGCGGATCTGTATGCGCTTCGAGATATCTGTATGCAACGTTCATGTACATGGACCATTCGTTGACAGTGACTTCGTATCCTGAGAATATGTGAGCACTGATTAGGTCGCACCGCGGGGATGTAATTGAGGACTGACCTAGCTCAGCCACTTCATGCCCCAAGCGTCCTAGGCCGGAGCCGGGAAGGAGGACCTTTACTGGGCGGCCGTTTCCTGCGGAATCGAGACCAAGCCCCTTCAGCATGCTCAGGACGCATGGAAAGGCGTCCTCCCGCTCCTTCATTCCCTCGTCCGCCCAGTCGCGAACGAAGTGCTTCAAGGTCTGGCTGACGCTGATCTTGTCGGCCTGGCGATTTGTCTTCTCTGCTTCTTTCGTATGATCGTCCAGCTCGCTCTGCTCTATGCCGTAGAAATCCATCGCATGAGCAACGATGCTCTTACACAAAGCCTCGTTCCGATAGATGAGCTCCTCGATGTCATTCAGCTTCTTCGCGTATCCAACCACCTTCTCTAACGTCTGCCCAAGCCACCGTAAGCGTGGCGGAAATCACTGAATCCGTGAGCCTTACCTGCTTTTGTTTTTTGGAGACATTCTTGTAGAGACTTCTCCAGCGGTTGAGCTCGGCCAAGTTGCGTTCGCGGTACTTGGAGAATCCGAAAAGGGCCTCAAGGAGTCGATATCGTGGATGTGTCGGACCCCATTTTCCGTGTTTGCGGTCCATTCGTTTCATCAAGTGAGCCTTCTCTTGCCGATGACGGGGCGACGATTGCTGCTCAGCAGGCGGCATCGCCCCCATATGGAGAAATTTTTGGGCTTTGCAGTCAGCAGGAGCAATGGGCTAACGGACGTCACGGTAGGTACCTGGATCGTCCACGTTGACGAGTGTAGGCTCGAAAGCCAGTGGGTCAGGCACATGGTTAGGGGTTATGCCAGCGCTGTGGACCAGAGTGACAACGCGCACTAAGAGGAGCAGTACTATGTGCTGTAGTGCTCGCATTGTCAGTCGTTATTCATGCGCTGCCGTACATAGGGTCGTAATGTCTCGCGCAAAGGCTGATGGTGGTGACCTTGAGGTTCGAGCACCCTGATGTCCGCCAAGGGCGCCGAGCATGCCTGCATTGATACGAGTCAAGTTCGCGGAGAGTTGTGTTCGTCAGACGTGGTTCTCGAGATGGAACATGGCGGTTGTTAAAGGGAGAGTTGCGAAGTTGGAAAGCGGATGAAATACCGCCCTTTCCTGAATTGGCCAATCACGCGTCATCCACTCGTCGGCCTGTGCGCTTTCAACGCTCCGCGCCACACCCTTCTTCCTCCCTCCCTCCCTTTCCGTCTTCCATCAAACTGTCGTCGCAAATCGCATTCGCTCTTGTCTCTCGATATCATACGAATAGGGCCGTCACGCACCTCGTCTCCTACAGCACCGCAATCGGAGAGCACGGCATCCACCGTCCCATGGAGGAGTCAATTCATCACAATGGCATCATCACAATGGCAATCCTGGCCGCACCCTGAAGCTGCGCTTTACCATCATATTCGCAGTCAATTCGTCGTCGTGGGATGTGCCGAGCACAACGCCTCTTCATCCGTAGCCACGGCCCCTCCGCTCATTCCCTACTTCAACTTGATGGTCCTCTCGAGAGAATCCGCCAATTCCCATCCGTCCCTATGTACCTGGCCAATGCCACGCCTAGTCGAGCCGCTCGGACGCCAATTGATCCACATGACGTTATAGAGGGTCGGCGGCTCCTCGGACGTTTCTCGAAGTGGGCCGAACCGCGTCTCGTCGTAGATGGTGCCGTTTGCGGGGAGTCGGACGCCATACTCGTACTTGATTGGGCTGAGGCAGGTTGACGTGCTCGAAAGGATGATGAATTGGCCGATGGAGAGTTGGTCCATCGTCTTCGCCTCCTCGGTTTCTACTAGCAAGGTTCCGACCCAGATGGCCGGCTTCCTGCCCTCGCGATATAAGAGAAGTAGCGGCTCTAACGTACGCTGTCCGGGACGCATCTCATTTACGAACCACTTGCCGCGGTCGCACCCGATGATGAAGGATGCCATACGAGTCTTGAAGCACAGCGTCCCGCTCAGGATCCGAGGGAGTCCGTGCGCATCAGACGAATATTTGTACGAGAGTGAGTGGTCTCCTTGCCAACTGGCATGCTTTTGTTGCACGGCTCTCTTGGCTCTGACTTCGACTGGAGACTCTGAACGCCATGGCGACGGTTTCCACGGTGGCGAAGTTGCCTCGAAGCCCGCCGAAGGGAGTCTTCCGTCTCGGAGCCCCCGCCAGCGGCTACGTTCGACACTTTCGTAGTCGCTTCTGCTGTTATAATTCGGATCCACGTACAGGCTGTAAGTATCGGTCGATGTGGTGATCGCCCAACCCGTGATCTCCGCATGAATATCATCTGGGTTGATATACCACGAGTAGCCTGTTTTACCGACCCAACCGGCCCAAGACCACGATGGAATATCTTCTCCGCTTGGAAGGGGCTTTCTACGCCGGAGTGGCGCACTCAGTTGCCACAAAAGAGCTGCATCCAGAAACGTCTCCGGCAGGCCACATATGAAAGCCTCATCTTCGACCGTCCTCAGGCTGCTGAAGAGACCATCTAGCGCGTCGATGACATCGGACTCGTATGTAAACTCTCTGCTTGTAAACTGATTGACCATGCTTGTGTAGCAGTGCCACACTCCACGATCTGCATTCAGCCCGAACACATCAAGCGAGCGGCCCGGAAAAGTTTGTGACGATTGCAAGGCTTCCGGGATGCTGTCTTCGCTGCAGATGCCGGTCCGACACATATAATACACCTGATCTGGCATGAAGCATAGAGCGCGCTTTGATAAAGCCAACTCCTGGAATGTCCAGCCGCGCGTGTTCCAGCAGAGTCGACTCATTGTCTCCGCAAGGCCAGGTCCTGTAGCAGCGAAGCGCAGCCCGTTGATGGATTCAATGGGTTGGTGCGGACTCCGAGTCGCAGGAAGCAAACCTGGGAGAGGTGCGTGTGCATCCATTCCCCCGGCTGCAACAATGGTCAAAACTGCGGCACTGTATATGATGTCCATCTGCTGGATCTGGACTTTCTTATCATCATTGTCATCCTGGACGATGCAAAGTGCATCAACCCAGATGTAGCGCTCTCCTAAAGCCCGCACAAGGTCCATTGCGTCTCTCACGGTGGCCGGTGGCTTGTACTTGCGAAGTGCCCCGTCCTGCTCTAGTTCGGCTCGGTTGTCCTTGGTCAGGCGCAGAAACTCGATCTTCCCCCACACGTAGCTCAGTGCAACAAACTGGCATTGGAATGGCGCCCTGATGACGCTTTGCTTCTCGATATCAATGACACGCAAGTCCTGCGCAAATGACATAGCCTTGAGCGACTCCCCGCTCTCCTTAGCTGACGAAGGTAGAGGCAGGAACTTGAACCATTCGCATCGCAGTCCGTGCTTTTGTCTGCAAGTCCTGTAACTCTCGGCAAAGAAATTCAGGTCGCACTGTAGGGGGATCTTGCGAGCAACGTCGGATATTTTTCCACTCATATCGGGCTTGACGAGCGTGAGGTCGTCATGCAGCAGCTTCAGCGTCGGTCGACTATCCAGAGCTAAAGCCCCGTCTCGATCCCCGCTATCCGGTACCAGTGGGAGAACGACAATCTCCCTGCGGCCTCGTCCATGGTGCGGACCGGGGATGAACAGGTGACAGCGGATGCGGCTCCCGTCTTTTGCATACAGCGGGAGCTTCGTCCAGTTCAGCAGCAGGGATTGTTTGACCAGTCGACACAGCGCACAGCGTTCCGTTTGGACAATATCTTCGACGTGGCCCAGGAGGAATTCGACCTCGTCGTCGCTTTCGCCTCGGATGGTACTCAAATCGAGCCTTTTGCATACAACGCAGAGATCTTCACCAGGAAGAACGTCGCGTGTGGGGAGGTCGAGAACTCCGTAGTCCAAGGGCGGGAGTTCAATTGTGTCGTTGCGCCCAAGGACCAGCACCTCTAGGTATGCGTTCACCCTCGCCTGGAGGCGTTGCAAAGTCTCCGGTGACTCTCTCCTTCTGTACATGACCGGATGATTCTTGAAGAACTGTTGTCTTCTCTCCCTGCGATGTCCACCGGCATAAGGGAATGAGAAGCAAACGCAAGCGGCTTGGCAGCTGAAAGCTGAAATCTGGGCTGAAAGCGACTCTGGAGTTTACACCAATAAAAACGCACCTGGACCTAGAGCGTACACAAAGTACGGCAAGGCTAAGCGGGCCAACCTAAGGAAAAATCTACTAGCACATCGTTTTTCTTTTGCCTACTTATGAGGCTAAGTTTGAAGCGCGTACACACCGATGGATAGCGCGGTATAGCGGCCCCTACTTAACCGAAAAGGTCATGATAAGCGAAGGAATGCAGCCTTAGCAGTCGCCATAACCTTACGGGTCCAGCCCCAATCTGCCAAGGTACTGGCTGAGCCCTGAGGCTGCTAGGGCAAAGGCGAGCAAGGCTCGACCTCAAAATTATCTGTCCGTCCGCGTAGCATCTATGTGCAGTACTCACAACTTCTAGCTCCTTATCGATGGGTTGCACAGCGTCTACCCAAACCGAATCGCCCCAGCCCCCGCCCCGTCAGTGGGTGGAGCCGCTGCCCGTAAAGGCGGATCCTAAAGCCGCACCACCAGCTACGATGCAGCGCAACAACAACAGGATTCAGGGAGACATTGATAGTGTATCCCATCGCCTGCAAGATTTGGATGTGGGCCGAGACAGTACTCACCCGTCCCCAGCTAGCAGTCGATGCTGACCAGAAATTAGGCAACAAACACGAACGAATACCTTCCCCTGGCCCACCCCATGGGTTGTCGGATTCGACCTATGATCAGCTTCTTTCCAACATCGGCGGTGATCATACTAGGCCTATCCACCTTGCACTTCAATGGATCGCCTTCTCCGTCCGGCCCATTCGCCTTGAAGAACTTGCGGAGGTCATGTCGCAACCGCGTGTAACACGCGCAGTGGCACTTCGGAATCCTCCATCCTATGATGCCCTGCTGATTTCCGGGTTGATTACAGTATCGGATGGAAGTAATGAAGTTAGCCTCATTCATGCCTCTCTCAAGGACTATCTCACTTCGGACCACATTACTAAAAGCAGTTCGGCTTCCTATAGCATGTGGCCTTATCATATTCACGCGACTATTGCATCTACTTGTATCCAATATCTGTTGAGATTCAATGGGCCAGAGAAATCCACCATTGAGGACAAGAAGAAGTTCCCCCTTCTTGAATACGCAGCGCGATATTGGCATGTGCACGCCAGACAAGTGACACAGAGCCCGGCAAATTCAGAGCTTCGGGAACGGATCTGCCCCCTTGCGCTTCGTTTATTCAACCCAGCGAGCGGCTCATGCTTTCACAACTGGCTTAGGATCTCCAGGCCCGATGTCAGCAGCTCGACCAAATCAGATGGAGAGGATCTCAGTTCCTTCTTTTACCACGACCACCAGGACGATTTCGGCAGCCCTCTGTACTACGCATCAGCTTGCGGCCTGGCCGATGTTGTCTCGAAACTTATTGCGCAAGGACACCCCGCTCGCACCCGTGCCGAAAGCGTGGCTGGGGCCCTATACCCCGGGCCCTTGGAAGTGGCCGTCGAGAAAGGCTTCGTGGACGTGGTTCTCTTGTTATTGCAAGCAGGCGCTAGGCCTGACACTTGGATTGAGGAAGGTGGAACCTGCTTGACCCGAGCCGCGCGAAACGGCGACGAAGCCGTTGTGCGCGTGCTGTTGGATCATGGAGCGGATTCCAATGCTTGGATGGATGACGGCTCGACAGCTTTGCATTGTGCCGCCAGAAGCGGCTCTATCTCTCTGGTGGAGCTCCTACTTGAGTACGGCGCTAACGTGAACGCAAAAACGAACGTGGGTACGACGCCGCTGCACGAAGCGGTCATTAACCGGAATGAGGCAACGGCGAAGATGCTACTAGAAAACGGAGCTAAGGTCGATGCCACGACCGACAAGAGCTTCAGAACCGACCGTGGCGGAGGTCTATTCGACCTCATGACCATTTTCATGGAGCAGAATTCGGAAGCAAGTCGCGAGATCCAGGATGCCACCAAAAAGACGGCTCTCTACATAGCCACCGATAACAACAGCCTACCGCTCGTTAAGCTTCTCCTTTCTCACAAAGCACACGTCGACGCCTGCACGGATTTGGGTGCTACACCGTTGTATGTGGCCACGTTTCGAGGCTACTCCGACATCGTCAACCTCCTCCTCGCCAGCGGTGCTGATGCTAGGAGGCGGACCTTGAGCGGAGCCACCATGCTTCATGCTGCGGCCGAGAGTCGAAAACCAGAACTTGTGGAGCTCTTCGTCCGGCGAGGCGTTGATGTGGATGCCCTTGATGACTGGAATGACACCGCACTGATCCGCGCGGTCAACAAGGACTATGTTCCCGTGGTGCAAAAGTTTGCCGAGCTCGGCGCGAACTTGCACAAGCCAAAGGAGTCAACCGGCGTGACTTTGCTACAATTTGCGGCGATGCGCGGATTCAACGGCATTGCTGCCTACCTCCTAGACCAAGGCGTAGACATGGAAGCGAGAAACGGACAGGGTGGAACGGCCTTGCACCAGGCAGCCAACCACGGCCACGTTGAGACTCTCAAATTGCTGCTCCAAAGAGGTGCGGATATCAACGCAGCCATGTCGGTGCGGAACCTTTCGACTCTCCACATGGCTGTCATGGGAGAAGAGAAAGCTATCATGGAGCAGCTGCTTACGTGGCCGAAGCCAGCGAACACGGAGGCTCGCGACGATCAGGGATTCACTCCCTTGCAGTATACTGTCCTTCAGGGAAATAAGGAATTATCGGAAATTCTACTCCGCCACGGCGCGAACCCGAACGTGCAGAGCGATGATGCTGTCACGCCGCTGCTAAGTGCTATACGAGAGCAGCGCGCCCTAGTTCCCCTTCTCATCCAGTACGGTGCCGATCCCACCTCCAAGCATGCATCCGGCGGGACGATGTTATCGCTCGCCGTATATCTCGACGACAGCGGGCTTTTAGAGCAGCTGATGCAGAACATAAAGTCGCTGGAGCCTCTGTTCGACGCGCTGTTAGAGAACGGCATGAACGGGAGAGCCATCAAACTCGACGACGCCAGCATGCTGACCTGGGCCATTGTCAACGGCAAGGAGGTTGTTATCTGGATGATGTTGCGGTACGGAACAGTAAAGGTCAACGACCCTCTACCGCCATTGACGTACCCCATGTTACCGGTCGCGACGCAGTGGGGCCATCACGGCATCGTCAAGCTGCTGCTGAGGATGGGAGCGGACGTGAATGGGTGCGACAAGGCAGGCCTGAAATCGATACACATCGCCGCCGCTAAGGGTCATGCCGACATTGCGAAGACGTTGGTCGAGAGCGGGTGCGATATAGATGATGTTGGGGACGGGAGAGGGACGCCGCTGTGGTTCGCTCTCTCCAACCGACATGATGCTATTGTTCGGTTATTGTGTCAGCATGGCGCTGATCTGGCGGCTGAGGAGAAGAAGCTGAATATCACAGTTATGATTGGACCGAAGCAAATCTTTTATGGCATCCGGCAGTAGATGCACTCGAGGTTGGAGAGCCGGAATCGGCGGGGAGGAAATGGCAGAGATGATTGTGAGCTGTGTTACGCTTTGGTCTCTTGTACCCTGTTTTGTGTCACTGCTACTCACATTTGCGCTTAGGCACAAGGTTATTCTCTCTGCACATGAGAATATTCGGTTCTCGATATAATGTACTCGTATCCGCATAATCAAATCCGGCTATTGACTTGAAGATGAGGGCCACTCAAGGTTTGTCAAACCCGCACGTCCAATCCCAAAAAATGCCCGGACACTCGCACCTACTACAATGCGCACCATGTCTGCAATATCGGTGGCCACCTCCTTGTAGAAAACGCACCGAACTAGATGGACGTCCTTCCTGCGTTCCGGTACAATCCTCCCCTTTCTGACTCACTGTTAGCTTCAGTCGCTGAGCACGCCATCCATAGCCTCATCCTCGCTGCTATCCACCATCAGCACCTCTTGCGTGTCCAACAAAGGCTTCCCTGGAACGTTCTTTGTTATCTTAGCGCACTTCCATAACAGGCGTATTTGTGCCCAATGAGGAAGACGGTGCGTTTTCTGAACATACTGCAGTCGAAATACGCGAGATTGACGTTCCGCCCTGCCTAAGAGCTGCCTTCCTCTGTTCAATCTTCGCAGCCTTTCTCAGGATCTCCTCGGCCTTCTGCAGCTTTTCCTTCGCATCCACCTCCCCCTGCTTATCCGCTGTCCATCGCGCAATCATCAGCTTCGTCTGCATGTTACGGATAAAGTCAGACAATCGCAACTTATCCGCCAACTTGGCCATAGCCGCACGATCATAAAAATCTTCCTTCTGCCTGCTCACCTTCTCTATGTAGCACAGCTCCCCCTCTTCAGGAGCATGGTGGTGATACTCCTCGCAGAAGCGCGATTGCTCATCGCACCAGAGTGCAGAGCGGGAGCCCTGCTCTGAGAGCCTGGAGTGCAGAGCGGTCTTCATGGATTCATTCCATATTCTCTTTTTGAACTGTTTCTTCAAGTCAAGCGTGTCGCAGGCGATCATGACATCCAGCCAGAAATTCAACGCCGGCCAGTCATTATCTTCGGCGAGCTTATTGAAGAGCGTAGCGTCTGTGACGAAGTCGCCGGCTTTCAGTTGCGCCCAACAATAGTCCGTTAGCATGTCGCATACGTCGTCTGCGCCTAGATTGCGCGATAGATGGTATAACTCGGAAAGGGCTTTGTGTGTCCATTGGATCGGCGCTGTGATCACTTTGTCGGAGAGCTTCGTCTTCGTTTCGAGATCGTGCGTTGGTGGGAAGGCGCGAAGTTCGGGCGAGATGCATTGGATAAAGCGGCCCAAGGTCTTGCGTGACACCTCCTTTGGAACGACTATAGCATGCTCATTGGGGTCATTCTCAAGAATAGAGCGAAGAGCCCGCGAGTGTTCGTACGCTGCGGATTTGCTGAGAAGCGGCGGGTTGCTGTCGGAATTAGGCATTGAATTCTCGTCGCGGAAATACCATGCGATGACATGCTCCGCGCGACGATTAGCCCAGAAGAGCTCGATGTCTTCATTGGACACGCTGTAAGTACTCTCTGTTAGCGGCACTGCTCTAACTTCCCCAAAGTGTGAATTAGGAGCTTAAACTTACGGATTCTTTACATCCCGCGCACCCAAGATCCTCCGCTCCCCCGGTTTCCTCAGCCTATCCACAACCGGCACCGGCACGCCCTTCGCTTTGTAGTACTTCGGCCGGTGGTTGGTGTAGTTGTTGTGCAGGCCTTGTATGGAGATAGTCGATTTTCCGGGCATGAGGTAGCCCGATGCGATCCATAGCTGCTTGGCGACTTTGGTTTCTAGCCCGTACTCGTCGAGCCATTGTATGAGGCTTTGGTAGCGCTCAGAGACGCCGAGGTCGGGGTCGAAGGTGCAGGGGTAGTCGGACGGGTTGGGGGGGACGGGGTCGGGAGAGGTAGCTTTGCGCCTTGGCATGGTGCGGTTGTGCGGTGGGGAGGTGGCGCGCGAGGTGCGTTGTTTGCGGGACTGGTAGAGCTTTGTGCAGGGAGTGCGGATGGTGTTTGCTTTCGATGGGGAGTGCTTGGAAGAGGGTTGGGGGTTCAGGAAGGTGCGACGAGGAGGAACTATTGTGTCAGTTGGGGCTTGTTGGTCTCGCGTTGCAAGAATTTTCCGAGCTTTCACTCTTGGGATCCCAGGGATGTGTGCTTTAGTTGAAGAATTCAACGGCATCATCAGTGAGTGTTTCTCTCGCTGGGGCGGCGTTGCTCCACAAGAGCCGTGAGATGACTGACCCGGACGTTTTGAGAGACTTGGCGAAATTGGTTTTATTGACGATTCCAACTAGATCTGAACAGGCGTACACGTAAGGGTCAAGACTCTTCCCACTAATGCTCCTGAATAACCTCGGCTATATCTAGAAGATAGTAGCCTTGATGCCCGTAGAGATACGTGCGCATTCGTAACCCTACTACATTTGGTAAGACAATTCCACGCCCCTGCCTTACTCCTCAAGCAGCTCCGCCACTTCTCCCGCTAAGTCTTCCATTGTCACATCATCTTCGGTCTCCCTATTATCCGAATCCAACCTTGCGGACACCGTGAACGGAACCTCACTTGAGGTATCGCTATTCCGAATATCCCGGCGGCGGAGAACTGGGGTGTGCCTGCTACGCCTATCGCGTAGAAGCATCTGCTTCAACACCACAACATACTCCTCGTTGAGCTCCGGGTCAGGGATGGCAGTGCGATACCACTCTTCATTCGGATCATGCACGTGATATTCGTGACAGAAGTCATCCTCGTCCATGAAGTCGGTTGCGGCGTGGGTCGGGTGGCCCATCTTACGTTAGAGCTCCTTGTACAAGTCGCACTCGTATTTGAATGTGTTCTCCAGCATACGAAACCCCTCATCACGCTTCCACGTGAGTAAGTCAAGCCAGAAGGTTCGGAAAGCTTCGTGTTTTGACAACTTCTTCCACGCACGCACCATGCTGTCAGGTGAGATGACGAGAACGCCCGGTTCTGATGGCGGGCTGTTGAGGGTGTCGAGGGCAGGAATTGCTTCTCCGTGGTTGCCTTTGGGATGGACTGCCACAATGTGCAACCCGCTGCGGTATACTTGAGCACGCCACTGATCAAGTACTATGTCCCAGATGTGGTGTAGTCCAAGCTTGAAGGCAACATCGAGGACGTCAACCAGGTCGTTGAAGGACCACTGAAGCAGGGTGATGACGACTTGGTCATTCCCATCCTCCAGCCCCACATCGCTGATCGGGAGGGAACGAAGAGGAGTCGGTGAGATGCAGAGTAGGTACCTACAAATAGCGGTCCTAGAAACTTCGGTAAGCTTTAACGACATGCAGCTGAGCCTGGGTCGCAGCAGCCACTTGGAGATCGTCACAGAGTACGGAAGGATGTCGGTAATGGGAATGTAGACTGATGCTTTCTCCCCTCGGTTGGTGCCAATTACGCGTATCCGAAGATACACCTTTGCGGTCTCGATCTCATCCTCCATGGGTCCATCATCCAATAGCCCTTCCATCCTCTCATCTTGTTTACCGTTTGATGCAGTTGGAAGGGGCGAGGTCGATCCATAAGGTTTTATAGATCCAGCGTTCTTCAGCCGGTAGTACTCATTAATGTCTTCGGGGTACCCATCGTGCTCAGTGACGTATGCATCGCGGCCCTTGTTGTATAGTTTTTGCACATACCACTTATTCCGCGTGATCCCAAATTGCTCGAACCAGCGCGGGTATACTCCTGACCAGGGGAGTGTGCCAGCCGCGGCAAGGTTATCGACGTTGTCTCGAATCCGCACGATGTATTTCGTCATCTCTGCACGAACAGCTAGCTTGACCTTTTCGTTACGCTGCTTCGAGACGTCCGGCTGCGTCTTGGGCGAAGCCATGGTGGGGGGAGTGTCGTGCAGGACATCGGAGTTATCGTCATTTGTGGAAGGCTCGTAGTAGTCGCTGCTATCGGACTTAGGCTCGAAGGCCTCCCGCATAACATCGCGATAATGGCTAAGATCAGTTGTCGAGGACACCTCGCTCGCATCGGCGTGGTCATTACCCTACTCGAGAGTGGTCTCGATGGCGGGCGTGCGCGGTGCCGCCATATTCCGTGTTGTATCAAGAGAGTGTTGAGGAGCTTGCATATTACGGAAGGATGGGGAAGCGAACGAGTACTCGACGGTGCACCCGAAGTGCTTCTTTCTTTGAGGCGCGCTCAGAAACGGTATTGGGTAGTGAGAAGAGGGCGGCAGTGGACGGAAGAACGGGGAATTGTTCGTGCTTTTGACTTATGCAATTGAGCCGGGATGCTGCCGTCGACAGCCGGGTGAGGGAAAACTTAGCGGGGAAACCCGTGTCAAGCTATAGGAGCAGGAATAGGGAAGTAAATCCCTTTTCCAACATTGTATAGTTTAGTGGATCATTTGATTTCGGCGCTGAGAAGGGATGCCGTGACGTCTGGTATCGCAGAATCCGTCGATGGTCGATGGAGTTGAGTTCACCAGATATGTCAAGCGTCGATTGCCTCGAGAACCCCAATCAGCTTGCATAAGCACAGCACGCGCGTAGCACATCCGGAAAGTTCCATACACTCTCCCAAGCAAGCTGATGGGTTGTCGTGAGCAAACATTGTTGTCTGTCCAAACTGTCGTGCCGTGCTGTACACCGCGTGATGTGATTTACTGACAGTGATTTTCGCGACGAGCCAGTCTTCCACTAGTTTCTATTTGCATTCATCAGATGCCGTTGAAAAAACTCACACATTGAGTTTCAATAGGCAAGGATTGTCTGCCTCTTGCTCGCTTGCTTTGGAGGCTTCCTCCCGTGCCCAGCAAGCCGAAGAAGCCCGACGGTTTCACTGCTCTAACTCCTCAGGTTGCTTCCCCTACAAATCTGCACGGTCTCTGCGCCCTTCTGCCAAGGCCGCGCATGTACCGCCCATTCCGCGTCGGGGTCGACACGCGCTCTCACCCTGCGTCTCATCCGGCGGGCTGTGCGGTCTTTCCACATATACCGTCCACACCGACGACAATCCCCAGCCTTCCCACGATGGAGCCAAAGCCAAGCTCTCCCCCGCGGGACAAAGCGCGGGAGCGGAATGGCAGGCCAAGGTACGTATCCTGCGGAACGCTTCCTCCTGTTCCCGTAACTGAGAAATGTCCGATGTAGTGTATTGTCAGAGGAGGTGTCGCCTTTCGGTGGCCTCGTAGTGCTGAAGTTCCACAAGGCGGAGTCCAGTCGCCAACTCGTACAAATGCGGAGCGCAGCCAGGTAGGTGACCTTGCAACCTGCGCATGTATGTCAACTAAGATGCATCCAAGCTCTACTGCGATGCAGACGCCTCCTAGGATGGCCGCCGTTGAGAAAACACCGGGAGGCAAGCCAACTCAGGCGCATCCACCACAAACCTGGCCCCGCGTGGTGCCAGCTGCACACCCGCTCTCGAACTCAGCTTCGCAGTACTCTGGCTCTCCCGCTCCTACGACTCAGGCACCCAGTAATAGACCCGCATCTGGGTTGCCCGTTCGCCCTTTGAAACGACAGCAGGTCTACAATCCTTTACAGGCTGCCAAGCATGCCGCTGATCGTGTTGCCAATCAACAGGCTAATCTGAAGAGCAAATATAGCTTGTATGACAAAGAGGTGCCGGTGATGCCGAGAAAAAAGGTGCGCAGTGAAGATATGGAAATCTCCTCAAAGTAAGTGCACCCCATGCCATTTTCCTCACATAGCTGAAATCCGGAGATACGGTACGAAGACAATCGATATCGAAGCTGGAGAGGATCCTACGGAGAAGTTTACTGTCCATGATAAGCTCTTCTCCGCATCATCCGAATTCTGCCACACGATGCTCGACAAGGACTGGAAAGAGCGAGAGGAAAACCGCATCAAGCTCCCAGATATCGAACCGGATGATTTCCGCATGTACGTGCGCTGGTTGTACACTAACGAGTGCATCTATTGACCGGAGCTGGAAAAGCTGAAGCGGGACGAGAGCGGAAGGGAAGGGCTGGACACTAGCAAGTGGACCGAATGGCTCGCTATATCCTCATTCTTGCAGGATGTCGACTTCCAAGATGCAGTCATTGATGCCATACTCGAACAGCTCATCCCGATGCGCAGCCTATCCGTCAATTCGGTGGTCAAACACCTAGTGGAGCCCATCCACATGTACGCTTCAGACAAGTCTGCTGCGCGCAAGCTTCCTGTAGATGCTATTGTCTCCAAGCGGAAGTCCAGCGATTACGAGGAGCTGCACGAACTTGATCCTCCGCCGCCGGAGCATTTCTTTCGTCTACTGCTAGGTGCCATAGTGCCCTGGATGGACCAGGGAACTTCGTCAATCAGCCGGAGTTGATGCCGGAGAGGAGCTGCAAGTATCATGAGCATGACGCACGAGGGCAACAGTGCTACAAGGTGCGGCGAGCGATGTGAGCGAAGGCGACGTGTACTTATGGTAGAACGTAGTTTGCGTGATGTAGAGGTGGTCGGGATAGATAGGTGTCGATATGATTCCAAAGTTTGGTGGTGCACGGCAGTTATGACGTCATCGACAAAAGAAAGAACTACTCTACCACGGCACGTTCTTTGAAATCCACCCGAAGACATCACGACATAGCATCACTCAAAAAAGCTAATCCTCTGTTACAACAAATCCATTCCGTTAAGCAATCCAAACATCTATTTCTATCATTCATGACTTGTCGCGAAAACGGACATCATCACATATGTACGGTTTCTACGTGCCATTACTTTAGTCGGATCCGGCTTTGAGGCACTCATACTGGGCCTTTAACTTTGAAGCAAAGTCATCCACTGTCGCGAGTAGCTCATCCGGCATGTTGCCCTGCGCGATCAGGAGGCGACGCGAAATAGCCTGGAAGTCGGACACCGCTTCCTCGATACTCTCATTCCGATGGCAGCCATGGTTTCCAACATGACGATGAAAACCGCGACAGAATGCGTCGTCATCCCACCTAACAAACGGATTCCCAAGGGAACCATTCTCGTTGAGAAAGTTCAGCTTCGCTACGAGCCGGTCATTCCAACCAGTACCGGAGCAAATTTCTTCAGCAAGGCCGAGAGAGTGAATGGAAACCGCCCAGAAAGATTGCGCCGGATCACCAGCTTCCGTGGTCGCAAAGAGGTTGTTCAGGTGAGAGGGATCGATCTTAAGCTCACCGCCACTCAGAAACTCTGAGCGCCAGCGATCCATGACCAAATTTCGTACAATGTCGTCTTTTAGTAGGGTAGCGACGCTGTAGAGGTCGATAAGGCCGTCTATGTCCCAGCTGATCCGGAAGCATGCTGGGCGATGCTCGATCCTTCCACCCATCTTGCGAAATTGGGCAAGTGCAAAGTCGAATTCGGGAAGGGCCAGCGTGCCCTCGGAAGAGACGCACTGAACGTACCGCTCTATAGCAAGCCTAGGCAGACCCCGGATGGTGACCCGCTGCACACGTGTGTGCTCGCGCTCTTTTGCATACCAGTCGGAGGTCTTCAGGAGGTCATTACTACGAACGAGGACATTACCCAGCTGGCGTCTATGTCCGTCTTCGACTAAGATGTGTAGCCACTCCGGATGCTCGGCATCGCGATCGTTCCACTGGTCTTCCACGTACCTAATGAGATCGGCAGCTTCGCGAAGTTCTTCCGGGGGCTGGTACACCTTCCGACGAGGCTTCTTCGGCGGCTGCTTCTTGACTTCACGGACTTCGCGTGCATTGTTGGCGTCCGGCTGAGGTTGCCGCGCGGCAGCTATGTCCTTAGGTGCCCTCTTAGCGGCCGGATCTTTCTTCGCATACTTAATGTTACGCGGATAGGACGGATGCACCTCGCAGTACTTATCGATCCTCGTCCGATACCGCTTCTCCATTGCAGCAGCCCCAACTTTCAAACCAAAGCGCTCATTGTAGAGCTTGGCGACCTCTGGGTAATGCAATTTGCCCGTTGTAGTCGAGTTTGTGCCGTACGGATCAGGCATGTTATTATCGCGAGCGTGGATGACGAACTCCAGTTGCTCCGCAATCAGCTTTTCCCGCGCGGCTTTCGCATCCAATTTGGCATTCGTTGAGCCCTTCTTAGAGCGACCACGCTTTGGCGCGGGAGCAAGGTCTAGCTCATCGTGGACAGCTTCCTGTGTTTCGCCATCGGATTCCACCTCGGAGTCATCGTCGGGACGGTATTCGTTCTCGCTATCATCAGCGGGATCGTTCCAAAACAAATCTGTGGGATCAACATATTCTCCATCGGGTGACTGGGCCGTATTGATCGTTCCATCCACCTCGGAGGTTTCGGTATCCTGTCCGCGAACCATCTTCAACTTCTTCGAGCCCGGTTTAGGGACGTCAGAAGCCGCACCGTCGACCGCCTGAGAAACTGCTTTGCGCTTGGTGGGACCCATGGTGAATGGATGTGCGTTTGGGGTTGCGATGAGAAGATCCGCTGCTGGAAAGATTTTGTGCTATAAGTACAGTCCGGGCTGAACTGTCTCGTCCTCCACGTGACTGCACAACGGGGACTCTGGTGCTAAGTTAACTACGGCACACTCTCGAATACGTCACTACGACCTAGAATGCTCCTGCTCCATAGGCTATAGGTGAAGGTTGAGAAGGCATTCGCTGTGAAACAACAACGCATTGTCGGGGAATAACGCCTGTGGGTATGAATATAATCTAGGACTTCGGGGAGGAGCGTATTGTAAAGGTGAAAAAATTATAGATTATAGGGACATGATGAAATACATTAAGAAAGGTTGGTAAAGTATACCCAGACGTTGCGGAATCGCATCGACGCATTATCCTCCGTACATGATTGTTATGGCTTCACATGCGCCTCTCCCCAAATGAGGCGGCTCGGAGTCAATGAAATCACAAAATCGACCTGAATCATGCCCCTGTGGCACTAAGCAGTGGACCTATCTTGATGGCTACCGTCTAGTGAGGATCCCAAACTTCATCTTCACCAACTGCCAAACATCCGGCCGCCTACGCAGCGTCGCTAGAAACCGCGACACATCCCCAGCAATAGCTTCCAGCGAGCCATGCATGCGCACGGCCGATCGCCCCAACAGGTTAATTTGGTCTCGCACCTCGTCACTTTCAATGCCCTCCGAATCGATGGCTTGTCGTAGGAAATAGAAAGCTTCACACTCCTTCGCCGCGGAATCGATACTCGCCCGCAGAGCGTCGGGAATCCACTGAACTTTCGGCTGTTCGGTGTTCAGCAGACCCTGAAAGATGTGTTGGTAAATTGAAATAATGGAGTGCGCGCTCTCGTAGAACTTCCGCAGCGGTGTGACTTCGGACACGGTCGCGATGCGAAGACGTTCAGCGACGCGGAGGCGCCCACTGGTATTGTTCAGCGCGGCGGCGACTTCGGAAGTCTCACCGTCTAGCTTTTCGATCAGTCCATCGTAAGTCTGCTCAAACTGATCTTTCTCCTCCTCAACCTGCTTATACCGGTCCTCCGTCTCCTGGACGAACTTCTCCATCTCCATCAGCTTGACTTCCTTGTCTTCCAGCGCCTTGAGGTCCTTTTCGCGAATGGAGTCATAGATGTCATGCGCCCCGTGGTTCTCGTTGATGAGCTTCACGATAACGGCTTTATGATCGTAGCACTCTGCCTCTAGGCGTTCGATCTTCTGCTGCGCTTCATCAGCAGTGGCTTGCTTCTTCAGCGCCTCTTGCCACTTGGCCTGGTAGTTCAACGCGCGCTGCTCCGCGTACTCCATGAGGTCTTTGTAGAATTTGATCTGGTGCTGCGCCTGCTGAAGGTCGATGAGGCGCTGCTTGTGGTCATCTGGTAGGTCTTCCACGGCTTGCTTCGCCTGCTTCAACTCCTTTTCTAAGTCCTCATTGCGATCCACCAGCGCCATCTCCCGCTCTTCAACTTCCTTGATGTACTCCCTCGCAGTCTTCAGCTCCTTGAGGTCCCCGAAGTGGGCCTGCACTTCTGGTGGAATGACGTCCTGGGGCTTGATATACTGTGCCTTCGCCTCCGTGAAGATGGCGGTAAGACGCTTCTGGAGGTCGCCGAGTGTGGACATGATTGCGCGCAACGGAGAGGTGCAGTATGGACAGATGGGCTCGCTCTGATCTGGGCAGGAAATGTGGACAAGGCATTATTGAGTATATAAGACACGGGAAGTGTTTGTATCATTGTTCACAAACATTGTGGAAGATATACAAGGGAATAACATATGAGGCTTCACAATACCTCGGAATTGGCCTGGATCATAACTGGCAATTAACTAACAAAACTGTAGTAGGCGTTCGATATACTACGCGGTCGGCTTCTCTCCTCCATATGCACGATGAAACGGCATATACCGGTGCGAAAGTGGGTAAATCCCTACGTAGAGGCATCCACTGCAGGCTGGATACCAAAGCAATCAGGGTTACGGAACAGACGCAGATCCTTGGACAAAGAGGGATCAGGAACGAGTAGACGAAGCCGAGTGCTGGGGGTAGACTATAGGTACGATGGACGCAGTAGGTGGTACACGAGGCATACGCCTCTGCGAGCTTAGAAACAAAGCGTTGACATTAGGACTTAGCTAGATAAGCTGACAGGCAAGGATAGATGATGGTAGTGGCGTGGCGTGGCGTGGCGTGGCGTGCAGCGGAGCGGGACGACTAGTGACCGAGCCGTGTCCGCTGTCTGCCACGTCAGCCGAGCCAGGCATACCTAGGTAGCTGCGAAATCTCGGCTAAAACCGAAAGGAATCAATCACCTCACGACCACCCCACCACAGCCACGACAAAGCGTCTTACCAGGAATACGTACTAGGCCCCATCCAGTTTCATCTCAACCTTCGGACAACGTGGCGGCGTTCATCCAGGTATAGCTGTGCCACCATAGAATGATCTACCTAGGTAGTCTATCTTGTCGCTCCCCCGCCTTCACTTCTGACATTATTCAAGGCTGATCTCACGAAAATGAAGAAGGTGTTCGCATACTTCCAATCCACACCCTCACAGCCCAGCGCTGGAAGTGCTCGACTTACGTCTTCTCCCCGCGATGTCTATGTATGTGGCCCAAACCGTGTCTACAACTCCAGCAAAGACGTCACTCGCCGCATCAGCTTCGACACTCCAACCATTATGTTGTACGGCTACCCGTCTCGTGGCGGCGTCATCGTGCTAGAGGATGCGTCGCCTACGGACCTGGATTTCTTGGCTCTGGACCGCATGAATCCGCCCATGTTGAGGCATGAAGATCCAAAGGAGGAGGATACGTTTTGCCAGAGGCTGCTGTTGCTAGGCGCAAAGTGGTGGGACTCGATGGCGCGATACTGGCTGTTGAAGGGCGAGGATGTGAATATTCCTGATTTGGATGATAGCGATGAGCCCGAGCCGACGAAGCGGGAACGGCACTGGGTTAGCGTAGCGTGGCCTAGTGCGGGGGGGCTCGTAGTCTCCGAGTTCGATACGAACATGTGGGGCGTCGAGGTTGAGGTCGAGCTCGTTCCCGAAGATGTGGCGAGGTTGCGGCTGTGCACGAGCATGGATGAGAAGGCGCAGATGCTTAAGGATAGATTTCGAGGGAAGGCGTGGGAGAATGTAGACGATTATCGAGGCAATGCGTTTATTGGCTGTTGGGGGCGGAAGGAAATTGGCGAGGTGGGAGAGTTTCAGAAGACATGGCCGGAGATTTGAAGGGCTCAGGTCTGTGGGAGAAAGATGCAACTGGTGCGAGAAAGGGAAAGCGTGCATGACCAAGGTGAATCCCGTGGGAGTTATGTGTCTCACACAGGATAATGTATTCCACAAGCGAGTGGCCCACATATAGCAAGGCAGAGCAACCATCCAACCGCCACCACGATGAATCAACCAACCAAACTTGATCAGTCCGTACTGAAAGCAGGAAATCTATAAATATATCAGCAATCAATCAAGAAATCGCAAATACAGAGCGTGCGACGCGGCGCTGCAATCCTTAAACTCTTTTGGACCGGACCGACACGCCGGCAAGGTTACACGACGCAATTGCGAGGCCAGTTTGGGTGCTAGAGTCCTATCTCGGGCCCAAGCTACCGACGGGAGATTTATCGTATCTCGTGATCGTGCCCGAAAATAAGCCATATTTCTGATGAACAACTTCAAGCATGCCAAATTCGTTCATTCGCATCTCGTCCTCAATCCGGGCGAAAGCCATCATATGCTAAAGTTCATCTATAGAGCGAGTGTCAGGTTCTTGAAAACCCTGCTGTCTCAAATCATCAATCCCTCGATCCGTATGCAGACGTTGTGGCTTCGAAGCACTGATGTGTAAGTTGGGATGTGGCAAGGACGTTTCAAGTGAGAAATGGCACAGCAGATTCTCCGAGTACGCTGCGCACTTCACCGTTCGATTCCACCCACCACTCCTGCCTCTCCCCTAAAAAAGGTATTCGGCTTCGTTTCATTGGATAGTAATAGAGACGTTGCGACGTTCCGGGGTTGAGGAGTAAAGGAGGAAGTGGCACGTACGTTTCAATGGGAGGCGACACAGCACGAAATATGTCCCCTGCGCACCGCGCACTGCACCGTTTCTTGCCACCTACAACATCTGTGTTGCTAAGGCTTGTTCCTGCAGAACCTCCCCATCTCCCAATTCTGCGAATGCGAGTGACGCGAATTTACTCCTCTCAATATTCAGCAAACGCTAGTCTACATGTACAAGCCGCTGTTGGATTGAGGGTGCCTCAAAGAAGTCTGCCGCATAGTAGAGCTTCCGGTTCCTTCAGGTCCTTCAGACTGAGCAGAATTGTTGTCGACGCTTCTCTTGTGACATAGCTCTGTAGAATGACAACGTGTCATTGGGTATTCTCATGGGTATAAGCCTGCCTCCCGCTCCAGGCAGTGAATGCGTAAACCTTAGAAAGCACCTACGCAACTATCCGTGGAAATCGTTCTCGTAGTCGGGGGCTCGGGATATCATCACCACGGCTTTTCATTCCTGTATATCTGTACTTCCCCTTGTCTCATCCCTTCTCCAGCGTCGAGTCGCAGCAGATACTGTAAACTACAATGTCACCGGTTACGATGTTGCTCCCGACTGGTCAAATGACCCCTTTCCACCGTACCCTGCCATCACAGACGACCGTGGGAACACGATTGATGCCCAGAACCTCCGAGGCACACGGCTGTTTGGATGGGACGGCTGCGACAAACCTGCGGCTGATATCATCAAAGCTACATACGACGATTTCTACAAACCATCCCATGTAGACGGACTATGACAAAATTTTGATTGGGACGGGCAAGCTGCTAAGGAAATGTGGGGCGCTCCGTCAAAGATTCCTAGAGAGCGAAGGGAGGAGATACGACGTAAGGTTCCGTTCTCCGGTCTCTCCCATCATGCAACAATTTTCAGAGTTACTAACTTGGCGAACTAGAAATCTACGATGCGGCTAAAGAGATCAGGTATAGTAACTGGCAGAGGCCGCCATGGAGCCCACCGTGGCCTGGTCGGGATCTCTGGATCAAAGTGACCTGCAGCGGAGGTGACAATACGGGCGATCCAAATGACAGGTGTGGCGACAAGCCGAATCAGCCTCCGAATCCTAAATGTCCTGTAAGAACATTCTCCCAGGAACAATATATGTCCCGTCGCACTGATGTTCAACTACCGTAGCCGCCCGAAAAGGTAAAGAACCGATGCCCGGCGAGAAGAAGAACGTGGAAGCGTATTCCGCACCCGCGGAAAGCTGGAGCCGTATAACCTTCTGCGAGAGGTTCTTCAATCATTTGCAACCCCTGGGCGACGTCACCAATAATATCAAGAAACAGCGACCAGAGGTCCAGGACCACCTAGACCAGTGGAACAATAGGGCGAGGACCTTCTTTCACGAGATCACTCATTTGAATTATTTTATGAACGCTCCTAAAAAAAGTCCCTTCATTGATGACGCTCGCATCACTTACAAGTCCGGGAGTTCTCCCGCGGAAGAGGGCGCATACGGTCCCTACAATGTCAAAGTCCTACGAAATTTCCGAGGAGATGCCTAGTATGCTGGGCAAAACGCTGATACGTTTGCATGGTACGCCATGGCGATATGGGCCAAAAGGAGATAGGAAGATATCCTCCTCTCCCGGCAGCAGGTAGCAAAAAGCCGACAAAAGCACTCCGTCGTGGCGACGGCAGCTCCTTCAATATACCGCCTAACGATGCCCTTGAAGACTTGGGGTCAGAGGAGAAAGATAACGAGCCTGTTGAGGGTTTCACAATCCCGGGCTGCGGCGACAAGGAGGTAGCCGGGTCGTGTAAGTAGTCGAGTAGCCTTGTTGTTACGAGCTACTGAGCGTAAGCCCACCGCTAGCTTGGCTGAGAGACACCCTCCATTTGCATTGTTGTCTTTTGGTACGATAAGCAGAGGGAGTGATTTAAAAATATGTCAAAATAATTTAAAATATTTGAGAGCCTAAGAGAGTTAGGTACATTGAGGACAAACAAGCACCCGTCATCGAAGTAAACTGTGTCAATGACGTCAGCAAGGTACCGAATACTGTTTTCAGCTCTGAGTCAAACAAGGTAAATAGAGACTTCTGCGGCGCAACCGTCAGTAACCACCAAACCCTCCAATGGACCGCTGATATCTACGGCAACCTGGAAAACTCCGCACCACATCGACGCATGCTGCTAAAGCGCCTATCAAGTCTCCTCGCACCCAGGGACGATGATCCCGAGCAATTTAAAGACTTCAAGTTCAAACTCGACTGGGCGCCCAATGAGCCCTACAATCCCGACGACTGCTACCTTGACTACGAAACCGCCTTCACCGTGCTCGCCAAAACCCCCGAGTGTGGCCAGAAAGGCGACGGCAAGGACCTCATGTCCGAGTCCGGCCAGATCAAGGCTGGCTGCGGTAACTTCGGATATACGATTGAGGCTAAAGACGAAACACCACCGCCGCCAACTACCACGCCTCAACTAGAACCGCCCAAGAAGACGAAAGGGCTGTCTGTCATCTTCCAGAATTATGTAGACGAAGCCAGCAATGTGAACTCGTGGCTGTTCTTCCGTTCCAGGATTTCCGACTCTGAAGGAAATGGTATATGATTCGACGTGCGCGAGAGCCAGGTGAAAAAGTAATGTAGCGAGATTAAACCAGGAGTGTGGTTGATGTGACTTTCAAGAGAGACGTGGACAGGTTTGATTCGAAGCAACGCATATCTCCGGAAAATCGAAAAGAAGGTCTAAGGACTGTTTAGTCAGAGTGAGAATGCTATACGATACTTTCCTGTCGTACCCCATACGGTTCCCGCGAGAAATCACCAGAAACACCGCATTAAGCGTCCAGAAAAAGGCCCACATTGAGTGATCGAGTCGATTGGGTTGCGCACGTACCTCATACAGGGTTTGCTTGTTTCACCGAGCTTGGCGTTTCTTTTCCCCTAGAAGTTTCGCTGTTCTTTCCAATAACTGGTTCTGCAAGCAAATATTTGTTTATTGGCTCGAGGCCCGCAAAACTGGGTACTTTTCTGTAAGACCAATCGGGTCTCATGATTTATCCGGCATCGTCTTTTCCGGGCTTCAGCTAGCCCACCTTCGATACCCGTCGCTTGCGAATCGGAACATTCCGGTTCGGTATCAGCTCTTGGAAACAACTATGGACCGTTGAGTGATTTATTCATGTTTCTCTGTAGATTGACTGGGTACGACTTCTGCGTTTGGCTTCGTCCGACCCGGCAGAGATCCTTGCCAAGACATTTCCGACCGGAGTGTGTCCGTCCTATCGCATCTGAAAGTCTTATTCTAGCTCTGTCTCAATAGCCTTCACGGTAAATATTATATTTACAATACTCTGGATTCCGAAAACCACAGCGGTTAGCCAGAAAGTTAATGCCCCATTCCATGCCAGCGGTCCTCGTTTAACACAGTGCATCGCTATGCCAGACCCTAATAGGATGGGCGATGAGAGATTGACCCATGCGACAAGCCGAGGAAACAACGGCTTCGATCTCTTATCAAGAAGTACCGCGAATGCGAATGCCCAATTTTGCACAATAAACGGGGCAAAGGGCATAAATGTCATCATCCAGCTCAGGTCGTTCAGTGCTTGAGTGATCTCTGGCGGTCGCTCCAACCGATATGCTGTCGTTGCGAAGAAGATGGCGGGTACGGAGAAAGTGATGCAGGCCCAGGCTCCGGAAACTTCTTGTGCCGAGATGAGGGTGTGGCCTACGCCAGGTATGCGCTTCATTTGTTGCGATATCGCCGCGGTGAATGAACCGTAGAAAGCACCAGAGAGAACGAAGAATGACGCTCCAACTTTGTAGCCCACGTTATGTTCTTGGTAATGTTGTACGACTTGCTCGGCAGTGAGGGTTGGCGCGGCCGGTGGGAAATTCCCTGAGGCAATGAAGAAAATAAAGGAGAATGAGGTGTAAAGAAGACCGCTGTAAGCGCATGCGCGATCAATAATCTTGTTGGACAGCTGAAGCTTGCGAGACGGGGACGTAGAAGCTGCGCGAAATGCATCGGTGTCATTAGTGGGTGAACGATCACTAGAATGGCTGATGACAGTGCGCTTTCTCTCCAGGTTGAACCGCATCTTGTGAAATGATGATGAGAACTGATAAGCAAAATCGAGCAGACATCAACCGACTTATAACCTACGGAAAGCTGATTGGCATTACAAGTGGTCCAGTCTCAGGGCCTCATCATTGCGTGTCAGGCTATTAGAGGCAGCTAATTCATCTCATTATACAGGGTACCTCTTGTAAGCGTACTCAGCTCTTACCAGGCCATCCCAGTATGACACGGCAATGAAGCAATTCCGCTGAGTTGAGTCCCGGGCGTTTAAACCATCTTCAATGTGCCGGAAATCGTACGTGAGAAGTGGAGACTGGAAGATGAAACTTCAATTTCATACGAAAGAGAAACATTCTAGAGGTTGCCGAGCTAGAATTAAAGAGAATTCCAAGCTTTTCCAGCGGAATTGAACCTTCCGAATGCACCAGCATGTGAAGTGGGGTCGCATTCATGCGATGTAACACCGCAATTCCTTTTCGGGTAACTAGCCTCAAAAAGACGGAGAAACTACCGAAGATCCGCCCCAAACGTTGGTATGTGCTAGATGATCTTTCGTCTGAGGCGCCTCAGTGTAAAAGGGAAAGCCGTCAAATTTGGACTTAAAACCAAGACGTCGACCAGCCCTCTGTATGGGAAAATTCCGCCAAAACTATTCACAATGTATTTACAGACTTGCGCTGCCCTCTCAGTGGCAGAGCTCTCTGCTCTCAAGCTCATGCATGGAGTCTCATCTACATGCGATATTGTTTACTCCTTTCTCGTCTTATTCTGCCTTCAGTATCTTTCGATCAACCTGTACTACACCTGCATCTACCCATTCTTCGTCTCTCCCTTGCGCAAGATACCAGGACCAAAAGACCACCACCCTCTTATTGGTCAAACCCTCAACCAATTCCGCGCAAACGGACCCTATGAGTTGTATCTCTCATGGAGTCGCAAGTGGCCAGCCGCGCCATTCATCCGGTACATATCCTTCGGAAATACTGAGACACTTTTGGTAAATAGCTTGAGAGCACATCAAGAAGTGTTGTCGACGAAATGCTACTCGTTCGTAAAGCCGCCCTTCTTCGCAAGGATCGTGGGTGAGGTGACAGGAATGGGCCTGGTGTTTGCAGAGGGTGAAGAACACAGGATACAAAGAAAATTGTTGAACGGTATGATATTCGGATTGAACGATGAATATGCGCTGGGCTCTTGACTAATTTCCCCCAGGTATATTTTCAACGTCTAACGTTAAGAAACTTTTGCCGGTCGTACAGTTGCATGGTAGATGCCTCACAAAGACTATTGACCAGCGTATCGGCTGTGACGTGTCTGCGGTGGTTGAGGGTAAGCGATCAGCTGCATGAAGTAATGTGAGTCCTTGCTAAGTAGATATAGTTGTATCTTTGTTCTCGAAAGCAACCCTCGATATCATTGGCCTCATCACCTTGGGCAAAGAGCTCGACAGCCTTAACGCGAAGCCATCATTCCACGAATGCTACGATCTCATCTTCAACCAATCGCCACTTAGCTCCGGTCTCACCGCAGTCAACACGTATATTCCCCTGCGAAGTTGGCTTCCACTCGAAGCGAATAGATCTTTCGTCGCGGCGAATAATGAGGTCAAACGCATCTTACGACAGCAGATCCGATTACGGCAAATCGAAACGGCCACTAGTAAAAGTGCAACAAAGAATCCCTCTCTGCCAATCAGCCGCGATATCCTTACGTACTTGCTTGAAGCGCCACCTTCCCCCCAGCAGCAATGGACTGAAGATGAGCTACTTGGATATGTATGTATTCACTCTAATTCTTCTTATTCGGTTAGATGCTGATTGTTCTCAGCTCCTGAATTTCATGTCCGCAGGTATCACCCACGTTGTTAGTCTCTACACAAGAACGCAGCTAATAACTATTAGGTCATGAAACGTCAGCCACCACACTTACCTGGGCTATTCATGTCCTATCTACCCGTCCCGATATTCAAACAAAGCTTCGGAATGAAATCATGACCCTACCAAGACACGGTGACCCCGATTACACTCAAATTGAAGGGCTTCGCTATCTCAACAACTTCTGCCGCGAAGTTCTACGCGTATATGCTCCCGGTACCAGTCCTTACTCCTCTCTTTTGGCGTTATAATAACACAGTGTCCATAGCCGTCATGATCTGGCGTCAAGCAGCGCACTCCGTGGTAATTGAAAATACATATATTCCCGCGGGTACCAACGTCATTATCTCGCCCCAAGTACCCCAGTTCCACCCACATATTTGGGGCTCTTCCGCCGCAAATTTCGAACCAGACCGTTGGGACTCGCTCTCGTCCGAATCGGCTTCCCCTTATGCTTTCCAGGCCTTTAGTAGCGGGCCCCGAGTGTGTATCGGAAAAGGGCTGGCGATGCTAGAGTTCAAGGCAATTCTAGTGGAGATTGTTAGGAAATATGAATTTGAGGCAGTGGAAGGAACGCTGGTGCTGGAGAACTATTTGACATTGAGACCGAGAGGCGGCTTGAGGGTGAAGTTTAAAGTCGCCGGAGAAGGAAAGATGAAGCGTAAAGGCTAGCGAGGATGGACTGGATGTTGAAATGGGACGAGTCAAGATGGGTAGGAATGGGAAGACTTCGGTTTGGTTGACTTAATTCCGCACCGTAGGGTAAATCAATCGCCTTAGGTTTCTATTAGAGGCTAGACGTGTTAACACCGCTCACAAAATTGCAATGCGTCAGGCCAACTCCTTCAAGTCGCACATTGATACCTCACAACCCCCGGAAAGACGTTGCGCCTATTAGGACCCTTTGTTTAGAATCAGCTCGGGCCGTATAAACGTATTGGGGGATTAAAGCCGGAAATAAGACTCACCGAAGAAGCGCCTACTTGGTCCGCGTAGCATTTGTTTCCTTCACATATCACGCCACACGGTACTTATCTTTGGCTTTATTTCTCGCACCCCTTGCTGTATTCCATGACTGTTGCGAACCGCGGTTACGTATGAGACGTGATAAAGTTTCAAGCGTAGGTTCTTTGCTTTAAGGTGGAGGAGCCGAGCGGCCGGCTGCGATTTCCGGGGTGTTGTTCGCGGAGATTGCCTGATTAGGATCTCGCTGTTTATTGAACCGACCTCGGGAGATCGTGAGTCAGTGGATGAACTGCCGCTCGGCATTACATATCGCCGTGAACCAGCACAGCGCCCTTAGTTTCTACTCAAGCTTTGCGCAACTTTTGTTTCATCACGTTGATCAGACGAAAAATGTCTAGATATTCTGCATCCGAACGGTGTTGCGAAACGGTATGTCACAGCCGGTTTAGAATTGAGTCTTCTCCCGAGGTCCGTATTCTTATCACCCCTAGCGAGGATACGCACGACGTCCTTCGTGCACAGAAGGGACATAAATTCATGGCGGTGCCGTCCTAGTTTCCAAGTAAAAATCATCGCAACATACCTGCGCCTCATTTCGCAGTACTGTATCACTACTCAGTCGTTCGACCACTCAGAATGGCCCATTCTCGCCATGACTCTGCTGCGCAGCTCTCAACACTGGGAAATGTCTCCAAAGAAGAGTACGGCCAGATACTGTCCACATTCCTCTCCGATATCGATTTCTACATGCCACCGTTCAGCTACGACTTCTCCCTCGAAGAACCGGTAATGGCTTACTTTGCACGTCAGCCTAACTGGCCTCCTCATCTCACGGAAAAGGCCGTTAGCATGGCCAAATGGATGTCCACCGGCCTCGGAATGTGCTACCCGTTTGCCGAGAAAGACATTCAAGTCGCATACGGTATCCACGCTACCTATGTCCTCTTCATCGACGACATCATCCATGAGCTTGGGAATGCTCTCGACGAATTCGAAGCCCGCCTTGTGAGCGGCAAACCACAAAAGTCACCGATCCTGCAATCACTGGTCAACTTCCTGCTCAACAACGACACGTACATGGGACCATATGCCGCAGCCATGAATACAAAGGCGACCATCGAATTCATCTGCGGTTGCATCATGGAACGAGATTATGACGGAAAAGTTGTGCCGCCAGTCGGGGCGAAGAAGTTCCCCAGCTACTTTCGGGAGAAGACAGGCTACACGGAGCCGTATGCGCACTTTTGCTTCCCTGAGGCGATATTCCCCGAGAAGGATTATTTGCATGTGTACATGCCATGCATCCAGGATCTCATCGAGTTCATCAGCTACGCCAATGACATCCTTTCCTTTTATAAGGAATCCGTCGTCGGAGATGAGCGTTTGAATTATGTTTGCAACATCGCGAACACGCACGGATTAGGGGCCGCGGATGCACTGAGCTTGGTCTGCAAGAATGTTACGGAAAATGTTACGACTGTGCGGACGGTGTTGAAAGAGTATCCAGAAATGAAGGACACAGTTGACGAATTCTTTCGTGGATACATTGCTTGGTACCTGAACCAGAAGAGGTACAAGCTTACGGATATCATCGTGAAGGATTCCGGGGGCCGGCTCTTTAGGCTAACGCCCACGGAGCCTGAGCTACTGCACAAGAAGAGAAGAGAGGAGGCAAAAGCAATCGAAACGAATGAGAAAGTCGCGCAAGCCACTGCTGTGGAAGTGTAGTTAGTTCAAGAGGCCCTTTCTCTTTGTACATATACATCAGTCTCGCCGAAAAACAAAATTCGATGGCGAATTCCCTCTTTAGGCAATTTTTCTTAATTATGTTAACCTCCCCACGGCCTGTGAGGCGAAAAATCCCTCCCGAAAGCAACGAGAGCTAAGTCATTCTTTTTTCTTTCACCTTGCTATTTCTCCTTGCTAGCAAGCAAGTGGACTTGCAAGCGAAATTTTAACCTAAGTGCGATGGTAAGAGCTCAGCGCCTCGTAGAGTGTGCGAGCATAGAGAGTTAGGCAGAATGCTGCGTCGGCGCATGGCCGAGAAGCCGTCAACTATCGTGCACTCTAGCAGGGACCGCACCTGACACAGGTTTGTAAGCCTACCTCGGGCCGGTATTCAACAGCGCGTGATGTGTACGACTATGCACAGTGATGCATGGTACGCCTGACGCATGCGCGGAAGCTTGCCGAGTTCTCGCGACAGTGGACTGAGGGTTGCAGACCGATTCGTCGTGTGCACAGCCTCGGCAGCACGCTAAGGCGATCAACCTACGTTGTATCATGCATGATCCGCGTTAGGGTCGGGCCGTTTCGCGACCGTTCTTGGGCGACACGGAAAGGCCCAGAAAGACCAGGGCAAGAAACCGAATTGCCGACTTACGCCAGATCCGGCGCACCACTCTGGCACTCTCTCACGGGAGATTGAATCATTGCCCAAGACGCTTCGGAGCGAAGAGCATGTCATTTTCAAGCTGCCGGCCTCCATCATCCGAATCTTCTTATCTTTCTGTTCATCGCTGACGCAACGTTTCCGACAATCCGCCGCGACCGAGTCAACTACGCGACAGTCCTACTCGGAGTTCTGGCACTGGCACTGCATTCGGTGTCTCACGTGCGCGGCCTCCCAACCTAGGACGGGTCTCTCGGTTGAGCAAAGAATCGCAGTGCCGAACGGCCCTGATCTGGACCCACGTCAGCCTATACCCATACCGGACGCGCTGGCTAAATTTCCATCCGGTCCTCTGAACCAGTTCCTGCGGATCATCAGCATTCTCCATAAGGGTGCAGCAGCGCCTGACGCAGTAGGAGAGATCCTGACTCCACTCCAACAGGGCCTCGCCAATGCCGTCGGTATCAACACGACGAGAAGTGACCTAGCTCAGGATGCGCCCTGAGTTGACTTGACGGTCATCTTCGCAAGGGGACGACCGAACCGGGCAACGTCGGGCTTGTTGCAGGCCTGCGCTTCTTCGATGTCCTGGCCAAGCAGCTAGGAGGAAAATCTTTATCTGTCCAGGGCATCGAGTATCCTGCAACCTTCGCTGGGTTTAATCGCAATGGCACTGATGGTGGGCCGAGCATGTAAGTAGGCATCCTCTTTCTCCCTTTAGAACACTGTCGTGAAGGAAGGCGATACTGTTGCTAACCTCGCTTGTGCAGGACAAAGTTCATCGACTAGGCCATCACTAGCTGCGCTAGTAACAATATCGAAATGTCCAGCTACTCTCAAGGCGCCCTCGTCGTTCGCAGCACCGCGCCATCACTGCCCGCGGAAACGATGGCGAAGATCAACTCGGTACTTCCGTTTGGAGACCTGAGAAACCGGGCCGCCATCACCCGTGCGGAAGGGAAAATATTGACGGTCTGTCACGAAAACGACGCTATGTGCAGTGGCGGCTTCGTCGCGGTCGAGCGTCTCGCGTGTATTGAAGACGCCGGTACGGCGGCGCGGTTCGTAATTCAGGAAGCTCAAGGTGAGCGAACCCCTTGGTCAATAGAAACGCTGCACGCTTCAAGACTAACCCGTACTTAGTGTAGCCGGTCCAAGGGGCCATTATGGGGATTTTGCGGCGTAGTCGAGCGATGAACTTGGATCCCATTTGCTCGGCAAACACCAATACCCCACCCATGCTGACGGCATCCAACAGAGTCCCCAAAACCAGCGGTACGGTACCAGCCTCCGGGGTTCCACGCCAATTGACTTATTGCGGCGTAGTCTAATGGTCCAGGATATCTCGCTCACACGGACAAGATTCGTCGGACTTCCTAGAACCAGCCTCTCGGTATAAAGGCCCACACCATGCCTACTTATTGCGGCGTTGCTCCGGACATTCACACCTCAAGCAACTCTCAGTTTTCTTGTGCATCGACAGTCGTCATGGGCACAACCCTTCTTACCGGTGCTAACGGCTCATTGGCTATTCCCGCAGTGAGCTACTTGCTTTCCAATTATCCATCCTGCACGGCGGTTCTTGCGGTGCGGGATACAACCGACCACGACACGAATACAGCTAGACTACGGAAAACGATCGCGGGTCTCCCACATGGAAGTGTCTCTATTCGGCAACTCGACCTCGCCTCGCTCTCCTCTGTACAGACCTTCGCCACAGAGGTGCACGAGGAGGTTGTAGAGGGAAAGCTGCCTCCACTTGTGGCCATCATATGCAATGCATACACATGGTGCATCAACGGCGGAACTCAGTATAGCAAGGACGGCTTTGAGCGATCCATGGCTGTTAACCATATTGGCCATTTGGCCTTGACACTTCGTCTTTTAGGCGATATGGACAAGTCCGGTCGAATCGTGTTCCTCTCTAGCGATTCACACGAGCCCGGCAGGGCAGGCTTTGAGAAGTATCCTCCTATCCTTCCAGAGGATCTGAACACTCTCGTTCACCCTGCGCCAGACAAGAAAGGCGAAGAAGTTGGCCGAGGTTTTCAGCGCTATGGACTCTCAAAGCTCGCCATCGTTATGAGTATGTATGAGCTTCAACGCAATCTCAAGAAGGTTGGTTCTCACAGTTCACCCGGCAAATGTCTTGGCTAAACAGTGACCCAGAGTGAACACTTCAAAGACATCGCTGTTATTGCGATGGACCCTGGCGGTATGCTCGACTCAAGAACTTTCGGTGGTGCCGATGTCCCAGCGCTGTGGAAAACTATCATCACTGTAATGAATTGGCTTCAGCCATTGCTGAAGCTGATGAAACCGACACTGCGACGCACTTCTGATGCAGCCAAGGATCTCATTGACCTCTCAATGCATGCACAATTTGCGGGTCAAGAAGGCCACTTCGAGATGAGGAGGAAGGTGGCTAGCTCCCCTGCCAGCAGGGATGAGACCATGCAAGCAGCGTTGTGGAACAAGAGCTTGGAGTGGAGCGGAATCACTCAAAGTGACACTGCTTTGCCGCTCAATGATGCTTGAGATATCTCAGGTAGTACAATCTATGTGCCTCAATTTTCATTCTGCCTGAACTTGTTGAAGTTGATGACCCATGCGCATGCACTCCGGAATCCGAACAGCTATGCATTGGAGCTCCTTTGAACAGGGAGCTGTTCTCCAAGGCCGTTCAAATCCGATGTGGGGTCTCTATCGTCCTTCAAATCTCGATGCAAGGCATTCCGCTCCATGGTTGTCTACTCCTTCAGGGGGGCTGGAGGGGTCCAACGGAACGACTCCCGCGTGCAGGCTCTTCAAGAACAGTGAACGAATTGCAACTCGAGCACAGCTTCACACTCTGATTGATCGTTGCCCACTTCATCTCTTTACCACATAGCTCAAATTCAGTTGCTCAGCAAGTATGGGCAAAGCCACAGAGTCCCAGTCCCGCAAGGCTAGCTCCCTGTTTCTTGCACTCTTCCACCTATCACGGTTTCATACACGTGAATCGTGGCTTGCGTGTTATCCTGCCAGTGAGTTGGGATCCACCAAACATAAAGTACCATGTATTACTCTCCTTCTAATATTGATCAGTATGGGGGCTTTGCTTTTCGGTACTACAGCACTCAGATCAGATAAAGCTAAGCAAATTCGGGCATCTACTCCTTTGCAATTGGATTTGCATGACTATGATTCATGCTACATTCTGCACCTGGAAGTAAGACCACCGCTCACCCTTGATCATAGATGTATGTACTCGTGCAATTGAGGAAGCTAAACTTACTTACAGTGACATTCTCGACGCACGAATTGATGCATTCGCAGTCAGAACCGCCGTACGCCCACTTTCCTCAGGCCGATGTTCGGTGTCTGTAGCAATGCTATGGTTCGTGTTTCAGCTGGCTACTTCTACAATCGCAGTGCACACACTGCTCGGTAGAACTGTTCTCTACTCTGTCCTTCCCGCATACTTCATGGCAACCATATACCCACTCGCCAAGCACTGGATGCCGTGGCCTCAGTTTGCTTTGGCTCCTGCCGTTGCATGGCCAGTCGTCACGGGCTGCGTTTCTGCTGCGGACCTTTCTTATACACAAGAAAATCACAACGATATATCGGCAATCACCTTCATGCAGCTGGATCTGTCCATCTGCGCTCCCCTCTTTCTGGCCTACGCGTCGTGGACCATATATTTTGACACTGCGTATGGATTGCAGGATATCGTTGGTGACAGAGAATCTGGCATCGGGTCCCTTGCACAGGACCTGGGGAAGCGATACATAAGAGCATTTTTGGCAGTCGTCGGAGTGGCTATCATCATTTTGTTGAGTTTTGGGGCCATCTCCGCGGGGTGTTCGCCGGTCTTTTGGACATTCGGAGTTGGGACATTCGGAGTTGGGACATGGACATGTAGCATTCTGCATCAGCTGTACATTCTTGACGCTGAAGACCCAAAATCTGGCGGAAGAGTTTTTGGTATCAACATTGTCCTGGGGTTCTTGGTAACCGTAGTTGCCACAGCTAAGGTCACCATTGCCGTCAGTTGGCCACCCCAACAGCTGTAGTCGACCTCGCGAACATTACACTTGACGGAGGGCTTGTAGGGTAGTGAGTCTGAGCAACAGGGGGGATGAATTGGACGTGATACTTCCAAGGCTGATAGTCAAACTGCAAGATGTCAGAATACAAGACTAGATAACCGAAGCCGAGCATGGAGAAAATGCTATACCCATTACGGGTCACAACTACTGGTCACATGCAACTTCAACTATCTGGAACATCGAGGCCAGCTTTGTTGACTGACATAAAACTTCAAGCGAATACCCAGGTAAGCATTTTCATTCCAAGACTACTTGATAGTTCGACCGGTTCTGAATCGCATCAAGACTTAGATAATAGGAAACCACCATTCTGAAGAGTCTGAAATACGCGGAAGGGATCATACTTGGCTGCAACTGCTCTCAAGCGATTGCGGTTGGCAACTGGATAACTTCCCAGTGGATCTTCATCGCGTGATGCGTCGTTCATGTATTTGAAGGGGAGGTAGGATCCATGAGCTTTCCCTATTTCTTCCCATTTTTGAGAGGTCGAGATCGCCACGTCGCGAACGACTGCATCATCTTCGGGATTATCCCAATCCGCAATTGTAGTCCACCCTTGCCGTGATGTTGTCAGTTGATAGGTCAAAGAAAATTGTCGATGTGACACTGTGCTCTCAAGGGGATGCTTACATTGCTGTGAAATTGGCGCAAGACCGAGTGGATTGCCACCATTCGAGTTGCCCTTCCTGACCAGATTGGGGGGGATATGTTGAAGAACAAACGTAAGATTTGCACCAGTCGACTCATGGACCGCAGTCGCCTTGTTGATCCAATGCTGGTAGACTTGTTTGTAAAGGTCGACGTCGACCTTGCTGCTGGCAGCACGGTAGTCATGTCTAGGTGACGCTGTTAGCTATCTTGCTCTTCCGTGAAGGTGCACCTTCGCTACCTTGGCGACGTAGAAACTGATGAGGCTCCCGTTATCTGACTCAACGCCAGCACGGTTCCATTCGTAGGGGGCACCGCCGGGAAAAGCGGTGGAATCTCGTAGAAGGGTTGGAAAACTGAAGGTCTCTCCGTCGACCGAAGATACACGAGGCCAACTATGATCGCGTTCAAGGAGATGACCAGGGCAACAGACGCTTTCGTATCCGAGGATGATTGCCAAGTGGCAAATGCGTCAAGAAGCGCGGTAGCCTTGTCGATAGAGAACACCATCGACTCGTACCAGATATTCTTTACCGGTATCGTGCGGAGATTATATCGAGTTACGATACCTAGAAACCAGCAAATCAGCTGTGACCAGTCATGTTCAAAATTATGCAACGTACCAAAGTTCGGACCTCCACCCTTCAAAGCCCAGAACAAATCGCTGCGATGCTCATGATCCGCGGTCACAATTGTGCCATCTGCCAACACGACCTGTGGAACAAGAGCGATATCAGACATGTCTAGTGAAGCCGGTCATGAAGTGAAGTCCGTACCTCCATACTGCTAACATTGTCTGCAGCGAGGCCGTACTCTCCGCTAAAATACGACAAGCCACCTAGCGCAATTGGCCTATGTCAAGAACGAAGTAGTTGATCAGTCGGGCTTACCTCCCAGGATGAGTCCTCCCACACCGACCTGAGGAATTCTTCCCCCAATAACGGTGACACCATACTGATCGAGGAATGCATAAACATGTCCCCACCGGGCTCCGGGTCCAACGCTTGCTACGTTGTGTCCGGAATCTATGCTGATCTTGTTCATCTGATGCAGGTCGATCAAGACACCATTGGAGATGCTTGCTGCTCCCGGATTAGGAGAGTGTCCTCCGCTGCGAACCGCAAATCGGGATTTGAAGAATGATACAATGCGCAAGATTTGGGATACTTGTTTCGCAGTCTGAGGCCGAACAACGCACGCTGGAATTTCCCAGCATGTCTGGGACCTAGACAGTCAGTATCGGACATTTCGTAGCCCCTGGTTGGACAAACAAACCAACTCTCTTCCACCAAATCCTTCACTTCGCGCTTTTCCCTCAATGTGTTCGGCCCAAGTACGATCTGCGCTATCTCGCACGAGATGTCGGCCAGCCTCGGAACGTCCCTTTCGACTTTCGTCCCGTTCAGCAAGGATGGAAGACCTTCCAAGTTTAAAACAGTCGTAACTTCTTCAGCTTTCTCTTGTGGGAGATCCAAGGAGGCCACAAATTCGTCGATACTCGTAGGAGGCGTCATTGCCTTGTCCTTTGTCTGAGGCGTGGCCATGGCCCCTAAGGCGCATTGTAGCGGGAACAAAATTTCGCAGCAAAGCACGACTTACTTCGGAGTCGCCCGATGAGTCCAAAACCTGATCTAACGAACAAAACCTTTTATATTCTGGACTGCTGGATCTCACGCGACGATTGTGTGCAGTAGCGTTCGTGTCAGCTGTATAGGCCTAACGCCAATCCCGAAGCCACACGCAGGGTTTGGCAGAAAGAACAGAAAGGAGTAAGAAGGCTTCCGCTAGGAAGAGTAGTTGACGTAGAAGATGTTCGGTTGCATTTAACCTCAAGTGACGGGCCTGACGTGTTGATGCCACAGTTTAGTAATTCGTGTTAGAGGTCAATCGCCCAGCTATTCCTAATCGGGTACTAGCGCCTCAGAGATTTCTTCGATTTCTCGGAGCTATATACACTCAATACAATACACCTCACCCCAATATGCTGTATTCCTCAATTTCCTACTTCAACAATTTGTACGACGTCCTTTCTCAAAGGCTTTGCGGAACACAACTGAACTGTCACAACGTGATAGAATCCAAAGTTCCATCCGCGCGGGGCGGGCGAGGCTCGCTCGCCGTCGTGTAGATATACATGCCGCCTTGCGGCGTCAAACTCGCTCACCCGCATATGCGCTTGCGGTAGTACAAGCTGTCATAGGCCGGAGTTCACAACCTTAGAAGGCCGAGAGATAGGATAAATCCTTCAGGAACAGAGGCTGGTATATACCATGTTAAGTCCATTGCAACATGTATTGGCAGCACGACGAGGCGTCAGGCACGACCATACGCGCGATATAACCGTTCGGGTCCGTTGCGGCGCAGTCACGAATGTCTGCACATAACATATTCTCTCCCAATGCGCTGGGCATGTTTCTATACTGTGCGACTACTGATTGCTACGTTGTAGATTGTGTTGTATGTTTCGGAGCAGTGATCTTCATGGGCGGATATCCTAGATGGGTCAGATAGGTCAAGTCTTGTCGCGCGTTTCTGATTTGTTAGAGCGCTTTGCGCTTTACTCTAAGTTTCGCATTTACTCATACCCATGGGTAGATTGGGTAGAATATCCACCCATGAAGATCACTGTTTCGGAGTCCGGCGCTCCACTGCCAGGCGGCAGTTGGACTGGTGGATCATCATGTCACCATGTACTGTTTCATGATATTTGTTAGAGATTAAATCAGTGCAAAATATCAGCTATATCCCACCAAGACTCACCACCATCAATTCGTCAAGCAAGTTCACTACACGAGATGTCTCTATCACAGCCTATCTCTCTTACTCCACCTCCAGCGCACATTGACGACACGCACAAACACTACGATGTTGCCATCGCCGTGATAGTAATGACAGTGGTTGCGACACTTGCTACTGTCGCGCGCTTGTGGTCTCGATGGACCCACAGTAACTTGGGAATGGATGATTGGACTATGCTTCCGGCATTGGTAAAGGGGCCCCTTTATCATAGTTTTCCGGGCTAATCTGATCGACTACCATGCTCTGTACATCGGCCACGGTGTGATGGTAATATATGTCAACTTGCACGCTGGAATCGGCAAACCGCTGTGGGAAGTAACCTTGGGCGAATTTTCGATCTGGTTCAAGTTCAGTATATCTCTCGCCGCCGCACTTCAAGTTCGCATCGCTGAGTATGTGCAGGGAATTGTGGCAACGGCGTTCATATATCCTGCCATGAGTGGAGCGATTCGTACCTCGATTCTTCTCTTCTATTTACGCATATTCTGTCGAACCGCGGTGGAAATTCGTTGGGGGGGTATACATCTGTCTCCTACTCACCACGATTTACGTGATCGTCTTCTCCATTGTCCCGGGCATTGTCTGCACATGTCTCTCAGCTTCGTGGCACCCAATGAGCAGAAAGGAACATTGCAAAAGCGACACCTTCTACTACAAGTACTGTGTGGCACTTTACGGTACCAACCTTGGTCTCGACTCGCTAGTGCTGCTGCTTCCAATTGCACCGGTTATGCGGCTGCAAATGGCACTCAAGAAACGACTAGGAGCACTGGTGATGTCCCCCTAGGCACATCGTATGTATTCTCCACTATCCGAAATACCTATGCCGCTACTAAAGATCGTGAAAGGGCATGTATCGCAGCTACGTATAAGCTTGGCATCTACGTGTCACAGTGGGGACAGATTGGCGATCTCGACATAAGATGTACGTTGTCCTGAAAGCACACTTATTATACCTACTTCTGACCATTCCGCAGGGTTTTCTACAGTCATGAGTCGGCTGATCCCACCGCAATTCGGAAAATTCGGCTACACATTCTGGATACCATCTCAGGTCGAGCCAACAGTTGCCATTATAGGTTGCGCACTTCCCGCACTTCGCACTCCTATTGCAGACTCTTTCTCTCGCATGTCGTCTGCGCTTTCATCCTTCACAAGTGGTAAGACTAGTTACACGACTAGCGTGTCGAAGGACGGGTCGAGTCGGCAGCATTCGCAAAAGAAGTACCTCAAGATGGGTGGCGGTGCGTCGACGGCGACGTCGCAACTGCGCTTTGAGCTAGAACATCTTGAATCTCGGGGATGAGACTATTAGCGATGTAAGCTGCATTGTGGCGGGGGGCAGACGCGGTCTATACACAAGGGAAGCCTGGAAGAAGGGAAGCTAGATAGTTCAACGCCCTTCTAAATGCAGGTCGATGTCATCCAAAAGAGCCCATGTCATCCTAACCAAGCTCCTCATGATGCATAACCCAAATTCCGGGGGCTGAAGCCAGGCAATATCGATCCATTCTCCCCCTAGGATCTTCTCGGTGTCTTTCATACCAGCCCAGCGCTGAGAGTATTCACACCATTCGTGAGGGTGGGTGCTGTAGTTATATCTTCCACTTTGACCTTCTTTCTCACCAGGCCTTCTCCAAGGACCGTTGGGCCATCATCGACCTTCATCTCGGTCGCCTCCGTCGAAGCGGTCTCTGCCTCTGGTTTTCTCTTTTTCCTTACTCCGATGACTGTCACGGGTGTGATGCCGTTCGCTGCGCTTCCTACTGCCCGTGTCGCCTCTTTTCTCCCAACTACAGTCCAGCCCCACGTCTCCGCTCCAGCCAAAACTGCAATCTCGTCCTTCCACCTCTTAGAACTCTCGACCACAGTCTCCGCTACCGCCCCAGATCTTTTATCCCCTCGAACGCTTCCTTGTACATGCGTCATTTTCCCACCTCCACCGCGCATCCGCGGGCATCTTCCAAATCTTTACGATCGAATCGAGAAGACTACACTCGATGCAAACGCCTCAACCGTCATGCGCATGCTCAGAGAGGATCTCCGTAGCCCAGAGAAGCGCCACAGGCCGACCGCGATACTTGGCAGAATAACCGTTCACAAGCCTTCGAGCCAAGGGAAGCTGTCTTTTTCCCGGCTGCCGCAGCACGCGCTACTCCACCAAGACCTGCCCTCTCGACCCCTCCCGGGGCCCATCATCGAACTTTTCACCACCGCTTTCGAGCGTTTGGAAAACCTTGCTCGCGAAACCCCCGCTTGTTCTCAAGTCCTTTTGCCCGATCTCCTAGCACCGTGTCAAATTTCCCAGATAAGTCAGCCGCGAGTCGAAGGTGGCCCGATTGCAGTAGCAGATGTAAAACTCAGGAAGAGTAATAACTGTGTCGACGGGTCCGCATTTTGCTCTGCTCGATGTGGCGTTCGTTGAAGTCTCAGCTGCGTCTGGCTGCTCGGCACTTCGCTGTTCTTGACATCTCTAAGCAATGGACCAATTATAAGAGATCTACAGCGAAGCCGCCAGGTTGGTTGACCTATCATTCATTCACTATGTAGTGCTTTCTAAAAGTAGGAGCCGCCCTTCAATGCCACCACGCAGAAGTCTAACTCGTGCCACGTTGCAGACGAGGTCCCGCACAAGGGTGGCTCCCAACTGCGGAGGAAGCAGGTCCTTCATGGCGGAGCAGCAGGCAAATAAGCGGCGGCAGAAACGGCCCCCAAAGCAATAAGCCGACGCATGGTGGGCCAAACCCCGACTGGCTTTCTTGCAGCTGGCTTAATAGGGTGTTGAAGAGCAACGGATAGCTGCGTGGGAGCTGAAGGCTAGATGGGGGTGCAGGACTCGGCGAAAAAGGCAGGCATTATGTCGATTACGGGCTCGTAGCAGTCTGTATACTAACAATATTATTTAAGAGCAGCGATATTTAGTACCTATAAAGATTAAGTAGCATCTGTGGTTTTAAAGCCCCCTCTCCTTGCTTCTTATAAGATAATTGATTATTCTTCGTAGGCTTGCTAGCAAAGAGGTATAGCTATGCAACAATCTGCCACACCGTATTCCGATCCACTCTGCCCTTGATCGTGTACTTCCCTTCATCCACCATCTGTTGCACCGTCCAGTGCATCTTAGGGTCCGTCTCGCGAATTGCGCGATACCGCCCCATATTGCAACGCACCCGTTTCTCCCAGCCCTCCCCGCTGCGCGCCAGGACACGCATCTTGACGGGCAAGAACTCCAGGATCCACCATGTCTTCGCCTGCTTCAGTTGGTCGTTGACGGGCGACATGGCGTCGAAGTGGTTCTCTGTGGACTCTGAGAGCAGCGCAAGGTGCCGATGCCGGCTTTCTTTGGCGAAGAAGGGGTGGCTGAGGTCGAGCGGGTCGTCGCCGATGGATAGTAATGCGTGACGGAAGCGAAGGGCCGGGACTTGCTTCTTCTCGTACCGCTCCATGAGCGCGGGTGGTGGGCCGCAGGCGGGCTTCGACGGTGGGTGATACACGGGGAAGAGGGTGTGGATGTCTAGGCCCTGCTCTACGAGACTTGCGGTGTCGAAGAGGATGCCTGTATTGCAGTCGAAGCATTGCCGGAGCATCCTGTACCGTGGTATGGGTTAGCATCCGTTTTGAATTGGTAGAAATCATAAACAACTAAGCTCGTTACTGCTGGAAAACTTCCACGGCTGCATTTGCACAGTCGACCTAGACCAAGACATGCCAGTGTGCGTAGTGGGGACCACTTACCAACGGAGCGGGATACCGGAGAGACGATGCCGCTCTTCATTCGCGACGGCCCCACCACCAATGTCGGCATGCGCTCCCATGAACCAGACCTCGAGGGCATTGGTCTGAATTCGCTTGCGCGGGCCATGGCTGTCTTCATAAGCCTCGAAATACGCTTCAAGCTTCTCCTGCTCCTCGGTGGTATTGGAGCGCAGAAGCCCTTTTCCTTCCGTCGTAGAACGCCGAGGACTTACGCCGTTCGTGGTTGGTGTGCCGTTTGCGTGACCGTTCGCTTTCGGAGAGGCGGGGCGTTGACTCCGGCGGAAGAGCTTCAAGCCACGCTGAAGGCCTCGCTGCATCTCAGCGGCGGGGGTATTATCGACGGTATCGCGGTTTTTCGCATCCGGGTCCTGCTGTTGCCACTGTGAAACCTTGAACTTGGACCTGCGAATGTGGCACATTTTAGTGGTCGTTCATATAATACATATGGGATGGGCCATGGCGCAGAGAATGCAATCCAGCAAGGATTCGTTTCCATCCCATGGCATATGTCTGGAAGTTAAGTCCGAGGTGCTTGAACAGAGGAAGATCGAACTGGGACAGGGAAGCGAGGATCTGGCAATCAAGGACGTACCTGTGCTCATCAAGGGCCATGGCATGCCGGAAGTAGTGGATCGAATTCGTGGGACTCTTACTGAAGGGTAGCTTCCTGGGGATGAACCCAACGCTTGCGACGCAGTCCCACACACCGACAAAGTAGACGTCAACATTAGTGCAGAATGTTTTCTTGAACTCGGCACTCATCTTCCAACCCTCACGTGAATCATCCTTGTAGAAATCTGCGGGCGTGCATTACTTGTCAGTATCCGCTTCATATGTAAAAGCGCTCTAGGATGGACTGACCATATGCGAAGTTGACCTGTGCGCCGTTGCTGGCGGGGAGGAGGCCGACCTTGTGAAGCATGCCAGCCAGACACCGGACTGTATAGGCGCCGCGGGAGAATCCAAGCAGGCAAATCTTGTCGCCTTCGCGATAGTTTTGCATGAGGAAGCGATACGCATCCTTGACGTGAATGCCTAGTCCACTCCCGACTGCGTCATGTTAGCACGAAGCCCATCACACTAAACGACGCGACGTAGACCATGGGAGTGGTACGTCTGAAGCTTTCGGTGGCGCTTAATGCGCGAAAGAATACGGTGGACTCACCTGCCATGTCCAATGCGGCGCCAATTCCATTCTTCAGCCCGCCTTTGTCGTATGTCCCAATCCCAGACTGGTAGTAGGTGACCTGCTGTTCTGGCGAATGTTTCTTGAGGCAGGAGACGAAGTGAACAACATTGCTGTTGTCGTTATCGAACCGATCACCTGTGCCGTCTGCGGGTAGAGGAGCCTGTTAGTGTGCGATTGGAAAGTCATTTGTGAAGGTCGCCAGTACATCGAACTTGGCCTAGAAGTACTGGTAGATGCACAGCAAATGGGTGACATACCCAGACAAATTACAACGGTGCGGCCATGATATTTGGAGTCCTTAGAGTCTTTGACGGCTCGGAGTGATGCTGGGAGAGTTGCATTGTTTTCTTCGACAGATTGGTTTCGTGGGGAACGCGTGGGTAGGGCGTAATCCGAGGACTGGATGGGATACGATCCATTACGCTTGAGGTAGCTCATATTGCAAGCTATAAAAGTTAGCCGCATTCGCAGACCAACAGTACCGCGGTCTGGGCAGGGAAAGATACTCGACGAATGGAGTCCCGCGATGACTGGAGCGATGTTACCTACAAAGCTGCTCTCGATCACAGGTACGTTCACGACTATACTCGCTCTTAGCAGACGTGGGAAAGAGGCGACGAGGACCGGTTCCGCGCGCCGGCTGGCTCGCTATTGTAAGGGGGCTCAGTGGAAGATCATGATTCGTGATTTCGACAATCGACATTGGGATCTTCCCGTGGCGGTATTGGATCAAGGGACTGATCTGTCACTTCTGTCATCAGGCGTCGTGAATCCCGCTCTAACAAAGTCGTGCAGTCACCAGCGGGAAGAGACTAGTCGCTTTTGGCCGGATCAACGCTCGCTGGAGTCGTGTACCATGGGAGAAAAGTGCTGCTGCACGAGCACGCCTCTAACGCGATTGGTACGACTTGCGGGTTCCGGCTCGACACCAATCGGGACCTTCCATTGCCGGGTCGCGACTCGCGAGGGAGGGCTTTGATGACGATGAGCAAGCTGCGAGCCGTAGTGCCCATCCATAGATCCCAGGAGATGCTGAATGGTGCATGACCCCTCTACTCCGCGTTGATCATCGCCAGGATCTTCAGAGAGCTGACGCACAATACGCACTGCGATAAGAGGTGAGGTCGTGATCGGGTGGGTCGCTGCACATGTTGGCAGCTGGAAGAACGAATTAGGCGAGGTGAGGGACAGCGGAGGTTACTAGCAGCATGCAGCGAGTATAGCGATTTGCGGCGGGCATCCTCGATTCGCCCAGATAGACGAAGCTGGACAGAATCGGATGGCCAAGGTTCACGATGCAGGTCGAGGATGCGCGGGAGGGATCCATCAGGGCCGATCCGAAGCCGGACGGGGCATTTCGGCTGACCAATCGCGGAGGCCGGCGCGCCCGGCACATGCCAACCTCGCTACACCAACCCCCTCCCACCGCAAGCCATCGTTTTCCTCTGCAAGCCCGCCCCCAATCACGAACTTGACGATACTCCACAGCGTCCGTGAGTAGCTGCTGTTGGCGATGGCACTTCGAATCAGTCGCACAGCTCACCGCTTCCCCACCCCGCACGTCAGTCTAGCCAGCACGCACTACAAACCACGGCGCCTCAATTGGTCGACTTGGAGATACGTTCGCCAATTCAGGCTGTACATCGCAGCTTGCATATCGATCATCGTCATGGCGACCCCGAGCTGTACGCGGATGGGGAAGCAAGCAGAGCTTTGCGATTGTCGCTGTGCCACCTGATCGGAGCTACCCCAAATCGCCCTGCCCCAGAGCTCCTTCGTGCTCGTTCATAGCTCCTGGAGCTAGCTACCCCTCTGCTCATCTGAAGCTCCTTTCTCTCTCTTCCGGACTGTACAATCTCATCTTTACACGTCCTCGTTTCCCCTCTCCAGCCCGCAATTCGAGATGGGCGGCCAGCTGAAATCCTTCCTCGGCACCATCAGGAGGAAGCCAACAAGAGCGGCCGATGGAAGGTCTGCAGAGGCAACCAATGGTGTGGCCAACGGTGAGAAGACGAGCATCGGCCATGACCTGAAACACCTCGGCCTCAAGAATACCAAAACCGTTGTCGAAGCAGTCCCAACGCTGGCTTCCGGCGAGCCTCTCGACGACAAGGACCTGCTTCTCGAGCACGGCGTCGCTATGCTCCAGGCTCTGCCGCTGAACAGTGGCCTCAGTGAGAAGGTATCCGATGGCTTCATCTCGATGCTCTGGCACGACCTCCCACACCCTCCTCCGACTTTGGCGGGTCCGGCGTCTCGATACCGGCGACATGACGGCGGCGCTAACAACCCGTGGGTCCCGGAGATGGGGAAAGCGGGGTCGCCATACTCCAGAAGTGTTCCACCGATGAAGCCCAAAGGCCCGAACCTTCCCAATGTCGAGGATGTATACGAAGCACTGCTCAAGCGCCAGGGTTCATTCCGCAAGCACCCCTCTGGTCTCAACAGGCTCTTCTTCTCCTTCGCCACGGTCGTGATCCACGAGTGCTTCCAAACGTCGAGGACGGACCCTTGGATCAACGAGACGTCCAGCTATGTCGACCTTAGCACGCTATACGGGAATACGGAGAAGGAGCAGAAGCGCGTACGCACTTACGAGAACGGCTTGATCTATCCCGACTCTATCGCATCGGAGCGCATTATGATGATGCCTCCGGGAGTCATCGCGGTGCTGCTTATGTTTTCGAGGAACCACAATTACATCGCCGAAAGCCTCTTTTCCATCAATGAAGACGGCAAGTACAAGCCCTGGGATGGGCTGGACGATTCCAGCAAGACATGGTAAGCAGCGAGCCCTAACATGATATGGCCCGGTGCAACGACTCACGTGCTTCCGCAGGCAAGACGAGGACATCTTCCAGATCACGCGCAACATCAACGTCGGCTTCTTCGCTTCGGTCGTCTTGAGGGACTACGTCGCCGCCATCCTCAACACTCCCCGCGCCGCCTCCGAGTGGTCGCTCAGCCTGGGGAAAGAGATCAAGGAGCGCGGCAAGCGCGTCGAGCGTGGCTCCGGCAACGTGGTCTCTGTGGAATTCGCCGTTCTGTACCATTGGCATGCAGCGTTGAGCGCCGCCGATGATAAGTGGATGGAGGATATCATCCGGCGGACGTTCCCTGACATCAAGTCTGTCGACGAAGTCACTGTCGAGATGTACCACAAGATCATGAAGGAATACGGCACCAAACTCGTGACGACGGAGCCTAGGAACTGGACGTTTGGCGGCCTTGAGCGAGGGTCCGACGGACGCTTCAAGGATAGCGAACTCGCTGAGCTGATCAAGAGCTGCATTGAAGAGCCGGCTCACGAGTTTGGCGCCCATGGCACACCAGCCAGCCTCAAGATTGTCGATGTCATGGGTCAGTTACAGGCGCGCAACGTGTTCAATGTGTGTACGCTGAACGAGTTCCGCCGCTACCTCAACCTCAAACCGTACGAGACTTTCGAGGACTGGAACCCCGACAAGCAAGTAGCGCGGTCCGCGGAGCTTCTCTACGGCCATGTCGACAATCTTGAGCTCTATCCCGGCTTGATGGCCGAATGCACGAAGCCAGCTATGCCAGGTAGTGGTGTCTGCCCAGGACAAACGACTGGCCGAGGCATCTTGGACGATGCGGTTGCTCTAGTTCGTGGTGACCGCTTCTTGAGCTACGACTTCAGCAGCACCACGTTGACACACTGGGGAGCAGCTAAGCTTCAAGACACGCCGCCGGGCTCCTACGGAGGTATGCTTCCTAAGCTCTTCTTTAACGGGCTTCCCGGCGCGTTCACCGGCACTTCCCCATACGTGCTACTCCCGTTCTATACACCAGAGGCCGCCAAGGGTATACTCAAGGGGAACAATGTCTTGGAGAAGTACGATCTCGCCCGACCACCCAGCGATCGCGAACTCATCAGCGTGCAAACCAATGAAGGCTGCAAGAAAGTCTTCGAAGACCGCGATAACTTCCGCGTCATGTACCAGGCAGCTATTCGCAACTGCACCGCCGGCCACGACTTCATGATTGGCTGGGACGACGCGAAGCGGCACGACGACAGGTCCAACATCCTGCACAAGGTCTTCTTCGAGGAAGGCTTCGAGAAGAACGTCAGCGCATTCTTCAGCGCCAACGTCAAGACGCTCATTCAGAAGAACTCGCTGTCTTTCTCGAAGGGCAGAAAGTCCATTGATATCGTACGCGACGTAACCAACATCACGCCCATCCTCTGGCTCGCCGACCGTTTTGCGCTTCCGCTCAAGACTCCCGAACAGCCGCGCGGTCTTTTGTCGATCTACGAGGCGTTCACAGCGTACCTCGTTCTGTTCATGTATCAAAGCTTCAACATCATCCCTGGGAATGAATGGAAGCTGCGTGAAGGCGCCATGAAAGCCGCCGAGCCATTGCGCAAGATCTTCGAAGCCCACTTGAAGACACAATCCGGAGCAAAGGAGGCTATTGTCGACTGGCTAGCAAAAGGTAGCGCATTCGAAGTCAGACCAAACGCTGACCGCATATACCATGGTCTCCTCAATACCAAGCTGCCCATTGGCGATATGGTGGGCGACTGTATCGGCATGGGCGCGCCTGTTGCTGGTAATATCACGCAACAGGCTTCCCTGCTCATCGACCTCTTCCTAAGCAAGGGGTATGAGCAGTACAAGGAGCGCATCATCGAGCTGGCAAACATGGATGAGGAATCTTCAGACCGAGAGCTGCAGGGCTTTGTGTACGAGGGCATGCGCCACGCTGGTGTGGTTCCGGGCCTACCGCGTGTAGCCGCTCGAGACATGACAGTAATCGACGGCGTGCGTGGACCCGTCCACATCCCCGCCGGGCACACCGTGCTCATCGCAACCTCCAAAGCCGCTATGGACCCCGCGGCGTTCCCCGAACCAGAGAAGCTGAACCCGCACCGGCCATTCAAGGACTACACTTTGCTGGGCCACGGGCTGCACTTCTGCTTTGGGGCCCGGCTCGTGGGGTGCTCGCTCGCGGCGACGTTGAGGGAGGTGTTCAAGTTGAAGAATGTGAGGAGGGCACCGGGGAAGCAGGGACAGTTTACGATTACGGAGCATGATGTTGCTGGAGTTAAGATGAGGCATTATTTGGATGCGAGTTCGAGGGAGAGTCCGATTCCGACATCGCTTACGCTGCATTATGATGAGTAGGGATACGTGGTCGAAGATGGAATAATATTGTGGTGCCGCCGTTGGGCTAGTGAAGGTTTTATGGGTAAATTGTAAGGACTTAATGACATGCATGCTATCATCATGGGCAGTCCGATTCAACTCAATGTCACGAGCTAACACTCACCATTTAAAGCCCACAGGTGCTTGCAGAGCATCGCGACGTAGGCCACCAGTCTGGGTTCAAGCCCCACGCTCACTCCTCCACTTCCAGAAAGCGCTCCAATACACTTTTCTCAGCTTCCAAACCTTCTCCCACTCCTTCTCCTGACTCTCCACAGTCGGACCCACATACACCTGGTTCGGGTGTAGCATCGCATACGGCCATAGATCCCGCGGTCTTTGCGCTAAACTCACGACGAGCGGATACACGTCATCGAACACCAGGCTACCCAGCACCTTGAGTTCGTTCCTAAAGCCCGGCGCTGTCTCTGCGATGAGACGTGGATCGTACGCAGTCGTGTCGATGAGCTTGAGGAAGCCGCCGTGGTCGCCGTATGGCTTGCGGTTCTGAAAGGTGGTCGGGGAGTCCATGTAGGAGGCAAAAGATTCGGCATCAACGACGAAGAAGTCCATTTTCCAGGCGCGTTTACGGCTTGCTGACGTGTTGCGGAAGGTTTGGAAATGGCTATTCATGCAATTAGCATAGCTACACTTGGGATCGTTGGCTGGGGAATGGTGCTTACCGTTTCGCAGCCTCGATATCGTTGTCCGGAATGCCGATTGCTTTGGCGTCGATCCACTGCAACGCCGCATTTTGCTTTACTTCATCGAAGCCTTCAACCCATTCACCCGAACGCTGGAAGTCTACGTTAACTCTAGCGAAGAACGTCTCCCATTGCTCCTTCGTCGGCTTACGTGTAAGCATATACGCGACGAAGCCCCATCTTTGGTCCTGCGGTCCACCATGGCTCAGCGACCAATCCGTCCTAGACTTGATGATAGAAATCCAGTGTTCACGGCCCAGCTTCTTCGGCTCACCCCGCATTTGGATCCGTAGCCTGTCATTGTTCTCCTTCGTTTCCTTCAGGATGGCATTGATAGAGCCTGGATTCGTATACACGGACTGAATGGTGGGTAAGAGGCGCGTGCATACAGGCCAGGCCATTTGAGCGGACAGTTCGTCCTGCTGGTCGAGTCGAAAAGGTGGCGGGAACATGGATCCGACTACTTTCGAATTGGAGTTGGATGCGGAGAAGCCGGTAAACCCATCCATGGGCATCATGATAGTGTAGTCCGCCATTTTCAGCAGCCTGTTCAGGTCCGACCACGATTCGAGGAATTTCTTCGCGGCGTCGGCCGAATTCGCAGCGCCATTAGCATCGACAGCAGCGTCGTATTCGGCTTTCCCCTTCGTGATGATTTCGTCGACACGGTCAACGAACCAGGAATGCGTCCTCGTGACCATTGTTTCGAACAGGTCCTGGATGAATTCGAGCCACAGGGCCGTCATATTTATTCTCGTGGCGAGCCCGTTCTGCGCCCTCCTCGCATTCACAGCGTCCTGAAACGTCTCCAGCTCTTTCGCCACGAAATTGAAACTACCCTGGATACCTGCTTGAATGTCCGGATCGCCCAGCCACATAAATGTGTAGATGGTGTCGAGCAGGAACTCGAAAGTGAATTGCCAGTTCTTCGGGTCATCCAATTTCTTCTCCCTCCAGCGAGCACCGGACATAGGCACCATCCCTTCCCAAAGCCGAGCGCGCATACAGGAAATCCGACGTTCGACGGTTGCATCGAACTCGGGCGGGCGGATTAGAATGCGCTCTTGCACAGACGATGCGGTTCGGTTATATGGTGACGGCGCCCAATTGGCATACGGTCTGCTAAAGAAAGGAACCTCGTCTTCTTGAATGAGCGGGAGACGGGATTTTCCGCCGCTGTACAGGTTTCCTTCGAAGGTAAAGTCGAAGAAGAAGTAAAGCGTGCTCGCGGGGATGAGGCGATCGACTGGTCATGTGAGCGCGCGTGGAGGAGGTTTACGCGTGTGATAGGGATGTGTTATTACCGACTACCAATTCTCGGACAGACTGCCGATTGAAACCAGTCAGACTGTCAACATTCTGGCCACCGGGTGGTGACGACATTTTTGGAGCAATGTGCCCAGACGGCTGAGGCTAATCCCACTAAGAAAAGATTACAGGATATTGCGCGGTATACTACGCGTTGGGCGCGTTAAATAGTTGACGCGTGGACGGTGTGAAGAGTTTCGTCCTTCAGGAGGTGGGTGCCTAGGCTACGCTTGAGCCCGCGCTAGCCTATATAGTAAGAACGCTAGTCTGCTTTAATCATGGTCTATCTTCGGTTGTCTGATTTCCGCTTGGACACGCTTTCCAGTAAATATTGGAAAAGCTGCAGCGATTTCACATTCCCGAGAGTTTAAGGTTTAAGGGAACGGGCTTAGGGTTTTGAGGTTCTTTGCCGGTGAGATACAAAGTCCGGAAAGCTGCATTGCTGACTGGATGCGCGGGATAGCCCCCAGTTGCTACCTGCGTAGCTGATATGATTAGCTTTGCACGCTGGTTTTTCGACCCGCAATTCGCGAGGCTAACACCAGTGTCTCTAGGGGATGAGGAGGGACAAGTTGTATATGTCGTCGACCATCATTCCTTGGCTAGTGCATTCGCGTTCGCATGAGGAACGATGGGGAATGATGTCAGGGGCGTCGAGTGAAGTAGGAAACGAACAAGCCTGCCGCTGAGAGTACGCATGCATGTTGAACCGGTCATTCGTGCGATAATCCTTCAAAAGTATCAATAAGGTCCCCTTGATGCAACTGGGTCGAACCCAAGTAAGCTACAATTGAAACGACGGACTCGAACATTCTTTTTGAGAGGATTCATACGCGTACGCCCGCATACATCGGCCTCAACGTCGCCTGATTGCCTCATAACACGCAGTCATGAAGTAGCCTAGCTAGTCTTCATGAACGGCCATCCCACATAGCCCAGAGTCAGCATTTCCGTACTCTTAATTTCCTCCGCCTTTGCACACATCTCGTCGACGTCCCAGTTCGCGAAGACCATCTTCCCATTAAGAAACTTCGTCTTCGGTTGCGACAGCCACACCAGGAAATGGGCCGGCAACGTCACTTGAGAAACCCTCATTATTAAACGTCTCTCATCACGAAGCGGAGGCAAAACATACCAGTATCCATGGGCAGCGCATCTGGAGTAGCGCCCGCGCGCCTGAAAATGCTCGTGTCTACGAGGCCCGGATGCACGGAGCACACAAAGAGGTGCGGGTTCTCCGCAGCAAGGAACTCCATAACGCGCATCTGAGCGATCTTCGATGTCTCGTAGCCTCCGAGATACGGCGTCATCTGGGGTGGAAACACCATACTTCCGGCGGCCATGGCATACATCGCAGCGTTCGACTTTGCAGTAGGGATGAATGCCTGCGCAGTCACGACGATACCCTTGACATTGGCCTTGCATGGAGTCAGTAAGGTACGCCTACTCCTGGACGTGACTTACTTCGTAGTTCTTCCAAAACTCGTCCAGCGGCCCCTGGGCGATCAGTCCGGGAGGCGAGGTATATCCAGCATTCAGGATCAGCACATCCCAACCACCAACACGATCAGCAATGCCCTTCATTCCAGCCTCATCAGTGACTGAGCAAGCATATGCGTGGGTATTGCACAGCTCTTTATTAGGGATCAGCTCCTGGGTTTCGCGAAGAGTGGATAGTGTGCGTCCGATAAGGACTAGAGTTTTCGCTCCAGCTTCTGCAAAGGCAATTGCGGTCGCGCGTCCAATCCCGCTGCCCTAAAGCAAACTTAGTAGTATGATCTATAGAAAGAACAGTGAGAAAGAGACGGCAGACTTACTGCGCCGGTGATGACGACAGTCTTGCCGGCCTGACTGAGCTCTTTTCCTTTGGGATCAATCGCTGGGTATGTGTCGTTGTGCCAGGTGGCCGTAAGAGATGGGTACGGGGGTTCCATGGTTGCAGAGTCTGATGAGATATGTCACTGGTAGTCTGTGAATGTTTCTACATATGCGTTCATCGAAGGGGTTTATAAGCTCCTCCGCTGCGCCGCTTGGGAGCGCGATCCCGGCCGCACTGGGGATATCTGTCAAATTAAGAGCTGCACTCTCCTAAGGTTCTCGTGCGAGTGTTGGCCAGGCGCCAAACAGGCACCCCACATAATGCCAGACAGAAGGATCAGAAATAGTACGCCATCATGGACACAAATTAGACGTAGGATGAGCGGTGTGTTGGTCTGATAGAGGTGCAGAGGAAAACGCTTCGATACCGTCGTAGTCTTAACCATAAACTATGCCGACTATGGATCGTGCGTGTTCTTATTTTGACTCGCTCGGCACCCTGCCAAGGGCCAACCCCGCGCTAGACCGATTCTAATAGAGGTGCGGAGGAAAGAGAGGACCCCTGCCAAGATGAAGCTTACTAACTGTTCAGCTGCTAACGCCGAACACCCCGCCCTCCGCATCGACCACAGTCCCCATAGCCGCCGCGCCGCCCGAGTGGTGACGCTGCATTCCCGAGCGTTCAACTCGCTCTCGTAGCACCTTATCCGTGACGCTAGCCGTGAGAGGTGTCAGACAGTCCAGCCCGTGTCCAGAAGGTGTTTCGCTTTCGATGTATCGTTTCACGCCCTCGGTTCCAAGCATCGCCCTTGAGCGTGCGACGAGCAGCCTGCATAAGCACTTCGCGATCGATTTCCGTAGAAAGATAGTTTGACTGAATCTTTGGTGGATCACCCGGTGAAGACGATCTAAGAGACACGGTTCCGCGCGAGGTTGGAAGCAGGAGCATCGTCGACGTCGCGATATGGGCCCCGTCGACAGGTATACCTGGAATACCGGGCGGAACGTAAACCGTAAGCACTTCGAAGAGATTCCGCTCCAGTAGGTCCGATTCCCCCGTAAGCTTTTCGAACGACTTCTCCGGCAGCGGTTCGCTGACGACCCAGTTGTACGGCAACCCTTTGAAAAGAGAGGGATGCGTCCACCCGGGGCTTCCGAGAGCGAGATTTTGAGATGGGTCGCGCAGGCGAAAAGCCATGTATATCGCGAAGTGGTCGAAGAGGTTCCTTCCAACCCCTGGTGAGGCCTGAATTACTGGAATATCATGGGAGAGGACCTCAGGAGCTCCGATGCCAGATAGCAGCAATATTTGTGGAGTGCGATATGCACCAGCGCAAAGAATAACTTCCTTTGTTGCTTTGGCGACCCGGTTGTCCTCCAGCTCCACGCCAGTGGCCTTCTTTTCGGTGAAGGTCACTCGGCGCACGGCTACCTCGGTGAGAACAGTCACGCCTTCGAGCGGGTAAGCAGCATATGAGGGTTGGCGAAGTCCCTCCAGCGAATTCTCCTTCAACTCCACGAGACCACTCATGGAACCGTTTGCGCTATCTGCCCGCTGTACGCCTAGTCCCTTCTAGGCAGTTTCGACGGCATTGCGCTTGGATACCGCCCCTCCGGATCCGAGGATATAGAGACGGCTCCAAAGTGCTGCTCGGCCATGTCGAGCCAGGGCTTCAATCCCCGATAGCTCCATCATTCGTCGCCAACAGCTTTGCTCCAGTGGTCATAGCCTTTTGCGTCCGCTTGTAGCCAGTCCCCAAAATTCAGGATACTCCCGCCTCCAAGGGTCCTTCCCGCAGTAGAGTGTGAACACGGCCGGCGGTCTCAGCAACTGGCTCGCTGCGGTACGCGTAGTCCAGTTTCCCACCCAGGAGCCCAAGGCCAGCGAGAATGGTATCAGTTCCGGGATCACCAGATGGATTAGGGCCAGCCTCGAGCAGGGCGGCCGGTGGTGGTGAGGCGCTACGCGCGAGGCTGGAAGCAATGACGCAGCCAGTGAGGCCCCCTCCGACAACGATGGAGTCTGCTGTACTTGGCTCCATGGCTAGAGGCTTGTCGAGGACCGCGAGGAAGCTTACAGCCAGAGCATTTGGGTGGTTTCCCTGTTAATGTAGTAGGTTATGATTTCTAAGTGGGGCTGTAAGCTCCCAGCTGGCCCAACTTATGCACGCCGCAGAATGCCAGCGCTTGGCGCGGTAGGCTAATCGCGCTCGGATTTCTCAGCACGTTACACGACAATGCATTCGCCGAGGCCGTAACTCGGGGAGTGCGTAGGGGTTTCTCGTTCGGTCATAGGCTAAAGTCCTCGAGCCCTTTAGTGCGTGTGGTCCGCTCCGTCGGTTTAGCATCCCATCTCTCCGCTTCAGGATGCTGAACCGCCCCATGATATTTGCAGTCACAAAGCATCAAAGCTTTTTTCGCCCTACTCGACGAATTCTACCGATCCAAAGCGTTCAGCGAGCCACCACCTCGATTTCGGGACCAACGGCGAGCCGAACGAATGACAGTGTTTGGAAGCTTGAAAACATCGAAGCAGCCTACTGGAACGAGTACATTGCCACCCGCCCTAAGTGCGATGCCACTGTCTTCGACCCGATCTACAATTACCATGCTGCCGGTGTAACCCCTTTTCAAGACGTCCTCGATACCGGTACTGGCGCTGGCTCTGCTCTTGGGCCATTGATCGAACGCTTCGAACGGGTCACTGCGAGCGACAATGACGGCGTCAGTGTGGCATTTGCGCAACAAAGATTTCAACATATTCCGCGTAGCCGGCTCTCCTAGACTATATCAAAGGGAGAGGAGCTCATCAACTACCACGCTCCTACTTCCTTCGACATGATAACGCGCGCTTTGGCTTTCCCTTTGCTCAATACCGAGAAGGCACTCCGCTGCATATTCACGCTTCTGCGTCCCGGGGGAACCCTAGCTATTTGGTATTACGGACCGCTCTTTTTCGTCGATCCAACACTCGCAGCAAAAGGCCAGCCAGCCCTGTATACCGCAGTTGATCATGCTTTTGAGCCCGTCGTTGGCGGTTGCGCTACTCAGCAAATGGCAAGCTGGAAACGTGCAGCTGACGGAATGGCGAGCTGGCTGGACTACATTACGTTTTCCAAGGACGAGTGGCAAGACGTTTGCCGCCAAAAGTGTACTTTTGGCGCACGGAAATTCAGTCAACGAGAGACTATTTGGGCTGCTTTCGTCGCGAACTCCAGCTATGACAGTGTTGAAGGGCCGGGAGAGAAGAGCCTGAGTTAAGGCTCGGCCTAGGCCTACGTTTCTCAAGCGTTAGGTTGCAGTGTGAAAGAGCAGGATAGAAGCAAGATGCACTTACCTCCGCTTGCGCCTGTGATGATATACACGGTCATACTGAGAACTTTTGATAGTCGTCTCGTCTTAGGGCTCGAAAGGCGCTCTCTTGCGAATCGGTCTATTCTCCAAGCCGATGTGCCTCGGAAAATTCTATCGGTAGGATGATTGGCTGAGCAACTTTGCAGCCTCCTTCCGCTTTTGATACCATCCCCATGCAGATCACACCCATGTCGCCTTTCGGGAACCGACCGTCCCAGGCATTGGAAGGTCTTCCAATGCCAAGGCGCACGCTGTGCCGCAATATGTCATCACATCTTAGCTGATCATCCCCACAGTTCAATTTACGTTCAATTTTGCATGTCCTTGGTGCCTTCATCTGACCGGTGTCAGAAAAATCCTAACCAGTAACAGACATGTCCGGCGTCGATGCAACAGGTCGTCCCAGGCGTTCCGCCGCATCCGCGCAGTTCGTACCTTTGGCTAATATTTGGAACCACTGTGGTGGGTGGGCGCTTCCACGGCGGTTTTCGGACTAAACTCCTGGACCAGAAAATGCTCGGTCCTGCATGCAAGGAGCGAATCCGGCTCATGCTTACGTTTGGCCTCTGACCTCCAGTTCATCCTTTTGGCTAGAGAGAAGAACTAGATCAATTCCATCCACGGGTAGAGTCCGAGAAATGAAGGAGACGGGATATACACATCGACGCAACTTAGAGGAGAGGGAAAGCTAGGAGCTCAACGAAGGTCCTGCTATTTACGAGCAAGGACGAATGAGAATTGGAATCTCCCGTCTTGCTCTCCCTCTCCTACTCGTTCTTTCCAATACACTGTTCATCAGTATTTAGTTTTCTTTGCTCCACAAGGAAAAGAATAGTAACGACAGTTGCGTGCGACCCCTATTAATCTACTGTAAGGCGCTCCAGAATCTAAGAAATGGAGCTCCAGAGTATGCTAATGGCTCAAGTAGGTGAGACAATATTCGTTCTATCCGTCAGTCAACTCGCTAATGCAGCCACAAAGCCGTAATTCACGGACGGCTGGGACGGCATCAGATTGTGGACGCGAGCGGTATGCCCATTCTGGATGATCCGCAGTTTCTCGTCTACGAGCGTGTCAGTTCCCTCACCCCATCCCTGAGTTCCCTATTGAGGTTTTGCAGAGCACTGACACGCATGTAGACGAAGTTCGCGGTCAACATTCTCGGCTTATCGGTCTAGGCTTCATCAAAGCTTCAATCCTTGTCTTTTACAAGAGCATCTTCCATGTTAAATCCTTTCGGTGGGCGGTATACATTATTCTATGCATTGTTATATGGTGGACCACCTCATACGCATTTGCGAGCCTTTTTACATATTGGCCGGCCACCGCCCTCATTGAGCCATTCTACGGAAATAAGTGTATCAGCGCTGTACCTATGTGGCTTTCCGTCGTATACAGGGACATCCTCGTCGACGTCGGCATATTGATAATGCGGATCCCAATGGTCCTGAAACTCCAGTTGCCCTGGCCGCAGAAGCTGGGTGTTTTGGGGATGTTGCTTCTTGGAGCCAGGTACGTCCATCAAGTCTACACTAGTCGTGCAAGCAAGCATACTCCTACTGACTACTATGCTCTGCATTTAGTATTTGCGCTATCCCCGTTACGCGGCTTATCATTCTGACGAAAATCGCCGACGAGTTCATTTTGCACTACAACGATATGACTTATATGCCCCTACGAAAGCAGTTTCATATAATCACACACACTTACTCAAAGCTAGACTATACCTTTCCGGTCTTCTTTTGGACCAATATCGAGCTCCCAGTAGCTGTCGTATCCACTTGTCTGCCTACTCTTCGCCCGATATGGGCGTACCTTAAGTCGTCCACCGAAACCTTCCAAGGTTCAACCGGGCATTTATGGCGATGCTTCCTACGAGCTTAACGGAAGCGGTAAATGATCCGACAAGTTCGCTACTGACCGGTACACAAAGCTCGATGACATTGACAGCTCTGCGAGAGGCGTAGATACTACCATTCGTGCGGCAGAGCCACGGTCAGGTGAGGACATTGAGAGCGAACACAGTGCCAACGAGCAGGAAGTTGAAGGCAGAATCTTGGTGCACACTAGCGCTGAGACTATAGTACTCGACATATTATGCAGGGAAGTCTATTAGTGATCCTATTAATAATTGTAGATACAGCATAAGCAAATGAACTGGTTTCCCTCCCCGTCTTGCTCGCTCAACCCGGCGCACCCATGAGGTAAGCCGCTTATTGGCGGCACCCTGGGATTTCCTCCCAGCCGCTTTATCTCGGACAGAGGCTCTTGCCGCATGCAGCGTGACACGTGAACTCGTGCACGACCAAGGCTCGCCTCGTATAAAGTAGCCGAAAGACCTCCAGTCGTCCTTTCGGTCACGCCCTTTTTATCTTACCCCCGACTATGACTATATCAAAGTTCCCCTTGCTGTTAGCACTTGCCCTTGTGGACGTCTCGAATGCTACTCTTACAGCCCAACAAGTAGTAGCAAAAGCGAGAAGCGATTTGGTGCCAAGGTTGTCAACAGGAGCCTTCATTACGTTTGACGAACCCCCGCGCTGGAGCACTTTCCGCGCGCCTGAACCCGCTGTCACCGTTAACGTAAATAGTGAGTCGGACGTCGCGGCTACCGTAGGTTCTACTCCAGACCTTCAACACGATATCGTCGAAAGAGGCTGACACGCTTGTGCTAAAAAGGTGAAGTTTTGCAATGCCTTCGACATTCCATTCCTCGCCCAGAACGGTGGGAATGGGTGGGCGACAACGTTTACTTTGAAGAACAATGGTGTCTTGATCAATCTCGCTCGCCTCAACCAGGTGACGGTTAGCCCAGACAAGACGCAGGCCACTATTGGAGGCGGAGCTCTCGTTAATGGCATAATAACAGCAGCGAAAGCTGCAGGCGTTCTAGTCGAAACGGGGAACTGCAACTGTGTTGGAGCACTTGGCGCCTACCTCGGCGGTGGTTACGGAAACCTGATGGGCCTGTACGGATTCGGTGTCGATAATATCATTTCTATGCGCGTAGTTACCGCCGACGGAAAGATACGGACTGTTTCGGCTTCCACCTCCTCAGATCCCGATCTCTTCTGGGCGATGCGAGGTGCAGGTCCTAACTTCGGCATCGTGACTTCGGCTGTTGTCAAATCGTGGCCGGCGATGTCGACTGAAAGGTCGGCATGGACGGGTGCTCTCATCTTTTCGCCAGAGAAGTTGGAGCAAGTCATCCAGGCTATTCAAGCTCTGGAACTCAAACACGATATGAACGTCTTCCTATATTTCATTTCCTCCGGACCGCCCTCCAATGAGCCCGTGGTACTTACGACCCCATTTCTGTACATGGGCAACGCGACCTCCGGAAAGGCTGCCTTTGCGAGCCTGTACGCAATTGGACCTATTCAAGATACCACTGCCGTATTACCTTATACGGAGTGGAATTCAGGAGGGGACGCATTTCGCAGCCGAGGTCCTCGCAAGCCATCCTTCGGCGTGGGATTCCAGGCAATGATCCCGGAAGTCTGGCGCAAGATCTGGAATATGTACACTGAATTCCAGAAGAAGCTCGGCGCCGAGGCAAGCGTAGTCCTTCTCGAGGCGTATCCTTCAACGAAGGCGCGACCTAATTCGGTACCGGCTTCCTTCCCTCATCGAGAGGTGAAGTTCAACGCCGTTGCGATTCCATGGTACAACGACTCTTCTTACGATGCGGCGGCGCTAGCTTTCGGGAACGCAGCACGAGAGCTATGGAGAGGAAGTGATGACTTGCCCTAGGCTCTACATCTGCCACAGATCATTAAGCTGTTTCTAATCTATCCCAGGTATATCAACTTTGCATTTGGAGACGAGGATCTTTCGGTAGTGTATGGTGAGAGTCTTCCTCGGCTGTGGAGCATCAAACGGCGAGTAGATCCACAGGACAAGTTCAACCAGTGGTTCAACATCAAGCAATGAGCATGACAAAGAAATAGCAGTGCATCAGCGGGAGCGACAGGCAAAGAGAGGAGACTAGGCGCGTTGAGGCGGCGTGGGGATCGTTCGTTGTTTGACTGGGTTGAGCACTTGTGCTTGGGAATAATGGTCGTGTATAGATAGGCGATAGAATTAATCTCGGTGTGTTGTAGAGATGCTCGCCGAAGTGAAGTTGAGAGCGTGGACCTACAAGGTACAGCGTGACGGATCTGTGAGAAGCGAGAGGCGTCAAGAAACTTGTTTAAGACTTGTGCAACAATAATAGTCAGAATCGTGGACCCCTCACTTACCGCCGATAAGAATGCGGCCGCGCAGTTGTTCGAGTGGAAGTCGGCAAGCTTGGGTCCCAAGAAGGCAATTGTACCTGCCGATCTGCGTCACGGTGATGTAAACCTTACTGTCCACCACCAAACCTACAGATAAGCAAGACCACACCACATCGCTCCGACTCTCTTCAACCACCGCTCGCGAGCCCTAGTTACCCTTCGAATACTTCCACGGAATTACAATCCTCACGACCAGAAGCGAAATGTCTTTCCTGCGACAAACTCTACGACCAGCAGCGATCGCACAAAGCGCAACACGCCTTGCGAAGCCCTCCGCTTCTTCAACCCTTCCACGTCACTTCTCAACAGTTCGCCCACTATTATCATCTCAGCCCAAAATCCTCCTAGAGGATAAGTCCAATGGCTTCGGGTTCATCAGGCACAACGCGCTCCCGCCGAAGCCACGCCAAACAAGCGTGACTGAAATTCGAGGCCCCTACTACTCCGCCATGGGTCCAGGCTATCTCTCCGATGTGCTCTCCACTATGGGCGAGCATGTTGACGGACTAAAATTCGCGGGAGGGTCCTTCTCGCTGTTTCCAGAGAGCGAGCTGCGGAAGTTGATCGATCTCGCGCACGACCATGGCGTATATGTGAGTACGGGTGGATGGATGGAGCATGTGCTTACGCAGTCGGATGCCGCGGAAGCTGTGGACAAGTATCTTGCGAAATGCAAGGACGTGGGCTTTGACGTTATCGAGATCAGTACTGGATTCCTGTCGCTGCCGCCGGATGATTGGGTGCGACTTGCGGAGCGCGTGCAGAAAGTTGGTCTGAAGCCCAAGCCCGAACTCGGCATTCAATTCGGGGCCGGAGGCGACACGGAGGCGGCCGATCTGGAGAGCATGGGCACCTCGGATCCCTCGCGCGTCATCAACATGGCGAAGCGGTTCGTGGATATGGGCGTGGAGCGGATGATGATCGAGTCGGAGGGCATCACGGAGAACGTGAAGAGTTGGCGGACGGACGTGATCCAGGCTATTCTGAGGGAGATCCCGCTCGAGAAGGTGATGTTCGAGGCGGCGGACCCCAAGGTGTTCAACTGGTATATCCGCGAGTTCGGAGTCGATGTCAACTTGTTCGTGGACCACAGCCAGATCGTCCAGTTGAGCTGCTTGAGGCGAGGCATCTGGGGCATGGCGGATACGTTCGGTAAGATCACCACTTACAGGCCGGAGGGGAATTGAGTGGCGAGCAATTGATTATGGGTACTGTCTAGGCATTGGTACTCTGTTGGTCTTCAGGCGACGTTCTGGTAATACCAAAGTCGAGAGAAGATACCGGTACGGACTTGACAATTTTTGGTCTCAGGCACACAGTGGAGTGGCAGTGGCGTCCTTCGCTATGTAGAAAACTCTCTGAGTAACTAACTCCTTACACTTGTATATCACTCTCGATAGGAAATCCCATGCGAAATCCGTCTTCCCAAGTGTGCACCTCCATCTACAGCTTCCCAGCTCTTCCCTCTCCCTGGGCAAATCTCTTCGCTCCTTCTATAGTTTCCTTCATGAGCACATCGGCCCCATTATCGAATTCAAACCTCAGCGCATCTTCCAGCGAGCTCGCGGCGTAAGCCGCATAGTAGCATGACTCGCGATCCCTATTCATGCACAGCTGCGGGAATCGCAACAAGAGTTCCGCAATCTTCATCGCCTCTTCCAGCGCCTTTCCCTTGGGTACCACGCGGTTCGCCAATCCCATCTGCAGCGCCTCCTGCGCGCCGACCGCTCGCCCGGTCAGGATCATATCCATAGCTCTTCCCAATCCCACGATAGCTTGGAGTCGTACCGTGCCACCATCAATGAGCGGGACGCCGAAGCGCCGACAGAAAACGCCGAATACCGCATCCTCTTCAACAACTCGCATATCGCCCAGCAGACTCAATTCAAGTCCGCCTGCGACAGCATATCCGCTCACAGCGCAAATGACCGGCTTGCGGGCTTGCATGCGCGAGGGGCCCATGGGCGCGATATTGCGGCCTCGCACGGGGCCGAAATGAGGGGCTTCCGAAAGAGCGCTTTTGGCGACTTCTTGGAGGTCGGCGCCCGCGCAAAAGGTTCCGTTTGCGCCGTGGAAGACGCATACTTTTTGGGAGTCGTCGGCTTCGAACTTCAGGAAGGCATCGTAGAGTTTCCGAGCGGTGGTTGGGTCGACGGCGTTGCGGCGCGCTGCGCGGTTGAGGGCGATAGTTGTTATGCCAGATGGCAATGCTTTGTACATGATTGCATCTGGTTCGGGATCCATGGATGAAGATGCCATGGTTTTAGGGGCTAGTTGATGAAGGCAAGGACGAGATATATGGGTGGAGGAGGTGAGATTAAACGAGAAAGCGGGGAAGGCCCGACAGATGCAGTGGCTTACATCCTCAGCAAGATACCTCGGCTCTTCCTACGAAAGCCATTGTTGTGCTGATATGCGCGATTACTCCTTCAAAGCTGTTTTGTTGATGAGAGTGTCCTTGTGATCGAAATTGAGGTTGGGAAGATCGAGGTTGGAGACCAGATGCATTTAGACGCTAGATCTTTTCCAGGCTAGCGTGGAAAGTTGCCGAGGCATGCTAGAGCCCTTGACCTCGCAGCCGAGTGCATCGACCCTTTCAGGTATTCGGCGATTCTTTTGTTATACCTCCTGCAGTTCTCAAGGCGAAGGAGCATTTTAACAGGGGCACATCATGCTGCGCAAGGCCAGCAGGGCGTTTGCACAGCCCCAATACTCGTTACCGCGGCCTTCCACTAATCCTAATCACGATCTCTCTTCAACCTCCTCTGGAACAGATATATGAGCGCGAGCGTTTGAAATAGCACCTTCATCGCCGGAACTGTTTCTCGACACGGAAAGGGGAATCGCGAAAAAGAGGCTCAGTTTCCTCCACAACAAGCGAGGCAGAGATGGGCGATCTCGAAGCTGCAGAAAAGGAAGGATGCGATGAACGACGGACTTATACCTACCGCCCGATGGAGTCCGCCACAACCATCCGGTTGCTAGAACTAAGTCCAGGTGCCGAAGAGAACCCTTTACGCGGAAGACTGCGCCATATCGACATAGACCAGCCGGGCTATCCCGCCTTCGACCCAGTCACAATGGACCGCGACGAACCAGACATGCTCCACGAGTCGGCTTCCGATCCTCAATGTCCACGCTACGAAGCCTTGTCCTATGTCTGGGGACCCGTGGTCTACTCGCACCCTCTCCACTGCGACGAAGGCAAAGTCTTCATCACACCCAGCCTCGACGAAGCCCTACGGCGTCTCAGACTATCAGACCGCGTTCGAGTCCTCTGGGCGGACGGAGTGTGCATCAATCAAGCAGATGTGCAGGAGCGCGGTCAGCAGGTCAAGCTAATGGGCAGCATCTACAGCAAAGCCTCGCGCGTGTTGATTTGGCTAGGCGCCGATCCTTCAAACAAGGCGCCTGAGACCTTCCAGCTAAAGTTCGGCCTTAACGAGACTCTTACGACGGAACTGTTAGTGAACTTCGTAAAGAGCTGCAGTTGGTTTGAGCGCATGTGGGTGGTGCAAGAAGCGTACCTCGGCCAAACGGCGCTTGCTATATGGGGCGATGCGGAGATAAGCTTCCACGAGCTGGAGAGCGCTATGGCGATAGTCCGGGGAAGGATCCCGCGCGAGAGGGCTTGGATGATACGCATGTATCACACAAACTCCGCACCCTTGGACTTCTTCCAGACGCTCAGCTCTACAAGGCACCTAAAATGCTTCGACGCCCGGGACAGAATCTTTGCGCTCCTCGGACTCCCATACAAGGCCAGAGACCAGAAAATCGTCAGCAAGATCGTACCGGACTATACAGTACCAGTGCATGAGCTGTACTACCAGGTTGCGTGCCGAATGATTGAGGCCGGGAGGGGCGCCGATGTGCTACGCTTGGTGCTCCACGGGTCAAGTCTGGCGAAATGGCCTCCAGACCTCCCATCATGGGTGCCGAACTGGGCCGACTCTTCCGCTTCGTGCTTTCCGTCTCTCTCCCACTGGAGGATGGAGGTGCGCTCGTGGGCGTCCCTCGATCAATCCAACCTGAGTCTCATTGCGCAGGGCTACACGCTCGACCGGGTGTTGGCAGCGTCGGCATCTTGTTGGAATGAGGAATTTTCTGGCATGGATACAATATCTGTAACATCCTTCTGGGAAACCAACATCAAGTCGATGACTGAAAAGCTTAACCGACGTGGGGATCTTTTCTTCTGCGAAGCGATCACATGTGGAGGAGGCTTTTACAGCTTAGGTTGGGCAGACGCTCAGCAACAGTCTGCTGAATGGTTCCTGAAATTCTGGAGCGCCGAAAGAGCTGCTGCGCAGACCATGCAGGTCTCCGGCCTTGGCGAAGAAATGATTGTATCTATCCGTCGAAGCATTACGGCCGTGAAAGAAGAGACGAAGGAGCACGAAAACAAACCGATCAGAATCCCGGCTCCTGAGCGATTCCGACACTACCTCAGGGGACGCAAACTATTCATTACTTCTAATCAACACATCGGGTTAGGTCCGGAAGCCATGCGAGACGGAGATGCCATCGCTCTTTTGGACGGAGCAGATACCCCCATGGTCCTGCGTCAACAGGAAAGCTTCTACCAAGTCGTTGGAGCAGCATACATATCAGGCCTTATAGACGAAGAAGGAATCCAAATGCGGGAGCAGATGAGCGACAAGCTTGAAACTTTCGAGCTCAGATAATACAACTATCCTACACTCCTCGTTGCTATGCGCACGTCGAAAAAGAAGTATCTAGTCCTACGTGTAAGAACAGAAAGTACTAACCTCTTTTTACTTCTAGATAGCCTTCTACTGCCCGCCGCACCTGTCTGCATCTTATTAGTCCTGCGCTCACCTACTCTGATGCCCTGGCCATTAGAGGGATACTAAATAATCGTCCCCTCTAATCTTTCTCTTCTGGATGCGATATGCAGCAAAGCGCCCCACGAAGGTGGTTGCTATCAATATTGTAAGGGCAATCATCCATCGTTCAATGTTTGACCGCGAGTGGTGGTAGCCATGATCGATTCTGATGGTATTGCTTTGCTCTGTTGGGGGCGTGAAGTTTAGCCTGACCGAAAAGTTATGTTTATGGACAGTTCTGTGGCAGCGCAATCTAGGTATGTTTTCCGTGCCCCGGCCTTGCAGCTTCCGTGCCGCCAACATCCCGGACGCCGCGTGTCCTATTCCGGAATCTGACTGCATCAGTGCTCACGGCCCTCGGCAATGATTTTCATGCAATTACCCTCGCTCTTAGCAGTTGGTTAACTAATGCTGTGCCCCCTTCATGAACATTTGTTTTGCTGTCTTGTTTCCTGCGTCAGTTCGCTCCATTGTCCCATATCTCCCACATCAAAACCGCCCCACGCGTCATCTACTGAAGAAATACGCCTCACATATTCGAAAATTCGATTCCTAAGTTCCAAAGTATCCGGTAAACAAGCTTAGAGCCATTCCACATTCTTTATCGCGCTCATGGCTTCACTATTTGCGGATCTGATGGGGCTTTTACCCTCAATGGCCCCTCCGGGATCTTTCCAATCAATGGCGGCTCCCAGTCCTTCTTGTTATTGCTTCCCTGGGGATCCATGTTGGCCAACTATGGCGACATGGAACGACTTCAACAAGACTGTGGGTGGACGATTGATTTCCACCGTCCCTCTGGCTGCCGTTTGTCACAACGACCAATTCGAGGCCTACGATGCGAACGCGTGCGAGAGCTTGAAGGCAAACTGGTTCTTTCCGGAGACCCACCTACCATCTTCATCCTCCGTCATGGCAGCCCTCTTCACAAACAACAGCTGCAATCCTTTCCTACCGCGAGAATTTCCTTGTACACTTGGGAACTACGTCAACTACGCAGTCAAGATTCAACATGCTTCTGATGCCAAAAAGACTCTCGCGTTCGCTAAGAAGCATCACATTCGTCTAGTCATTCGCAACACTGGCCACGATTATAACGGAAAGTCTACTGGAGCTGGAGCGCTAGCCGTTTGGACGCAGAACTTGAAGAGCATCGAGCTTCTGGAGGAGTATAGCCGCCCTTGGTACAAAGGACGAGCTCTGAAGATTGATGCGGGAGTCTCGGTGAACGAGGCGTACAAATTCGCCGATGCTCATCAAGCTACCGTTGTGGGAGGCAACTGTCCAACTGTTGGCATTGCCGGGGGTCTCGCTCAAGGAAGTGGCCACAGTCCACTTGCTACTAAGTTCGGCCTGGTTGCCGACCAAGTGCTCGAATGGGAAGTTCTTACCGCAGCTGGAGAGGTGGTTACCGCCAACCCATCGAGTCATGAGGATCTTTATTGGGCTCTATGCGGGGGTGGGCCGGGAACTTACGGCCTCGTGCTCTCAATGACTGCAAAGCTTCATCCTTCGATTTCCGTGTCATCCGCAAAGTTGAGCTTCGCTCTTCCAAGCACTACGACCGGGATCGAGAGCTTTTGGGAAGCGGTCAAAACCTTCGCCGAGTCTCTACCTGAAATGGTCGACAGAGGATTACAAGTCACTTGGACCCTTGTACCCGGAGTTTTTCTAGTCTCCCCAGCTACCGCTCCGGAACTTTCCAAGCATGATCTGGACGAACTCTTCCGGCCAACCCTGAAGCAACTCACCAGAGACGGAATCCCATACCAATATCAGTCCGAAGAGTTCTCTACATTCCTCGCAAGCTATGAAGCCATGATACTCCCCGGCTCGAACGTATCAGATTCCATCCTAGGTGGCCAGCTGCTTCCACGCTCCGTCGTCGAGGACGACATCGAAGAATTTATCTCCACTCTTCGCACCATTACCGAAGCAAACTATGTCTTCGCAGGATTATCCCTGGATGTATCCCGGGTTCCCGCCCACAAAACTGCCGCGCACCCATACTGGCGAAAGACGCTCATTTCCGCCGTCCTGGGCACCTTCTACGACTACCAGGATTTTGAAGCGAACCTCAAGAACCAGCGGTACATGACGGATACGCTAATCCCAAAGTTAGCTGCATTCACAGGCGGCAAGGGTGCTGCATACGTGAATGAAGCGAACTTCTTGCAGCCTCATTGGCAGGACGTCCTCTACGGCGAGCATTTCGGACGACTGAGCAGTATCAAGCGAAAGTACGACCCAAACGGCATATTCTATGCTCTTGGCGCTGTTGGAAGCGATAGCTGGGTGCAGAAAAGAGATGGTCGGCTCTGCAGGGCTTAAACGGGCAAAGAGGCTGTTAAGGGTATGGCTAGAAATTATTGTTAAGACTTGTTGGCTTTCAACCACCCAAATTTGTTGTGACTAAGACCGACATGATTTACCCCGAGGCGTTTGGGGGTGATGTGAAAGACCAGGTGACGTTGATGCCAGGGGATCTGTGGTGCGTTTTGAGCGGAGATTGAAGTAGTACGAATGCCTGGCCCTTGGTCGTACGGGTCCGAGCCTGATGACGATAGCCTAGGTTTCTCTGTCTTCCCGACACATAGATACCCAAGTGTGAGCGTAGAATTAATACATACAACTACCCTACACTTACCCTTAAACTCTACCCGCCTAAAAAGCCACTATCTGCAATCCCACCAGCACAACCACAGAAATTGCCAACCTTCCCATGCTTCCAGACGGCATCCTACCATTCGCAGCGCCCGTCTGCGTCTCGTTATTCCCGCGCTCGCCCACCCCAGCGCCCTGGCCATCGGACCCATCAAAGAAAATCTCCGACCCATTTTCTGCCTTATACCCCACCAGTATGAAGTCCTTCACAACCGCCGATCCATTCATAAGGATCTGCCCCTGCGCCAGTGTGCACGTCTCCAGCACGTCCCACAGATAGCACTGCGCGGGTTCTTCGTCGAGATGCAGCTCCGACGCCGTCCAGGCGGACGCGAGACCGGTACTTGAATAGGTGCCGTTGCAGGAGGAGGTGGCAAGTTTGCCGGTTGCGACGTCGGTGTTGAACATGACGCGGTTGAAGATTTGGTAGGCGGTTTCGGGTTGGTAGTATGGGACTGGGAGAGAGAAATACGAGTCAGCGCCGTGTTTGATGGGGCGATGAGAAGGGTGGGGTGTGGTGATGGGGCTGTTGGCGACTTACCTTCGTGACCGGCTTGGTAGACGCGGGAGAATGATAGATTGCCGTACTGCCGCACAAGCCCCCCGACGTAGGACGCATTGGTCTCTATGTCGGCGTAGCCTGCGTTCTCGAAGGCGGTAGACATCTGAGAGTCAATTGCCAGACTGATGGCTTCGCCGCCCATCCAGTTGCACTGGTAGTCTCGGTCGCCATAGACCAAAGCGACCTTAACGCCCTTGTCGAGCAGAGTTCCGAGATTCGCGAGGCCGTTGCCGCGGACGAAGTCCCCAGTGAGATTGAAGCCTGTGCGAAGTGTTAGTCGGGGCTAGGATGGCTAGCTATGGTACTGAAGGAGTGCACCCTACCATTTGCGACGACGAGCGAGTTTCCTGTCCAGTTGAGGGGCACACCCAGAGCTTGCTGGATCTCAGCGTCGTTCAAGTAGCCGGCGCCCCACTTTGGCGGGAATGCTTCAGGATATAAGGGCGCGGCGATGTCGAAGAGGTTTCGCTGCGGGGCGAGTTAGTCAAGGTACGGTGAGGCCAGAATGGGGATGGCTTACCTCTTTGGTGTAGCCATCATGCATCGTGGCGAAGCAGTACATGAATGCGCTCAAGCAAGCCTCATTAACACCCAAATTGGTGCCCAACCCTTCTGGGTCCTGCTCATCGGCCATTGTTCTGCATGTTGCGGTCATGTTCCGACAAGTCTCGGTCGCGGCAATGGCGGATTCGTACTGCGTCTCGTTTATCGTCCGGAAGCCATATGTATTGTTGAAGGCGAACTCCGGGTAGAACGGCATCTGCGTGTCCATATCGATGCATGCGTTGACAAGACCGACGGTGTCGAGGTGGAGTTGGATGGCGGAGCCAGTGATGCTTCCATTGGCTATGCGATCATTTTGTTGCTCGAAGTAGGCGGCGTAGACGGGAGCATAATGCCCGGCATAGGACTCCCCCCATATGCTGAAGCTATTGCTCTTCGACTGGTACTCGGGAAAACTGCAGGCGAAGTGTCAGTGTCTGACTAAGAACTACCAAGCCGTGAACCTACCCTTGCATCCAAGCCTGCATGAAGTGCCACATCACTGGTGCTGCTGCGATCGTAGTATTCGGTGCGTTGTACAGATCGCGCGAAGCGAAGGTTCCGGTAAGAAAAGTTAAGTTCGTCTCCGGTATGCCCGTCTGCGAAAAGTTCGCCGGGTTGTATGCAAACGGCGTTTTCACCTCATCGATCGTTCCATTGACCAAGGAGTCATAGCTGAAGCCCACTTGGACGGGCTGATCGATGTACAGCATGCTGACTTTGTCGTTCCACGACCAGGCATTGAGTTCAGTAGACCTGGAATCGTCTAGGACGATGCATGGTCCATTCTCTCCTATAGCTGCTGTTACAGAGGGCACACCTGGCCCACCTTGGAGCCAAACCGACAGGGGCGCGTTTTCCGCATCGTTTCGAGCTTCGAAGAACCAAAAGTACATGTGGCTTTCGTAGTCTCTACTTTCGTCCGAGTTGGGCGGGAGGTGCACGTATCCGCTGTATGACTTGACGCCGTCCGTCGTTTCGCAGATTTTTGTCTATCGCGTCATCAGCATGGGGGGATCCTGAATGCATGATGCTATACTGACTTCTTTGTATGAAATGGAAACTCCAGGGAATTTAGTAGAATCAATGACCGAAAGTCCTTCAGGAGCAGGCGGGAAAGACCCGGCTGATGCAACAAAAACTAAAGTCGACAGGGGCCAAATGGCCCACGATGCGACTACCATTGCTGGTGGAAAGATGGCAAACAAATAAAAATAAAAGAGATATTAGAACTCAAACACAATACGAACAGTCCGTGAAAGTACAGAAGCGATAGTATGACTTTTGCGATCTCATCCCCATCGCGAGCTTATAAAGCCGAGTTATGATGGTCACAGTCGGTCCTAGCTCCATGTCCGTATCCGTGTCCGTACTGGTATTCGCGCGAGAGCGGGGCGAAGGATGAATGGGAAAAATAATGCGGCGCAGCCAAAGACCGCAACAATTATCCCTGCGGAGAATCCACTCGGTGAGTTTGTATACGGGGTATCTAGGGAGTAAATATCAGCGTTGCGAGTAGTAGTCGTGCACCGAAGGCTTCGTGCGGCTCGCGCTAGCATATCCAGGAGAACTAAGAAACACGTAGGATGAGCGCGCCACGTGGTGCTGCTCGTGGTATGTACGAGAGCGAATGACGAGGTCTGCGTCCAGCGTTGTTGCATCCACGATTTAGGAGTTAGGGGAGTTGGAACAGCCCTGGAGTCCGCAATCACCTCGTGGCCCGCATATCCGGAATAGGCCAAGCGCGAAACAACGCATAGCCTTACGCGGGCGCTACTTCCACCGACCGTTCATTACCTAACACTAACATTAGTTCGAGCTTCCTTTGAGTGCACACTATTACGTCCTTGGGGGCGAAGCAGTCGAAAAAGAGCCCTTGTATAACAGCACCGAACCCTCCACACCCCCAGCATCCATCTTGACCGCGTTCTCCTCGAAACAGTCAAGAATATTATGTGTCATATCAAGAGAAATTCCTCCGCCTCATCCTCCTCCCAGGTAACCGCTTCGCCATTCATGCAGCCATCCAGGTAGCACACACCCACAACTGTATATACGAGCTTCCCGCTTTCATCCGCATCGCCACCTTGGATCTGCCTCAGAATGATGGGGCAGTTCAAACCATGCAGTATATAGACAATATCCCCAGGTTCGATATACAGTGTCGGCTGAGCATGACCGCAGCGTTTGCCTTCCACCAAGAAGGGAGTGCAACGAGATAGAGATTCCCACATCTCTGCGAGCTTTTCATACGCTTCGTGCATACTCGAGATGAGACTGGGGTAAAGCGGGCGTTTCTGGATCTCCGATTCTACCATGGCCTCGTACTTCAACCTAACGCTTTCCCACTCTTCAATCAACCACCGAGGAGAATTTAGGAGTCGCAATCCCCAGTCTGGTAGTGCTGCGGCTTTGAAAAGGTAGAAAGAAGACTGCATTGGCTCGGGCAATTCCCGGTGAAGCTTCACTAAGAGAATTTCCATGGCGTAGTCTACATTGAGTTGGGGGTCCACGTTCACCACGTTGTTTACGCACTCCAAGAGGGCTTTATTAAGAGTTACGTAGCTTGTAGCAGCCTCCCACCGCTCACCAACGCGGGTTACGCGATCGATTCGTTTGCCTCGAACTCGGAGGTAAGGAACGGCGCTAGCAGCCGATAAGATGTGCTTCCGGTTCCTGCAGGCTGCCAGCTTGGTGGTATCGTAACCACTCGTCCACGTCGTCTTCTCCACTCCCGTACTCGGCCAGTAGGGAACCCAAGAGGGTAGAGCGTCGAGGTCCTCCCCCCTGGGTAGGTGCTCGAGGACGTGGAGAGTGCCATAAGCGTCGATAATACTCGCTGCGGTAAGGGTAAAAACCTCGTGCGGGGCCAAAGAGTAGTTCGGTGCAAGGTCCAGATAGTCCATGATGCCGAGCAAACCAAATACATGATCGACTGTAAGGCGAAACTGGCTGCCTGTAGAGATTGTGTCCAAGAGCTGGAGTGCGCTATTGGACGACTTTAACTTCATCATATTCCGGAAGCGCGAGTGACCAGGCGAAAATTCCAATCTCTTGTATCTGCATCTTAAATCCTCAACACAGGGAAGCGGAGGCTTCTTGCCTGGGCCGGCCCAATGGCTGCTGTTTGCTCGGTCCACAAACCATTCCAGAAATTCCACGCTAATCTCGTGTCCACAAGTTAAGACCATGGCTTTGGGAGATAGTACCATTTCTTGAATAACCCAACCTCTGAAAAACCAGGGATGGAAGAAGAGGAGATAAATCGAAGCAATAGTATCTGCGCCTAGCAATTCCGGAGGTTTCCCGGAGGAGAAATGGCAAGCTTGAAAATCCACGAGATGTTTGACTATATCCCGGAAGCTGGATTCTTGTAGGGCCTTTGTATCGTGTTCCTCTTCCCTTCTCAGCGGACTATAGCGAGCCCAGCGGGGGTATAGTTCCGGCGCCAGATATATCAACACTCGCTGGCAGTGCTTGTATATTTGGCCCATGATCTGGACCTGGTGGTTTTTCTCCGAGGTGCTTTGTTGATTGATACCTGGAATGATTGAGCTTATGCCGCCGAAGAAGAGACATTACACGTACAGATCTGGTCAATCCATAGGTAACCCGTCCCAGCAGCCGATGTTATCTGCGCCAAGGATCGCTCAAGGAGCTGTGTGATGCTCAAATAGCCACTCTTTCCAATAGCCAAGCGCGCATCTTGAGCCCCGTCACCCCAAACATAGGAGACAGTCTCATATGGCGGTGGATCGTTCAGGTTGGTGGTGACCAGGTCGAAGGTGAACGAGGCTTCAGCCTGATAGCCGTCGGATACGCTGGGTGCATCTTCCCGACACAGTTTGATGAGGCGAATGGCGTTTGGCGACTCAAGGTCTTGATACTGGTAGGGCGCATCCATCGCGGCTCATGACGGGGGCTGGAAAGACGAGATAAATCAGTCGTTGCGAGCGCTTTTGAGAGGGTGATGAGGCTATGCACAGCCTTGGCTGGTTGATGGCAGCCTAGCGGTGGTTTATCGAGAAACTTCGGAAACCGTTACCAGCGGAGTGGGATATGTGACGAGAATGGAGATAAAGACGGTATGAGAAACTGCGTCGCGAACCTTGGAATGAAGTGGACGAGAGAGGGAAGAGTTTCCAAGGATGACTCGTGAGGAAAGTGCAGCTGACGACAACGCCGCTCGTCGCAGAAGAGGCTAGCGTGAAATGCCCGGCATCACGGGGCCCGTCCAATCGAGACTCAATCGCTATGTATTCGAGTACCTTCTGCAGGAAAGAAAGACGTCACACCCATTCTACCCTTAAGCCCATCTGCAGCCTACCGATAACCCCTAGGCAGATAATCATACTCCCCCGCATGCAGCCTCGCCGTACTACTACTCGTACTCCCCCTCTCGACATCCCTCTCCCTCCCGGTCCCCGCATCCCGCTCATCAGCCACCGTCTCCACCTTCACCGTCTTCACAATGCCGCGCTCGGGCACCACGAAATTAATGCCGCTCTCGCTGCTACTCTCGCTGCACACCTCCTCGTCGCCCTCTCTCTTACGATCCCGATCCTGATGTGGCTGTGGGGACTTCGCCGAGGAGATCTGGAACACGGTGCCACTAGCTTTGTGGAAGGAGGAGCGGTTATTTGTGCGCGTTTTGGAGGTGAGTTCGGTGCCCTTGGACGGGTTGGACGAGGAGTCATGGTCGTGCGGGCGGTCGGTGCGGTCTTTCTTGCGGACGACTTTGGAGATGAGGTCGGCCATGTTGAGTTCGATGTTGAGTTTGACGACGTAGGCGAGGGGGTGGAATTGTGTGTATCTGGCCCCATGCACATCAGCAAACGCCTCCACTACTACCACCGCCAGTAGTAACCGGAAACGGAAGCAAGAAGACGGGGGATAGGCTTACACCATAGTATTCGGCAGACTCATCATACCCAAAATCAAGGCATCCATCGCAATACTAATCACCACGATCCCGGCATTAAACCGAAAAAGCTCCATATACTTCGTCAAACCGCGGTCGATGAGCTTACTCCTCACCAGCCACAGGAAGTAGGCGTTGAGGCCGAAGTCGATGATGAGGTAGAGCACCTTCTCGATGCGGTCCCAGATCTCGTTGACGTGGACGAAGGTGGGGCTGACTTCCATGCGCGCGGGGATCCACACGCAGTAGACAGAAATGTTGATGAAGGCGACCGCGATGAGCAAACCGAGCTTGAGCCGCCGCGCATGCTCGCGGACCGTCATGACGAGCGAGACGCGGTTCGCGATGATCTGGATCAGGCACTGTGTCTGGACGGTCCAGAGCATCACAAGGCCGAGGTAGAAGCCCAGACTGCGCGCTCAGTCAGCCTTCGCTGGGATCCGACGGAAAGGGAAGATGCTTACCTTGGTTTGATGTCCCCTCGTAGGAAAAGCCACACGAGAATCGCCCAGGTGAGATTCACAAGAAGCTCCGCCCAAATCATGAACAAGTAGATACTCCAGACATTGCCCTTGCGTCTATAGACCGAGAGAGACTGCTTGCACACGGACGAACCGGTGAGTGTGAGGAAGCCGAGCGTGAATCCGAAGCAGATGGTGGGGATGTCCATATCGGACGGGCCCGGGGCCGCCATGCTGATTGCTATCTGGTACTAGTAACCACCTTCTCTGGACCGGGTGCGAGTTTTCGAGCAGACGTCGGCGTCCAACCTAAAGATATACTGGACGAAAAAGATCGAGCGGAGGTAGTTCCGACCTAAAAAGAGGCCTCGACTTATGTATTCGGCGCTGGAATCCAGGAACGCCGCCGAGTCTCCATTTCGCACATGGATTCGACCCACCCCCAGACGCCAAGCTCAGCGATCAGAGCCAGGAACGCGCTGATCGATGAATTTGACATGGAGGAAGAAACGTTATCCCGGTCCCAGGGTCCTTGCGAGTCGTTGCATCGGCCTGGGCTTGTCTGGGCATTAGAGTGCGGATTAGGGGGAAAGGTGGCGTAGTGTGGTCCTAGAGTCGAGCATGTCGCACATCAGCGAACCGACCACGTGGAAATCCAACGTCCACATAATCCCAATGGCGCGGAGACCGGAAAGTCAGGAACGCAAAGAAGTTTACGCAGTAGAAAGGTACTGTGTTATGTTTAGCTTGCGCGGTTCTAGGTACCGCTGCCTCTGTCTGGCCATCATCCCTGAAGCTCCCTTTACTCTAGACTCCCCATGCCCCGAACACATATAAAATGGGCCGATAAGAAATCCTGAATGATAAAACGTGCGATGTATGGTTGATGCTGACACAGCTTTTGGATCCGCGTTCACCAATCTTCCAATAGGCGGCGTTTCCGCACGCCTCATGCGAAAACTAAGTTTGCTCCGGAAGTTGAAGCCAAGCAGCAGAGGCACAACAGACGCTGTTAAATACGAGGGAGCCGGCAAAGTCAAAAGGAAGGGTCAGTGGTGGCAACCAAAGCTAAATTGATAAGTCGTACGACACACTGTCTGGAATACTCAAATTTTCGCGGTTGACTAACTCGCGCTTGCAGAAGACGGGAGCTTACGAGTAGTGCGTGTGATTTGATTCTTGGCACCGGACCTGGAGGCGCAGCGCATGCTTTTGTCAAGCACGAGAGTCGGCGCAAGCACGAGATTTAGAGTCCCGTCCACGGTCCCAAGAGGTATGTAACGGTCGTGAACCCGCCGCCGCGGTATTGCGTCCAAGCGTGGCGCACGCCATGGGGAAGCGAAAACGGGAGTTCTGGAAAACCGTGAACATGCTTGTAGTCGGGCCGATTGCATAGCTTAAGATACGAGAAAGGAGACGCGAAAAAGAAGATGAATGCCGGCAAATAGAGGCACGATGATTTCTGTTTCTCCTCAGCAGCTCGGCAGACGAGTAATGGCGCAATCGGCTCGTGCATCACCAGTGGCCCCTACTCACCGCAGCAGACTACAGTTCCTCGCACCTCTCGCAGCCACATCGGAAACCCCACTGCCTCTTCAGCAACAACATCCTCTTTCCTCTTGACAGCTTCCTTTCGTCGCCACTCAAATACGTAATGCACAGCTCTTCTCCCTTTTCAATATCCCGCCCAGCCCTGAAATGCCACGCTCTTCCCACCCTTGTCTTCTCGATATTCGGGCCGCATGAATGATTGAAGTAGGATGCAGCGGGCCAGCATCCGTACCCGAAGAACTCCGAGCCATCGTCTTCGAGCGAGCGGATGCCGAAGGAATTGTGAGAGTCGCGTGTCGAGAGGAGGAAGAGCGTTTCGGGGGTTACGAGAGGCAGAAGTGGCAAGGGAAGGACGGCAAGAAGATGCAAGTACGTGCGCGTGAAGGCGCGGAGGTCGTCCGAGTTGTGATACGGTGTCGCATCGATGGCAAGGCCAAGCACCTTGTCCCAGTCTTGCAGGTTGTTGTACTTCCACACTATACCACTGACGCAGAAGGTCACGACGTCGGGCGCGATAGGCTGCAACAGGGCCTTGTGCAGTGCTTTGCGATGCTGCTTAGTGACCTGTACTCCGTCTTTGACTTCTTCAACCCCATTCACGGCCTTCGTATCGCGCTCTCCTTGTCGCGCAATCCGTATCAGCGCCGCCTGCTCGGCAACACTCTTCCATGCCTGTGTTATCTCCTTCAGCTTCGGCCGCGGCAGACCCACATCCACCATCTCAGCATCCTCTTTATTCCTCCCTTTGACGAGCTTCTCCACCGCAGCCCAAGCCTGCACGCCAATCTCTCCGTTCTCTTGCCTCCACTTGTCCCTGCATTCCTCAGAACAGAAGGCGAAGCCCACAGTCTGATCCCGTATCCTCAGGTCTCGCCCATAATCGTAGCTGAAGCACTCCCCACACACTTCACGCCGGTATTCGCGGAGCAGGACGGATAGCGTGAGATCGTCGGAGCGCCAGACGAGCGTGTCGGCGGGGATATCAGCGGTAGCGAAGACGGCACGGCCGGCATGCGGCGTATGGCGGACCTCGAAGAGCGGCGACGTCGGAACCCCTGAAGGGACAGCCATGGGGAGGATTACAGCGTCAGTGGTTCGAGAATGGGCTGAAGAAGCGTGGCAGAGTGCGCAAAACAGCAGAATCCTAGACGCCCCGGAAACGTTGAGATCTCGCTCGACGGTCACAAAGCGTAGCAAATACACGAATGACAGGCGGTGATCAGTTTCGTATATCACGTATACTCATACCAGACGTGAAAGATCTAAGGAAGTGTGCCATGGTGGGCTTTCTGTGATGCTGTGAGTGTGTGGTGAGCGATGCGAAGACGGTGGTGGAGGAATGGCAGCGGTGTCGTCTTTTTGTGCCTGGGGCGAAAAGGTCCAGACCTGTGGGACAAAGCGCGGGGATAGCACTAGCGTCCGGAGATAAGGATAAGCGATAAAACGCCTTAGTCACTAGCCCTGCTATGCAGCTTTTAATCTCCAGCGGAGTTTGGCATTTTGGGGGGGTATATGAGACTCACGAAGTCACGTGGATATAACTACCCTGGCAGGCCTGGATGGGAGATCCATGGCCGTGACAGTGTAGATCCATAGGTCGTCCGCGTGCATCTCATGAGCATCCCCATTCGTGAAAATCTCGCAGGACCGGCAAAACAAGGTTGAGCGGCGACCGTAAGAAGAAGTCTTAGGGCGAGAATGAGGCGACGTTGTGGGGGCGGTCCGAACGATAGTGCCCGAAGTTCTCGTCGCCCACGTCCTAAGCGAATCACGAAGTGGTGAGCGAGCCACCCATCACTCAACGTCCACTAACTCGCTCTATGTAAGTAGCATCGTATCGCCTGCATCATTGATGCTTCACTTCTAAGCCGGCTGCCGAATGGCAGCAGGCCCGATCCGCCTTTATGCTCCTGTCATCTGCAGCTTGTGCAGGAAAGGCTGACGGCAGTGTCTTTGCTTTTACCGTGGGTACGAACGCCCACTCGTCCTTCTCAACCCTGTGAATGCGGGGCAAGAGTGCCCGCAGGTATTGCCCAGGCTGATGCTGTGCAGCCTCAGCTCCTTAAAGGGCCCGAAACCGCCGAGGACTGGCGCAGAACAGATTTTCATCAGAATTCTTTTCCATCCATTGTCCGCCGACCCGGACCCGACATCATGAGTGCCCTGACTACGTCCGATCCCGACCGCTACAACGTCCATATTGGTTTCTGGACGAATTGGACCTACGGGAAGGTCCACGGGGCAACGCTGACACTAACTCGACGCGACGGAGGCCTCTTGATCGCATTCCTAGCCTTGTTCGTCAGCTATAGTGGCACGAGCTTCTGGAGGCTTTGTTGCTTTGCCTTGCACCGGCTCTGCTCGTCTTCCCAACCACAAGATGGACGTTATCACCAACGCCAAGTCATATGGCGCAACGCAACGTCCGCTAATGATGGCACCTGGCGGCTCTCTCGCACGATCTGGGCCTGGCAAAGAGGAGGAAGGAGCCCCGGAAAAGCATGTTCCTCCTTCATCCCCGCGCTTCTATTGGCCATCGTGATCTCGGCCACCTTCTCGGTTGCGGGTATATTCTCATCTAGAGTTACGACGGCGACTGCGAACGAAGTGCTATTTTCCGCCGGCCATTGTGCGGCTTGGGATCGCACCTTGATGACAGCGGATTTCCAGAACTTCACGAGCTTGTACCTTCCCAATTACAACGCAAGGGTTTCGACCCATCTCAGCTACGCCGCTCGATGCTATACCCCCACAGCCAGCCCCGAGGACTGCCAAATCTATGTAAAGCCAAGCCTCCCATTCTCTGTTATCAGCGGTGCACCGTGTCCCTTCCAGAATGGCATCTGTCGCTTCGCATCTAGTAACTTGATACTCGACACTGGCTTTCTGGATAGTCACCACCATCTCGGGATTAATGCACCCCCTAAGGATCGCTTTCAGTACCGAGTGGTCAACCACTGTGCCCCCTTAGTCACTCAAGGTTATATGGAAGACTTTAACAAGCCATATAATAACACGCTGTTTCCGGAAATACCTATGGTACGCTTCTTCTACGGGCAATCAGCTTCCCGGGTCCTTCCGGGCACGAATTTCTCCTTCACGTACGAGGTCCCGGCGAACTTTTCCATCGACACATACAACAGTTTTCAAGCGGCACCAAATGATTACGTTATATCGTAAGTCTTTCTGACAGGGTTGCATGCATGAGCAAACAGACTAAGATCACGTAGGGCGTTGGGCTCGATTTGGCCGGTGAATAATTCAGACTCGGACCTCACTTCGGACTTCTTCCCGAGAGAAGAGCTGTCGCGCGACAATGCGGACGTAGTCCTGATCTTTCTCTCCTCCCTCGGTATCCAATTCGTACAACAGGTAGACGATGCGTGGTACTCAGCACATCGGGTCTATGGCTTTTTGACCGACACCACAGCTATGAAGAATTACACAGTGTACGCGCAAGACGGACCGGCTAGTGTTCTTGGGTGTACCCTCCAGCATCAGCTCTGCAACCCTAACCTTCCACTGAAGGAGCGTTGCGAACCGCTGAGGGGTATATGGTCGGATATCCAACCAGAAACCGCTCTGGACCTGTGGAAAAGTGAGGAAGATCGTGCTGCAATGGCATGGGCTCGTAAGATTCTCATCGAAGGGATTGATTGCACTATAAAAGACGTACTAGGGACAGCACAGACTGCAGCGCTCGTTGCCAGAAACGGACTGTATAAAGCGCTCCAGGGTCCACTCCCAGCAGATCAGTGGCAGCGTGAAGTACAACATTGGTTCGGCGCATCGCTCGCGTCGGTGCAGGATGCGTTTGTACAGGCGGTGACAGCGCCCACCCCGTCCGATATGGAGCAATTTCGTGTGAAGCCGCAAGACAGATCAGCACAACGCTTTTGTCGGAACCAGGTGAGTTGTCCACAGTGCGTAGGTGAGCAAATGGCGGTCCTAAGATCCACGCAGAAGCTGCTCAGCGCACGTTACTCCTCCATCAATGTATTGGGCATGTCCATCATCCTGGTCGTTGGCGCGTTGCTCGTCATCCTCGACTGGTCCATCGAATCGCTCGCGGATTGCATCCAGAAACCGGGGAAGAAGCGCAGGTGTTGTTGTATACGCGTCCGACCCGAACGTTACGCGCTGCTGGAGTGGAAGACCAATGCGATAGAACAGCTACATCGCCTCGCCCATGAAGGCGCCGGCTATGATTCCTGGACTCATCTTGAAGATGCCATTCCAATTCCATGCGGCGGCCTTGGTGTGGTGGATGGCGACGCGACGCACCCGCGATTAAAGCCCGCTCCGATCGAGAACAGCAAGTCAAAATCGACGAGTGGTGGCGCCACAAACATAGTATTTGGCGAGGAACATCCTGATGTACCAAAAAAGCACACTTGGGGTGCCCAGTCGCCACAGCACATCGAGATTGCCTCCACGGCCGTCCCGATCAGCGAGGCTATCGATAACCACGGTATCAACGACCCGGCGCCACCCTCCGCGTCCAACACCAGCACATCCTCCTCGGTCTCGACATAGCATTTGGATAGGATAGTATGGCATATAGCGAGCTAATTACATTGCGCATGTTCCTTGACTTGCGGCGTTGGGCTTCGTTTCGCCGCAGAGACGACTTTCACTGAAGGCGCGACAAGCTACCGCACACCACAGCGAGCACGGCACGCCACAAACTCGCTGCTCCGACTTCGCAGACACAGTGAAAGGAGGCATTGTCTCCTATGCCATTTGGCGCACGTAGAGCATAGAAAATTCGTCTCGCTGCTCGATCGACTTCCACAGTATAGCACGGGGATAACACTAGCGTCCGGAGATAAGGGTAAGCGATGAAACGCCGACAGTTGAAGCTTTCTTGGACCGTAACGGTCGCTATTCTTTTTCTCATAATGCTAAAGCTCCAATTCTTGGTTCGGGGGCACTTTTGATAGTGTTTCCGGCTTGGGACATTTTAGTCGCATGAATTCTCCAAGCTCAATCGTGCCGGTTCGTCCACGATCAAGGCGCTGCTTCAACTTCGGTGGCCTCCGGCGGTGAGCGTGCATTTCCCGACTCGTAGCACTGCAGAGTGCCAGCCGACGAGCATTTACTCGAACCAAGAATAAAAGGCGTGGAAGCAGAATCATTGTTCTCCGGGTTCTTCGGAATCATTAGAGCACCATCCCAATTATCCAACCAATGCCTCAGCATACCCCAAAATCCCGACACACCTCCCTCCCCACAGCCTTGACGCCCTCCACAATCCACAGCTGCGCATTGCTAAACACCATCACAGCCCCCGGCAAGAACGCAAAGTTATTCGACTCCACGCCCACCCACACCTTCCCCAGCAGCACCCCCTGCGGGCTCCAGACGTGCACCCCATCCCCACACCCAGCCCAAACATTCCCATCCGTATCGCAATGAATGCCGTCCGGAAATCCATTATCGGCATAGGCAAACGTCCTGCGATTCGCCAGTGTCTTCCCATCGACAACGTCGAACGCGTAAATCGACCCGGGCCTGGTGAGGTTTCTGTCAAACTGCTGCGCCCCGGTGTCGGTCACATACAGCGTCTTCAGATCCGGGCTGAACTCGAGGCCGTTGCTCTGCACGAAGCCGTCGGCGACGACCTGGATCTCGCCGGTGGCGGGCGAGAAGCGGTAGACCTGCTTCGGGATGGTGGGCGCGGGGCGGAAGTACTGGAAGAATCCGTAGTCGGCGTCCGTGAACCACAGGTCGCCGGTGAGTGGGTGCTGGCGCGCGTCGTTGATGGAGGAGAAGTTGCGGCCGAGGTAAGAGTTGAGGACGACTTCGCTTTGGCCCGTGACTGGATCGACGGAGACGAGTTGCGAGTAGTTGGTGAAGTCGCCCTCGTCGCAGAAGAGGAGGCGCGGGGGCGTGGTGCCGTTGCTTTGGTTTGAGCCCGGAGGATACCAGTTTGTGCCGCCGTTTGCTTCGGCCAAGTTCGCGTACCGCGTCGACTTGAGGGTGTAGTTCCGTCCCAGGTCAATGATCGTGACGTTGATCGGATTATCTAGGCTCACGTAGTTGCTCGTCACGTACAAGCTGTTCGTCTCGCGATTGTAGGTGCCCATCTCGTGGAAGGCTTCCCAGTCCAGGTTGTAAAGCTGTCTCGCTGTCGCATTTTCGCTGAGGACGTCCGTCCGGAAAGTGTCGTTGTATGCTAGCAGCGCTATTGTCGTCGGATTCGAGACATTGGTGGAGACTAAATTCGTGAAGTACGACGGATCCGTTGCTGCCGCGAGCAGATCGACCGGCATTATAGACCCCATGCTGACAAGAGTCGTGGTCACAAACTTCCAGACGACAGGCAGCTGTTTGAACGAGAGATGCGCGCCGGCGGAGATTACGGAGTCGTCGTACTCTTCCATGCTTTTGTACCTGCATCCAATTTCGGACCGACAGCCTGTCACAACGTCATTAACCCCTCAAGGAATTGTCTTTGTGTGGCCGGTTTGCGGGGAGAGGCGTGTAGTTCATTTCGTCGGCAATTGCGAACTGCTGATCGTCCAATTAGTTCCTGGAAATTTTGGTGGAAGAAATCAGGACCTGCAGCGAAAGGCGGGGTACAAAGGCCCGAAGACGCGGCTTGATGATCGCTGATTACCGAAACGGGAAAAGTGTCGGGGGATTCATCATCGTACCATTGCATACCTAGGTAATCCGTCACTCGGCGACACTGCTGTAAGAGTCGGGTGTTGAAAAAAATCAAACGTGATGCATTAGGATTATCCCCAATCGAAACCGACCTCCGAAATATACCGATCCCGAAACGATCCCATGGTATCTTGTATCCTCCAAAAACACCCAAACGCCTCATGTCATTACTCCATCCCATCCAAAAGCCCCTTCATCGAAACGCTCTTATTATGCCTCCCACCACACCCTGCCCGCCACACTCCTCCCTCTCTTCTCGACCTCCCTCTTCCCACTCCTGCTCATCCCAATCATCCCCTCCTCCGCCACCCGCTGCTCCCCTCTCGCCCTCACCGCCGCATCCACAACCTCCAACCCCGTGAACTGATCCATCGCCGCCAACCCAGCACTCCAGCCACCCTGCACCTTCGCCGCATTCGCGCCCATCAGATTCGCAATCTGCACTTTAAGCTCCGGCAGCACCACGGCCGTACCACCCAGCCACCTCGCCAGCGTCCCCTTAAAGCTAACCTGATCCGTGTTGCAACTCCCATCGCCCTCGCACTTCTCTTCAAACAGCGCGCCGTCGCGAACGAACGTGCGCTGCGTCGACGCAACAAACCCCTTGGTACGATCCAGCCATTTCGCATCCGAGGTATGCGCCGCAAGGACCGCAGAGCCATGCAAGAAGACGCCGACATTGTAACTCCACTGGTCATGGTTGACATCGACACATCCATTCTCCCCCTTCGCATCGTCAGTGCCATCGAACACATTAAACTCGCCATCGATCAAGCCCACGGAAGTGACCCAGTCGTATGCTTTCTCTGCCCAAGAAAGGGCGTCAGCGTCGTTGCTGAGCTTGGCGAGGCGCGCGGCGAGCTGGAAGAAGAGACCGTTTGCGATGCTGGATTTGTAGTGGTAGCCGTCTGTGCCGTCACCGACGTTGATTTTCCATTTCATGCCGCCATTGCAGCGCGTAGTGTCCCAGCGGGCTTTCTGCTGGTTGAAGACGTTTTGCGCGAGTGTGAGCCAGGGAACTCCTCCGGAAGGAACGGGGACATCGTTTTCTGCAGCGGTCAAAGCAGCGAGCGCCCACCAGGCTTGGTCGTCGTTACCAGTTGCGTCAGGGGTCATGAAGTCGTTGGTCCCCGTGGCCTGGTTCATAATCGTGCTCGAGAGGAGGGTTTCGTATTGCTTGTCTCCGGTGGCTTCGGCGTACGTTAATAATGCGTCGACGGTGGATCCAGACTCCCACCACCAGTACGGCTGAGGCAGGAGAGCGAGGTTCTGGTTTGGATATACGGCTTTGACGGCTTGTGCCATTTGCGCGGCAGAGGTGATAAGAGACTCGGTGGTAGGGACCTCGGGAGGTTGAGCCGCCGCATAGGGGGAGTTGGGGAAGAATGCCGCTATTGCGGCTGAGAGATGTCCTGGTAGTACTAGACGCATTTTGGAAAGAGTCGTCCGGCTGGATTAAAAGTATGAACGAAATGTCCTAAACGAACGATGTATCAAACAAAACGCGAAGGGCTGAAGCGACTCAGGACTAACAATCCATAAAGCGAAAAATGGACATTAGAGTATTACAGCAACTGAAAATTGAACGAACGAAATCGAGAGACTTGGCCAAAAGGGACAGAAGGAGAGAGCTACTTAAACCTCCTGAATGCACGCTCACGGTCAACCTGAAAATGCCATGCCCTAGGCGCAACAAAATCCTTTCGCCCCAATCTGTAAGGTATCCGCATAAGAGGTGCGGCTCCACCGACCGACCAGGCTCGCCACGTCGCTACAGCTCTTGGATAGCAAGGCTCATCTCCTTCGCACGATTTCATTCGAATGCTTTGAAGTTGAGGTACAAGCCCCCCTAACCGCAATCAGGGGCCATGTATCCGCCGCCACAGCCCTGCAGGACCTGAAACCTGGACGAGAAAATGTCAGCGCCATGGTTGGGCGGTTTGAAGGAAATGATGGGGCGATCGGCTGTTGAAGTAGGGTAGGGCCTGTGTGTTGCAGAACATTGTTAGCGAACGGCGAATGTAGGGGATGTGAGTGGTGCGCGCTGTCGATAAAGATGAGATTAACCGAAATAAGAAGGGGTGCCTGTTACACGTCAACCACTCGGAGGCATGCTATATATGGGTGTGTTTTTTATGCGTGGCTACCGAACAGGTACAATCGCATCAAGTCGCAGTCCCTTATCTGAGGGCCATGTCAGAAGCAGATCGCCTGGTAGTGGCGCGGTGTCCTCGCCCGGTACGTCTCGGCCAATTAGGATAACGGACGTTGGGTGTGGCGTCAGGTTGAAGCTGTGCCGCGAAGACCTACTTTGGGATCGTGAGAGGTTGGATCTTAGCAGAAAGAAAGGCTTTGGTAAGATTTGTGGATGGGGCCGATAAAGCGGGGCGCCGGCGAAGAGCAGGAGGCCTCATAGATGCACGCCTGGCGGCTGTGCTGTCGGGTCAATTCTGTGCCGCACCAGCGCGCTTCACAATAACAAGAGCTGAACTGAGACCATACGGCTGCGGTACGGCTCTAGTTGCTGATGAGCAAAGAAAAGAGGCTGCGGTCCGTGGCTTGCAAAGGAAGAGGCTGAGAGGAGGAAGTGTAGGCTCGCTCTTGCGGTAGAGAATCCTTCGGATCAAGGACTCGCTGTATGGATGATATTGCTCGTACAGGTCATACGTGCTATTGTGTTACGTGCGTTGTTATATCCGGAGATTTCCGCACCGTGAGGGTCTCGTTCGGTGCAAGACACTCCACTACATCCCATTAGCACACTACATCCATCCTCACATCTTCGTCCACCCCCCATTATCCACCCTACTCTTCACAAAAGCACCCCGCCCCTCCGCAAACACGGTGCCTTCTCCATCCTCAATCCACCCGACGGTCTCAATCCATCGGCCCGCCTCCCTCACAATGCGCGCTCTGCACAGCACAACCCTAGGCGTGGTAATCGCCTCCTTATACTTGACACTCAACTCCGCCGTCGCGCTCGTATTCCCGTGTACATAGGAAATCAGCGTGCCCATGACGTGATCCAGCAGCGTGGCCGTGACTCCGCCATGTAGTCGTCTCACCCCGCCGTCTATGCCGCTACCTATGGACACTAGCATGAGCGCTTCGGGCTCGTCTAGGTCGGCTTGTGTGTCCAGCTGCTTCTCGTCTTGCGCATCTTCCACTATGTCCTTGTCGGTGGGCGTGTGATTATCCGTCTGTCCTTGCTCATCGCCCAGCAGCGCATCGCCCGCGATCTCCGCATCGGCGATGCTCCTTCCTCGGCCGCGACCGGGTCTGTACAGGGACAGGAAGGCGCGGACAGCGTCGTCGGTGAAGAGGGTGTGGTTGAAGAACGTGTTGGAAACGTCCGGGTCTGTCGGCGAAGGCAAGGCGCGTTTTTGAATCTTCGTGATGGAGGGATCAGAGAGGAGAGCATTGCACCATTCGCGCTTCGTGAAGTCTTCTAGGTGCTCTAGCGGAAGGGAGGTGCGCGGAGGGGACATAGTGGGATGCCGCGCAATGCCGGAGCTGGGTGAAGAGAATCGCAAGACCGTGGAGGCCGTCGGTCTGTGGGGATGAAGGAGTATAAGACATGATCGCTAGGAGACGGTGAGTTCGAGATGATTAGCGTGCAGATCTAATGGTCGTGCGAGTCCTCAGATTCGTGGCTGATGGCCAGGGCAGGTCTCAAGGCCCGAGGATGTGGGGATGAGATTGGTGAGCAGGGATTATTTGGCGGAGAAATTCCTCGGCAAAGCAAGGTCACGTGCACAACGAAGTACTACTCCATATCTACATCTATACAGTATTGGGAAGCAGTAAGATATTGATGGCAGAATGATATCTTGTAGGCTTCCACGCTCTCCCGTACGTAGGAGATGGTAGCTTGGCTACAAGCACAAGATACGTCCCTGACGCCCCAGCCGAATGCTCACAAACAAACATCAACGAGAGTGCGTTCATGTTGCGGCAAGGGCAGCGGGTGAGGTGTATTGATGGAGGTTACTGTAGCACGAAGAGTCGACGATTCTAATTTTGACCAATAAGAGCCATATGTACTATAGACAACCCTACAACGTCCGTCTTGCTTCATCTTTTCCGTTTCCTGCCCCCGCGAACTGAAACTGACTTGTCTTGCGCTTGTACGGGCTCACCATGATCCTTCTCTCGCTGTAGCCTCATCTCCTCTCTTTCTCTCTGCATCTGTAGCCTTATCTCTTCTCTTTCTCTCTGCATCTGTAGCCTTATCTCTTCTCTTTCTCCCTGCATCTGTAGCCTTATCTCTTCTCTTTCTCTCTGCATCTGTAGCTGCATCTCCTCCTCCTTTCGCTGCATCTCTTGCCTCAGCTTCTTCATGCCTTCCGCCGTCGCCTGCTCCCCCGGTGTTGTTCCATTTGGTGGAGGCGAAAGGCGATCTTCTGTATCAGGAAGTTGGTTGTTGGAGCCGAGAAAGTCGTATGCATTTGCTCTTTGTCTGCCTTCGCCCAACGACAAAGACTGAAGCAGCTGTTTATCGTGCGTATAGATTTCAGCTGCGAACTGGTTGGGCTCGATGACGACGTGGAAGAAGTGCGACCGGATTTTCTCATCTATGTAAGTGTTCAAGTTAGCAATCTGTTGTTGACGTGAAGTCCGAGGACGGAAGCTAAAGTAGAAGAAAACGTACCATCGATACGAGCTTTGCGAAGCGAAGATCGAGGGCAGAAGTTGAGGATGATGTAGTCGTCCATAATGCCCCAATCCTGATATCTACCATCGCTTGCGAATCGAGCGATATGCTCTGCGATCTCGCGGGTACTTCCGCACTGCAGCAGCTCGATACCCCACTTCTTATCCGAGACGTAGAAGTCAATGCGGCCATCGCTGGTGTGGGAATATTCGGACAGGATAGGGAGACAACGCAGCTCGAGGTTCAGACAGCAATACAGCTCGAATTGAAAGGCGGCTTCCGGAATTCTCCAGCCCCGATTGGACCGGGCACCTCGGCGGTTGCAGAGGGCACCTGGGCTGAATCGAGCGATGGCATTGGTGCAAGTCTCCTTGAGACTGAGATTGTTGATGGCGTCTCGTTCTGGGCGCGAGATGAGACGGCGATGGGCGACCCGACGATGGAGCGGAGATGCAAAGGTGAATTTTGTTTCTTTGCTCCCTTGTACTGGCTGTTCGGTATGCAGATAGCCCATTTTGTGACAAAACGCGAATGCGTCGTCTTTCTTCTCAGAGAGCGTGAGTCCATCCGGATGCTCAGCTACTTCCCTGAGTGCTTTTTTGATATCCGGGAGTACAAGATGGCTGTATTTGGCTAATTCGAGACGGTCTTTCACATATTCCTCACTCCGAGGTATCCAGAACCCTCTACCCCAACGAGTGAGGTAATAGATGAAACTGTATTCATCTTCGACGATCAGATTGTGGAAGAAATTTGGCGACAGCGTCCGAGGTCGATCTTTGCCATACTATTAGATTGTTAGACAGCCGTCGACAGTTCAACTTCGATGAGCACGACTTACAAGGGTGTGCGTCAAGTGTGACAGTAGCAGTCCAACCATGCCCGGATGACCATCAGTAGCACTATACAAGTACTCAATGACTCCGTCCTCGAGTTGATAGCCGTTCACAGTGGCAAAGTTCTGAATGATAAAGGATAACTCCTCTCGCCGAAAGAGCATACGGGGACCTCCATGCATAGCGCGCAGTTCTATGCGGTGCATAGAATGCATTAGTAGTGCCTGAGACTCAATTGATGGATCCTGTATGTGGGAAACACCAGCAGCCCCATAGAGGCAAACGAGCACGAAAAGAGGTTGCGACCTTGTGATATGGTGATTCTTCAACATGGACCAAAAGGCTTCGTCGTCATATGAGTCTTGAGCTTCGTCGATGAGATAAACGACTCGGGCTGCCGGATTGTAAGGGCGAATTTTGGCGTTCATTCCTCGCCAAGCGTCCCTCTCCAACTCTAGATAACCCCAGTGCGATCGAAAATTGCGCCGCTCATTTTTCTGCCAAATGAAGTTCACCGGTTCTAGATCGGACTCTTGATGGGCGATGCGATGGCCTAGTAGCTTGAGCAAGGTAGTTTTTCCGACCTGGGGCGTCGCGCGAATGACCACAACTCCGTAATGCCGTGCGCGCTGTAGAACTGTGGTGACTAGTTCTTCTCGGTTGCAGACATAGTCGACGCCGGGGTTCCAAGGATCGTGCTGATGTGGCGCATGATCGTCCATTGAGTGCGCACACTGGACGCAGCTGTCGACCAAGTTTGCAAAGACGCCTTTTTGACAGGAGCACTTTAGACAAGACCAAGAGGTTTCTGTGGAGAAGACAGGAGGAGAGTCCAGAGCCGGTTTGTCGTTGCCGGAATCCTGAGGCGGGTTGCCATCGTGAATAGCAGCTGGTTTTGTAGTCTTAACGGATTGCTGTGTCTTGGATAGCTTGGGAGCAAGCTGCGATTCTACACCCTGCGCCGAAAGAAGAAGACGGGCCTGGGACCTAGTAGTTACTGGCATATTCCACGTTTGCGCGGCCGCAGTGAAAGAATCTAGTTGAGGGAGCGCGAATCACTCTTCTCTCTAGATATAACAGCATCTCTTTATTGTTCTGTAAGAGCTTGTGGACAAAGAAGCCCAAGGTCGGGCCGGATTTAGTGCTGTGTATAATTATGGGTTTGCGACAAAAGAATGCATAATTGTTAGACTAAGACAAAGAGATATTGCGAGACACACGAATGCCAAGGTCCGAGGATGTGTGGATGAGATGGGTGAGCAGGGATCTATCGTATGCATAAATCCGTGGAAATCTTGGCGGCTTCCTCACGATTTTGCGCGCGCCGTGGAAAATCAACTTCTTTAAACTCTGATATTTTTATTTCAAATTTTGAAGGAGAATTCTCCAAGTTATAAAGAAGAGTTTTTGCAATTTTCAAGAGAATCCTTCAAAGCGTTAAAGAGAAATTCAAAGAAATGAAGAAACCTTCATGAAGGATGCACAAAACACCACCCCTCAGATTCTCTTCAAAATTTGAAGGATCATTCTTCAATATATGAAGAGGAGTTCTTCAAAATTTAAAGAAAAAAAATCTCGTTATTAAAGAGAGAATGCGAAGTTTCTTACGCTTGCGTATTTTCTCTTCAAAATTCGAAGGACTCTCCTTCGTAACTTGAAGAGCAATCCCTCAAATTTTGAAGAGAATTCTTCAAAGCGTGGAAGAGAAATTTGCAGACAAAGGCGTCTTTTCTTGAAAATGAGGGGCGCTCCGCGCGCGCGAAATTCTTTGGTTGAGAAATTCGTCCGCAAAGCAAGGTCACGTGAGCAGCAAAAATACGAGTACATAGGTATAGGAGGAAGTAGTAGCTTCTTTTCTTTTAACAATGGAATGCTATTTGCTTATTCATTCGAGCTTTCGCGTGTGTAAGGAAGAGAAGATTAGCTATCAGCCAAAGAGCGGCCATTCGACATTCAATCAGCACATCCATTCAAGTTCTGAACATTCCATTGCTTGCTATTGGTGTCAATAACATCTCAGCAGCCCATAAGCAGGGTGCTTGTGATATCTCCAGCATCGAACGCCGAAGCCCCGATGACCTCAGAAAGCCGCCATGCCGTACTATGCTGCCAAAACGCCATGATGTATGCAGGGGTATACCGTTGCCCATGACCAGTCCAGTTCCGCCCAATGCACCGATGCTATGCACATGTGTATAGAAACCCAATCACCGAACCACCCTCACCACCTTTGTACTCCCATGCCATGCTATGCTCCAAGCTCTTATGACACCGAGTCTCAATGGCCTGCCAGTGAGAGAATGCAATTAGCTCTATACTCGTGCGCTATGCAGGAAAACAAATGCTAGAACATGCAAAAAAATACAAGTGCAGAAATGCAAACGCAAAGTTCAGTCGCGTATGAACCTACCCCGGAACTTGACGCCGTGACGCGCCATGTGCGCAGCACGGGGAGTGACTTGTGAAGCGACGGCCGGAGCGGTAACCGTGACGACCACGGTATCAGTCACAGTCACGACACTGTCGTCGCCAGCTGGGGTTTGGGTTGGGCGCTGGCGGTGTGGACGGTCGGTCAAGGTGGGGATGTTCGGGGTCGCAGACGAGTTGCCAGACGGAGCTCTCGCCAACGTCGTCTGAGCCGGTGGCGGAGCAGCGGTGCCTGATGGTGCGCCAGTTGCGGTCGGCGTTGCGTTGAAGACGGGGCCGACTTCGCCCTCGACGACGTCCGTCATAAGAGCAGTGCGCGACGCGAAGTCGGAGACCGCGATGGACATGGCGTCCTGCTGAGGCCCAAGAGCGAAGTCAGCCTCGGCTTGCGCATTGGCAACGGTGTCGACGACGTCGACGTCAATGCAAGTGGTGTAGTACTGGTCAATACCGTCTGGAAGCCCAGGGTCGACACCTGGCGAGGTGTTCCACTGCCAGACCCAGTAAATCGTGTAGGGCTTCCCGGTCTGGGTGTCTTTGGGAACGGCGGCGTTGCTCTCACAAAAGAGAGGGTAGTTACCTGGGCCGTCGGAGACCTGGCCCATGGCGAAGTTCGGATCCGACTTCTGACGGGCAAGCGAGATGGGAGAATCGTTCTTTTCGTAACAGCGCCCATCGTCATAGTCATTCATGTTCAGAAGGACGCCGCGCTTGTCGCCGCCTTGCCCGTCCTGCGTCCACCGGAGAACATCCACGAGGTTCTCGTCCTCCTTTGGCTGTGTGGTGCCGTAGACAAAGACCGTGCCGCCCTTCTCGGGCTTGCCCTGTTGGTTGTCGGGCAACGAGACGTGGCCATTTTCCATGTACCGCATCGCGATGAACTTGCCGGGAACGGCTTGCAGGCGGGGGTACTTCTCCTGGGACTGCTTCTGTTGTCGCTGGCTTGGGTGGCAGAGCGGGGTGCTCTCGTTGATGTAGGGGCTACCGGAGGTAGTCTCGGGAAGCAGCCAGTTCATGGAGAAGCCGTCGAACCCAGGGTCCGTCTTCGAGACCATGCCGCGAGGATAACCGTACTCGCCGACGTACTGACCTTGGTCGTTAATATTCCGTAGCTGCTCGATCCAGGTGTGGCCGGCAGCGAGCGGGGCGACGCCCAGTGCGGCGATGGCTGCGGTGAGGACGCCACGCATGTTTCTTTGTTTCGTGGATGTGTTATAACAGTCGTGTACTTGGCCTGCCAAGTTGAGGTTCTGTCGTGAAAGAATGTCGAAAGCCGGTAGCTGCGTACAAGTGCGTGTTGCTGAAGCTGCGCGCAGTTGCTGTGGAGACGTAGGTATGGTAGAAAAGGAGTTTTCGAGAAGAAAAATATAAATGAGCGGTAGAAGTAGAAGCTGAACTGTTGACTTGGCAACTTTCCCTTGAGCACAATGTCAATGGGCAACACGTGATTAACCCTTCACCAGGAAGTCACAAAGCTATTGTTCAATTGAACAATGGCGGCGCATTCCTTTGTTGCCCGCAACCACGCGCAAAAGAAGCGAAGGGAATGGAGAGACGACAGCGAGCAGGCGACGTGAATGCCCGAGTGTAGCACCAGGGTGTCCGCCTTTTATTAAAGCGGGTGAATGGTGGTGAGACAAACGCTGCGAGCGTTGGAAATTCTCCGTCACCCGAAGTGGAAGAGCAGATGGGAGCCAATCAAGAGACTCAGGCCAGAGACATCGAAACGGGACGCCACCACGCGCTCCCGCATTTAAGCTTTTGAGCCTGATGTGTGGTGTTGGATCTGCGTTTCAACGGGGAATACTGGACCTACACTGTAGCCGCCTGCACGGCGTCCCGAGCCCGAAGCGTCTACGCCGTGTACCTGCAGGCCCGCCCCGCGACGATACCTATCGATAAGAGGGCGAGCCTAAAATCGGAAATGAGGGCGGTGTTTGCGCAGAGACAGCGGGAGGACAGCGCTTCAACCGCGTAGAACGAGCCCGGCACGATAGCAGGACAACCTCAGGCTGCCCCCTCGCGGGATCACGGCAACTAGGCATCACCTAGAGTGCTCCAGATGCGCCTACCGGGTCGTGGGATAGCTTGCGACGCTCTGAACGGCAGGCTCTCCTGGAATCCTGGAATCCTGGAGCAGTCGGCATCGCGACAATTCTGATGGACGACAGCGCGAATGCTGTGGACGCGTTGCTGTCGGCGCACCGATGGCGAGCAAACTTGTACACTGGCGACACGACGACGCAGCGAAGACGTGAGAAGAGCAGACGTGCAGCACGCGACGACAGGCGATGGTGCGCCGATGCGGCGCTTGGAGAGAAGCAGAGATGGGATGAAGTGGGCGTGGTTGACCCGCCGAGGCTGGTGTTTCACGTCAAAGCGCAAGCGGGCATCTATTGGCGGCGGCTATGCCTGCCTCGTCCAACTCAACCGAGCGCATTCGATTGGCGCGCATCGCATGAAAGCGAATGCTTGCCACCTGTGTGCGGGTCCAGCCCTGCCCGCTTTGACGCCCATCGAGTTCCTGGATTTGGCGGCAAGGAGATCATTCATGCCGACAGCTCACTCACATCCGTGTGCCGAACTGGTGGTGGTGATCTGGAATTCGAGTCATGCTCCCTCTCTCCCCACCAAAGAGTTTATCTGTTTCGACTACCCGTTGACAGGTGGCGACAGGGCATTCTGGACCGGTGATTCAAGTTCTGCAGCCTAGATGTGTGATGGCGACGAACGCGCACGCATCCCCTCCGTGACTCGGAAATGAGGTGCTTCCAGGACAGTGATCTGAGCTTTCCTGTGTGACATGCTTGGAGGTGTGAAGTGACTGCGAATTCTCCTTGCGACGTGACGAACGGATGTTGACCATGGTTCACTTATGTCCGGCAAAATACGCAGTCGGGGGAGTGATATGTTCCAAGGTTACGCCTGTCCCCGAGCGTGCGCTGAACGGTACTGCACTGTGAAGGTGGAAGAAAAGTTGCCGAGGCGGAGCGCAACCTCTCGATGATGGATTGTACAGGCGCCGAAGCACTTCATCCGTTTCGGACTGTATCCCCTGAAAGGCATGCGCGCCGAAATGCGACCGTACCGCGGACTAGACTCTGCGTACCGTACATGTCTCGCTCCAGCAAGTCCCGCCATTCAAGCCCACTTTCCCAGCAGCGCCATGATCCCCGTCCCGAGCAGCAAACAAATAATCTTGAAAGTAAGCTTCTTCCCATCCCTCGCATTGCGCAGGTTGAAGAGGAAATCCCTAGCCAGCAGCTCAACCAAACCCGTGTAGATCAGAATACCCGCTGAAATCGAGTCCAGCACCCCAGAAACCACGTTCGCCGTGAAGCTGCCGGGGTTATACGTCGTCCTCACTCCAAGCCCAACCGCTATGGAGACAGGAGTGGTAAATCCGTAGGCGATGCACAGAGCGGACGGCATCCATCGGTAGTGCCTAGGGAAGCTGATGGCAGAGAGTCGCGCGCCGATTCCTAGGCCTTCGAAGGACTGGTGGAAAACGAGGACGGGGTAGAGGACCGAGAACTCGTCGCCCACGACGCCGAGATTCAGCCCGATGATAACCGAGTGAAAAATGATGCCGAATTCGAGGATTAGGAAGGCGGCGAGTTGTTGCTGGAAAGCGATTTTCTCCATCCTTTCACCCAGCTCCTCTTGGATCGCCGCCTGCTCAAGGTCATCCTTACCGCCCATCGCGTCGGGGCGGCTAGCCGTCGTAACGGGGACCACGGTTCCCCTCGCGTTCGCGGTGATAAGTTGCTCGATGTTCTCATGATCGCTGACGCCGTACTTCATCTCCACATATCGTTCAGCCGCGAGATCGACGAGGAAGATCACCATGACGGATGTGAGAACAAGTGCCGGACACCACGTGTACCCTACCCAACCCTCGGTCATTCCAACGCAAGACGCGGGACCGATCGCTTCGTACGCAGGATCCAGAAGATGGATGAAAGCCGTGGCAATGATTACGCCGGCGCCAAAGTAACGCGAGAACTGGTAGACGCTGAGGGGAATACGGAGGCGAGGAGCCCGTGTAGCGACCACGGGAAAGAAGGTAAACGCGGTGGAGACAAAGAGAATGACGAATATGGAGGAGATCCTGGCCCCTATGTTGCCATTGTATTCGTTTTCTTCGCCGTTAACATAGCATATGAGCTGTCGAAGATCAAAACCCGGATCGGTAAGATTCACGTGGGTTGGGTCGAAGGCCAAATCGGTAGAAGCCATGATGGATCCTAAGATGAAAGGTTATATGCACCGATGGGCGCATCAAATAGAGAAGAAGAGACCTCGATGTTCGGCATAAGGGTCGCATGCCCAGATTTATATGTGTTGATGGAATTCGAAGATGTAAGAAAGATGAGCACCTTGATGACAAGCCGAAGTTGAGGCGGGCAGGCGAGGATTAGTTAGAGAAGACGGACCACTCATGGAAGAGTAGGAACGTCTTTCGACAATAAGGTGCTCGGTCTACGTTCTGTTCTTCCCGTAGGATCGTGATAGTGATGCCGACTTACCGACCTCGGTCTGCTCGTACCCCCAAAACATGCGAAGGGGGTATCCTCGCCTTGGGGATCGTTATCACCCTCTTTGATTTCAAGACAATGCTCTCAAGCAGATTCTTCCTGCCCGTGGTCCTCTTCCATGGTCCCGCTGTCGGTGATGTGCGAATGCACGTCCTACCGCCAAAAGCATGCATCAGTGAGTTCTGAAGACCTCCACAATTTGATGCACCACACAGTGGAGTTTGTGACCTACCTGCGCACCGCCTACCCATACCCACGCTGTTCTTGAGCTCAGGAGAATCGAAGACCACGTCGGGGAGTCTCCCAAGGCCGACGCTCTTCGGGCCGTAACGATTCTAGCGAGGAAGCTGTCCTCAAGTCAGCATTGGTTGGGGAGGTAGATTATCGGAAAGATAATAGAGCAAAAACTATGTCGGATGGAGGATAGGGGATGCTCTTGTAGATGGATCGAGAGCTGAAGCGAAGCAAAGTATGCAAGGACTCCAAAAAGGTCGGCCTCGCATTTAAAGTCCACGTGTGTCAAAGAGCGCTAGTCTTCATTAGGACTGGCGGTTGGCCGACACCCCCAGCTCCCAAACTTCCCCGCATGACACCTCAACACCATCGCATATCCTACCACGTCTTTGCATCTTCAGCCCGCTCTCGGAGCTTCAAACGCTTGTCAGATAAAAGCTGGAACGCTATCATTAGCCTCGTCGCAGACAAACATACCAGTTGACGTCTACCTCGTCAACAAACGTGATGAGCCGCTTCTCCACCTCGCTGCTTCAGCACCGTCCTTGAAGAGAAGATGCAGCAAGGAAGCCGTATGCTAACATCCAAAACAAGGGGCTATACCGGCCGGTTCCGTCGCCTTGCAGTTGTGATCGTTCAGCGCGTTCAGGTTCCAACGCTCAGTGGCTGAGGCTTGCGCACAAAACTTCTATCGTCAAACTGCGTTTTCTTTCGTTCTCGTCCCCGTTCTCAGCCCTATCACTGCCATGGGAAGTTTTCATCCGGACTCTCTCATTTGCTATCGGGGCAAAGAGTGGTAAGGCTTTGCTAACCGATTACCGCACTCGTCGGGGGGATGCGGACAATGACCCGTGGCTTCGGGACTATCCTTCCAGCAAAGTTGCACCTTCACGAATTGTCTTGGATACCAATACCTGAGTCCTTTCCCACCGATGTTGCAGGGCAGATTCATCTTCCTTTCCACGCCGTTTTCCAGTCGTTTGCGCCAGACGCTCAGTCCCGAACTGCTGGCACGCATTGGCCAGCTATGTCCTCAGGCATCCATACATTTCCTTCTATCGGCGTCAATACGGGTGTAGCGTAGCGCCCCAGCAGTCTCTTTTCACGTGTTAATGCTTCCAACTTCAGTTGCCTTGCCAGCATTTCCCACATCGACCCACCAGCGTTCGCTCCGCCGACACGCATGGAAGAACAACAGCAACACTATCCAAAAGGTGGATGCACTAACAGCTTTTTAAAGACGCCCCGGAATCCCCTTTCAAATGTTTCTTTCGGTAGGGATCATCCTTCATCCTCCTCCGTCACGACTACAGCGGATTTTCGTACCTGATCAGCGCCAAACCTCTATTTATCAAACCATCATTGCGATAAGTATCAGCTTCTCCTATACTTTCAGCAAGCATCTCCACCAGCATGTGCAGCGATACAGTCACCACATATGCCTACTGCGGCCACAAGTATTACCAATACGGGCAGTTCAACTCCCAATGCCGCAACCAGCTCAATCGCATCAACGATCCATATTGGCTCAACCAGCCAGGAATCCCCTTCCAGGCATGTCCAGCCAGAGCCATAACGCAGCCTGACTACTGCCCGTCTTGCAAATGTGCGCGCAACAACAGCTACATGCAACAGCAAGGATGGACGTTTAGAGGGTTCGCTGGAGGGTATCCCAGGTGGACGTGACGGATAATGAGGAGCGCTGGGTGCGATGTGGAGGACGCTCTTTGCCTGCGGTATTTTTCTACTTGCATCGTCCAAATTTGGTCATTTATGACACTCCGTCAGTCGTTGACGCGGGGTCGCGAGCTCGTCGTCGCCTCTCTACCAGTCATTTCAGAAAGTCCTCTTCTGTGTAATAGACCAACGACCAATACACCCCCGTCTATCCAGCCGATCTCCTCTTCTTCTTTTTTGTGGCGCGTCTAGGCGTGGGTGAGCTACCGCGGAAGGTGTAATTCCATTCTGTTCCTCGACCTGCGGACGTCAGTCTTCCCGTCAAATGAGGGAGGCAGCGGCGATACACCACCAGATCCCCGCGGCGCCCGCAACGCCCTCACGTCGTTACGTGGTTCGCGACCATGCATCTTCCCGTAGCACCACGACCTCCCCCGCTCCGCGCACCAACCACTTCAGCGCCCATCGTTCTCCACGAAGTCCCACTTCCACCCACCGTCGCTCCCGATTCCCGACACACGCACACCCAGCGCAATCTCGTAGATCCCAACCGGGACTTCCTCCCGCGCTACCCCTGAACCCAACGACTCTCCACCAGCAGAAGCCCCGCCCTGTCGTAAGATGCTCGCTCCCACGCAGAGTCTAGAGTACCATGGCCGGCGGGGGAATTTCACAGTCCTGGCATTGAGGCTAGGAAAGCGCAGGCCTGTCTGTCGTGTTGCGTGTACAGTACAAGATTACTCTCCGCCTGAGCGATCGACGATGCCAGCCAGGAGCCAGCGAACAGGCGCCGATCTAGGAAACACGAGGAGTAGTTTGGAAGGGGGCGCACGGCACGCCCATGTAGTCAATCGCCGGTTCAGAGCGTTATCAGATAGATACTCCGAGCAGAGCATCCTTCATGCCACGAAACCTTGAATACAAATGCGAAGGGCTCACAACCTCGCGTAGCGTGCATAGACATATCAGCGCAGGCTATTCAACAGCAGCAGGTGTACATGTGCAAAGAGGTCTTGATATTCCAATATCTATAAGGTGGAAGCTAAAACGCCCGTATATGCAAATGCAGTATATATGCTTCTAAGCCCGCTCTTCTTTCTACCGAAGCGCCCCGTGCTAATTACTATCTGTCTCTTTTTCAAGATACCCCTGCCCCTTGCGGTAGGCAATTCTCCAGATTCAAGAGCGAACTATAATCCGTGCTTTCGTATGCGCCTGCGAAGGTCTCCAGGGAGGTTGCTACATGCGTCTTTATTCGGAGAATGCCCACACCGTGAGGGCCTGCGCCCCACCAACACCATGCCCCAAACGCTTACTACATAGAAAGTCGAGCGAGCGATCAAAATGACAGGGTATAGTATTATGCTTTCTTTTCTCAGACTCCTAGAGTATACAGCCCACAAGTTCACCGCCTCGGCAATGGTCCACTCGATGAAGCCGTCAACGCACTAGTAACGGGTGTTTGTGCGCCTATGGGAGTCTGTGGAGCAGGTGTTGGAGCCCGGCTAGGCACATTGCTCCTGTTATGCGCCATGTGCGCTCTGACGAGATGGCCAGCACACAGCGCAGCGTTGAGCGACAGCTCTCCAGCAAGGACGCCAGCGGCGATTACGCAAGCGAGTTGCCTGGCGTTGTCGCCGGGAGAGGTAGGATGGGCTCCACGCACGCCAAGGAGGTCAAGCATCGCGGATTGGGGTTCGAGAATGGTGCCGCCGCCGATTGTGCCGACTTCTATCGAGGGCATAGACACGGAGATCTGGAGGTTGCCATTGACGCTACCGACAGTTAGCATGTGCTGCCATGGTCTGTGAGAGGCGGACTTACTTATTCATGATAGTGATACAGTTGGCGGACTCGACGACCTGCGCAGGATCCTGTCCGGTGGCGAGGAACATGGCCGCAACAATATTGGCAGCATGAGCATTGAAGCCACCCATAGCTCCCGCCATAGCCGAGCCGATGAAGTTCTTCGAGATGTTCATTTGCACCAGCTCCTCGACGTCGCACTTGAGGACCGACTTCACCACATTTCCAGGGATAACAGCCTCCGCCACGACGCCTTTGCCTCTGCCGTCAATCCAGTTGATAGCTGCTGCCTTCTTGTCGGTGCAGTAGTTTCCGGAGACGGTGACGACGTTCATATCTTCGAAGCCGCAGTCATTGGCCATGACGGTCAACGCATGCTCCACGCCCTTCGAAATCATGTTCATGCCCATGGCGTCACCAGTCGTGGTCTTGAAGCGCACGTAAAGATTCGTACCGGCAATAGCTGTCTTCATCGACTGTAATCTGGCGAATCGAGATGTCGAATTGAAGGCGTTCTTCATGACGCGCTGACCTTCCTCAGAGTCAAGCCAGATCTTAGCGGCACCTGCGCGGGCAAGACTAGTGAACCCAATGCAAGGTCCTCGGGTCATGCCGTCGGCCGTCACGACTGTTGTCACGCCCCCACCGGCGTTGATAGCTTTCGCGCCGCGGGAGGTGGAGGCGACCAGCACACCCTCAGTAGTAGCCATGGGGAGGAAGTAGTTCTGACCATCGACCATAATAGGTCCAGCGACACCGAGAGGAAGAGGTAGATAGCCAATGACATTTTCACAGCAGGCACCGTGAACAAGGTCGTAGTTGTAGTCCTTGTAAGGCAGCAGAGAGTGCTCGAGCAGAGTAGACGTCTCGCGGGTTGCGTGTGTCCGAGAAACAAGGCCACGTCGAATTTTGACAGCGCGAGTCTTGTCTCCTAATGTCTTTTCCAGAGCGTAACCTGGAAGCTTCCCCTTCAAAGCCAGCTCGATCAGCTCCTCGTCCGTAAGAGCTGGCGCACGTTTATCCTTAAGCGCATGCTCCAAGAACGCCATCGGCCGATTTGGTTGCTTCTGCTCCTCTTCGCTTGGTGCCATTTGGGTCTCAGGTTGGATTATTTGTGGTTGCGCCAGATGCTGGTGTGGGACGATTTGTGTGAGTGGCTGAAGCGTACCTCGGCCGGCTTGCTGTTCAGGGCCGGGAGTAATGGGAGGAGATGGCATATGTTGATGCGAGATTCCCATGGCCGGCGTAGGTGGCGCCCCATCCTGAATTTCGGAAGCAGTAGGAGGCTCAAGTGGCTGATGCGGCTCCTTGATCGTCCAGCGAGCAGCATTGAAGAGATAACCGTTCAGAACGACGCTCATAACCAACGCCGCAATGATCCACTTGCTCAAAAACGGGTCCTCCAAGCTCTTGAGGACGCCGTCCACGAAATGGGTGCTGATGTTGTTACCGAAAGGTGAGTCGGGTTCCATGACAGGGGGCTTCGCGTAGTGCACTGACGGATATTCCAGCTCGTACTTGATAGGCATCAAGACAGTGACAATCGTTGAGGTCGCGGCATTCTTAGCCTGTTGGTAGATGGCATCCAACCCGCTTCCAGCGACCTTGAAAGGATCAAGTGGAGGTGCCGCGCCAACCCCCGAGATACGGGAGGCTTTGGGCGAAGTAAGGCCGAATCGCAGCGTCGCCAGGTTCAACACATTGACCAGAATGAATCCCGCGACCATCACGACCTTGAACTTAGGGACAGTGATTTTCTTGCCCAACACGGTAGCCGTTGACGAACGAGACTGGACATCGCTGTTGCTCGGCCAGTCGTTGCTCGCCGCCACACTCTCTGCGACCTTGCGGTCCACGCCGTCATCCTCCAAAGCTCTCCGTAGCGCGACATGACGTTTTATGCGGTTGATCTCCAGCTTGATGGTGAGGATGGCTGTGTAGAATGTCAGGAGCATGAGAGAGTCGAAGAGCAAAATCCAGGCGCCCAAGAAGCAGAATTGTCGCAATCCCCCTTGGATGCCAGACATGGCACCTGCTACAAGAATCAGGATTTCGAAAAAGTAGTCCCGAACGATCTCGAAACCCGTCTGCTTGATGGCGGTTTGCACGGCAGTCTGGATAGTGAGCGGTTCACCTCTGGTTTCCTCGGCAGCCCGTCGCGCATCCAGCGAGGCAGAAAGGACGGCCTTAGTCAAGACGATGGGCTTTTCAAATCCTATTATGACGACGAGGAAGGGCAGACCCTCGGAAAGCAAAACCATGTTGATCGGAACGCCGAGATGGACGGTGACTGCGAGCGCGAACAGGAAAGCGAAAGCCGACTGGAGCAATACGGCGGTCGCAAGCCAAAAGTTGGATCCGAGCCGCCTCATAGCGAGGAACAGCGAGACGAAGGTCAGATGCATAGCAAGGTAGCCCATGGCCATTATGATGATGTCGCCAGTGTCCGCATTCTGTCACGTGTTAGTGGACATGCCCCTAGCCCATGCACGTGAGGGGCCGCACCTTGAGGAGATCGACGAACGAGGTCCAGGACTCTCGCGCCCAGCTGCGGACGCCACCGGGTGCATTCCCGCTTTTAGCGGCTTTCATGATCCACTTCTTCTCCTCGTGGGTGCCTTCTTCTTGCGAACCATGGGACTCTGACGCATCCTCGGGCGCGGAGATCTCCCGCATGACCGTGAGGAAGTCGGCCGCTTCGGCGAAGGGGATGCAATAAGCCAATGACGTGTCGTGCGAAATCGCAGAAAGCGAGGTCGAAGAGCTAGGGAGAAGCTTGGCTGAGACGTTGCTGGGGACTGCGTTTTGGGACGGGGCCGAATTGATGGCGCTCGACTCGGGGAACACCAGCGTTACTAGAGCGACCTCGTGGGCTGTCTAGCCTCCAGTTAGAGACCTCTTCATCCGCCATACATTTCTTGACATACCTGCCCAACTTGCGGTGTTGCTCTATCCTCTTCGACCTCCCATTTCCACGCTGTCTCTTCTCCAACCCTCAGTCGCTTGCTGCCTGCCAACAGGGTCGCAAAGTCCACGCTCCCGGCCGCCGTGTCCGTAGTCCGCTCCAGCAGCCCCTTGTCAAGGACGCCCAAGTACGAGTAGCTTGCCAGGAACGCGATTGTGACGATGGTGTGTATTGGATGGGTGCATGCCTTCTTCGCAATGGAGAGTAGGATCGGGGAGACACCGCGGTCGAACCAGCCGGGACGCGCGTTTTGAGCTCCGCTGGCGCCCTGCCAGCGGCTTGTGAGGAATCCAAACATGGTGTCTGCGCCGAAGTTGATTCAGCGAGGAGGATGGCGGCGCTCAGAGGGTTTTGGGCATGGGGTGACGCGGTGGGGTGGCTGTGCCGCCGTTCTATAAACGACAGATCTCGAACCTTGGAATATGGGGGCGAGGATTACGCTGCCCCGCAGAGCTGTCAGTACTGCATGTAAACAGGAGAGGCAATTGCGGCATACCTCACGCTTCAACGGAGCGGGTGCCCGGCGACGGATGGCGAGTGCTCCGGCGAGCGGAGAGGTCCGAGAGTCGGAGCGACGCAATTGACAGCGCAGCGCACGCCTGGGGAATGGCGGAGAGGAGGGAGGGAGACCAGCGGAGGGAATTGGGCGCGGAGGCAGGTGTCAAAGTGCTGCCGTCCGCCTGCGGGCTCCTCGATGCCCCTGCCGTGGGTGCGTGCGTCGCTTCCGCGACGAAACTTTTTGGGCTGGGCTATCGCGAACGAGGACAAGGATGCCGCTTCACCGCTTTGTGTCCCGCGCAGCGACACCACCCATTCGCCGGATAACAAAGAATTGGCGAGCGTGTATGCGCCTACTATTGTTCTTTTCGCACGCGCTGCAGCAGAAGGATGTGTGGGCGCTGCATCTGACTTTTTTGAGCAAAGACGAAAGAAATCGGCCGTTGACTTGGCTCAGCAGCCGCGGCTCTTCTGCGCCACACCCCAAACGCCACTTGTGGCGGACTCCAGATCCCAGATTCCATCCGCGGTGCCGAGCAAAATGTTGGAAAATCATGACATCGATTGTAACTGTTGGCCCAATCAAACTGCCGTTGCCCTGATCATCAGGAGAAATTGGCGATTTATTCGCCTGCGCTACGTCGAGGGGCATCCTTCTGCACCGTCTGCGAATATGCAGACTCCCAGCAACATTATTCATCCTGATAACCAGCTACCAAGACCGGTTTGTTTCCCCTCTGTATGCGCCAGAATCCAGTCTTGTGCAGTCCGAGAGCAAGGAATCTATACATTACCATGTCTATAGCGCCTGTTCTATACCCTACTATACCCTAGTTGCTGCGGCCATTAACGTCGCTCTATGGGAACTTCGCAGTCATTGGAACATCGCCGTTTGTAATCTCCTTGATGAACTCAGGATCCGGATCGTACAACATGACATGGAAGTGCTCTACAGCATGTACGCTCTTCAGGCTCTTCCAGTTCTTGAACCACGCAACGTTCGCGGGCCGCATCTTCGTGCAGAAGGTCCTCGCGACGAAGTCATCGATCTGTCGGTGCGATTCTGGAGTCGATAGGCCGGTCACTGCGTCTTCATCCAGCTCGAACTTGGTCCAGACGACGAGGTGGATGATGTTGGGATCGATGCCGTACGGCCAGTCATTGTACAAGATCTTGATGTCGTCTGCTAGGTGTTAGTTCTGTAGCTGCCGGTTCGCGAAGACGCCATTACCGTCGCATTCGAAGGGTTGGCCTTTCGGAGCCATGGTCTTCCACTGCAGCCGCTCGTTCACGATGAAGTTCATGATGCTGCCATACTCCTTGACCAGTCGATGGGTGAACTGCCGATACCTCCGCAGCTCGGAAGGCACCCTGTGAAACTTGTCGACGCGATTGATGCCTGCACATCTCGTCAACTGACGAACACTGTACGCATTACCTGCAGCCGTACTAATCAGATGTCTGACCTCCTCCCAACCCAATTTCTTGTACTGTGAGTCCGGCGTACCGATGATACTCTTGTCCTTCTCGCCGCACTCCTTCAGAAAGTCGGGACACTCAGCTGGCCATTGATCTCGCGGGACGTTGACGAGCCAGAACGGCAGCGGCTCCTCGTGCGGCATCTCAAACGCACAAATATAGATCGCCGTGGGACCTGTCGTCGGAGATTGGGGCAGGGGTGAGAGGACGAGCTTCAAGGAACTTCAAGGAGGAAAATTAGATGCAGCGGCGACGGCCGGATTGAGGGCTGTGCGATTAGCAGTGGCTGACATAGTTAGCGGCACAACTGTTTCAACAAAAGGTGGCAGCAGTGGTCGATGTCTGCATGCGCTATCCTCAATAATGCTCTGCATCTGTGCCTTTGCTGTCCCAACGTGCTCGAAAGGCGGTGACAGAGCCATGACTGCAGCTGCCTCGTGCCTTCCGCCGCCACAGGCAGCTCCCGCCTTTTGTACTTCAGCTCTCGCCGCCCGGCATATTGCCTAGGTAGCCACCCCTTGCCCCTCAGCAGTTCAATATACCTACCGGTACCTATCTAGGTATGCCAGCACCGCATTCGCATCTCAATCTCAGACTCCACGTTTCCTGTTTCAATCCGGCTCCCTCCCAGTCCAGCAATTTCGGCGGTTTCTCCCCGCCGCTCGTGCAGCGATGTTTGGCAGGGATAGCCAACGCCGCCCGGGGCGGTTCCTGCCGCTGATTGGCGCGTTTCCGCAGGTGAAGGGTGGGCCGGGCCACCGCGCAGAAAACGTCTCGTGGACCCAGACACCATCGACACCACCAGACTGTTACCCAATATCGCTGCGTGAATGGTGCCGCAGGTGAATTGTCTGAATGCCGGCCCATGCAAATTTAGAGGATCATGAATGGGGAACCGCTGCCTTTTCGATAGGGGCTTAATAAGTATAATGTTTTCCCGGGTTCTTTCCTTTCCACTTCCCTTCCCACCGCTCCTTCCGCCACTTTACTTCGAACGAAACGCGCCTTGACGGGCTGCTCTCTCTCTCTCTCTCTTCTACCGACTGCTGTCATTCCTTTGGCTTCCTGCCGTTTCATCAACTTCCAAACATTGTCGATCTTTCGCGGGGTACACACTGCTTCATTCCACGGCGTGCAACTCAACCGAGAATCCTCATTCCGCCTTCACCAATCCACTTCTCCGACGGCAACTTTGGAGTTTCGAGTGTCACCTTACACACATCACATCTTACATTCCAATTGACGACACATACCCCGTGCGGAGTACCACCCAGACTTCACGAGGGCTATTTGTGGACACCGCTCCCGTCACGAGCTCGCTGTGCAAAGCCACACACGTTTGTTTCGTTCGAGGCTAGGAGAATTCAACGGACTCGTTCTAAATCCAGATCGTTCTCTCAGCTTCTGAAACACCCCCACAGCGACCGAGCTGTGCTCGACGAATACGAGTCCTACGAAAGCGGCCGAGACTAGGCGGAAAAATGGCCACGGTCCGGGATCCCATGTTCTGGAAGCGCTTCAGCGTCGCAGTGCATCAAGAAGAAGCAGCGAAGGAGGAACAGGCGAGTCGACCGGAGCTTAAACACTCGTACGTCAACTCCCTTTCCACGTCAGAACTCCCATCGCCCATCGCAACACCCACATCACAATCGCACCTTTCGCCTGCCTTCGGCTCTTTTCAACCACAACCTTTATCACCGGTCGCCATGCGTCCTCTTTCTCCGGAGACAGCCGCACTCGCGCAGCCCACGGCACCCGCGACACCCACAACACCTAGGCGCCTCACAAAATCCCCGTCCGTAAAAGCAAAACCGAGGCAGCCGAAATCGCCGCGCAGACCCTCGCTCGCACACAACCCCTTCGCACGGCACCACAACTCGTCCCAGTTAACACTCGGCTTGTCCGGCCGCCCGCAATCGCGCTTCAAGTTCTGGACTTCGGTGACCGCTGACCCGTCAAACAGAGACTCATGGCTCGAAAGCCAGCGGAAGAAGAAGCGGCAGAGGACATATATGTGCTGGGCGTTCTGGCTGTGCTTTTTCGCGCTTGTCGCGGGAGTCGTGGTCTGTGTCCTGCTGCTGAAGGCAAAGAAGATTATATGAACCCTGGGAGGCGCGAGAGGGACGAGGGCATCAAGAACATGCATGGGCGGCGTAATGAACTGGTAATTTCTGGGACATGGTCAGGCTCGCCGTTCCAAAACGACTGCTGCCGCCGCTTGAAGCGAGCGGCATGATGGGATAGAGGGAGGGCTTTCGTTGTACATTCTGCACATATGATACCACCACCGCCGCTGCCGAGCAGGCAAAACATCTTTTAGCTTGCAAATCACTCCAATTACATCTGGAAGAGCAATCCGCTTTCAAATCGTGGCACACCCCTCGAACTCCCCGCTAACTTGCATGAGATCTCCTCGGCAACAAGGGCTCCAGCTTCACCCTTCCTACTCTACTTCCTCTCATGCGCGAAGCCGGGAGAAGGCATGATGGAAGAGGCGTAGGCACCATTGCCCGGGCTCAGCAGGTCCAGGTCCACCGCTAATCCCATTACGATTCCTCCGGGTCGCTCCTCCGAGAAAGCATATACAGCCGCTCCCGCCCCGAATCACCGAACGGTCTTCTTCCCTACGCCGCCAACCATGGCACCCACTATATTCCAGCCTGGAGAAAGGGGCTTACCTATGCTCGGTAGGTAGTGCTGCCACCAGTAGCTGTCGCGAACCAGCCATATGTCGCAAGAGAGTACCTTCTTCGCAGCGGTGGCGGCGCCGTAACGGCAGCTTCGGGAGCTGTGAGCGCTGCTGCACAGCCGCGAATGCCGACGAAGGCTAGCGCCGGAAACGGGAGCTGGTTGAAGATGCGCAGTGCGGTGGAAACATCGAGGAGGATCCAAAGAGCTCTTGATCAGCGAGCACGGGCCTGGAGGGAACCACCCCTCTTCTCTTACTAAGTACCAAGATACTGGGTGGGCTTCTACTATTACGTTAGCGTACTAGTAGAGTTATAAGGCTAGTAAGTATAGAAAAGAGCAGGCGGAATCAATGAAGAAGACTGCAAGCCGGCCATAGCGCCTAAAGTGCATCAGTATTTCATGGACGGCGTATTGCGCAGCACCATATTACGGCTCGGATCCACGTTGCTTCCGTTTCTGAGGGGGTTGTTCTGGGCAGTTGGTGCTCGTGAGGGAACGGATAGCATGTATAAGGTCGAGAAAGTCCCTCCCGTGTAGAATTTTATGGCACTGGTATCTCATTGATTGCACTGTGCGAAGACGAGCACTATCCTGGTTAAGCTATCTTCACTTCTAACCAGAGCTATGGCGGTCTCTTCTCACACATACCCTTTGATTATTTCAGAAGCAAAGTGTTTGGGGCGCATACTCTCGCTTCCAAGGTTGCCCTTCCCTCACGCGTGGTATTGGGGCACTTGGTGCGCCACACAGCGACTTGAGAGGCTGTGTACGAAGGAGCATGTTTGCCGAGGGAAATGCAAGCCCTCAGTAGATGAGTTGATTTTGTGGGTCAGACAGCCAGCGCGTGCCGCGTACCGTGAACATTCTCGAACGCTTTTGCTATCTACCTGAACCTAGTCAGCGACCAGCCGTTCATCGAGCGATATACAGTCCCGCCGGATGCGCCTCCCATTCAAATGAGGTATCAAAGTCCCAAACGCCAGATCTCGATCAATCTTCGCTGTCCTCCTAAAACCGCTTCACCGGAGGCGTCGGGCTCTTGCTCATACTCCTCGGATCCCTGCCACGCTCCTTCAGCCATTTCCTCGTGCACATGTCCAGCTCCCTCTCCAACTCGGCGCTCGGTTCCTTCCTGTGGATGAAATTGCAGAAGCCGCCGCGGACGCAGCCCTCGCCGGAGTTCAAGCGACAGCACGCTTCGCGGAAGTCGGTGACGGGGGACAATTCGCAGTAGATGGGGCGGCCGGCGTACCAGCGCGAGTTGAGCGCGTCGCAGGCCTTCTGTGCGTCCTCTTCGTACTTGAAGCGCACGTAGACATTGCCGATGAGATCTGTCAATGCGTTAGCATGCCTTCTGGACAGTAGTAAGAAGGGGAATAAGTCCTTACGGTCATTATTGTTGTCGCACACGACCACCTCCTCCACCAGCCCGTACTGGCACAGCTCGCACCAGATGTCCTCGTAGAAGGCGTCGAAGTGCATCTGCATCTGCTGCGGGTTCATCTTGTTCTTGGGGTCGTACGCCGGGTTCTGGTACAGGTTAGGCAGCAGGATCGTCTGCGAGTACGACGGCTTGACGTGTTTTCGCGAGCAGCGGTCGCCGTGGCGGCAGGCGCCGATCTTGTAGTAGAAACTGCAGTTGACCTTGTCCTGCTCGGTGCCGAAGATGGAGGCGAGATAGTTTGCCATGTTGAACTGGGTCGCGAAGGAGAGTTGTGCGGTTTTCGAAAGGTGGGGATCGCGAGATGGGTCGGTGGCAGACGATGTTGTTGTTGGCGTGGAGGCGCGAGGTAGAAATCTCGAGAGGAGTTGCGGACGCGAAGTTGGATTTGCGCCACACCTTACTTAGTAAGCACCAGCCATGCCGAGAACTTTCCAGCCTCGTCGGTCGGGACTGACCTCGGGACCAACCGACGAGCACCACACACCATTATTGGCCGAAGCTTTCAACGTTCTTTCGATCCCTTCTGACTCCCTATCCCATTCTGGGCTCTAAAGATGGAGCCTCCCGAGTCAACATCGCCTAAGTATCATTGCTGCGCACATTCCTGGGTTTCATAGAAACGATTTTGGTGGCCGCAACGAGTACTTCAATCCCTACTCTATATATATGCCATTCCTAGCTGCAGTCGAGCTATATGTCGTCAATCCCGCTTTCCTTCCATTATTTTGTTGTATATGACCTATTACGACCGAATTTTCCCAGCTGGCGTTCCCCACTCAGATCGAACAATGCCTCCCATTTCCTTTTGCTGTACGGACATTGCTGATGGGCCATTCTCTCGTCAGCGTGACAAGCAGAAGGACTACTAAAGCGCGGTAATCCGTCTTCAAGGGTCGTCTACATCAACGTTGAGCTCTGAGGTCTTGCCCCCAATTCGGAAGACGACGCCAGATCATCCACGCCGGGTCCCCCAAGCGACGATGAGGCTACGCGGAGCACCATAGGGCGTGGACAGGCCCTTATCGTTCACAGAGTCACTAACCGATATGGTGGGTACAGCTGCCCTCATGGTGTGGAATTCTCCGGATATATCGACGCACGTAACAGCTACCCTGGAGGCCTTCGCAGGTGCGTACAAAATCACGTATAATCCTTAGCTATACAAACGAATTTTATCGGCCGCGAGCTCTGAATCCGGAGAATTCCCTACCGCAAGAGAGCTGATAAGATACAACGATCATATGCCTGCTTCGCCGGCCCCGCTGACACCCCATCAGCAGCCCTCAACACGCTTCAAGTGTGCCTCTACTAGAGAGGGGGAATTTTAGGGCTAGCGAAAATTGCCTTGAGGGAGCCTAACTCAGATTCTTCCTAACATATCTACCTTAGTATTATTCGTTCAGCCCTAGGAGAAGTACATCGTAGATGTTTTCACCGGCGGCAATGACTGTGGAAGCCAACGAGGAGGTGCTTGACGTGTACCCTAGGCGATGGCGCTATATGCTTGATTGCGACGTACCGAACCCCTTCCCCCGGGTCTCCCCCTCAAAACAACAACCCCCCTTTCTTTTTCTCCAGATGGACGCAGTCTCGGCGGCATGCAGGCACGGAAAGCCTTCGTCCAAAGTCGCCACTTGATGCGCCAGATAATACGGGCAACCAAAATCAACCTGACATTACCTGGCTGCGGTCTTCATCCTGGAAAGGATCCCTGCCGTACACTGAGCCCAGTATCCACCAAATGTCAGCAATTCCCTTACCTCGGATCAACTTTTCGCTTCGGTCCGAACCGACTTTGTCGTACTCCGTATGCCAGGGCTTCCATATTCCTTGTCCGCACATCCGCCATGTATTGCTCCTGCTCTACAGTGCGAGGCTTGAACCCAGTGGCGCCTTCAGAGCCCTCCATGAGTCGCCACACGGCATAGCCACAGCAGACGAGGCAGCCAGCGCCGAGCATCACCAGGAGGACGATGGCTGACGGTGGGATGAGGAACCCCATATTGTCCCTCTTTTCGAGATGCATGGCTGCGTGTGTGGCTGGAGGAGGAAGACGATGGATTGACTAGGTCAGGACGGCGGCGGTGAGCGATGCTGTTTGACAGTAGATGTTCGTATGCTGCTCGAATGGAGTAGATGCGCTCTTGACCTATTGGAAGAGATGAGCAACCAAGAGCCTGGGACGGGTGAAGACGTCGCACTTACACGGAGGCGCAGAGCGGCCTGCTAAGTATCTTCCAACAGCTGACGAGACTGTATAGCGACTGACCGTTTCGTAGGTAAGGAAATGAAAGATGCCTTGGAGGGTTTGAATGCTCAACCTTACAGACATTCGAAGGACAGACTCAGAGAGAACGACGAGCTCTTATCTATCGCAGAGACTAACCGATCCTCCAGGCTTGACGCTCCCTAATTATTATGCCCCATTCCGTACTCTGGCAATTGTGATTGGTCTGTTCGCAAAGTCACGTGTTTCATGAGTGCGCCTTGGACCCGAAGCGGATTAAGTCCAGGGAGACTATTTTAAGCCGCCACTAGGGGAACCGCACTCTTGCGGTAAAATGTTCTCCGAGTTTAAGGACCTGCCGCACAGATACAAAGAAGCTCGTACAGCTAACTAAACGTGCCTCTGTACCGGCCTGTGAAGGCTTCCAGGGTGGCCGTTACGTGTTCGCTTTATCCGGAGAATTCCGTGCCGTGAGAGCCGCAGTCGACTCCTTAACAGCTGCGACGTACATTCGCGAGGCCATCATAAGCGACCAACGATTCCAAATTGAGGAACATGGCGCCTAATTCGACTATCGTTGAACGACCCGGCTTGCAAAGGACCCGCAGATACGCCGCTAAAGTAAGAAGCGGCTGCATTACATGCAAGTACGTTCAAAAAATCGCAGTCACAGTGCTTACAACAGAATAAAGACTCGACTTTTTCGTGCCGAGGGATTATCTGTTGAAGGCCTCCAGGATCCCATTTCCCAGAGCGGATGCATTCTTCAAGGATCAGCGTGTAGCTGACTAGTGATCTGCAGGATTCGGCGTGTGAGGTGTGATGAAACGAAACCAGATTGCACGAGGTATGTATGGGCGACGCCTATTCATTATTCAAACCTGACCCGAGCAGATGTACCAGCACAGGCCGTAAATGCGATGGCTACGCTCAAGATAAGGTGGAGCGACCCGATGCTCGGGGTCTGAACCAAGCATCTCTTCCCCGGTCTACCATACCAATGTTCTCGACCGGTGACAACGTTCACTATCTGGAGTTTTACCATCACTGTGCGGGGCGAACATTATCCAGCAAATTCGACGATGGATTCTGGTCTCGGATAGTCCTTCAGATGGCTCAATCGGAGTCCACCGTACGCCACGCCCTGATTGCCCTCAGCTACCTATACAAGAGTGAATCGGGTAGCATGAAGCATGCTCGCTGGAGCCTGGTTGCCGGTTCACAACGCAAAACGCTCTTCTTTCACTATAACAAGGCGATCAAATGCCTTATAGACCGTATGGACGAGCCCTCGTACACGCCGGAAGTCGGCCTCGTAACGTGCTTGCTATTTATCTGCATCGAGTTCCTGAGGGCAAACTATCACGCGGCGTTTACGCACCTAAGTAGCGGGCTCAAAATTATTTCGGAATGGCAAAAGGGGCGAATGGGCGGCTTATCATCCTCCACTAAATCGCCATCTTTACATTTGTCTCCAGCGACTCTAAGACATTTCTCTGGTCCTGCTTCCATGATCGAGGATAGTCTTGTTCCAATGTTCATGCGAACGATTACACCGGCGCTGCTATTTGGCGTGAGCATCGATCAGATCGTCAACATCCCCATTCCACGTCCGCAGCGCTGTCTGGAGCAACCCTTCGCCACCATCCACGAAGCGCAGTCCTCCAATCTCGAGCTCCGAAACGCATCCATCTTGGTTTTCACGAACATTGCTCGAAAGCTCATCTTACGCGAACCGATAACGACTGCAGACTTCGGAACGCAGGCGCAGCTCCTTGAAGGTCATCATTCCTGGTTTCGAGCCCTGCAAACGCTCGAACGCTCGAAATGCCTGTCAAAAGAAGACAGGATCGTGGCAAGCATGCTCAAAGTTGGGTACTACTCGACCTACATTCAGCTAGCATGCACCGGCGATTTCCGGCAGACGCCATACGACGCGCATCTTGCGAGCTTCCAAGCTTTGAACCATCATGCGAAGCTCGTCCTCGACTCCATGGACCTCCCTCCTTCTTCTCCCTCCGCTCTTCAGGCCGATCAACCTCGTCCGCTCCGTCCAGCTACCAGCCACGCACCACCCGCACCATCTTCAAATACCCGTCCCGGCCCAGCCGCCAACTTCACCTTCGAAGTCTCCCTCATCCCAAGCCTACATTTCTCCGCGCTGCGCTGCCGCTGTCCGCTTACCCGGCGAGAAGCAATCTCCCTCCTCGCGCTGAATCCGCCGCGCGAAGCCCTCTGGGACGCAGAGCAGCACGTGGCGGTTGCAAAACGCGAGATCGAGATTGAAGAGAGCGAAATCGACCCCGCGACGGGCTGGCCGGCCGAGAGCTCAAGGCTTTGGTGTGCGGTTATCGATGGGAATATGGACCGGAATGGGGGCTTCTGGGTCACTTTTGCGTATGCGGTTTGGGCGCAGAACCCGGAGGCGAGGGCGGGCGGTGAGCGGAGGAGGGCCGATGCGCAGTGGGAGGAGTGGTTTGTTCTGTGAATGGCGGCGGCGCGAGGACCGACGCTCTTGCGGTAGGGTATTCTCTAGAATTAGGGGGCTCGTGGAACGGAGAAGTCAGATTGCTCGTGCAGCTGACGTTGCGTTTCATTGCTCATTGTACGCACCTGCGAAGGCCTCCGAGGTAGGTGTTCCGCACGTCATTCTATCCAGAGAATTCCACACTGTGAGAGCGACGTTATGAGTGGGAAGAAGTTCGTTTGACTATCAAGCCGGCACCTGCTTCAGCGTTTCTTCTCCATAACACCACTCAGGAGCTCTACGAAGCTCAGAAAGAGGTGGTTCTAGCTTTGGAAGAGGAAAGGTGTCTCTTGTGCCAATAGCACAGCAGGGCTCTGTGATATTAGAGGACACCGAAAACGGAGCACACAATTGATGGATTACGCTGATCTATTAAGATTGCTCCATTGGTTGGAGAGCTTTACCTGCCGACAGCGGTGAGAGACGGTGCGGCTTCGGAGCTCAAGGCGATCTGAGAGAGTGAATGCGGTGTACGGGCAAATTTTCCGCCAGACGTATATCCAGAGGCGACCGAGCTCGATCCTTCCTTCTCCTCCACAGATTAGCCGGCTTTCTTTCCCTCCACCGCCAGCTCCTTGTTGACCCTGCGACCAAAATGCCCACCATCCTCGACTCCGATGCCGCATTCTCCTCGCCCGTCGACCGGCGCGAGATCAAGGCCCACGGCTCCTTCACTATCTGTCCCGTCCGCCGCCCACACAATCTGAAGGCCTTCGAGGAAGCATGGAGCGAGCTGCGCTCCATGTGGCAGGAATACCTTCAAGATGACTTCGTCAGGACCAACATGAGCACCGAGGACCCCGTCAACGGCGACTTCTGCGGCATCGCGTATCCAGCGACCAAGCCTTACCGGGTGAAAGCCTTCACCCAGTTGTACGTCTTCATGTTCATGCTGGACGGTAAGTTCGCTGCCTATACCGTCCCTTCATTCTGTCCAGTGTGGGAGCTGAGCTGAGCTTTGACGCAGATAAGACCGAGAGCATGCCCCGCGCAGAAGCGCACAAAGCCTCCATGCGCCTGAAAGCCATGGTCCAAGGCGACGGCGCCGTCCGGCCAGAGACGCCCTTGGAAGCGCTCTTCGACCGCGTCCGCAAGGCGTTCCTCGCAGTCGACCACGCGCAGGGCATGCACGCGCTCACCACCTGGGTCGCCTGGTTCGACAACGCGCACGCGCGCGACATGGGCTCCTTCAGCACCTTCGACGAGTTCGTGGCCTACCGGCGCGAGAACTTCGGCTGGCCGGCTATCTGTGGGATGCTGATCTATGCGATGGACATCGACATTTCCGCCGAGGAGATCGCGTCCGTCCAGCCGCTGCTGCGCCCGGCCGCGCTGTCGATGATGTATACCAACGACTACTGGAGCGTTGCGAAGGAGCTGCGGGCGGTGAGCAAGGGGGTGGCGTATTCGATGGACTGCACGAGCGCGCTGATTAAGATGGAGGGCTTGTCGGAGGAGCAGGCGCTGGGGAAGGTGAAGAGCCTTGCCATGCAGTATGAGGAGGAGGCGATGGGGTTGGCCAATGAGCTTCTGGGTCCTGGGTCGAAGCTCCCTGAGAATGTCCAGCGGTATGTTCAAGGCGTGTATTGGGTCATTGGAGGGACGGGTTTGTGGAGTGCGACCTGCCCGCGTTACCACGGCGGCGTTGGGACTTGATCAATCCCTTCGGGACTTCCGGATCGCCCACTCTCTCCCATGGTGGTGGGACTGGTGCTGATGGAGGTACGCTCTGGATGTCGAAGATCCGCGGTGAGTTCACCGGCCACGTGATGGGCACCTTCCCAAGGTCTCCATTGTACACTACCCTGAAGAGTGTACTTCTCTTTTGAAGCTAGAAATATTGGTCAAGTGTTGGGGCATGGGTACCGACGCCTACACTAGATGATCTCAAGAGGTGTTTACAAGGGCTTGTTCAGTCTTGGTTTGCACGGTGCACCTTCCTTCTCTTTTACGGGGAGATTAGACGGTAGACTAAAGAAGTAGACTATTGGATATTGAAATAGAATATTGAGATGGACTAAAGAAGCTATAGCATTGTAGATCGTGTATTGATCACGTGATCCGTGTCACCCTCCGAGGTCGTCCCTAGGTACCTTTGTATCGATATTCCTCTCCAGTCGATGCCACCCAACGCTCCAAAGGTACATTAGTAAGCGACTCTGCATGAATAGTGGAAAGCGGAGCTAGTGACGTACCATGGGTCCGTGATGGAGAATGCCCAGCGGGGATGCGGGCGAAGCTGGGGAGAGATGTGGAGATTGCACGCCAGCCAAGCTGATAGGCAGCGTGTTGCTATGATGTGCACCAGGGACGCTTCATGATATACTTCTTTATGTCTGAAAACGTTAAGTTGTGTTTTAGGCTGGAATGCGGCAAAGGATTGACGAATGACAGCCCCACCACTGTAGTGACGTAATGCGAGCCGCGGACAGGACCCTGCAGGAAGATCATCTCACGCGCGAAAAAATAATGCTGAACGATGCTGCACGGAAAAACACCACAAGAGGCGGACGGGGACAAGGCATGATGATGGGAAATTTGATGTGACGCGGCGAGAGAACGGCCGGGGTTGGTGCCCTGGTCAAAGTATTGATTTCTGTCCAGAGCGCGCGTTTCCAGACCTGCATGCGCCAACTTCCAAGGCCTCGACGCCAGTATTTGCTCTGTGGCGCATTCCCGCCGTTTCCTAGCGGGCCTCGAGCGGCCTCTAACGACGAGCGCTGAGGCCTTTGGGGGAGCATTGTGCTTGGAAAGCCCATGCCGGCCTTTCCGTCCGTCGCTCGCCGGCGCTGAGTGGCATCTGGAGGGCACGCGCATGGTCCGCCGTGCGTTGGCCGGCGCCTCATGGCATGATAGATATCTGTGAGCTGGATCCCTAGCATTTGAGACAAACCTCTGGGCCTTCGTGACGATTCTCTCCTCTCCTTAGTGCTCTTTGTGCCCTTTGACGGCGCCTTGGTGCACGCGCGCGTGGACATCGAGATCCTTCGAATTGCCTCTGGAGTCATCGCCCTTGTCCTCCTCGGACCATACAAAACCAGCATCGATCACAGGTCCAGCACAGAGCAGCACCGCATTCTCTGCGTGCGCCCAACCGCATCTGACAATCCTTGCTCGGCGCTAGAGCGCAGCTGCGAGATCTTCAGAGCAGCGACGCGGTCGAACCACAGCGGCGTCATTTCGTACCTCAGCCTGAGGCACGGCCGGAGCGGCAGCATCACCGTCGACGTAACACGGCAGGAGTCTTCTGTGCCTGGAGCGGATGCACTTCAACCGCCAGCGAGCGCCGCGCCGCAAGGGAAGCAGGATGGCAGTCATCGAGGTGAGTGCGCTTGTGGCTTGACTCGCATCGCACCGCGGCACGTTTCGCATCCAGGGGGCGGGCACGAGGGTGAGAGGGAGATTGCAGCCCTGGAGGCTGCTGGCTGCGCTGTGTGAGTGGTGTTGAGAGCCGATGATGTCGGGCCCCGGGCCAGCATCGTCATAATTCACCGTGGCCCGGGCGCGACCTGCGTCATTGCGCCGCATCACCACCTTGTTCTGGCAACCAGCTCTCCGCCTGCGCTGCATGACCCTCTCTCCCGCCCCGTCTGCCCTTCTCCCTCCCCATCCACGACGGTCGCTGCACAGTTTGCCCGCTCGGTCCTACTGTTGCTGCAGTCCCCGCCCGCGCCCGCCTGCTTTGCAATCTTCCTTCCTTTGAGCATCCGCCTTCGCCCCCACCACATCCCCACCCGCTTTCTTTGCACCACACCCAGACCACAGCTGAACATGGCCGCGATACAGAACTTCAAGAACTTCCTGCGCCATGGCAAGCAGGCACGCGCAAACGCCCCGCACGGCGAAGCCACGACGAACGTGTCCAACGTCCACGCACAGCACCAGCCCTACCACCACCAGCCGGCAGCCCAGCATGTCGGCATCAGCGAACCCGTCATGGACCACAAGCCTCTCCAGGCGCAGCCCGCTCCGCACGGCGACTTCTCCGTCGGCGCACTCGACAACCGGAATATTGCCGCACAGGCCGGAGACGTGGCGGCTCGGGCAGCGGCCGACAAGCAGAAGCAGCAGGTGCACCACGCAGCTGGCACCAAAGACAGGAACATCGATCCGACAGTGCTGGAGCGCATTGTGGCAGAAGAGCGTGAGGCCAAGGGCAAGCTGCCCAAGTACCCCGGGCTCGAGCGCTGGCAGCTGCAGGAGAAGATGGGCGACGGTGCCTTCAGCAACGTATACCGAGCCAAAGACACCACCGGCCAGTACGGCGACGTCGCCATCAAGGTGGTGCGCAAGTTTGAGATGAACTCAAGCCAGGTCAGTATGCCCCCGGTGGATGTGCCCTGTTCTACCCGTTTCCTTACATCCTCCCTTTCCCCGCCGCATCACGTTGGGAGAGGTTGGTGTTAGTAGAAGAGTTACCAACACGAGGCATGGTGTAGGGCGACGCACATATGCATCCGGACTTCAAGAAGGCGCCAAAAACAGTGGAGGTACACGACTCACCTAGCGTTGATGCGGCGAACCCGGCAGCAGACGCTCAGCCCAGCCCCTTACTAGCAGCGCATGCACTGACGTAATGCCCTACAGAGAGCGAATATCCTGAAGGAGGTCCAAATAATGCGGCAGCTCGACCACCCAAACATCGTCAAGCTCATCGACTTCTCGGAATCCCGGCAGTACTACTACATTGTGCTCGAGCTTTGTCCTGGAGGCGAACTCTTCCACCAGATTGTTCGTTTAACCTACTTCAGCGAAGACCTTTCAAGACACGTTATCATTCAGGTCGCCAAAGCATTAGAGTATCTGCACGAGGAGGCAGGCGTCGTTCATCGGTATGCATCATCTTCCCTCCGGATTCATCCTGCCAAGACCAGTGATTGCTGACGTCATACTACAGTGACATCAAGCCTGAGAATCTCCTTTTCTATCCCATCCCCTTCGTCCCAACTCGCAATCCGAAGGCAAGAGGGCCCGATGACGAGGACAAGGCCGATGAGGGCGAGTTCATCAAAGGCAAAGGCGCTGGCGGCATCGGTGTGATCAAGATCGCAGACTTCGGTCTATCAAAAGTCATCTGGGACAGCCAGACCATGACTCCTTGCGGTACCGTAGGGTATACGGCTCCAGAGATTGTCAAGGATGAGCGGTATTCGAAGAGTGTAGACATGTGGGCGTTGGGATGCGTTCTCTACACGCTGCTCTGCGGCTTCCCACCTTTCTACGACGAATCCATCCAGACTCTCACCGAGAAAGTCGCCCGCGGCCAGTACACTTTCCTATCGCCATGGTGGGACGACATCTCCAAACCGGCACAGGACCTAGTCTCTCATCTCTTGACAGTCGATCCCGAGAAGCGCTATGACATCAAGCAGTTCTTGAACCACCCATGGATCCGAGAAGAGGACGAGCTTACCTTTGCCGCCCACGATGCACCACCACTAGCCACTCCTGCCATCGAGAGGCGGAGGCAGCTCGAGCAACAGAGCGGCGAGCGCGTACTTCAGCAGAACTTCGCTTACCTCGAGTCACCAGGAGCTAGGCGAATGGACTTCCGGTCGCCCGGTGCCGTCAATCTCCGAGAGGTTTTTGATGTTGGGTACGCTGTACATCGACAAGAAGAGGAGGGCAAGAGGAGAAAGAACTTCAAGCAGGGATATCGGGGCGCGAATGCCATGAACTCGCTGAACGCGCTCGATGAGAACGAGGATGACGACGAGTACACCGCTGAGTCGGCACCGTACGACCCGTCAGCGCAGCATCCTCCGGCCAAGCTACCGAAGTCGCAAGCCTCTGACGTTTCCGCCATGGAGCAGAAGATGCGCAACACCACGCTATCCGCCGCGGCCCAAGCACGAACTCATGCCGCTCCACGGCAGGAGCGGGGATACGGCCAACATTCTCCCGCAGTTGCAGCGGCCGCGAAGAAACAGGTTCGGAGTAGGGGTGCGTTCGAGCTAAGCCTCGATAACGCAAGTATCCTCGGCCGACGGCATAAGAAACCCGAGCCCAGCAGCTTAAGGGAGCAGGTGTCAGTATCTGCCACATGACAACCAGCGTCTCTCGCCAAAGACTGGTGAGCGCAAAGCGCGCTGATGCACCTAGTACGATGAGGCATCTTCCTTCCGTCGTTTCCTTGGGTCTATTATGGGTCTATACTCTTTTTCTCCTCTCTCTGAAGGTGGCATCTTGTCGGTTTTCCTTATACTTGATTCCAGACGCAGCGACGTTGGACTGCACTGGATTAGCTTTTCGCGCTCGAGTAAGGTATAGGTGTAGAGGATGATTCACAGCATGCCGGTTAGGATAGGTTAGAATCATTCGCATGGAGTGAGTGCAGCAAGGGCATGCTTAGCAGTGGAAATGATAACGATTTGGAAAAGCAACTTGGAGAGTTCTCATGACCCGTGATGTTATGTCAGCACTTCTTGATAGGTATTGTGAGCGTCTGTGTATGTGTGTGCTTACCTAGGTAGAGAGTGGGTCACGTTGAGGTGAGGTCCCACATTTCGTCTATTGTCGGCTATTCTGGGGCAAGCAAAAAGACGCGCCACTGGTTCTGTGCCTTCCTCGGCTAATACGCTGACTCTTTATGGAACCGCACTGGGGAGTTTTCTATTTTTCTTGCTTCCTAAAACTATCACGTATATAGGTTAATAGCGCTCAAAAATTTACAGAATTAATCCAGGGCCATTGGCGCAATGGTAGCGCGTCTGATTCCAGTTCCACGTTGGGATGTCCAGAAGGTTAGCCGTTCAAATCGGCTATGGCTCATTTAATTTTCTTTTTCTTCTTTTTGTTTTAGATTTCTAGTGGTCTCTCTCTCTCTCTCTCTCTCTGTCTTTTCCGAGATTTCTTTTCGCTTCCTTTGTGCACTGTTCAGAATGAATGATAATTAATTAGTTCTGCCTTTGTTTTCACGTCGCGGGGCCTTATGCACTGCATGAGCAGTGAACTGTGTGGCACCAGAGATAGGTCGGATTATGTTGCATTCTTTTCTTCTAACTTAGTATCTTTCCCTAATTGCTGTCCAAAAAAAATTCAAAGCCTATATTTGCAGATTAACGAAAAGAGACTATCACGAAACCGGTGACGATATATTAGTAGGGAATGGACAACTTAAGCGCAAACACACCGCTGTTCCTACTAAGTCATGGAATTAAGGCTACGATTTTCTCCTAGTCAGTGCACATGCTTTCCAAGTCCCCAAAACTCTATCCCAAGGCCTACTCTACATTACAGCTATCAAACCAGGACGAATGAGAAATATCACAGACACAACTATAGACATTACGCCCCGACCCATTCCATACTGCTCTTCCACCCCAGTCCGCGGGGACGATCCTACAGGCACTCGGGTCAGAGCCACCACTGGTCTGGCGTCCAGTCTATGTGGTTCAAACTGAATTAGAGCGCACTCTCTGTCTGCTTCCTCCATCTACGAGGTCCTCTGAATGCCACGGATCCCGTGCGGGGTGTGGAGGACTTGAATGGCGACGAGCACGGGGATAAGGAGACGAGGCGTAAAGTTTCAAGATTGCGATAGAGAGGCGGATTTCGTGTCTGAGGATGGCCATCTCCTGGGCGATGCGGTCCAGGTCGAGCTTGTCCGGGGATGGCGATGTTTGGGGGTCGTCAGGGCTGCAATCGTTGGCCTTGGGGGAAGGAAGAGCGGATCGAGGATCCGGAATACTTCCTGGAGGCGTGCTGGAAGGGGGAGAAGCGGCGGGGTTGTTGGGTGGACCGGTGTCTTCGCCGTCGTCATGCTCAGAGGTCGGTGGCTCCTCTCCATGTCCACCGCGCAACCTCAACACGATGGATGCGGCGGAGCGGATTGGGCGGGACGCCTAGTTCCAAATTACTTCGTCAATGTCTGCTTCGGCATGCGTGAGCTCCACAGGTGGACTGGCAGAGGCGGAGGCGTGATTCCCGGTCTCGGAGGCTTTGGCTTCACGTTCGCGCTTGTGGTTGCCAAACAGACTGGTAGCGAAGTCTCCTAACCGCCTGAACCTCATTCGTTCATCCTTGGCATCGCTGTTCCTCGCGGTTTCATTGCCCTCATTGCTATTAGGTTTGCTGTCCGTTCGAGCTGCGATATTTGCTTCGTCCTGCTTAGACCTGAGGGACTGCTTGTATAGAGTGTTACGGTACATTTCGTGGACGTAGAGACGTGTGGGTACGCGAGGATCAACAGGCAGCGGCGGCCAGTAGTGCTGGGCGATGTGGTGGCTATGTAACGGTCAGCCTGAGGAATTCCAAGGGGTAGAACTCAGCCGGGCCATAGCACATACCAGAGCCTCATCTCAGTCGCCCATCGCTCCCTTCCCTCTAGCGCCATGGTCTGCTGCATGATAAACTCTCCAATAGGCAGCAGACGCTCCCTCACGAGCTGCAAGTGGCTCTTGGCGCGGAAGAAGGCGTTCAGAGGGGGCATCGAGTCAGGCGTGGTGAGCTTCAGCTTCGAGAGCTGCGTCATGACCGGCAGGAGCATTTCTTCCGCGACGCCGTCGTATTCGGGGAAAGCGAGTGTTATCGGCATGTTGTCGGTGGCCATATTGCATGTAGATGAGTGGCTAGGGATATCCGCGTCGGCGGCGGCGGTGGCGGCAGCGGGCAGTGAGAGCTCGATGAATGTCGAGCGGAGGACGGGCGCGGATGCGGCTGCGGATGCGGATGTTGAGGTGTTGACTTCCTTGTCCATGGCGCCTTCCTCCTCGCTTCCGTCGACCGGCGGCCGCGGGCCAAACGAGAAGCGCACCATGGCATCCCACATTGCTCTGATCCTGTTCATGCGTGGTGAAGGCGACGTCGGCCTGGCGGTGGCAAGGTTGGATATGTGCACAGAAGATGCAGCGTGCGCGAGGTATCCAGCAAGGGAAAGGCTCAGCCGACGGGAATTTAACGGGGGAAAGCATCCCTAGGTATCGCCCGTTTGTTGTGCTTTGTCGGCAAAACAACTTCTTGGTACGTGACGGACGATTCTCGCTTGTGAAGACCGCTATAAGCCGGTGAATGTGCGAGACATAGACGATATGAGAAAACAGAACGAAATCGAATGAGCCTTATGTTCACATTCCCGGCTCCGGTCAGATACGTCATCATCGTGTCGTATCCAGTATGCTACATAGATGTACAGTATCCGCCGCTCGCTGTACCGCTATAGAGCTCATGGGCATTACGTCGGCATTGGACCATCTGGCGGAGGATGCACTACCGCCCTTCTTTCCAACCGATGGGTATTAGGGCCGCAGCGACCTGGCTCACGCCGCGCTCAGTCGCCAGAAGGTTGAACTGCGCCGCCGCATTCCGGGTGTCCTGTATCTCGAGCCGTATTCCAAGGTCGTTGAGGTATTTGCGAACAGCGGGCGTGATTGGAGCGACCCGGGGCCCGGTACCGATAATCAAGAGATCTGCCAGGCGCCTGTCAGTTCATGTCCGTTGCTGTAGTTCTGCCCGCGGGCAGAGGAGGAGCGCATACCTGGCTTCGGCCACACCAGCTCCAGCAGCGCCCAGGATCCCTCAGGCACCTCCCACTGCCCCTTTTTGTTCAGAAATCGCCCCGCCATCGCATCGTTTCCCAACGCTCCTTCCGCGACCGTTCCCTCTTTCCGATGCGCCTCTATCCACGGCTTCCACCGAAACACTTCTCCGCCCACAAGCAGCACACCGCTCCCACTTATCCGCATCTGATTATTCAATGCGAAGCCATCGCTTGTGCAGGCGTCAATAGCCGTGGCGGGCGCAGCGGTATTGCGTAGGACGTCGAGCGCATTGAAGTCGGTTTGCGTGTCTTCGTCGCTCTTCGGCCCGCGGTCGCGCGACTTGGGCGGCCTGGAGGCATTTCCTCGGGCCGGAGATGCGTGGATGCATCGGCAGCTCGTTCGATAGGTGGGCTTTCGGTGCGAAAGGGAAGCTGGCCGCGATGCTGAGGTAGGACCAAAGTTTGACGTGAAGCTTCGGGCAGCTGGCTTTCGAGCACAATTGAAACCCTGAACACGGAAAACTGGTCGCGCACATGAGAAAGCAGTGCGCTCCATTGTGGTACAGTTCAAGAAGTAAAGGTGGAATATTCACAAGAACAAAGAGTGTTGGGCAGCGATATTGACGTCTGGCGAGGTTGCCGTCATCGCTTTGAAATTTAGGAGCTTGGACCGTCCAGTGGACTAAGCGGCTTTAGCCTTTCACCACCAATCCATCCCTTGTTCATTTTCTTTCTCCTTCACCACTTCGACCATTATTCCTCATTCTGGTCCCATTCTTGTGCCAGCATGTACGTCGCTGAAAGGCTTCACGCTCCTTCTTCATGTGCAAACTCGAGTAGTTCCAAGTGACATCCTGAATTGAAATCGGCGTATCTGGACATATCCTAGAGGGCCACCGTCCCTGTCGGCATCAAGCCGTCCAGCCCTGTATCCCAATCGTGCGATTCCATTTCCTTCTCCAGTCATATATCTCCAGTCGCATGTGCAAACTCCTCGCCTGTCACGCCCCCTTCAAGCTCCCCAAGCCATTCCGTATTTCTTCCGTCTCCTGGCTTGCATGGCTTGTAGCTGAGCCTGACCGTCATCCTCCTCCTCGTCGTCGGAATCCGTGGCTGAAGGTAGTTGTGACGTGCTCAGTTCGTCTAGACCGTGCTCTTTCGCCATTTCCATCGTCACCTTTGGCTGCTCCGGGATGCGGACTGGAGGGGGTGTCGATTTGAAGGACGACGTCAGTAAGGAGCTAGTCGTGCTTCCCTTCACCGCCTCTTTCCTGAAGATGATGGGCTCGGACGCCGCTTGAGAACCGTACTCCGAGGAAGCCGTTGACCAGGAGCTCGTCGAGGCTTGGTTTCGCCGATGGAACCTACGTTCTTCGTCCCGATCCCGGTTGGGCTTCCCGCATACCAGTGGCTGATCGACTCCAAGGTAGGTGCGCTCCAGTAGTGGCGGGTCGTAGTCTGGGGTGGTGCCCTGCGCGGCCCACAGCACGGAAGCCTTGAGGTCCTCGCTCGATTTGCTGCCAGTCCCGGAGGCGGAGAATCTAGTCCAGCTAGAATAACTCACGGCTTGACAACCTGGAGGGGTGTACGACAAGCCTCCCCAGGGCTTGATGATGGCTCGCATAGCGACGTTGTGGGCGGCTGACGTCGTGCGCTTGTGTTGAGGCGGCCAGGTAACGCTCGACTGAGCCGACGAAGACGCCATGGAAGATGAGGCCGACGAGATGACTGAGGTGGAGTCGACGCTCGACATGGTGATTGCGCCTCAAGATTTCGAAGAGTTGATTGCGAAAAGAGGTGCCAGCGAGGATATTGAGGTTGCTGTCGCAGACATGCAAATGGAGCCGGAGATGTCTGGAGAATCGAGCAGACCAAAATTCGAGTGAGTGTAAGTGCCCCGTCGTCGCCTAACTAACAATAAGGGCTTCCCTATTGTACAATGGGGCCCCTGTTGTGGCGCTAGGTCCCCATTGTTCTCCATTCAGGGTCTGTTAACCGTGCTTCACCTCTTTCACTTCCCTTCACCGTTGCGGCGGAACAATGAGTCTTGGGGGTGAGCCGCGCCAATTCCGCAGCCAAGAGTCGACTATAAAGAGTCAGGCTTCTGATAGTGTGGAGGACGAGCATAATGGGGGCGCATTCCCCTCGTAGCGGTGTGAAGTTATTCACAGTCGGAGCGGTGGCACATGGATGCACGGACCACGGCATGACTGCGGTGAAGAGGTGAGTGTCCAACGAACTCCAGGCGCCAGCGCATGTGTTTGCCTCACATGCCTGTGCCAGCGCCATGCCACTCAGCTCATCGATGGGCACGCTCTCTAGATTCCGCGATCACCAGGACCACGTCCGCCGCTCCTGCGCGGAACTCGGCCGTAAGGTGCGTTCGTGAGGCCACATCTGACTTTCTGGGGTTTGCATTGTGCGACCGAGCACATGTCTGACGTATCTCCTCCGCTTCAATACGACCCCGCTGATAAGAGAAAGCTCGCCGTAAGGCCCTCTGATGGCTTTCGATTGTTCCGGTCGACCCATCTCTTCACTGTCGAATCTTCAGTCGTGTATACTCGAGGTAGGTATATACTTCAAAGAACGCCTTCATGTAGGTCATGGGTCCGCAAGGCCAATTCTAGAGTCCTTCAGTATAGAGAGACCGGAAGCATGCTAAGCCATGTACTCATTTCTCTTTCAGTCAAGATTTACACTCATTATCAAACACCATTGCGTCCCACTTACGCTGCATCCATCCGGGCTCCACAAGTGTTTCGATCGTTTATCTATACACCATATCGGTCAATATGCCTAACCGCAACGCCCGTCACAGGCGATCAAAGAAGGCCGGAAAGGGTACGCAGAACCCCGTCGACATTCCCTCGGACCCCAACCCAACGACCTCCTCGGAGACTTCGAAGCGAACCCCGAAGAACGAATCGCCACCTGGCGCATGGGCATATAGCGCTCACTCGCGCGAAGAGATGGCACAAAGTAGGCTTTGGCCGCACGTCAGGATAATCCGAGGTATTCGGCCATATGATTGGGCCGTCGGACACGCAATATCCTGTCAAGCAGAGACATATCTGAGGTTATTCGGTACTTCGGCCATCTTATTATGTCAAGCATGGCGATACGCTACACAGTTGGTACTGCGACATCTTACACAGCCTCAAGGTGAACCTCGACAATACCCGCCCTCGCGACAATCGCAAGACCGCTCTGTTTGGCATCGTCTTTCTCAGGTTGAAATATCATGAGACTGCGGTGGACGAGGGTGATAGGTTGTCTTCTCTATGGCTCATCCAATACACCAGGGAGTGCAAGCGCATGACGAGAGAGTTGAAGAAGAGGGACTGGATTGAGAGTCTAGAATATGGCGTGCACAACAACGTGGGACGGTATGAAGTCATGAGCAGCAAGGTTTGTGAGAGGATCGCCGCGATAGGCGCACCGTTAAAGGCGCGTTTGAGAGAGAGATGCTTGAGGAGAGCTAGTGGGGATTTGATGAATATTGAGCTTGAGAAGGCTGTTTTGACCCCCCTTGTAATGCTCCTGGTTAACCACGATACCGCAGCGCTTACTTTTCCATAGAGTATGCAATTGCCTTCCCCGTCCATTCTCTCATCGAGACACGCGCAACTAACAATCGGATAACTGGGGTCAGACCTCATCCAACGCATCATTTCTGAAAGGGAGATGCCGCAATCGCTTTGTATCTCGGAGCATACCTCATGTACGGCAGCACATATATGCAATAAGCTCGATGTCTGACCAGAAGAGGGACACATGTTTTCGCTAACCAATGACGCACAGCTTTCCCAAACAAGTAAGGCGGCTTTAGGCCCAACCGCGTCAGCTCTGGAACCCTCGCATGTCGACACAGCCACAAGAACTTCTCTGCCTGATAACACTGCCACCGCACCTCCATGGCAGGTATTTGAATGTTCGAGTATGCATTCGGTTTGTGGAAAGAGGCTTGTGAAACGCCAACAAGCCTTTACGAATTCGAACCTAGCGAGCCATCGCAGACCTTACGAACGCTGGACAAGCTCAAGAAAGTGGACGGGGAGATAGTAATCTGTAGGTAGATACCGGGCTGAGAATGGTCTACCGTGGGAAGCCATCGACGGGCTGTCTCAAATGTCGCCAAAGGAAGATCAAGGTGAGCAAGGCCTCCCTCATATATACCCCATACATCTTTCCACCCCCTTGCTTGGGGTGTCTCGGCGCAGATCTACGTTGCGTGCCGCCACCCGCACGGTGCAATACAGTAAGGAAGATATCCTATTCGGGACACCACTGCGAGTATTCCACTCCACTGCGCTGCCACAGTAGCTCTTGGTGTTGCGCCATTGGCTGTCTCATTTACTAACACGTTAATTACCAGTGTGACGAAAGACCCGGCAGCTGCATCAAATGCACCGACAAAAGCTTGATATGCCCAGGCTATGACAATTCCTTGGATCGGTACTTCAGGGACGAATCCGCGCACGTGCAAGTCAAAGCGCAGAAGGCAAAAGCAAAGGCAATTGCGGCTCGAGATGAGCGCGACAGAGATGCTAGGGCTAAGCTCTCGGTAGCCAAGATGCAGGATGCCATTGGCGTTCCGCTACTCTGCCCGCTGATTGACCAGGGCATCGCTTTTTTTATGTCGAACTATGCCCTGGGATTGGACCAGCCGCCTATGCAATCCGAGGACTACCATAAACACCTTTCGACGCATGGATTTCATCCTATCATCGCAACTTCGATGACAGCGTTAGGATTAGCCGGCGTGGCGAATATCTGTATGGATGCGAACCTAAAGCGAGAAGCTATGCGATGGTACCTGGGAGCACTGAAGATGACCAACGAGGCGCTCGTCTCGCCCAAGGAAGTGAAATCAGACAACACACTGCTCGCCACGATGCTGCTCAGCGTCTTCGAAGCAACCAACAACGATAGATCGCTAGCCGGATGGAGCAACCACGTCTCAGGCTCGGCATCTCTTCTGAAAATGCGAGGACTGAAGCAGTTTTCCACACCAGCAGGTCGGAGAATGTACATGCAGACCGTCGGCCTCCTGACGATGAACTGCATGGGCATGGGCCAGCCAATGCCCAACTTCGTCCACGAGATGAACAAAGAAGTCCACAAGTTCGAGGACAAAAAGGATCCCAGTAACCGGTTCTACCACCTCCACATCGCCGCTATCGACTTCCGAGCACAAATACTGCACAGGCAGATCACCTCGTTGCAGGAAATCGTCGACCGGGCTCTCGAGATCGACCGGGATGCGAAGACTATTTTCGACGGCGCGAGCGACGACTGGAGCTTCGAGGTGGAGTCCTGCGACGAGGGCACGCCGGGTGTATTTGGAACGTACTATCACGTCTATCCGCACATGGCTGCGGCGCAGACCTGGAACTGGGTGCGGTATAACAGGATCTATCTGCACGACATCATCCGCAACAGCCTCATAGCAGGCTTCTCGACCACGCCGCCCGTCTTCGTAGGGACGCACTACATGAACCTACTAGAAGAATCAACACAAACGCTGTACAGGATGCAAGCCGACATCCTCGCCAGCGTACCTCAATACTTGCACGACACTCCAAAGGTCCCCACGAGCTACGGGTTAATCGGCAATTTCTCCTACGCGCCCACCTCCACTCGGCAGGCCCTGTCGCAGGCCAGTCTCGGAGTTAATCCCTCCTCAGCTACTCGCAATACCCACTCCCCCAAATTCTTCCACGCAAACTTCCTCACCCGCCAAACCGCGCTCCCCACCCTCTCCGACCCATCCTTCACCACGCCCGCCACGCCCCGCGACCGCCTGCCCATAATCCGCATCTCGGGTGGCTACTCCTCGCTCTGGGCGCTCTACATCGCAGGCGCCACATGCGTCGCCAGTCCAGAGGCACAGGAGTATGTGCTCAAGAGCTTTGGGCGGATCAGCGCCGAGTTTGGCATCAATCAGGCGAAGGTGCTGGCGAGCGCGTTGAGGATTAAGATGGAGGTTGATAGGAAAGGGGCGAGAGAGGGGGTTTGGGGACGGCTGGGGTTGGGCAGGGAGGATATTGTGCCGGTTTATTTGCCGAAGATGGGGCCGCATATGGAGGATTAGGGGGTGAGGAGAATCTTTTAGGGGGAGTTGCGGTGTGGTGTTATGATGACCTGAGTCCTCATAATTGTATCAGCGACTCTTTCCAATTCCACAACTGTCCATTTAAACTACCATCTCCACGCGAGAAGGCAGCTCAATTCGAGCTCGCCGTCATATTCGTACAATTAACCTGGCTCTCGATCCCAGGAATACTGCCACACTCATACAAGTTCGTCCCGCTTGGGCTCACCACATTAACATTCTTAATATGAATATCGCTGCACACCTGCGGGCTGGAGCACACCAGATAGCCCACCAGCGGGTCGTACTTGTCGCTGGTCGTGCCTTCGAAGTTCCTTATCGTGATGTCGGAAATGGTGAGGTTGCTCGGGTACTGGTTGCACAGCGTGATGTTCTTCTGGCCGTAGCACTGCGTGATCTCGATGGCGTAGTCGACGTTGCTGATTGCCATGCCGTCGTAGGTTATGTTGGTGACGGCGCCGGAGCCGCCGCCGCCTTGGAGGTCGCCGGAGAGGGCCGAGGCGCTGCCCGGCCAGACTTTGATGCGTGCGCCGTCTGAGGCGTTGGACATGCTTATGTTGTAGACCTGAGGGGTGGTTAGCCTGGGTCACTGGAGGAATAAAAGAGGGGGAGCGGGAGTAGAAACTTACGTAGACGTTCTTCACGATGTCTACTTCGCCGACGTACTGGCCTAAGCTGCCAACGCTGATACCGTGGCTGCCGTTGCAGATTAGGTTCTGGACAACGATGTCTGTGCTGTTTGGCTTGAAGGAGACGCAATCGTCACCGTTGTCGATGTGTGAGTTTTGGATGACGATGTTGGATGAGCGGTACGTATCCCATCTGCTTTGGCGTCAGCACGTCTCCCCGAAAAGCGCAAGGCACTTTGGACTTACCCATCCGTATTCTTCGCCACATTACTACTCGTGCTTCCGCCACTAATCGTCAGGCCCGAGAATACCACATCGCTTGAGTTCGCGACGAAGTTGTACCACTGCGGCGAATACCTCAGGTTCAAGTCCGAAATACTGCCGCCCTTCAAGCCAATGGTGCCGAAGAGGATTGGGCGCAGGGTATAGATATCCTTGGCGTAGAGATCGTACCACACTTGGCCGTTTCCGTCCAGCGTGCCGCCGCCGTAGACGTTCACGTCTTCGCCTCCGAGCTGGAAGAAGGTGGTGGCGTTCTGGTAGATGTGCTTGAAGGAGTTGGCCTGCCAGTAGTCGGTGTCGTTGGTGAAGGTTATGGTGCCTTGGATGTCTGTATGCCGTGGTTAGCACGTAAGGCCTGATGAAGGGAAAGAGGATACAGTACCCAGATCAATCTGCTTGAGGAACGTGAGATCCAAAGCGGTGCCGATAGTGTAGCTTTTCTCCTTAGAAAAGACCACGTGACCGCCATTGTTGCACTGCTTGATAGCGCTCAAGATGTAGTCGGAGTCATCCTTGCCGTCGCCGTGACTCTTGACTGTGCAAGTCTTCGTGCGAGCGGGCGAGGAAGGGAACGATTTGCCGGGATGCTTGGGGGTAATGGGATGGTACGGCCTCTTCGACGGTCCACCTCGAGATACAAGAGCCTCAGCTTCCACAGGCGAAGACCGCGCCACCGAAGCTTGCAGCAGAGCCGCGGCGATGTATGACGAAACGCGCATCTTTCCAGCTCTTCTCAGTCAGATCACTCAACTCAAAGTCTTCAAGCGTGACGAGCCTCATCTCAGCAGCTCTGCTTGTCCTTAATATATCCATGATTAAAAAATCCTGGGGCGAGAACCAGCGTTCGGTTCTTTCGGACTGCGGAGAAAACATAGTGTTTATCCGTCCGCGGGTCAATCTCCCCCACACGCCACACGTGGCTAGAGCCCTGGCGCTGAGCGGATTGGGCATGGCAACTCCGCGTTTCGGACTCGCTTGGCGGTGCTTGGCACAGGATTGGTGGAATTTCTACCCCGGATCTTCTTCGACATTTCCCTCCTCCTGGCAGAGAAGGTTGAACGGTCTCTTCCTCGGCACAGGGAACGTCTGCTTAGGACCACAGACCGGATGCCGGGTCTCTGGAATTCGCATTGATGTGCCATTGTGCCTGGCAATGAACTTCCTCCTCCCCTTTCACCCTCTTCCCTCACAGGGTTATCCCAGGTTGAGATACGAACGCCTTCCTGCGCTGCATGCTACCGCGCGGGTATCGCGTGCATAACACGTATGGCAATGCGGCAAGCGCATGCTATGCATACTGCAGAACGGCATCAGGGAACAGGGCAATGGGAGTGGAAGAAGCAAGCACGAGAGCGCGGATGGCGTGCATTGCTCGTGCAACAATAGCTTACCGCGTATAGGTAGTAGTACAGAAGAGACTGGAGCTTAGTGAATCCGAGCGTCTCAAATGAAAGCTGGAAAGACCGGGCATATATCAAACGCTCTTTTCGAAGAACGACTTAGTTGAGGTGGCCGCAGCGGGTCTCGAAACTTGACTCGGGACCAGTTCGTCGCGCAGCATAACGATTCTCGTGTCGTTTAGGTCGAGCTTGGGAGCGCTACCTCCGCGGCCCTTTGCCCTAACCGCTCTTTTGGTTGCATCAAGTCATGTTCATTTCCTAGGTCCAGTGCCACGTTGTCGTGAATACTGCATATCCCGACATCGAATGAGACAAGAGAGGGGAAAAGGGCGGGACGGTGCTACGAACCTATTTCTCAACGAAGTCAAGGATAGTATAGAAAGGCCGGCCGAGTCTCCCCTGTGCTGCATCGCCCTTCCCGCTGCATACGCGAGGATATCCAAGAGCGCGGAGAGCGCAGTGGTGAGGCTGCTTCGCGAGATCCATGCCTTGCGATGTTGCAAAGAATATCCTCGAGGCTTGGCTTGTCACATAGACAGACAGTCCGCGTCCTGGCATAGACAGGGTCAAGCGGGACGTTTCGGCGGTACGATGGACATCCAGAGAGAGCCAGGGTGAGCGAGCCAACGCCTGATTCTGTCTTATTGGTCCTATCCCCAGCTGCTGCACCTCAGCCGCTCCCGTGTTCTGCCCGTACAGGCTCAGTCTCGGTCCGAGGATCGTGGACATTGGGTGGGCCAGATGGGAGCGAGGGTTGATGCGGGTCGTACGTTGGAGGGGCTAGACACGAGCTGTCGATGCTGCAAAGCCAGCACTAGCGAAGTTGTCGAAGTTGTCAAAGTGCCCCGGATGCGCAAGACCTTTTCCCCGTGCCGCGTTCTGCAAGTAGATAACAGGGATAGAGAGGGATATCGCTTGGGGACAGCAAAAGAGCGAGAACATCCCGTGTGGGGGACATGCAGGTGCTGTGTGACGTGTAGTTCTCTGCATGGGGTGGACAAGGTCTGCGGTACGACCGTTGCCGGTCGATTCGAGACCACGGGCCGGGCTCGCGGTCGACAAACGCTGGAAGCCGCCTGCCAGATGTCTGCCAGATGGCCATCGAGATCTCGAGCAGCCGGAATGCAATAGCAGATGATCATATAGAGAAGTCGTATGATGTCCGACCGTTGACCCGGCTCACGGTCGCCGGCAGTGGATTAGGACGGTTACTTGCCTACCGATGGCAGTGGCGCAAGTGCACGACACCGGATTGCGATTACGTCCTTGAACGTAATGGGGACCTGGTGACCAGCATGAAACGCTCGAGCATGCTGCAGCACTGTGGATCTGTGCATGAATGCGTGGGTTTGGGTGTTTTCCCGGGGATTTAGCTGCGGAATCGACGATTCATCGCTGCTTAGATTTGTTCTTATCGCAGCGAGGAGGGACGGATGGCGTCCAACGGTCGCTCTCCGAGCTAAATGGTCAGTCTCCAATCCAGATGTCGGGTGTTTCGTCTTGTGGAAGAGGAGAAAGCACTTGCGTTGGCCACAGATTGTGCCGCTTATTGTTTTGGAAGCGGGAGCGTTCTATCCAGGTTGGAAAGCTACTGCTCTGTGAGCATATTCTCAATCAAGTGCCCAAGTGGCTCCTCTCTAGTCCTTGCTTTGCATGTAGAGGTATGGTAAGCGCATCCAGGTTCTCCTCCGAATCGCTCGCGCGGGGTAGCACAAGCAAGAAATCCACTCTCACGAAGAAGTACGCCTGCAGCGTCCCTCAACCGTCAAAAGCGCATGCCGTAGGGCTTTCGCGGGGATGCGGAAGCCGCGGCGTACATGATCATTGCAGGCTCACTAGGGCTAATCCAGACACCATTGGTGGACCATTGGGTAATGGTGGTGACGTTTCGAGCGACTTGCATGTTGGCTTGATTAGGCTCGTACCACATTGCATATGACTGATTCGTGCCACAACGTTTTTCGACACCTGTCGTAGTCATTCCTAGGTATTGTCCGTTTACCCGCCCATGGCATCGTTACCTCAGCACACCCTCGCGCCTTCGGTGGGGGTAATGAAAGACCTAGCGAGCATCAGCTTCCATATCGAGCGGAGTATTCCATGCAAAGCTGTCACTGCAGCAGCTCCATACTTTGTTTTCAGAAACAGCGATTGAACACCAACTTCAAGATTGCGCTCATGCCTGTCTAATGTCAAGATGTTCCCTTTTCGAAATGGCTATCTTGAAGTGGGCGCAAGAAGCGGCAAGATGCATCTCTTCATCGGGCCGCGACCATGCAAGCCTCTGCAAGGCGTTGGAATTACCCGCTGAGGCTTCGCCTACTCAAGCAAGCCACGTTCATGCGGTGCTCCATGTGACTGAGCCGTGAACAGACGAAGACCCGATGTAAAGCTGGATTCCTAGAGCAGGGACGTGCAGGTGCGTTACCGAATGTCGTGGACAACGGCTTTGTCCACGTGGAAGTGGTCCAAGCTCCGAGCTGTCTCTGATGAGAGAAACGTCTGTGCGAAGCAGCTGAGGCTGAGAGGGAGAGGAAGAGAGCCGTCGCAGAGCTGATCCATAGAACGCTCCGCGGAAGGGTGACGCCCCATGAGCCTTACCACTTCAGGAGGCTAGAGGAGATGCTTCATGCACCCGAGAGCGATATATGGGCTCCAACCAAGGGCCCGCATGGTCTTGAAGATCGCGTGAGATCGAGTCGACGTTTGGTGGCACATCTCGAACCCGCAATGACGGCTTCCAGAATTACAGATCGTCGTCTGTCCGGAATTCGAGGTGTTGCAACACCAATGCCGATAGGAAGGCCGCGGAGATGGTGATGCTTTGATAGGCATTGAAGTGCATGGATGACCAGCCTTCTTGGACATGATGATCCTCAACAGTCAAGGTGAACCCCAAGGGGTACTGCTGGTGCCATTGTATGCCTTCGCAGACATTCTACCATAGCGCTTTCCTTCTCTTCACTCCTAGTGTAGGCCGCTCCCAATTCATCCGGGCGGCGCCCCTCATACCGGAACAGGAATCTCCGCCTTACTTCAAACGCGCAACGTCCAAATGCCTCCAGCAAGCTAAACCGCTCTAGTAATATGCCAAGCCACGCGGTGGAAAGGACGACAAGGGTATCGGTCCGCTGCCGCAGCTCGCACGCATGTCATCCCACGCCGCTCAACTCACAGAGTGCAGCGTTCTCTACATGGATACCGCGATTCGTCGCAGGAATAGAATGCGCTTTTACGTGGCGCCTGCGCCCCGAAATGGCTGCCGGAGCTGCTATAACAAGGTCAGTGGTTGAAGGAACGAGCGAATGAATGCACATCGGGTGGCGTGGGCTGCATAGCCGTTCACCGTTCACTGCACGTTCTCGCGCAGTGCGACCATGGACCAGCGGGTCACAAGGCAAAACGGCGGTGCGCAAGACGACGGGCTTGTCGCGAAAATCCCAATTGTCGTGTGGATGGGAACGCAGGTCGGTTGGTTGGTCAGCGGTCCGGCCCTATCGCTTATTTCAGCAGAACGAGGAAAGCTGAAAGGGTAAGGAAGGAATGAAAACGAAGAGAAGGGTGGGATGTTGTTTTGGTGTTGAACAGCGATGTAGAATACCAGCATAGTCATTTTGCCCACCCAAGCGAGAAGGTTTCCTCCAAGAGCGAGGAGTTTACAGTACATGGATGGCGCTATTTGTGGTGCGAGCTCATACAAAGTACCACTCCTTAAAAGCAAGAGAAACGACTGCATGCCAACTTGAAATGTAATTCGACAACCGTGACGCGTTAGCTGGTCTACGGACGTGAGCGAGGAAAAGGAAATCGTCTTGGCCGCACGTCGAAGTGGGTATCAGGCCCACGAGGGCCGCATCTGATATTGAAATGGGAGTTTGCTGTGTCGTATCATACATGTCGCTCTGAATTCGTCTAGTATCGTGGGATTCGTTGGTCATTCGCTTAATACACAAGCGGAGGTGGGCGTCGCAATCGCGTGGAAATGGCGAGTAAAAGAGAGAAACAGCCGATCCGCCGAACGCCGGGCCGAAGGTGGAAACCTACAGGCATGTGGATGCGTCAATAGAGCATCCGTGTGGATTATCATAACGGAAACTCGCTATACGGAGTATCGAATGTATAGGCCGCACATCCGCCGAGAGCCATATCTTCCTCCCAGCGGCCCCGCGAGTCAGGTGTCCGCGGCTCGTCAGCCGTTGGAGAAGGCGAGTTAGTGAAGAGAGGTTCCGATGGGTCGAGTTCGAGAATATAACCCGTGTCGCCGCATGCGGCCATTCCTTGGGAGAGCGGGGATCCCGTGAAAGACCGTGGCGGCATGAGAGCAAGGCTCGCTCCCCCAAGCGCGCTTCCGAAATCGTCCTTGGAGTAGTCAAGGTCAGCCTCTGAGCCTACAGAGCTGTAGTATGGTGACGGAGGGTACGGCATAGGAGTGTCAGTGTTGTAGGTCGTATCGAATGCTGACGGGACCGATCTCGAGAAGTTGTGTGGCTCGCTTCTGTAAGGCTCATTCATGCGATTCGACCTTCGCATCCTCGCGGACCGTCGTGCAGCTTGGCCTCCTTTCGCGCCTGATGCCTGCCGTTGTGGAAGCGGATTTTGCGAGCGATGGCCGCGCTTGTTGGGCTGCTTGCTCCGGTAGCGGGTAGTTGACTTGACGCCCTCGCGGAGGGCTTCCTCGGTGAGTCGCCACATGAAGCCTTTCTTCGATTCTTCGCATAAGTAATCAACTTTCTCGAAGGCCTGTCACAGTTAGCGGAGTAGAGAGAATAAGCACAGGGCAAGCGTACTCCATTCATAGACAGATTGTGACGGATGCTGTTCTGCCAGCCTTTGGTCTCCTTGTCGGCCGCTTTCTCGGTGTTTTTCTTGAACCAATCGTAGATGTCCCGAAGAATCATGGTGTGGCCTGGCGCTTCCTTGAGAGCTCGGTATATCAGTTGTGCGTAAGGCTGCTCCTTATCGATGGCGCCTTCCTCGCCTGCGCCATCGTTCTTGTAGCCATGAGGAGGCATTGGGGGGTCACCACTAGGAGTAGACGACCGTGTGATGTCGGAGTCGTAAGGGCTGTTGTAGCCAGTAAGATCTTCCTGCTTGATGTTCGAAGGATACTGATTATCGTAGTCCTCTCGCAGTTGCCTCAGCTGACCATTGATGCCTTGATCCGATAGGTCCATCGCTTCCTGAGGCGTCTGCGGCTCTATCTGATATGCAGCGGGAGGGTACGATTCTGGTATGTTCATGGGCAAGCCGGTGAGATCAAGGTCATTCGTGTATGAACGAGGACAGCTTGGGCCCAGGTAAGGCGCCGAATACGTGAGATTGTAGTTGTGGTTGTACGGCACGCCATTCTGGGTGTAGTCGTAGAGTCCTACGGACTGCTGGGCGAAGTGTAGAGGTAGGTCGTAATCGAAGCCATCTTGGCCCGCGGGGTCGACAGGGAAGTCGTTGTGTGGCGCCCATTGCATTGCGGTGGAGTCGTTTAGAGTCATGAATGCCGAAGGTCGTGGTCCCTTGGAAGGAGCGGGCTCTGGAAAGGCAGTCGCCATGGCGGAGGTTATCGCGCTGGGTCTGGGCGAAGGCGAAGGCAATGGTACCTGCGGATGGAGCGGGATAGGTGTACAAAATGTGTCCTTGGAGGGCCGGATAGTGCCGAGGCCGCCAGAGAGCTCTACAGAGGGTGGCCGATGGGGTGATTGCGGATGTGGCATAGTTGCGCTGTCCCCTTCTGATGGGTTCGGACGGAGAGGGGATCGAGCGTATCGCTGAAGGGAAATCGGACGGCGAACACTGCCAACGCTTCTTGTGAGACGAAACCGGTGGTGGGATATAGGCAAGCGAATTGAACAATGGTCCTCCCGAATGGAGCAAAGTGGCGATCGAGACATTTTGAGTGCGCTTCAAGGCGCCAGAGGACGCGGGATTGGCGGGAGAGGCTCTCATTGTCACCCGGCAGCGGGAGCCCGCCGCCTGCCTGCCAGCGCACATGCAGAGATTGAAGCTGTAGCTTGGGGCAAGGCTTGGGCGAGGCAAACAAACATCAGATATGTCGAAGGGGCCACCAGGCCGATACAGCGAGTGTGTCACGGGGCCGAAAGACCAATATTCCTCGCTGCGCTGCCGACGTTGCCCAGGTGGCGTCTCCCGAGCCGGGCCTACCAGCCCCATTGCACCACTGCCAGATACTATAGGGATGACCGCAGTGTGCGACTGGTGCAGCCAACAGTTTCACGTTGCGAGTCGACTGGCAGGTTTAGAGCGGGCACCTGCAGGCGCATGCAACATCAAAGGGGTGCAGAGTAATCGCGCAAGACAATGCTGTCTCCGCCCGTTTCCATGCATGTCTTCTAGAAGTGTGACGGACGGGGCCCCATTGTTCATCTCTCGGAGGGGGTCAGTGAATAGGCTTCACCTGCGTCGCCTAGTCACTCTGGAATAGGAGCACTTAAATGCTGTTGACATCCATGGACAGACTTGTCTCACGTGCGGCCACCGGGCATGGAAGCCAAAGGCGGTGTCGGAAAAATGGGGCTTGACAGAGATCTAACGAGAAGCAATCCGACCCGTATAGAGGCAGCGGTAAGCAGCCGTTGGGTGCCCCACAATCGGAACGTAACACAATCTTACGGCCATTTTCCGGTGAGAGACTCCATCTCACTACCCGTTCTAGCATCCCGCGGTAGTGCCAGTTCCCGATTGGCTACTCTGCCCTTCAACGTTCCAGTATTAGCTGGAACCACACATAGAGCCAGGCCGATTGGGGATCGAAAATACTGTAACGGATCTTTATGAAGTCAAGGTTTGGATGATAAAGCCTGTAATCCGCCACCGCTATTCTGCGGCGGATACGCTAGACCTTCCCCGGACCCAGCCTTGGACCCCGTCGATGCGCCAAATGCGCTGGACAGGTGATCAAATCCCGTTCTGAAATAACAGGCCTTTTCCGGTCTCTTCCCGGTTGCAATAGGGCCGCGATTGGCGACATTCAATCCAGCAGCCACAAGCCCCTAGGGGGAACGGGGTCAGAGGTTGCCCAATTCTAGAGAGCACCCTCCCAGCAGTGTGACGTGGGATGAGTGCAGCGGGGTACTTGGAAGCGAGAGGCGGGGTGCCAAGATGACGCGCTACAAGAATACTCATTTCCGGTAGTATATCTGCGAGATGTCAGTATATGGCAGACATCATATTGTGAAGGGACCTTGCCTTCTTGAATTGGAAATGCAGTTGTAGAATTCCCTAGAAAGCGTTAGCCCCCGACTAGTCTCAAGCCGAACGTACGCAGGGGCTATCCCAGCACGTGCGAAGCCGGGACTTACCTTGTCGAAACTGCTCTTAAAGCCGCGTTCTCGTTTAGCACTGTAGTCCCATTCCTTGTCCACAATCCTGAAGGCGATATCCTGGTATGGTGGCCCGGCAATAAAGCGGATGAGGCATGTGTCGTCTTCGCCAGCGGGCGCAAAGGACTGGCCGCGCTTTCTTCCATTCTCGCGTTCGATCTTGTATGTCGGAGCTTTTGACTTGTTGATAAGATCCGGATAGAATATGTTGAACTTGTACCCTTGGACGACCTTCGGAGGCGGGTTGTCGTGATCGTAATGCGTCTGGTTGTATTTGTTCCACTCGTAGCCCATCTGGACACGATTGAAATATCGCGGTTTCCTGGGTTTGTATTTGCCAGCCCACTGTGGTTTTGCGGATGCGATCTCTTCTTCGCCGGCGAAGATTTCCTCTCCCTCCTCGACCCCGCGCGCAACCTCCCTTTCGTACATTGCCATGGTCGCCTGGGAGAAATCCTCCTTCTCCACGGGCGCGAATCGCGAGACTCCTGTGGAGCCAACTTGGCTGGTCTTTGGTTTGTTCATGCTCGACGAAATATCATGAGACTTGTTTTGCATTGGGACGTAGCCCAATTTGAGAATCTTTCGCCGTTCATCAATCTTCAACGCTTAGCACGCATCTTGTGGGTGGAAGACGCGCATACTTACAATGCTCTCCAAGAACCGCCGTTCTTGAATCTGTACCAGGGACTTGTCTTCAGTTCGGAGCTTCAACGATGGTTGCGGATCGAGGGAGGAATCGGAAGCCACGGTTGTTGGGTGACCGTGGTCCGACTCTGATCCCTCTTTGAGCATGGATTGCAGTTTTTCCTGCACAGTTGCCGCGGCGTCTGCTTGTTGTTTCCGTAGCGCCTGGAGTCGCTCGTTGATGATTTCCTGAGACACTCGTCGTAGCATAGCCTTCGCTTTCCATACTCGCAGATTGCGCAGCAGATGTTCCCAGTAATCGTAATCAATCGGCTCGTCGGAGTCCAGTTTCTTCTTGACCTGGACTTCCAGTGTCTCCAATTCCTCGTATGTCTTCGGCGCGAGCACTCGATCGATGTCTGCAGAGACAGAGCTAGTACCGCGGGCTTCGGCTGCCGAGGCTTTGGATCTTCGACGGCGGTCTTTGCAAATGACCTTTAGAGACTGCAAACATTAGCAAGTTGCGCACTGTGAAGCCAGTGATTAGGAACATACGTTCCAGTAGTCCCTATTGCTGCGGTTCGTCTCCAGGGTGAGATAGTTGTCAATCTCCTTCTCGAGCTCAGATAGCTCGTCCTCGCTGAGGCCTTCAAGCACCCCTTCCGGATCTACGATGTCCAGTTCATGATCCTCAACTTCCTCATCCAGAATGGTCTTGGTGGGGTCGACGAACCGAAGGGTGACGGCAAGCCAGTCGATGGGCTTCGCTCGGCCGCCCTTTACGCGCAAGGCAGCCTTCTTCTTCGCTTGCTGCAGCACAAAGCGGTCCTCATCTGCGACCCAGGCCTCCTCCTGCGCGTTCGTGGATCGTTTTGCAGGGTTGTCATATGCTCGTGAGTTTGCGGATCGCTTCGCTGGGATCGTGGAGGGAGGAGGTCGCTGAGGCGGGCGATCGCGGTCGCTGCGCCACGGCGGAGGATTACGGGACGACATCCCCAATTGCTGAAGGGTAGATATGCTGGCCGAGACGCGATTTGCGAGCGTAGATATCGATATCAAGGGTGGGCGCGAAATCTTTCGCCAGTACCTGACTTGGCGTGATGTATTGGCCCGGAAGGAATTAGTGCGGCTGAGCTTACTAAGCTGCTGCCTTCGCCTCTGAAGCAGACTTCCAAGGTTCACAACAACGCGCATACGCCTCGTTTCCATTCAGAATATTCTCTCGTTCCTTCGCTGTATGACACCCACTTTGCTCCAAGCTTAGCACAACCAGAGGCACAAATGTCTTGCTGGCGTGTCTTACAGTTGTCCGATCAACTGGATGGCGAAAACGTGCCACAGCTGCTCATAAAGCCTCGATTTAGCTCAGACTCCTACACCATCTTCCTCACTGATCTCAGCAACATTTGGAGCGAAGAGCTTGATTCTGCCGGGCTTGTGGGTCGAGCGTCGGAAGAAGAATCGCCTATCGAGGTCAGCAAACAAGAGACCACGCAACTAGCCATTCTCCTCCAAAATGTGCAGAAGTCATTGGCCAACACCGACGACACCACCTGTCGTATAGTGCGTGCTACCGCTGATGATGTCGTTCTTCACACCACTATCAGCCTTCCCGAACCCCTCGATTCTCTCAGGTGGAGGTTTCACCTTCGCAAGAGGACTTCCGTTACACTGAAGAACGAGCTCGTCCTACCACTTCTGGTGTCGTCTCATATACAGCACGAAAAGATCAGCAATCTTGTTGCAACCATCACCGAGAAAGATAGAGTGATAACACGGCTCTTGGATCAATACGAATCGAGCAACCTAGATCTAGCTGCTGCGTTCCCTAGCATCAGTGGCCTGAAGTCTGGAAGAAGGCTACTCAAGCGCGATCAAGCGGCAAGGCACATTCCGGGTCTCCAACCTTTCCACCAAGACTCCTGGAAAAGGGAAACCGCGGAACTACATGACACGGATGTCTCTACTCTCAGCCTGTTCCAGGAAGCATTGTCCGAATGCACGCCTAAGGTGCCACCGCGCCTGGAATCAGAAGATAGCAGGAACACATGGTGGACATCCATCGCTACCGCGCTGCATGACCCAAAGCCCACGATGAAGCCGAAGGCAAACCCCATCCCAGAGAAGGCAGAGGCCCGTGCAGAACGGAAGGTACCTGCGCCGGAGAGTGACGATGACGAAACTGAAGACGAATTCGAGACGCATGAGAACTTCAAGGTTAGTACTACTTGGATCAGACAACATTCGAACGTGGAGGTGACAGTTTATTGTAGCTGCGTGAAGCGGCGAAGACATCGACGCATGTTCCGGACCCATTACCAGCCTCATCAGCAAAGCAGCACGATCCAAGCGAAGACGAATCCACAGAGAATGATGATGACGACCTGGATGCGCCGCCAAAGAGCCAGAGCCAGACCCGTCGTCTGCGAAAAGCATCGGCAAGGGACCGAACCTCAATGGCAGACACTTCCAGCCCACCCAGCAAAAGAGCTACTTCGACGCGGTTGGCGTCTCCACCACCTAGTATGAGGTCTCCGCCAGTACCGAAAGCAAAAGGGAAAGGCTTCAGGATAGGGGGCAAAGCGAACAAAGGAGCAGCCGAGTCGCCGGCGCTTTCGTCAGAAGAAGCTCAAAAGTCGCCAATCGACATCGACGGGGGCGAACAAGGCTCACCAATCCCGACACGACCGAAGACAGATGCTGTCGAGGCAATTACTGAGAGCAAGCCGACGAGGAAGCCTTTCCGGATTGGAGGCAAGGCCAAGGCATCTGCAGAGAGCACGCAGGCTGAGCATGCGACGAATTCAGCACGAGACAGGAAACCCGACCCCAAGACAACCCGAAGTCCTTCGCCCAAGCGCCCGCTACCTACAGTCAAAGAATCCGGGAAAGAGAGTACACCACCAGAAGAAGCTCGCGAGGAAACGACGGAAGAAAGGGCGGAGAGAAAGAGACGCGAATTAAAGCGGAAGAACGAGGAGTCGGCGAAGAGACAGGCACACAGAAAGAAGAGGCGCTTCTAGTGCATGCCTCGGTATGAGAGCGGTGTCCCGTGAGAGACGCTGGTAACGGTGAAAGGCGCCGTATGCAGAAGCGCTGTGATGTAAATATCGGTTGCTGTGGCCAAAGGCCTTCACCGCACAACCTTGGAATGTCCTTCCCTACACCGCCCGCTCTTTCCCGCACTTGCCCTCTGCTGCATCATACCTTCATTGTAAACACGCTTGCGGGCAGCGGCCACTCAGCCACGCGCGCGCGACTTCCTCCTTCCGCCGCCCCGCCGTTGATATCCCCCGTCTTGTCGTCGACCCTTCCGCCCGCTCGCGCACCGCCGCCGACAAGTGCGACCAGTATGTGTATATATCGTTATGTCTATTACTCGCGCTGCCAACACTCGGAACTCTACCGAGTAACTTATTGCGACAAGGCGAACGCACTCGGGCAGCCCCAGCGGTAAGTCTCCATACAGCCGGCACGCCTTCCTATAACTGACGCTGTCCAATAGAGACGATCGTTATCGGCCTGGTCCCCGTGCAGACAATACCCACGGAAGCCAGCCAGGGCCCGCGTTCTCCAGTCAAGCTACTAGCAGCACCTCTTCTACACAGCATCATACCAGCAACATGTCGACCCTCACCCCGTCCGAGGCCAGGTCCTCCCTCGGCTGGCAAGACACCGCGGCGGCGGCGCCCCATGGCCAGCGCTTGCCGCAGGCCGACCTCATTCCCCGTTCAGTTCGGCATGACTCTCATCAAGCATCTTCGGTATTGGATACGCCTGGCTACAGCAACTTGAACATTGATATTCCTTTGGACACACAATCTTCACTGTCCATGGAGCTCACACACGACGGTAAGGTCATGGAACTTGTCGCTCGATTCGAGTCCTATACCCATCGCACAGCCTCTGACGGATCACAAGCACACGACGGCGACCGTAACCGCGCCTCGAGCACCTCCACCGTCCGCCAACTCGGATCTGATGCGGAACCAGTTCAAGCAGCGCCGACCGCGCCTCTCACCGATAGCTCTTCCACGTTCCAAGCTCACGAAGACTCATTGAGCCCCCGCAAGCCGATTCCTCCTCAGTGGAAGGCCCCCCCGCGCGGCCCAAACCTAATGACGGCAATCCGAGGTGACAGAAAAAGGCCGGGCCAGGGAAGCTCCCCGACTGAAGTAAAGTCTCTTCGAGGCACCCGCAGCTTGAACTTCCTGACCAAAGACGCCGGCGAGGTACGTAGACCGCCATACACACACTAGCATGTGTTAGCTTCGGCTCTGGAACGGCACTGTGAAGGCCTCCAGCTGGCGCATTCATGCTGGCTTTTCTGGCCGTTCTACTCGTTGAGGACATATGCTAATATGTACCGCCACATTCGCAGACGGTGGAACGCGAGGTCGCATCCTCTTCAGGCCCTTCTTCACCTACGAAGCTGCACCGTAGCAGCTCAAAGGCAAGCCTCAAAAGCCCCACATCGTCACCAGTGCGCAGCAGCCCTCGCCAGCAGTCCACGATTAAAATCACCTTGTCACCGACGAGGGCGTCTCGCTTAGGCGTAACTTCTAGTCAGCATGTGCGGGCACCTAGCAGCATCATCTCTACCGGAGACACTGAGTTCTATTCCTCCCGGAACTCACCGGTGAGTTTGATTGCTCGCCAGGAGCAAGATGCCACTCAGAGTGCCGAGGGTTCGGAATGGAGCTTCGTGACGGCTGAGGAGACTCACGAATACATTCCTCTTCTTAACCTGACTGATGCTGATAGCGATGAGCAGGGTGCACGAGGTCCTGATACGCTTCATCATGCTTCCCACTCGCGAGGCAAATCAGAGCCACAGGTCAAACTACCGGCGATTACGACAAAAGCCACTCTTGCCAGACTTGCCACTCCTAAGCTCTCCTTGCAGATTCCCCATGGCAGCTCACTACCAACTGACCGCAAATCGCCGTTGGTTCTCAATTCAGCGTCCACCTCTGGGTCTGGAACCCCGCTATCTCCGGCACGTTCATCGCGAATCCCTCGCGTGACCACCGGGACCGAAACCCAGAGCCATGGTCCCGCGGTTACTTCTTCGATTTCCGGTTCTACACTGAAGCGAACACAGTCGATGAAGTCGTTTGCCTCGAACAATCGACAAGTGGGGCAGGCAACCGCCAAGGGTTCAGACAGCATGAAGAGGTCTACCCTCCTCCGTAACGCTACCGGTGAAGGACTTCAAGACTCAAAGACCGAGCCACATAACATTCCGCTGCCGGAGACCCCAGTTGTTTCATCTATACGCCACGTGAGGACCGTTGACAGTTCAGGCGCGACTCCAATCATATCGCGAGGCAGTCCAGGCCAGGCGATCGGGAACCCGCCGGCGCAACAGCCCAAGGAGGATTGTCCCCCGGTCTGCTTGACCTCAACGAGCAAACTGGCTGCTCAAGACCTTCCTGACAAGCATGCCATGGTCGCGTCATACCTTGAAAACGTCGAACTACATGCTGATTCAGAGCACACGCCCTTTGCCGGGGACACAGCTTTCTCTCATGGAAAGGATAGTTTGTCGACGAATTTCACTGAGACGATCGCCAAGATGCTTTCCACGTCGGCATCGAGGGTGACTAGCGGATCTACTATTAAGGCCGCGACAGAGAATCCGGTGTTGAAGGACTCCGCGGTAGAGGACCCCGCTTCGACTGACTCGGCCATTATCTACAGCCGTAAGAAGTCGGACACTTCGGGCACCACGAATTCAGAGAAGGCTCCTGACTCTACGCCTATCACCTCGGTAGAGAATGTGTCTCCGGTTGAACAGTATGGACCGCAACACCGAGGCCAGGCGCATAGCGAGCATTCACTGCACTCGAGTCTCGCCTCAGATCTGCGAGCGACTGCTCCGGAGTTTGTGCCGGCAGCATCCAACAGGTCGACTTTACCTGCTGAGTGGACTCAGCCTGCGCAGAACGATCATCATCCCTACGGTCCCTTTGGCATCGACGCGTATGGCATGCCATGGATCTATCACATGTATCCGATCCGGATGGGCCGACCATACGCGAGATCTCCGAAGAAGGGCAAGCCCTATCGCACGCGTAAGCGCGGTAACACGGTCAATACGTCGCCCAAGAAGGAGGAGCAGCCGGTCGCCGATGCCGCAACGGAAACCGAAGCCCCTGTGCGGGAGAGCACTCCCTTTGCCTTACAGCTCGAGGAGATCGCCCGGCAAGCGGCAGCACGACGTGAGAAGCCTCCTCGAAGCAGTGCAGGCTCCGGTTTCCACACAGCTCCTGCTGGCCCCCGAGGGGCTCGTCCGTTTCGCAATGTAGGCAACGGTCTATACGATAGTCGTGGACGCGGTCGCGGCGTTCCAATGGATGCAACGACTCCTTTCCCGGACCCGATTCCTCCGCCCGCCGGCCCTAGGGAATACATTGGCTATACAGTGGGCGCTCCCGAGCAGAGCACCGAGGGCTGCGGTGTGGTGAACATGGATCGAAGCATGGAGTGGGGTGGCGCTATGTGCAACAAGTGTGAGCCTAATCCTTAAGGTGAGTTTTAATTGGCCTGGATACTTGTTTTGGGTATCAGAGGCAGAATTTTTCTTTGCTTTGTTTCGCCCATTGAGGGCCTTCAACCTTACCTATGAGGTATGTATACTCGGCGGCGCGTGCCGTTGAAGGGAGGGTCGGCCTGGGGGAATTATTGGTACAAGAGCATAATGGGGGTTAGCATTGACCAGATGGCTCGGCGAGGTGGCTCTTCGGCGAACAATGATACGGATTTTATGATTAGAAGGAAGCGTCCCAAAGCACTTTCTTCCTGGTAAGTTGTACCTGACGGTCAAGCCGTTGCTCGGCGACCACGGTTAAGGCAGTGCAAGCCTCCTTGGCTCTCTTGCGCGTCTTGCCCAGGCTGCTTATTTTACATGCGCTACTAGTGGTCGGATGGGTTGGTGGCCGCTCAGTGCCCACTGTGGCTGGCTAGGCGGGGACGGGGAGCTGGCGCTTTGAGGGTCCAGCTCATGCGGAGGCCTTCAGCTCAGGATGGAATAAAATGAGGGAGCGCGCACACGAGGCTTCGGACACTGCGTCTTTGTTTCTCTTCCTTCTTTCTTCCTTCTTGACTTTTCTGCAGCGGTTGCTCTGGTGGTGCTTAGAGTAATCTCTCAGCGTATTGGTCGATTAGGGCCCAATGATGATGAAGCGGCTCCCGGCGCTACCGCTCGTCTGGGCTAGTACGTTGCTTAATTCTGCCCAGCCCTGTCCCCAGCTCTCCTCCAGTCCCACTAACGATCGGCCGCACACAGCGCTCACGACTCTCCTCCTCCGCACAACTACCGCCTCTTCTTCCCCATCAATTGCGGCTCTTGCGCAGCGCGACGATGACGACTCGAAGAACGCGTCCTCTGCCTTCGTGCACAGCACCGTGTACGGCAACATTACCTTCGCGGTGAGCACGGTGACGCAGACGGGGGATTTGTACTTTCATCTCGAGGCGCCGGCGGATAATAGTTGGGTTGCGGTGGGGAGCGGGAAGGAGATGAAGGGAAGTTTGATGTGGGTTGTGTATAAGAGCGAGGACGAGAAGGGTGAGTCTTCCTGCTTCTTTGCCCACACTCCTTCAACGACTGAGAACGGGATGAAATGAACTGGGTTGAGAGTGGATTGGAGGGAGGAGGGTCTTGATTGAGCTCAGAGGCGTGGTGGCTGACACACAAATAACAGGCATCACGCTCTCCCCACGCACCGCAACAGGCCACGTCGAACCCTCCTACGAACGCGACATCCCCTGCAACTTGGACGATACCGAAGGCGCCAGACCGACCGGCATTGTCGACCGCAACGGCAAATCCTACTTCATCGTCAATGCGCTCTGCCATAACGTGAACAACCGCGCCAGCTTCAAGCGTTCGCTCGCCCGCAGAGAAGCCGACGACCTCGACAGCGACGGCATACTCAATTTCGACAACGACAAGCAGAACTTTATATTCGCATGTGGCCCGACCGATAGGCATCTGCACGATGATAGCAAGGAAGTTGGCATACGGAGGCACACGTTGTACGGCGGCTTCACGATGGATTTGAAGAGCGCAACGGTGGAGTCGTCGATCGACGCGCAGAAGGCCCTGGCTGCTTTTGACACTGGCGCATGGCAGATGAAGAACGCGCAGCTTGTGAGTGGACCGGAGAAAGATAGAGATTGGTCGAGCGGTATACACAGTCTGCTCATGTGCGGCACTTTTGTGATACTATTCCCGATCGGCGTCGTGTTCTTGCGGCTGCTAGAGAAGGTCATGTGGCATGCGATTATGCAGGGCATTGGCGTGGTCTTCATCGTAATCGGTGTCGGGCTAGGTATCTATGTCGGACGCGAGTATAACCAGGTAAGTTCCTCTAGCCATTCTTCGCACCAGTATTCCCCTCCCCTCTCCCCTCTCCCCTCCTCTCCTTCCCTCCCAGATCCCAAGCTAACACAAAATCCCCCACAGTCCCGCACCGTCCGCTCAGCGCACCAAATCCTCGGCCTCACCATCGCCGCCCTGACCCTCCTCCAATTCGGCCTCGGCCTCACTCACCACCTAATCTACCGCCGCACGCAGAAGCCCACCCTCCTCGGCAAAATCCACCTCTACCTCGGCCCCTGCGTCCTCGCCGGCGGCGCCTTGAACGGCTTCCTCGGGTTCCGCTTTTCCGGCGGCAGCTACCACAACATCATGTACGGCGCCATCGTCGCCGTCATATTCATTGTCCTCGCCGGGTTGCTCGTTTGGACTGCCAGGAGGAAGAAGACGAGGGGGAGGAGGAAGGCGGGAGGGGAGGCGTATGAGGGTTTCGCGCATAGGGGTGCGGATACGGGGTATGCGGGCCGGGATCATATTCCGTTGAGGAGTGTGCCGTCTGAGGAGCCGCCGCCGTATGAGGCTGCGAGGGGCGTGCAGCCTAGGAATATGGTGTAACGAGGGATTTGGCGTCTTGTGCGGTTCATACTTGGGTAATTTGAGGGATGGAATGTGCGACATCTATCCGCAGCAATCGGAATCAAATGATCGTCAGCGAGTTGTGCCGGCTTCACCGCGTCCGAACGAGGCGGTTTGTGATAGAGTAGCAGTAGCCTGCTTATCCAGAACGCCGAAGGACTTCAAGCCGAGCACAAACGAAGCCAGTCCCCAGAAGTATGCTTGCCGAGTGCGATCTCCAACCATGCTACCACTCCTCTCCTCTCCCGACAACAGAAAACCCCTTGAACATCTAGCGCTGATTTCAACGCCCGAGCAAGCCTGTTATCGTCCCTAGACTAAAGGTCCTCAGGCATAGCTTTCCACACCAAGCACCCAGCCATGCCGGTACCGATATACCCGCCGCCGTGACCTGACCTACGTTACATTACTAGAAATAACCGCTCGAACGCCGTGCTGCATGCGCAGATCCTCTTCCTCATGCACCTGTTTTCGGTATCTGCGTAGACGATCCCAACGGTCGTACAGGATGGGAGCAGGGAGCGCGGCGGCCGAGGATCCCAATTTGCGTTTGCGAGGCGCCGAACTTCTTTCTATGTATGTGAGCAGCATGGGGGTTGATTTTATCGGATTGATAGAGACGCAAGACGCTAGGCGCATAGCGTTGATGAAGATTATGAATGTTTGTGTTGTATATGTACTGCGATGGCCGTTGGGGGTATTTGCTATGTGCAAGTCCAGATGCGGCCGTAGGCTAAGCTAGAAAAGGAGGCGGAGATAGGAGAGGTAGCTCATTGCTGAGTGTAGAAAAGACGAGAAGGAGAATCAGCGGTGGAAGCGATTTGAATATTAGGCGGCGGTTGAGCGAAGATAAGAGGAGAGAAAGATGCGCAGGAATGTAGACGGAACAGAGTAAAATCCAACCCAGAAGAGCAACACAAGAACTCCAAACAACGCCGACGGCCCATGGCATCCCTCCTACCCGGGCCGAGATGAAACCGAAAAGAAAACGGCGATGGAACACAAGGAAAGGGGTATATATATATGCAAAGAAATCAAACCCCAGAATCCTCCTGCTTCGAATAATCCCACACATTAGGATGCGTCTTGAGCCAAAAGTCCCACTTACTGCAGCCATCCTTCACTTGTTGCAGGCTGCCAATACTGTTTGCGATCTCGCTCTGGCGTTCCAGAATTTGAAGCGCGAGGCCAGATCCAGCATGCCATGCAATATGGCAATGGATGATCCAAACGCCGGGGTTATCGGGCTTGAACGCAATGACGAGATGCCCGTTATTAGGTAGCATAGCGACATCGCGGCGGGGCGGGTTGTTCAGGTTGAGGTTCGCGTTGTTGGGGTCGAAGAGCCCGTCGCCTTGTGATATAATGGCGAAGTCGTGCCCGTGGAGGTGGATCGGGTGGGTTCCGGAGAACATGTTTTGGGTGCCGTTGCCGGAGTTGATGATCATGTAGACGAATTTTTCACCGTCGGTGTAAGGATCTGGGCGGATAGTTAGCCACTGAAACTACTATGTATTGAGGGTAGAGTACGTACACTTCGCGACAGCATACTCTGGGTCGAATGTAGTATTAGCCAAGCTCAGGATCGTGGGCTTGGAGAAATTGAGCCACATGGGCGTATCTGCGAGTTCCCACCGGAAAGCACCATGGGACTGGGTCAGACGATCGTTACCCGCGTAGTAGGTGTTCTTGAGAATATCGTTCTGTGGCGCGGACACAGTCCATTTGATATGAGGCTCGATGGGTGGATCTGCGCATCCAACTGGATCAGTCCATCGGCTCGTAGTTGGATCGCCGCTTCCGGCGTTAGCGTAACTGATGATGCCGGTTCGCTGGGTGTCCGGTTGGCCAGAGGGAAAATTTGGCTGGTCGAACTGACACGCGCCAGCGGCATACTCTGTGCGGAGCCAGAATTTCCCGTTCGAGCTCGTCTGGTTGGCGGTGACGATGACGCTGTAGCGCTGACCGATACCGACGTGAAGGGAATTGGTATAGAAAGGTTTGATTGGCACGAGGTCGGCCGAAACAACTTGCAACACGTGCTGGTCGATCGAGAAGTGAAAGTCAAAATCAGTACCGCCGTTGACGATTCGGATAAGATATTTCTTGCCCTGCTCGAACTTTTGCTGGAAGTAGGAACCGCCTCCGTTGAAGCGACCGGTGCCGTTGACCAGAATCGAGTCGGCAGAGGGCGGCAAGGCGACGAGCGACTGGTGGAAGGCTTCGTAAGCCGGCGTGTGGAACCAGTCGGTGACGATTATCGGAGCCCATTCTTCGTCCCAGTTATCGGTGTTGGGGCCGTGAATAAGAAGGGGAGCGGCAACACCCTCAGAGTACTGAGAGCTATAATGGCTGTGATACCACGTATGGCCGTACTGGCGCAGCGTAAACTTGTAGGTAAAAGTGTCGGCTTCCGGGACTGGGCACTGGGTGATTCCTGATGTTCATCAGTCAGGTTCTCTAGCGGGAGCTGGACCTTTTTCACTCACCGTTTACTCCATCCATCTCGTTTTCTCCGAGCATGCGAAGACCATGCCAATGAATGGTTGTTCCATTGGTTTTCAGCGAGTTTTTCACGTTGACGACGAGAGTGTCGCCCCAGCATGCTTCGATCAGCTGGCCCGGATACTTTCCGTTGATAACCTGAGCATGGGCCCTTGGAAAGCCATCTGGAGAGATTGTCTGCTCAGTGATTTCCAGATTGTACGTTCTCGTAACACCTATCACACTGTTAGCTAAGTCTTTCTCGTCGCAGCGCTTAGATCTTACCCGTAGGCATCACGTCTTCGTAGTCATCGTCGATGCCGTATTTCTTGCCACTAGGATCTTTTACCCAGCAGCCCCGATCATCCTTTGTGTTGCAATTTGTCCATCCCGCAGGATAGAAGCAGCCAGGAAATCCAGGCGAAGCTTGCCTGGGCATAACTGTGTGCTTCAATGAGCGACTAGAAGCAAGAGGGGAAGCCCCAACAAGGGAAAGAAGGGAAATGAACGAAAGTGTGAAGAGACCCATATTATCGGACGGAAGTTAATCAAAGAATGTCGGTAGCGATGCAGACAGAAATGAAGTGCATACCGGGTAGAGGGTGGACTTAATATACTTCCCGCTCGACTCCCATCTTGCCCCCATCGTTGCTCCGCCTCATGGAGCAGAGGTACTCAGCGCTCGGGCGTAGGCAGCAACCGTAGGATATCGGCAGTAAGCTTAAGCGCTCGCTGTACCCCATGACTAGCTCTTGTGTATTGGTGGCGCCCGTGTAGTAGAGGTTCGGACAAGGGATGCACGTGGTAACCCTTGAATTTCTCCCAGGGTAGGTGATCAAGAAGTGAAACAGAGGGGTGGCTTGCACGTTCGTGACGCTGTAAGTGAGCGAGAAAATGCAGGTACAGGGTGACTTCGTACTGTAGCTTCTTCCAGGTCATCGGGTCAGAATCCATCGAGCGGGTAACCCGGAAGACCGAGCTTTAGGCCTATAGAAGCGGCTACTGTGCTTCTGGTGGAACTGCGGCCGCGAGTTGGAAAGGCGAGGTTGTGGCAGGGCATACTATGGTATTTGCGTAGTAAGGTCCGACAGGCGAAAGCGACACAGGGGAGCACGGCGAGATCGGAGCAAGGAAGTATCCGCAGGGCTGCCAAATCAAGAGCGACAGTATCCATCGCGTGAGGCGAGAGACGAGATCGTGTAGTAATCAACATGGTACAAGATGGCTGAAGCGACTCCGGATAGCTGGGGATAGGGTACCTGGATGTACGTCATCGGAGCGAAGTCTCCCGTAGGCCATTGGGTAATGCCCGAGGCTGACTTGTCGAATAGGTTAGTCGTTTCTACGATTTTGCACTGCGCAGCCACAAGACATCGGAGTGCCTTCTCGGCGCTACCATTGGGAGGTGGTCAGACCTGCGTAGACCGAAAGACTGGAAATACGAAAGAATTCACGCGTCCGGTATTTTGACGAGATTATGAAGACGGCGAAGGATGAGGAAAAGAAACGCTGCAGGATGCAGGCATTGACGAAAAGGATACGGACACAGTTCAAATCCCCTTTGGGTCATGAAGCGCGAACCGTTGGAGACGCATGGCCGAAAGAAGGCTGACGCCGGTTACTGTTTTTGTGAGAAAAGCTGGCGGATCAGCGGGCCGCGCTACTCGGAAGACGGCAGCCTACGATGGAAGGGCGACAGGTCGCAGCGCGCGCGACTACTGCGGTCGTGTCGATGAGGTCAGATAGAGGGTGGCGTTGAGGAGAGGTGAAGGATCAGGGACAAGAAAGGAAAAGGCGTTCGGCCCGCATCGGGCCCGCCGTGCACGGACTACCGACGCGGGCCCCAAGTCGTTCCGTCCGTAACCTCGACACTCCTCTTCGCTCTTCCAGAAGCCTAATGCGAAGATAGTTCTTACATTGCAATATTGGATCTAGGTGATACACATCCTACGCATCATCTGCTACCGGGGGCTCCCGAGCGTGAACCATCGCTTGCCACGTGCCAACCTTTCAGCTGCACCCTGCCCCGGCCCCCAATCGCGCCATGGGCCCTTTCTTGATGCATGTCTCTCGTTCCTAGCATTTGGGATCCTCTTCCTCGTGTTTGATCACTCGCGGTGGCGCCATGGAAGACTTTTACGGGCGTATGGCATTTCCCGGGCCACGTGCGTCTATTGTTGAGGTCCGACCGTGGCCTTCAAGTAGGCCTCAGCCGCTTAATATGCCCTATAAGCGCCGGGGTAATGTCTCCATGGAGCTCGCGTATGGCGACTCTATGCTCTACCTGCGGCCTGTCGGTCTGAATCGTATCCGAGGCATCCACCTGAAGCGGAAGTCAGAAGCGATGCAACACTCCTTCACCGGTACGTGACCATATACACCTTCAGAGGGCCGAGTTCTGAGGAACTGCTAAAGGGATACGAGGATTGGTCAGTGTAGAGGCAGTCGCGGCTGTGCAGACTCTTCAACAGAAGCGCTTCAGCACACGCGACTAATCTCGATAGCTCCTCGGTGTACGCCCCGTCACTTCAAGACGTTCTCGAATGCTCAATCTGCAATCCGCTCGCCACAGCGTGGATACTGAGGCGACTGCGCTGTCTGACTGTTCGCTGGAGGCCTGAACTTCTCCATGACCCCCACCACTGTCGCCTTCTGACTCTATCCTTCACTCTCGATCTCACTGCCACATTTCCGCGATGCCACTGCCACTGAGGTCGCGTGATATCACACTAAGAATGGTTCTTGGAGAAGAACGCCCGCAGCATCATCTTTCCATCGAACAACAAAAGTTCCCCACTCGCGCGAGTCTTGTCTCTGCGCAACTTCGAATAGAACTATCTTCGCAAGTCGGTGGCTTTTCAGTATCTAGGTGGCAGTTCGGATATTGATGAGACTCTACAAAGAGTGGCGTTCGACTAGTCGAGGAGATGCTCACGCGTGCACTCGCAGATACGGTATCCAGCGGCGTGTGCAACCTGGACTGGAGGAAAGTCTGCGGAGACGTCACTCCGCGATGGTTGCGACCTCAAGAAGGCGAAAGAGCATAAGAATGGTATAGCCCGCCCTATTTGCGAGCCAGGTTAGACGAAAGAGCAGCCCCGTTCACCTGGTCGCAGAGGTTTGCTAGCATCAGCCGGAGCAATCGAGCTGCTTACCGTACCTCTGGGTCGTATACTGTAGGCCAAAGTGCTGACTGCATGCAGGGTCCGAGATTGCATGCTCACAGGATCTCGGCAGTTCCGCCCTGACCTGGGTACATCTTGATGTACAACTCTACCCTAGCCATTACACCTCGTGGTGCCTAAATTTATCGCACCACCGTTCGCATCGCGGTGTGCCGTTTCCGGTCGAGCTCCTTGCGTCTCTCGCCCGACCACCACTACTGCTACTACTACTACGCCACTGACAAGGCGCTGAAGGATAAGATGGCGAGTATCCTGGCAGTGCTCTTACATCTCATACGACCCTGTCTTGCTTTCATTTCTCCTTTTCGTAACTCCGCATTCTGGGCAGTGCAATCGAAACAAAGTCAAGGCCTCAGTCTACTTCGCAACTCGAAAAGATTGGTAGATTGCTCTCATCGCCATCCCCTTCCTGCAACTCCGCACATAGGATCGCGCAGCCCTGTCTCATTTTCATCTCCTTTCTGCAGCCCCGCACGTAGGGCAGTGTAGTGGACCGGCGTCATCCGAAGGATGCCCCAAGGCCTCAGTGCCACAGGAAACAGGAAACAGGAAGGGACCAGGCAGTCATGTTTAAAACGCTTTCTACACTCGACAAGGCAGAGTATAAGTCTAGCTTCCTTTCCATAAACGGAGCGGAAACGTCCGGAGCTGCAATTGGCTTGTAGGAGGAGGCGCAGTGCATAGTGTGCTACTCCCCTACTCCTACCTACATAAGGTAATTAGATGCAATCCTTCTGCGCCGTCGCATCCAATCAGGCTTCAGGAATCTACGCCTTGGCTGCCTGGTTTAGTCCGGAATCTGGGGTGGGTTCTGGAGTAACTGCACTCCGCGCATGGGGAACACCGAACTGCCTGCACGTTTCCTTCCTCATCTGCGAACACCCATGGAGCTCGCCGAAGCATTTTGGTTTCGATCCATACCCGCGGGTTTTTGTCACCAACAGAGCAGACTCCGCATCCTCCAACCCTCCTTACATATCTCTCCAAATGCAAGCCCTAGTCACGGCTGTGCACTTGTCTAAACAATTCAAGGGGAAACCCAAGAAGGCGGAAGTTAGTACCCCGTCGCGCGCCAAACAATGCATACACGAAGGCGCATTCTCAGCTGTGCCTAGCCAGTGATGATTGGTCCTGCGACTTCGAACCCAACCAGTATTTGCGACGGCTACAGCGGTAAGCAAGCTAGCAACCACAGGGGGCAGATCAAAGACCATATCCAGAGTGCCCTACTGGCGGATCTGTTCGGACGTTCGAAATGGGTTGCTCGATATACCGCGTCACTATGCTGATTGGATGAGGCAGGTCCCGCGTTTCGTCGAGAGGAAATGGAGAAGCAGATGGCCAAACATACGCTCTGAAACAATCAACGTGAGTGCTTACTAGGCTGGGTCCGTGCCTACAAGAGACTCGGTATTGATCTCTTGCTACACAGCCACTGAAGGATAGAACCAGCGGCAGTTCAATGGTCTCCTCACTGAGTAAACTTTCACAGAAAGTTCCTTCCTTGCCCAAACAATAGGAGCCCTCTTCCTTTTTTTCTCGACGCAAGATACCGCCAGCCGCTGAGGGTGGCCAGGTCATGAGAACATTCAGTTCTGCATACGCCATTCCTCACAAGAGACAGTAATCCGGAGGCTCTACGCGCTATCGTTCCCATGCATATGTAGGCTTATAGGGGCACCTACAGATTAGGGCGCGGAGTGATGGTTGCCGTTCCGTTTCCATATGCTCTCGATAGCGGGTTTGTCAATGATGTGTATTCGGTCAGCAGGATATGCTTTCCTCGTACTATGGTGGACACAAGTCTAACCCCTGAGTCCTGTAGCCGTCCGGCTTCGATGTCTCGTTTGCCTATGCCACTGGTGTCTTTGTACTGTGTGAGGAGAGTAGTCCTACCGAGCGCTTTTCCAGACCGTGTCCATCCCTCCTCAACCATCTCCAAAGTCCCCCTTCCCTACAATTTCGCCACCACCAATACCGCGCCACCACCCGGACCTCTCACCAGACGCCCGCGCCGCCCCTTGCTCAACCGTTTACCCAGCCCATCTCCACCACCCTCCGCCGCCCGTCCCCCTTGACTCGTCAACGACCTCGGGGCCTACCGTAAAGCTAAACTTACACATCCGCCCATGACACATGTGGTGCAGGTCGTAAAAGCACGCGCCGGCCCACTCGATAGCGCAACCGCGGATCCGAGCCGCTGGGTCAGGGAACAGGAACTTGGCGACGAAAAAGGGGCATGACTCGCGATACGATGGGCGATGCTGTAAGCGAGATGGGTGACGGGGATGGGGCGAGGCAGGGTGGGGTGGGCGCACGTGGGAGACGGAAGGGAAAAGTTTTGGAGAAGGATAGGGAAGGGATTTGTTGAAGAGTTTGAAAGTAGATAGAAGTGGTCTGTGGATGCATAGAGCGAGCGATAAGGGGGTGACCTCTGGCTGAGTTGGAAAGGGTCCAGAGAGCTGCTCCTTCGACTGCGGTACGACACAGTACTTACGCGCTGAAAAGTCGGCCCCGTCTCGAAGTCATGAAACTTCGTGTTCGTGAAAAGCCTCACGTCAAGCCGCAACAGTTACTCCCAGAAGCGCCTCGCTGATTCTTCCCAATCCCGACTAGCCCCTCCAGTTCGAAGAGGATTCCACGAAGCGCGCACGTGACAACGGCGTGGAGGGGCCGTTAGGTACCGATAATTTTAGAACAGGGTGCCGTAGAGTTAGAGTTTGCGAAAGAAAGTATGGCGTGGTCGAAGGTTAGAGCGAAAGCTCAAGCAAGAAGGCTGCGGGTGCGTGAGACCAGTCAATGTCTGCGCGCAGGTGAAGAACGAGCATGGCGCACACCCAGCTATCGGGTATGCGTGTAGCGGTGAGAACCCATTCGGTGCTGTACGGAGGTCGGCCCTCCCGTCCACACTGGGAGACAGCGTCCGTGAAGGGGAAGGTCTAAAGCGCAGTTCGACGGGACTTTGTCCTCCGCACCTCAATCAAGGTCCTCTTTGCATGGGCCGGCAGATGTTCAGATAGATTGTGCGCGTGCCGACCCCTCAATGAAACTCCCCGGCAGCGTTGTATATATTGAATTGCTGTAGATGGAGTTACACTGCGTCGCGGGGTGCGCGGCTTGGCTGCGTTCCCCGCATGTTGTCGCAAAAAACCTCACGAGATGGTAGGAAGAAGTCGCTTCTTTTTCCGAGTTTCTGGAGGGTAGGTCAAAGCATAAGGTTTGACCCAAGTTCAGGCTGCTGCGCGCGACATTCCAGTTTGTCCACACACCCGGCTGTGGGAAGGCCAAGCTGATTGGCGACCGGCTGAATAGCGATCTGCAACAGGTCGGGAGCGGGGAAAGACCTTGATCAGGGGCCGCTGGAGATTCCACGCCATCCGTTTGGCGTCAAGAGAAGGGCCGAATTTTTGTTGATCGTGTCTTTGTTGCGACTTCAAGTTATATGTGCTCTGATAATAGGTGTTTGCGCATGAAGAATGGGTTGGGCGCAGCTCTCAGAGCTGGCGCATGATGATATTGAGGTATTAGATGCTTTTGGCATATACAATGCAATGTGAGAGTGGGAAGGAAAATGTCGAAATACAATGCGCGTTTGCGCCTCTCGAAGGGTATCACTGGATGGGCGTGAGCGATCGTGGTCAGCGATCGCAAAAGCAAGCAAACCACACCTCAACTCGCCTCGCCTCCATACCAAATCACCTCTATGCAGCCGTGAAATCATTAGTGCGCCGTCCTATGCATTGCTGATCCGTACTTCCTTCGTCATCATGATCCCGTTGTGGCCGGGCTCGGGGCGCTGAAGCGGCAGAATGCTTTCATCGCTGTTCTTCGCGCGCACCATGTCCCATGCTTCCTTGTCCGCGAGCCCAGTGTGATGGTGGTGGTTTGTCGTGACCCTGACGTTGTAGGGGCCCTTTGAACTGCCGGGTGTGGTATCGCCTCTGCTCGTGAGGCTATGGAGCGCAATACTCTTGCTCGACTGGTCGGCCATATTGTTGTAGCCCAAAGAGTTCGGTCCCTTGTATCCGGGTTTTCCAGTCCCTCTCGATCTTCCCCCTGACGTGATCGCGCGTGCTGTCTCGAGGGCCCAGTTAAAGAGCGGCTTTAGTGACGGTAATGAGGCGGCTATGATGCCCACGGTAAACTCGATGTAATTCCAAATGTTGAAGGAGTCGTTGACGGTCCAATCCGGGTCGGTAAGGACGTGCCATTGCTGTACTGCTTTGATGATGGCAGCGGCACACGCAAACCAGCCGAGAGAAAGGACAGCGATAAGGGAGATCTTCGTTCGAACATTAAGCTGCAGTTTCCAAATGAGGGGAATTGGAAGGGTCGCAAAGAGCACGTCCGTAATGATGTTGAAAGCTGTAATCCATTAGTGACTATCCAGGGGAAGTAATGGGGTTGCACTTACAGCTGTTCATCAGACCCAGGTTACGGAACACGTTCATACTATAACATTTCGCATCCCCAATTCCGAACGGCGGAGGTCGGAGGCTCATGTCCCACGCAGCTTGCACCGGGATGCACTGGAAAATCAGGCTCATCGCGCAAGCTAGAGTAAGAACAACGATAAAGACCATGGCACCGTATAGAAACCGACTATACTGCGTCCGCGTGGAGAGTCGTAGAAGGAAGAAGGCAATGGAGATCTTGACCGACGATATGCCCACCATGACGATGATAGCATGCACGTACAGAACTCGCGCAAAATTCATGTACATGATCGGGTCCGCCAGAAGGACCAGAAAATGCTTGCCGAGTCCATAGTTGGTTTCGATTACGAAGCATGCGAACGTTGCCGTCGCGACGATCTAGAGGTGGTTAGTGGAACAGTAGCAAACTCAAGCGACGGGGCATACCATAGCAAAAACCATTACATAGTCATCAATACCGAAAACCTTGAGAATCGCGAGCCTGACATAACAACGGAGTAGTACGACAACTGCGGCGGCGGCGAAGAACGATCCAGTTATCGCGAGAATCTCGGGAGCATTGGTATAGGCGATCTGCTCTGGAGTAAGAGGCGGTGGGCCCGCAGCCTGCCTCTTCGAAGCCCGTTCGACGCCTGTCATCCACGCCGGCATCGTGGTTAACTGTTGGAAATCCGGAGATACTGATCGACGATCGATGGGTGGAAAGGGCAAGAGGAACAAGCAGCCGGGTGGGACCCACTACTTATGAAGAAAGTGACCTACGGTATATGCGATCGACAACAGCGCGATCGGCAAAGTTTAAGAAGACAGCATCTAGTAGGTATTGCGGCGAGCCAACTAAAGCAAAGGACACCTCCTGGCAGGATAATTACCAGATACCCATCGACGGGAGACTGCAGTTCTGTTACAGAATCAGGTAGTGCAGACCGTGGTGTACAGTATGAACCAGGGACGATCGGCTGTACTCGCATGGCTTGCATTTGGGCGTAAAATTTCCTTGCATTTTGCCAGGCCTTCAAGTCTGATAGGTCGCCGTTGCATCTACCGCAGGACTTTATTTTCCTCGCTCGCTTTGGGGAACTGAAGCATCCAGTGCTAGGAGAAAAAGAGTATAGAGTCGAGATTATAGTTCACCACACGAGGACGATAGCATGGCAAACCTCGTCCAGGGTCGGTCTGGTGTCACTGGTGCGTTCTTCAAGCCACGGAACTGCGAAAGGCTTCCCCAACCGAAGCGGCTACTCCAGCGCCGGAGCTCGTAGCGGTAAGATAGAGATACACTGTGTGACTTCCTGACGCCTTTCTGAGATCTTGAGCAACGAAGACGGCGTTTCTGCCCAACCTTTGCACACTTGTCTGAAGCAAGCTTCTGCTCCGCGGGGCATAGATTGAAACTTGGATGCGACGTTGAAGGCGGCCCGCAATTGGTAGCCCAATTTAAAAACAGGACTGGCATCTCTGCGACAGCATGCAGGAAAGTGGGAGTGGCTGATGGTAGCGTCCGAGTTTAGGCTGTGGTGGAACCCTGAGCGTCGGCGGTTGATGATCCGGTGCAGCCGCAGACGCGGAGAAGTCGCCAGAACGGCAAGACGATGGAGCAGTTGCTGCGTGCAACTGTTCACATGAACGGCAAAGACGTCGTGACCTCCGATAGTGTGATCGGGGTGCACAGCAGGGAGGGGGAACTTGTCAGAAGTCGGATCGAGGCGGGGAGCAGTGCTCTAAGCGAAGTCGTGCGTCTTGGCGGATGAATTGGCGCGACCCCGCTTACTCCTCGCTTGTCGCTTCGTACTCGTTTCCACCACCAGCTCTGCCACTGAAACTCTATTCATTAGCACGAGCGTCAGGCCCGTCATCTTCGGTGCGGCCCTTTCGAAGGGACCAGAGACTTCAACATGGCGCAATTGTCCTCGAACTTGGCAGTCTTTGCCCTGAGAGAAAGACCCAACACGACCACTGAGCACTCGCAAAGGGCCAGATTTCAGCCGCTGCCGCTAGCGCTTGGACGGCAGACGGGTGCTTTACTGGGTTTACTGACGCCCGCGGCTTGTCTGTGTTTGGCTTCGTCCCCGTTGGTACAGTAGTGGGAGCCTTCCATCTCCGTTCTAGGGCCTGTCACTGGACCCTTACTCCCCGGACTTGGATCAGGGACGCACGATGAGCCGCAGGTTTTGTGGGCATGTTCAAGATCGCGCCGTCGTCGGAGCAGCCGCTTCCACGAATTGAGCCCTTTCCCCAGATGGTTTTGATGGCGACACCAGCTCGATCCGATACAGCAACCGTGTCTACGATTGCAGTACGGAGCTTGTCGCATGTCTGTACGCTGGCACAAAGTACTCCAACCCAGTCCATCTTTTCCATGATCTTTCTACGCTGCGGCACAGTCACATTTCTTAACAATCAACCCGGTCAACCCGCGGTGTTCCACGTTTGTCACTGCTAGTTTCACGCAAATTTTATACCAACTTGTTCACCCATGCAACCCAGGGATGCTTCCCGTTCCCCCTCCAAAAGCGTGGCTATGTCCGCTACCTGTACCGCGATACCGCTTACCTCGGCATATGTCTTTTGCCCAAAGTCTGAGTCTGTCTCCTTTACGAGACACTTACCCTCTTCTATCGCGAATGCGATGCCCATGATTCCAGGGCTCCGTCTTTCGGGAGTGCTACGCCGCTCGGCGAGTTCGGCTCTACACAACCCGGCAGATAGGGAGCGGGAGGGTCTTGGGATCCGAACGCCATGCCGCCACTACCCCCAATCGCTGGTTACACAAGCTTCCAGAACGAATGATATTCGATCCGATAAGCGCTTTGGGAGACAAGCCTTCGGCACCATCGGCTTCTTGGGAAATATTCTCCATTGATCATGTTCAACACTCTGTCCACCGGGGACTCCTTGCAAGGCCACTTCGCTCCATCCCACCTTTTGGCGCTTACACACCCCTTCATTCCAATAAATATCCCAGTATCGGCTTTTTATCTACGAGGCTCGTCAAGCACATTACAGCCCCGCGAACGCCTCCTCGTCTAGAACGGGCAGTCTTGTCTACGTATTCCATGCTGTACGGCGACGGCGCAGCGCATAGGCTTCATGCTGGTCAAATACAGGAACCAAAAAGTCTCTGCTATACCCAAAGAGCTCCATATTTCCGAACTATCGGATATGCGCCGCGTATGCAAGACGTCGATTAACACGAGTTCTGCACGTGGAGGCTGCCCAAGAGTCCGCACCGTGCTCCATTCATCGACCATCTATAAAAGCGTCAGCATCTGACAGGTCATCCGGGATCCAGGACACGTCCTCTCTTCGTCCCGGGGATTGCAACTATAGGAGGGCCATTTTAATATTGTTGCCCCTCGTTTCAGCATTTGTGTTTTAGTGTTATTGCCCTGCAGTGCTATTTACGGATTCGTCCTAATCTTTTAATATATTTTCCTTGGGACGGGACACGAACTGCTGTTCATCGCTTTTTGCAGCCTCACCCCAACGCATCATGAGGCTCTCGAGTGTCACGGCTGCTGCGCTGCTCGGCAGTGTTGGCGCAGCGCCGCTAGATGCTCGTACTTCGAACTTCCTCGAGACGGACTCTTTGGCAGCGGAGGGTGTCTTCAATCTTGGGATGTACGTCGCGGCGCATGGTTATCCAAACGCACAGAAGTGCACGCTCAAGAACGTAGCGATTCGGCGAGAATGGTGAGCCTTGATATCCTGCTGGATACTTGCACCTTTTCTAACACGTTGCAGGTCGATGTTCAGCACCCAAGAGAAGAAGAACTACATCGCAGCCGTCAATTGCCTCTCCACCAAGCCAGCAAAGACTCCATCGTCTATCGCAGCAGGTGCGAAGAACCGCTACGATGACTTCGTAGCCATGCACATCAGCCAGACTCTGACAATCCACGGGACCGTAGGTCTTCGCGCGACCCCTCAATGTGCCTAATCTAACGTAAGCAGGGCAACTTCCTGACATGGCATCGGTACTTCACCTGGGCATATGAGCAAGCGCTGAGGAACGAGTGCGGTTATACGGGCTACCAGCCCTATTATAACTGGCCGAAGTGGGCTGATAACCCAGCGGCGTCGCCAGTGTTCGACGGCAGTGCTACCAGCATGTCAGGTGACGGCGCCAATGTCGCTGGACGCAACAACACCTGCATTCCCTCCCCGGATCAGTGTGGAGTCAGCATTCCACCTGGAAATGGTGGTGGCTGCGTCACGTCTGGTCCTTTCAAAAAGTAAGTGCCTTCTACAAAAACTCGTGGTCCCAGCCCACTGACACCTCCACAGCTGGACAGTCAACCTTGGCCCCGTCGCCCCCGTCCTGGCTGACTACACCCCCAACCCCGAGTTCACCGGTCTGGGCTACAACCCGCGCTGCCTGCGCCGCGACATCTCTAAAGCCGCCGCCTCGGGCTGGACCAAGGACTCCGACGTCGCCGACCTGCTCAAGAACTACGTCACCTTCTATGACTTCTCCACCCGCATGCAGGGTGACTTCCCCAACGGCTTCCTGGGCGTGCACACAGCGGGCCACTTTACTAACGGCGGCGACCCAGGCGGTGATCTCTTCGCTTCCCCCGCCGACCCGTACTTCTTCCTGCACCACGCCATGATCGACCGCGTGTTCTGGACGTGGCAGAACTTGGATATCGCGAACAGGCAGTACGCTATCGGTGCAACTATCACGGTGAACAACCAGCCGCCAAGTAGAAACGCGACGCTGGATGATACGCTGGATCTGGGGTACGTTGGTGTGCCCGTCATCACGATCCGTGACGCCAGTCATACCCTTGCCGGCCCATTCTGCTACATCTATGCGTAGGTGTGGGCGGGTGCCCAAGAGATGGGGATGTTGAGGGGTGGGGAGCCTCGGGGGAGGAGTATTCGCTTAACATATATGATATGATATTGATCTTTTAATGTATATACTGTTCAATAAGACCTTGTACATATGCCACGACGAGTTCTTCGCCGTTGCTCTATTACTACTGTGTGACTATAGATGGAGGCCGTCGACGATTAAAAAGCCCCTTTCCGACAACCCAGACTCTAAGGATACCTTAGGTACAGGGCTCTAGTATTTTGCATGTGGCGCTCGAACTGCACCGAGGTGAGGTCGAACATCAGATCCGCAAGCCCGGTATCAATCGTCCCAGAAGAGCGGTGGGCGTAAATGGATCCCGCCCTTGGCATTGCGTGATCAATATTCCGTATCGCGGATGCAATATCTGAACGATCTCGGCTCGTCACCCACAGATTGCCGGCCACATATTACCCGGACGCGGGAACTATAACGGCCTCGTATTTTATATGAACCTGTTTGCGTGGCGTAGGGTATTTCACTCCTTGTTGGGTTTGTGGGAGTCAGAGGCACGGAAGCTGCTGGAGTTTACAGAGCTTCTGGACTGGACTGTGGGGGAACGGCACTGTCGTTGCGATTTCTCGCTGGGGGCTGAAGGCTGACCGTTATCTCACTGCTGGCTCACTCGCTTCAGCCCTCTCCTCGACTCTTATACATGTCGAAGCGCGAAGGCTTTCATGAGTCATCGCAATGGCGACAGATCACACTGTCCTCCCGTCAAGTGACGACTGCCACATGCAGATAAAGGTTGCCTCCACCGCCGCCACTGCTCATTCCCTTCCTACCGCTTGTTCGTTTAGGCACGTGGCGAGATACCGCGACCGCTCTTCCATTCACGATCGACGGGCGACCTTCTCACTTTCAGCCCACCCACTTGCTATAGCACATGCGTCATCTTTCCGATACAGCAATCGCTTAGAATACTCTTGCCGTACATCAATTACGACCGAAACATCAATCGACGGTATACGCTATCGCATCCTCATCCTCGATCCGCAGAGAAGCATCAAGTCGTCATGACCTGCACCCGCACTCAAACAGCAAACGAAGATTCGAGCCAGATTCCTACGAACGCGGATACAAGCAAGCAGCCCAGGGGCCTCTGACTTTCGGTAGAAGCTTGCTCGAGCCTTCGTTAATCACTTTTAGACTGGCGATGGGAATTAGGTTTAAGCATGGTAAACGGCATCGCCGATGGTTGCGCTATCCTGGAATACAAGTGTTCAGCGTGGCAGCGAAAAGCGGGAAGACGGAAGGATGAGTGCGCGAACGTTACACGTGTGGTAGCGGTCTGCGTCACTTGATCTCGGCTGCTTCCAATATGTTCTTCTCAGCTCGGATCCGACGTCGGCATGTCGAGCGCAAGCATTGGAACCCATCGTGTGGGATATGGACAAGGAGACGCAGGTTGTGCGACAGTCGGACTCACACTGACTTAGCAGTTCGAAGGCTCTACCTCAAGCACGACCTCCTCAAGTTCAAGTTCAAGAAACCGGACACAGCAAAGACCTATTACAAGAGCCGGGTATTTATGTGGAAGAGGTACAATAACCATGTCCAGCGCGGCCTCGCTCAGGGGAATGACGTAGAAGGAGACCATAGCGGGAATGCCCATACGACGTCATCACGAGCACCTGGTCTTCAATAGATCGGAAAGTTTGAGAGCCAAGCGCTAGCACTATCTTATCGGCTTCTCTCACGGGAGGAATTACCTCAGGGGGCAGTCAAAAGGTATCGAGTGGAAAGGCTTCGCGCCGCTCGACCAAGAAGAGCCCGAGATAAGATAAAGGTACACCCCAACAATGTCCGACCCACAATAGCAAACAGCGCAGAAGAGCCTAATGAACCAACACCCTGATACCGACATTGCTCTCTTTCCCAGGCTCGAACAAATCATCTTCGCAAAAGTCAGCCTGACATAGCCTCGATGACTGATCCCCCCAGTGGGGAGTACTCACACTTATACTCCACCTCCGCCGGCCCTGTCTCATACAACTCTAGCTTCTTCCCAAGCCTCCGCACGAACGTCGCAACCGCAATGTGCAGTTCCGCCCACGCCAAGCTGTCGCCGCGTTAGCGCAGTTCCCCGCACGAAGAGAAACTGCATGCTTATTTAGGGAGAGGCCGCCGTGCTCTATCGGTGTGCGCAACGCTCACTCTGAAGCCCTTCATTACCCCAACCTCACTCCCCTCCCCATCAAACAAACAAGCAAACAAACAGAACGGTGCAACTTACTTGATACCCAAACACTGCCTCGACCCCTTCGAAAACGCCATAAAATACGCATCTAAGTCCCTATGCCTCTTTCCCTGCTCATCCAGCCACCTCTCCGGCCGCCAGCACTTGGGCTCTGGATACACATCCGGTAGATTATGCATCAGATACGTCGACATGCCGATGGTGGTGCGGGCCGGGATGGTGTACTGGATGGAGCGACCGGCGTGGGTGCCGGTGTAGTGCAGGGTTTCGTGGGGCACACGCGGGATCCGGCTGGCAATGCCGCAGGAGAAGCGGAGGGCTTCGTGGAGGACGGCTGAGTGGAGGTGAATTAGTGGGGTGCGAGGGAAAAGGGGGCGGGAAAGAGGGTGGATGGAACGGATAGGCAGAAGAGGGGAACTTATCAGGTAAGGAAGCTGTTCGAGGGTTTTGGTTGGTGGGATTGTGGATGGATCCGGGATGGCGGTCTCGAGCTCTGCATAGAGTCTAGCCATTGTGGAGGGGTTGGCGACGAGGTAGTAGCTGGCAATCGAGAGGGCTGAAGGGGCACCCAAGTTAGCCCTTTCTTCTATCTTTCGTGGACTTATACCTACCAGAAGCCGTCGTCAGCGTCCCCGCCCCAATAATCTCCCTCGCGCTGTGTCTCATCCTCTCCGCACTCTTCTCCGCCTCCGGCAACTTTCCCTCTAAAATCTCCTTGTAAATAGTCCTCTGTCCCTCCTTTTCCTTCAACTCCGTCTTCCCCGCCAGCACATCATCCACCGTTTCATACAGCCGTTTCTCAAAGCGGAAGTACTCGGGCCCATCCGGCATCAGTTTCGCAATAACACTCTCGGGGAGGTACGTGTTCATGATAGGCAGCAGGAAAGGCAAGTGGCGGAATAGATGACACGGCTTCATGCCCCCGAGCATAGCTTGCTGCAGGTTCGGCGTGAAGTCGCGGTTGGCCGTGTAGCCGCGGTCCCAGCCGAAGCTGAAGCCGGTGATGATATCGGTGGAGAGACACGTAAAGGCCGCGGTGAGGTTGCATGGCTCACCGGTGCCGCTGTAGGTTTCGACGTGCGCGCAGATTCTGTCGACGTAGCTGCGGATGCTGTCTTCGAGCTTCGCCACCGACGCGCGCGAGAAGAAAGGATTCACGCTCGAGCGGCGCACGCGGTGCACGTCATGTGAGACGGTGCCGAAGCAGGAGTAAGGGAGCTGCCAGGCGTTCAGGTTGAAGACATCCTTGTCGCGCTTCTTGCCGCTGCCGCCGCCGGCGTAGATGGTGTCGATGAAGGCGGGGTCGATGCAGTGCAGTTCGTTTGGGTTTATGCGGATGATTGGCCCGTATTTTTCGTGCCAGCGCATGAACTGGTTCTGGTACTGGCCGACGAGAAGGACATCGTAGTAGAATTCGAACCATTGGGTTATCGCGGCGAGTTTGGGGCCGGGGATGTGTGCCAGCGGGTGGAGGAAGAGACGGTAGAGGGTGAGGAGGACGAGGTAGGTTGACAGAAGGGAGAAAATGGTTAGGTAGGGGTGGGCTTGAATAGGGGAGAAGTCGATAGGAAGGGCCATTGTGAGATCTGGATTGGGAAGTACAAGGGGAACGAGAAGTTCTAGGGAGGGGAGCTCCAGAGCTGAGCAATTGTCGACCTCTTATATTGATGTTGCTCGAGGGCCTCGTTCGTCCCAAGCGTGTGGTTGGTGCTTACGAACCCGCTGTGCAGACACCATGCATTCAAGATTCCGAAACTTAATTTCAATCCCTTCCGGCCCCATGCTGAAAAGATACGGAGGCGATTCGGGCGGCAGTTGAGAGAAAGTGCTAGCGGGGGAATTGTTCCCAAGCGAAGGGTAACTATGCGGACGTTATCAATTTGGGGGCGGGGAACCTGGAGCATATACTCATCGGCGGCTTGAACGGACACTCATTCGCTGGAGGATCGGAGGTACAGGCGCGGAACAGGGATTTATGCAGCTCTCGGCTTCGCTTCGGGACGACCCTTCGTGTTTGATTGCTTTTGCGTAATGATCAGCCTCTGTGGGACGTGTATTAGCCAGGATTGCAAAGTATGTGAGGATAAAACGAGGGAGGACGATCTATGTTGAATTTGAGAGTATGCCTGCGTTTGTGTTTCGTGAATGGAAGCTATTCAGTATGACTATGGGAAGAAGCGTGTGCTTCGAGAAGATTAGGAAGACTTGACAGCGAAGATCTTGTAGGATCCTAGTGCGCATTAGCATCTAGAAGTTGCATCCTCAGGGTGGGTCACACTTACCCGCCCATTCGTTCAAGTTCACATCCTTGAAGTTAGTCTTGATATCCTCCACAACACCTCCGTCCTGCTTCTTCCCAGCACCACAACACTCACTACCGTCCTGCTTCTTCCCACTAGCACCACAACATCCACTCCCACCCTCCTCTTGCACCGGTCCACAGCACATACTCCCCACTGTCTCACCCCCATCCGCCTGCACATAGACATTCAAATCTGACCCCGCATCCACAACCAGCACATCGTCAAAGCCCGCCTCCTTCAACCACTTCTCATAGTCTTCCTTCATGCTCGCGCCGGCTACGCAGCCCACGTAGAGTGCGACATCTTTCTTCATCTGCTCCGTGAGTTCTTTCTTGGTGAGGATATCGGAGATGGCGACGCGACCGCCCGGCTTGAGCAGCCGGTGGATCTCCTTGAACACGAGCGGCTTCTCGGGGTCGGGCACCAGATTGACGACGCAGTTGGAGATGATGACGTCTGCGGAGGCATCGGGGAGGTCCATCTGGCTGATCTTGGAGTAGACGAATTCGACGTTTGTGATGTTGCCTTTCTCCGCGTTGCGGCGTGCTTTTACGAGCATGTCCTGGCTTTTGTTAAGAGCCGCAGAGGGAAAGCAGAGAAGGGGTTAGGAGTAGATTGAGTACTAGCATACCTCATTCATATCCACACCGATCACCTTGCCCTTCTCTCCAACCTTCTTTGCAGCGAGGAAGCAATCAAAGCCGGCGCCAGAGCCCAGGTCCACAACCGTCTCGCCCTCCTTCAACTTCGCCAGCGCGAGCGGGTTCCCGCAGCTCAATCCGAGGTTGGCTTCAGCCGGGATGGATGCCAGCTCTTCAGAAGAATATCCAAAGGCTTCAGCGACGGCCTTGCCATACTGAACATTGTCCGCGGCTAGAGCTGTCGCGCTGTAGCGCTCGTTGACTTTCTCGTAGATGGTATTGGCGTCCATATCGATCCTGGCTTGATCTCAAAGGTCCACTTCGGATCTGCTTGAGGTAGTAGTTGGCTAGAGGAGGATCCGGTCTTGAATGCCTATTTTATAGATGATGTCCGTCCGTGGTATGTCACCACTCGGTATGTCATCGTTGAGTTCATCATCTCATGATCTCGTATCTTACAAAGATATTCCGCGAGTTGTCCGTCTTGGAGCGCAGAGGCAACGGGGGCGGCGCATCTCGTGTTGAGGCTTTTGGGTGATGCCACCCCGCCCCTAGCCAATAGGAGAGCGGGGCACTCGATATGTCACCGCTGAAGCACCTCACGTCTCACATCCTCAACCTCAGAAAGACGGCTCTCGCGAAGCCCAGCTATCACACTGATTTCAACTAGATGCCAATTCACTACTAAAATCACGATCCCATAATTGCAGAAATGCCGTCGCCTACCGCAATCGTCACATCCCCGACCTCGTCTTCAGGCTGCGAGAGCCTCAACGCAGGCCGCAAAACCCGCGTCACCGCCGAACACACCCTGAACCGCGTACGAGAGAACCAGCGCCGACACAGAGCGCGGAGGAAGGATTACATCGCGAGCCTGGAGCAGAAGCTCGCAGAGGCAGAGAAGCAGTTAGCGGAGGCTCGGGCGGAGCTCGCTGCTGTGAAGGCCGAACGAGATGCTTGCGTCTCGGCTTCGAAGAGCGTGGAGAGCGACGCAGCACGCGACATAAGGGCGGAAGACATCACACTGCAGGGAACCAACGGCGCCGCACCAAACCAGCAAGCCGATCTCCTCCTTCCACCCCCACCGCCCCTAGAACACCCCGATGTCCCCGACCTCTCCTTCCTCGGTCCCTTCTACATCCCCGACCCCCTAAACCTCTCCCCAACCAGCACCTCCCCGCTCTCCCTCGCCGACCTGCAACTCCAGCTCCCGGATCCCATCGACCTCGCGCCCGGCCCACCGCCCTGCTGCAAAGACAGCCCGTCGGCGGCTCCACCCGAAGACCCTACGGATCCGGAGTGCACTAGCTGCAAAACGCGGCCTGCGCCCGCGCCCTCGGAGAGCACGACGCTGTGCGCCCAGGCATACGTGTTGATCCAGCAGCAGAACTTTCGGGCGATCGATCCCGCTACGATACGGCTGTGGCTGTACCAAGGGTTTAGGAGGGCGCAGAGGCAGGGCGAGGGGTGTAGGGTGGAGAATGGGGCATTGTTTCGGTTGCTGGATTATATTAGTGGGGTGTGAGGGTGGAAAGGGTTGGAAGAGAGAATTGCGGGTTTCGGAAGGGCAAAGGCGAATTGGGGGAGCAAGTGAGTGGATGAATACGCTCTATGACGGGGAGGGAGAAACGATTCAGAACGTTTTTGCATGTTAGAAGCGACATTGGAGATACCATTTCATGAACCGGCTACCTGTACGCTATGCAGTTACGCCCGTAAATACGCACCTAAAGCCCGAAGAATATCGTCATCGCCTTTTTGGAAAGCATAAGATTGAGTCATGACGAGTCCTTCCGTGTACACAGAGCTACTCATACTTCGTGAGCGCGGCGCGACCGTACCCTACACTTTGGTAGGGCAAGCTTTGTCCCTACGCCGCTCACCGTCCCATCCGGATGACACCCGCATGCACCAGCTTCTGGATCTTCTGCCGGATGTGCGGGTTCTTGAGATGGTCCTGGAGCGCAGCCGGATCATCCTTGGCCTGTTGCAGGATGCTCTGCATGACGGGGTCTTGCAGAATACTGACGATCTATGCTTGGTTAGCTTTGGCACTGGCGAACAAATTGGATGTACACATACCTCAGGATCCCGCTGAATGCGCTCCATGGTCTGCTGCTCCGTCTCGCCTTCGCGCGCCGAGTACTGCGCCTGTATCGCCTTCATCTCCTGTTGCTGAATCTCGCGGGCGTTCTTGCCGCCTTCGTCGTGTTCCGCCGCCTCGGTGCACGTATCAATACACTTGCTGTACTCTCTCATGGCGAAGTACGCCTGAGCTTTCCGCAGATATGCGCGGATGAATTTCGGATCGCGCTTGATGGCCTCGTCGCAGTCCTGTACCGCCGATGGGAAGGAGAGCAGCTTGATGAAGCACGCAGCGCGGTTGGAGTAGCCGCGAGGGTCATCTGGTGCGCGCTTGATCATCTCGCTGTAGGCTTCGACGGCTGCTGGCCAGTCTGCCTCCTTGAACTTGGCATTTCCGAGCTCGCGCGCCTTCTCCGCCTCATCCGGGTTGATGTATGCGTCCTTCTCTGCCTTGATCTTGGCCTTCTCCACTGCTCGGAGCTTAGCTAGCACCTCCGGCGTCCGGTGCTCTGTCTGTGCCTTCTGGTAGTAGAGAATGGCGTTGGAGAGGTCGCCCATCTTCTCGTAGGCAGTACCGATGCGAGCGAAAGCTTTCGCGATCATCTTGAAGTCGGCAAGGATCTCGCGACCATACTCGACAGCTTGCTGGCAAGCCTCGATGCAGCCCTGGTAGTCTCCCTTCTCAAACTTCGCCGCTCCGAGGTTCGTGAGGTAGGTGATATCCTTGTGCATCTCCCACGCCTTTGTGTAGTGCTCAACGGCGTCGTCGAACTGGCGCTTCTTGTAACATTCCGTGCCCTTCTTCTTCTCCTCGTCCGCATTGGCCTTAGCCTCCTTTGCTGCCTTGTCTTCTTCGGTCTCCATGGGTTCTGGCTCCGGCTCTGGCTCTTTCTTGGGCTCCTCCTTTGGAGCCGGCTGCGCGTCGGGCATCTCGACGTCCTCCTCCGCTTCCTTAGCAGCACCACCGGCCTGTTCACCCGCTTCTGGCGGCTGGCCAAACTGCATGTCGATGCCTAGCAGCACGCTCATGACTTGCAGGAACCTAGGGTCTTGCATCGCCAGACCCACATCGTTGGGGTTACTCCGCAGTTGCTGTAGCTTGGCCATGAACTCGGTGTCTGCGAGGAGCGGTGCGGTCTTCGGGTTGCTGGCGAGCTTCTGGAACATCTGAGGGTCGTTGAAGAGGTTGCCGAGTCCTCCTGAAGGATCGCCGCCAACTCCATCGGCTTTTGCTTCTGCTTGAATGGCGCGCTTGACGGCGTCGAGACCGGATTTCACTTGCGCGTTGTTCGGGTCGAGCTTCAGCGCTTCCTCGAAAGCGTCTGTAGCACCCACTGCATGCTGTTAGCGGACATTATGTGCACATAATGGCGCAATGCCATACCTAGGTCTCCACTGCCGTGCAGTGCTGCACCTTTGCGTCCCCAGCCTTTTGCCCAGTCTGGCTTGATCTCCACCACCTTGTTCGCATCCTCAAGAGCTTTGGTGTAGTCCTTCAGCGACGCATAGGCACCCGATCGGTTTGAGTAGAGGACGTGGTTTGACGGGTCGAGCTCGATAGCCTGTGTGAACTTTTCACTGCAATCGTGTGAGCAGCTGCTGAGGCTCTCCGGAGGCGGGGAACGAACTCACATTGATTCGGCGAATTTCTTCTCCGCAAAGAGCTTGTTGCCCTCGGCCTTCAGCGCGTCAGCCATGGCAGTTGATTAGACGAGTGGAGAGCAGGATAGCGACGGTAGACTGCGGGTTCGGCGTCGTGTAGGCAGAAAGGTGGTGTGGTAAATAAACGTTCGGCGGAGCTTCTAGGTCTTTCTATAGGCGGGAGCTTTGGCCTGGCCTGGCGCCCCACTCTCCGCGAGGGCGCCAAGGCCGGTTTAGGGCTGGATTCCCCTCCAGCTCGAAGGCCGTCGTACCATCGCCTTTTCCAATTGCCCATTTTCTCTCGTCTCATTGTTTGAGCAACAAGGCCTGCAGAACACGGGCTTGTCTTTTTGAAGCCGCGAACTTGTATTTCGGGCAGAACGGCGGCCCTTAATCCGCTCAATTGGTATCTCCTGCGCCATATCGTTGCATGTACAGATATTTATCTAATAAGCTTTCAGACTTTCGGTACCTACGTCATGGCTCAGATCGTTCGTCAGCTTGTCTACGATGCCCAATTCCTTCAACATGGCCCCGTGGACAAGATTAGCGTCCGCAACCTCGATGTCACAGTCAACGCCGGAGTCGACGTATGGGGGCGCCAAAGGAAACAGAGAGCTTTTGTCACGGTCACGCTAAATCTAGCGAAGCCGTTCGACTCTGCCGCAGAAGCAGATGCTCTTGACCGGAGCACAGTGCATTACGGGAAGCTGAGCAAACAGCTTCAAAGCTCGCTGCAGAACGAACTCAGTCCTTGGGTTTCTACGTGGGACTTGGCGGGCTCTGTCCGAACTCTAGCACTCCAGGTGGCCGGCCAAACGCCCATCTTATCGACTGATGTTGATGTCTTCTACCAAAAAGGCAGCATGCTCGGGGACGGTGCAGGGCTGTCGTCCTCCGTCTATGTCGAAGATGTCGTACTCACCTCAAAAGTACTCTATCTACGCAATCTTAAGATACCCTGTCTCATCGGCGTCAACTCCAACGAAAGACTGCAGAAGCAACCTGTCGTCGTCAACCTATGGGTCGAATGTCTGCCGGCCAGCCGCGGCGATGATTACGCTAAACTAGAGACGGCGGTCGTTAATGTAAGAGCCCTCCTGCAGCATTGGAGAAGAGAATTGATGGAGGCTAGGCCATTACGAACTCGTCGTTCGAGACAATTGAGTCTCTCTCGACTATGGTTGTAAGGGAGCTCCGCGAAAAGTTCTTCACCAAAGACGAGGACAAGGGAGCCTATATCAGACTTCGGGTCGAAAAGCCCTTGGCGGTGCCCTTCGCAGATGCGCCAGCTATCGAGATAATGCGTCCGGTAAAGGGGTAGCTGATGCAGAAGGGAAGGATATCAAACTCGGGTGGGTACTTTGGCGGCGCAGCTGGTATTCGTTATCTTTCAATATTCGTCGGCTGCCTGAGAATTCCCGGGTGGAGCAGCGCTGATGTGCCTTTAAGCTTTCGACGGTATCTTCAACCTTACCAAAGGAGCAAGCAGCCAGACGCAGGGTCAAGATAATCTCCACCGTGGCTACGTGCAGCTTATTATTCGGGCTTCAGGTCGCTACACTTCAGCCTCAGGGGAGATTGGCGCAGGCTAGAGCCACAGCATGGGAAAGCCAGCCGGGACGTTAAAGGACCGGCTTTCTGACGGAAAAGTCTGGTTGTCGGAGAGACGTGCAGATGTCAAGCTAGCTATTTACGGACTGCACCCCCCACGTGCGCCGACCATGCGTGGGAGTGAACGTGGGACGCCACAATATTTTCTGCCAGTGTGGCGTCGGCGATTTTCTTTGGCCATGCCTTTAGTTCTGCTGGCGTGTAGAGCGTTGCGAAATATTCCGTTTGTCCGTTGCCACCTGTACGAAGAGCAGAGCGGCACTGCATCAACCGAGGCCCTACACACAGCTGCACGCCGAGGGGAGTGTTGGGTAACCAACTGGGCTGCTGCATCGTTGAGGCCGTAGCGTCATAATGCTGGCGATCTATCGCCAACGTACAGACCGCCATCTGAACCCTGTCAGTCCAACTGTAAGCGGCATAGCTGGGCCTGAAAGCCGCAAGCCATCCGGAGCGCAGACGAGGGGGGTTTCAATAAATTTGCGTGCTGGAGCTATGGCCGCCACCGCCAGCTCCCAACAACAGTTGTGCATCGTGGCCTTGTGAAGCTTGCTGGGGCGTCAATTGATTGTCTGGCATCCCGTTGACTATGTTCGGATGTCGTGATGAAGATGATTCGACATCCTGGCACGGCGGTAGCTAATGGCGGCCCTGGATGGGGGCAACGAGGGGATGAGGGGCTGGCGGGATTGGCGAGGCGCAGAACGATGTGCTCGAAAATCACATCAGGTTGCTACGGCGGCGGAGGGCTCCTTCCCCTCGGGGGCGACGCCCGGGTTAGTGACGGTGAGGTATAAATGCGCCGCTCCCCGCGGGCCAGCAGAGCGAAGCACACCGTCCCTTTCCCTCCAGCCCGCCCTCTGCTCGTTTTGTTGCTAGCCAGGTCGAGTACGTTCTCGCCTGCCCCACGTCGAGCGCCGCCGCTGCACAGACCGAATCTCGATTGCCCTTCAGAAACCAAGGCACCTACCAGACAGCGCTCTTCTGCCAGCCTCCGCCCTGCACAACTTTTCCTACCCTCCCGTCCACGTCGAATCGAATCACAATGGCCTCCAAGGCGATCCCCGCGCACCTGAAGGCCGCCGCGAGCAAGGTCGCGGGCAACGCCGACGCCGACTTCGCCCAGCGCCATCACGGCAAGTCGCAGTCACATGTGGTAAGTAGAGCTCCGGTTTCTTGCAGCTCGCCACCAGCTGTACTCCCCTATTCACTCCCGTTTCGTAGCCAGCGGGAGCGGCGTCTATCGACCAAGAGCTTCCGTCTGGAGTTCCGTCTCGGAACGCCATTACGGCCGTCTTCCCAGGTTGGGGAAGGCGGTGACCGCTCGGGCGAGGAAAGAGCGGCCTTGATGCAAACACCCACGGCTCGAGGCCATGGTCCTCTTTCACGACCACCGAGCCACTCCACAGCAGGTGAATTGCTTGAGGTCTTTCACGCCTCGCGCAATCGTCCCCGTTTCACTCTGTTCTGCCCCACGCGGCACCCGCCAGTCACTCCTTCAAGCACAACACACATTTGCAACCTGGCACAATTTCTCCCACAACCGCAACAGCGACAACACTCGACTCAGTCAAAATGGCTCCTGCTAACGCGGCCGACATTCTTCAGGCTTTCGAGAACACCTCCACAAATGTTGCCGCTTCGCAGATGCGCAATGCCCTCAACAAGCTGTCGGATACGGTGACGGACCCCAAGGAGAAGAAGGTGAGTAAACTCCATACCTGGACAAATCAGAGACTCCTAGGAGAGGGTTTGGGCTCGATCTGGGTAGATTGGTATCTATCCTGCTAGCTTTACCTCTACGCTAGGAGTAGCTCTTGGTCCTCAAAGGAACGAGTAATGAGGCTAACAGTTGCCAGCGCTTCGAGACGGAGATGGACAACTTCTTCGCCCTGTTCCGACGATACCTGAACGACAAGGCTAAGGGCAACGCCATCGACTGGAACCGCATCGCTCCTCCCAAAGCCGAGCAGGTCGTCAACTACGATGACCTCGCCAACTCTGAGGCGGTTGAATACCTGAGCAAGCTGGCGGTGGTTAAGCTCAACGGTGGCCTGGGAACCTCCATGGGTTGCGTTGGCCCCAAGTCGGTTATCGAGGTCCGTGACGGCATGTCGTTCCTCGACCTGTCGGTGCGCCAGATCGAGTACCTTAACCGGACGTACGACGTCAACGTACCCTTCGTGCTGATGAACTCGTTCAATACCGACCAAGATACCGCGAATATCATCAAGAAGTATGAGGGCCACAACATCGACATCCTCACCTTCAACCAGTCGAAGTACCCGCGTGTGCTCAAGGATTCGCTTCTCCCGGCACCAAAGTCTGCAGATTCGGATATTGCCAACTGGTACCCCCCAGGCCACGGTGACGTCTTCGAGTCGCTGTACAACTCTGGCATCCTCGACAAGCTCATCGACCGCGGCATCGAGATTATTTTCCTTTCCAACGCTGATAACCTTGGTGCCGTCGTCGACCTCCGCATCCTGCAGCACATGGTGGACTCCAAGGCGGAGTACATTATGGAGCTGACTGATAAGACCAAGGCTGACGTCAAGGGTGGTACCATCATCGACTACGAGGGCTCCGTCCGTCTGCTCGAAATCGCGCAGGTGCCCAAGGAGCATGTCAACGAGTTCAAGTCGATCAAGAAGTTCAAGTACTTTAACACTAACAACATCTGGATGAACCTGAAGGCCGTAAAGCGCGTTGTCGAGAACAACGAGCTCGCCATGGAGATCATCCCCAACGGCAAGTCTATTCCGGCCGACAAGAAGGGCGAGGCCGATATCTCCGTCCTGCAGCTCGAGACTGCCGTTGGTGCCGCTATCCGCCACTTCAAGAACGCCCACGGTGTCAATGTGCCCCGCCGACGCTTTTTGCCCGTCAAGACCTGCTCCGATCTAATGCTCGTCAAATCAGACCTGTACACTCTCCAACACGGCCAGCTCGTCATTGACCCGAACCGCTTCGGCCCTGCGCCGTTGATCAAGCTTGGCAGCGACTTCAAGAAGGTGTCGAGCTTCCAGTCACGCATCCCGTCCATTCCCAAGATCGTGGAGCTGGACCACCTGACTATCACCGGTCCTGTCAACCTCGGCCGCGGTGTTACTCTCAAGGGTACCGTCATCATCGTCGCTACCGAGGGTCAGACCATCGACATCCCGCCAGGCTCCATCCTCGAGAATGTGGTGGTGCAGGGTTCGCTGAGGTTGCTCGAGCATTAGAGCGGGTTAGTATTTAGATGTGCGGTAGATTTATCCTGGCATTTGCTTCAAGGTGTTGGGCGGTGCGCTGGCAATCATGGTGAACGGATGCATGCTTTCTTGTAGCTAGAAAATGGTATACGGGGCGCAGTGGCTGCGCTACCCAAGGTTATCAATTGTAATACAGTACCTTCTGAGCGGCTGGTAGGGCTCCCTGCAGGCAGTGGGCTTCCAAGTTTCCAGATCGCAATTTGTGTCGACCGGTAGACGCTCCGAACTATGTGCCAGGCTGCGTCTTGTCACATTACTGTGTCTGCTTACATATCGTCCGTCAAATTCTTGCGTGAGAATTTGTCGTTGCCTGAACGCTGCCTTGTGCCTGTTTTTGCTCCGCCATGGTGCAGGGGTTCATGAGCGCGCCGTGATGTCAGTCGTGGCGTCGTGCAAGCCACGCGGGCGCGCCGACCAACACACCACTCGCAGCTTTCCTCAGCGCGCTGCGAGGCGCAGTCGGCCAGTCACCTGCCTTGCGCAAGACTCGTATGGTTTAATATCAAGTACGGCTCGCACCTGAACTTGATGTTACAGTCCGGGATCCCTATATCAGTCCTCCGCCAGTGATTTCAACGCGCGGAATCCACCTCCGAGCTTCACCGCATTCTCACCGCAACACCCCGTTTTCGAACGCATGCCCTCCCACGGGCTCCCTATGTTATCCGCAATAGACCGATATGGCTACGGAAGCACCCGACACCAAAACACACGATGCAGCACACGATGCAGCAAACGCAGAAGCAACGCGGCGAGAGGCTGAGCAGTACTGGGGGTACCTGATCAAGGAGGACAAGTGCGGCACTGACTTGTTCGATCGGTTGCTCAAGGGAATCGCTGAGGTCATTGTGAGTGGCTAATGGCACCAGAGGCTATGCGCTCCCTCATCGTCACAGTTACTGATATTGAATTATTGCAGAGCAAGACGTTCGAGCCCAGCGACTCGCCCGATCTTACCCCGTCGCAGATTGCGGCATTCTACCGCGCTGTGGGCGGAAACTACGATGTCCTCTTCATCGAAACGCCGCCGTCCTCCATCTCCTTCATATACCGCTCTCTCGGCGCGTTCCACAGCTTACAACCCGCTCCCGACGACGACGGCTACTCGACTCCGACGATACCCGCGCTGAAGAGGAGGGGTTTCGTGACGTGGCAAACTATACAGCTGCTTCTCGGACCAGAAGAGCATGTCCCGTTCCTGCAGAATGCCGTTGCACATTTTGACGTGGTGGACCCGGAGACGGGGACCACGTTCCCCAAAGTGCTACCCAAGGAGTGTCTTCCGGAGAGGCCGGACGATGCAATGGAAGCATGGTATGAGGGCGTCGCTGCTCGGTTAAAGAGAGAGGCCGAAGAGGATGCAGCGGCCAGAGAGAAAGGTCCCCGAGTACGCATAGAGGTTGACGAGCCGGACCCGCGCGCTTCCACTGAGATGTCAGAAGGGGAGGTAGACGAAAAGCACGGAGCCGCGAAGTACTTTGCAGATCCTCTATATCGCAAAGCCAGACATCGGCCGCCTTTCGTACGGCATGTCTCAAAGCCACCACGATACGAGGAGCAAGATCGCGGCAGACTCTTGTCGAGCGTTAGACACATGCTGAATCCTTTCAATAGGAGAAAAAGCTTACCCGGACGCTACGAAGACGACGACTATTTAGACGCAGACAGGACGCCTATTGCTACGGCGCCTCCGCCAGCTCCTCGATACCCGTCCCACAAACGCCCGCATCCACCGCGCAGAGAGAGCTCCCTTTCCACGACCGACTCGGACTCTGACTCCGACCGGCCACCCTCTCGCCGAAGAACTCCAGTGCTTCGCCATAGACGCTCTCATGAGCCGCCGACGTCTCCGCGGGAATACTTCCCAGCGTACTATGATGAGAGGCGGTACTCGCATGATCCTGTCCCTCCCAACAGGAAAGAGGACGGCCCACCCCCGCTCTACGGGCCTACCAAATCGCCCCTTTTTGCAACTCAGGTGGCACAGCTTCAAGCAAACAGTTACTACGACAGAAGACCATCCATGCCCTCTAGGACAAGCTATCGACCGCGCGATGTACGATATACGGCGCCTCCACCAGAGATCGATCCGCCATACGTACGCGAGCGGGGAAGGGAAGTATACGATCCAAACAGCAGCCGACACCGACGCAGATCAGAGGAGCATCCGCGAGACAGGGAGCGCAGCGAAAGCGCCCGCACAAGAAGCCACAGCGGTCACGATCGCGTGAAAGACGACGAATGGGACGGGAGAGGCAGCTCGCGCGACAGGGATAGAGACTGGGACAGAGAGAGGGATCGGGACAGGAGGACGCATAGGTACGTGGCGGGGGTGCAGGATGGGGTGGGAGGGCGGAGATATCCCGTTGAGCAGGCGTGGCGGTGAGCTCACGGGGACTCTAGGTCCGCATTCCGATCGCTCTGCAGGGCGATGTGGGATCTGGGGTCGGATCTTTAGTGTTTCAGCCCTATGAGAGCCGACAGGAGTCTGGACGAAGGGTGGCTGCGGGGTGATGTGGCTCGGTTGGGTTCCTCAGCTGGACATGGGTGCCTTTTTCTACATACGGCTCCTCTTTTTCTACATACGGCTCCTCTTTTTGTTTTTCCCGCTTGACCTGGGGTGTTCTGGCGTACAATGGTGAGTCGCCGCGAGCGTTCGAGCGCTGCATGGGGTATACGAGGTATGATTAATGAATGATTTCATAGATAGAGGGTAGTTCTCAGCTCAGTCAATCCCAAGAGGGGTGTACATAGAGTAAATGGAAACTGGCTGCCTCGCGGCTGGGTAACGTAATGAAGCTTCTGGATGCGTTCGTTGCCTTGCGTATGATGACGGCCTCGTAGCATCGCCGGATGAAGGATGCCGGGGCTCAGGGCAGCGGGCGAATTACATTTGAAATTGTTCTTCGAGCGATGACCTTATTACTCGCTATTTCCGCAAAAGCTACTCCATAGTAGTGTAGCTACTGCATGCCCAGCTGCACAAGCGGGACTAACGAGAGGGGCGCTACGATCTAAGTGTGGCGGTGTATTTCGCAGACATGAGGATCTCCAGCGCGGTGGGGGAGTAAGCTGAGGCCGCGTAATGACGATCTGCCTTCCCCTGCTGTCCAGTGCACGATTGTCATCAGAGCGACCGAAGGCGAAGGGAAAACTTCCTTGGGAATGTCATGGAAGCGTTTGAAGCTGTGCAACAGAGCGGCAAAGCCACACATGAGCGCCCACTTGGCGGTGGGAGTGTGGAGACGCGTGTTTGGAGGGCCCGCGTGGTTCGATTGGCCGGGCGGCAACCCTGTCTCACTGCGTAGATCGATCGCCGGCTGGAGCGAGCGTCTCCTGCCGCTTGGTGCTCTTGGGCGCTTGCTTGCGTGGAGCTTCGTGTGAGCTGTTATGAACCCGTACCGTCCGAGGGTGAATGTCATACAGGCTGGAGCCGAAGTCGACTGACTTACTGCCCGCTTCCCTGATATTTTGCAGGCGCGCGATTTTCGCAAGGGCCCCGGAGCTCCCGCCGTGACCAGGATTCTGGGGAAAGCAGGCGCCGGAACGTCATCACCGACCCTCAACCCGGCTACCTGCTTCAACGTCTCCCCATCTTCTGTGCTCCTCTGCCACCAGTCCTTGCCTGCGCTGCCATTCCTTTCGTTTCTTTGTTTTCTCGCTTTTTCCTGCTCGCTGCGGCCGGCGAACACGAGTGGGGTGAGTGAGCCACAAGCAGGGTCTACGCTAGATTGATAGCTGCCGCCCGCTCGCCAGTCCAAGCAGCTAATAACGCAAGCAGGTTTGGCCCGCTGCCAGCACAAGAGCAGCACCGCAGCCCTCACGCCTCCGTCGCTTCTTTTCTCTCCTCTCCTCGCACATCCTCCTCCCGTCCCCGCCCATTGTTACGCCCGCTCGACTGCGAGCTGCCCAATTGCCCGTGCGCTCGTTGCTGGCCTGGTGACGCACTGCCATCGCTTCCACCCTCCACCCACCGCGCCGACATGGCTACCGAGTCGCGCGCCGCTGAGCTCAAGCAGCAGGGAGCTGTAGAAGCTGCGCGAGATCCCAATTCGGGCGTCTCTGCCCAGGCTGCAGAAAACACGCTGATGGATGAAGCTCGAAAGGGCGGCAGCGCTGCTTACCAGTTCGACCCAGATGCCAGCCCCGAGGAAAAGCGGGCGCAGTTGAAGTCGGTGCGTTGGGCACGAGCTCCTGGATGTGACTGTTTGGCTGACTCCCGCTGTGACAGCACGTTCCCAAGGGATTCCATCACGAGCGGAAAACGAACGCTACTGCCCTCGTTTCGGATGCTGTGAGCAAGCCCTTAATTCTTCTTGGGTATGGACCAACGCTGACAAGGACGCGCAGAACGGCGGTAGTGGCCCAAAGTACGATCTCCCCCCGGCTTCGAAAGCCGGCGCTATTGCGGCTCCCGAGAGCCCAACCTCGGACAAAGCCAACGGCCACGCGCCCGAACTAGACGAAGTCAACGAGTGGGCAAGAGTTGGCTGGGCACCGCGATTTGGCATGCCAGGCTCAGAAGAACAGGAAGATGAGGGCAGCCTGCTCGATCATCAGACCTGGTTGGAGGGCAAGCTGGAAGATAAGTTCTACGGCGACTGGTACCACAACACAGGTGTCATCATATTTGCCTGCTTCAGCTCCTGGGTCGTAGCAGTGCTCGGAGGAGGCCTAGGCTGGGTGTTCTGCATCATGGCCATCTGCGCAACGTATTATCGCACCTCGATTCGCCGCGTACGCCGCAACGCCCGAGACGATCTGAATCGCGAAATGGCCAAGAGCAGGCTGGAAACTGACACTGAGAGTCTGGAATGGATCAACAGCTTCTTAGTCAAGTTTTGGCCCATCTACGCGCCGGTCTTGTGCCAATCCATTGTCGCCTCAGTTGACCAGGTTCTGTCGACGTCCACGCCATCATTTCTCGAAAGCTTGCGGATGAAGGAGTTCGTGCTTGGGACTAAGCCCCCACGGCTAGAGCATGTGAAGACGTATCCCAAGGCTCAGGATGATATTGTGCTCATGGACTGGAAGTTCAGCTTTACCCCAAACGACACAGCGGATCTTACAGCAAGGCAGATCAAGAACAAGATCAATCCCAAGGTCGTGCTCGAAGTCCGCGTGGGCAAGGGCGTGGTCAGCAAGGGGCTGGACGTTATCGTCGAAGACATGGCATTCTCCGGCCTGATGCGACTCAAGTTCAAGCTGCAACTGCCTTTCCCGCATATCGAGAGGGTTGAGATGTCTTTCCTGGAGCGCCCGACCATCGACTATGTGTGCAAACCGTTGGGTGGTGATACTTTTGGATTCGACATCAACTTCATTCCTGGACTGGAGTCTTTCATCATGGAAATGGTCCACGCCTCTCTCGGCCCCATGATGTACGACCCGAACGTATTCCCTATTGAAATCGCCAAGATGCTCGCAGGCAACCCGATCGATCAAGCTATCGGCGTCCTCCAAATTACCTTCCACGGAGCTCAAGGCCTCAAGAATCCCGATAAATTCTCAGGAACCCCAGACCCATACGCGGTGGTTTCCATCAATAACCGGAACGAGCTTGCTCGAACGAAGACTGTGCACGAGAACGCGAATCCACGGTGGAGCGAGACTGTTAACATCATTATCACTTCTTTGAAGGATGCTTTGACGATAACCCTCTACGACTTCAACGAATACCGCAAGGACAAGGAGCTGGGAACGGCTACCTTTGCTCTGGAGCAACTGGAAACGGACGATGAGCACGAGAATATGCACCTCGAGGTCATGTCTGGTGGCCGGCCGCGCGGCGTCCTTCAAGCCGATGTCCGATTCTTCCCGGTCCTCGAAGGGGAAACGTTAGAAGACGGCACGAAAGAGCCTCCTCCGGAGTCTCGAACGGGTATTGCCAAGTTCACCGTGGAGCAGGCCAAGGACCTCGATGGCTCGAAGAGCATGATCGGGACACTAAGTCCTTACGCCGTGCTGCTGCTGAATCAACGGGAAGTACACAAGTCGCGAGTCATGAAGAGAACGAACCAGCCGATCTGGCCCGATGCAACTAAAGAGCTATTAATCACGGACCGTAAGAAGGCCAAGCTCGGAGTGGTAATCAAGGACGATCGTGATCTTGCCTCGGATCCAATCGTAGGCTCATACCAGATCACCCTGGACGATATGCTAGAAATGATGGCCAAAGGCCAGGAATGGTACAATCTGAGCGGTGCCAAAACTGGCAGAGCGAAGATGAAGCTTGAGTGGAAGCCGGTCGAACTCAAGGGTGCCGTGGCTGGCGCTGGTGGCTATCTTACACCTATTGGTGTTATGCGGCTGCACTTCCAGAATGCTCGCGAACTTCGTAACGTGGAGACTATGGGCAAATCCGATCCATACGTCCGAGTCCTGCTGTCCGGCGTGGAGAAGGGACGGACGGTCACCTTCAAGAACAACCTGAATCCGGATTGGGACGAGGTCATCTACGTTCCGATACATACTACTCGCGAGAAGCTGACCCTCGAGGTTATGGACGAGGAGCATCTTGGCAAAGATCGATCGCTGGGCCATATCGAGCTTTCCGCCTCTGACTACGTCCGACAGGATGATAACGGCGAATATCTTGTTAACGAGCAGAAAGAGGTACGGGCTGAAGGGCTGAGGCTAGGAGCACGTGCTCAGCCGAAGGGTGTGCTCAACTACACTTGCTCATTCTATCCGACATACTCTATCTGGGATCCGGATGATGACGATAAGGAGAGCGATGTCGATGAGCTTTCGCGCAAAGGCTCGGTCAGGACCCAGGAGTCTGCTAACAACAAAGGACACAAGAAGAACGTCTCAAGCGTGTCCGGTATCTCGCGTGCGGAAACTGCTGGCACTATCTCCTCCCTTAGGACGGCGGATACTTCACATCATGAAGGTAGCGAGCTTGATCTCGCCAAGCAACTCGACAAGAACGAAGGCGAGCAGGAAGAAGCAGTTCCTCAGAAGAAGAAAATTGAGAAACTGCATCTGACTGCTGACGACCTTCAGCAGTATGGTAGGCTGATTGGTTCTCATGACTTTCCGGAGGCATATTGCGAGCTGAGTTTGTGGACCCAACCCGCAGCATCATGCCCCGTATTGTTATCCTCTGGCGTTCAAATGCTGACGTTTTGCTAGAATCTGGCCTTATCGTGTTCAAGCTTATTGACGGAGAATTCGCCGAAACGGGCGCCTACGTCGATATTATCATGGATGACATGGCCTTCCCCAGTTACTCGAGCGCAAAGATCAAGAGCAAGAATATGACGTTCAATGAAGGTATGCGTTTCAGCTCAGCCGCTTGTCATACGCTGCTAATCTGGATGTAGTTGGTGATGCCATGGTCCGCGAGCTCGACTTCTCGAAGATCACACTACGGATCATCGAGCATATCGACAAGAAGGGCGAGGGTGATGAGGACCATGTCATTGCTAAGCTAACAGGCGCCACCCTCGACACTCTCCGTCGATGCTTGGTAAGCTTCTTTCGGCCTTGAGCTTGCATCCTTCATCACGCTAACAGATGACAGTACACACCCACCCAGCTGACCCTGAAGGATAACCATGGGCGCGACAACAAGATCACTGTCAGCCTCAAATATCTCCCTGTCAAGATGCAACTCGACGCTAGTGAGTCCTTCAACAACCAGGGCCAACTCCGCGTCGAGGTTCTCGACGCCGCTGATCTGCCCGCGGCCGACCGCAACGGCTTCTCCGACCCATACTGCAAGTTCATCCTCAATGACAAGGAAGTGTACAAGACGAAGACCCAGAAGAAGACTCTACATCCGGCATGGAATGAGTTCTTCGAGGTCCCGATCCGGAGCCGAACCGCTGCAGAGTTTGAAGTCAAGGTGTATGACTGGGACTTTGGCGACAAGGCTGACTTCCTTGGCAAAGCTGCCATCAACCTCGAGATACTGGAGCCTTTCCAGCAGCAGGAGGTTACTCTTGGTCTGGATGGCAAGTCTGGAGCTATTCGATTGAAGATGCTCTTCAAACCAGACTATGTCATGCGAGCTCGTCAGGGGTCAAGCACCTTTTCAGGAACGTTCGCCGTGCCTGGAAAAGTCATCGGTGCGCCCGTAAAAGGCGTCGGTAAAGGCGCTGTCTTGGTCGGAGGTGGTGTTGTCCGCGCAGGAACGTTCCTCGGCCGCGGCTTCAAGCGAAGGAAGTCTCGTGGCGCCAACGGAGCGGAAGATTTCGAACGCGCCGGCTCACCCAATGGCACCCCGGAAGATACACCGGCCATTTCGGTCGAAGGCGACGGCTCCATGACGCCCTCAAACCACAACAGGCACAAGAGCTGGGGCGCGCAGAGCTTCGCTAGCGGCGTTGGCGGCGGGTCCGGCGGTGCCGATCAAGGCACCGCAAATATCACCATCGTCAGCGCCGCCGGGTTCCCACTCGGCACCAACGTACGCGTGCACGTACGCCAAGAGGGTTCCAAAGGCAGCAAAGAAGTGCACAAGACGGACCACATCAAAGCGCCCGCCGGCTCTGTCTCCTTCGAGGACGAGTCATTCAAGGTACCCTGCGCCGCAGATACGCCTTTCAAGCTCATCGTCAAGGACCATTCTACCTTTGGGCGCGACGAGGAGCTCGGCGAAATGCAGTTCTTTGTCGATGACCAGGGGAGTGGCAGCGAGAAGAGCGTACTCGTCGGCAAGGGCATGGTTATCGTGAAGACGAGTTTTACGCCGGCGGATGCGGGGAGTGGGTTGAATAGTCCCAAGTTGAAGAAGGGCTTGTTAGCTAGGGGACGGGAGAGCAGGAGCGTGACGCCGGCTTAGAAGGCGCGCGTTGCGGTGATGGGGAGCAGGTATTCTTTCAGCTGAGGATGCAGTCTGAGACTTGGGCGGGGGCTTTTCGGATCGGCTGGGAGGAAGGAATTACCTTTTTTTTTCTTGCTCGGCTTTTCTCTAAAACGAATGGGTCCTCCTACAAAAAGGTTATATTCTTTCTATTTTTTTCCCCTCACTTTTATTTTGCTTCTTCTTGTAATGTGTTTGAGCGCCGTTATGGAGGTTTGTGATGAGCGATTCGATTCAAGATTTTTGGTTTTAAGTTTGTATGATGTTTTATACCAAGTTTTGCTGGTGGCTTGTGGAGGAATGGGTATGGGGGAAATTGGGATATAGCATGATTAGTAATGACATGGCGCGGGTCTTTTATTCAGTATTTTCCCGTGTTCAGTCGTCGAGTCCTGCATACTAATTTACAGAAGAGAATCGAATAGAACCTTAGAAGCCCACTTGCCACGTGACTTACCCCAATCAAGAAACCTCCCAACTCGCCGCAAACATGAGCAATTTAGACAGCCTGCTAAAAGGCTCTGCCCGCCCGCACCAATAGCCGCCCGCACAGCAGCAGCAGTAACTCAGACCCCCTACATACACGTGGACCGGGAAATGCGCGGGGCCGAAGCGATCGTCGTCCCGGCCTACATACACACGAACGCCCCGCTCATCAGACCCTTGCCGATCTCTCGCCAACTTTACCCCGGATTCTGGACGCCTAGTATGTGGGACTAAAAGCAAGGTTCGGCTGCCGCTGATCTTTCCTAATCATGGCTTTTACCCCTGGCTAATGGGCAGAGAAATGGAGACCCGTTGATGCTTGGCCTGGGAATTGGTAAGTGGCTGCGAGGAGATGGATGATCAATATTGTGTGCGTCTATCGTGACACGGGACACAGGGGGGTTGAGCGGTGTTGGGGAGGAGGATATATTATATGTTGGGGTAGCTTCTTTTGTGTTTGTAGCTTCTACGCGGGATCGTTCGCTTTCTCCCAGTCTTCAGTCTCCGGCGGGCTAGCATTTTCTCCCCTTTCTCTAGACTACCCTCGGCCAAGAAAGAAACGTCAAGTCTACCACGATGAGACCCACCCTCCCAACCGCGCTCACAGCGCTCCTCACCACCGCCCTCGCCCTCCCCTCATACCCCACACCGCGCGCCTCCTGCCCCGCCGGCAGCGCCTTCCCCAGCGACGCCATATCGCCGTACCTGCTCGTCCCGATCTCGCAATCTGAGCCGGACAAAGCCTTCGGCAGCTCTGCCCTCGGCACCGTCACCCCAGGCGACCTCTGCACCATCGTGGACCTCAAGATCCCCGACACCTTCCACGGCTCGCCGACGCTGCTCGCCACGTGCACGCTGTCCTTCGCGATCCCGTCGCCGGAGCAAGCCGCGCCGCACAAGCTCAGCTTTGCCGGCCCGGGCCACTTCTCTTTCTTCGGCTACCTCACTGGCTTTGGCGCGGACGAGAGCACGACTTGGAATATGCAGCCCGTGCCGGGCCCGAGCCCGCCGTTTCCCCCAGATGTTATGGTCCCCGGGAATACGTATACGATTGCTACGCTGCCGTGTGGGATTCTGCCGGGGAGCGGGGGGCAGACGGTTAGTGGCAGGTTGTGTAGTGAGGACTCGGCGATTGAGTGGGAGCAGACGGGGGTGAGTGGGGATGGGGGGTGTCCGGTGGGGTTCTTTGTGGTGGTTTCTTAGGAGAGGTGGGAGAGGTGGAGAAGAGAAGGGGCATGGTGAGGTGATTGAGGAGGGGGGTGTTTCTTGTTTCTGGTTTGCCTCGAGGCCATCGATTCGATTTCCGTATTAGATTTTAGTCACCGTCTCACGTTCTCGTCATTGCGATGGCGTTACTGTGTTGTACTACTCATTGCAGACATCTTGCTTGATGCTTCGCACCGTCTCGTCTCTTGTCTTTCGCGGACTTGATTTAGAGCGCATTTCTTTGAGTCTCCGGCTTGACTTTACGAGCGGGGAAAGGATAAAGCTGAATGACCGGTAGGGTGTGCACCCTGTGCGCGGAATTAGTGCAGGTCTTCTACCGTAGATTCAATGCGTCTGGTGGGAAACCGCTACACTCCCAACTCGTGAAATGCCAGATGGAAATCAAGCAGCCACGCTTGTCGCACTCATCGCTCCGTCCAAATCTTCCTCCGGATGGGTAGCTCAGACGAAACGCACATGGCGACGTTTGCGGGCTGCGGTCAAAGAAGTCGTCTGGAGCTCGTAAGCTTGTTATGACCTAGGCACCACAATAGAACGGGCTGAAGAGTCTTAGGAATTTGAGGCGGGATCGGAGTAATGCTTGCCGGAGTCGAGCGGTGCGTCGGAGTAAGCCGAGACGATACAAGGGTGGCGCTAGTGACGGGATGGGTGAACGAGCGGGGAACGGGTCGACAGTCGTGTCGAAAAATTATCTGCAGAAGCTAGGTACCTTGTTACCTTGACGTGGTGATGGTCGGAACCCTGAAGCCAATCGCCTGCGACCCAAAAAGCCGGCAACAAAATTTCGGCGCTTTGACAGCTGCGGTGACACCACCAACACCACCCCGCGAACGCTGTGTTCTCATCGCCCATAGCCGCGTTTGCTCGCCGTGATGGAGGGCGACGATGGAGTGGCGAGGCGCGCGATTATTGACGGCTCAGTCGAAGAGGTGGCGCGTGACGGTGCGGCGCTATCCCGTCATGGTGGCAGCTGCGGGGGCTTCTGCTCCGACTGCGCAGCAAAGCACACCGCAGCTGTCGCCTTGACTCAGGCCTGAAAGTCCTCCTCAGCCTTCGTTCTCCTCGTTTCTCTTCTTCTTTCCTCCCTAGCATGCCTCCCTGGGTGCACCTCGCCCCATCATGACGGAACGACGCTTGCCAGTGAAGCAGCTGGTCATCCTTTGTAAGTTTTCTCCCTTCCATCCCAACAACCACGCCTAACCGCTCTCCCAGCAATATGCCGCTTCGCCGAGCCCATCGCCCTCACGAGCGTCTTCCCCTACATCCCCGAAATGATGGAGTCGTTTGGCGTACCTGAGAATGACATCGCGCGGTGGGCCGGCCTCACCTCCGCCGTCTTCTCGCTCTCCCAGGCCGTCACGGGCATACCATGGGGCGCCGCTTCGGACCGCTTTGGGAGGAAACCGGTCATACTCATTGGGCTGTTCAATACCATGGTGACGATGCTCATCTGGGGGTTTTCGACAAGCTTGCCCATGGCCATAACAGCTCGTGCTCTGCAAGGGCTGGGCAATGGGAACGTGGGCATATTGAGGACAACAGTGGCTGAGTTGTGCCCCTGGAAGGAGCTACAGCCCCGCGCGTTCAGTATTATGCCTCTAGTCTATACCATTGGGGCCATCTTTGGCCCCACCATAGGTGGCGCATTGTCCAATCCCTTGCGGGTTGACCCTCGCAAGCCCCGCGGCGACACATTCCTTGAGAGATTCCCCTACAGTCCGCCGAATATGGTCGCGGCGACCTTGTTCTGTATTGGTATTATCACCGGGTGGCTCTTTCTAAAGGTAACAACATCGTCTCGGCCGCGAGAAGCCTCATGCTGATCTAGCCAGGAAACACTCGAAACTAAGAGGCATGAGCGCGACACGGGGCTAATAATCGGAGCTAAGATAATGGCATGGGTGCGTAAAACCTTCAACAAGCCCAGACCGCAGAAGAAAATCCGCCATGAGCGGGAGCCCCTTCTAGCCAAGCAGAAAGCGAACAACGACGAAGAGGCTGCCCCAGAAATTATCACAATTGCACCGGCAATCGAGGAGCGGCCAAGAGTCAGAGACGTTCTTTCTTTCCAGACAAGCATGAATTTACTCGTGTATTTCCTGCTCGCGTTGTACACCTTGGCCTATGATCAGGTATGTCAAACTTGCGCGGCTGTATATCATTTCTGCTAACGGCGTCATTAGCTTCTTCCGGTGTTTATGCATCATCCTCCACAGTCGTTGGACGATCCCAATGTATCTCTTCCGTTCAAATTCGCCGGTGGCTTCGGCATAGACTCCAGGCGCATTGGGGCAATTTTTACCGTCTTCGCCGTGTCTTCGACGCTTTGCCAGTTTCTTCTCTTTCCGCCGCTCGCACAACGCCTCGGTGTTCTTCGCTGCCTACGCATCTCATTCTTCTTTTTCCCGTTCGTATTCTTCATTACGCCGTTCATCTCCCTACTTCCTAGTAGAACGGCTAAAGAAATCGCCATGGTCGCCTTACTAATCGTCAGAGGATTTGGCGGCACCTTTGCGTTCCCTACCTCCACCATCATGCTCACGAACAGTGCGACGAGTCTCCGCGTCCTCGGAACCATCAATGGCCTTGCCACGAGCGTTTCAGCCATAGGACGGGCCAGCGGGCCTGCCATTGGCGGCGGTCTCTTCACCTGGGGAGTCAAGCGCGGCTACGTCATTCTGCCGTTCTGGATAATCTCAGCGATCGCATTCATAGCTTGGATACCGACCTGGTGGCTAGTCGAAGGGAAAGGTTTCGGAGACGATCCCGATTCCGACCTGGAAAGCGTTGTTTCTGCTACAGCTTCGTCTGCCGAATCAGAAGATGCCAAGTCGGATGAAGACGACGAGGAAGGACAGTCCGAATCGGAGTATGGGGAACCGACGAATCTCCTTTCGTATACAAGTACCCGGTCCAGCGAAGCGGTGGCTTCCGACGAGGAATTGGGTCTTAGTGATGAGGATGAGGTTATACGGAGGCGCCATGGACGAAGGGGCACTTTTAGCGGCATGGCGCATATGAGGAGTCATTCACATGGACGGTGGTCCAGAACAGTGCGCAGAAGGTCTTCCGTGCCGGTTGGCATGGGCATTGGATTCCGACGGCTCAGCTCGAATCTCGGGAGTACTGGCATTGGGGCTGGCGGCGCGAGCTGGGGCGGCACGTGAGAGCTCAGAGTATGGGGAAACGCGGCGGACGTATGGATCGGCGACATGCTTTGCTCGATCGGGCTGATCTTGAACCGAGGGATGCGGGCCCTTTCACCATTTGGCGGATGCTCAACCTAGAGGCACTTCGCAACTCTATCCCGTTCTCTGACGGTCACAGCGTCACAAAGCAGAGCCGCCGGCGAGGAGGAATCCTAGTCTCAGCTTTCACCACGGGTTTGCCGCCGCAAAATATTGTGGGTGGTCGCGGTGCTCTTCTCAAAGTGGTTTCTGAGAGTCCATGGAGTACGCGTGAGGTCTTCACCTTGGCCTCCGTAAGGAGGAGGACTGCCGTGGCGTGGGCTCTCACCAGGCAAGCTCAATAGATGCAGGGGCATCTGTGGAGCTGGTAGCGTTTACTCAAAATCAAAAAGCAAGTTACTTTCAGCACGTTCTCCTTTCGACTTCTTTTGCATTTTTGAGCTTCATCACAAGTTCCTCCTTATCCACTCCGCTCAACCGCCTGCTTCCCGCTTCTCCTCCCTCACTGCCGTATAACCCCTTCACTCAACAACTCCTCATCCAACCCGACCCAATATCTAATCCAATTAAAAATATTCCTGTGCCACAGCAGACTATTCTCCCTATTATTCACCCAGTGCCCCTCGTCGGGGAAATGCAAAAAGCGCGACGGCACGCCGAGGCTCTGCAGCACGTTGAACAGCAGGACGCCCTCGGAGGTCACGACGCGGTAGTCGAGGTCATCTACGCAGAAACATTATCAGCGTGTTCGTTCCACCAGGAATACAAAGAAGGTGCGGAAGAAGGCGGCACAAGATAGGGTCAAGAGCATGCGAGGGGGATTGGACTGGACGTACTGTGCACGATGAACTGCGGCGTGCTGAAGTTGCGCGCGTGCGTGAGCGGGTCCCAGATGGCGTAGTTCTCGCGGTCGTTCCAGATGGTGCCGTTCTGGTCGTGCTGGATGAACCACAGTTCGTCGGTGGCGTAGGCGCCGAACTGGTTGACTTTGCCGTCGTGGGCGACGAGGGCGCGGAATTTGCGGCCGAGCGGGTGCCCTTGGATCCAGTTCATCCTTTCTCATCTATTAGCACCTAGGTCGGTCGAAGTTTGGTAGCTCAACGTGAGAGAGGGCAAGATGGTAAAGGGAGAGCTGGCTTACATGAAAGCGCCGAAACTAGCTCCCGCGGCGATAGCCCGATCCGTGTCGATATAACTCACGTTCGCCTCGAGGTACGCGAACAGCTTCTCCAGATCGCGATACGGCGTGCCCGCCCAATTATTCTGTATCTTATCGGTGAACGCCTGCGAGTAGCTCGGGGACCCGGTGAACTGCGGGCTCGTCACTATAAAGCCCTGGTCCGCCCAGAGTCGCAAGTTCCACCGCGTACTCCACGCGTCGCCCATGGTACTCTGAGGTCCGCCGTGCACGAGGAATGCCAGCGGGTACTTCTTCGAGGGGTCGAAGTCTGTGGGGTAGAACACGAAGCATTGGACCATGTCGCCGTCGCCGCCTTCGTACCAGAAGTTGGAGACGGAGTCGGGCTTGAGACCTGCGAGTTCGGGGTCGGCTTCGTTGGCTGTGAAGAGGATGGTCTTGTTGAGTGCACCGGGGGATTGGGTGTAGAAGATGCGGCTCGACCAGCTCGATGCTGCGGAGACGAGGGCAGAGCCGGAAGGCAGAATGGCGAAATCTGACAGGGTGGTGTCGGGGCCGGTGATGTTGGTGGGGACGAAGGAAGCGTCGGCGTCGCGCGGGACGATGAACAGGCGGGTGGATGCGTGGAGTTCGGAGGTCACCCACAGATCTGCGCCGTCGGGGCTCCATTGAAGACCGGAAGGGCTGGAGTCCCAATTTTCGGCGACAGCGGCGATCTTGGCGTTCATGCCGTCGATGCTGGCGACGTAGAGCTTGAACCTATCCGACTCGTAAAAAATACCGTCCTGCTGAGCGTAGGCGAGCTTCGTCCCGTCTGGAGACCACCTAGGAGACTCAGATGCGCCTTGTGCCTGCTTGGGCGCGCTGGTACCGGGCCCGTTGATGGGAACAGGTGCTTCGGAGCCGTCGTGTGGGACGATGTAGATGTAGCTGGCTGTATAATTCGCTTTCGGGAGTTCTGGAGCTTTAGTGAGGAATGCGACCATGCCTCCATCCGGGGAGAGGTCGTAGTCGCCTTGATCGCCGAACGGTTGGACAGGAGTTTCAGGGCGCGTAATCGACGCATTGATGCCCCAGAGGAGATTCTTCATCTCGCCGTCAAAGGTAAATCCTTCGTATCCGGAGGCAAGCACACCGCTAAAGACTGCGTATCGCTCAGCGGTGAGATAGACGTCCCAATGGCGGACGTAGTTCGAATCGTACAGTTGGCCGGAGCTCAGGGGCGTGCTGGCCAGCTCCGGATTGTACGCTGATCCATTGTTCCAGGAAGCAAGCGTATTGGCTACGAAATTGATGGAGCCGGATTCGGTCTGCACAGCTTTGAGACCTTGGAATGGCGCGTTCAACGACGCGACAAGGGTTCTGTTGTAGCATTAGCTCTCAGCGACCTGAAGAATCTGTAGTGTTTCACTAACGGCGCAAATGCGTCCTCTCCAAGATCAGCAGTGTATAGCGTCACGCCTCCGGGGATTTCGTCGTTTGTCTCGTTGATGTAAAGGATGCTAGTGTTTGTCGCGCCTACCCACACCACTTCTGAGACATCGGAGTCGAATGGCGCTTCGGTGATATTGCCGGTTGCGATGTCCAGAATCTGCCATGTGGTCGAAGACTTATGAGTGGTCCAATTGTAGGTGGCTGAGGTAAAGAGAGCCAATTCCTTAAGAAATCAGTCGCTTGCTACAGAACATGACGATCCGAAGCGCTTACTCCGCTAGGGTTGACGTTCGCGGTACTTCGTCGCGGCGCAGCCAGCATTCCCCTAGGCGCGTCAGCTCCCGCAAGGAATTGTACAGAGGTGGTACGAACTCAACCGTAATAGCCTGCACTGATCCCAGCAACAGGCCAGCGGCCGCTATAGCCATGCGTACAGCCATCTTCCCCCTCAATTGACCGAGGAGCGCAACGGTTAGTATCGAACGGAGCTCTGGAAAGCTCTAGCGGCTGAAGACGGGCCATGTCGTGCTATTTGAGGATTCCGGAATTCAGGATTGCGGAACCACTCGAAATTGATGAGCAAGATGACCACGGGTGCCAAGGCGTGCTGAGGGTTGGCACCTGCCCTTTTAGCCGTTGCCCAGAACTGCTTCTAGGGTTTGTCCAACGCGCCATGAGAGCTAGTCGAGCTTCGTGCCGTTCTTGTCCGTCATGATCCTCTCCGATCACCGACAAGGCGGCCTTGATAAGTAGTCCCATCTGTTACCTGCCGATAGTAGTGCCATGTCCGCTGAGGTGATCCATCCAAGCAGAAATGGTCACGTGTTCTGCTTTGCCGCAAGATCCATATATTCTGCCAAGAGCGACAACGAAGGTCGAGGAACCGATAAATTATGTCCATTCAATTTCAAAGCACTATTACAAGTGCAAGGGAGAGAAGGTTGCGGCTAATGTGACCGTGGAAGTTCAGCGACTACGAACAATTAGCTCTGAGCTAGAAGGAATCTGTGCTACGTACAATGATCGTACCTCAAGGCTCGCAGGGGTAAGATAGTCGGAAAATAAGCGAGTATAGAAATCGTGGCGGATATCAAGCAGTGACAGATAAGACCTAGCGTAAGGTAGATAGCGTTAAACACGAACTCGCTGTCAACCGCTGGTACTTAAGATACACCTTTAGATATCGAAATCTCCGGCGAGGGGCGTTTCTGTGCATGGATGGGGATACCTCTGCCATGGTATAGCGATGGCGTCCTCTTGACTGGGTCCGTGGATAATCATTCAAAGATTCTAATTGATCGGCCAACCATGAATCAACCTCAGAGTGAATACAAGCTTTCATCGCTTTCAGAGGACGAGTCGGAATCACGGGCTGGCAGCCCGACCCACGAGTCATCGTCTTCTGCTACCCGTTCCACAATGACACCGACGCCTTGCTCAGAGAATGGTTTCCGAATGCGGTCCCAGTCATACCGGAACAGTCGACTTGGCGGCTGAACCTCAATCCGAACTTTTTTGAGTAGGGGTACAAAATCCCGACAGTATGTAGCCATCTGTTCTAAGGCAGGCATGCACTTATGCTCTCGGCTATCCCACCCAATGACTATGCAGAATGTTTCCAGCGAGGGCGGGAGATTCTCGACCAGGGCTGCTTGAGCGCCTAAGCGGACGTCGATGAACCCCGGAAGAGGAGCCTCAAGATGAGCTAGCTTGTCAAAGTCGCGCAGACTGCCGAAGGCGCTGTGTAGAACTTCGGTATTGTCTTCGTCACTGATGTCTTCGCCAAGAGATAAGCTCTCTAGGCAACGACGATGACGATGAAGAGACTTGACCAAACTAGGGTAGTGGAGTATCGCAGAGTGAGAATGATCGGTAGGGGACGCGGCAATCCCGGAGGTTGACCAGTACTCTTCCCCATCTCCGAGCGATAAGTATCTGTCTTCAGAGTGTTGGTACTCGAATCGTTTCAAAGTTCGAACCGAGTTGAGTAAAACAGATAGTATGTCGATGTTGACGAAGCTCGATCGTAGGCTCAGGGCTTCGATTGACGACGCGCCAGTCGGGATCAGCCGTCGAAGAGAGTCTGCCCGTCCTTTCCTCTGGCCTATCTCGATCAATCCAATGATCTGAAACTCGCGGAGAGATGGTAGCCTGAATACCGGAGCCAAATGGCGAAGCTTAAGGTGGGCTACGTGGATTCGAATCGAATTTAGGCGAGAGAACTGGTGCATGTGACCAAAACGAGCACCGCTCACTGCCCAGCGGATGAGTTCGAGCCATTTTGGGGTCTTGTAAGAGACTGACCCATCGTCGATATCAAGGGAAGTGACGTCCGGTGTATGCATGAGGATAGTGGCATATAGAAGCTCTTGCTCAACCCCGTCATCGTTGCAATCCGTAGCCCAAGACTTCCATCCGGGTATCTCCAATTCTTTCAATCCTTCCTTGATGATCTTTTTATCGGAAACAGAGGAGTGGTAGCTCTCACGCTCGCAATGCACTCCAGATCCATAGTTGAATGTTAGGGAGCGCACCTTCTTAGCGAGGTGGCGATCTGAGATGACAGTGCGCAGGAAGGGATAGGGCTTGCAAAAGAAGCTATTATAGGCAGCATAAAGTTTGCTGCTGACTAGACCGTGGAGTCGGCGGTTGGTGAGAGAGAGGTTGATGAGAGCTGGAAGTTGGAAATGTTCGAGATCGAGACATGGTAGGTAGGCCAAGATATCGAGTAACAGTTCATCCGGAAGGGCGAGCAAGGACGCTACGGTACCAGCCTCCTTTGCAGATCGAATTTTTGTGACGTCTGATCGAACCCTGGTCTTTCTCTGACGCGCTTTCTGTGTTGGTAACGGCGGGAAGTTCTTGTCGTCGAGGATCATGAGCGAGTGGCGAGCTTTGGAGGATCTAGAAGAGCAGCGCAAGAATGAGACAGAACAGGCGTGTTCCTTGGTACGATGGAGGTTTTCAACAAAATCGATGAAAGCTTCGCCGGGTGCTTTGTAGGGACGCGAAGGGCTGCGAGTGAGTGTCGTAGGTTTGCACGAAGTGTGCTATCGATAAGATTGTGCTTAGTAATACACATTTACCGAGGCTCAGGAGACTCCACCTGCAGTTCACAACTACGTTCCACTAATCCGCTTTTCCCTTCTCAGACCATCATCATCATACGCTTCCGCTTTGTGTCAGTATAGAAGTTAGGCATTGCAAGTTCTTAGCACTGATCCAGGGAATTCGCACCTCGCTCAGGTAACCGAAGTCGAAACTAGTCGGAGTACATCACGAAGCCGAATCTAGGAGGTGTGCGCTTGGATACGCTATCTAGTTACAGTCACTTCGCGCTACAAATACCGTTCGGTCTCTGACTATGCACTGGCCCCAAGATTGCACCTTTCCCGAACGAAGCGCGCAAGCAACTGTGTTACTCTACTCAGTCTACCAACACCGTCGGGTTTGCTTGGCCCTCATGGCTGGGTTGTCTAACAAACACTCGAGACGAGGAATGGTGCCTTTCACGGTGTTTCTAGTTTAGATTGTGGAGATGTGGACGCTTGTGCAGCGTGCATCAGCGCCGTAGTCTTCTCCAAAGCAGCAAGGCAATTGGGGCATGCTCCAGAACGAGAGAAAGCAATCGAAGTATGCACCGTGTGCTTGAATCTCCCTTCGAGCAAGCGATTTGCTACTAGACGATTGTGCACCCAATCTGGGAGGACATGTGCAAACACGGCACTTCTCTCGCAACGCCTACATGGGAGAATGCATATATAGAAGAGCTGCAGATCCAACCTGCACAGCACACATCAGGCACGCGGAATCAGATACGCAAAATGACCACCGACCCCCTGCGAAGCCGCATCTTCAACGAACTGCGCATTCATTACGAGACGCAAGGAAAGGAATTCATCAACATGACAGCAAGTAAGTCCCCCATCACTTGTCTTCTTGCACATCCCCTATTCGGGCTCCCCGTCCACTAACTCGGTCATCCAGAGAACCTGGCCTTCCTCGTTCGCCACCACCTTGGCCCCGAGATCGAACCCACCAAAGTCTCCCTCCCCATCGTCGACATATATGAAGACGGAGCAACGGTTGCGCACAGAGCTGCCTTGGTGGTGCACGGGGCGCCAGGCAAGCATCGGGTCCTCATCCAAAACCAGAGTCCTGTGGGCCATACGAACTGCCTCGTGCATGAGCTATCGGACATGGCCGAAAAGGCTATTGTGGGGATCTTGGGGGAGGATACACTGAGGCCGGTGTTCGATATCAAAGGTAGTATGGATTTCTGAGGAAATGAGTTGATTGCGGTCTCGGGGATACGGTTTGTGCTATTATTTGGGGAGGAATGGCGATATACCTTGGGCACAAGCGGCTACTTCCTTCGAGGAAATGTTCCATAGAAGGAATAAATCTATCGACAGATACGGATAGAAGTCATCGGAAGAGCTAATATGAAGAGTGAGGACCAACCTATGAATACGCAATACCAAGACCGTTTGAAAGACCTTTGCGACTAACCTTGGGATTCCAAGCAAATTTGGAGATATTTTTCAGAAATAGAACCTTCCGCGTTGGTGCCCCGAGCTGGAGAGAAGTTATGACGTCAGGCCCTGTCGAACTCCTCTTCAACCACACCACCGAGCGCATTAATGGCTCTATCAGCACCGGCCTCTCCACATGAAAAATGAGTCGCGAAATCAGTCCTCCTCCCGCGAAACGACGCAAAATCTCCGCTCATCCTAGCCCCGCTCAAGCGCAACCGCTGCGTCCTTCGACCCCGCCTCTGCGGATAGAGGATCCGCATACAATGCGCGTCTTCTCATGGAATATCAACGGCATCGCACCATTCCTACAAAAGCCAATAACTACATTCTTTCAACCTTCGAGATCTGTGAAAGCGCCAGACAGTAAAGCAGTGATTCCGCCAGCTTCCTTGCGTGGATTCCTACAGCGTCATGGGTGGCCGGCTGTTCTCTTTTTACAGGAAACCAAGATCGCTTCTGCAGATACGAAGACACAAGATGCTGTTGAAAGCGCGGTGAATATGCGTTTACCAGAGGAAACGTCGTCAGCGGCGAGAGGACCGATGTATGAGACGCACTTTACCCTGCCGAACGACCCGCATAACGCACGAGGACTGCGTGGAAGCGGGAAAGTATACGGCGTGTGCAGTATCATCCGGTCCGATCTATTCTCAACTTATAAAGCACATGTCCGGACTGTGGATTGGGATCGAGAAGGTCGTGTCTCCGTCGTTGAATTCCAAAGTACAAATAAGAAGCTCGCGCTCTTCAACATATACGCGGTCAACGGGACCAATAACCCCTATCGCGATCCATCGACCGGCGCTGTTCGCGGGACAAGGCATGATCGCAAACTCGAATTTCATCGCCTACTCATGGAAGAATGCTTGAAGCTTGAAGACGAAGGCTGGGACATCCTTCTCGCAGGCGACATGAACGTAGCGCCCGACACACGAGACGGATATCCACGGCTCCGCACCTTCCCTCAGCAGCACGTTCTCAATCGAGCAGACTTCAAGAGCAAGTTCCTAGGCGAGAAGAAACAGACCTCAGGAAGGGTGTTCGATGGCGTGGATATCTGGAGAGTAACGCATGGCAATGAGAGAAGGTATACATACTACCCGCGGAGCAGGGAATGGGGATCCAGCTGCGATAGGGTAGATTATGTTATCGTAGGAAAGAGGACTTGGGAGGATGGGCTGGTGACGGTTTGTGGGATTTTGGACAGTGAAGCGGAGAGAGGACCAAGCGATCACGTCCCGATATGGGTCGATATTCATCTAAGGAAAGAGGAGAAAATGCAGAGACCAGATTGATTTCGTCAAGACAAGCCCGGCTCTTGCGGTAGGGAATCCGGATCGAAGGGCTCGCCGTCCAAGTAGGTAAGATTGGCTCAGCGAAATAAAGTCCTATTGTACGCACCCGCGGGGGCCTCTAGGGTAGCTGTTACTCACGCCGTTATATCCGGAGAATTCCACACCGTGAGAGCCCGGTCTTCCAGTACGACAGATCTGTACTCCACTCATGACCTTCCTTTATATCGATCTTAGTCTCGCCCCGCTATGTCCGACCGTTTCTCCCCTGTTCTCTCTAGCTTACTGTATCCTCACAAGGCAGATCTCACAGTCTGGGTAACGCTCTGCAGCAGCGACTTCGACCCCAACCGCTCAGCTATTTTCGCTCCAGCGAGGCGCCCAAAGGTCAACGATCTCAGCACTGAAGTAGCTGGAGGATATTCTAGCACACTCTAGTAAGTACCCAGTCACACATGCAACGCATAAATCTCACCATTATAGAAAAGCCCCGTCAGCTCTCCAGCAGCCCAAAGCCCTTGAATTGGCACATCGTTCGTGCCCAAGACCTGCGCGTCCGTATTCGTCTTCACGCCACCATAAGTAAAAGTTAGATGCGAAGTAACCGGATACCCGTAGAACGGCGGTGTCACGATTGGATTTGCCCAATTGGTCTTATTCGGGCTTAGTCCCGTTGTACTCTTTCCATCCAACTTCATGAGGTCAAACTGCTGGTCATTACACGCCGCGTTGAACTCGCTGATTGTCTTCTCCAACGCCTCCGGATCGATCTGCAGCTTGACCGCAAGATCGTGGATCGTGTCCGCCGTCACGGGTTCCTGGTCCGTCGTATCGTAGACCCACCCCGGGCGGAACCGCTTCATGATCGTGTCGTCGGTGATGAAGAACCCTTTCTGGTTCTGATCGCGCCACAGCTCCAGCGCAATCATTTCAAACGTGGCGAAGAGATGTCGCTTCCCTTCATCGTAGAAGCGCTGGCAGTGCTCATTCACCACGATGCCGTAGTTATGGCCCCAGATGACGGCGTCGGGCTTCGTGGCACGCGTGTCGACTAGCTCGCAGTGCATGCCGTCGAAGGAGCCGGCAGTCGCGGCGCCCACTTCGAGCGCCATATTTAGCCCAGCGCCGCGGTTGTGCTTTAGGCCCGGCGCGATGAGGGGGAGCTCGTGCGTCCGTCGGCCGATGTATTTGGCCAGCATTTCGCGGTTGCCTTCGAAGCCGCCGCAGGCGAGGACTACATTTGGCGCGTGGAGCTCGTACAGGAGTCCGTCTTTCTTTCGCACCTGTAGACCACGGATTGCACCGCGCTTGTCGGTCAGCAGGTGCCGGCCTTCAGTCTCCCAGTGGATGTCGCAGTGCTTGTAGCTCTGTATATGCCCCATCAAGCAGTCGATAATCGCCTTGCCGCCTCCCTCGGGAAACACAAAGTGCTGCCCGGTCTTAAACTCCAGCAGCACATTCTCCTCATCGTGGTGCACGAACTTGACGCCTTTTTCCTGGACATACAGTGCCGTCTTTTGCGCCTCGGCGCCTAGCTTCTCGCAGTACTCCATGTCAGCCTCCCCTTTGGAGACGGCTTTCATTTCGTGCTTCCAGTCCTCGTCGAAGGCAAGGTCCTTGTCGAGACGCAGGTATGCCATTGTCCAGCGCGAGGCGCCGCAGCGCTCGTCGGATTTGCCGACTTCTATGAGGGCTACCCGGCCATTTTTGTTGAGTGCCTTGCATGACTCGAGGAAGTTGAGGGTGGTCATGGTGCCCGCGAAGCCGGAGCCGACGACGATTAGATCATATGTATCCATTGCAGCTGTAAGCTTGATCCGGAGGGTATGTAGATATGCTTAGAGCTTTGGGAATTGAGCTATGAGATGTAAGGTTATAAGATGTTCTCCCTGCTGTACACCACTGAGGAATCGCGGATCCGGTTATATGCCTTTGATCATCGGACCGTTGACCCCGCATTATGCATGCTAACGGCGATGGCGATCGAACGTGCGGGGAATATGCATCGCTGACTCTACGCCGTCGCAAAGGCCAACATCCGAATCTCATCGACATCGCTAACACGATGTTTCAGCTTTGCGAGGCTAGTAAACCAGAGGCGACCGCAGGGATAAAGGACTATCGTTTGGATGGATCGAGAAGCCCTCGACGATCATCACACTAACGCACGGTTGCGTCGTGAATGTCGATCTCCCGAAGCGGGCATGCGTAAAACCTAGCACGCTGCTAACTTACCCCACGTTTTGAGAAGGGCAAGGGATCATCGGGCAAGGGATCATCGGGCAAGCGCCGCCTTTAGATCGAGGAAATCCTCAACTCCGTGGCCGAGAACGGTTTTCCTCTCGCGCGAATTCCATGCGTGAGTCTTCTTCTCGTCGGCTGACAAATTGGTTCGGGCCTCGCTCTTCTGCATCACCATCTCAGACGCACTAAATCCTCCTCACCTCAACCATCTCAATCCATATACCCATATCCCTCTCCACCAAGTACCCGCCATGTCCAACCCGACACCATCCTTCACCGGCGACCCAAACGCCCACCCACCCTCTTCTTTCAGCGCCGGCATGACGGGCACCTGTCTCTGCGGCAGCATCAGCGTCACTATCCACGACGGCTCCCTCTTTTCCAAACCCCGCGGCCACCTGTGCCACTGCGCCAACTGCCGTAAAGTGGGAGGTTCATATGTCGCGGCCAACCTGGCGATTGAGAAAGAGAAGGTGGAGATCCAGGACGCGAAGGGGAGCATGAAAAGGTATGAGGACTGGGATACGGGGAGTGGGAAGTGTGTTACGAGGTGTTTCTGTGGGAATTGCGGCTCGTAAGTCACGGTCCCCTTTTAGTCCGGTCGGGCGGGGTGGAAGAGAGGAGAGAAGCAATGGGCGGGATCCTGAACGTCTGCTGACGAACTGTGGAATAGTCCGATTATGAGCGAGCCAGCCATATTTCCGAAGATGTATATCTTGAAAATGGGCTTGTTTCCCCGGATTCCAAAGCCGGAGGCTGAGAGCTTTGCCGCGCATCGGCATGAGTGGCAAGGCGTGCATGAGGGCGTTGTGCAGTTTGAGACTGTGAGGGGTGGGAAGAAGCTTAAGGAGTGAGGAGAGCACTGTAGTGCAGCCTGAACCTTAGGCTCCAAAGTACCGTTGCATTGATCGCTATACTCTATGGTGCTTTTCTTATGCTGCTCGTCTCCCTTTGGCTGTGACATGAAGACTGGAGTGACGAGGCTAGAGAACCAAGGCCAGATTCTCTAGATCGAGATCTAGCCCGCAGCTTAGCTGAGGAATCTGCGTATAATTGGACTGGTCCAACAACTGTCTCGTCACCTGGAGAGTCTGGTCGCATAAATGTTAGCTCCATTCTCTCTCCCCCATTAGAGAAACACGAAAAGCAGAACCCACCTGCGCATACGTCGGACTCTCGTTCTTCTTCATCGTCTCCAGAAACGCCCACGTCTGCAGCACACATTGTCAGCACATCATCCACAGCTCTACAGAAAGAAAACCTACCATCGCCCCCGTCGACTCTCCCTGGATCCTCGCATCCGCACTGGTCTGATCATCCCGACACCCACTAATCATCGTAACCATCTTCCTCTCACTGCCATACTGCCCGGCAAACTCGCCGGCCTGCACACCTTCCTCCTCATCCTGCTCCCCCATATGCTTCAGACCCCTGAAGAAGCTCGTCGCGCCCGCAAGCAACTCCCGCGCCTCGCCAACCTTGTCGAACGTAAAGCCGCGTTGGATAAGATCCGAGGCCTCGCCGACGAGCTGCGCGCCCTTGCGCAGATTATCCATGAGGCTGATATTCCCGTCGGTGTCGCTGCGGTACACGAATGGCAGCTCGACCGCGCTGCCCGAATGACAGCAGTCCATCAGGATAAACAGCGTGCAGTTCGGCGCCATGCGCGTGACAAGATGCTCGTGCAGCAGGGTACTACTAAGCTGGCCTCTCTCCTCAAAATCCACAGGCACAATCGAATCATCCAGCCCCGTTGTGCGGTTCCCGTCAACGTCTCGGATCTGCCCGCCGTGGCCGGAGTAGTGCAGGAAGAGCGTGCAGTTCGGCTCGCCGACCAGCCAGTCCATGGCCGCGAGGATGTTGTGCCCCGTCGGGTAGTACGGGCTACTGTACTCGACAGCGGGGCTGTCGGACAGCATGACGCGGTCGCGATGGCTGTTGGAGTAGCCGCGGTAGCTGAGGAACTCGGCGATGTTGTCGATGTCGGAGTGGCAGCCCTTGAGCTCGTGCGCCGAGCCGACGTAGTTGATTCCAATGAGGAGAGACTTTTTGCGCTGGGCCATGATGGGCGTCTGCTAATGGATTTCCTCCAGGGATTGAAAATGAAATCGAAATGTGAGTTTGGGTTCTGAGGTGAGGTTGATGGTTCCTTGGCGGGATTGCCGGGAAAGATGGGTGAAGGTTGAGTTAAGGTTGGGCCCGTGAATTGGTTGCCGATCATCCGACGTTTCGGAATTGCTTTTGGACTTGCGCGTACGCCTCACGTGAATTAATGCATCAGAAGGCTCGACTTTACGATTGTCCCAGGCGAATACGATTGCACTGTACACTTAGAGCTTTGTGATAGAAGGAAGAAGCAAGTATCGAAATACAAAAGGTATCCCAGAGCAGACCCCAGCCGCATGATCCAGAACACCTACCGCTACCCAGCAGGAGAACGCCATCAAAATGCCGCTCGTCTCCGAGGTTCCTCATTCATCCTTCGCCACCTCCGTCCGCACTTCGTCCTTGACATTCTCTGTATCCCTCTCCGCCTCGCCTTCTTCCTTTGCCTTCGCCTTTTGCTCAGCTGCGCCCGCATCCTCAAGATCAACTTCCATTTCGACGTCAGCTGCTGATGCAGGGGCAGGTGGAGATTCTGGTGGCGTAACAACACCCGCCGGCGACTGCGACCGTGATAATGCCGTAGGTGGTGCGTCGGAGGGACCTATAAAAGAATTAGCATCTGAAAGGTGAGGAGGCTTTGTTTTGGAGCATAGGGGACTCACCTGCTGCTGGCCCTGATGGTACATCAGGCTCTTCCATCTCAATATCGCCGTCTTCATCGGCGTCAGCAGGAATGGCGGGTGTTCGTGTCCGTGATGAAATGCCATTAGCTGGTCGTGCTGATGATGCCCGAGAGATGGACCGCCGTTGACGAGCGCTCTCCCCATTAAGGCCTCGCACACCATCTGGAGTGTCTGCGCCGTCATCTGGAGCAGCATTGGGATTCTGGTAGTCCATGATGTTGCGTCTTCGCTTCCCGCCGGGCTGTCGCCGCACGCCAAGGCTCTCCTTATAATCCTCGTCGTCGCTGGGATCATATAGCTCGCCTTCGTGCTCAATCTGCTGATCACGCTGGCGCTGGGTAACTCGCGTGTCAGGGTTCTCATCAACATCAAGATCATCCATCTCATCCTCGGCATCGGAATCCATTCCACGCCCGAGGTGGCCCGGGACATCGGGGATGTTTGTGAATGCCTCAACCGAAGGCTTCCCTGTTCGCCGGATATTATCGATAACGGCTGACTTGATCTTGTGCAAGTAGTCGTGCGAATTTGCGTTTTCCATGTTCGAAGGGCGCACATCCAGTTCGTAATCCGGCGCGAAATACTGCAGGCGGTTAGTCTCAATTTACGAGTCTTCGGCTTTCAGGCATGCCTACCTCGTAATAATCATTGAAGGGCAACTGCTTCGACATATTTTCGCCCACGAGCGACCCAGTCTCATAAGCCCATGTCCGCGCAACGTTCCTCATAGTGTAACCACCACCGCCAAGCACAATGACTGGCACTCTGAAGCTTTTTACGTATCGCACGCAATTGGCGTGACCGTCCATACTGAGGTTGAAGCAACCGAGACGATCACCTGACAGACTGTCGCCACCGCACTGGAGGACGATAGCTTCCGGGCAGAAGTAAGTCATGACGGCCTCGATAACGGGCTCGAAGATATTCCGGTACGTCTCATCTGTGATGCCATCGCGAAGCGGGAAGTTGACAGCGTAGTTCTTCCCTGAGCCCACGCCAATATCGCGCAGCTCCCCGGTACCCGGGAAGTACTCGCCGTATTTGTGGAACGAGACGGTCATGACACGGTCGGTCGTGTAAAATGCTTCCTCGACACCATCACCGTGATGGACGTCAATGTCGATATAGAGGACGCGCTGTTTATATCGCAGTAGCTCTATGATTCCGAGTACGATGTCTGGCGAAGTCAGTACTAGTCCCAATCGCGCAAGAAGCCAAACGCAGCGTACCGTTCACATAGCAGAAGCCACTAGCTTCGCTCTTTTTCGCGTGGTGTAGTCCACCAGCCCAGTTGACAGCCACATCGCACTTCCCTCGGTTCAAGCGCGCCGCACCTTCCATTGTCCCACCGGCGCTGATGCCACAGAACTCGAATAGCCCGTCAAACACGGGACAGTCATCGCCGACATTGTACTTGCTCTGCTCCTTCGCGAAGTTGTCCATGTTGTCCGGTGTAACTTTGTGGAGGAACTCGATGTACTCGTCGGTGTGGAATTGCGTCATTTCATATCTCGAAGCGGGTTTCGCGCGCTGCGATGGGTTAGTAGAGACTCCAATATGTGGAGCGCAACTCGACATACATAGATTTCCATCTTCGTGTACAGGCCGTAATTCATGATTAGGCTGTGAGCCATCCGTATGCGGTGGGGTTTCATGGGATGGCCGGCAACGTATGCATAGTTGCCCACGTCGGAGTCGTAGAAGTATGCCACCTTCTTCGGGGTAGATCCCGTGCCGTTGCTCAGCGCATTGCTGGCTGTCGGGGGGGCCGCGTCGGCGTCGGCCATAATGTTTGCGCCAGGCAAGGAACAAAGGCAAGCTGCGTGGGGACTCGGCAGATGGAGTTGGGAAGTTATCAACCTTTAGTGAAGATAGTTGAGACCTGGAAAGGATAGCGGCGACGACGCGCAAGGAAGAGACCGGTAGAACAATCGAGAAGGCGCTGAGATGTGCAGTTCTACGAGAGGATTGAAAGGCGGCGGAGCGGGCGAGCTCTGGCGAACAATGAACGGTAGAGCTCCGCACTAGGAAGTGATCCCTGCGCGCCCGAGAATAAGCCGAGCGGCTCGGTGAAACGTTTCCGCGGCCTGGCCCCAAGTGCGGAAGCTCCAACACCAGCTAGCTATCGCCGCCGCCGCACCTCATCACCACGACCTCCCTCTGCTGCTTACCCCTCTGCTTTTGAAAATCTCGACCGCTCTCCCCTCGGAAACTCCGATATCTTCGAACCCGCAGAAACGCTCGCATCATGGACCGGTTAAGCAGAATGCTCGCCGCCGCCCAGAGCATGGGCGGCATGGGTGGGCCTGCGCAGGACACAAACCTTATCGACAACTCGGAAACCGTCTACATATCCTCGCTCGCGCTCCTCAAGATGCTGCGGCACGGTCGCGCCGGTGTGCCCATGGAGGTCATGGGCCTGATGCTTGGAGAGTTTGTGGATGACTACACAGTACGCGTCGTGGATGTGTTCGCCATGCCACAGTCTGGAACAGGTGTCTCCGTCGAAGCCGTGGACCCCGTCTTCCAGACCAAGATGATGGACATGTTGCGGCAGACAGGACGGTGCGTACCAGCAATCCCAACCCCGCGGCGCCGTCCATTGTGCATTGTAGGCTGACATATCGTAGGCAAGAGACGGTAGTAGGCTGGTACCACTCGCATCCCGGCTTCGGCTGCTGGCTCTCCTCCGTCGACATAAACACGCAGCAGTCCTTCGAGCAGCTCACGCCCCGCGCCGTCGCCGTCGTCGTCGACCCCATCCAGTCCGTCAAAGGCAAGGTTGTCATCGACGCCTTCCGCCTCATAAATCCGCAGACCCTCATGATGGGCCACGAGCCGCGTCAAACAACTTCCAACGTCGGCCATCTCAACAAGCCCTCGATTCAAGCCCTCATCCACGGCCTCAACCGCCACTACTACTCCATCGGCATCAACTACAGGAAGACCGCGCTAGAGGAGAACATGCTGATGAATCTGCACAAGCATGTGTGGACGGAAGCGCTGATGATGAACGACTTCCGGGATGAGGGCGAGCGGAATAAGGACAGGCTGCAGAAGCTGGTCTCGCTGGCAGAAGGCTACGAGAAGCGAGTGAAGGAGGAGACGGAGTTGACCAAGGAGCAGCTGAAGACTCGATACGTGGGGAAGGTGGATCCGAAGAAGCGTACGTGTTGTCACTATCTATTGGGCTGGCATAAGCTAATTCGCAATAGATCTGGAAGATGTTGGCCAGCATCTCATCGAAGACAACATCGTCTCCGTATCCCGACAGATGATCGACAAGGAGGCCTCGGTGCCAAAGGCCACTTCAAGATCGAACGGCCGGGCAAACGGAGACGGAGATGTGGATATGGACGAGTAGGCCTGCGAAGTCAGACCCACAGGGAGGCACCATGACCGCATAGAGGATTGTGTACCATATCACCTAGCCAGCGGAGCCTCCGGACACGGGCGTCTGGAGTACGGGCGCTAGGTAGCACATTTGGTACCATAATGCAAGAGCATGAAGCATTATGACATATCCGAAATCGCTATTGTCCAGTTGGCTGGGTATCTTCTGGGTGTCTACTAATTAATATCCACAGATTTCCGCCTTTCGCCTCTCTTTAGTAACAAAAACGCCGCTCGAACAAAGCTGAAATGTGAGTCGAGATTGCACAAAGAGCCGCCTAGCATCCAAATACTTCGAAACGTGAACAACAAAAAGCCTCCTTTTTCCCCCCGGTCGTCTCTTTCGTGTAGTTCAGGGAAATCCCGCCTGTCGCTGCTGATCGCATCCTATTGCGTCTGCATGGGCTCCGCAGCTGAGGGCTGTTCCGCGGATGAGGTGGCAGGTATCTCGTGCGGGAAGGGCTTGCGGCCGTAGACGCAGCGGACTTCGTGCCAGTAGTGGTTCTTGCGGTCCTTGATCACGGATCGGAAATCCGCGACGAATTGCTGGACTTGTTGGTAGGTCCACTGGGTTGAGGTTAGCAAGCAATCCAAGAAATCTACGCCGTATCCCGCCCGCCGGGGATTGGAGTGAACACAGGAAGGAAAGGAGCGACTCACGCCCAAAACCCTCGTATAAAGCGCCATAACCCAACCCTCCACGCCCTCCGCCCAATTCCGCTCCCCCCACCGCCCCAAATCCTTCAGCTTCGCATCCTTCGGCCACGGCCCAATCGGCCACACAAACTTCCGCTCCTCCACATCCACAAACCCGGCCCCCACCATGAACCCCTTCATGTACTCGACCGTGCGGAACGTCATCCCCGTATGCGCCTCGCCGACATTCAGAATGCTGCTCGAGAACGCCGTGTACATCTTGTCCGCGTACACGTCACTCGCCGGGTTCGCGTTCGTCTGGACCGAGAACTCGAGGTGCTCGAACCAGCCGCCCGGCTTCAGGTGCTTGTAGCATTGCGAGTACAGGTACGGCCAGTCGCGGATGCAGCCGGTGAGGCCGCGCACGTGCACGAAGTCGAAGTACGAGGCGGGGTACGTCCACTCGCTGCAGGCGTCGTCGACTTCGAAGCGGATGTTGGGGGGTGCGGTCGTGGTTTGCGTGGGGGAGAGGTCGGTGCCGATTATTTCGGCGCCTGGGAAGTAGTCGGCCATGTCGCTGTGTGCTCTGTTAGTATGTAGTTTTCAAGGAGGCAAGGGGGATTTGGCGGTGAGATGGGAGAAGGGAGAGGATAAGATGGAGAAAGGACTTACACAGCCCATAGGCCGGTGCCGGTTCCTACGTCGAGGACCAATTGTGGGTTTTCGATCGGGGCGAGGAAGAGCTTGTCGTCGAGGGTTAGGAGCCACAGGTGGTGTCTGCTAAGAGTCAGGCAATGTGCTTCTTTGAATATAGATGCCACGCTCGACAACTTACACGATCGTCTCGTAGTTGGAATACGTCTCATCATTGGGGGCGTAGTAGCTTCCATCTCCTACGCACAACCCTGTGTCAGCCTTCTGCATCTATCCCGTCTTCGCATGCTTGTACCGGGCGCCTGGTAAACCGTCCTGCATGCCTGACGGCTGGTTGGTTGGAGACTTACGGTAAGCATGATACCGCCTCCCATTCTCATACCGATATCTGGTGATATTGGACGCAAGCGACTGCCCGCTGAGTCCCCTATTAGCACCTCCTACGTCCAAATACAGCGGGGGATAGCTTACGAGGTATACGATATGCGATCATCGTCGTCTTCCTCGAGGTACTTGTCGTAACTCGAGTCCTACAAAACACCCCGCCGCATTAGCGCCACCGTCATCAGCGCACCCCGCAAACAAGCACAGGAGGAAAAAGCAATCCTTCCCGTCCCTCTTCATCGAGAATAGCATAGTAGACGATGCATAGAAACCCGGCTCGGGCAATTTCGGCGAGCGCTGGGCGCCTGAAACATAGCGAGACATGACATGTTGAGATGAGAGGGCAGTCTCAATGAATGAGAGACGAAAACAGATCATAGACGGAGGAGATGGAAATACGTACGACAACGATATTCGCCTCTTCAGGTATCATCTTCGGCATACTGCCTTTCGATCTCCTGCGTTCTGCGCAGTCTGGCTGGCTTACGCCTGATCCCTTCCGTCGGGTCCCTCGTCCGCCTTCTCAGTCAGCGTCCCCAAACTGACCGACCCCTCCTCGGAAAACAGGCGACGTCGCAGCAAACAAAGCCGATATCGTTCTCCCTCGCTTTTGCAAAAGCGACGATGAGACAGGACACGCAGTGCGCAAGACGGGCGATGAATAACCCCCGTGCGAGCGACGATAATGAGCAGAGCAGTCGTAGGTTTGGTAGAGAGAGGAGGTGGGTGGTGTCCCGAGGGAGTGGTTCAGAAGGGTCAGAGGCGTCGCTGGAGGGGGCCGGTTTAAACCAAGGCTTTCCGGTGGCCGCTCGTGATTTTCTGAATCAGGCGGCGGGGTTCTGGAAGGGCTAGTTCCAGCGGTGTGGTGTGCTGTTGCAGCACGCCGATCCGAGTTCAGGCACGCAAGCGAGCGGGTTCCATGCTGGATGAAAGAGAACCCCGCTAATCTCTTGTCTGTTGAGACACAGCGTGACGGCCAGGGGCGCGAGAATCGCCGGACGCGGTGCGGCTATCGATAACTCAGAAGACAGGACAATAGGCAACAAAGAAAGAGAGAAGGCAGTGAGGAACGAAAGAGAAAGAAAAGAGCTCCCCACAGCGCCCGCAACCCGAGACTGCCGCGATTCACCGCCATCACCGGTCCCAGCCCTCACACACACCTCGCCAAGCCCACCACGAAACCTAAATCCCCTCCCCTCGCCCATCCCTCGTCGCCGACCCCGGAACTCTCCATCCCCCCCTTGTCCAGCCCATCGCCGATTAATAACGCTTCCTTGCATGTCCGCCAACCCCGCACATCAGCCCACACGTGTCAGCCCTACGCGCCAGCCCGCCTGGCATCGCACTGCAGCGCTCTGAGGAAGGAAATGAATGACGTCCGCGCGAAGTGAAGGATGGAAAGGATCGGAGAATAAATGACAAAGTGACAGACGCCTCGCGACCCGGAGCGCTGGGAGGCAGATCAGATCGTCCGCCGTGTCGGTAGCGATGTCGAGGGGGATCGCGCGGTTCGCGATCCCGAGTCTGGTTTTCTGCTTCTGCTTTTGGTTGCTGCTGTGCCTCACTCGCGCATCCGGCTAACGCGACCTGGCTTTGGCATCGGATGGATATAGTGCTAGCAGCCGTCGACTGTCCCTGCGTTTGCTAACTAAGTTACCGCATTACTTGCAGTGTTTTGGCTTCCGCTTGAAGCGACGGGGTCGCGTGGCGTGTGTCGGTGCCTGCGATCCTTCGCGCCCAGCCGTCGAGCTAGTCGGGTATGCCAGTGCAAGCCAGTCCGCCAGTCACCGTGAACGTTAAGCCTCTCATGTGTAAAAGGATGCAGTCTGCTGAGTGCGATACCATTCTATTGAGCAGTGTAAATGCGCTTGTTGATGCGCGTCTCTCAAAATGCCGCCGAAAATGTCTTTCATCAACGCTCGTTCCAACCCGATGCCAGCAGCCCATTCTCAGGAAACTCGCCATACACCTTTTGGCCGCGGCCAGACCGAACCGGGCAGCAAAGACGGGACTCGAGTCTTTCGACCCTTCCTGCCGCCCTTCGTCCAATTCGCGGTTCGCAATGAAGAAATCTTCCATCCCTCATACAACGCAAAACAGTCGACCGCCCGCTCGCTCACATTAAACCGCCCGCTAGAATAATGAAAACAGGACCGAGAACATCTTCAGCCCACGAACGCCGCGCCGGATACAAAGGAGTGACAGGTCGGAAAATGTACAACAAGATCAAGCCCCACCACCTGACGCCATGCCAAAATGCCTCCAGTCCGTGAGCCATGAGCCATAACGCGGGCCGTAACATGAAGCAAATACAGTGAAAATATAGACAATAAAGCTTTTTTTGCGACAGTGAAGAGAAAACATTTTCCACATTGCTGCGCCGGGCATGAAATGCATACCTTCTTGGCTCAACTCTTCGTCGGCCACGCTCGACGAACTTCAATGATGCGAACACGAGCACCATTTGCCGAATCAGTCGAGATGCAGCCACCAAAACAACACCAGCGTGCAGTATGGCGTCTAGGTTAACGCCTCCCGGATTATGGATGTCCCGGCGGCTTACCATCGTCGCGACGCTCGACTATTGACATGCTCCTCGTCTTCTTCATCTTTTCGTCATCGGATGACGAATTTGAGTGGCTGCTGCTACTCTCTTCGTCCAGCCCGATGTTGCCGTCCTTGGACTCCCTTCGAAGTCGGTCGGCCTTGTCCTTGAGCAGCTTGGCCTGCTCGGCAGCCCTTTGCGCTCGGATCTGCTTTTTCCACATGGCCGCATAATGCCCGTTCTTTTCGAGCAGCTCTTCGTGCGTACCACGCTCGGCAACCTTACCCTTGTGCAGAACCAGTATTTGATCAGCATGGGTGATGGTGCTGAGCCGATGGGCAATGATGAGCATAGTGCGGCCCTGTGCCAGCTTGGTGAACGCTTCCTGGATATGCTGTTCCGTCTCGGTGTCAAGGGCAGCCGTCGCCTCGTCAAGCATGATAATGCGCGGATCTTTCAGAATCGTGCGAGCAATAGCAACGCGCTGCTTTTCACCACCCGAAAGGCGCAAGCCGCGCTCACCAACCTTTGTCTCGTATTGATCCGGAAACGTCAGGATCTTGTCGTGGATGCTCGCCGCACGGCATGCGGCGTATACTTGCTCGTCCGTCGCGTCCTGGTTGGCATACTTGAGGTTATACATGAGCGACTCGTTGAACAAAACGGTGTCCTGAGGAACAACACCAATGTGCCTGCGCACAGAATCAATGGTGAGGTCCTCCACGTCGTGGCCATCAATCTGGATGCTACCAGACATGATATTGTAGAAACGATACAGCAGGCGGAATACTGTGGACTTGCCACCACCCGACTCTCCGACGAACGCCGTTGTCGTACCGGGCGCGCAATGGAAATCCAGGCCTTGAAGGGCGGGTTTACGGTTGTCATATGAGAAGTGAACATCGTTGAACCGGAGATCTCCCTGGCAGGTGGGGAGCGTCTTGGCATTGGGGCTGTCGACCACCGTCGGTTGCTCCTTGAAAAGCTCGAGCATCCGCTCAGAGTTGATCATCGCAGACTGAATCATCCGGTAGAAGGTCCCGAAGAAATTGAGTGGACTCTGCAGCTGGCCCATGTATATTACCAGCGTGGCAAATTTGCCGACCTCTTGCTGGCCTGTGGTGACCTGCCAGGCGGCGATGAAGCAAGTGACCAGGAGACCTAGCATGAAGACCATGTTTTGCGTGACGTTCATAAGGTTTAGTGAAAACAGAACCTTGTACTCGGCGCTCTGAAACTTGTTCACCGCATTGCGGTAGCGCTGAAATTCGTACGTTTCGGCGTTGAAATACTTGACCGTCTCATAGGAGACCATGGAATCGTTTCTGTCATCATTTAGCTGGATTTCGGAAATTCGCAGGCACTTCGACTTACTTGACAGCATCTTCTTCGCGATCCGCATTGACCATTTCGCGGCGAATCTCGGCCCTCCACTGGGCCATGCGGATAGTCAGATAGATGTACCAGAACGTGACGACGGAGATCACAAGCGCATAGTAAGCGTCGAACTCGATCAGAAAGTATCCGATCGCAACGGCAAGATCGACAAGCATGGGAACCACTTGGAAGGTCACCTGCTCCAAAAACGTATTGATGGAGCTGCCCTTGCCAAGCGCTGACAGGACCTCGCCCGTCTTCTTGCCGAGGTGGAAATCGAGGCTAAGACCATGCACGTGTTCAAATGCCGCAACTGACAGTTCGCGGTACGAATACTGGCCGACAGGGATCCAGAGGGTGGATCGGATCGCGCCAAGCAGGCCATTGTTGCCCTGGATGAAGCGGAAGAAGATGAAAGTCATGATGGCGGCCCACGGATTGCCGCGGTCCTTGTGCGCAAGAGTGTTCACGATGATGCCGATCTGGTTGGGAACCATGACGTTGACAACACGCTGGCAGAGGACGAGCAGGAAGCAGATGACTACGATTACCTGCAGACGGCGATTCTTGGAGGGCCAAAGGTACGGGAAAAAGACGTGGTAGCCCTTGATGTACTCCCACCAGCTGCGCGACGGTGCGCCAGTCGGTCTGCTCCAGGCGGGCGGTGCACCTTCCGCGTGCTGGTGTTTGCCACCGACGGGGTGGACTGAACCGTATGAGCCGTTCGCGTGACCGTTCTCCGCGCTCGGGCTGCCGTCGCGCTCGCCATTAGCCAGTAGCGAGGTGGTCTCGCTTGAGGTGCCCGCCTCTTGTGCTTTCTTTTTCTGGTATGCCGGCAGTGTTATGAACAGGAGGTAGAATCCGATCAGGGCGAGCAGGAGCACGATGCGCAGCAGGTCCATGGCCACTTCGGCCGAATCCCAGTCGGTCATGCCTAGGTGAAGGCGGCCGCGTCCGGGGGCCGGGTGTGCGGTGGGCTCCTTGTGTGCATGCGAGTAGATAGCGAAGGACAGGCCTACGAGGACGACCTCGAGCACTGTAGCAACAGTCCATGTCGCGAGGTGGGCGGCGGTCGGCGAGGGCTTCGAGTCGAGCAGTGAGATGAGGAAGAGGCAGTAGACGAAGAAGGAGCCGACGAGGTAGATCTGGCAGGCGCGCATTAGTATTGGGCATGCAATTGGCCTTGCAATTCAACGCACCACGACCTGCTTGCCGGCCCACACGTGTTCCTTGCGCTTGATGAGGGCGTGCGCAATCACAATGGCTGCGTTGCCCACAAACGTCAGGGCGGCCAAGAGGGACAGCCAGTTGAAGACGAGCTTCTGCGAGTGCGAGACGTCGTCGTGGGCCTTCTTCTTGACGAAATTGCGCGTGGGATCGGTGGCGGGCAGCGGCTTGCCTCCAGGGCCGGTCGTGGTGGGCTTCGCGATATTATGATTAGAATTAGAAGCTAGGATGCTGCGGGCAGTGAATGCGGCGAGGAAGAAGCACAGCAGAAAGATCGGATAGGCATATTGCAGGACGGCGGCAGCGTAACGAAGGTTGCTGGCGGGCGCCCACCGCGAGCCGTCGGCGGCGGCGAGCTCCAGCGTCTGGCGCTGCGGGTCCGTGGTGGTGGACATGGGTGCAGCAAAGCTCTCCGCTGCGATGGTGAGACCCGGGTGCGAGGGCTCACCGGTGGCAGAGACACGGAGAGACGGCGGGCGGCAGAGAGGGTGGGGGGGAGGGGGAGGAGGGAGGGGAGAGATTTACGGAGGAAAGCAGCAGAGTGGCATGGTGTTGAAGTCTCGGTCGTTCACCTGCACGCGCGACCAAGGTGGCGCTGTATCGAGTGCTTGGCGTTTGCGTTGCAGGCCCTGGTGCAGGCCCCGGTGCAGGCCCCACTCTGCCACTGCATGCACCCCCCTGGCCCTTCGCGATTCCGCTCCAGAACGCTTCTGGGCACGTCGCGCTGCAAGACGCGCATGTATATCACAGCAGTGACAGCAGCACCAGCACCCGACTCAGCGTCACCCGGGACCAGATGCCGCATGCTCGCGGCGGCCACTGAGATCGCGGCCGCTCACCGCAAGTCGCCCAGCCAGCGCGCGCAACACCTCCTCGCCCTCGCCAGCGACGCCGCTCTCGCACCCGCGCCCGCGCTCGCCATGCTGCCGCCGGCATCGTGCCGGCCGTAGTCTGTCTGCTGTCGCTGTCTGCGCTCTGCGCTCTGCTGTCTGCTGTGTCGCGCGCAGCCAGCGCACCACCACCGCCATGGCGGACCCCTCGCGACGCGCCTCTGCGGCCGCCGCGCCCGCGCCCGCGCCCTCGCCTTCGCCCATCCCGCCGCCGCCTCCCCTTCCGCCGTCCAAGGCCTCCTACTTCTCGCGCCTCGTCACCCAGGTCTCCTCGTCCACCTACGGCGGCTCGCGCCCGCCAAGCCAGCAGACGAATCGCCCCGACGGAGGCCGTCCCAACCCACTAGTGCCGAAGCTCCCAGGGTAAGTGCGACCCTCTCGTCTCCTCGTCTCTCCTTGGCTGTCCGCACACCCCCGACTCCCTGCGCACAATTCCCTCGCGCGGTATTTTTGGCGCCGGCTGCGTCAGCCAGCACTCGACACTTGACACCTGGCTGCTGTTTCGGCCTCTGCCCCCCCCGTCCCGTCTTGTTCCGCCCTGGCGTCGGCTTGCTGAGTTTGCCGCTGCAGCATCCGCACTGGCTCGTCTCAGGATGCAAGCCATAAGACCGGCCTCGACATATCCGCCCTCGACATCAACCGCGACAGGACCCACGCCATCCTCGCTGGCAGAGAGATCCTGAAGACGGTGCGTGTACAAGACGCCAAGATCGTCGAGGAGACCAACCTGCGCGCCGCCGTTATCAACTATGCAGAGCACTCACACGCCAGGCAGCGCGAGGGGCTCGGGATCCAGGACGTAAAGTGGTCGCATGGCCAGTTCAGCGCGCATATTGCTACTGCTGCCGCCAATGGCAAAGTCATCCTGTATGATCTCAATCGGACGGGCGTCGAGCTCGCCCGATTGCATGAGCACACCCGGCAGGTCCACAAGCTTGCCTTCAACCCTCATCAAGGCCATCTGCTGCTATCTGCAAGCCACGATACAACTGTCCGTCTGTGGGACCTCCGCGACATGAGAAAGGACATCATGACCTGTCGCAGCAGAGATCAATATGCGGGCATAAATGGCGGCATCTACGACGTCCAATGGTCCCCGACCGATGCGGTAGAATTCGCCTTTGGCACTGACAATGGTACCATACAGCGCTGGGATTTTCGCCACAATAAAGGCCCGAAGCAGAAGATCACGGCTCACGATCAGCGGACCTGCACGTCCATCGACTGGCATCCAGACGGCAAGCACCTCCTCAGCGCCGGCGTCGATCGGACTGTCAAGGTCTGGGACTTCTCCGTGGACGGCAGGCGCCAGAAGGCTGCTTTCGTACTAACCACCCCGTATCCCGTCTACAGGGCCCGCTGGCGACCGCCATGCTGGTCCGAGGAGCACTATGAGCGAGGCGCATGGCAATGCACCCAACTGGCCACCTCGTACGACCGCGACCACTCGGTCATCCACGTATGGGACTTTCGGCGGCCATACTTGCCTTTCCGGGAGATCAACAGATTCAATAGCGCTCCATCTGATATGCTTTGGCACTCGCGTGACCTCCTGTGGACCGTCGGCCGCGAGGGCGTATTCCAGCAAAACGACATCCACCACGCGCCCAAAGTCGTAGATCGTCGCAACTTGCAGGCGTTTGCAGTATCGCCAAGTGGCGAGATTGGCGGCTTCGCCCAGAAGAGACCACGCCGCCGTCGCTCTGCAGGTCTATCGTACTCCGCGGACACGTATATTGGTGACACACGTGACAAGCGCAGCAGTCCTGAGAAAGGCAGTTTGCGCAGCTCCGCAGATGACAGTCTGGATGATAGCTTCCTGAGCTCATCGCTCAAGAGACATCATGGTCGCACCGCAAGCAACAGGTCGACCAAGTCATTCGGCAGCACCCCACCCTCAGAGTCCGCCCCCAAGGTCATGTTTCTCACCGATTCTATAGCACTGCATAATGACTCTTTCAAGCCGAATCAGCTCGCCTTCCGGGGTGCACTCCCTGGAGCCGCAAATGCGCAGATCTTTGCGTATCTTGCTCAGAAGTACAAAGCCATACCGCTTCCCGACCCCCCGACTCTACAGTCTTTTGAGTGTCTGCAGCAGGTCTTCGAGCAAAATGCCGAGTATGCACAAAGAGCCGCATTCTACCGGCTAGCCGAGACATGGAGAATCGTAGGCGTATCCATTGCCGTCGCGACCAGGCGTCGTGCGGAATTACACAGGAGCCGTCGTCGACTAGGACACAAAGGCTCAGCGCTAGCGTCGTCCGACCGTCAGCCCAAAATATCTTCCGAACACTTGGAGGCACATGACAAGGCGGCTGTACATCCAAACCCCGCAGTGCGTGCAATCCTGGGGGTCGTCGACAAACCACAATCGAAAGCTCACAGCCCAGGCCAGTCTATGGGCATGGTTGAAAGCACGTCGAACCTGCCTACGCCGCTTGCTCGACCACTAATGGCTTCCGCGCCGGCAGCCAGCGATAAGCAGAAGCCTCATCTGCCTGATCCCGACCACGATGAGGAGATCGAACTGCCGCCAGCGGTCGCAGGGCCGCATTCGGAAAAGGCCGGCTTTTTCTCGCCAGAAGGCGCGTCTGGCACCAATGCATCAGATCGCCCTAGCTTCAAGAGTCCCCACTGGTACCATTCCTCAAATGATCTTGACGAACGTCGAGCTATGGTTGGTAGTTGGCGGGCACCTCCGCGTGTGCCCCTCAGCCTAGAACCCACTGATGCCCAAGGGATCAACATTCAGATACCGCCTAGGTTGGACCGCCATGACTCCGATGAGAGTTTTGCCATGTTCTCTGCCTCAACCGACTCGCAGCGGGCGCACTCAATACCGAGCTCTTTTGCCAGTGGCAAATCTCGCTCTCAAGGTATGGAATCAATAGCCGAGAAATGGCAGGATGCGACCGGGGAATCCAGCTTTGGGAGACCAAGGCAGACCCTGGCCAACGGCGAAGATCAGCGGAGCGAGGGCTTAGGTAAAAGTGTGCACATATCACCCACGACAATTCCTATTGGCAAAGCTCCCGTCGGGATTGCGGCACCCCCGGGTCACGAAGGGTCGGGCCGTGACGAGACGGGAAACTCGGTAGAATGGAGCAGCACAGAAAGGGCTGCCCAGGATATCGAAAATCTCCGTCGGAACAACCAACTTCTTCGCCATGACAGTTCTGAATCTGAGGCCTACACGAGCAGCGGTGGGGAAATGTCCGCGTCTCCCGTAATGGACTATAGCCATGACATGGAAGCGAGTGGCACGATCGTGCCAGAGGCCTACGAGGACTCTAGATCTCCGCAAGTTCTAAAGCCACCTGCTTCCCTGCCAAACGCGACGGAGAGCGCTCCTCCGGTACTTGATCCAGCAGCCGAAGACCCGCTGCTGGTGTCAGATTACCAGGCCATGCGCGTTAACGCAGAGGAAGGATCAGCATTCGCCGTCATCGGCCTCCTCAAGGACATCCTCGCTTTCCATACGAACACACTATCCGATGCGCAGACTTCATCTCTTCTTCTTCTCCTCCTGGCGCCCCTGCTTCCCCAGACACAGTCTTTTTCTGAAACGTCCGATATTAACATTGCAGACCTGCTCTCTGCATTTGGAGACACATTCACCGCTCTCGGACTTTCGCCCTCGCAGGCCCGTACGATCCTTTCCACGCAGCTCACTCAACTTATAGCTACCGGCATTAACCCTTATCAAGCGGAAGCTATTCTTTCGACATATCATGCTCAACTGCATAGTCTCTCACTCTTCAACTCCGCGGCATCACTTCGTCGCCTCGCGTATCCGACCTACCCTGCGGTATACGAGCAAGGCTTGCGAGATACGCAAGTTGGACTATTATGCCTAAGTTGCAAGTCTCCAATAAACAATCCCAAGGACAAAATGCGTTGCGAATCATGTAAGAGGGCCCAAGCACCATGCCCTATCTGTTGGGGCCGATATCCAGCGTTTGAGCCCGCTACTGCAAAGAGAAAAGCCAAAGCGAAGTTTTGTTCAACGTTCAAGGACCGGGATCATAGGAGGAATCGCTCGTCTCTCATCTCAAATATCGCGCTCGACGATTTCAATGCGGATAGCCCTTCGGCATCCACGCCGGAGAAGCCAACTCCGCCGAAGCCGTTCCTATGGACATGGTGCCCACTTTGTGGGCATGGAGGACATGCACACTGTCTTTCGGCGTGGTTCGGCGATGCAGCATTGTCAGATGGAGCGTGTCCAACAGAAGGCTGCCTCTGTGACTGTGTGCAAGGAAGGCGCCGGGACGAGAAGATCAAGGAGGTGCTTCGCAAGAAAGCGGAAAAGGACCGATCAAAGGTCGTGCGAAAGGGCGACGACTGGAAGGTTGGCGAAAGCAAGGCAGTCTCCGCCGTCCGTGGAGCATTCGGAGACACCGGGGCCGCACCTGTTCGCGATACGACTCAAAATGCTGGACAACTGCCGTCTGGGCTTCTACAAGGTCGCAGAGGAGATGACGGAAGGAGAGTCCGCGTCGTTGACCCTCAAGACGGCCAACAGCCTCAACCACCGACATCGCAAGTCGCACCCCAGCAAGGCACGACATTTGGCAAAATGCCGAAATACTAAGAGCGTAATACGACTTTCGGCATACCCCTTCGTCATTAACAGCAGCGGTGTCGGCCATGCAACGCCCCTGACATCACCGAGGCGAGGTGGAAGTGTTTTAGACGTGCATTTGTGTAAGGGTGGTTGGTGCGGAAGAAGGTGGGTAGTTAGTATCTGCCTGCTGGTGCATAGTCACACCGCCCATCTCGTGCGCCAAGCTTTCCGGGCCCTTCGACCAACGCTCATGTCCGTAACGTGGGCCGTGGTTCCCCGGATGCGGGAGGCTGGTTTTGGGGGAGCGAGTGGGGCTTGGCCACGTTTTTTCCCTTCGGGTCTATATGATCGGTGGTATGATTGCCGTGGGGCTGGGCTGGCTGTCTTCGGTTCGGATAATTTAGTGCGGAGGTGGAGATGAGCGGTGGCGAGAATCGCGAGACCGTCGATGGTGGAGAGTAATAACACATTGTATGATTTGGACGGAAGGTCCGTACATAGAGCTACTAAATATGAGCACCTCGCAATAGAGTAGTGCTAATCATTGAGACTTTGAGAAATCGCCGCAGTCTGACAGGCGTCGATCTGCGATCGCAGCCATAGGGCTGAGGAATACCTTCCGGTTTAAAAGCACCAATCCCATGCCCTCAATCATCTATTGCATACCGGTAGATCAAAACATCAGTCCCACCCCCTACAATTGCTATCGCATCGCATTCTCCATGCAGACAAAATTCTCTATCAAGCCCGGTCGGCTCTTAGGAGTCGAATTAGCCAATTCCCCGGGGGGCTGTTATCTACCGACTTCCTAATCCGTCGGGAAGGAATCGCGAGCGAATCCTCCCGCTCCCTTCCTTCCCGCAAAAAGAAAGCATGAACCTGCGGTGTAGGCAAAAAGCCAGCAGCACGCTGTCTTTTGTTTGGGCCCTGTCGTAACTTATTAGCCGCGCCTCGCGTAATCCATACACATGTTGTATGTATGTGCCTGGCAGCCGGCAGCCAGTAGCCAACCGGCCAACTAAACTCCAACAAGTACGCATGCAGGCCTTACGTAGGCAAACGCCCCATCTGCCGCCAAACCCCCTATATCGAATCGATTGACGCGATAAAGCAATCGATCGGATCGAGGCAGCCAATCGCGGCGAGCGTTTACACGGGGCTGGTCGGGCTAGAAAGATGGGGTGGGGACGCGCGCTATGCAGTTCGGGCCGAGATTTCTTTGCCTTCGGACCATTTTCTTCCGACCGGCTGCTTTCGGCTGTTGTCTGATCGGTGTGCGCGACGTGCAGATGCGGTCCGAATCACAGCACTCCTAATGGGCGTTACTGGTACGGTATGTACATACATACACACACAAACTGCCAGCAGTCGCTAAAAGCATGGCATGGGCATGCGTTTTTCCCCTTTCGCAATCCCCAGTTTCCGGTTTCAAATTACGCAGAAGTGGAGGGGGGCGGGAGATGGTGGAGCGGGTTTTACAGGACGGGCATGTTAACTGATCGGTCGGATGACGACTGCGTGTTAGCGAGTGGTAGGGCAGAGGAAAAGGGGTGCGTAAGGGTGGATGCGGGGCTGCAGTTTGCTTTGCTTTGATCGGTGAGCGAGCGTTGCGTGTTTCTAACCTCGATGCTGGAAGGGCTACGCTATCATTCGATTCTACTTGGAGTGCTTCTTTTTGCGCAAAAGCAAAGATGCGAAACGGGCTACATTCTCAGCATGGGCGGGTTTTCGTCAGGCGTTACACGGCAGCGCAGATCGCACGACGTGGGGGCGCAGTGTAGTGGGGGATTGGGGGTGGTGTCCTGTTATCCAACGTCGAGCACAGGCAGTCGTGGACGCATCGGAAGCAAGCAGGAACAGGGCCGTTATACTTGTATCTCGCGGCTATACTGATGCTGGAAGGTGTAAGAGAACACTGTCGCAACCCCTCCTCGCAATCAGGAAACCAAGTCCAGCCATTTTGCCCATGCTTGATACAAGCGGTTAGTTCCCGACTATATGTGAGATGTTAAGCGGAAAACAGCGCTCGATTACCACGTTGCACTCACGAGGCTTCCCGATCGTTCACATGTGATTCCAAGAGAAACTCCACTGCGTCGCGTACTTCGCGTACTTCGCGATCCTCCATATCCCGCCCATCGATAAAGCCGAAAGCCACACGCAGCGGCGTGGCAGCCGAATACGAAGCCCCTCAACCCGTGAGCGGGCACGGATCCAAACCGATGGCTTGGCGCATAGGTAAACGGCGACCAGAAACTCGAGGCCATCGTCCGATTATAAGGTGATGGGAAATAGTAGAGATGCAGAAAATTATGGGGATCGGAGTGTCGTGATAGGTTTGGGCCCACGGGCTGGACCTCGCTCGCATGGATGTCGCTCGCCGTTTTCGATTTCGCACAGAGAGGCAGAAATGTGTCTAAAGGTATTGTGGGGCAGAATATGTGATGGGAGCGAGGTGGATGTTCCTTAGCAGCGGTAACCGGGTATGTCGCTTGATTCCGCGTAGGGCTGAGGATAAGTTCAGTAAGCGCGGATATCCGAGATGTACTGACTGGAGTTGGATCGAGGCAACTATCTGTCATTATCACTATGCTCAGAAGACGGGGTAAATGTACCGAGAGACACTCTCATGTTCTACATCCAAGAGGAACGCAAAGAGACTGGAAGCGACGGAGATCATCGAGGTAGAATTTTGTGGGCTGGGTCATGCTGCTACATGGTTACTCCCAAAGACCGATTTACGTTCCTCCTAACACCGTTGAAGCCCTCATGAAGCAGGAACTGGACACAGTTGGGTGCGCGGAAAATCTATTCCGTGCCCTCGATTCGTCATCCCAGATTCGTCCCTGTTCCTTGATCAGCCATGCCTACGCAAGCCCGAAACCCCAGGCGCAGATGCCTCATGTTCACATACCACATCGCCAACCCGCAACCGCTTTATCGGGACGCGCTCCAGACGCCCTTGAGGAAGCCATCCTTCTGCGCTAGGCGGTTCATGGAATCTATAGGATGTATTAGACGGCTTATGGGATGGATCGAAGCAAAGACGCACCATCGGACTCTCCCATCGCTCGAACGAAGCCGGACAGCGCGTATACTACATCGTAAGTCAGTCATAACGCGAGAGAGATGGACAAGACGTTTGACCTTGGTTCTGGTTTTAGTTAGCCAAGATCGTGAGTCTGCCGCTCTGTTATAGCTTAGTTACGCACCTCCCCGGTATAACGGCCGTTTGCGTCGACTTTGGCGACCTAAGCACTGAGTCAGTACGACATCCCTTGAGGAATTATGGCTTGGGCAACCTACGGAGATCTGGACTGACGCGTGGCTACGACATGGTCAGTATTTGACTGGTGTGGTGGTATTGGCTATCACATACTCTTTGGCCTTGATCTGGAGGTTGGTAGCACTTGTTAGTAGATGTTCGAGGATATGTGAAAAGGGAGAGGGCTATGAAAGAGCGGGAATCGGCAATCCAGTTTATATTGGGCAAAGTCCCTCGCAAGTGCCGCAAAGCCACCGTGTATCTCAAGTAGCACGCAGTCCGGTGCGAGAATCGACCGCACTGATTTGTCCAACAACTAAGACAGCCCTAACGTGTGTATACAGTCTATACGTACAATTCTGCCGGTAGCGCTGCACTTGCGCGGGACGTACACTAGGTACCCAAATCAGCAGGGTTCGCGCCGGAAAGCATCGCGGTGTGATATGGAGGGTCGGTATTTATCAATTGCGGTCGCGAAAGGTGGTGGGGTTGTGTCTTACGGTCAACGAGCTCGCCGCGTTCGTTCTGCGCAAGAATTAGTGGGATTCTCGGGTTTCCGCAGATCTACTGACCTCCATGGTGATGTCTGTGAGAGTAGGACAGCGGGTGATGTTCTGGAATTCGCTTTCGTGAGGTTGTCGTCGATAGTTTTGCGCCTGTTGTGCGAATTTAAGAGCCTCGCTTATTTAGCGTGCCAAGACGCAGGAGACATCCCTGCAGGGTGATGGGAGCTCTCCGTTCCCCGCACATGTCCCGCAACTCCATCCACCGACAGGGCTTTTCGCAATCCACCGAGGATGAAGATGCGCCAGACTCGACTAGAGACATACTTCACAGTATTGCGCCCTCGGCGCCGGCCTCGCCCGGGGCTCACCTTCCTCCATCTCCCTCCAAATGTTCGAAGACAGGTATACGAATACCTTGGCCTTACGGGCCAGACGATCGATCTGAACTTTTCCAATCTTGTCGCCTATCCTCGCAATGCATATCCAGATACGGCATTTGCTGTGCGCTTTCGATGCCGCCATGAGGCCGAAGCCGGCACGCTCCGAAGACTGAACGCGGGCGACGCCCTCTTCGGCGAAGACGAGATATGGGTGCTGGATCGGGAAGACGACACGCCCGACATGCAGGACCGCTGTCGCAAGTGTTCTGCCGGCTACTCTTTGTTGTTTGTGTGCAAGGAGATATCCAGAGAAGTGCAAGAGCTCGTATACGGATCGAATACGTTTACCGTCCGCCAAGGTTGCCCCAACAGGCTCAAGAGGCTGAAACAGATGAACGGGAAAGCACTAGCGGCCTTGAAATGCCTAACGCTGAAACTGGACACCGATTACGAGTACTCCTGGTGCGATGACGCCAACACCATTGACAAGAGGCTGCCCCAGCCTCTGGACATCAATAGCAAAGCTGGGCGCGCCGTGCTGCAGGACTTCCGACAAGCGATTGAACGCTTGGTGCAATTCGTCCCACCGAACCAACTTAGCCTATTCTTGATATTTCGGTTCGCAGATCAAGACGGTCTCAATGCTGTGCTAGCGCCATTGTCGCAGCTCCCGGTCTTGAGAGATTGCGGCATCTGGACCTTCGGGGGATTCAAGGACCTGAAGATGGTAAGTATCGCCGCCAATTTCTGTAGCTTGTTCTTTGGTCAGGGTCTGATATATCTGAATGCAGCCTGCGGAGATACACTCACGGGATGACCCTCCCCATGTTCGACTGACAACTTTGTCTGGCCTTACGGATACACATAGCGAACAAACGGAGCAAATCATTGATCGCACCATTCGGAAACTCACTCAAGTTGACTCTGCTCCTGGATTCCGCTATCTGAACCTCCCCGCTGAAATTCGACTTCTTATACTTGATTACACAGACCTAGTATCGAGCGAAGACGTTCAATGGAGGCCTCAGATGTCATTGCCCCCATGGAATCAGATGAAGCACAGCTACGCTAGAGACTGTTGCAATTGTATCAGAGACTATGGGCTAGACGCGTTGAAAGACATCGGTGGGTGCATATGCGAGCCCCGCCCCTACAGGGCGTGGGAGCGGCATTACTATCCGATTGAAAATCACTCTTCCAGGATAGTGGGCCCACTCTGTTGCGAGACGTGTAGGCCAGTCTACTCCACTAAGATGTGTTTTTGCTCCATCAACGGCTCGGTTCACTCCACGACATGCATTTGCCATTGCACCCGCCACCCGCTCTTCTCCGTCAGCAGGCAGGTTAGACAAGACGCTATCGCTACTTACTACTCCCGGAACCGCTTCTTCGTCACACCTTTCAGCAGCCGTACGAGGCACGACATCGGGATCTATGGCGGGGGGCCTCCCGAGGGCGTCTCAAACATGTCTAGCGTAGAGCTTTCCTTGTATCTGTCTTCGCTCGCACGTAACGCCCTGCAGTACATTCAATGGCTTGAGTGGATTCTGCCTACCCCGGAACCCGACTACTTACACCCAAGAACGCGTACCTGGTTCGACTACCTCGATACTCTGGACATGATGAAGCACGCCATGGTAAGTCCGCCGAGTACAATCCTGCGTGTCTTAGCCCACAGTATCTGCTGTTGCTTAAATCGCTACTTAGGTAGTGTTCTACGCTGCACAGAAAGGCTTAACTAAGATACGAAGTTTCCAAGATCGCACTTTAAAGAGGTATGCTGATTGCATACCTTCCATGTCTTGCAGAACATCCCCAACTTGACATTCGTGCTCAATATGTCATCGGGTGGCTATCGGAACTGGTACGACGGCTATGGATTTTGGAGACCGGTCCCTCTAACGGCATGGGCTTGGTACGAAAGAGTAGCCCTTGCGCTCCGTCGCTTGGGCCCGTTAAAGGATTGCTTCATCCATTTGAGCTACTCTGCCCCGGATGTAAGCGAACGACGTCGTCGTGAGAGGACGCTTGAGAAGGCCATAATGGGCCCACAGTACGATAGCACAAAGAAAGGGAAGCCACGGGAGACGATGACCGCGCTCGCCGGAAAATTCTGCAGCGAACGTCACAATGCCCTATACCCCTACGGCCGGTAGTAGCGCGGTGCCATCCTTTCGACTATGTCTAGGTATCAAATCGGCGAAAGGCAGCCGACACCCACAGCCAGGATGCTCCTGGACAGAAGCCCGTACCGTGCTTGCCATCTTGATTGGGTCGCTCCATCAGAGATCTATTACTATCTGTTACTGATCGAAGAGAGCGAGAAAGACTGGCACGGTGCTCTTCTGCCACGCGTATGCGAGGCAATCTCGTGGCAGACTTGAAGGAAAGGTATACGATCAAAGAGTCAATATCATCACCTACAACGGGCACTTCCCCGTTGGATCCTTTCTAATCCGCACATGTCCCTCCACGCTTTCTACCCTCGCCAACCACGCCCTCACGTTTTCACCCACACTAAACCCCACCGCCTCCGCCGCACACGTATACGCATACAACGCCACATCCGCAATGCTAAACTGCTCGCTCACAAACCACTCCCGTCCCTCTAAATGCCTCTCCATCACATCGATAGCCGCCTGGCCCTTCTCCTTCAACTTCTTCACCTCCGACTCGGCGAGCCGAGAAATGTCACCCCAGTACGTCTGGAACTTCCACACCGCGAGGTACGGCTCATGCGAATATTGCTCGAAGAAGAGCCATTGCAGAACTTGGGCCCGGGCTAGTCGATCGGATGGTAGGAAGGGAGTTTCCTCAGCGAGGTAGAAGAGGATAGCGTTGGACTCAGCAAGAGGCGTGCCGTCGTCCAAGACGAGCACGGGGATGCGCCCGTTGGGGTTCAGCTTGAGGAAGCTTTCGGTGCGCGTTTCGGAGGGTGTCGCGACGATATTAAGACTGGTCGTTTGGTAGGAGATTTTGAGGTGTGCGAGGAGGAGTTGGACTTTGTAGGCGTTGCCCGAAGGGATGGTGGAGTCGTAGAGATGCATTGTTGCGAAGTCGGAAACTCCGGTGTCTTTGGCGCAAACTACCGGGTGCTGGGTGCGGGTGCTTTTGTATCTTTAGGGGCTGCTGGAGTTGAAGTTTAGTAATCACAATCCTATGCACGCCCTATGCATGAGCGCGTCGAGCAAATGGTACACTATTAACGGGGGTCAAGACAACATGACTACACATAAAGGCCTATTTGCACGCTAAGTAGGGTTCTTGTGAGCGGGCTACGATCGCGCTTTGGCCCCGAGCGTAAACGGAAGCAGTAGGGCCCCAAGAGCCAACCTAGGAAGATACACACGTCACGTGATCGTACTAAAGTAGAATCGTCTCTTGCGTATCGCGGGAACTACGCATAACATACACCATAAGTTCATATCACGCACTGTCCCTACATCATTACCCATTACACTATTGAATGCTCGAAGCGGGTTCAGTCTGACCAATCAAATCCGCTTTCGGTAATTCTTCATCGCCAACCTCGGCATTTCCTCTGCTACATTGTTCCCACCGCGCTTCTTGTTAGACCGATACTCATTCCTCCTCTCACAAACCGCTCGCATCTTCTTGCTATCCTAGTGACCCTGCATGTCCTATCTCCTCCACGGCAGCTCCGCATACACGCTCATGGGCTGGGTCGACCGCGTCCCGCGCGCGGGGAACCTCTTCATCGGCGGCCTCTACGCACTCTACCAAACCGACCTCATAAAAGCGGCGGGGATAACACACGTTCTGTCCGTGATAGACTACGACCCGTTGCTGCAGGAGAAGTTCGCGCACCTGAAACATTTCCACATCCGCGCGGATGACCATCCGAACGAAAACCTGCTTCGGCACTTCTCGGCGACAAACGCGTATGTTGATGCTGCATTGAGCAATGGAGGAGGTGTGTTTGTTCACTGCGCGATGGGCAAAAGTAGGAGTGCGGCGCTGGTGGTGGCGTATTTGATGTGGAAGTATCAGCTCGGCCCAGCGACGGCGCTGGAGCAGCTGTGCGAAGGGAGGCCGGTTTGCGAGCCGAATGTTGGGTTTAGGGAGCAGTTGGCGGTTTGGGAGAGGATGCTGAAGCTAGATGAGCAGGAGGAGAAGAGGAGGGTGTATGAGGGGTGGGAGAGGAATAGGTTTATGGGGGAGTGGTGGGAGTGGGAGGCCAGAGGGAAAGAGGAGGACAGGGCGGTAGCGAAGCTGTGAGATGGCGTTATGGCAAGGCAGAGAAATATAGCGCGAATGGCTGACGCGTCAGGCGCATGCATGAGCTGTGCGAGTAAGGGACAGAAGGAAGATGAGGCGAGGCAGGGCGATCAATCCTTCGGAGGGGTGGCCATGTTTTGGGTGGTGCCTATGGTGGCTCTGACTGTACCGCCGGCAACGGAACGTGGCGCAAATTGCACTGTATAGCAAAAGACAGTGCTCTACAATGCATGCGCGCATCGACGCTCTGCAAGGGAAGGCCACCCTGCACCACAAAATCCATATGCTAGTGCGCGGAAAGTGAGATTCAAATGTAACGCGTTGAATTATGTCTCTCTAAATCTCCACGTATTTAGTAATGCATGTATGCGTGCCAAAGAGGTCTCGACTGGCAGTCTCTCTTGTCCTCGCCAAGGTCCTTATGTGTAAGAAGAGCTCATCACTATATGCCATGTCCTTCTCACCTAATGTACAGCAGCAAAAAGCGCTGCCCTCTGCCCTCTTCACTCAAAAGAAAAGCCAAGGGCAAGAAAAAGAGTAAAAAGAAAAGTGCGATTAGAGAAGCAAAACAGAAACCCTGATAAGCGATTATAGAGGAATTCCACAATCGATCAGGTCAGCTGAAAGTTCCCGAAGAACTTTTTTGTTTTGGTGCCTATTTTAAGCAGGAACATTGTGCGGGTTATCAAGTCAGAGTAGAAATACTCATGACAAGCCCAGAACTCGAACCCCGGGATCAGGACTTTTTTCGATCCCATCAGTACGAGCCGCTCCGCCAGCCTTGCTTATAATGAAAGTTTTGCAGATTTAATTTAATTATATACACCAAAAATAATTCGCGTCCCATAGTAATAGAAAATATTTTTGTGTGGTTTGTGGGTGAGGCTGGCGAGGGGAGAGAGTGCGCGCGTGAGGCTGTGCGTGACGTATTTGCGCGCGGGGCAGGCGTTGAGGAGGAAGGAGCGCGAGTTTCGAATGTTTGGCGCATGCATAGCGGGGCTGGACGTTCGGTAGGAGATGAGATGAAAGCTAAGGGTAGACGGTATGACCTCCCACCCTAGCGTGTCCCTTATCGTCCGCATTGCTCAATTGTGTCTTTATTTTGCATCGGCAGGCGATCCCAGGACTCGCGTTCCTCTCGGAGGCTTTTGTTATTCTCGTGCTTAGACATCCTAGGGCGGGAAGCCGTCGGTGGTGTTGCGTTCGACGCGGTCGCTGGTAGGCACTATAGCAATTCCCCGCATCTCCATACACTCCAATTCGTAATGGCTCGCAGCCCGTACTTCAAGAACATAGGCCTTTGCCTCCATCTCTTGTATTAAAGATGCTTCGGGCTTGGAAGCTCAGGGACAGCGTGGATAAGGGTGAGATATAATAGATGGGGCACACGGTATGTTCAACCCGAGAAAAGATCGGTAAAATAATAGGAGCGAACATCAAGCCTCACAAGTAAGAGAAAGACTGCTATACTAACACTGAGAAGGGAAAATAGTGAAATAGGTGATACACCGGCACCGCTTCATTCGACCATATCCGGCTCTCGATTACCGGCTTCACTTACTTCACAAAAACGAACAGCAGAGGCCTATGAGACGACTGAAGTCGCTCAATCCAGGCAGTCAAGAGGCGACAAAAGACTTCAAATGTGCGTGCCGCTTTCGGGTCAAGGTGCGGCGCTTGAGTTGTTACAAAGACCCTTGAACGATGAGCATACGAGACAGAAAGACGTAGACATTGGAAGATAGGCAAGGGAGGGAGAGTAAAGCACTCAACGTACGGAAGAATAGGTACAAAAGAAGCGCGTTTACAGACGTGGATCGATGAAATGTTGTGTTCTAGAGACGGGGAGGAACGGCACAGCAGGATTTGAGGTCTGAGTGTGCGCTTCCCTTACCGCATTGATCTTAGCGCCATATCGTGAACCTACAGGGAAACGACTTTTCGAGGCTATTGCATCTGAGGTTAATCTTCTTTCGCCCCATAGCTAAATCTTCCCAATAAATTGCGATTGTTAAGTGGGCCAGTATTTCCGCTTTCTCCAGGCAGAAAAGCTGAGTCTTCAAGCACGTGAGCGGGTTACAACTTCCACTATTCGTCCCACATTCCGCCCCAAACTTTCACCTTCTGTTCCTAATTACGGTGCTAATGGCTTCCTGCTCTCATTCGCAGGCTGACTTGTAGCTCACAAGACTTCCAAGCTCGAGCGGGGCGGTGATCACGCCCAGCGCACATTAGCCACAACTCCCAACGACGCCATCGCGCATTCGCATCACGACATCGCGCTAAGCCTCCTCACACAGAAATTTTTACTTAAACCGTGGCCACACCTTCCTCTCCTGATTGCGCTCGACCACTCAGCAGCTCGATACCTTTACTCCTGGGGGTGAGCATTCGATTCTCATGTAACCCAAGGCCAGAGACGCAAGTGTGGACGACGATGACGCGAAAGGCTGGGCATTACAGGGCCGTACCAAAGCACCGGTCGCCTTCTGAGGGGTGCGTGAGGGGTACTATATGAGGATGGATCGCGCTGTTCGAGCCAGCCAGCATCTCGACCATTCATTTGGTGCGCATTTGCATTACTCTTTTCCGGGATCTGGAGAGGTCGCAACCTTAAACGGACGTCCATTGTGGCATACAACTTTCAAGGTGCACCTTGAACATCACGATGGCCGAGAAATTCGACCCAGATATCGACAAGACCCCACGGCCTGTCGACAATGATGGATCGACGCACCTACCTCATTACGATAATGCCGTCGTTGAAGAGGAAAAAACATATGCCTACGATGACTCTAGGAAGCTTGGGATTACCGGATCCGTCTTCCTCATCTTGAATAAGATGATCGGCACCGGCAGTACGTCCATCACAACTCACATGGCGGCCATGGCTTACATTCATCTCAGTTTTCTCTACACCCTCTGGAATCTTCGCGGCGACTGGATCGGTCGGCGTGTGCTTGTTTTTATGGGTAATAGGTATGTTACTTGACACCATGTATGGCTTTCTTCTGATCGTATGTGCAGGCGGCATTCTTACTTTCGCTGGCCTGTCCGTCTTCCTGGAATTTGGCCTTGCTATCCCTCGCTCGGGAGGCGAGAAGAACTACCTAGAACGCGTATACCGCCACCCAAAGTATGTCGCTACGTGCATGTTAGCTGCGCAGATGCTGCTTCTGGGATTCTCCTCGGGCAACAGCCTGGCTTTCGGGCGCTACGTACTCTACGCCTCTGGTTCCACCGCGCCTGATGGATGGGCTGCGCGCGGCATCGCGATAGCATGCATTACGTTCGCCGTAGTGCTCCACTCCACATTGCCGAAATGGGGTATCCGGCTCTTCAACGTTCTCGGAGTCTTCAAAGTCGTCATCCTGGTCTTCATTGTATTCTCCGGCTTCGCTGCTCTTGCTGGGCATCTCAAAGTCCCTGAACCTCATAACTTCGACAACGCGTTTAGGCTTGAGGAGGGCGATGGCTATGGCGGCGGAGGCGCTTACGCATACTCGACCGCGCTTCTGCGCATCGTTTACTCATACAAAGGCTGGGAGAACGCGAACTACGTTCTAGGCGAGATCAAAAACCCCAAGAAGACACTCGCAATCGCGGCGCCTCTTGCCGTTGGCGGTGTCACTATCCTCTATGTCCTTGCTAATGTCGCTTATTTTGCTGCGATTCCGAAGTCGGAGCTCGCGAAGAGCGAGGTCATCGTCGCAGGCCTCTTCTTCAAGAATGTATTCGGTGATAACGCGGGTGCGAGGAGCTTGCCCGCTTTCGTAGCGCTGAGTAACTTGGGAAATGTGCTCGCAGTAAGCTTTGCGCATGCAAGGTTGAACCAGGAATTCGCAAAAGAAGGACTGCTACCCTGGAGTCGGTTTTGGGCGAGTAATAAGCCCTTCAATGCTCCTGCTACCGCGGTAAGTGCTTTTAAAGGGTCTCCCCACAGATTGATCTGATTTGTTACTTAGCTCTTCCTTCACTGGCTCATTACTGTCGTCGTCCTCGTTGCGCCGCCTGCCGGTCCAGCCTACAACTTCATCGTTGATCTGTACACCTACCCGGGCGCATGGATCAATGGCTTCGTCGTCGCCGGCCTCATCTACCTGCACTACTCGAAACGTGAGCGTTGGGCCTCGCCGTGGCACACGTATCTTCCCATCTCCGTGCTGTACCTGCTAGCCAACATATTTCTCGCGATCGTACCATTCATTCCTCCAGACGGCGACTGGAACGCGGAAGGATACCCGTACTACGTATTTCCGGTTGTCGGAGTTGGCGTCTTATTGCTGGGTATAGTTTACTGGGTCTGCTGGACGAAAATTTGGCCGAAGATAGGCGGGTACAAAATTGAGACCGAGAGACATGAAGATGAGCAGGGAGCGGAGCATATCCGATATGTGAAGGTATACACAAAGTATGAATAGGTAGTCGCAGCGGGAGATACAGCAAAGGGAGACTGGACGATATGTACAATATTACTGTGTCCCTAGTTCTATTCTATCTTCTAGTTTATCTACTGTCGTCGCAGTACGCAATTGGCGATCGTTACAGATCCGAAGCGTACGCAAGCTCATACGCGAATCCGACCGTCAACTTAGCATGCTGCAGCATATGCTCATAGCTGACCGTGTCCAGTGTATCTCTCGCCGTGTGTATGAACGGACTGTGATCCCCGAACTCGCTTTCGAAAACAAAGCTGGAAGGATACCCGGCTTTCGATGAAGAAGCATGGTCCGAGCACGCGTATCCGCACTCTGTTTCAACGTACGGAATGTCGCAGTACTGTTCTCGTTAGCTTCCGTGGAGTCATGACTACGAATTGGACAAGGAGGCGAGGAAGAGACGCACCTCCGTAACTACTTTTTTGATAAATTCCACAAGCCCGGTGTCAACGTAATCCGTAATAACGCCAACTTGCTCCGGCTTCCCAGCGTTCAGCGTGCCTTCCACATACCCAGTCATATCCTGCTGCAACATCGCCTTCACATCTTTCTGCTCCTCCTTGTACTTCTCAAAAATATCCTGGCTCCCCAACAGCCCCTCCTCTTCTGCACTATACCAGTGGAACTCGACAGTATTCGGCGCTTTCCCAGCAGCAATGTCAGGGTCGGAGAGAAGTACACGCATCGCTTCCAGAATCGTAATGCTGCCCGACCCATCGTCATCGGCGCCTGGCGCGCGATCCTCGACTACATCGTTGCCCTGCTGATTAATCGAATCTTGATGCGCGCCTAGGACAATAATCTTCCTGGAGTTTCCGGGGATTGTCGCAATCACCGAGGTCTGGGCCCAGTCATGCGCAAAAGCGGCTGCTGATGCGCCGGCGGCGCCGCTTTCTGAAATGATGTCTTGGACCGTGGAGAGCAGCCAGGCTGAGGATTGCGCGCCGTATGTGGAGTTGTAGAAGCGGTTTTGGAACTCGGTGAAGGGCTTGAGGTTTGCTTCGAGGTTGGAGGTGCTTAGGTGCGAGAGGAGGGTCTTTACGGCTTCTTGGTGGGTTATTGAGGATGGGAAGGTTACGTTGGCTGCTTGTTCGTTTGTTGAGGCGACGTTGAGGGTTGGGTGGTTCGTGATGTCGATGAAGTTTTTGCCTTGCTATCGGTGTGTTAATGGAGCTAGGTGAGAATAGGAAAGAGATGGTGGCTTACGGCTCGCAACGCCCACTTCTCTTCCTGAGTCACTTGTTGAGTTTGTCCCGGCGCGAGTTCGATGGTATATAGTGTCTGCGCATCGCGTTTCGGGATGTTCAGCGCTGCCGCCGAGGCAGCCAACGCTGTGAAAACTGTCAACTTCATGACGATAGCCAAACTACTAAACTTGCAGTCACAAGGAAAATGAGTCTTGTTTTAATGGGCAAGTCGCCATTTTTATACACCTTCATACTCCAGATCCTGCGCTGCGCACCGAGTCAGTGTAACTCCACTCCTTCCGTAATTCCTTTCGTACCAGTCTATCAGGACCTCGGAATGTCGCAGCCTTGTGACTTGTGGTGCCGAGTATAGGGCGAAACGCTCTAGTCGATGAAGTTGCGCAGATCGCCATGTGCGCGTCCATTAATAGGAAGGTTATAAGATTACGCATATTGGCGCGAGTGGCGAGCTGCCTCTTTGGGTATTCGCTTCTTACCAGGATTACCCCCAATAAAGATACCTTGCCAGGAAGGATCTTATCTTGGCGGTGTACTTACTGAAAGAAGCAATTCGCATCTGGTGTTGATGCGCGCAGATATTATAGCACTGTGTATGCTTCGTCCCGTCCCATCCAAACCGTGATGAGGAAGCGGTCCGACCAGAAGACAGAGAGGAAAGAGCTTTGGACAACAATAAAAAGGCAACAGATCATACCACGACAATTTGAATAGCCTAAAATGAAAACTTTGCCGAGACACGCGAGATTAGAAGGATGGGGAACCGCTACAGTGAAGAAGAAGACCACGTGACTAGCGGAACCTGTATAATTTGAAGCCATCTGGAAATGCGTCACACGGACATGAGTCAAGCAAATCCAACTCGTGGATGGACTATCAGCTCGAAGCCGCAGGTACGGCGAATGTGTGTATTCCAGCTATCCCTCATAGCCATACCTCACACTCTTTGGGAGAAGAATAAAATGACCAGTCTCTTTTCCCGCTCTCAAACGCGGCTCGCTTCTCCATAATGAACCTTCCCGCTGAACGTGCAGGCCTGCCGGTGCTAGTTCCAGCTTGGTCACTTAATAAGCCCCTCTTGGTTACGCTCTACTTGGAGACGCTCTTCCTGGATGTGGTCTTCCTAACCGCCTTTTTGGATATACTCTTCTTAGACGCGTCATGTTCTGGAACAACGTATGCAACGGTGTTCGCGATGATGTCGTTCGACTTGCAAGTCGGCTTCGAGAACGACGGACGCGCGAAAGTGCCTCGACCGCAATCCCAGGAGGGCGATCCGCTGTGCTTGGTACCACAGATGTAGCAAGCGTTGCTCATAGTTGGGAATAGAAGTGCGAAAGACTGGGGGGCTTGTTGATGTGTGAGTGGGTCGTGGTTGATGTTGGCACTAAGATGATGGGGGTGATGATGATGGGTTGTGTGCAGCCTGCGACAACGTACTTGTTTAGGAGGCTACGTCTTGGGTGTTTGCGACAGTGGCGGAGAGTTTGGGTCGCACGGCCAGCAATCGAGTGTCTGGGTCGTCAGAACCTATGTAGCAAACGGAATCAGAGTGTACGGCATACGGTGTAATGATGTGGAGTCGTGAAAGCAGACGTGAAGCAGAGGGGACCCAAGCAATGATAGCCATTCTAATAAGGTGCCTAGCCCCGAAGCCCTCATCCCAAAAAACTCATAGCGACTCCTGCGTATGCGGGTATATATGCGATAGTAAAACCGACGCCGTCCCAAATTAGCAATGCCCTTGGTGCATTGCCCTCAATGTCTCCTAATATCCTTCATCGTGGCACTCTCGTCACTCCAACTTGCATTCGGTCCGCCTTCACCACGTCCGGTCTTCCCTGTCTGGTTGCCATCCTCCTCCTCCTCTTCAAGCCGAACCTCGGTCGTGCACCATATCTCCCCACCCTTCACATCCTCGCCAGTTCTGGTTAAGATATGCTCCTCCGAATGAGCATCTGCGCCCTTCAGGCTATTCATCCGGATCCCTGAACCTATCGCAGTTTGACTTCTTTTACCCCTTGTATGCTTCTGAGGCCCCGACCCGCCATACATCTGACCATATGCGCGACCGTAAGTAGAAGGATGATGCGATGACGCGAGGCCGAAGTGTTCAAGGACGCGCTGGAACGGTGCACGTAGGCAAGGTACACATGCAGCGACGAAAGCGACGAGCTCCTCAATGCAGGACCACATGCCGATCTGGATGCTCTCGGCCGTCGGGTCATCTGATTTACCGAAGTTGGCGAGAGCCACAATCTTGACTACCGATGCCACACCTGCAAAAATACCCAGTGCCATGAGGATGCCGATGATGATGCGCTCGCGGAGTGGGCGCTGAACCTTGCGCAGAAACGATATCGGTAGAAGTGCGAAGATCCAGTCGGTGAGAATGTGGAAGACTTGTACTGCGATGGAGCTGGCTCGAACAGCGCCGGTGGACCAGCATTTCCCCTCTACAATTCCCAGCAAGTCCCAAGCTTTCTTCAACGGTACGCATTGAAGGAGTTGTGTCAACATATTGTACATGGCCAGCGCGACCTGCAGGATTATCATGGCCCACAGAAAGCGGCGCCATGTCGCATTCTGCTCGAGGCGTAACAGCATCAGCGCGACGGAACACTTGATTGCGGCCATGGACCACGCCCAGAATGGCTGTCCGATGATGGCATAGAAGAAGGCGTCCTCGATGTCGGCCAATGTCAGGGTTTCTCTGGTACCAGTGAAGACCCAGCTGACGGTGCGAAGGTATAGAGCCGAGTCGATGAGAACGAAAGCCTGCATCGTTCAACAATCAGCCTGGATGTGTCCGGCCCGACAACAGGATACTCACATATGCGAATGCACACACGTAGTCATCCGCTGCCATTCGGAATATTGGATAGCATCTCGTCCATACTCGGGCACTGAAAATGATCGTGGCCATGACGACCAGCGTGATGCAGATGCCGGCGAACACATGGGCATAATGCGTTGCGAGATCCGACGGGACCGCTGGTATCTGGTCGGCGGACGGAGGACCTTGGCCGGCGGAACTCATTTTCTAGAGAAGTCTAGCAATCAAAACGACCGAAAACGACCGTTCGTAAAAGCAGTGGAGGAAGTGAACGATAATCAGAGACACAGGCGGCGGTGGCCCCTCTTTAGATCCTGCATGGACAAGCAAGCAACGCACGCCCCGTCCAAATCTTCGTCACCCGACTCCTGGGTCAAGACACCGTGCATTGCGAGCACGCTCGTGGACCGATTCTGGACCGCATCTTCGCTACCGAGTGTTTTGGCCAATTATCCAAACCAATGATGATAACAAGCAGAGAGTCATCCGAGCGCACATGCCTGTCCTTACCCCGGGACAAGGGTTGACGTGCAGTAGGGCGAACCTTAACTCAAGATGCTACCGACTTTTGCATGAAGCCTCCAGACTAGTTTAACGAAGGAATCTGGTACCTTATCCATCGCGACCGCGCGTTGAGCACACGTAAAAATCGTGCGATGAGGCGTAGAAGGTGTGTGACGAGGTGGACAAATGCTGAAAATTTTCGCTTTGTAGGAAGATCAGTCGGCTCTTCGATGCATAGTTCCTGAACCATAGGCTATTCCTCGGCGGGAATAGCCGCATAGAATACGAGGCCCGGATCGTTTGACACAAGAGGATGATCATCACTCCGTGCGGGGTGCAGGATCGCGACGATTTCGATGAGCACGGGACAGCCGCGGAGTTGACCGCGAAAAAGGGTAAAATCGAACGCTAGTAAAGGATAAATCTCGCGGAACTCCTCCAAAATTGTGCGGTTGGACAGGGCTGAGAAATGCATGGCACCCTAGCAAAGTTTGTTAGCCCGTTTCAGCTGGGGAGGAGCTTCGAACGACGCCACGAAGCTTAGGGTTCCCTCGAAAGCTTCCTTTAGCTTGCCCTCGCTACCAGAGCGCGGTATCCAACCATAGACGGGAAATTCTGTGTGTCCGGATTGTCAGGCCAAAGGTGCATTCCCACTCGCGCGACTCGCGAAGAACAAGGCGCATTCACGAACCGTGCCGCACCGCAGCAACACGCCCCATTGCCCTGCATCACTCACCACGCATCCTTTCAAGTAGGACAACTACATCCCGCAACGTATGCCACTCTCAACGATGGTACTCTTCTTCTCGAGACTATCGCACGCAGCGCTTCTTTTGTGCATCATCGCCAGCACAGCCACCATGTACCAACCAAACCTTGAGCAACAAGTGTTGGCCACCGCCTCGGACGCGTCACAAGAGCCCTACAGAGCCCCGCTAAGATACAGTGATGGATCGCTTGGTGATGTCATCAAGGGGGAGTACATTGTGGAGCTATCTCCAGGTTACTCTTTCGAAGATCATTGCCGCAATATCGGAAGGGATATGGACGAGTATGAGGTCAAAGTCCTCAAGCATGTGTTTCCGGACTCAATTGGGTACCCATGTACGGGTGTTGGCGATGAGGTCTTGGATGATATCAGAGCGGATAGTGGCGTCAAGGAAGTTTTCTGTGTGCCTGAAAAAGGGCCAAGCCGCGAGCGTCCTGTTAGGACATAGCAGGTAAATCGTGACCAAGTTTGCGGATATGTTGAGACTGATGTACTGATCACGGACCAGGTCAAACTGTGCTCGGCAACACGTGATCTCTAGGGCAGAGGTCGTCTTGGGCAGAGGCTGCTGGCCCTTTTTCATCGTAAGCGTGGGAGCTACGACGAAGTTTTCATGGTTGTAAGGCAATGTAGTTACAAGGCAGAGTTGCTTCCATCAACCATCTCAAGAATCCTCCGCTCCTGCTAGAATACTCACCACTTCGCCCAGCTCATTGTCTTCAGTGCAACTTGATGAGCTGTCCTCTTCTTATGGACATCGAAATGGTTATAAAGCTGTGGGAGTCACTCACGTTATTGTTTACTGCGACCTCCGTCCTTCGCTCAGCTATACTCTCTTTTCACAAGACCTTTTTCTTATTCAACAAAGTATTATCAGGTGTGGTACTTCACACCAACTATGAAAGCCCTCTTGCCTTTAGTCGCATTCGGCACAACACTGAGTAGCGCCTTGCCTAGTCAGGAGCGATCAACCCCTTGCCCCTACCATAAAGGAGGCACTGCCCGTGAGCCGCTACTGAAAGACGAATACACCGTCGAGCTCAATCCCGGCTACACCCTCGAAGAGCACTATGACTTCATCGGCTTCGACCTCTCCGCCAAAGCCAAAAAGTTCGATGTCAAAAACCGCCTAAACATGTACGGCGTGAAGATCGACGAAGACACCATGCACAATATCATCCGCTACGATCCCGGTGTGCTCCGGGTCTCACACAACATGGTCCTCGGCTCCGAGAAGCCATGGTACAAGAAATATACGTTGGTGAATGAGACCGATGCAGATGATGAGCCGCAGAAGAGATGGTCGAGACAGGGTGGGATGTTCCACTACTCTACGGGACATATCAACGAATGGGAATAGGCGTATAACTACTACCAGGAGTGGTACCACACTGTATGGACTTGTGCCCCATGTAGAAGGGCTAGTGGCTAAGCAAATGGTTTAGAATATCATTTACGAAGCTGGGAAAGCAGCTGATGTCTACATACTGGATGGAGGGATAGGGCCTAACGCAGAGACTCTAAGCTTCTAGTCGCCCTTGCTTAAATCTAGCAACTGCTTGCAGATGATCCTGTGCTCCTCAACCCAATTCGCCTTTTGGCATTCAGCAGAGCAGTACTGCGCAAACTTGCACCTCGCACACTTCATCAACGCTGCCCCATTCTTAGCCTTCTTCGCACCGCACTCGAAGCAAGCGTTCTTCTTCGCATCCAAATCGGCAATACGCGGAACCGCGCGGCTTTTCCCATGTGCCTTGTGAGGAGCCTTCGGCGGGTTAGAGGGCGAGGGACGCGGAGCGTTGGGCGCCTCATCTGGGCTGATGGGCGAAGAGAAGACGACTGGAATTGCCACGCGGATGGCGTACTTGGCCACGCGGTGGAAATTCTTCATGCCTTTGAGGTATCCTTGGGGAAAGACTCCGAGTCCACAGCTGCATACGAACGGCTTGTCCAGATCTGTAGAGAGGGGCATTTTGCCTTCAGACCCATACTCGCAGGTGGCCTTATGCTTCCATTGGCGACAGCGCTCGGCAGAGGCAGGGATCAGATGCTTCCAGAAGGGTACCTCGTCATCATCCAACTTGATGACGGCAGCTGTGTGATTGTCGAGTTTTTTGGACCCCTCATTGAAGCCCGCAAGTATATCCGACGAGAGTGGTACGAGGGCAGCATCCAAGAAGACCGTTTGGTTGTGGAGATCCATACGAAGGTTATCGACATAGAAGTGTGCAATGTCCCGCGACTGGCCATGAAGTCTAAACACGGTGGTCTGCACAAGGCCTTGAAGTCCAAGAACGTGCATGAAAATGCTGCAGAGGGATTCTTTGAGCCCGAGACGTCCGGGCTTATTTGAGAGCTTCAAAGCCATGCAGTTATTGTACACCATTGTCTCGGAATGGGACATCGTCGTGAGTGGCGAAATATGTGCAACGAGCCAGTCGGCATGTCGACTGACCTTGCCAATTTGCAAAGTTGGAAGGACGTTTGGCGTAAGGTAGTGAAGGTGATCGAGCAAGGCTCCGCTACCAACCGTTATTTAGTCTCGAAACTCAACATAGCAAACGAGTACATACCTGCTATCCATGTGAATGGGAAACATCATATCAGGTCGAGCAGCCAAGCCATTTAGCCCAACCAGAGGAGCAGAGTATTCGACCCAAGACGACTTTCGCGCAATCTTGCCTTTCCCCTTTTCTTCGTTCAATGGTAATGACAGTTCCATCTTGTGCACGACCCGGCCACCGATCTTGAGAACGAGAATGAAAGGCTCTGGAAGCACGAACTCGATAGTTGCTCCATCACGCAAGCATGTTTTAAGATCGGTTGAGAGAAGGTCGTAGTGGGCTTGCAGAGCCATGATTTTGGTCGCAGCGTCGTTGAAGGAAGGGCGTACCTGGACGGCGAGGGCCTCGCCTAGTCCCTCAATTAGGGCTGTCCCAGTAGTGGTTATTTGAGCATGGGCTAGCTTACCGGTTGTCTCCTTGGGCACCATGGCGCAATCGATGGAGATATTACCACCCATATTCGGTCGATGCTTGGTGACAAAGACATCGGTCTGCCCAACTGTAGACTTGTGAAGCACAAGATCCAGACCAAGGGAAGGAACGAACATAGTCGTCGTCAGTGTACTCTTGAGCGCAAAGAGGACATTGCACGCAGGGTCTCCATACTCTACGAGAAAGGCGACGGGAACAAGAGCTGAGATGAGCAGCGGATCCGTACCCTCCCAACCCCTCTCATCGTCTGATATACGAATGGAGTAGTCATTGGTGAATGCCGTGCCGCTATCCGTGACCGTTCCGAAACCAAGCTGGATGTCTGGGAAGAAGTTCTCTTTGGGAGTGATTGACGACCGTAGCCCGAGATGGCAGATTCGGCTTCCTACGTTTTTTGACTGGAATGGCGCCAGTGCGCTATGAGGCACGGAAAGCGTCACGCAGACGACCGGCGGCACATCCTTCCAGCGGCGAAACGGCCCTTTTGCCAGGTCATGCAGGAAAGAGGTGGGACTGAACCATGGAGACTGCTGCACGTTGCAAAGGCCCAAAATATGCGCATGAACAACCAGGGACTGGAAATAGTGGGCGCCCATGTTGAGTTCCTGGTCGCTAAGAACCAAATCGAGGAACGTAAGGATGAACTTGGGCCACTCGACCACCCCCGACCGCCGGATTGTACACAATACGGTTGATAAACTGGCGCGGGTGTAGAGGTCGAACTGCTTAAACTTATCAACGACGCGGCTCATTTGCATGCCCAACACCGAGAACTTGCGCCCCCAGCTCTCATCCTGGAACATCTCGATGTAGATTCCGTACAGGAACTTGGCCAGATTTGGAGCGTCGTAATGCAGACCCGGAATCTCCAAAGGCTTCCATAAGATGACTTCTCTCGACATGATTTTTCGTAAGGCATCAGCATGTGGATCCGATGACTGCAGCAGGTAGTCGGTCACCCTCCACGTTGCGTTCGCATTGGTCCAGTACTGAATGGGCTTTAGACCAAAGAGGAGAGCTGTGCTGGGTAGGTCGCCACAAAGGAGCAGCTCGGCCGTCTCCATGATGTTGGCCTCTCGTGGAAGAAGCATCTCGGTTCGAAGTACCGAAGTGGGTTGCTTAAAGAGCAAGGGAGAACAAGCCGCAAGAATGTTTAAGCTGCCAATGTGGTCCACCAAATTCGAGGTGTCGATGACGTGGAAGGACATCGGCGCTTGTCCATCGTTTCCATAGTCCGTGGTATCGAGGACTAGGGCGCTGTATTCGGAGTTGGTGCGGTACCAGTTTGCTGTTGCAGTCTCGCCATGTACTCGGTGATGCTGTAGAACGTTGCAGAAAGCGATCGCATCCGCATTGACGAAGCGAAGGGCTATTTGGTGACGAGATGTTCGAAAAGCGTTCGACCAAGCCGAGAATTGGCCCATTGCGGCATTAACAGCGCTGTTCCCGAAGTTCAAAGACGACTCGTCTGAGAGCCTCGCATATACAGGCGCAAGGTGAAAGCCTCCGAGCGGATCGATGCCGTAGTGCAGCATTAGACCGCTCCGCAAGCAGGCGAACATCGGGTTGGCGAAAGTCATAGTGCGCAGCACTTTTTTATCCTTGATCATAGTACCGCTCTGCCAGAATGCTTTGTACTGCTCCACGGTATTGTTAAAGGCATCCAGGGTGCGAACGGGAAAGGTAGCACGGAGGTTGTCCAGTACAACTCCATTAACCCCAATTTTCTCGCGTCGGAGCGCTTGTACTGCCTTCCATTGAAACTTTAGCATCTGCTGCTGTTTCTTATATTCCTCCTTGTGCGTTGAGTCAATCGAATAGAACTTCCACAAACGGAGCACTCGGTCGAAGGTGATCGTGTCGCAGAAGCGAATGGTGGATCCATAGGGGCCATTCTGCCATTCGTCAACGGAGGCCGCATGACCCAAGAGCTTTCCAGACTGTTTCCGCAGCAGCTCCAAGGACTCCTTGTCAACAAAGACATGATAGTAGATGTTCCAGATTAATCGGTCGTTGTCGCCGTTAGAGTTGTCGAGAATCAGGGAAAGAATCAGAATGTTGCGGGCAATAATCTCAGCCTCAAGGTCGCAGCAAGTGTAGTCCAGCTTACGGTCGCCTAAAGAAATCATCTGTGAGTGGACTGCAGGGTAAGGCATCGATTATTGGGCGCACCTAGTCCAATCCCCGCGTATGCCGTGAACAGAATGCTGCGAACGTCACCACATCCAAGGAGGAGCAGCGAAGCATTCTTATCTGGAGGAAGTGTCTGCGTGAAGCAGACAGCTGGCGTGTTCCCCACGGGGTAGAGGAATGACAATGGATGCAAATGGGCGGTCTTCAGCGACATCCTGAAGGTTCTTGTCCGAAGGAGTGGACGAGAAGAGTGGAGTAGAGAAGTAGCTCACGTCGTGGAATTTGTTTGCCCTTATCTTCCAAGACTGCAGATAGCGGTGAGTGCTTTCGCGTACCCGCTTTCGGCCCGATGCATTCGCTTTCACTTCCACTTCCACTTTCACTCTCATTCTCACTCTCATTCTCGAACTCGCTTCCGCAAGTCAAAGCGAAAGCTCCTAGTGTTCTGTCCGGATTTTCGGAGGTATGCCCAACGATATTACTCAGACAGGAGCCCAAAGACGAAAATGATTCGTGGCATTCATGATAAACATATCTTGAGGACGTTCGGGAGCCCTGACGTGAAGTGCTGGCATCGCGGGAGCCCGCATCGCGTCGACGCGTCTGGCCACGGAAACGCGCATCCTCCATCGTCGGTAGAGGCGGTGAAAGCCCCAGGCGACCAATGGGCTTCGATAGGGTGGAGACAGTGAAAGTGCGAAATCATGCTGAACTCGGGGAGGACATGACGGACGAGAACGTCGTGAGAGGCGATGAAGTCTGATTTAGCGCCCGCACTAGTCTGCATCGAGGTGGCCGGCTCCCACGACATGCCGTCTCCCCAACACCATCAACTGTTAAACATCATGATATCAAGCTTTCAATCTAATCTAATCTATATCCTGCCTCTGACACATCCCCCAATACACGCCCCTCGCCCTCGACAACTCCCCATGCGTCCCCCGCTCCACAATGCGTCCCCCCGCAAGGACGTATATACAATCCGCATCGCGAATAGTGCTCAGACGGTGCGCAACCGCCACCGTCGTGCGCCCTACACTCGCATTGCGCAGCGCCTTCTTGACCTCTCCTTCGCTCTCCGTATCCAGCGCGCTCGTCGCCTCATCTAGCAGAAGTATACTCGGATTCCGCACCAGGGCGCGCGCAATCGCAAGACGCTGGCGCTGCCCGCCGCTAAACAAGGAGCCCTTGTGTCCGCATGGCGTGTCGTAACCTTCGGGTAGACTGGCTATGAAGTCGTGGATGTGCGCTTCCCGCGCCGCTTTCAACATCGTTTCTTCGGATTCCTCGCCTGTGGGGACGCCGAGCAGGATGTTGTCGCGCACGGTGCCCTTGAAGAGCTGCGTGTCCTGCGACACGAGCGAGACGTGGTCGCGATACGTGTCGATGTCTGTGTCGCCTAGGGGGACGCCGCCGATGCGGATCTGGCCGAGACTTGGCTGGTAGAAGCGCTCGAGCAGAGAGATGATGGTGGACTTGCCAGAGCCCGAGGGCCCGACGATGGCGATGGTTTGGCCATGCGGCACCTGGAAGGATATTTCGTGTAGAATGGGGTTATCGGGGACGTTGGGGTAGGAGAAGGAGACACGGTCGAAGGTTATGGAGCTGGAGACTGGTTTTTCGGATTGTAGGGGCTTGGGGCTGGTTGTCCGATTGGTTGATGCGGAAGAGATGCTAGATATTCGACTACAGGACGAACGGGCGTGGATGATGCCTGATATTCGGTGTTAACGAGAGAAGTTTCAAGGCTTTAAGGAGGGTGTCTTACTATTTGCGCTAGCAAAGAACTCACTAGTCGCTTCAGCGCCAGTGACTATCCCGAAATAGACTGCAAAAAGGTTAGTGGGGTCAATACTATTCTCCAAGGAGCAACCTACTAATCCACAAGTCCAATGCACTTATCTTGTGCTGCACGAGAAGAGTCCCGGCATACCAAAAAGAAAATGTAACTCCTGTTCCAAGTAAGCCAAAGCCACGTTTTCGAAAAACACCTCATCTTACCTAACATATTGCCACTATGCGAAAACGCAAAAAGTGGCATAGTAACAAATGTGTTCTTGTAGAACGGCCGCAGCGACATATTCATCTTCCGGGCCATCATGCTGCACACCTCAGCCTCCATGGCGAAGGAAGATACCGTTCGAATATTCCCGATCACCTCCGCCGCATACTGTGCACTATCTAAGAGCGGGTCTGATAGGCTTCGGCTCTTCCTTGACTGGGATTGTATGCGCAGGAAGCCAGCTATGGAGATGATTGGGACGGCTCCAAAGATAGCTACTAGAGCGAATCGCCAGGAAACGATAAGGCCGAGCACAGAAACCGAGCTCAAGTTGACTGTAGTGACGGCAAGCGAGCTTAGGATAACGACGAACCCTTGGAGGTGACTGGGGTGTGACGAAAGACCCGTTACTAGGAAGCCAGGCGTGTGCGTGGTCTTCTCAAAGAAAGCCATAGGTTGTGCGATGAGTCCACGGAAGTATTTCTCGCGATGCACACGTGAAGTGATGGTTCCTGCTATGGAAGAGAGGGACCCAAGGGCAAAGAAGGCAAACAGGGAGACCAGCGCAAGGACGAAGAACATAAGAGACCAGAAGTTGATGGATCGCACCATATCCGACTCGGGCATTTGGAACGAGACAACATCGTTGCCGAAAATGATCGCTTGTAGGGGATAGATGGCTCCGGTGATGACGCACACGATCATGCTTGCGGCGCAGACATATTGCAGTGCTCTGCTTCCCGAAACAATGTATCGGACAGAGTGAAAGAAGGATATCGGGTGATCCTGTGTCATGTCGATAACTGCATCGTCCTCTTGAACGCTCTGCGGTTCCTTTTCTGGGTACTCCTTGAACTTTTCCGCGCTAGAAGCCACTGAGTCGGATGTGCGAGACCCATCGGAGAATCGTTGATTTTCCGTCGAGCGTTCTTCAGCGGCCAGGTTTTGCGCCATCCAGCTCTTGACATAGGCATCGCTCGTCCGGAGCAGGGATTCGTGCGTGCCTTCTTCAGACACAGAACCGTCTTTCATCAGCACTATCCGGTCGGCGCGCTTCACCGTTGCAAGCTTGTGGGCTATGATGATCGTAGTTCTGCCTCGAGAGACTCTGTCAATGGCGGCTTGCACAAGGCGTTCAGAGTCGGCATCCAGAGCCGATGTCGCCTCGTCGAAAATGAGTATGACAGGATTCGAGATAATAGCGCGTGCTATCGCAATGCGCTGTCGCTGACCGCCACTGAGAAGGCTGCCACGGTTGCCAACGATCGTATCATAGCGGTCCGGCAATTGAGAGATAAAGTCATGGGCCTGCATATCCTTGCAAACTTTTATAACGAGCCTGCGTTTCTCTCTGTCGGACAAGTCATTGTACGGACTACCGATTAGGCCATGGGCAATATTGTTAAAGATGGTGTCATTGAATAGCACTGCATCCTAAATCAGAAGTTAGTGAATGAGCAACACAACGTCGGTCGGGACATACTTGTTGCACAACTCTGACATTGCTCCGGAGCGACTTCACGTTGTAGCTTTCGATTCCCGCTCCATTGATTCTGATGTGACCAGAAGATGCATTGTAGAAGCGTTCTAGCAGAGCGACGATTGAGCTTTTGCCACAACCACTGGGACCGATCACTGCGGTAATTTTTCCTGCCCCAAATGTGAGATTGAGCTTGTTGAGTACTTTCACGGTCGGACGACTTGGATACGCGAAGTCTACGTCATGGAACTCAATGCGTGAATATAACGCATTGAGGGGCGTTCCCTCCTTCGAGAAAGGATCCAGTCTCGCTTGCGTGTTCATCACCGATTTCAGCGATGAGTGCGCAGCTCTAGCCTTGGATACAACGCCGTACAGTGGCAGAAGTAGCCGCAGTGCATTCATGCCGGTATTCAAGGAGATAAGGACGCTTAGATTCCACGTCAGCAGGCCCCCTAAAGGTCGCAGGGTGAACTTACATGCAAATGGCTCCGCCACTGTCGATTTCTCCTTTCCTCAACAATCGCGTTCCGTACCAGAAAGCCAATGCGTAAGCGGACAAGACGGCAAAGTATGTGATGGCGTACTGAGATGCCACAACAGGGCTTTTCAGGAATGCGGTCTTCTTAGCCTTGTCCAGGATGTCTGCATAACGACTCGCAAACTTCGAGCTCGCCCGGCATGCGGTCACCGTGCGGATGCCGCTGATACACTCCTCGGCCAGCATCGTTGCTTCCGCTTCAACAGCTTGGATGCGCCGTTCCAGCCTGGCATCGATCGTCGCAGTGATGACATCCTTCAGTATCAGGACCACGATCACGAAAACCAAGCCCAGTGTGAGCCGCCAGCTCCAGTAGAAGGCGATAACCATTGAAGTTATGACCGTTGACGCCGCCTGCAGGATCGTTCCAAATTTCTCCGCAAGCGCGTCCTCAATGACGCTAGCATTCACGGATAGGTCGGTGGCCGCATTCGATTCGGAGACCTGCTCGATATCCTGGGACACGACGGCCTTGAGGTACAGCGCCCGCATCCGCATAGTGTAACGCATCGCCGCAATAGAGAACAGAATGCCGTATGCGCACACGAGAATCCATTGCCCGATGAAGACGAACAGAAGTAGAAGGACCTTGCTGTTGATTTCGTGCTTCAAATGCGCCAGTCCCTCATCCCCTCTCTTGCTGTTATACAGATTGACTAAGTCGCCGAAGAGGACGGCCATCAAGGGACGCGCCGTCCCAGCGCCGGCGGCTGCGAACCCACCCAGGACCTGAAGGGTGATGGTGATGGCCTGTGAACGCATGACGCGCTTCCATTGAGACGCTCGAGGGGGTGCCAGTTCGGTGAATTCATCTCCTTCTTCTTCCTCCTCCGGACGCTGCTCTTCATGAAAGTAGATCTTTTCGGACGCCATGGCTGATTAGAAAGAGTGGGCCGAGTCAAAGCGCCTTGGTTGGAGGAAGGTGCTCGCAAGAGCCACAGAATGTCGCCCGGCCAGGAGGAATACGGAATGGCTTAGAAGAAGGCTGCTAGTGGCGCTGCCGGAACATATCTCAGCTTTGATTCCCGAAGTCGCTATCAGTGGGGCGGTCCCGGTGCAGCGGTAATGGTGGCACTTGCACGCCGGGTGTCGCACCGCTAAGTAAAGCTCTTCACCATCTATATCCTGCTAACTTTAGCAAAATACAGTGTGAGCCTTTCCCCTTCCAGGAGCGGGGTTTTCAAGCTAACTAGATTCCAGCAGGCTGTATCATTGAATGAATCAAAGAGGGAGGTGCGCAGCGCGCGAGGGTTGCAGGGTTCCGGCTCACTTGCATAGGAATATAATCTATATTGCGGATTGCCAGCTTCGCCGCAGCAAAGGGCATACTCCACGTCGCAGCATATCGCTGATCTTTCACGCTTGAGAGAGTCAAGCCTCCAGCGTGTTCTACAATGATAAGAGTACGGAGGTCCTCCACGCTTGGCACAGTCACGCAAAGCATTCCACAAGCATCCGTACGTCGCAACCATTAGATTAACGAGCCAGTAATCATCGGGAACTGTGTTACCCAGGAACGAACGATCCCCATGGAGCAAACAGCGTGGCGAAAGAGCTGCCTTCCATTTCCAACCGCCAAACACACCCTTCAATTGGTGCTCCCGCTCTCCATCTCTCAGTTGCGTTCCTCGATAACGTCCTCCATGTACTTGATGAGCGCAGAGTCGACATCCTGAACAGGAGCTTTCGCGACGAGGTTCGCATCCGCAGCAGGCGCAGGCGCAGTGTCGCGGATATCAACTGCGCAATCGTCAGCTGGGCAAACTGGATCACGGATGCTCTTCCTACCCTTAGCGACCATGGGCGCAGCAAGAGCGAAAGGCAGAATTGCCAAGGCGATAATCTTGAGCTGCATTTTGTCGTCGGTGTTCTCGTGACGTTCGACTGGGGAGCAGGCCGTTGTCGGGATGAGCGCGTAGATGGAAGAGCTCTGGGGAGAAAATCCGCCGCCGTTAAATAGAAGGCTATCGACCCGTTTCTGCGCTGGGCCGCAAACCGCGCCGTGGGTCTGCATGGCTGTAGGTATTCTGCTTTGTGTGCGTGGGCTCGGATACCGACGTTAGATGAGGTGCATCAATCCTTGCTTGGACCAACCATCCTGGGTGCAGATGTACGACGTCGTATGTGTGTCGCGGCGCATACCTTGGAAGATGTATGTTGCAAAGATATTGTTGCTGCATGTTCTGGAATAGGCTCCCAAGTGTGAGCTGTCGGGGTATCGGGCCCCTTTTCCACAGCGTTTAGCTACAGTTCTCAATCTGAACATCACTTTAGGTGTCTCAGACCAGAATGCCTTCAATGTCTTTCGAACAGCATCTATTCAAGCATGGTCAAGACGAGCCTGACGAGGCAGCAACCCCGGACGACCCTCTCCTCGAAGGCTTCATCTCATCACGCGGACAAAAACCTACTCGTCTTGCCTCCTGGAGACGACTCCTTCCCTGGATCGTTCATGTTCTTTTGCTTTCAGCGTCGATAGCTTTCTTCCTATCAGCGCGATCAACCACAAAGCAATGCCCAGAGACTTGGTGTAAGTAACGCCCTGAACAGCAGTAGGCTCGCTACTTACCACGCCTATTCAAGTTCCCATCGTAGGCGAACATGCACCGATCAATTCCGTGCGCTTCCACGGCAACCTCGAATATGCATCGCCTTTCAAAGGACCGCCGTCTAAAGCCGTCGACGAGGCTTGGGACTCGATCACACCGCGTATGCTTCCGCTCTTCCTAGTTTGAAACCTTGATGCTGACTTCCTTCTACACAGTGGGCGTGATCAGCATCCCAGAAGACGTATACGCGACACTCAACGCCTCCAAACACGCCGCAAAAGTCCCTGCCTCAGCCGGCGGCGGCTACATGGCGGTCTTCGAAGGCATCCACCTAATCCACTGCGTTGTAAGTTCTCCTCCAGGAAGATCCCACCACTTTCCCCCATGCTAACAAAATACCGTAGAGGTCTCTATGGGAGAACACCTACCCCTCGTACTACACCTCCCAGCACGCCATGTCGCTCGACCACCCCGACGAATGGCACGCCCACTTGGACCACTGCGCCGACATGCTGCGCCAGAAGCTCATGTGCGACGCCGACGCGAACCTCGTCACGTACAACTGGATCAAGAACCACTACGCGCCGAAACCGAATTTCAACGTGCAGCACCAGTGCCGTAACTACGACCGTTTGTTGGATATTGCGGCACAGCTGAAGGTCGATGGCCGCGCGTTTCCTAATGGGTGGATCTTGAGGCCTACGGATAGGCCGGTTGTCGAGTTTGAGGAGCCGCCTTTTGAGCCGGATGCTGAGGGGTAGGTGAGGAGTGTTGCAGTGGAGTTTTCGTTGTAGGGAGAGTGGGCGTGTGGTTCGCATCTGCTACTGAATTTGGAGAGACGGGATTGTGAACTTCGTGCAGGGTCGACGCATGGAGCCCCATATCCAATATCACATCCCTCACTCCCTCGTGCTTCGCCCCCAATGTCTTCTTCACCCTCGTCCTCGCACTCTCCACTCACTCTCAACACACCAAGTCCTTATTGCGGCACAGTTCTCCCACCTCAACACTCCCCCATCTACGCACCCCCTCTCTCCGCGAAGCTATCCCACATTGCACTTACAAGGATCCAACAGCCCGCAGTCCCGAGGCCATGGTCCCGGATCGCCAGCCGGCAGAGCCAATGGGACAAAACAGGAAGGAGGGTAGCCCCAGCATAAGCCGCATCGCAATATAAATCCAACAGCTGGGATATTCCGGAACCGTACTTTCTTGTGTACAGAGCGTGCATGTGCGTGCGGCGCAGTATGTTGCGACATCTGATTGTGCACGGCGATTCGAGTGACGACGGTGCAGGGGTGCGAGATAACCAGTGAGCGCGATGAGCCTATTGATGAGCTGTTCGGGGTCGAATGGCTACAGGTCCATGTAGAAGAGTGCACTTGTGCGCTGTCGTTGTCATGACGGCGTGATAATGGCGAAGAGACTGTGTAGCACAGTCTGAGGTACGCGCCAGCTACTCCATCCACAGGTCCCATGATCGGTAGGTGTCCATCACATGGCAACCGGGAAGTGCACTTGTTAACAGCTAACCTTAGAAACCACTAACGACCAGGACTTATAAAACCTCCACAACTTGAAATCCAGGCCTAGCGGGAAAGCTCTACAGAGCCAAGCCACAGAATTTAAGCGCAACATTAGCGCAGATAGCCGCGAACGGAAGCAGAAAGCTCGTCGCCGTTGCGCCCTTCAACGAATCGGGACAGAACGCGCCGCCCGTAAGCTGCAGCAACTGCGTAAGAAACATCCACCTCCCAACTGCAACCGCAAACGAGACAAGCACCCACGCCCAATATCCATAGCGTTTCAGCATGAACCCAATAGGGCTGCCTGCGCGCGAAAACCACTCCCGCAGACTTTCCAGCACGGGGAATCTGCCGCCGTTCTTTTTCTTGTAGAACGCCAGCCAGATCACCTCCATGATGGCGAAGACGGCAAAGGAAAATATCCAGATCCACATCGCGATCCACAGGCCTACCAAGACGCCGGCGGCTTTGGCTAGGTTCTTGTGTTTTCCGCAGACGGACCATACGAACAGGAACACGGCGAGGAGGATGATCATCTGGTAGATGAAGAAGACGACGCCGGCAGGTACGGTTGCGAGATAGAGTCCCAGATAGAGAAATTCAGTGCTCGGCGCCTCCGTGCTAGACGCCAGAGTGGACATGGGACCAGTCCAAATCTTCAGCGGCAGGTTGTACAAGACAAGGGCCGCGCCGGCGGACACAAGGTCCACCAAGAGAGTCTGGGTGCCGAATCCCTTGCTGAGGAAGATTCCACTAAGGAAGGCGATGATGGGTGCAGCCTGCGGAATCAGAAGATACAAGCCCAATGCCGCAGCCAGAGAGTTCTCCGGAAACTGAGTGCGAATGATGAGGGCGCATATCAACGGTGTGCCAATACCCAGGATGACGGCACGGAAGAGTCCGACCCACGAGAAGGACCTGCCGTAATTCGGATCAGTCTTGCGCTTTCTTCTCGCCCACCATATTTCGGCGGCCAAGTGCACGATTTCTAGCACTATCTTTTGGATGGTTGTGATCATCATCTGGACCCGGGTAGAGCATCGCTTCTGTCCGCCGTAGATAATCAGCCGGTCCGGCAGCCATTGCAGTTTGCGAATCGAGGAGGTCACGCAAGACTCAACCATTGCTTCCGGCGCTTGCATGAGGCAACGTAGATACTGGGAAGGCCTAAAGTAGTCAGCATGTGTCAGTGTCGCGTATGGAAGGGGCACAGCGCAAGCTCTTACGTCTTCTCTACCGCCAGCCATCTGCCATCGGTGTCGTTATGAAAAGGGGAGATTGCTCGCTCGAATATCTACGCTGATCAGATTCAATGCCACACACAATTACTCTCGGCAAAACGTACGGGGAGAATATCTGGATTCTTGCAAGCTCCCTGCTCCTTCGCTGCTCGCTTGCCCAAAATGCGATCGGAGAAGGGGTTAAGGTAGTTCGCCATCATACCCAGTCTGTCGTCGCTCTCGAAGGGAGGAAGCCCGTAATCAGGGACTGTGTATACCGCGCACGAATTGACATCGCGATATCTACCGAGCGTGAGCTAAGGACAAGTTGGAAAGGCTGGCTACGAACACATCCACGGCGCATGTTGCAAGGCTTCTGGCTAGTTCTCGGCGGCGTCGAGAGCTCATCGCAGAAGTTGGGCATACTTGTATTGCCTCGACCTCGGACTGACATTTGACGGCAAGTGTCTGTCATCTTCGTCAATATCAAGGGGAATAGACAAGGCTCGATGAACGTACCGTTCGGAAGGCATGTGGAGAGAATTCACATGTTGGGACGTTGATATTGGGGGAGGTGGTAGAGTTAGTGAAGGCGGTAGAGTTAGCGAGGTCTCGCCCTCTGAATGCCAAATGGCCAATGTGAGATGCCGGAAATTGATGTGCATCGCTCGAAGCGGAGACAGGCAACAACAGAGGGATAATGCAAGCAAGTGTCATGAACCAGTGCGCCCCCGAAAAGGCCATATTCTAGTCGAATGAGAGTCCTTTCCCACTTCCTCCAAGTCTCAATTGCGCAGAAGATCAGCGTTCATGTTTTAAAGCCCAGGCATAGAAGTATATGAGCAGTCCTCCTCACTACCATGAGGAAACGGTAAAGTCCGTAATTGTTCTATTGAATATGGCAGCAGTGGCGCTGCGGCTGAACTCTCGATGTGCGCCTGCACAAGGCTGAGATATTGAGGCGACGGTGAACGTCTGAAAGATGGACCGCAGGGCCTGTCGTGCTTCAGACCTTGGGACAATGACTGCGATCAAGGGCATTCGGACAGAGCGAATATTTCCATCCTGATTGACCGCTGAGCAGGATAGTCTGGCGGACTCAATGCGGCCGCGTTCGCGTACTTGAGAATATTCCGTACGCCACAGTCGCTTCCAAAGATTGGCAATATAGGGCCGGCGGTAGAGGCTGCGAAACGCCCGTCTAGAGCATGAATCGGTGGTCGTTTGTCCGGTTAAGCTTTCGCTTCGATATAATGAACGAGTTTCGAGATGGAACGTGGTGGGAATAATCTCAGCGAAGCGATGTAAACCTTAAAAACCTTGGAAGCGCGGTCGTCCGCCAAGGAGCTAACCCGAAATAAGGGGGGACAGCCAATTGGAGCAGCAATGAGCGACGATATTTCAGAGACACATAGTTGATTTATCTTTCTTCTAAGGTTTATATGTATTTGGCACGCCTTCTCGCCTTTATTTTACTTAGACTTCGCGTGATACCTAGGTAGGCTCTCATGACTAGCGTGTACGCTAATCCGAATCGAACTCGACTCCACGTGATGAGCATATTCACATCCATGGATCGACTATGAACACATCACATACCTATCAGCTATATTGCCAACACAAACTCAGCTCAAATTAACCCCAACCCTAAAACCTATCCACCCTCAACGCCCCTCCCCGCCTCTCACACTCCTCCCGCGAATCCCACACCCCAATCCTCTCCCACAAGCCCCTACTCCCATCCTCCACCATCTCACCCGCCCCCCTCCACGCACACTTCTCGCTCTCCACGCTCAGAAACCAGCACTCCGCGCACGCCGCATGTCCACACTGCATGCACCTGTGGTTCCTGAACGCGGGCTCCCAGCTATACTGCGTCTTGTACGGGCTCAGTATGGTGACGAAGTGCGTGGTTGTGGTGGTGCTGTTGGTGACGGGGAGGAGGGCGGAGGCGTTGCAGGACGGCTGGCAGCAGCGCCATTTGAAGGTTATGGGGAGAGGGGGAGTGTGGATGTCGTGCGCTTTGCGATAGCGGGCTGAAGGGGGGATGTTGGGGTCGCGGGGGAGAATGGGGGTACGGCGGCGAGGGGGTGGGTCGGGCGGGTTGGTGTATTCTATTGTGTAGGCCGGCGTTGTGGTGTTTGGTGTCATGACGGTGCGAGAAATGTTAGCGATTGAAATGCGTTCTTCGATTCCGAATTAGAGTTTGTTTTGGACAAACGATTGTGTTCGCGGCAAGCACCGTTTTGTACTGCTGCATTGGTGTGTGATGGTAAGTGGTGACTTGATTGCTGGTGAATCAGTATAGGCATTGGGTGTGAAGAAATGTTGAAAACGGCAGGAGCTGTGAAGGTGGAAGACACAGACGCAGCATACATTACTATAGTGAAGTTATCGAGTATACCGACAGGACAACGCGGTTTATACGTTACTATCGCTATCCATCCACTGAAGAGCTACTTGCTCACGAAGTGTATCCTGTGAGACTAGCCGCTAAGTCTTCTACCTATTCATTGCTCCCTGCGACTCTGAAGATGCGTCGAAGCCCCGAGCCGTCGAGATCATGAAGTTGAAGGGATTCAGAATGTCGTGTAGCGTAATCCTAGTTTGGTCGCACGGCTCTTCGAGGAGGGGTCCATCCCTTCGGCCTCTGATTAACGCCCACTCCTTTTCGTGGGAACGAAAGATCAACTGGCTAATGCCATGCCAATTCAATGCCTGATGCTTTAAGAACATCCATCATCGTCGAGTCAATGGAGGCTTTGACCTCCCTGTAAGCGAATGATGGATATATCGCAAATTCTCTAGCGCCATTTTTGAGAAGGATATCGACGAGGCGTCGATCGTTCAAGTAAGCGGCTAACGCAAGCAGAGAAATTTCACCACTGGCCCCCATCATGGAACCACTAATATCAGGGCTTACTCCAGACTGGAGTAAAAGTTCAAATATTCGGTAAGCCGAGCGGACCGCCTCGGGGAGCTCTCTCAGGTGTCCTATGGCGTATGCAATAGAGTGGATGACTGGGATGGCTTCTGCACCATATGGGCTTGCATGGAGAGCTCCGATAGCGCCATGTGCCCCGTGCTGTATGAATAGTTGTGCTGCATCGACCGCAGAGAGTCGGATCGGAAGGCCACTTTTGGTAGACCAGTGAATGGAGTCGCATCTAGCACTCCGGACCAAAGCGTCAAGCGCTGCGGACAATATGTCAGGGACAGAGCTCCAATCTTGAAAAATTTCTTCCAGCTTCTTGTCATTGTGCACCCTTGCGAAAACCAGCGGGTGTTTATGTTCTTCTCCTTTGACCGGTCGAAATCCTGTGCGAAGGAGGTAACTGGCGAGCCCGTAAATCCGGGCAGTGCAAGCAAGCTCCAGAGAAGATGGTCGCTTTGAAGAGTCCTTTACCAGGCGCTGAGCGTTATTTGCATACGTGGCAGCATTCTCGACCTCCTGCCAGACGTCTGAAGCTAGATTTCTCTCCGATAGTTGGTTTTCTAAGAAAGCCGCTTTGAAGTCGGCAATCCAGGAACTGCCGGCCCAAAAAGCGATTCGCTGCATTACCGTAATGAAGAGGTCCTCGAATTTGTCCATGGCGTACCACAGAAAATTAATTAGCCTGGCCGGGTCGATAGGGCGTGGATGGAAAAGAGCGACAATGTCTCCGCCTTCCTGTAGCCGAGATATAATGTCTCGGTAGGAGCTTCTCTCCACCTCGTTATGATTATAGAATGCCTTCCGTAGCTCTCTGTTGTCAAAGCTATCGAGATGGCCTTTGTGAGGGATATCAATGCCTGGTTGGAGTGATAGCTGTGGGATCTGGACGCAAACGGACGGTCAGTTACGATATCGCTGGCAGTTATTTGGCGGCTTACCAAGACAGCCGTTGCGCGAAAGCCAGACCAAGCATCCTTCACCCTATCGTATTGTGCACGTACGGTGCGTATGTAGTCTCGCCTCTTCATTTCAAAAATTGAAGCTGATTCCTTCATGGCACCATATTCATCCATGCTTTGGTCTCGCAACTGGTTTCCGTAATCATCCGTGATGGATTTTCTGAGGTTGGATAGGGGGCGATAATTGCGTTTGTATACGTAGGACGTGAAGAGGTCGTTGTCGAAGCTAAAGGGAATGTATCTTAGGTTGCCAGTAGCGTTACTCCTTATACTTCCCCAGTCACTGCCGGTTATCGATAGCCGGGACGAAAGACGAGAAGGTATTATGCTGAGGACGCTATCGTCCACCTTGCGAAACACGTCTTCTTTGATGGTGAGTACCTCAGCGCGCTCTTCACTTTGAGGCCTGCAAATGTCAACTTCTCTATTGAAATGGGCGCACTTGCACTTACATGCTGATGACCTGTAGCAGCAGCTGGAGCGCATTTGTCTGGCCCCGTATGCGGTTCTGGTGTTCCCGAATCAAATCATCACTCCAGCTCAGGCTGGCACGCCTCCTAAACCCCCCGGTCTTGGGCGCCAGATTTCCTATATCTTCTTGCAAGGCAGACATGATGAGCTGCCCAGCGTACACGGAGCGGGCCAACCTCTCGGCAATCTCTTCGTGAGAGTCCATCTGCTGTATGTTCTTCTCCGCCCATTTCTCGATCCCTCTCCAGGCAAGCTGAATTGTTGCACACTCCTCGACGAGTGAGAGGATCGAAAGCTCAGCCTGCTTGTATCTGTCAACGAGGCTGCGGAGGGCTTCGGCGGCCTTGACGCAATTAGTTGCAAGGCTGGCACATGCCGCAACGAGCGAGGCGACTGATACTGGGTCCATGATGTAAGCACAAGCTGGTTGAAATATGAACGCGCCGTAGTACGCGACAACTTCTGTGTCGTGGTTGAGATATCGTGCGGCCGGTCGAAGGAAGCCTTTTCTATTGCGCAGAGCCAATGCCACTCAGCCTTGATCATGCAAGCCATCTGCGAGGCAGGCCAATAACTCTGCTTTGATGAGAGCTCAGCCGTGCTTGACCACGCGCACAACATCAAAGAATGCCTTGCATGCGACAGCAGGCGACATTGAATGAGGGAGTGGGAAGAAGATTATGAGCGGGGGGAGAAGCGCAATCCGGTGAAGAGCAGACTCGTGGGGTTCGTGCGAAGCCATTGCGGCCTGAGGAGAGACGCCAAAGCACATTCAATGGTTCCGATGAGAGATGGGAGATGAATTGATAGATGGCGCGAGGTGACGCATCGAGCCTTCCATATTGTCGAAGTTCGCGGTGGGGGAGTGTCGTGATGCGGCAGGCGCAAAGGGCACCTCAGGGGCCTCAACGACGCCATAGGCTATTGGGAACCAGCGTGCGGCCCCGCCTTCCTACTGCGCCCATCCTTTGGAACGTTCTTCTGTAAGACCACGGAATTTGGCTCTCAGATCTGGGTGCGACAGCTGCATTCCCGCGCGCACATTCTGGAGCGCACGTGGAGGTGGAGCAGGAGGAGAGCGGAAGGCTAAAAATAATTGGCCAACGCTAGCCGCTATCGATTGCTGAGCGGCGGGCCCGCGACGACGGATGCGGACAGGACTCGGGGCTCGAGGAAACATGGTCGAGGTGCCGCAAGACACGTTGCGCTCCAGGAATGCAAATACCGACAGAAACGTCTTCTCCATCGGCATAGAGAGTTTCGATGTCATCGACATGCGCAATCCTGCCCCGGCAGTGCTCGCCGGCCGTGGTTCGCTCGCGCTGACCCTGCATGACGCAGACCAAAGCGGGTAGGCGCCTGCCCGGCTGGTCGTAGCGCCACTCCGCCGTCTCCAGACTTCACCACTTTTGCCAGACGGCTGACGCCGGTCTCGTCTTTGGCCCGCGCACTCCCTCCTCTTCACCCTCGTCTCTCGCTCGTTGCGAACTTCTTCTCCTTCCCATCGCGCGTCTCCTTCGTTGTCGCCTTCTTTCCCCCACTATACGTATATTGTTAATAATCCCCTAATTCCCCCCGACGCTCGCTACCTCGCTCCACGTTAACTCAGGGGAGCCCAGCAACCCACTCCCGATCAACCTCATTCGCTGCACGACCGTTCCTGGGGCCCCTCGCGCCTGCCGTTTCATCGCCGAATCTTGGAAAGGGCGACTGCGCAGCGTAATTAGGTCATCTATCGCCGGCTGGCAGGCGGTTGCGAGCTTTTTGACAGCTGCACTCCACTCTTAGCATCCTTACACGACATCCAACGCCCGCTCCGGCCACGATAACGCCGCGACCAGCATGGTCCGACGCGCCCTCACGGCTGCCCTCGCGGCGGCAGCTCTTGCTCCCTCCGTCATGGCGCAGAAATGCACCCGAGACAGCCACTGTCCGGCGGATGCGCCCTGCTGCGGCCGTATGTGCCCTCCCCCACCGACCTCAGCGGGATCCAGCTAACCAGCGCAGTATATGGCGACTGCGGCGTCGGCGCCTTCTGTCTCGGCGGATGCGATCCCACCATGTCCCACGCCCTCGATTCCTGCGTCCCCAACCCCGTGTGCAAGTCCGGCAAGTACAAGTTTGACTCGATGGACGACGTCCAGAGCATCGACAAATACCTCGGTGATGCGTCCAAGGCCAACTGGCAGTCGCAGGGCATGCCCGTGCCATACAACGACGGCGAAGGCGTACTCTTGACCTTGGCCGAGGATACTTCGGGCACACTGCTGGCATCGACATTCTACGTATGGTACGGAAAGATTTGCGCCAACATGACTTCCAGTCAGGGCAAGGGCGTGGTGACGGCCTTTATCCTCATGTCTGACGTTAAGGACGAGATTGACTTCGAAGTCGTTGGCATCGACGTTGGCCACGTGCAGTCCAACTTCTACTCGCAGGGTATCACAGTCTGTAAGTTCGCACTACCATAGCGCCTGCCAACGAAGCTAATCGCTCCCTCCAGACACAAACAGCGCGAATCTGACGGTCGAAAACACCGTTGCACCGCACACATACTGCGTCGACTGGAAGCCCGACGAGCTGACCTGGTCCGTCGATGGCGAGGACTTGCGAACTGTCCAGCGCTCCAAGACCTGGAACGCAACTTCGAACCGCTTCGATTACCCGCAAACCCCCTCCCGCATCATGCTTTCGCTCTGGCCCGCCGGCATCTCCAAGAACGCAAAGGGCACAATCGACTGGGCTGGCGGTCTGATTGACTGGAACTCGCAATATATGCAGAATGGATACTACTACAACCTGGTCACCTCAGTGGACGTGGACTGCTACGACCCGCCGGAGGGCGCCAACGCCCAGGGAGACAAGAGCTACGTGTACAAGGATGCCAAGAACCCGACGAACAACACGGTCGAGATCTCGGACGATATCGTCGTCCTCGGCTCGCTGATGGGAACTGGCGAGGATCCCGGTGAGGCGTCCGCGTCTACCAGCGGGGCCGCGCCTACGCGCTCCGTTGCCATGGTCCCTGGTGGCAATCCCGGTGGTGGCGCTCGCCAGGAAACTGTAGCTGCTACTGGTGCCGCTGCAACCGCGACCGGTGGAGCTCAACAGACTGGTGGAGCTAGCAGCGGCGGCTCAGGCAGCTTTGACCAGGGCAATACCAGTGGCAACGGTGTCGCATCTTTGGAGCCCGGCCTCGGAAAGATTGGCGGCTCCGCGCTTGCCATCGTGGTTGCTATTCTCGGTCTCCTTGTGCTGTGATCTGATCAACTGTCTGGCTTTTCTTTGCTTGTCTACGATTTGATCACGAGCACACCTCGGTCTTTCATGTCTATCCTTTCATATCCCTTGGAGTCTTTGGTTGTCGAAAAGGCATTGCCGGTCTATATCTCACTTTCCTTACATGTGCATCTTGAGCGAGCGAGTAGTTGGTCGCCCAGGAATCGGTAGTTGCATGTGCAATGCATAGGAGGCGAAGTGTTCTGTATCTGGACGTTTCATTTCTTGGACATTTCTTCCACCGTATCACTTATTCTTGTAGTGGTAATTCCTGATGGGAATGCCTGGGGTTTCCGCGGAAGGGGAAACGGCTTCTCATCGTCACTCCTTATTGTCGATATTGCGAGCGGAGCGTGTGGGCATGTGGATACTGTGAGTGCTGAATGGAAATCGTTCATACTGACTGCATTTGTTGATCCCTCTGCTGTCGTCCACCATCAACCGAAGTTGCTGATGCTCGCTACTAGCACGCAGGCTCAGGTCCACCGCCCATCGTGTCGTCTCGATCTTGTCCATGAACCACAGCACGTGTTACACGATGCGCTCCATGCCGTCCATCCATACGGCCTTCGTACACAGCGCACCGCTCACATGCCTTGCGGCGGTTCGCGTTTTTACTGCCTGTTGAGCAACCCCGCCTACGCTGCCTCCATAATCAGAATCTGCCGCGTCTTTCAGAATCCTCCGGGCGTATCACTAACTCCACTCCCGTCTGTGTCTTTTAGCCGCTTAGGAAATGCGGCAACGCCCCCTTCTCCATACACGCTCCCGTATCGCGTTTGTGGACGGTCCCCCAGCCGCCACCAGGCACGCCATCGTCTGGCTCTCGCAGGGGTGCGTTGAGCACGCGTTTGTTGTTGTTGTTTGGAATTTGGTTCGGTCTGGTCTGGATCGGGAAGTACGACGGGCGACGGAGAGGATATGGTTTTTGAGCTTCTCCCGGAGGGAGGATCTGGTATAAACAGTTGGTTGGTCTGAAGGGTTTCGAAGTGTCGGGCTGGAGATCTTGCTGCGGACACGGCACGGCAGTGCACATAATTCTCTATCCGGGTTGTTTTGATCACGACATGAAGTCGTTCGTCTATGGATTGCTTCCATGCTATATGTTGAATGCGAGTTTTGTGCTCCCAAGCTCCGAGCGAGCTCATGAATCGAGGCGTCTCGGCTTTTCGGCCAGCGAGTCCGTTCATGCATTCAGCCAGGAGAGGTTTTGGTAAATGCGAGGGGGAGAAGAACCGACAAAGACATGTGAATGGCGGACCAAACTTTGTGGATATGGGAAAAGCGATTGCCGCTCGACTTCCCATGCAAAGGCTAGAGACGGTTTTTGGAAGGACCTCCCTCCAACATAGGCTGCGTCCTTGACTTTTTTCTGGAGGCTGCAAGCGTCGGCTCATACGAGGCATTCCAGCCGATCGTTTCGGTGCGCTGAACGGGGGAATTGTGTTGTTGTACATAGAATCTGATTACTCAGGTCCAGCACTTGTCTGGTCATGATGCGTAGTAGGTAGCTTTTTTTTCCGGTTCGCGCGGGCGAACAAGAAAGGGGAGATGGGGAAGCAAAGAGAACCGATATAGACTGCTGGAGTGACAGCCCGTGGAGTCGGGCAAGACTAAGCTACCAAGGCAAGGTACTACCACGCGGCAGATCTTTCCTTTCCATAGTCAGGGAGCTGAGTGAGTGGTCTTTGGACGCTGCCCTGCTTCCGCCATGAGGGACTGGTATGCTGGGTATTTGGAGGGAGACGCCGAGAGGCAGCACATGGCGTCTTTGGCATCGTGGTTTTGGTGGGTTGAATCTGAAGTTTGAAGTGCCCCGATTCGCCCACCGCCGCATCGATATCGTTGCTGTTGGTCTCGGATTTTTGCTTGCATTTCTGCCCGGCGATCGTTTGCTCGGAAGCGCATAGCCGTTGGCGTTGATGGCTGTAGACTCTTTGCTCGCGAGACGCAGCACATTGCTGAGTGCCTGACGGGTTTGCTGTGCGGAAATGGGGAGGAGGAAGAGAAAGACATCAGCTTGAATCGTAGATCTTTGTAGACCAGACGGCGGGGAGCTTGGAACGCGGTGCTCCACATGGACATTTCGTGTGTACAATTTCGGAGCTCGGGACACGGCGTAGCAGGTCTATTTCGAACTAGTCATGGAGCATCTAGGGGTCCTTTTGGTATTTCCATGAAGCGTTCGTATTTCTGATTTCGAATACGGGGGATGCAGGAGCGGGGAACACATGGCGCAGCGGCAAGCCGTCTTTTAGTCGCGTCACTGAGCGGTTTCAGAGAGGTGTTTGTTACCAAGTTTTCAGCTCCTATTATCGTAATTCAATCCCACGAAGCATTAGTTGATAGTGTACAGATTCTGCTGTCTCCATTGCTGAGGAGAGTGTGCGTCCGGATGCTCCAGGGATATGGAGAACGCGGCTTCCTTTTTTCCTCGGCTAGAAACCGGGTATACATATTTTGGGTCGAGGCCTGTGGTGAAAGCAGAGGAAGACACATTTCTCATCTATTTAGGGGGTTTTAGACAAGGATGTGAGGATAGAGTCCTGGTCCGCATGAAGCATTTGGGGCTAGCTGGGAGCTCGGACGCAGACATCATTTGGTGTTTTGGGTTTTCGGACTTCCCGAGGGTGCACTCATTTTGCCACAGGGTAATTCTTTTGAAGATGTGAAATACGGTCGACAGGCGCGCAGACGCATAAGGCCGTTGCCATGTGGATTTTGGTTGTTTCATGATTCTATTCGACTCTTCTCTGCCACGGCGAGATATTGGATCTTCTTTGGTTGCTTTGAGGTTCAATTCCGCTCTTTTCTGCCATGGTCTGATATATCTTCGTACTAGCGAATTTATCCAAGGCCATTTCCATACTCCCTACAGTGTACGGTCCGGGTGGGAGTCCAGACATAACTGGTTCTGGTATAATTTTTGGTGGAGTAAAAGGAAAGACGGGACGAAGGGGACATTGCCCCAATAGTAGGATCTTTTTATACCCAAATGTGTGGGAGAAACTATGTCTGACTCCCGCATGGGGTTTTCGGGACGACGCTGGGGTTTTTTTTCCGAGACATGGTAAGGCGAAAAGAAGCCTTTTGGGCAGGCCGAGACTGCACATATGGCATACAGGGTTAAAGCTTCCCAAGTTCTGAGATTGCGCTCCACGAAAATCCGAGCACGCATAGAAGAGGAGTGTGGATTTTTCGATAGTTGTTCCTCTTTAGGCACACTCTCTAAGAGGATGAGTGTGATGTTCTAGAGCTCTGGGCTCCAACCACATGCCTGCTCCACGGCGTTTTTGGTGCACCGTGGACCTTGGTCTTACTTCACGAGGAGCTAGACTTTTTACGCGAGGAGAGAGAAGCTGAAGAGTCCATTATGTTGTCAGAGAGAGCCTTATGGAGGCTGGATCTAGTAGCATGGAGCCTGATACGGATTGCTCCATTCAGTCGCTTGATGTGAGACTTTGGAGGGCCTTCGAGGGGCATTCTTAGGCGATGGTGGATTTGGATAGATCGAGAGCTGAGGCGTATTTTAGATACGCCGGTGCTTCGACCACTGAGCTCGCAGTCCGCAGACCTCTCTGCAATTCATTGTAACGTCGCCACTTCGCTTTGATTAGTCAATTCTTCCTTCTCAATTCCTCCACATAGAAGTCGGCGACGCATGTCTGGGGAGGCGCAGTTCTCCTCGGACATGGAGCGATTTTCTCCCCGTTTTGTTGTTTTAATGCGCTAGGATGAACAACGGTAAGGAGCCTTGAGTGTGGATAGTAGAGGAGACAGAGAGGAACATATTGGTGGCGAATCCGGTCTTGTAAACGTGATCTGACAGACATGTCACAGCCAGGTCTCCATGTCGCTGCTTCTCCTTTGCTTTGGGCCTCCCATCTCGAAAGTACGCCGCTTAGCGTTGCATTAGAGCACCTCAGAGGTCAACTTGTATGAGGCAAAAGTGAAGGTCGGCTATGCGTCGTGAGCTTCCAAGTTATGAGGCTTTTGTGGTGCATTTATTGTTTCCTCGCATCGTTCAACATGGTCAATTCACTCGTTCTCTTTGTAGGACTCCTTTTTTTTCCCCCTAGCGGACATGACGGTCTGAGCTGTTCATTGCGCGTTATCCGGGACGATCACAAGGCTCAGAGCCCCAGCTTTCAGTATACCGTCTTCCAATGTTCGGTTTCGGACCTGAGAGAGAACGGACATGTGGCATCTTGTGTTTCCTTTGGGTACTAAGTGCTGATCTTAAGGTGGGACTGTGTGCATGGACGGTTTTGCGGATATGTTCTTCTTAATCCCTCTTGCGGAACTTCTCCATTCCGCGTCTTTTGTTGGTTTTAGGTCTCCCACTTCCATGGCAGACATTCGCCGTAGGATCGACGCCTTTTGGTACTCGTCGATAAGCTTTCCGTGTGTCAGGTTCAATGAAAGTATTTGGAGATAGATTGAAGGAATGGAGCAGACGCCAACAGTGACGCATAGCTCCTATGAAGAATAGAGAGCCACGGCCCTTCAGGTCATCTCACGCGCCAGGAAAGTTGGATTTTGTTTTCGGAGTCGCGAGATCGAAACATTGGTCATGGTGGGGATGGTTTCAAACCCAAGATTCTTGCCATATAGGGCATTTCGAAGGTGGTCCGAGTTCGTGATTCCAGAGTATTTGGCGCGCGCGCATGATCATTTGTTCTAGCATACTGCAGTGCGCAAGCGGTAGAATTTGTAGGCCCTATCGCAGGGTCCTCTAATCCGATTTTTGCAGATTCGCTTCAACTTCAAACACATTTCGCTATTAGAGCCGCATCGATTGCAACCTCCTCCGAAACTCAACTTCCACAGACATGATCGAATGGCGATGCCGTTTTGGTGGAGTTGCTGCATTGGCTCCGTGACGCTGGAGGGCAAATGTCATGATGAGGTTTGGCCGCAACGCTCAATCGAGCCTCTTCTGGGCATGATATGCATTCTTAGTCTTTTGGAGACGAGTCAAGTGCCCAATATGAGAACGTAACCTGTCCAGTTCGGGCACTCCCTACCGAATAAGTAGGAGGAAACAAATAGTCCACCGCCCTGCCGTACGAGTGTTTTGTGATTGGAGAAGCCCCAAGCGGACGGACCATGGTCGCTGATGATCGCATATTTGAGGCGCGCTTCAAGAGCAGGTGTGAAGTGCTGCGTTCATGCTGAGAGTGCGAATTTCGATCCAGGATACTTCATTTGGCCGTTCGGGGATCGTGAATTGGAGCGTTGCCTGTGATCAACTGATCCCCTAAGTTTTGAGTACAAGAGCCGGGCGTCCGTTGGTGTTTGCGTCTTTTGGCGTATATGAATGCGGAAGACAGAGAGGCGCCATGTGGAGACTTCACACCGCTTTCGGTATCAGGCAATTCCTAGAAGCCACGACCAGACACGATCCAGAGAGAGGACTTTTGCTGCCTGGGATACGGCCTTGTAGAAACTTTGATGACGGTGCATCCAGTGGAAAGGAGAAATGAAAGCCATAGTTGTCGTAGTCGCAACTTTCCCGCGTGGCGAAAGACTCGAGACGATTAGGCACGCTGCAGTTTGTATAACAACATAGGTATCCAGAGTCGGAGCCCAGCCGTTCCATACCCTAGCTGAGAACTGGGGTAGGTAAAGGAAAGGGAAGAGCAGAGTCGCATCAAAATATCTCTCCCACATCGATTCAGCTCTCGAGGTCCTTGCACATCACGGAAAACACCTCGGGTTAAAAGCCGCAGGGAATCCGCATAGGTCGGCATGTATCCAATTTTTTGACGAGCAAGTTGAAGGTTTCGCGAACGTCATAAGGCCTAGAATGACAACGAGACTTGCGCATCCCGCCCCATGGATAGGCCTACGAGCCATTCTGATACTCTCCGGAAGAGGTCTCATAGAACTGACCGAGCCGGAATTTGGTAGACTGCGCGAGCCAAAGGACAGATACCACCCATGTGTACAGAGGCTCCATCCTTTGCTTACGCTCTAGCAGGACGTCTAGTTGAAGATATTCCAGAGGATCACATGCCTTCTTTAGAATTTCGGGCCTGAAGCAGAAATCAAGAGGCGACAAAGGTGTGGATCAATGGAAGCCACATAGAAGGACGAATTCCGCAGTTTCCAAAGCCACCAAAGAGAGGTTTTCCGATAGGTGCCATGATTGCCGTGGTGGAATTTCTGGAAGCGACGAGGGAGGTTCGTCCTGATTGCCCCTGACGAAAGCAGGTCCTAGAGAATTGAGGCTGTGCTCTAGGCTAGAGAGGAACTCCACCCCCTCCAGCTGAACTGAGATGGCATCGCGTATTTCGCGCGATACTGGCTTGAGGGCGCTCGCTTGGTCTGCAGTGCGGTCGGTGCTTCAAGCTCGGAAGCTCGGAGACTAAAGCCCAGGCTTCGGTGGCGCGCTGTGGATTTCCCTGCAGCTTGGCGAACTCTCTCACGCCGCAGTTCCGGGTCTGCGTCTAGAAGAGCGAAGTGGGAAAGTAGGCTTGGGTTATCGAAAGCGTTCTGAGGAACCTGCGAAACTGGAGTCGACTTCCGGAGGCGGTGTACGGTAGCTAACCTCGGGAGACTTCACGGGAATTGAATAGGAACCTTGGCTATAAGGGATGCTTTAAGGTCTTGAGGGACATTGACAGCGCACGCGAGGGAGCGTGAAAGTGGAGAGTGAAGAAATGTCGTGCAGAAATAGTGTGGAAATGTCCAAAAGAGATGAGGGATTTTCATGCGCTAGGCATGGCAAATCCGGGGCGCTGACTCGTGGCTGCATGAGCACGAGCCTTGGATCGGTTCCAATTCGTCGGGGCAGCGATCAGAGCTTCCGATAAGGTTCCGATATATCAAACCGCTGCACGTTCGGCGTCGGCAGCCGCATCCAGAACTTTTGCAATGCGAAGAACCGCGGATCACAGGCAATTGGTCGTCTGAGATTCGATAGTGTGGAGGGGGAGATTGCGAGCAGCGGGGAGCATCTGCGTTCCGTCCGAGGCCGAAGAAGGGGGACGCGGATCCGCTTGGAAGAAAGACGTTTTGTTTATTTGGCGGTGAGGATGGTCACGGAACGATGGTCTCGAGGGTAGGCATGCCACTGTGACGAAGGTTGTACTTTCGCATACAGCAGCCACTCAGCTCTTCCACACCCACTATGGCCCAGGGAACCGCAGTCAGTCATCCCCACACTATGATTAATTGACATGCAGCTCCTGCAGGATTTCATGCCTGCAATCAACGCTTCGCTAATTCTTCGCCTACCGCTATACAGCCAAGCTAGCGTGCACGGGGCAGTGGGTACCATTCCGCCCATCAAACCTACCATGCGGTCCAAAACGAGGGGTCTCACTCTCGGCCCTCTTTCCTCTCCAAGCAGCAAATAAAGGCGCGGTTTCTGCCCCCTAGGACGCACCCATCATCCCACATCAGACCATAATCTCGTCACTCTACCCGTTCATTTGTCCTCGGTCACTTCGTTAAAGATGCCGCTTTCGTGGAAAGAGACCCGTCCGGGCCGATGGGAGCGTCCGCAGTCTTGCCTTGAGAAGATCAACCTCATCAATCGAAATGTTGATAAAGCTCTCGACCGCGACAACTGGGCCAAGACTGCCGTGGCCAAACTCGAGTTCAGTCCGAAACTTGGAGATCCGGAGACTGCACTGAGGGTCGCTTGGAAGCAAGTCCGTTACAACTACCCGGAGGTCGCAGCGTTTCCCTACAATGGCACGTACATGTACCGCATCGGCAACCCGGATCAGGTCGCTCTGTGGGTGTCGGCGACGTTTGTTGTGGAGCAAGATATGACAATCGACCAGCTTCTCGGACATCTTCCCCGGAATGAGCAGATGATGTGCTACTTCCTTCCCAACACTTCGGAAGTCCTCATCCGTTCACCCCACTACCGACTCGACGCGCGTGGAGCTATCTTCTGCTTGAACTATGTCATCGAATGTCTCTCAAAACCGGACCCGGTTCTCGTCTTTGGCGGATGCGCGGAGAACCTCTCACCTAGCATTGACGACGCCCTCCAGATTCCCTTCGAATACACGCCTAAGATCGAAAAAGCGGCCGCAAAACGCATCGCTTCACTGCAGCCTCACCACCCCCTCATTGAACTCACACCCACCATCACGGCAAATGCACCTCGAGCAACAGCGCGACGCTTCACCAAGTTCTCTAGAGGCGAAACCCGCGCCATCCTCAAGGGTTGCGAAGCATCCTCCCTTGATGTCACAGCCGCGCTCCATGCCGCCGTCATTGCCGCCGTCGCCAAGCTAGTCCCTCCCTCTGAGGTGATGAGCTACATGGCCTCCTTTCACTGCGACCTGCGTTTCCTCATTCAGAAATCCCACCGGACGAAGTTCGCACCAACGGTGTGCACCAGCGTGCTCACCACCGAAGTCGAAGTCTCCCCTCAGACCGATTTCAAGTCCTACTACGGGCAACTGGCGCCTGTGTACGCGACCGGATACGCACCTTACCTCGAATCCACCGCATGCTTCCACGAAAAGCTCGCACAGACCATGTATACCGGCGGCAAAGCCACTGGCAACGCGGATGGGCAGGCGCAGCCACGGCTGGGTCCTCTCGGGGTTATCGATGAGCAACTCATCAAGGAAATCAAGGATGTTGTGCGGGTCAAGGACTTCTGGTTCGGCGCGGAGACACTGACTAAGAGGAAGATGGTGCATACATGGATTTATGAGGATCAGATCGTCTACAGTTGCTGTTATAACGAGAGTTTCTGGGAGGATCGGTTTGTGGAGACGTTCCTTCAGGCTATCAAGGATACCCTCTTGGAGGAGGTGGCCATGGTGTCGATGATGAAGAGAGTGGTATTGGAAGACTAATGTTTGGGGAGCCCGGATCGGCTCAGGAGGCTAATGTCTGATGTTTTGGAGTTGGGGTTGGGCGGCATCGAGATTGAAAACAATATACCAAGGATTTTGTTGCATTTCAATACACTGACTGCTCTCCAGTGATGATCGACATCGAGAGCCAATTCCAAGGAATGTTGAAAAGTATTCAGAAGTTAAGCTTGTGCCGGCGCATGGGCTTTCCCCTGCCCATTATCCCTTCTATATACACGACACATTCATGATCTCATGACTCTAGGAGAGCCAGACACACATGAACTCCATTAGATGGTAGTTTTAGAGGTAATCGATCTCAGCTCGACTCCACATCTCTGAAGACTCTGAATGGTTTTGTGCACGGCCGGCGCAGTAAGTCAAGCAGGAGTGAAGGAAGCGAAGCATAGATATTTATACTACCTCGGGCAGGAACTTCGTACAAGACGGAGAGACGTAACGGTGGGTGCAACGAGCGACCCGCCCACCGCATGGCTTAGCAGGTATGATGCCTGGGATCCCAAACAAACTTTCGACACTGGACATGCAGGTAATTCTGGGCGGATTTATCAAGCGTGAATAAGTCAGATCTTCCCAAAAATGGGTCTTTGAGATGAGTTGAGAAGCCGCCCAGAACTGGCCCATATGGGCGAAGAGACCTGCATCTCAGAGGCGCGGGGTCCACACACCCAATCTGTGTGCTGATTTGTAAGATTCTAACATCTTTCCTCACGCAGTTTGAGAAAGAAAAGACTCAGGCAGGGATCCATGCAAGCTTCTACGAGAGCTTTTTGCGTACAATCGACATAGCGGCTTGGGCCCCAGCACGGTCCCTGGAAGACTCCCAGAGGCCACCCAGACATGTATGGGCGACTCTCGCGTTTTTAAACAGGCGAGGAACACCCCTCCATTGACCATATCGCCATGCATTTTAGTGAAGTGCACTGAGCTCAGGGTTAAGGGCGAGAGGAGGATATGAGGGGGTTTATGTAGACGTAGGATGTCTCATCGTGGCCAGGCTGAACCTAAATAGAGCGACTAAACTTGTGAGCAACTTTACCTAGTAGGGGGTCTTTCGGAAAGAGCCCACAGTCATGAATATGGGAATGTTCTGGGCGTCATCGATATCCTCCTGCAGCGCTACCGTGGCTTCACGGCATTTTCTCAGCTCTCCCCGAACCGACCCAGCTCATGGTTGGTATTGCGGCCGATTTCTGCGTCTGCAACAGTGGGACATGTCCGCTCCAAAGCTAGGGTTTAAAAATTACGCCACACAGACACCATGTGGCCCATGTCGTATACTTTTTATAGGGAAAGCGCCAGTAATAAAGGTGGGCAATTTTGAGAGAAATTATCAGGAGCGCATTAAGATGAAGACCAGTGGTACGGGAAGGTTTTATATGAACGAACTCTTTGATGTCGGAGAGTGGGATGATGGAATATTGCGCTTCACTTTCTTCCATACGCAAGCGTGCATCGCCAGTGAGCCGTTTCGCATCGAGGGGACACCATACGACGTCTGTGCAGCAAATTTGGATATTTGGTTAACGTCTGTTACCACGGAGGTGAAGGTTAAACTAAAGCGGCCTATCCCATGGTGGATATGGGCGTGAGTTCTGGACCGAGGCCGTCCACAAGCCATGGTCTCTGGCTGGGCTCCATTTTAGACAAATGGCTAAGGAAAGTGTGAGACGAAGTTTGAAAGGATAGAAACCACATTATATAGCTGACAAGTTGAGACTTTAGCACCGCTTTAGAGCATTACTTAGTCCACGTCGCTCCTCAGGGTTTCAAGCCATGGCGACATTTGCCGATATACATCGCCAACATGGAGGTGCAAGACATTCAGGATTAATGCGAGGCTGAAGGACGGGGAGGTGAAACACTACTTCATGAAGGTAAGTCCCTACTCGTCCGGTTTGAGTTTTCCGATCTAGATAATAACGAATAAATCTAGTATGAATTAGGCGAGCTTGGCCGACGTATGATGGAAGGCTCATTCCTATCCGAGACGGCCTACTCCTCCTACGCCGGCGGCCATGTGCCGAAGCCCATCGGGTTTGGCGAATTCCGAGGCGAGCCCAACACATGGTTTTACCTGTGCGAGTTTCACGATATGGTGGACGAGGTTCTGGACGTCAAGGCCTTCGTGGACATCGTTGCAAAAGTCCACCGAGCCAGCATGGGAAAATCCCCGAACGGGAAATTCGGCTTCGCAGTACCGACGCATCTCGCCAACATTCCCAACGATAATGCATAGCAGGATTCATGGGAGAAGTGGTACACACAGGCCATGCAAGCCATGTATGAATTTGAGAAGCAAACCCAAGGTGAAGACGAAGAACTGGACAACCTTTTCGATGCCCTCTGTAAGGAAGTCATACCAAGGCTTCTTCGACCTTTGGAAACAGGTGGGCGCTCTATTAAGCCTTGCCTTGTCCACTCCGATCTCTGGCCTGGCAACTGCATGTTCGACTCCTGCGCCTATTGGGTCATAACGAGGCTGACCTAGGCCCCTGGCGAGCCCCGCGATATCGGTTGGGAAGACCCTATCTCAAACAATACCAAAAGGTCATGGGTATGTCTGAGCCACATGGAGATTGGGACGACCGCAACGCGCTGTATGCCTTGTAAGTACTCGTAGGGTGTGTGGCGTTTCGGATCTATACTCATAGCTCACCAGGCGCTATGATTTTCTTGTCTCCGCTCTCTACCCGAATGAGACAAAGTTTCGCCAGATGTATGCGGCCCGCATCTTTTGGAAATGGTCACATGTTAACGTAACACAGGGCGAAATGGGAGATGCGGGCGCTCGTAGAAAAGTTCCCTGATGGACTGCGGGAGGGACTGGAGCAAGAGCATGGTGACTGGTCAGAGGGTACGAAGCACTCGGGGGAACTCCAACTGGACTCTGAGATTCTCGCCGGTGAGACCCTCTGCGACGCTGTGTGAGACAAAGATACGTGTAAAGTTGATGTTATATAGCACTTCCATCTAATGCTGAAATCGTAGCTGCACAGGGCTATGGAGTAAGCAACTGGAATCAGACCGGGTATATCGATTTTCGACAAGACAAGGCAAATACGACACGTTGGTTTCTCAAGGTATGCCCCAAGATGTACCAATGTTAGCCATATTTAACGGCACGCTAGCTTGCCGCGGGAGATCGCGGCCTTGGCATGATGAAGGGGGAGTATGAGTTCATGCGAGAGATTTGTAAAGTAGCGCCCTCGTTTGCCCCGCGTCCTATATGCTGGGGTTTTTGTGCTGAATCGGGGCGTCATTTTTTCATGTGCGATTTCTACGACCTCGACACCAGCCTACCCTCCGCCGCGGATTTTGCAAGAGAAGTTGCAAAATTGCACAAGGAGAGCAGCTCGCCAAACAACATGTTTGGTTTCCACATCAATACCTATAACGGGACCCTTGAGCAAGACAACACTTGGACAACATCGTGGGAAGAGTTTTTCTCCAAGGGAATTCGAAGCATGCTCGCCTTGGAATAATCAGCCAGAGGAACAAGTGAAGAGCTCAAGGAGCTGTCGGGGGCGTTGCTGGAAAAGGTGATTCCCAGGCTGTTGCGTCCATTGGAAACACAAGGCAGAACAGTCAGGCCTAGCCTTCTTCACGGAGACCTTTGGATCGGCAACGTCGCCACCGACAAGGCAACCACGCAGCCCATTATCTTCGACTCATCAGCCTACTATGGACACAATGAGTGTGAGTTTGCCTCTTGTACGCGGCGAGTTTCCATTGGCTAACCCAGGTAACATTCAGATGAGCTGAGCCCACTGCGGCCAATAAACAGCCAATGGAGCCGCGACTGCCTGGAGGAATACCACAAAAACATCCCGAAAGATGCACCTGTGGAAGACTGGGGGTCTCGTAATGCGCTGTACGCCCTGTGCGACACACCATGCTTGCTGCCGGTCAATTACGACTGACACTAGATAGGCGCAACCAGATCATTGATTCAACCTTGTACCCCAACGATGAGAAATATCGAAACAAGCAAGTTTTCCGATGAGAAGGGTCTCTTCGCACCGCTGACCAATTTAGTTTGATTGCAGAGATGAGAAAGCTCGTACAGCAGTTTCCGAACGGATATGTCCATGCTGTCTGACTCCAAGTCATTCCTGGGGAATGCATGTTCCGTTCGCAAGCATGCACAGAACGGAAACGTAGGCATTGCCCTGATCAGTGGCAAAGCCAACCTCGCCGACATGTTTGCAAAGGCTGCACCAGCCCCCACATTCAAGAAATCCCAACAAGGGCTAGGGGAAAGTACGGCAGCGCTTTTCATAGCAAAAGCCGCAAGAAGAAGGAAAGGGGCTGTTAGTTTACACAATACCACGTGATACCCTATTCACTACTAGCGTCTTGGCATTTTAGTGCCTAGGAGTATATGAGATCTCCTCCGCCCACATACATAGCTCCAATCAATCATTCATCTCGATTCCGACCGGTCTCGAATTTTCACTCAGCGCCCTATCCAACTTTCTTGCAACAGAAATTGGAATCTTTTAACATCCCCGGTTGGATTTGCTGCACATTCGAGGAAGAGATCCAATACGCCCATGCAGTCTACGACCTGTGTCACGAATCGAGTCGCGCGCTGCTTCTGTCTGGATTGCTCTGTTATGTAAGCCCGGGCGGTCGCTAAATCCGTGATCCTGCGGCAACTCGACCTGTCAAAACCCCTTCACCCTTCGTGCCCTTCGCCATTCGTGAGCGCGGATCGTCAGTGCAGGTTCCTTCAACATAGAACACGCCGACGACGCACGCGCAGAAACGAGCAATCCCGATGCCGCCAAAAAAAAAACGCAGAGGCCATTCAGCCCTCCTCCATATTCAACTCCACTTAAAAGTCTCTACTCCTCTACGCATGTTCGATATCCGCTGCTTCTCCACCGTATCTTCGTTCACATACTTCCCCCGGATTACTGCGATTGCGCGATAGCTCAATATCACCGTCCAATCCGTCAACTTCACCATTACTTCATACCAAATAGTCTCTGGAACAGCGCCATCCATCCCCGGAATCCTCGCTGACGACATTGGCAGAAGGTAAATTTCACTAACACTTGCACTCTATCTCAGAGCAAACATCAGCCTAGCCTTACCGAAGAACTACATCGCGCTGACCATCCTACGATGTCTCCAAAGTGCGGGAGCATCAAGCACCATTGCCATTGCTTCTGACACCACTGCAGGTATCTCAGTTCCTTGGTATAGAGGTTCTTTGTCAGCGTTCTCCTAAAATTCACTAATGCAGCACCCTGCCCCGGTGCCGTCATCGGGAAGTGTAGTCTCCGGAAAATTAGTCTTGGGAATGGAATTCGGGCGTCTTAACCATAGCATCGGGTACACATCTCACGATTCTTGAAATCTTTCTCCCGGAGACATCTCGAATATTGGTCGGGACGCTGCTTGCGGACCTGAATCCAGATAGGGGTTCAACTGTGCAGGCCAGCTATAACTTCATTCGATGCGCGCTGAGTGCTGCAGGAATCGCGGCTGTCGATGCGATGATACGGGCTGTGGGTGTTCGGCGGTGTTTTACTGCTTTTGCGTGGTTTGGGGTGCTGTGCGTGACGCTTTTATATGTGCTGAAGGGGGAAGGGGGTGGGGCTTAAGAGCGGTCGAGAGTACACGTGATGTAGATACAGCTGGAGGGAATGGCGAGTAGAGCGAGATCTGATTTGCTCGGGGTACGCAGAGCATGTTTGATCTTGGAGCAGAGAAATAGCATTCCATTATTCGATAGTCTGCGGGTCTTCGGTTGGTGTTGTGGCTGAACCATCTCAGCTCACGTGCTCATGCATCGCATAAGGAACCTCGGGATCGACCAGTAGTGTACCGAACGGCTTCACTTCCAGACGACGGCATTTGAGCTGCGCCGCGGTCGCTTAGCTAGACATGGCGTGCAAGAAAAGGGACAACACAAAGACAAACGAAAGGTTTCGTTTGGAGGATCCGTATTTCTCGCCCGGCTTATAGGGCGATGAAACGTGGTTGGCGAGCTAACAGGAGCGAGCGCGACGGTTTTCGCAAAAAATAGCTGGCGTGATGCTGCGCCTCAATCCATCAGTCGGCGCCTTTCCTAATCCATGCAACCGTCTGTTTGAACAACCGACTCTTTGGGAGTTTCTGCGACGCGATGTGTCCTGTTTGGGCCGATTCTTTGAGTCGTGATTGTACCACTACCTCCGAGGTACGGCCGGCATCGAGTTGCTGGCATCTACACAGTACACCGTCAGCGTGAGAGATGGTTCTGATATGTAATGCGTGATGCAGCGCGTCGAGCACCAAAGCCGCCACACCCGCGCCGCTAGCATCGTATCCGTTCTATGAATAAGTTTCTGCTTGGCCGGATCAGCTCGTCGCCCAACGCTGTCGCTTGCGCGAAGGGTGCGCACGATCTCGATGTGCCTCAGGAAGCAGGTGCTCGAGACACTCTGCCTGTCTAGTGCGCATCGCAATGACGTCGCGCTGCTGGTAATATTCGTCGATATTATCGCCGGGTTCTCGCCTTGCTGGCAGCCACTCCACCTCCGCATCACCGCAGCTCGCGCCTCGCTGCCGACTGAAAATCAATCCCGCCGCACCTCGCCTGCCGCCGCCCCGACCCTTTCGCACCGCCCTTGTACCTTTTTGCAGCAGCTTCGCTCTGCTCTCGAACCCGCCCTTGCCTTCGCGCGAGTCCGCCGTGCATGCTGCAGTTGCTTAAACAGCTGCACCCCGCTTGAAACTTGCGCCTCAGGAGTTCCACAGGCAGTCGCCCGGACCTGCGTACCAGCCGCCGTCGCTCACTCCATCGCCCCTTCCCTTCGTACGCTCGCTTTCACGGCAATTGACGACTGCAAACAGCATGAGCTTGCTCTGCTGAACCCATCGCCCTCATCGCCCTCATCGCGCCTGCCAGCACATCACCGCACCGTTTCATCCACGCAGCCTACCCTCGTCACCCGTGTGCTACTTTTTCTGAACCGGACGGCCTATTACTACAGCCCGCGCCCGACCGCTGTCCAGAGTTTCTACGTGCTCCGGCCAACCTCGAACGACTCACACCGTCCTTCGGCGCATACCATCGGCCCGCGTGCTCGTCATACACTATCTTGGCCCGCGCCGAGAGTCTCGTAGTGAAGGAACATGAGGAGGTGGACATTAGAGAGATGACGGCAACCTGCACAGCGCCCAATGGCGCTTACACAGTACTTGACAGCAGGCAGCGCGAGATCCCCTCACTTCAGCCGACAAGACCTCCCCCACGACCGCGACGGAAACGACGGATAGACGCTCTGCTATACGCGCTTCCTACCTTCGTTGTCTTTATCGCCCTCGCCGTTCTCCCTACTGCGAATGCCGTCTTCATAAACTTCGAGAACTGCCTAGACCGCACCTATCGATTTGCGGATGATCCGCCGCGGCTCCAGTTCACCCCCATGCACGTCTGGGCCTCGTTCAACACCACGTACCCGAGCCATAATCTTAACGTTACAATCTACGGGAATGTCTCCGGACAATCAACGCCCGGCCCGTATCTCCCACCAGACGACCCTGACTGGACAGATCCGAACAAGACGTTTGGCAAAATCGTGGACGTCAGCCAGAGCAACAACAAGTTCACCACCCTCTTCTCCAGCTTCAAGGTTCTCACATACTCTGCATACTCTTCGCCGGCCACCGAGTTCTGCCTCAGCACCGTCAACGCTTCCTGTCCAATCGGTCCGGCGTTTAATGGCAGCGGTCAATTTCCTAACGCCAATGCTAGTGATCCGTACACATTGCCCGCATTCACCGTCGGACATGACTTCTACAGCAGCTACTCATTTGCAACCTGGGCCTCCACGGTGCGCATTGTGTCGGGCGACGCGAGTGCTATTACTTTGGCATGTGTATCTGCGAACATCACACCAGACCTTGGGAACAAGCTTGCCGACGCCTTGTGTTACCTCCCTGCTGCTGTACTAGCCCTGGTGGGGATCGCGACCGTCTTCGCCGCAACCTCGAGCCCTTGGGGCACCACGAACATCTTCCGCTGGACAAGCAACTATGGCAGGGACGAAGATCTGCTCCGGCTGGTCACTCCAGGCTTCGGTGACTGCCTGCAATACATCCAGTTCATCGTATTGGCCGGCAGTCTAGGCTTAGCCTATCCCGGATATTTCCAGCCCGTCGTCAGCCAGGCCAGCTGGTCGGTTCTCATGTTCAATGAGAGCCTAGTGAGCCAGGGTAATGGCTCGCAGAGCCTGGTGGACGGCATCTACTTTTCCAATGCGACATACGGCATTTCTCGCCTTGGCCAATACGTGGGCATGTCTGAGGAGAAGGATATTTGGGCCGGCATGGCTGTCTGGCTATTGGTGCTCATTGGAGTCGTCATCGTGGTTGTCCAGCTGGGCTTCTTCGGTCGCTGGCTCTTCCGTCTAATCACCGGCACTCGGGATACCGATCTGCGCGAGATGAACTGGCCGTTCACGGCTGGCAATGTCGTGCGCATTGTCTTCAACTTTTTCCTGTTGCCTATTGTATCCCTTTCTCTATACCAAATGGTGGTCGCACCACGCTCGCCCGCGTCCGTCGTAGCCACGGCAGTCATCCTCCTCCTACTTGTGGCCGGCGTGGCGGTCTGGATCTTCTGGTTCATTTTCACGACCCGACCGCGCGCCCACCTGTTCGATGATCTGCCGACAGTCCTGACCTACGGACCGCTCTACAACACTTATTCCGACGATGCGGCGCCGTTTGCCTTCATTCCCGTCTTATTGACGTGCATACGCGGCATCGCCATTGGCGCGATCCAACCCTCCGGTATCGCACAAATCATCGTACTCGCCATTTGCGAAGTAATCTTAATCCTTACGCTGCATGCCTTCCGGCCGTTCCAGTCTAATACGTCGATGAACGCATACCACACTTTCTTCTCGGCTGTGCGCCTCGTCTGTACGTTGCTCTTGATAGCTTTCGTTCCCACCCTCGGTGTCTCGGAGTCCTCGAAGGGATGGATTGGCTATGCGATCCTCTTGCTTCACGCCATTGTCTTGGTGTTCGGTTTCTTTCTCAACTCGCTTCAGACAATCATCGAGGTCGCTGCAAGGCTTGCCGGTGCAGGAGCGGACCAAAGAGGAGGCTTGACGAAGGTCTTGGGTGTACGCCAACTAAGCAAGCGCACTCATCGGCATCAGCGCAGTAGCCTCAACTCGGATGCGGCGATGCTGGGACCTGAGGCTGACAAAGGCGGACGAACTCGAAGTTTGTCAGGGAGCTCAGCGGTTCTTTTGAACCAACCCTTTGGCGGCAGTCACCGTGCCAGCCTTGGGTTTGATCAATTCAGCCAAGGCGGAGACCTTAGCCACGGAGGGACGAGCCCGGGGACACCAGGGACGAATGCAACTCCATTCAACTTCCTGGGAGGATCTGCACAGAGCTCTCGACGGCCCACAATGGGTACTACTTTGGAGACTCCCGACCCATACTATCGTCCTCCTAGACCACGTAAGCAGACGATGGATTCCTTAACAAATAGCGCTCCCGGAGTATCAAACAGAACCTCCAGTGGAAGCGCAGAGCTTGCTAATACACCTTATGCCGATCTCCCGGAGCACGTTGGAGCTGGCGATACTGGCGATGCAGGTGAAGGTCCATCTTCCTGGTCACCGAATCGGTCAATCACACCAGCCTTTCTGCGTATGCACCGTGATGACTCCGATCCCAATCTCGAGCATCGCAGCAAGACAGATTACTCTGTGCGCGAATCCGACTTCTACTATGGTCTTCGTGGACCCGCCCTCTCAGCCCAGCCTACCAGAAAGCTAAAGACGGGGCCCGCAGATCCGATGGGGCCGGTGTCATCTGCCACTGGTTGGTTTAAAAGCTTAGGGCTGTTTGGTGGAAAGAAGAAAGAGAAGACCAAGGGATTTGAGGTTGTGCGGAGCACGCGCATGCCGCCGCAGATGATGACCTTGGAAGAGGATGACGAGTCACCACATATGCCACACGAGCCGTACCGTGATAGCCCCGATACACCAACTGGTGCCAAGAGGTCCCTACAACAGGACGATCCCGAGGCCGGCCTTGGAGCTGGAGCCGGAGCTGGTGCTATGAGAAGGTCAAACGATAGTGAGTCGGACAAGAGCACCGACGAACCTTTTGACCATTACATACCTATGCAAAACAGAGTGTCTGACTCTGCGCCCACTCTAGGTCCGATTGAGACTGTAGGCGGTATCGAGCTCCCCAGCCGGATAGGCTCTCGCGCGTCGCGTGTCACCCAGGATCCTCCACCACTCTTTGTCCCGACACTACCACGTAAGAGTTCGCGGCGCACGCCATCTACGGACAAGGCTATCCTGGAAAGCAGCTCTCGCTTATCGACGGTGATGGCCTCCCCACCAAGTACCCCTGGACGCGTGTCCGCACATCTGCCTCAGGACCAAAGCCAGCACCTGCAACCAAACCGAGGCGGGCTTCCGATTCGTCTTCCATTCGGGTCAACTGAGCCATCGCCTTCTCCAGAACGTACTCCGGGGCATTCGGCTGCCTCAAGCATCTACCCGAATGACACGTCAAGCTCGTTCAATGCACTGGATGCCGCCGATGACCTAGCGCCACCTCCAAATATGCAGACGGGCGAGCGACCGCTGAGCACTGGTTACGTGCACCAGCACATGGCACGCGACAGCATACAAAATGACCGCGATGCGGGATCGCATCTCGAGGCTTCGGCAGAGTTTGTCGACAGGAGCCGGAGCTTCAGCACACAAGGGTCTCACACATCCCGCTGATTCCCCTCACGCTGTTCTACAGTCGTGCTAACTGTTCCTCGCGCAGTTTTCTAGGCAAGACAGTTTGGCAGCGGCGTCGACGTTGATTATCTTCACATAGCCTTCCTTTATTGTAATTTGGAGACCTGAATTTTGAGCATGCAGGCTTCGTAGCTCACGAATTTCCTTCCTGTACACACTCATCTTTTCAAAAGCGATCCTTTGGCGTTGTAAGCGCACTTTCTACGTGGGAGGCTGGATTGGGTGCTTTAGCGTGGGCATAACATGGCTTTGCACTAGGCGTAGGTTGGCATGCATCGGGCATAAATGCGCAGGGACTCGGGGATGGGGTTTGAGGCGACTTCTTGGTTGTATACCTACGGCTTTTGTGTAGGATGAGGAGAGGGAGCGTAGTATACCTGGCTGAATAATAATTACCCTTCCAATCTACACGAAATGATCTTCATCGTTGTTCTCGGATTGATAGCGCGCTGTCTGGCTAAATAAATAGGTGGTGCGGCTGAGGGGTCGGAAGATTGTTGTTGCGGTTCCGGCGTGTTGTCGCGTGAGGCGTGAGGGGAACCGTGCATGTGCTGAGGCTGTTGGCTGTTTGGGCTCGGCCATCCGCGATTAAGTACCTCGACGCCTGAGGCTATTCCCTCGACGCCCTCCCAGCTGCGCTCTTGTTTCTGCAGGCCCGGGGCGAAATTCAGCCTTGGGAGGACTCAAACGACCGTTTATTCCTGTTTCGTTGCTCTTTTCTTCACTCGTCGCCGTGCATTGCGGGTTCCTTCACCCCTCTCCAACTTGGATCACGGACCACCGCGCGACCGCCAGACCCGACTTCACCATCTCTCCTGAGAGTGAGTGACTACAACACTTCTTACCGGGTATATGGTTGACCGGTGCCCATAGAACCCCGCAGACACCACTTTCTCTCGCATTACTAACAGTGGTGGCGGCATGCGGCCATGAGCTTCCGATCGCCTCTCCTCCAGCGACCTCGCTCGCCGAGCACCTCCTCCTCTTCGTCAGACTCCTCCGACGACCGCCTGCCTACTCCGACAATTTCGTTCCCTCGGACCCGTTCGGGCAATATGGATAGAAGACAGGGCAGGGTGTTCTCGCAGAGTACGCCGGAGCTGGTGCATCATGAAGATGGGATGGGCAACACCGCTTACGCAGCAAGTGAGGCTGCGGAGACGCATGCTGGGCCGGTCGGGGTTTACCCGCACGGAAATCATCCACACGGTGCGGTGGCCTCGCACTTTCTTGCACAGGATCCGGAGGTATATGGCGGGCAGACGTGGATGGATTTCCTGAGGGAATCTGGAGCCGACCGACATGTCAACCCCAACGTCCCACAACCACGCAACCTTCCCCTACTGCCCGGGCTTGAGTCGCAAGCTTCGTCCTCAAGATACTCGCTCCCCGCACGTCCATCGCCTACCAGCGAGGCGCCGTCACGCAGCTCCTCCGACAGGAAACGGAGGTTGACAGCAGCCGAGTCTCCTGTGAGGCGACCCTCCGGTATCAGAATGCATTCGGGAACTGTAGGCGGTACTAGTTCGGATCCCATTGTGCTCGACTCGTCTCCCGCTCCGCCTCGCCCTCCTCCACCACCCTCGTTCCCGTCACAGACCAGCAGGAGTTCGATGAGGCGGGAGAGCGACATTGTGCTACCTCCATGGCAGCCTGACTCGGAAGTTACGCACTGTCCAGTCTGCGGAAGCCGCTTCACATTCATCTATCGGAAGCATCACTGCAGGTACGCCAGCTCTCAACTTTTTCGTTCATCCACATTATTACAGCCGCGGTCGCACGCGCACCCAGCACCGGTATCAGATTCTACGAACCAAGAAGTCCTTCATCAGTATTGCGGGTAGCTGCGTGTTGCACAGTATTGCAAATTCATGCTAATCTAAATCGGCAGAAAATGTGGAAGGGTGGTGTGCAATGCATGCTCGCCTCATCGCATCACTATCCCGCGCCAGTTCATCGTCCATCCGCCCTCCGACAATCCCAACATCATCGACCTGACAGCGGAAGATGATGACAATGCAATGTCGGCTTTCGGGCCGTTCCGCAACCCAGCGCTAGGTGGAGGCGAAGAAGTCCGCGTTTGCAACCCCTGTGTCCCGGATCCCAACTTCAGTCCGCCGCCCCAGTATAATCAAGGCCACCCTCCACCGTATTCAGCCTATTCGCCCCCTCTGCACCCGCCTGTACTTCCAGGGCCTAGCCCGCTGCATCGCATGCATTCCAGACACCGATCATCACAGAGTGTTAACGACGGGGCGCAAACGATAAGCCACGGGCAAACGTCTCGCCAACATGATCCTTTCAGTGACCGGAGAGTCAGCTTTCACAATAGCACGCGTGTTGCGGACTTGTGGCCGCCAACACAACCACCCCAGTCTGGCCATGCGCATCCTGCGCATCATGATCACCATGCCAGAGCGCATTCACGGCCAACCTCTTACGCCGCGCCCTCCACACATGCGCAACCCGATTCAGGAAGCTACACCGGCCCCGGAATGTTCAGACGGACTCTTTTCTCGCAGGCTCCTCCCGCTCCGCCTTCCGCCCCGCAACCCGCTCCGCGTCGCCAAATCGCCGAGGAAGACGAGTGTCCCATCTGCGGCAATGAGTTGCCTCCGAAAGGACCCAACGGGGACGACACAGCGCGCACCCAGCACGTCGAAGCCTGCATCGCCGAACATTCCTCAAGTCCTCCACCGATACGCCCCACAGCCCAAACCTCAAGCAGTCTTCCCAACCAACGCACCCGTGGCATGAGCAACGCCGCCGATGCGTCCGGCAATGGCGAGGGTGCGAGCAACAGTAATCGGCTTAGCATTATGGCGCGCGGCATGTTTCCATATGTGGCGACGGAGAAGGACTGTGTGGACGAGGAAGGGAAGGAGGCGGAGTGTATTATATGCTTCGAGGAGTTTGAGCCAGGGGATAAGTTGGCGAGACTTGTGTGTTGGTGTAAATTCCACGAGGTGAGTGTGATCCTGTGCATGCGGTGACTAGAGAAAAGCTAATGCGGAGTAGGCTTGTATACGGCAGTGGTGGGATAAGAAGGGGCGCGGTGCATGTCCGACGCATCAGCTGCAGTATTAGAGGCGGCGCGCGCGTCACATACACGAAGCGACGCGCCGAGAACGGATCTCACTCGTTGAATAGAAAGAGTCAGTGCAACAGCTCGACTCTCTGGTCTGGATACTTCACATTATTGCCTCGGCGGAATCTCTCATCTTGCCTGGTCCTGGGTCTGCGTTTGGATTTGGCTTGCGGCGTTCAGGGATATACCCCCTTCCTCACCTTTTCTTTCATGTCCAGGGGCAATGAATGATTGTATGGCTTGCATCGCACTCCTTTTTCTCCCCTTTTTGGTTATGCATGCTGTTGGCGCTGGGCATTAGGTGTATGGTGCGTGCATGTTTGGGTTTTCTGGGTTTTCTGCGCAATGAGTGGGTTGGTGAGCTAGGGGTGGAGTAGAGTTGAGTAGTCTCCCCCGCCGCAATGCGATAAGACGTTGTGATGGCTTGTTCGTTCTCTCGTCGCTGATCTTGTCTCCTCATGATGTTGGTGGTGGTGGTGACGCGGCGAGGTGGAGTGGAGGGGAGTGATTGCTAGTTTTACGTGGCTATGGCGCAGTGCGGTGCGGTACGGTGTGGTGTGGTGTAGTGTGGTGGTTATTCCCTCCCTTCTTGTTCTTCCTTCCGGCTTTCCTTGCGCCCTGCCCTGCCGCGCCCCAGCTCGTATGCATTCTTTGAAAGGTTCAGCGTGGGTACCGAGGTGGAGAAGAGAAGAGAAGAGGAAATCGCTAGTGGCTATAGATACAGACAGACAGAGATGCCATGGTATGGTCCCCTAACCCTGAATCGCATCACGGCACGGCAGGGGCACCGTTCCGTTGTGTTCTGTTCGCTCCTTCCCCTCTATCTCTCTAGCTAGCGTGGAGAAGCAGATGATGTCTTGCTTGGTTCGGGGAGAGGAGAGAGCGTGCGGTTTGGGAAGGTTTGAGAAGGGGAGTGGAGAGCGTCTGTCTGTCTGCGTGTATAAGTTTGGATAGCGTTGGGATGATGGGTTCGGTTGCCTATGAGACTATTCCGTCTAGCCTCAGCACCAGCAGCCAGCGAGAAGGTAAAAATAGAGCAAGTTAGTGTTTAGTAGCAACCTAAGATACTCTATCCCAAGATACTGATACCGATACCGCAAGTCGACGCAGCGCTTGTGTATCCATCCCGTGTTAGCCGTGAGTAAACGAGCTGATGCGTAAACGAAAACGTCCGGCATATGCCCGCGAGCAGAGCTTGCCCACGTAACAACGATGGTTTGCGGGGTACGGTTCGAAGTGCAGAAGACGTTTGTTTCGAAGCAGATGGGAGGGCGTACTGCTACCCGAGCCCGCTTTGTTTTGAGTTCCCCGGAGATCTATTTTCAGTCCGTTTACGTGCATGGCATGGATGGATGGATGGGGTGAGGTGAGGTGGGATCCTGTCTGGAGGATAGAGGTGTGAGATCCTCCAACTGGTTGGACTGGAGAGAAGGATGTGGCTGTAGAAAAGTTTGAACGCTTTACTTTGCTTTGCTGCGTACGAGATAGATATGGGTCAGGTTAGATGTGGTATTAGCACCTGTCCTGATTCTCATTTCTCAGAGGGCGACTTCACGGAGTAGAAGAGGGTGCGTGGATTGGTGGAGCAAGCAGGCCCTTCGTATCTGAGTTCTGTCTGAGCTTGGAGCTACTTGCCCCTACATGCGGTCATACACGGCGTCTTGTATTGTATGCTTCTGAGCGTCACCGTGCTCGTGGTAGGCAATGATTCAAGCAGTCTGCGAGGGGCGACTGACTCCCCCTCACGGCCCTGTGGTCCCGGATCTCAGATTCCTTCCGAGAATCTATCATCGCACTCGCGTCATTGCCCTCGCACAGAGCATCATCGACTGACTCGTTGTCGCCACTACGTCTTACTGATGGGGGTAACGATGTACGAACTCTAAAACAACCGCATGGGAAGGATTTGGAATACTAGCCGTGAGTATTGCCGCAGATGTTGATTTGGAATTACGAGTTATGTGGTTGTGGAGGGTTACGGGAGAGGCGGTAGAGACCTGAGCAGCGTCGCCTTTCTCGATCAGCAATTGAGATCGATGGTGACGAGAGACCCCTTTGGAGGTACATTGCGAGAACAGATGCGTGTGACACGAGAGAGAGTCTACCACTGCCGCACTTCTTCCGAGTTGTTGGTATCCTTGTGTGCTGGGAAACACTTCGCTTCAAGCTCTGTTGAGCCACTCCTCCCTCGTTCACCAACCTCCCTTTCTAACCTGCTGACCCTTGGTGTGACAAGGGTGACGCTCCAAAGCCTCACGATTCCTAGGCCTCGATATATTTCCCCGGAAATCGGCCAAACCTGGGACTTCCACGACGAAAGCCGCATACTACCCTGGCCCACTTCCTAACCGAAGGCACACTCTTGCTCCTCCCTGCTTTGCAGCATCTTGTACAACCATGCCGTCAAAGTGCCAATACTATGTATCCACATTCGAGCCAAAGTCACCCCTTTGGAGGAACCCATGCTGCAAGGGATGTCGGGAGCTCTTCCGATCCGCGCCACTGGCATGTATGTCTCACGAGGACTCCTTTAGGTGTCGCTAAAAATCCTTTAGAGGGACCAGGAGACGCAGGGGGGTTCCGTGTGCATCATGGTGCGAGATCCGGCGATCGTTGCATAGATCTGGAACCACGGGCGCGGTATCGACAGCTGCAATTCTCAATGTTGCGACTGGCAGGGCGCGTCAAAGTGAAGGTAGAAGGTTTGATTGGTCGGAGGGAGATGCGCGTTCGGAAGAGAGTGGGCTGGGCCTTGCATCTTGGACCTGATGACTTCGCTAGCTGTAACTAAGTGTTAGCTTCAGCGGGCCGTAGCGAGATCCCGTCCGATCTGGCGATATGCGTGGATCTATTGGACTAGCTTCAATTGGGATGAACGCGTAGGGGTCGTTTCGCGATCGTAAGTGGTGTGTTCAGACATAGCGAGGGTAAGAAGTCAGCCTCAGCTGCGTCACTATGGTTCGATGTAGTCCAAAGGTTGGATGGTTCTTTTTTCTGTGGTGGCCCAACAGTATTGCAGCATGTGGAGGCTCTGGAAGCCAGCCTTGCGGCATCGAATCGGCAGGGTAATGCATGCCGACGCCTCGAAGTCGGCGCTGAGGTGGTTAATGTAGACCATGGGATGGATGCGCGCGGGATTGGATAGATCCTCTCCGGATGGTTATCCGTCTCGCTTACGCATTGCTGTATCAATTGGTGTGTCTGCGGCTTCTTCTGTGGCAGCTGCAAGTATCGTACGATTTCAACCTTATATAAAAGTGGGCGCCGAAGGTCGTGTGACGTGCATCATACTGTATCTCAGTCGGCTCCGGTAGCCAACCTTGCTCGGTGGGGTTTGAGATCCATTCGGATGTCATGTTGAAGCGACATCTTCCCCGATCAGAGAAGTATCGGTGGAGGTACTCTGGCGACCTTGCCTTTTTCCCACCGGCGAGAGCCAATGCCGACGGCAAGTCGCGGCGGTGCGTGCGGCTTGTTTGATTAGTCTTGATGAGGACTACCACAACTACCCTGAAACAGGCGAACACGCGGTTTTTTTGCGGTTCGAGATGCAAAAACAAAAGCCCATGTGTCACCGAAAGGGATCTCGGCGAAGTGGCTTCGGAAGTACCTCGTCCCCATGGTACCTGTCAACTGCCGATCTTTTCCCACGGGAGTTGTGTTTCGCGAACAACTGTCCTTAAACTGTTAGCATTATAGACTCGGCCAAATCCATTGTGAAGCAATTGTCGCATGCGCTGATCATCGTTCGACGTGCGCCGGAAAGTGCCTTTATGGTCATGATCAGCGAGAAAAAGAATCAGAATCAGGAGATGTCTTCTTTGTCATACCTCATATCGGCGTATCTATCCGGCGAAACATTCCACTCCGCGGGACAGAACGCTGGAGACCCGTCCGAATGAGGTACATGCCATAGACTCGCATTCACGCTTGCACATGCATGTCCACTCTCAACACCGATCAACGGCCCCATAATAGCCGGGAAACCTCCCCCGTTGAGTTCGGCGTGGCTCCGTGACATCAGCGGCCACTTTTATCAAACCCATGAATAATAACGCGGAGCCGATAAAACGCCGGGCGGTGCTGTCGTGCAACGTGACACGGGTCACCGATGAAATGCTTCCTTTTTGGGCCTATGGCGGTCGAGCTTCAGCCCGAACGCCTGTCATCCGTCACGGCGGAAGCGAAAGACTAGCGTGTATACCAGCCGGCGGACCGATGGGGGGCTTTGAGGCGGGAAGACCGACGTGACGGGCGTCGCAATGCTCCTGTGAGACCGGTTGGGCGTTGCTTTTTCTGCAGCGGCTCGAGCTGCACGCCAAGCGCTGCCACCCGGAACCAGCCACAGCGGAACGAACCAAGTAGTGGGAGTAAATTGGAGCAATCGAGAGAAGAGGCTAAGGAAAGTAATCTTCGATGATGCCCTGATGTCAGCTGGGGAGGGATATACCCTCACGGTAAGGGGAAAGGTTTTCAATCGCCTGTGCTGAAATCCGTCGCGCCTCCAGCCACATCCACCTATCCCGCACCACCATTGCTCCCTCGTCGCAGGAAACAATATAGCCGGCTCGACAAGTGGGGAATCGTGACCGGCATTCCATGGACCAACGGCGAGTATTGGCTATGCGTATACCGGTGTCAAGTGACAGGCGGACCGCCGCCCACGCACAGTCAAGCCGCAGGCAATATCGCAGCGTTGCAGTGTGATGAGCGTTGATGGCTGCGCGAAGGAAACAGGTGATGATGAGTGGATGAGAGGAGACGAGGTGATGTTTTCTTTTGCTCGAACCAATGGCTTAGTAATGACATCATCCGAAGCATCTCCCAAGAGGAAGGTGCTACAGATGGGAAATGAAGGAAAGAGCTAACCTGCCAATGGTCTATGTGGGATGCTGCTAATAATGCTCCCCTAATAAAACAACAGTGTAGTGAAGGGACTGACTCGAACGCGAAAGCGGAGCAGGAAATCCGAAATCCGAAACAAGATAATAAAAACACGCCCACACGGACGATGGGGCGGACAACAGAGCAGGGAAGCAAGCTACCTGGCTTCGCTACTGCCGGCCCAACTCCTCCATCCCTCCATCTCCGTCTGCTCCGCGTCGGGCCCTGCAATCGCTGCAACGCTTTGCGGGGCATCATGGCCACCGGAGGAGAGGTGGAAGGGGAACGTGTATTGCCAGGCCGGGGCAGTAGGCGCAGCTGGCCTCTGCTGCGATGTCTGATGAGAGAAGACAGGGATGGCCTGCGAGTGGTCCGACATGTGCGAGAAGCTCAAGGCCGGCTCTGAAACACTGGGGATTGGAGCTGCGGGCCGAGCCGCCCATGATGGATAAACGTTCGGGTTGCCGGTGGGATGGTGAATCGGTTGCGCGGCTATCGCCATTGTTGGTGCGGCGAACTCAGGAAGAGCCTGCAATAAGGGTTGTGATCTGGCGAATAGAGGCATGGTTTTCTCGTAGGGTGGTGCTGCTTCCAGTGCGTCTTCCCGAGTGGTGTCTCTCTTGGTCGCCGAGTCTACCACTACAACCCCGCCCGACACCCTTGCATTCAAATTTGAATCCTGGTGCTGCTGTACCCGTGCGCATGAATAATGATGTTGAGGAGCCGCTGGGGCGGGAACATGGTGGTGGAGTGATGGATACGAGTGATTCCGTGAGTGAGGCGGCGGAAGCTGATGAAGGCCCGTGGATGATCCATGGAGGTCGTGATGTTGATGATGATGTTGCTCGTGCATCAAGCCCGTGGGTGATGGAGGCGATGTCGGAGACGTCAGACCCTGTGGCTGGGACTGTTCCTGTAATGGCGCTGTACAAAACGTCGCGTATCGTAATGGTGCCGATCCTGGGGCCGATCCTTGTGCTGCCTGCACCTGTTCCGAAGATCGAACATCGCGAGCCCGGTCCTTCGCCCGCGCCGGCTTCCAGTCGTCGAATTGTGTTTCCTCGCCCTGTCTTCGCTCCCGCTCTTCCTTGACTTGCATCGCTACCGATGTCGTACTCCCCATGCCAGCCCCTGCCGTGGCCCAGGTTATCGGTGCGAAGGCTTCGGGAACAAAAGATTGTAACCCAGGGTCCTCCAGCAATAGCATGCCTGTGTTGCCCATGACCGTGTCATGCTTGACTGTTGAACCCTGCATCGCCTCACTTCCAACGGCTCCCTGCATTTCGACATCACAGCCTGCATTTGCCCCTCTTGTGGAGCTGCTCCGTTGCATTCCGACGTTTGCAGCCCGCTGTCTTCCCAGCTCGGCCAGTCCCCAGCTTACCCTCTCGACAGCCATTGAGGCGAGCTTATGCACACCGTTGTTATCCAGCTCCCGGAACACATGATATGCTTTCTCCACTCTTTCCATGCGGCTGAGATCTCCAGTCTCCATTGCATCGAGCACTAGTATCATGCACGAATTGAAAGCTTGCTGTCCCATGGTCCAGCAGATCTGCGCTGCGGGAACGCGAGCGTAGAAGAAAAGAAAAGCTGTTAGGAGATCTTCGGATGACGACAAGACTAATGGGCGTCCCCGGAGTGAGGCTTTCGATGACGCCGTGGGAGAGGGGTGCGAGGATGATGGATGGTTGGCCGCAGGAAAGGAGGGCAACGGAGCCCTGGCCGTCGAGGAGGGCATTTGGTGCGATATTGGTTGCACCGCCTGTTTTTCGATCCGTTGACGGTTGAGTAAGATGAGGTAAGTGTGAGTCTTGCAGTAGAATACTAGGGAGTGTAAGAGTGCCGTCCAAAGTACGCTGGAGAGGGCCGGGAATGACAAACCAGCAGCCATGGCTCCCAGTGGCCATTCCGGTAGTTCCTTGCCTTCATCCAGCCACGACTCGTCAAATTGAAGCATCTCTGGCATCGTGTCCAGCAATCCTTTTAGCTGATCGGTAAACTCGTCGATCTTATTATTGGTCAAGCGGTCGCTGCTCAGTATCTGCCGTGCCAGTAGTGTGAAGTGATTTACGAACTCTCCAAATCGTAGCATTTTCGGGTCAGTCGTCAGCTCATACGGCGGAGGGCAATCTCCAAGTCCACTGATCCCCAGTGGTCGGCCTAGCGTCATGGAGTACTCTTGGTCCATGTGCAGCATCCACCACCACAGAGTCTGGCGTATAGAGATCTCCCTTTGCGTCGGCGGTGCGGGATCGAGGTATTTGGGGTGTCTATGGAGACCGATCGAGTGGGCCAGCCTGATGGTAGTTCCAAACAATGTCCAAGCATCCAAGAAGCGGCCGCTGTTCGTCAGGAATGGACCGATCATGAGGAGGGCCTGGATACCGAGGAGCGTCGGCTTGTGCATGAAAGAAGCCATGCGTAGTGCTTGCATGGCTGCCGCGACTAGAGGCCCTGTTAATCAGGTTTGGATGAGAGCTACCTCGAGACACTGACTGTAAACGTTGCCTTTCTGCAATTCCTGGTCCATAACATCCGCTTTCCATTGACCGCCGGCTTTGTCCCAAGCAGAATGTTGAGAGCCTAGCGCGAGGGCTGCGAAGAGCAGCGCTAGCATATCTGGACACATCTGGGCATTCCTTTCCGGATCGGACAGGAAGCGCTCGACCTCGCTCCTCGTTATCTCCAACGGGACATGCGGGAATGCGCAAATGTGGACACGCTTCTCAAAGAAAGTGAGATACTCCAATAGTTGAGCTCTGGAGGGGAGGCAGCGCAATAACTGTGGAATGCACTCTTCTGGCGTTGCTGGGAAGAGTGTAGGAAAAGGATGAGGTGGTGGATTCTTGGTGGTGTACATGTCCGGACCACGAGGCATCAGATGAGCGAGAGACTGTGTGGACATTGGCGCAAGATTGATAGTGGCAAACTACCCTGCGGTCAGCTTGCCGTCGTTACGACCGCGGAGAACTCCTACATCGGTGATGACATTGGCGAGTCCTGGGCTTCCAAAGTAGATGCTATCAGACCACTCGGAGCCTTGAAAGCGTCTTTGCCTTGCGGCACGACGTTTCTGCGATGAACTGGCTGGGCGTTCGCCGAGCTGCGAATCTGGCGATGCAGCGAGGTCCGATCCATCATCCTCGATCGGAATTTTGCAGGCACGTAATCGCTCCTTTAGACGAAGGTTCTCGGCGCGGAGCTTGCGAAGCTCGTAAGACTGCTGGATCGGCGCATAGTCGCCACCTTCTGCAATGAAGTGGCACTCCTTGGGTGCTCCACGGGCACAGCATGCTGAGCACGGTTTTGTACGATCGCACTGTGCTTGAAGTCAGGCCACACGGTCGCTAGTAAGCAAGTAGAAAGCGGGGATTGCCTGGCTTGTCGTTAGCTGCTGGATGCTCACCTTGACTTTTCGTTCGCGGCACTTGGTGCACGATAGCAGCTGGCGCGGTTGCTGGGACTGCTGCCTCCTCCTGCTGCCTTCGGCTAGGGCGGAAAGCTGGTCGATACCACCGTGGATATTCTCGGTAGAAGAGGCCGCAGTCCTGGGGAGGTTGAACACATGAGCTGATTCACTCATTTTGGCTTAGAACTGACACGTAGCGCCAATCAAAGCGGAGCGTGAGATGGGTGGGAGGCGAAGGAGCAGTTGCGAGTGGTGTGCAAAGACTTAGGCCGCTCGGAGAAGTACGGACTTGACGACTGAAAAGTTATATAACCACTTGCCAGAGACGCAGGCAGATCGCGAGAGTCGCCTGCGATTGAACTTAGGATGGGAAATCTCTGCCCTATAACGACGCTGCCGGAAGAAAATATCCTAGTCTAAAGACCCATGATTAGTATATAGGCTTCTAAAGCCTCACTTCCCCACCATGGGTAGGTTCAATTGGGGAATGGAGAGGCGTGCCGAGAAATGAAAGTCGGCGGGCTCTCACCGAGATTTCGACTGCCAGATCAGTCTCCCTGCATGGCAGCTACGGGGCTAGCATTTGTCAGAAGCCATGATCGAGTCACACAGGAATATCGCCAAGCGGGTGAAGCCCAGGATGAAAGTGGGTGAGGGAGACCCAGGGACCTGGTCGGGATGGTACATGATACAAGATCTGGCACCTTACCACTTAGGCGGGCCGATCCTAGACCCTTCCCCCTCCATGCGGGAAGCTCTACCAACCTGTCGGATCGCTTGCCTCGTTCGCGCTTTTGCTGTGCTTTTTCCATGTCGCTTCCAGAAAAATAGCAAGGTCGCAGCCAAGTTGAGAGGGCGGAAACCTGTTGACGGCTAGACGGATAGCCTTGGTTTGGATCGTCCTCCGTTGTTGGTGCCATATATGGCTTGCATGTGGCTTGCATGGGCTCGTGTTGACGACCCTCGCTGATCCTCTCCACCGCTGGATCGCGTCCTGTCAAGCGCAAAGCCCTCATCCTTCCCGTGCCTGTCACTGACTTCAGCCTGCAGCTAAAAAGGCATCCAATTCCCGTGGTTCTCGGAATACAGAAAATCGCAGAGCTGACGTTGATGGCTCTGGGTACTGTGTCGCACCGAACGCCTCATTCCCGCCATTGTGGAAACCACCGCCCTTTGATGTCGTTCTCACCGAGAGCCGAACGAAACCCGCAACACGGTCAACTGCGCAGGGTACCGCCTTTGACGCTATGTCAGTCGGTCACACGGTGCACGAAACGATGAGGATCTTTGCAGCTGTCGTGCAACGGAGATGAGCGAGCCCGTCCCCCACTGCTCCCAGGTGCAATGCTTCAATTCAAAGCTGCATCCTACCGCAAACCAAATTGAGATTTTGATATTTCGATTGATTCTCGAAAGCCCCGCATCCAATCATAATTGCTCCGTATCCCGCTGCAGCAGGCGGACCGGCGCTACGTAGATGATTCTGCTGAAGAGGTCTACGTGATGGAGCTTCACCTCCCATTGGTCACCCATTTGATACGTCGTGTCCGGAGCATCTAGCAGCTGAACTTGAATAGGGTACTCGCTCAAATGGGCGACTGTATTCCAACTCGCCTTGGCCCACCTGACCCAAACAGTAAAGGTATCCGGTAGGGGTGCTTCTTTGTAGCAGAAAGCCCGCATAAAAGCTTGGACTACCCAGAAGTTGGTAGCACGCCTTTTCGTCTGGCTGATGATCCTCTCTCTGGGGGACAGAGTGATAATTGATTCCTGCATTTGCCGTTGAGAGAAGGGTAATATGGGACGCGAGGAGTTCGCCAGGAGCGCAGCGTTCAATTTCTTCCCCGTTCGAGCCTCGTACCGTAACGCAGCTTCAATCTGCCAATGCGCAATCATATCACTGAACCGTCGCAAAGGACTCGTCACTTTGAGGTAACTCTGAGCTCCAATGATCTTGTGGGGAAGAGGCGAAGAATGCGCTATGGCTCGGCCCAGTGCCTCAATATAGCGAAAGCCAAGACTGGGTGATAAGGAGCCGTGCTTCTCCATATAGGGAAACACAACCGTCTTTTGGAACTCTTCGAGCGATACCGTGTTTGGAGGTTCAACGGTGCCACGAAACATCACCGGAATGCTTCGCTCAGCACACCAAGACGCGGCAGACTGGCAAGCGAGCATCATCATCTCTTCAACGATGTTGCTGGAATCGATGTCAAATCGAACACTGGTTTTGCGAGTCCGTGCGGTGATTTCAATGATGGGATCACCTTGGATATGGCGCGCTTTGTCGAGAGAGGGAGGGTTCCAAGTCATGCCAGCTTGCTGGGAGTTTTCAAAAAGACGTACCTCGCTATCTCTGATACCAAGCCGAATGCCACCAGCCGCCTTGCGAGCTTGCCATAGGGCGCCAGTAACAGTGTACAAGTCTCGCAGGTCTTCAATCTGGTCAGAGGACAGCCTAGGCCGAGACCGACTCGTCTCTAGCGAAGGTAATTCGCCGCCGACGACGAGCTTCATCACTTCTTCTTCGATGTTCTCGCAAAGATAGGCAGAGACTTCAGCGGGTGTGATGTTAATGACCTTACGAACTATGCCATGCTGAATTTTCGACTCCAATATATGGCCAGATCGATCTACACGCGAGCTGAACGTGATGACGGGCCGATTGCGATCGAGACTGAAGTAATTTTGAGTGGCCCATGATGGCAGCATGGGGAACGAGCGCTCGGGGATGTAGACACTTTCTGTCATGTGTGCAGCAAGCCCGGATAAGACATGGGTTTTGTCGAAGAATGCGGTCGGGTTGGCTACGTGGACGTGTACCCAAAACTCAGATTTCCCTCCTCTGATTCGCTCGATGGAGAGTCCGTCGTCTACTTCTTTAGCATCCGCAGAATCGATGCAGTATACGGGTGTTGAGCCCCAGTCTCGGCGCATATCTGCCATTGCGTCGCGGAAGTCTGGATTCCTCCTTGTCGATTCAGCTTTGGTGTTGAGAAGCTCGACATTACGAGAAAGGCGGACCGTCGGGAGCATTAGTTGTTCGTCGTAAATGGCGCGGTTCTCGTGGGGAGAGATGACGCCGATTTCCTGTAAAAATAGCTGGCCCGTAGCTCTTCCCATTTCCGGCTGAGAGCCCCCCTCATTCCGAATCGAGTTTTCGTAGCATCCGGTAGCATGGAGGATCGAAGTGCAAGCGGAGTGAAGATTCGGCATGCCTTTGAACTGATTCGTAAGCACCCAGGCTTGCAGGAAATTGATGATCTGCCTGTCAGCACTCGTGAAGTCCTCGCCCCAGGTAGTTCGCATTGCAGATGACTGGCTGGTGATGGCAAAGCGCATCTTGCTAGGTCCCACAAACCCAGGATTCGGGTCGCGGTATTTCCGGCTGATAGCGATGAGCCGACGTGCCTTGTCGACAAATTCTGCTATATATGTCGCGCCTTTGCTATGTTTGCGAAGTAGATGGCCATCTTTGTTTGCGAATGACGCCTCGTATTCTCGGTGCTCTCGGATCCAACCCTGCACCGTTTCCACCACCTCCACGTCGTTCTTGGGTCTGATGGCGAACACGTTGGTCAAGCGCTGGCTGCGGGCGTCTGAGCGAAAGCGGAACTCATTGTGGTTTAATGCCTTTCGCACAGCGAGAAGGGCTGCAGGCGAAGGTGCCCATGCCGGGTCGCCTTTGGCGAGCAAGGTCTTTGCGATTTGTGCCAGAGTCATCATGCGGGTGCGGGTAGCATCGGCGAGCACAGAGTAAGCAGTGTCGAGTACGGGAGCATTCGTGCGGTATATCCTCTCAGATTCGGCAGTCAGCTGCTGGAGAACGTCCTGCACGGGCCGTCCAAGTTCTCGTGGGACCTGAACGGGATCTTTTAGAGCTATTCCATCAAGCCCTGTAGGCATATACGGCGACAAAGGTGCGAGAAGAGCGGGATCGATGCAGCCAGGCACGGCAAATGAGATGCTGGTCAGCCTGGAGTGGCACCATCTTCCATTGACTGAGAAGAACTGGCTAGTGAGGTCTATTTGCTGAACGAAGACAGCAAGCACTGGCTCGCGCCCGGGCACGCTACGGTGGGTTAGCGGGTATGAACACAGAGCGCGGAGCATTGAGTACGTACGATAGCTCGACGACGTCCCCGGGCTTGAGAAAAAGGCCAATGGTGATGAGTTCTTCGTCCTTGTTGTCCTCTGTCATTCCAAATTCGTTTTCGCCGTCGTCTTCATCCGCCTTGGTGCCATAGTTAAGCTTGCTCAGGTTGTTCTGGATATCGCCGCGGGCTGGATGGTTTTCAAAGGCATTGAGAGTCTCTTCATCGGGCCCACCAAAGTGCTGCTGCCATTGGTGCAGGCGCTCGCGGATGGGCAGCTTTTGCTGTAGCGAAGGGTGCAACAGCGCTGGGTCGATGCGCGGGAGGGCACTCGCAGAAGACAGGGCGGCCTGAGAGGCCTGGGAGGTCGTCAGTAGAATGCTACGGAGAGCTGGATGAGTGCATGGACATACGGGTCGAGTGGCGTGGAAGGCGCGACGCTGTGTGAGTGGCGGCGCTGGGTCTGAAGCGATTCCGGTGCGGAGTAGGGCTCTGTGGGCAAATCTACGGCGCTGACTTGCAAGGCGCCACCGGCATTTCCAGCAGACGTCGCCTGCTGGCCATGAAGCGCGGGGGTACATTTCTCGGTGGGCTGGTGAGTAGTGAGTGGTGAGGCCGGGAGCAGCTCCCCAAAGCTTAGAAAAAAAGTTGGAGCAGCCCGCGGAGGTGGTCCGTGCTCTCCGCAAGGTCGGCCCCATCGAAACTTGTGTCTTCCGGCCTCACCTTCTCCCGCGACATCCACTCTCCTCGATAAGGTACGTGCGCTCTGCAACTGTGCCCATCTAATCCTCCTGTTATGATGATTTTCAGATTATAGCATGTATTATCCGACTGGCGCTTGCGCCCGTGTGCGGAGCAAATTCTTCACTGATCTCTCTGTTGCGCTCTTTCCGCATTTCTTCATAGTGCAGCCTTCAGACTGACGCGTCTCAGAATCGGCAGCATGGCCCCGGCGAAGGCGCCTTCCGGCCATTTCTCCATCCTGTACTTTGCGGCCGCCTCTACGCTCACAACGAAATCGAACGAGCATCTCCCTGCTCCGCTCGAAGCTCGCCATCTATTCGCCAAGCTCGAGGAGAAGTATCCTGGCATCAAAGAGAAGGTGCTGAGTAGCTGTGCCGTGACGGTCAACTTGGAATACGTCGACATCGATACCGAGGATGCCGAGCAGGCGGATCTGGTTATCAAAGAGGGCGACGAGGTGGCTATCATACCGCCTGTGAGCTCTGGCTGAGCTTCGCCGGCCATGACCGCAGGATGGTACTATATCCGCCTGAGAGTGGATGGAGCTGGGAGTGTGTCGAGCGAGCGCAGAGCCGTTGATAGAAGCGAGATTTGAAGGATCTACAGGGCGCTGCGAGGCATGGCAGGCATCGTTGTTTGCTACGACCGAAGGCCTGCGGATAGACGATCCATGGAAGGAACGAGCCGCGGCCTCTAGTGAGGAAGGCGCCAACGACGAGCAGGTGCGAGGGTGCACCCGGGCGCGGGGGCAGCGGCTGGCGAGTTTGCTCATGGCCTTTGAAGGATAGGGCGAAGAGGTGCCTGGTACTGCCTGCTATTCTGTAGTAGCTGAGTTTTCACGTATATCAGGCTGACAGGCCTTCCGTACATTCTCGTGGTATTTGATGTGTCCGGAGTGGCGCCGACTGTTCTCCGCCTACTATTGTTCAGGAAGAACTCCCAAGGTTCGGTGTAGCGCAGCAGCCCGACTTGCCTTCATTCGTTCGATGTGAAAGACCCTTTACTATCCTAATGTGCGCATACTTCGCCGCCAAAACGCCAGAGTCGCCGCTTCAAAAAGTGCTTGGCGTTGGAGTCCCGGCCCGGATGTCTCGCTTATGTAACCGTTTCCAACTCCACTCGCCCAGTCATCAGAATCGCCGGTGATAGCACTCTCCGACGCCGACACGATTTTCCCGCGACCTGGAGAAACACAACATGACGGATCCAATTGATCCCCGCTTGCAGTACGCTTCTTCTCTGCCGCCGCGCACCCTCGCGCAGTCCTACACAGCGGGACCGCCGCTCCACACCAGCCCGACGCCGTACTATCTCCCCACTCCGACCACCGTATCCCAACCCCCGCAGCTATCGCAGGCCCCGCAGAGCAACCTCGACCCGGCCCTCGAGCAGACCTCGCCAAATACTGTCCACGACGTTTCGCATGACGAGGATGACCACGAAGACGGCGACCATGATGGGTACGTCATCACCTGCCCAGGGAGCATGCCGCCGGCCGACGCGGCGTGCTACAAAGCCGGACAAGCGACGGGGCCCTGAAGCGCTTCAGGACGCTGCATCCCAAGTCGCTGTTACTAGGCGCAGAGTTCCTTCGGGTCGCCCTGCCATGCTCCCCGGCGATGCTCACTCTAGGCGGCGACGACGTAATCGAGCCAATGCTGACTTTGCGCGCAGAGCTCACGAAACTCCCGGCTCCGCCAGATCGCCAGCAGACCTCAAGCGACCCCGTGCCTGCGATTCCTGTCGCGGACTGAAAGTACGTCGACAAGTCGTCTCGTCCGAAGCATGCCGGGCTGGGCTGACCACGTTTAGGTTCGATGTGACCAAGATAACCCAAACCAACCGTGTAAACGATGCGCAAAGGCAAACCGGACATGGTAGGCGCTCTTTCCGTGCTTCTCGAATATAGCTAAACCCCTCCAAGCATTACTACACCTCCGACCAGGAAGCGCCAGAAGAAGGCGGACAGCCGCGTTGCCGAACTCGAGCGCAAGATCGACGCCTTGACCGCAACATTACACGCCCAAAAAGGCGGCCCCCAGGAGATTCGGCATCATGGAGGCATCCCGGAGTATGAAGGCAGTCACAATGCCTTTCCGGAAGGCTCATTTCGCTTGGGCACGCTCAGCCATGACTGGTCCAATGGTCAGTCAGGTCAGAGTCGATATCCGGATATCCCGCCGGGCTATGGCCCAGCGCAGAACATACAGCGGGGTCCAGAGCCGAAGCGAAGGAAGTTGGCTGATGGAAATAGTCACCCCGTAAGCCTTCTAAGTTGACTCGGCTTGTCTTCCGAACACTTTGCTAACGCGTAACCTTGCAGACATTATCCGAGGACATGGAGATCATCCACCACGACTTAGCTGAACATCCCGAGATGAAGCGCACCAACAAGAAGGGGATAAATGCGGACCACTCGTACATCAATACGCTGATCGACAACCTGATGACCCCCGAAACCGCTGAACGCATCTTCTCCCGATACGTCAACGAAATATGTCCGCACTTTCCGGCAGTACCTCTACTGCCCGGCACGACAGCACGGGAAGTTCGGGAGAAAAAGCCGCTGCTTTTTCTCTCTATACTCGCCGGATCATCACACGGAAGTACCGAGCAGCTTGTTTCTCAAGACGTCCAGCGAGAATTAACTAAGATGCTAAAGGACCAGTTTGCCGACATTATTTGGCGCAACGGCGAGAAGTCGCTCGAGATCGTCCAAGCGCTGCAAGTAGGTGTGCTGTGGTACCGACCGCCGCTGCACTACGAGCAGCACAATTTCTACATGATGGTAAATTGTGCCGCTGTTATGGCCCTCGATCTCGGTCTTGGGCGGCGAAATACCCCAACGGTCATGAAGCTTGCGGTTGGACCCTTCAAGCGATGCCATCCGAATGCCAGCAGCATCGAAGCTCGTCGGACGTTTCTCGTATGCTACTACCTTTGCATGAGTATCACAATGGTTCTTCGACGGCCCATTCTGCTGCGATGGACCAAGTACATGGAGGAGAGCGTGAAGATCCTCGAGACGTCTCCAGAAGCGTTGCCCTCAGACAAGATCCTCTGTCAACACGTTAAAATGGCTCATATCGGCGAGAACATTTCCTCGCAGTTCTGCATGGACGATCCTTCGGTGGAGGTGGCCATATCAGAACCGAAGGTCATCTATGCTTTAAAGATATTCGAGAACGAGCTTCAGCAGCTGAGAGACGAGGATGCGGCGGTGTTCCAAGAAGTCGATCGTAAGTCGATCCCCTCAGTCTAACCGCGAGACATTACTAATGACCCTAGCTGCCTTGCGTTTAGCAGAGCATGTCACGAATCTGTACGTGCACGAGATCGCTCTACATCATAACCAGAGCGCAGCCGATTTCCAGCCTCCGTTTCCCTCGGAAACCTTCGCCTCCGGTGTTGGCAAGAAAGAGGCTATTGGACCGGCACACATAGGTGCTCTCGGCGAGTGCCTTACGGCAACCCATGGTATCTTGGACACAATTCTAAGTGTCCCGCTCGACATTCTCCTGACACTGCCGGTCATCTTCTGTAAGTTTTGCCGTGTTCTCTGGGACGGACTGTCATTAACGATGATAACGTAGGTGTGCGCGCCATTTACGCCATCGTCTGCCTCATGAAGATGTGGGTATCTGTCACAAGCTCCGGCGAAGTTGGCAGCATCATCAAGAAAGAGCATCTTCAAATCGAATCCTATACCGAGCGCTTGGTTAACATGTTCAACGCCATCGTGTCTCGCGATGCACAGTCGCCACACGGGAAGTTCTACTTTGTAGCCAAGCGGCTTCAAGACCGGTTCGCGCATATCAAAGAAGGCGCTTCCAAGACCGAGCAGTCATACGATCCCACCGACGGCTCGCGAACGTCGGCGGGCAAAGCCTTGAAATCGCATTCGCGCTCGCGCCAGTCCTCCCAGAACCAAACTCCACTCCACCTCCTATCAGAGGTAGCGATGGGTAGCAGCAACACGCCTGCCTCCCAGCCGCAATCGCAGTCACAACAACAGCAGCAACCCAATATGCAAGCTCAAGCACCACAGCCGCAGCAATCGTTGCAAGGCTTCTATCCGGGAATGCCTACTCAGCAGAGCACTACGGATTTGGTGGGCATGCCGCAAGGGAACTTCGACCCAAACTTCGACTTCACGCAGTTTGACCTCAGCACTGGGTCTGATGCGGATTTGTCGGCACTCTTCATTCCAGATAGCATGCTTTGGAATTTCGGGCCAGAGCCTGTCATACAGGGTTATCAAAATTTCTAGGTATGAAGCTAGGGTTGAGATGCAGAGATTATGATGTATGAATATGTAGTGTGATACTATATCTTTAGGGTGTGAAGGCCCTCAGGCTGGGTTACGATATGTCAACGCTTGTCATTCAACAGCGGGTGAGGGATGGCATATCTAGCAGCATAACTATACTCATTTCTAAGCATGTGCAATGAATACTCAGTGCGGAAATGCATATACATCTAGATATCTAGCCGCTGTCTAGAAGGGCCAATTAGCTTCGCCTTCGTCCGTTGTGACACGCGGCGGCCTGCTGCTGCGTGCGCGGTATTACTTTTGGTAGACTCACCTTCGTTGATGGAAGAAGGCTCATATCAACCAATCACGCTGCTTGAAAGGCGACAGATTGCGTCATTCATCGCTCGCCGGAGCTAACCGCCCCACGCTCCGGAGCTAACATCAACTTCCCACTTCAACACCACCAGGCCTAAAGCCCGCGAAGGCTGACTACTACGGACGGTGGGATGCTGGTCGGGCTTAAAGGGGGGTTGCATGCAACTTGAATGATGAATGTACAGTGGTGGCGTTTCGCACGGCCGTTCGGGTGCATTTTGAGCCCGCCCGGAGACGCTGGCGTCTTCATGTCCGGTCCGGTGTCCTGCGAATGCAGCTTTGCTGTAAAGAGCTTGGAGTGAGGAGGGAAAGATGGGGGTATATAAGGGCGCTGAGGCTGCTCTGAGGTTTGGATTTCATTTAACCAGTTCTCCCAGTTCAACGTCAAATCCCACAAAGTCTATCTTCAACTCATTGACAAGTCCCTGCATGTCCGACAAGATCTCTAAGCTCATCAACAAGCTCCCTCTGCACAAGCACTCCAACACCGCCGAGAAGCCCTCTTCCAAACCCACAGCCGCCCAAGCCCAACCCTCAACCATGGCATCATCGCCAACCCCCTCCCTCGCCGGAAAAGTCGCCCTCATAACCGGCGCTAGCAAAGGCATCGGCGCCGCCACTGCCCTCGAACTCTCCTCCCTCGGCGCAAAAGTCGTCATAAACTACTCCTCCGACGCCGGTCCCGCCGACGCGCTGGTCCAGAAAATCGGCGCCGACAGGGCCATCGCGATCAAGGCGAACGCGGGCGACGTCAAAGACATCGAGAGACTGGTCGACGAGACGCTCAAGTGGGGCGGAGGGAAGATCGATATCCTGATCCCGAACGCCGGGTACGCGCCTACGGATCAGGATCTCGAGCGCACGACGGTGGAGCAGTTTGATAGGGTGTTTGATATTAATGTTAAGGGGCCGTATTTCTTGGTGCAGGTACGCAGCTCTCCCTCTCTTTCTCGTCACCCCACGCATGCTAACCCCGAACGCAGAAAGCAGCCCCCCACATGCCTCCGCACTCACACATCGTCCTCCTCAGCACCTCCCTCTGCAACCTCTCCAGCATCACGCCCAACTACCTGCTCTACGTTTCGGCCAAGGGCGCCGTCGAGCAGATGGTGCGCATCCTGGCCAAGGACCTGGGCCGCAGGGGCATTTGTGTGAATTGCGTGGCGCCGGGGCCGACGGCGACGGAGCTGTTTTTCAAGGGCAAGAGCGAGGAGCTGGTGAAGACGATTGCAGGGTGGAATCCGTTTGGCAGGTTGGGGACCCCGGAGGATATTGCAAGGGCGATGGCGTGGTTGGTGGGAGGGGGGAGTGGCTGGGTGAATGGGCAGGTGCTGAGGGTTAATGGGGGGATGACTGTTTAGGAGAGGGGGATTGTGGGGTTGGTGGGGTTGCGCTGTTGTGACGGGATTTTTCTGTGGTATCTGTTCAAGTACTCTTCATGCCGTTTTCTTGGGGCAGCGTGGCTTGCTCATTCATGTGTCTCATCTTACACCGGCCATTCTCAGAAGCGTCTATAAAATCTCCTCTCGGCCTGCCATTTCTTCACTTCACTCACATTTTCCATGGGCTCAGCAGGGTTCTAAAACCCAACCTAAAATGGCTCTATGGGGCTCCTTTTGTCTAAAAAAGAGTTTCCGCAACACCGATGTTGCCTCGAGCTCCTCTCTAAACCTTCCTCAAGCAGCTACATGTTCCTCGGCGGCGTTCTTGTCTCTTAAAAAGACTTGGGCATTTGCTGGAAAAGCCCTCCAACAAGTGCTATGCCTCGGTGAAATGCCCGCCCGCTTTGTAGTTGGCGTTGCGGTTTCAATTAGTCGCGAGGATGTGGTGCTTGGACCGCCGGAACCCAGGTGGATCTTGTCGACTCATCCGATCTCCGGCTTCGACGTCCCTTGCGTCTATAAAAGCTTCTTCCTCTCTTGATTCTTCCTCTTCCACGCACGCGGTTGTCCCTTGTACTAGAACAAAACAGCTGTACAATCCATGAAGTCGAGCTCCCTCGCTCGCAAATCCATCCACCCTTCGATTATGTCGCCTGCTCTGGTGCGCGAGTCCAAACCGCAATGCTTAAGTAATTATGTCTGCGGTGTGGCGTTCGTGGAGTCGACGTTAAAACAAAGGAGTGCTAGAAAAACCAAAGAAAGAGCTTCGCCTGCGTTTGTGCAAAGCTTGAGGTCGAAAATGATTAAGAAGATGGCGTGATGGGCGGCTCTGCGGAGCCGCCTTCGACGCTGTTCTCGGACTATAGAAACTTGCCTTCTCCGCCCCTAGGGTTTTCCCTCCCACGCTCAAAGGTTTCGCTCTCAATAAAATGAGTTCCAGGCAGCAGGAATGGCGCTGCCTCCGCTCTAAAATCGTCGAAATCGAGAAGCATGTTGTGTCCCGCCTGTCTTCTGTAGATCGCAGTACTTCCGAATATAGTGCCAGTATTTCGATGCGTGCGCAGACTAGTGGGCTACCAAAACAAGTGGCCAGCCTGCGATGGAGCTCCCCCTCGTACCAGAAAAGCGCGAGTAGGCGATGGATGTCCGTTCAATTCCACGGCTTCAAAATCACTCCTGCGGCTGACCTATGCCTGTCGCGTGGAAGGCCTGGTGTCTGGGAACAGTGACACCTTCTCAAAGTGACTAGATCGAGCATATATGTGGTTCTGGAGCAATCCGAGTGAATGATTCACAGCCTGGGCTCATCCTAGATGAGAGCCCTCATCCTAAGAGCCCAACGCCGTTGCTCGCCTATAAATTCCCATTCCTTCCTCTGGCCTTTACACTGCCACAGCCTCACTCTTCTACGACCTCTAAAATACACATTATATCGAAGTTATGAGTTTTCGGTCGAAAACCTCAACGCAAACATGTCGATGGCCTGCTTGGGGAATCTCGCGTGCCAAACTCTCAATGGTCTAGAGAAATGTTTGGGTACTGTGCGGGAGACTCAAAGAGAACAAAGCTAAATCGATGTTTGCAGCTTTGCTTGAAAGTCTCGCAGGGGGTTGATAGGCGTGTGGGGCGACCATAACCCTAAGGGGGTAAAGCTTATGAAGTGAGGGAAGAGTCTTGGGTTGGAAATGGGCAGGCATTAGGTTGGACTTCGAAGTCATGGAACTGGGCCCGCAACGTCTTACATCTTCGGGTCCCGTAGACTCCATTCTTGGGCCACTCTCCGCTGTCACTGCGCTCTTTCCACTCTGGCCGAGGTTTGGGTATATGCTTGCCTCGAGAGGTGCTTCCTCCTCACTTCACACTTCGTCCTATTTCTATCGCCATAACAGACGGGGCTACTAAAAGAAGCGGCAAAAAAGGCCATGAGCTGGAGGAGGAACTTCGGATCTTAGGCTGCTTCGGAAATGGATCACTAGACACATTTTAAACACCTTGGCGGTACACATTATGTTTTGGCGTCTCTTGAGCTTCGACCACTGCGTGGTCACCATCGACACTCTGTTCTAAATTCAACCATCATTCCACTATATATACTCTCTAGTCTTCCTCGCTTTCTCTTCACATTCAGCCCCCGCCAGGGCTATGATTTCCATTAAAACCATTGCCAATGTAGCGTATGGAGTGCTTCTTGATCCGCTCAAATTGAGGAAATCACCATAGTATGGTTTCGCCGCGGCCGCGCTTCCGAGTCCATAATGACAATCTCAGGATATGCATGCGTCTCTGTAGCTAAAATGCAGCGGTGTTGTCACCAATATGAATGCTCTGGGTCTTAGCCGAAGGAAATAGCCGCATTGAGAATCAATGGAGCTCTTCTTTCTTTGGATCCCTCGACTGAGAAGCGGACCGTGCTACTCCAGCCGTCTATATAAATGCACCTTTCCTCCTCCCTTCGTCTTCACTCCACACCTTCCCCGTGTTCTGCACTAAAGAACACAATGCTTTATTACATGATCTGAGTTTTTTTTTAAAAGACATGTTCCACCAATTTCATGGGTGGCCGTGGGTGTGCGCTTTCAGCTTCGAAAGTACAGCCGTCAATAGTCTCATGTGTCTCTGGGAGTACGCGTGTATCAACCGAGCTCGGTGAGTTACCGGTGTCTGGGAAGTGATATGCGTCCGGGGAGATAAAACGGAAGTTCTGGAAGTCTATGGTTGTCCCGGGTGGTGCGTGCCTTCTCCATCATACAATCATGCATCCTGTCCGCTGGTACTTCACTTAGTCTATATAAGCCTTCTTCCCTCCTCTCGGGCTTTTCTGTCCTCTCCCATCCGCCACTCTCAGGAAATTAAAAACCGACACGTAGCAGAAGTATGCTCCCTGCGCGTCCGTCAAGCTACAGACAGCACTGAACTAAAACGCTTCGATTACGATAGCGATGGAGTGCACTTCGGGAAGCGCCTTGACGCCAGAAAGGGAGTAGGAATGGTTAGATGCGCCGGACATGAAATCTCTGCACGTGGAATTCTGGAGAGGAGGTCAGGGGAAGTGAGAACGACAGCTTCGGAAAACAAAGACAGAGCGGATATGTCAAATGGTGCCGGATTGTGTTCCGCCTTTTGATCTATCTTCGCACATCTATAAATTTCCCCTTGTCCCTCGCACTTCGTCCTCTTATTACTCCTCCCGCATCTTATTAGGCACTAAAAACTACCACTATCATGTCACATGGGGCCCCGTTCCTCTAAAACAGATGTAAATTCGTACCGATGTCTTCTCAATCAATGGGTCTTGAAAAGTATATCGACACCCCTTTGGTGGTGCAGCTCTTGGAGCCCAAGTCCAACAAGGAGCGCTCACGGAGAGAGTATTGAGAGATGGGTGTTCAGTTATGGACGAAAGGCCGATATGATGGAAGGACTAGAATACCATCTATGCTAAAACGTATGTGGGAGAACCCCGAATGACCAGAAGGAGTGAGCAATATTGCGTGCTTTGCTCTTTCTCCTCCTGCGCGCATATAAGTTGCCGCTTGCCCTGCTCATAACCTTCTCTTTACGGATACGGCGTCCTAGTCGACACCAAAAAATCAACCCATCCTCTTTCATGGGTCGCCGCTCCCCTAGATCAACGTATCATTAAACACGTCTCCTGCGTCTTTGCGTTCGGGAAAAAACGCTGAGGACTGTCGGTATGCTGCGAAAACGGGCCTGCAAAAAAGCCAAAATTCGCAAGCTATGTGCAAGAGTGTAAAGCACGTTGACAGACATGGTGAACCGAAAGGAGTTACTGGGAGGCCATGTGTGCTGTACCGGATGACGTTAGGGAAGCCGAACATGGGAAAGATGCACAATTATCCGAGATAAGAGGGATCCTGGTCCGGTACTCGACCGTCCGCTCCTCGACGTACCTATAAAAGTCTCTCAAACTCCCCTTCTTCCTTCGCTTCGCACCCACAGCATTCCGCTCCGCACTAAAAAGGGGTATAAAAACACCTCATGGAGTTCCCATTTGCCTGAAAAGCCCAGGAAAATTCCTTTCTCTGCAATGGCACCCTATAGCTGTATATGTAAAGCACCAAAAAGGGAGCATCGCTGAGGGCCGTTGGCTGCACAGAAGATGACCCGTAGCTCATGAGCGAAATATGAGAACGCGCCAAGAAATGGTATGGCTGGAAGGAGGCAGAAGAATATGCTGACTGAGGTGGACTAAAGGAGACGTTGGAAAGAGATGAAGTGAGGGTTGCACGTTGGTACAAGCAGGCATGGAACGAGAACGTTGAGACTCATACCTCTGATTCATTACCGTCATCCCACCTCCCCTTCTCTGGGACATATATAAACGACCCCTCAAAGTCCCTCCGCTCCACCCGCTTCACTCTCACGGCGAGAGACGTAGCAATAAAAGTGTGGTGGAGGCTATAGCATGGATCTGTCTCCCCTTAAAAGAGCTCAATAACGGCGACCAATGTCTCCTTCCCTCCCTGTCTCTCTAAATACGAAGACGAAGACAATCATGCTGCAAGACTTGGTATTCACAACACCATAATGCTCGATTATGCCATGTTTCGGGAGAACGTCTGCTGGATACCAAGGCACGTAACCATGTTTCGTCCCGCCGTCAGTCCAGGGGTCAAATACAAAAATAAAGCGGAGAAAATGCGCGATGGGACTGATGATGCTCACCATCGATACGCCCTGGTGCACTTATGTTGCCGGATATGGTTGCTGCTACATGTGACTTGGGTCATATAGATATAGCCATATTTCTCGTATTCTTAATCAATCAACTCATGTCTCAATACTTCCCACTTCCCCTAAAAAACTTATTTGCCGTCCTTCTGCTCCCTCTCCGTCCTTCATAGTTCGCTTGTGTGGAGCTCGTGCCATCGCGTCGTAATCGACGTCGGGAATATCCAGAAAGGACCTTAGAGTGGGGAGTCGAAGACGGTGTTCAGAGAGGCTGCAATAGTGAGGAAAGCGAGCGAGGGATTTTCGAGGCGAGACCGGACCAATCTGGCTAGCGTGCACGGACTATATAGGCCAATCTTTCGTCATCCTTCCAACCTTTTCCCCTTCATGACACTCTCACGCCTCTTCAACTTCGCCGACGCGAAACCACAGCAGCCAACTGGTCCTTAGTACTCAAGAGAGAGTGAGAGATGGTTTTGTCCCTCTACGGTTGGTTCTGCATCATTTCCTGTTTAGATCACCGCAATCCGGCGTCTCTTCCGTCTCTTTCCGCCATGAAAGCCGCTACCTCTCTTTGCTCCTCGCTTTTCCATGTCTACCTCCCAGGTGAAAGGATCAGGTGACGTCGCACGTTCTAACTCGCCTTCTTTGCGCCCTTTCATAAGCTTCATGACTCCTTTCGGGAGATTTGCCAGCGTCCCGCCCTTCTCTAGGTGCTCCTCAACTGCGGCCTCGATTGTTGAGAGAGGCTGGTTCTGCCAGTTTGGCTGAGCGAAGAAGTCCTTCGGAGTGGAGCCGGTCTCTTCGTCTCTCCCGCCTCCTCTACTCGATCGCTCCTTGCTGCCACCGTCCGCGAGAGTCTCACCTGATCTTGCTCTTTGCTTCGGGTCGCTGCGGCCTGCAGTGAATCCATTAGCACCAGCGCCAGCGCCAGCGTCATCACCTCCTCTTCCTTCTCTTCCTTGTCCTTGCCCTGGGCTAGCTCCACCGCCACCGGGGCCTCCATCGCCTCCGTCGCCTCCATACCCCGCATCCCCCCCCGGTCCGCCTCCACCGCTACCAGGTCTCCGACCACCACTTACATCATCTTCGCCCGCCCGCATCCTTTTCACATCGAATTTCCTGCTTAGCGGGAACTGGTCTTCTTGATACCTCAGCCTGAGGTGGTCGGGTACCTCTCCCTCAAAGCTGCCCAGTACTCTCTCTGTCTTTTTGATCGTACTTCTGATCCTCTGCAAGAGTCGATATGGAGATGGTCGCCTTGACGCTAGAATTCGCGTGCATCCGTCAACAAGGCCGGAGACTCTATTTGTGTAGCTTGGTCCATGAGTCGAGGGCAATGCACCAAAGAAGAAACCGTCGGCTTGGTCGCGGGCGTTTCTAGTTGCTTGTTTACGCGTTTCTTTGGCTTCTTGTTCCCCGAGAAAGCTATGCATCATGTCCCGAATTACCACACCTAGACCCCATATGTCCGTTCTGTTCGATAAGGGTTCTGTTTTCTGCTCTGGGTAAAAACTTTCCTGTTCCAAGATCTTGTATTAGTTTTGTCCGCTCGTTCTTGACTCAAATTATGAGCAACTTACCGGCGCTATATACGTTTGCGTTCCGTACTGCTTCGTTTTTATACCTACTTCATCAAGCTCGATCGCAAGATCAAAGTCAGCAAGGACGGGGTGAGGATACGACGTGTAAGGTGCTGTGGGCTCCTTCAAAAAGATGTTCGCAGGCTTAACGTCCCTGTGGTGGATCGATATCCAGTTAGGCTTCCTTTCATTGGCGTCTGCTCCATCCCTGTACGCGAGCCCGGTGTCTAGATTGTATAGTGCTTCTGCAATCATGCGGAAAACGATCCACACAAAAGCTTCGGGGATTTGACTTTTCGCGCGACAATATCAGTAAGGGCATCTTCCTCAAAGAACATGGATGATACTAAGGAACGAACAGAATACATACTCATCTGGATCTCGGTCGTATGCCTTGTTGTCATAGGCAAGGAGTACGCCTCTCAGGTCCCCCGCTGGGCAGTAGTCGGTGTAGGAACGAATGCCGATACGTTTCCGATCCTTCACCACCCGTTCGCATACTCTCCAAGCCCGATTCTTCAGCAGTACCCCTGAATCTGGCAAGTTGTCTACCATTTCGTACTTCCTTCGTTGTTGATCGCACACTTCCTGGTCGAGATATTCAACAAGCTTAACGACGACTCGCTACGATAGCGTGGAGTCAGCAATGTCGATAGTTCTGCAAGCTAGCAACTTGGTATAGGTCTTACTTACGTCTCTGATTCTACCGCTTGGGTCAACTCCTACGTAGAGTTTGTTCAGGCTCTCGCTCCATGTCTTTGTAGTCATTCTGCCATTCGCCGGTGCACGCCACAACGTCCTCACGAACCGGTAATGCAGGTCTCCGCGAACGCCGTCATCCACGCGTGGTCCTTCCGGATCAGGCTCCCGGACATCCTCCTTCTGCGTCTCTTCATCCGGCTCGTCATCAGCGCGGATTGAGATCTCGATAGGCTCTTCGATATCGCTATCATCCAGTTCTAACGACAGCCAATAGCTTCTTTCGTTCTCGGGAAGATCCTTCTTCCATGCGCTCATGATCCTGAAGCCTTGAATGCCCTGACGGTTCGGCTGGCTGCGCCAATGCCCCGCGAAGCGCAGATAGGCCCTGCGCTCGGCATCGGATGGGAACTTATTATATTGCACTCGCTCGAGCCCATGGAAGCGGTAATGACGCGGGTCTACCGGCGGAGGTATCACGGGAGATACCATTGTCGGGTTTCTGAACGGCTGTAGTGTAGAAGTTGCCGGTAGTGGCTACGCAAGAAGTCTCGACGCGGGATTGTGGAGTGTAATGAGAAAGAGGTAAGTGACTTGTCCGAGCTGAGTTTGTGTCACTGAACAAAGGAAGGACGCCGGTAAGCAATGACGGGTGCCGTCTTTGTTTTGGGCATTTTCTTCCGCATTCGGAATAAAGAGAAGGGATATTGCGTAAACGTCTCTTTGAACAAAGCTAACATCTTGACAGTCACGGCCGTAGCAGAAACCTAAGAGAAAGCGATAAGGAAATGACGGTCACGATTCTGTGTGGGAGATGGAAACCATCGTGCAGAAAATTCCTGCTCTAATATGCACCAGGCAATGATAGTTGTTGGCTCTTCTCACGTGCTATAGGCCTGGTTCTGAGTTCGCATTACCCATCCTAGTGGGCGTCGATGTGCGACCAATTGTCGGAAATTGAAGCCAAGAGCCATCCCTCCTAAAATAGGTGGGATGGCTTTCTGGTGGAACATCTGGCCCCTCACCGTGTAACTGCTGCTCGTTTTTTTGAGACATGCGATTTGCCAGCTTCGTCTAATGTTCCCATATCGTGCCGTGGCTGCAGGTACCCCTGCACGGTACCCCTGCACGGTACCCCTGCATATCCGATACGAGCTGAAGTCCACAACGCGACCAGGCAACAAAACCTCAGCCTGATGGGCGGTTACCAAGAAGTGAGTCCCCGCGATAAGGTCGAGGCCTTGCGTTGATCAATCCTCACCGTATCGGCGCTCTTCACTTCTTGACAACATGGCCGCAGTGCAGAATATGGCGCAGAGCACGTCAACCTTGATTGCGTCACAGCAGAGCTCGACGACGTTGATACCATCGCAGCAACCCGGAGATGGCCACACTCTTGACAATACAGGTTACTGCCTGCTGTCTCTGGATGGTGGCGGTGTCCGAGGCCTCTCGACCCTCTATATCTTGCAAAGCATCATGAAGCGCCTGAACTTTATGCGCGAAGAGGCTGGGCTGCGGCCGAGGAAGCCGTGCGAGATTTTTGATCTCATCGGTGGGACGAGCACTGGAGGGTAAGACTCCTCCCTCTTCATGAGTATCATCGTCGAACGTGGTGGTATGCGCTAGCAAGTGCCTCAAGGATTCAGCGTACCATTAGTCACTACACGCTGAAGACTTTCCGGAGTGGCTTCCTAGAGCCAACATGGGGCCTTGCTATTACATTTATCCCGCGACGTTCAGTGCATCCACAGAATCATGTTGATGCTAACTGCTGTAGGCTCATTGCGATCATGCTCGGCCACCTGGAGATGTCCGTCGAGGAATGTATTGCAGCCTACACCAAGTTAATGCGGCACATCTTCGAAAAGAAGAAGAATCGCTCTTTCGTAAGCAAGATGGGACGCGTGAAGGCGCGATTCTCGGCAGAGGCGCTCGCCGAGGCCATTTCAACGGTTATCAAAGACCGTGGGAGATCGGTGAACGAGAAGTTCGAGAACGGAACGAAGCCCCGATGTAGAGTGTGAGTACCCTACCAAAGGCCTTTAGCTAGTGGCTTTCCATAGTCTAGATCAAGACGGGGACTGACTCAAACAACCATCAGCTTCGTCTGCACCAAGTTCCAGAAGACGAATACGATAACCCGTCTACGCAACTATCGCGTGCCCGTGGGCTCTGACAACCATCCCACCATCCTTGAAGCTGCGCTTGCAACCTCGGCCGCCCCAACCTACTTCTCTGAAGCTAGCATTGAAGGAAGCAAGTTCGTTGATGGCGCCATTGGAGCCAACAACCCCGCGGTGCAGGTCGAGGAAGAAGCTGCCGACCTCTGGTGCGAAGAGACAGGACAGGTGCAGCCGCTAGTCAAATGCTTCATCTCAGTCGGCACTGGACATCCAGGGATCCGCAGCGTCTCCGATAAGGGGCTCAAGCACTTCTTGGAGACGTTGCAGAAGGAGGCAACGGAGACGGAACACACGAACCAGCAATTCATGGGCCGCTGGCGGGATCACGAAGCGAAAGGCCGCTGCTTTCGGCTTAATGTTGACCATGGACTTGCGGATGTAAGGCTCGCTGAATTCGAAGAGGAGGGGCTGATCAAGGATGCAACGTCCGCATATTTGGAGAGGAGGGCAACAATAGTCATGGTGAGCAAATGTGTGGACAATCTGAGGTTGAAAGAATGTACGTAATCTGCTAGACTCAATCTTCAAAGTTTCAACGCCCTAGAAAGAATGATGCTGATGTCTCCCTCGTGCAGATGAGCCCACCGCGGAGTTCAATAGAAGATTGAGGGAGGACCTGCACGCGCGAGGGGACCCACCGCCGTACCAGTCAGTGGCAAGAGCTACGCCATCGGAAATCGGTAAGCCCGAACCCCTTCCTATCGAATCCCATACGGCATGAGGCTAACACCCGTCCCTCAGCGGAGCTCATCGACCTCGGCAACCGCCATCTCAAAGTCGCCCCAGACCGCATCACACAAAACGACCTCCTCAAAGCCCGCCAGTACTTCTCCCAAGCCCTCCTCTACCGGCGCAACGACCCCACTACCTCCCCCAAACAAGTCGCGCGCCTCTGTCAAAAACTCATGGAGACCTCCCTCAGCCTGAGCATGAAAGCCCGCGACCCCGTCCAACGTAAAGAGTGCGCTGATCAAGCGCGCGAGTACGGCGAAACCGCACTGGATAACGTTCTGCAGGGCGGCGACGCGTGCATGGTGGCGCAGGTGCAGTTTCTACTGGCGTGTGTGAGTGTCTGGAAGGTGTATTTGGCGGCGAGGGGAGCTGGGGTCGAGCCGCGGAGTCATCCGGGCAGGCAGGGTGTGGAGATGTTGATGGGCGAGAGATTAGAGGAGCTGAAGAGGTTTCCGAGGTTGGATATGGAGGTCTATGAGGCGCAGGCGGGGAAGTATCTGGGGTATTTGAATAAGCCCAGGCGGTTGGGGTGGGAGTGAAGAGAAACGAGGACATGAGTCTATTGCGCTTGTATGATTAAGAAATATTGGGAGGTTGGTGTCATCGTACAGTACAATCCATAATGCTGCGTTACCCTTGTCCCGAATCCCCAGAACGCCTCCCAGAATAGATGCCGAAGGAAACCTGGAGCATGTATCTAGTGTTTGACCCTTGAAGTCCCCTAGGACCGAATTTACAGAGCCAAAACTACGGCATGCCAGTCTGTGCATATCAACTAGTATCTCGGCGGCGGGCCCTGCATCCCCGACAATAGCGTGGGCGCCGGTCTCGGCATCCCGGACACCATCGAGACAGAGTCATCCGGCCCGATATCATCCGCATCACGCTGCGGGAAGGTCGGCGCGCCGTAATAGCTCTGCGGCATTTGCGGATAGATGGGTTGCTGCTGCTGGACCGGCGGAGGAGGTGGCTGTTGGTAATGTGGCCATTGTTGTACTTTCGGCGGCCGCGTGCCGGCGCAGGTCTTGAGCACGTATTTCCCAATTACCAGCAGGAAGATCAATGCGGCCAAGCTGCCGACCACGATCCCGATGATCTCGGTTATGGATAGGGACTTGGAGCTCGACGAGCTCGACGATGTCGATGTGGCCGTCGGTCCAGTTACGCCTCCCACGCCTCCTGCTGTCTTCGTCCCTCCTGACGCGCCTCCGGTCGTCGTCGCCTCCACAGTTGCCGGCGCCGCCTGAGATGTATATCCCTTCTCGCTACAGTACTGCGCATAGATGCCGCCTGCTGTACTCGCGTCGATCGAATAATCGCCGACTGAGCAGTAGTATTCGATGCAACTAGTCAGATAGCTCTGGGCCGGCACTTGCAGATCCGGGCGACAGTAGCAGTCGTTCGTAGCCTGCCACCCCGAATTGCGACATCCGCCAACGGTTGCGCATCCGATTTCGCTGCCGAGGACATCGTAGGGGCAGGCGCCGGTGCGCACGAAGCAGGATTGCGCGCAGTCTTTCTGGAGCGGGAACGCGGAGATGGTGGTTATGTCTTGGGTCACGGTGCCGACCTGGGCGTAGGCGGTGTGTAGGCTGAGCAAAACTGCAAATAGAGATTGTTGATAGAAGGCCTTCCGGCTTCGCGATGCCATCGTCGTTCCTCGAGCCATTTGGGGAGTGTTCCTGAACAACGACAGCACCGCAAGGCTGGAGAGAGAACAGACGTTGGGGGAGAAGGCCGGAAATCGCGAGAACCCGCAAAGCGGCGGGGCTGAAGACGAGATAAGGGATTGTCCGTCCCGGCATCGTTCAGCTCGTATTGCTACTACTGAAAAGATTGAAAAGGCGTCGGATGGCACAAGCCCCTGCTGTTGGGCCCCTGGAGACGGTCCAGGGCCTCACCGGACGATCTCCCGTGCCTCGGGGGCGGCCAATAGGCTGTGGCGTTGGCGGGCGCTTAACATGCATGCTTGCATTTTGGGGGCCGTTTTCCAGGGGTGCCTCAAGAGCGAGCCTGCAAACATGGTAGTACGGGAAATAATAAGCGAGAAGACAGGAATGGGTGTGGACAAAAGCTGCACGTGGATATCGTGGACATGCATCTCGAGGTTAGTTTGTTCTATATGTGGGGGGGAGGCTGGAGGTGTTAGCAATAGTGAAAGAGCGGATGGAGTTTAGGGCCTTTGCCGTAACGGTAGACGTTAGGTATGAGCTCGTTGTTTTCTAATGAAAGAAGGATTTTGATACAATCCACGATGAAGCGCTTGAGGGTGGAGAGGCGAGGCATCTTTCACGGGGCTAACCGTGCTCTGAAGTACGCCGGCAAGGCGGGGTGACGTCACAATGTCGCGACCGGAGATGGCAACATCACGCTTTGTCTCTCACGCGACAGCATCCTCTGCAGAACCCCGTCTCCGTCAAAACCACAAACCACGTTCGTCCGCAATGGTCTCAACACGCAGCAAAACGGCGCAAACGCACCTAGAGGATTTCGCGACCAAGGGCGGTGCCGCGAAAGCCAAAGGGAGAAAGGGCGCAGCTCCACAAAAGCCGTCGTCGAAGAGCGACACACAAGCATCAACGTCTAAGAAGCGTAAGTCAGATACAGTAGCTGCGCCAGCGACGAAGAAGACCAAGTCTGCGAAAGCATCTTCCCAGAAAGCTGCACCAAAAGACGAGAACGAGCCTTCCGCCGTTATCATCAACCGGGCGCCCGTTCTGCAGCTCTGGGCAGCGTGTGTAACCCACCTCATCTACCCCTCTCTCCCGTGGTCCACCTGCCTCAGTGCCGGCTCTGCTATCTCGACTATTTGCGCCGTCGCAAAAGGCCGTTCGATAGGCACCATCTCCGAGCGCGACGAGTCTGAACAGAAGCAGCGCAAACGCGAAGAAGAGAAGCGGAAGCAGAAGGATCTCGACGTCATTCACGTAATGCAATTCAAGCTCAAGCTGCAAGACGGGCTGGCGCTTGTCGGAAGCGAGCCGAAGGGTAAGCCGGGGAATGAAGAGCCGCTAAGGAAAAAGTTCGGAGAGCAATACGATTCCGTGAAGACGTCCTTCGAAGCGGCGCTGGAAAGTTGGAAAGGAGATGAAGAAGAGTTGAATAAAAAAGCGTTCGGTTTTTATGAGGAGTTTCGACCTACCGTAAAGAGTGGACAAAAGGGCTGGGGACGGAAGGGCGAGTTGAGCCTAGAGAAGGTGAGAAGTACTGTGGAGAAAGAGTAGGAGTAGAGGTCAGCGAGAATGCTCTGGAAGCGTGCTGTGTGGCTCATTGTCTCTGTCTCCATTTCCGGGAGGGAGGAACAAAGCGTTCAGCTTTATACTCAGCCATAGCACGTGTTGGTTCCTTTGTGCGTCCTTTGTGCGTGGTTTCGAACTTCCCTAAAATGTTTCTACACGCGTGGGAACCATCAAATAACTCATTACACCGTTAGAGGTACGAATATTCCTCTCGTAAACCTCTCATCATTCCGTCTACAACTCGAGATCAAGATGGCGACCCAGTTTCAACCCGTGGCTTCGATGAAACCTGCAGAAAGGAAGTTCTTTGACGAACTTTCAGAAGATGCGAAGGGAGGGTACCTGCAATATCGGACCGAGCATAGGGACAAGCGTGCACCGGCTCAAAGATGGCGAATCGGCGTTGCGTGGAACAAGCTCGGCCCCGCCAGACAAGGGGAATATATTGCTGCTGCCCAAGGTGCGGAGAGTGATGAAGGGAATGGAGAGGGCCATATGAGTGTGGGCGGAGAAGGAGGAGCGGCTGACCCAGCGCCTGAGGATGAAGTTCCTGATGGGGGAACTAATGACCCTAGAGCGAGCAAAGGAAAAGGGCGTGCAAAAGAGGTGGGATCAGTAGCAGATAAGCCCCGAACAAGAGGGAAGACTCCAAGAGGCAAGTCAGCCACCAAGACACCACCAGCTTCTAAGCCACGGACTCCGGCACCAGAGGCCCCAGAGCATCCAGGAAAACGCACCGGATCCCGACGAGAAGGAACAAAACGTAAATTCAGCTGGGAGCCTCCAAGTTCCGAAGACGAAGCTGTACGAGGAGGTGTCGGTCCTTCGGGGGAGGCCAACTTGACATGGAGATGGGCAAAGACTCTGTATGACACGCGAGACAAGGACAAGATGTGGACCGTTGTGTTACTGTACGTGCAGGTGGACGAGGGAATGAATGTGCAAGATGTACGTGATCCAAGTCGAGTTCCTAACGCCCTCTAATTCCTTGCTAACAGAGTCTCTCGTAGCGCGTCGTTGTGAAAAAGATACAATGCAAGACCGAAGACGAAAAAGGCATCCTCGAGCAAGAATTCAAAATCACCAAAAAGCTTGACTTCTGCGACCACATCATGAAGATACGCAGTTTCGTGGAACAGAAGGGAACACTTAACGTACGCATGTATTCCGACTATGCACCGTCCGGCGACCTAGAACTCATCTTCGACTACTACGCCCCACGAGACGCCACAGACAAGACAGAAACAAGCGAGACTCCAAAGCAGATCCCTGAACCTTTCATTTGGCTCGTGTTCTACGCCCTCGCCGAAGCTCTCTTCGCCCTCAACACCGGAGTATGCGCCAAAACCGGAGGAGCGGACACCGGCACCTCGCTAGACGACATTAGGAAAAAGAAAAAGGGCCCTTGGACATCTCATCAACACGCCGACATCAAGCCCAAAAACATCTTCCTCGCCTCCCCAGAGGACCCTTACGGGGCGTACCCTAAACCTCTCCTAGGCGACTTCGATGTCGCACAGCCAATTAGGAGCCAGAGTGCTTCTGCCCGCAGACAGGAACGAGGGACGCCTGGGTGGAAAGCTCCCGAGACGGAGAACAAGGACTTGCATCCGGTGTATGACATCACGAGCAAAACGGATATCTGGGCCGTTGGACTAGTCATATGGGAACTCATGCATGCATCCCTAGGCACCGAGCGCCTTGAATTACTGCGCTCGACCGCAGCGACTAACTTCGCGTTCCACGCGAACGACACTTTTCCGTCCGAGAGGATCTTGGGCTGGAACGCGATGTATACCCAGACACTGCATGATCTGGTCACGCGGTGTTTGAAGATTAACCCTAATCAGAGGCCGAGCTTTATCGAGCTGAGGAAAGAGGTCTGGGAAGGGATGCAAAGGTTGAAAGGTGTGCTGGGGGACTTTGAGGGCGTGGATGTGGTGGAGAGGTTGAGGTTGAGGTTTGAGAGGGGGGACGAGTTTGCGGTGGGTGGGGTGGCGGAGCTGCCGGAGAGGAAGAAGAGGAAGGGTGGTGGTGGTGAAGAACTGGCGCCAATGCCCGGAGATACTTAAGTATGGGGAAGCTCTGATGAAAGCGTCGGAATATGGTTAGACGAATAGAATGCAAAAGTTACGGATAGAAGTCCCTTTTGTTGGGTCGTACCGCTTTTGTAACGTAGACTGGCCTCGTAAGAATCTCACGTAACATATAATCCGCTTGGCTATCTAGATATCAAGATCTAGCTATTAGTAATAATATATATTAGTAATTCTTTTTAAATTAATAGTTTTCCATACAAGTTTTATCTATGTTGTAGCTTACGCTATAAACTAGCTTATAAGAGAGTAGAATTACGTTGTGTTAAATGTGCAGTTTGGCTCTCTGCATAATTTTTTCTTTCAAAGTTAGGTTCTAGGCCTTCCTGGTCCGACCGCCATTCTAGGCACCTCCGCGAGCGCCACCTCTACCACCTCTGAGTGCTGTCCTCACCGGATGGCGATGCTGCGTTTTCGCTTAAGAGGTTTCGAGCACGGCCACAGCCAGGTCTGGACTTGAGCTCGGAGGGGACCCATTGAATCAAGCAGAGCCACACTCTTCATTAGGCTTTACCGGGCGATCTGGTCAGCATTGGTACAGTTGAGAAAGGCTTTGAAAATCAACGGCCAATCCCTCTAAATAAGGCTCCCTTTTGAACTATACATATATTCAATAAAGAGGAAGTGACTTATTTAGAATCAAGTCAATATATTTCGTGAAACATAGCATCACTATGATGTTGAGCCTATGTCTACGACTCTCCGTCTCCAATATGACTATTATCTCCAGCCTCATTCCAATGTCTTCATCAGAACAACCAACTATAACTCATCACTGCCCGACAGCAACACGGTAGCCCGCCTAAAATACCACATGTAATATCAATGTCCCTTGCCTTGACCCAACAGCTTCATCCCAAAAAGATACCCTTGGACCAGGGTGAAGATGCCAATCACACCAGCAGACGTAGCTACTCCCAATGTCGCACTATGAACTAACACACCAACCACAATTCCAGCTACGATAGCAAACAAAACCACCACAGCCAACGCCCCTACCAATATATATTGGCAGACATTCGTCTTGATGAGTATCGCGCGACGGGCCTTCTCACTCTGCGTTGCACCAGGCAAGATATTAAACTGCGCATTCAAACGCAGGAAATCCCTTGCTCCACGCAACACAGTTGAGTTGTGGAATGCTTCGGTTAGGTCAGGACGGGGTGTACTGCTCTCAATGATCACCTCACGGGGGTAATCCTGAGCCTCAGGGTCACCGGTGCAGAACTGGCTGAGGAGTTAGACACCGGCAATAGCTGTGGTGTCGCACGAAGGAGGCTCACGGGTGATACGACGGCTTCCTCGATCTGCGGACTGGAGAGGTACCAGTCGTGAACTGGTTTTATGCCCTTGTACTTCTTGTGTAGAATATTCATAACGGTCGTTCCAGTCTGAGAACTCGACAGGTTGAGGAGGTGTAAGGTGAGTTTCCCGTTCGTTTTGATAATGAGCCACCACTGCACGTCCTGTGGCCGATGTGCGGACTCGCCACTGTTGCGGGCTCTGGCTGTGGTGGTCGTGTCAGCACTAGTTGTCGACGCTTCGGCCATTTTGACCAGGTGGGGATTGTTCAGATTGACGATCAAGTATAGTGGCGAAAAATATTGAAGAGTTACCCCTTACCGTAATCTGAATCTTCTTATACGATTTCATTTCTGCGAATTATTGTACCTTCTGGTTGTTCTACTCCGCATTGTCGAGGGAGGGGCTCAGCTATATACCCCTCATCTCTCGGCCTACGTGCGGATCTCTCTCGGCCTACCTGTAGGAGTTGTTTCGCTATCGGAGCTGTTTCGCTATAGGAGTTGTTTCGCTATAGGGGTTGTTTCGCTATAGGTGGATGTACGTTATAGTATGTTCACACTTGAGTACTCTTTAGTGTGAATATTTGCTGCGAAATTCGATTGCATCTCTGCACAGCCCCGCTTACCGTTTCCTTGTTGTCTAACATCAAGCCTAAACGCCCACACACTGCTTCCTTCATCTCTATTCTCCATCCATTAGATTACAAAAATGCCCAATATTACGTTAAGCATGATCAGCAAGGGAAGCGTAACGTCGAAGGCTGTGCGCGAAGCGATGAGGGCAAGGACGGAATTAGATCAGGCGCAAGAGAAGGAACGCGACGCTAGCACCATCTACACCTACACTCCGTTGGAATCGCGGCATACAATACGTTTGCTGGAGCTGCACGCGGGGTCGGAGAACGAGCCGTTGAAAGGCAACCTTCGCGACTTCGACCTGGAGGAGGCCATGTTCACGGATGCCCTGGACGATGCACCGTTTCCTGAAACCGAACGCGAATTTCCGCAATACGAAGCGTTATCTTACGTTTGGGGCTCGCCGCTATTCACGCATGCTCTGGAGTTGGTCGATGGAGGTGGTGCTATCCCAATGACTGCCAATCTTGCTGAGGCTCTGCGACGACTTCGGAGAAGGGATGGCACTCGTCTTCTTTGGGCCGACGGCGTCTGCATTAACCAAAATGACGTGAAAGAGCGCGGACATCAGGTGAAGCTTATGGGCACTATCTACACTGGAGCGAAGGAAGTTATTGTATGGTTAGGACCCGACAACAACAAAAATGCCTACAAGACCTTCTCCTTTTTCGAGACGGATATCATGGTCGACGAGCCCGCACAGATCATTACCGCTTTTAACCAGCTGTGTCCCGTCGAGTACGACCACCGAAGCCGCGAATACGGAGAAATGCTGCTCGTGAAAATGATGGTCGAGTGTGAGTGGTTTGAACGCCTGTGGGTGGTTCAAGAGGTCGCCTTGGCCCGTTGTGCCGTAGCCGTTTGGGGCACTGAAGAGATCGATTTTCAGAAAATATCTTCAGCCATAAGAACTTGTAAGGCTGTGCTTCCGGAGCACAAGCTTTGTACAGCAAACGTCTTGGATCACTCAAGTCCGGACATTGATCTTCTACAAGTCTTAGCCTGGGCGAGGGGCTTGAAGTGCTCAGATGATCGCGACAGAGTCTACGCCCTCCTCGGCTTGCCAACCTTAGGCTTGGGTCGCAGTCCAATCGAGCCAGACTATACGCAATCCGTAAGCGACCTCTACTATGAAATTGCCTGTAGGGCAATGGCCTCAGGAGGCTTGTGGACCTTACTGTGTCTCACCGATCACGGGAGCTCCGCAGAGGAGTGGCCCAGCGAGCTTCCATCCTGGATCCCAGACTGGAGACGGCCAAATATCTTATCCTGTCCTTCACAGGTGGGCCAAGGGCAACTGCCTTCGTTTGTGGATGCCTCCACACGCAGTCTTCACATTGAGGGGTTTTGTCTTGATACCGTCACTTCCGTGTCCTCACCGTGCTTTCAAGCAGAAACTGATATGGTAGACGTCGTCTCAATATCACGGTTTTGGTGTTCGGTGATAGAACCCATGCTGAAAGAGGATGTTTTATCTGCAGGGACACTTCCCCTATACGCCTTCTGCGACGCTGTGATGAGCGGGGACAATCTTAATTGGGAGCGTTGTAGCCATGGCCTTGACGCCACACTCAAATTCTACGACTACTGCCAATCAAGTCGATGGGCTGCGGGGATGGGAAAATCCACACGCACGGTTGACAAGATGCTGCGGTCCATACGCAGCAAAGTCTGTGTGGTCGACTCGGGCCGGTCGGGACACGCTAGTATCGCGTTTTCGAAGTTCTTGAGGGGCCGTAAACTTTTCGCCACGCATAAGAGCTTCATCGGCCTTGGTCCGGAAGCATTACGCGCTGGGGATTGCGTAGCATTCTTGGGGGAGGTAGACACTCCATTCATTCTGCGTCGGCAGGGCGAGTTCTACAGGTTTATCGGCGCCGCATTTATTTCGCAACTCGCAAACGGTGAAGGATTCGAATTATGGAAAGAGAATTCAGGAGAGCCGCAGGAATTGGAAATTAGATAGCTCGCAGGTCCTTTTTGGAGAGTCGAGGAGATGCGCTCTAGCGTCGACGTCTCCGTACATGCCGTCGCCATGCGGTATTCCTGTCAGTGCTCGGTAGCCTAAGTATGACCAATGGTACACCTTCGGTTAGATATCATGTACAACACACGCAGTTAATCTTTTGCAGAAAACGGGGGGTGATATTATGGGAGAGGCTTCAAGGTTGGACAAGGATGTAGGGGCATGTATACTAATGTATGTAATCATTAGGCTGTCTTTCTGCACGCCTTACTGAATCCATTTTGGCATACCTAGTACCCTCCTGGGAACGTATGGCTTCAGATCAGTCCGTCACTCATCCGAGCTTCAGGACGAAGACTTGAAGGGCGGTGGATCTGTTGCACTCGTTAGCGGTTGTCCTCTCTTATGTTGCGAAATCTTACAGAGTCAGGACAATGAACAGTTCAGCCCTCTTCGCGTCCGTAAGGCAGTTCAGGAGGAGAGCGGTAACGGCATTAAACCCCGTCATTGTACCAATTTTGGCTCCCCAAGAAGCCAAAGCCAGCTTAGGCAGTACAGCGACCGAGGCGACGGGCATGGTAGCCGCCAGCATCGACGTAACCCAGAAGGTGACCCGAAAGATCGAATCATCACGAATGGACACTTTACCCAAGAATCGGGAAGGCTTCATGAATCGGCCGAAGAGCTTGAAGATAGTCTCGCTGTTCTGAAGGACGAAATTCGAGAAGACGTCCTCGGTCTTTCGCTGCCTCAAGCACACTATGTCGGGCTTGTAATCCTGAGGGTTGAGGAAGGTGCCCCAGGTGTTCCAATCCAAGCCGATAAGGCTGGACTTCATGTGATTGCTAGCGTTGAAGCATTGTATGTTATTTAGGTCGCGGCGTTCCGGTATGCTGAGGTGCTGGATCTGAGACACTTGAAGCAATGCCTTATCTGTAGGGCTGTCAGTTTGGATCCATGGGACTCTTCGCCGGGATGCGACGTACTGTATTCCTTGAGCTTCTGTCGGATTTGAATAATGAGCTCGTACTGCTTCGAATCTCCCTCATGCGCCATCCAGGCGTAGTCACGCGCGTATAGCTTCTTCTTCCCCGTGTCATCTAGGGCATCCCGTGTAGTGTACTGATTGAGCAGCTCTTCGAGCAAGCATAGCTCGGATTGCAGATAAAGGAGGTTGCGCATGTTGAGCGTGTTGAACTTGCGGAAGATAGCTTGCTCTGGTAGCAGTCCCATGCGTACCGCGAGTGTCGGATAGCCCGGTGGGTACCCTTCGTAGCCATTGAGGACCTCGGGAGCTTGCTCTCTGCGGTCTTGCTGCTGGGGTGTTGGCTCTTCCTTGCCCTGAGAGTTAATGCTCTGCTTCTCAAGGTTGAAGTTAGAGCTCCTCTTGGAGGCCGGAGGCGTCGTTGCCATGTTCGCACTGGGGCGGATGGAGAACCGAAAGTTTCTGATCGGGGTGAAGGGACGGTAGAGAAAGCGGAATGATAAAGAGAAGAAGGAAAATTCAACTAATAGTTAATGGTGGGCGCGCGTGCGTGAGTCAAACGCTGCCCGGGTCGTGGAGTGGTCAGTCGCGCGCCTGCCTATTTGGCAAACACCGTTACCTCACCTCACCCCACGTGCGCCCTCGCACACGCTATCCGAATTAATTGTCGTATATATATTAAACAAAAGAGCACATCCTTCAACAAACGAACTACGTCAGCAGCTGTTGGACTCGCCGGGACAGCGCCGCGGATTGGGAAGTCTGACTGCCCTTCCGTTTAAGCCGCAGCCCATAGAGCGCCAAACCTTTAGGATTGACCTAGTTCGGAGTTCGAGTATGGTCGTCACCATAGTACAGCAAAATTCTATAGGGGTTTTCTGGGCCTTCGGGTTTCTTTTTGCTATTTCTTTCTTTATTCTTTTGCGCTATTTCTTTTGCGCTATTTTTTTGGGCTTTTATTTGGATGGACGCGGCGGTGGGTGAGGAGAAGGTGGGTTAAAGGACAGGGCAGGTAGGAAGAGGTATGTGACGCGCAAGTACTAACTCGATGCCCAACTTGTGATACGATGTGGCTCCACATGAGTCTCACAAAGGCTGATGGCCAAAAATTCATGCAATGGAATATCCGACTGGATGGCTGAGCTCAGACAGAATTGAATAGCGATGAAGATGTGCAAACGGTGATTCGCAGGATGTGTAACGTGAAATCCTTTTCTCAGCTTTCCGATCTACCGCTGGTATACGGTCAGTGCATTGGCCGGAAGCTCGATTGCTGGCGCAGAAGGGAGCTCCGTTGGCGTCGTCACGGTTGACTGATGTTCTGCTGGCGCATAAACTGCATGGCCACATTTTCTCCGTTGCATCTGTTCCCGCGTACGGCACGGAATAGGCAAGCTTGGAGCTCTTAGCGTCCCTTCCCCCCCGTAGATATTGTTGGCGGAAGTCGCCATACGGCACCCGGCAGGAGGACTTACATTTGAGGATCACGTGTTAATTACGTGATCGCGCTAGCCTAGTGTATATAGCCAGAGCCATCATCTTGGGTGCAGCCCTGATTGGATGCTACAACAAAACTCTAGTAGAACTAATAGCTTTCGACTAAGAGAGGCCGGGAGGCTCCTGATAGTGGTTAGACGAGTGAAGAGGTGGTGGAAGCGTGAGTTAGCTGAAGTCGAAATTCGGGAGGTTGGATGAAACAGTGTGACGTCATTGCGAGATAGCGCCCACTCCGAACGACAAAACATACCGGGAGCCGACATACTATACACGAACCCATTTAAAACACTATCGACAATATCTTAGCTGGATATACGCTTACGCCACGGAAATGGCACGCACACGCGCTCAAGCCCAAGCTGAGAAGGAAGGCGAGCCCACTAGCAAACCAGCTACTAAAGACCCGAAGCCGACTGCGAAAAAGAGTAAGGATGGAGGGGCGCCAGCCAAAGGCAAAGCTTTACAAACCAAAGACGGGACTTCGACCAAGGCACCGAAGAAGCGCAGCACATCTAAAGACGAAAAGGCCAAAAGGCCGGCTCACAAGAAGCAGAAAACAGCTTCGCCAGCGTCCAAGAACTCCGACCGTCCCGCCGCATCCAAGCCGGCCGGATCGAAGATCGACAACCTGATAGGTGAATTTGGATCAGTCCCTCTCTCCGACCTAGGTCTCAAAGATGCGGAAAAACCAACAGCTGAAACGGTCCTGGCCCACATCTACAACGCGCTGCTCTCATCCGGCAGGATCGGACACAATATTGCACACAAGACACTCCAGTGCCTAATCGATGAGAACTACCACGACCTTGAGAGCTTGAAGGAGTCGACCTGGGAGAGGCGAACCGAAGTGCTGACGGACGGCGGATACACGCATTATCGCGAGAAGACAGCTACGTTCCTAGGCGATCTCGCTCAGCTCATTGAAGACAAGTATGACGGTGACGCCGCGAAGTTCCTTCCCGGACAAGACGAAGCGAAGACTCCACAAGAAGCACAGAAAGTCTTGGAGAAGAGGTTGAAAGAGATCAAGGGCTTGGGACCTCTTGGTGTGGAAATCTTCCTGGGAACCATCCAGACTGTGTATCCGGGTGTGGCACCGTACATTGGTAAGAGGGACATGGGCGCCGCAAAGGAGATGGGGCTTGGCACTGTTCAAGGCATCTGGGATGCGGTGGGAAAGGATAACTTGCGCATGGGCCAGCTGTGCGCTGCGTTGACGAAGGTCAGGTTGGAAGGCAGGACGGCGGGTATCAAGTAACGCTCTTCCTAGCGATGCTACACGTGTATTTTCCACTAGGACGGGCGGGGAAGATTCGGCGCCATAATGGTCTCGGTGCGGTCTCGGAACACTATCATTCGCGGTAAACAGGCGCAAGGCGCAAGCACAAGCGGTGAAATGGAAACCCGACTTCTGCAACTGCACAGACTGAATATTTCAGATACTAACTTATGGTACAGAGTTACATGCGAAAGATCAAAGAAACCGCTCGCTTATTCCGCTTACAACACGGTTGCGTGGAAACCTCGCATGAAGACGCCGCCCAATGCAACCAAGCTCAAACCGCCTGGGATCCTCCTACGCTCCGACCCAACGTTTTGAAAGGGGCATCAGACCAGCTCCAAGCCGAATTCTGGGCTACTCTTCTAGTTCATCGCTGGGACTGTACCGCAAGTTCCACCGAATGATCCCTGGCAAGGGGCGGTAGACTTGCTAGGGCAGATCGGAATGATACTGCCGCCGGTTGTGCCTCCGTACGCAACATCGCAGCTCTCTGGGTACTGCGCGCTGCCACAGCTCATCAAACAAGCGCTGAAGCTCATGGCCTGGTCTTCGGGATTGTTCGTCTCCTTCTGCGGAGCAGTGATGGTAAAGTCGTGCCAGTCGTTGTCGCCAGCGCACCCGAGGCCACCAGGAGGAATACGTGTCTGGCCAGTGATGGTCACCAGCTTGGACGTGACCTGGGCGCCACATTCGATGCCGCCTGCGGGGCAGATGACAGTCGCTTCTTGAGAACTTTCGTCTTCGGTGGACCAGCTATTCTCATCGTCAGCCCCTTCATGTCTGGATCCTTGCCATGGCCCTGTGTACTTACCCGTATTCGAATCCGACGCTAGCCCCCAGAGAAAACACCTTGCCGAGGTCGAAGCCGACGTCTATGCTGCCACTGACGGACCATGAGACTCCAACGCTATGTCCCACACCTTTGCTGAGCTCGCAGTTGTCCTCAGGCGTCGAGGTACAGGTGAAGCTCGTGGCCATCACAGCCGCAGGGGAGAACGGCGCGCTTTGAACGAGGTTCTGGTACTCTCGTACGTCGGCGCATTCGTCCCGTGGGAGAACGAGCGCGGAGGTGCCCGCGGCGAAGAGAGCGACGATGGAAGTGGCTGCGACGAGCATTTTGGAAGTTGAAAGGATGGTGAAGCGAAGGCTTAGTGTGAAGGCAAAAAGAGCGATTGCAGTTGGTGACCTGAGCGCGATGCGAAGATCGTAAAGGAATGAAGACAAGAGAAGGCTTTGAAGTGGAACTGTAGAAGACTGAGCTGCTGTGATGATGGTCTGTCTGGTAAGTCCTGCCCTTCTTATACCTTTCTTCAAGATTTGATGTTTCTATGTTCGTTCTACTCGGGGTTCTTTTTGGGGCCACGGTCACATTGATACACCAAAAGATGATGTTTCATCCTCCCTCCACCTCGTATAGCAGAGCCTCGCTCACTGCGTGGGCCTTGGCGTAAGATGCGTCTTGTTTCATCAAATTTCCGAGTGAACAAGCTTGGGGCCCCATTTTCTTGATCGGTTGAACATCAATGAAACTGTCCGGATACAGTGACGATTTTGGATTCCAGGGTTTGCTACTCGCAAAAGTTTGATGCACTCGTCGCTACCCGACCGATTCGCGAAGCCGATATTTCTACTGCATCGCAGCCTTACTTCTTCATAGGGCTGTTGCCTCTGTTCGCTTATACACGCCGGTGTTTGCAGGGCGAATTAAGCACAGAAATAACCTTAAAGCGTGGACTACGTTCGGCAATTCACAGCCCCGTCCCGAAATAGCTAGCCGCCAGGATCGGCTTGGCGATTTCCATTTTCGGAAGCGATCCGGCAGTGAAAAGTCAGCATCGCCAGATTTCCACAAGTAGGAGGACGACGAGAATTCGAAACGGCGAGTCGCATGGGGGTCGCTTGGGAAGAAGCCTTGCAATACTTCAAGCCTACCTCCGAGGCACAGCAAGAGATTCGGTCACGTGAGATATTGACAGCTTTCTATTGGCTAAGTAGGCTGCTAAACCTGCGAAGACTACCGGAAGGATTTGAACAGCTCATTCGAGTGCGCAAAGCCAGGCTCACCTTCCCCGCGTTTACAATGCCTCGGAGACTATCACGCCATCCGCCATTACCCCCCGATTACAGTCACCTGCCGCCGATCCTCCCACCCGATCCAGAACCCAACGAGAACGCCCTCAAAACCTTCGCCCTATCACGAGGCTCTGCGGGAACTCCACTTAGCTACCCACAAATGGGGTGCGCAGGACTCCCAAAACGCTATTCGTCGGGAAGATCGTCGCCGAAAGAGGACATCCCGCGGGGTGCGTGGCAACCGTTTATGGCTTGCGTAGGCGAGGCTTTTGGAGCCCCGACAGTGGAACCGGCCAACTTCAACACCATGCATGATGATCGCGTGATCTCCCATCCAGTCCCGTGTAGCCACGCAAACACGAAGTTTTCGTGGGCTGTGTGGGACAGAGATTTCGAAAGAGAGGGCTCGACTGGGTGGTGGGATGACTATGACGACATACTTTGCGTCGTGCCTAGAAAAGAAGAAATGCAGGGTTTGTGGGGTACGGCGTGGCTTGGGGCCAAGATTGTGGAAAGTGTTTATATGGGAGCGTGCGAAGCTGCCGACAAGACTTAAGCATCGTGCACAAGAAACGAAAGACTTCAACAGTAACTGACACCATGCCTTCTCCACACACCGCTGAGCAACGCCGTAAGTTCTACACATCATCCTCGCTTTGTGGGCCGAGGGGTCGTACGAACATTAGGATCTAACCAACCTCTAGGTGAGCCCACGTACACGGACGCCTACGAACCAGGTCGACCTAGGCATCCACCTCCTCCTGATCACCAACGCGCACGGCGCCCACGCTATGAGGATGAACATGGACGAGACGGTACTGCTACTTCCAAACTAGTCGAAGACGAATACGCTAACTAGCCCTCAGACCGCCGTCCGCGCCGCCACAGAACCTACAAAGCCCCATCACCATCCTCCTCCTCCTCTCTCAGTCCACCGCCCCGACACCGCCGTCGCCGGCCCGAGCCCGAGCCCTACGACTCCTACGACGACCACTACGCCCGTCGGCGTCACCGCCCGCGCGACGAAGGCTACCTGTCGGATAACCGGCACAACCGGCCTCGGCGCGACGCCTATGACGACAGGGGACCACCGAGAGATAGGGACCGACACCACGATCGCGATGCTCGGGAGCGTCGCCCTCCACCCGATGCTAGAGAGCGGAGGCTGAAGCCGGAGCGCAAGGAGAGCAAGTGGCAGAAGGAGGCGAAGGATATTTTCAAGGAGTATGCCATGCCAGCGATCAAGGCTGAGGGTGGGAAGTATATCTCGAAGCAGATTGGGAACTTTATTTCGAAGCAGGCTGCTTGATGGCGAAAGTTGGTGGATAGATTTGAGGGTGCAGGGTTTGGGAGAGTGTTTGTACGATTAGGTGTTCTTGGGTTGGCGCTGACTTCGCGTATACGTTTTCTACTCTTCACAATCTCGTAAAACGTTCGAGCCACAAGGCCATCAAGCTGAACACCCTTTAGTCTTATCGAATTTCGAAAGTCCGTAGTCCTTCACTGTTCCTCATCAGGCGATCGATTGCTCTAGAGTCCGTTGATCCCGGGATGAATGCCGCGCCAACGAACCGGTAAAAATGATCTTGCTTGCGGACAATAAACAGGGCCTCTTCTTCGTCGAAAGACGCAACCAAATCCCCGGCGCGCATTGCTTCCGGCCCAAGGCCAATATAATTCTCAGCAGTGACGAACAGCCTACGGCCCTTTAAGTAGCTGAGAAATGTATCATCGAGCAGTGGGCTCCAACGAGAATCCCCCGATTGATGGCGACTCTCCTCTATCGACTTCAACATGGCTTCTGCGGAGGGAGTTGGGTTTTGGAGATCATAGAAGCGGGTTAGCTGGCCTGCCACCCAGCTCAGGTCAATCTTAGATGGCAGGCTCCATCCCGCACGGCTCAAGAGAGCCCCGCAGAATGCTAGATCTGGCAACAAGCCTCCGGACGTTGTTTGAGTCTCCGTAAGCGGTCGAACATCCTGCGACCAGAACGTGACCACCGAATCAATGGCGTCGTAAGCGTTGCATTGACAACCAAAAGTATCGACACAGTCCACCAGAGGCTTCGATATCGAACGAACCACGTCGAAACAATATCCGGTTATGTTAAGGCTTGCGGTTGCCTTATTGATCGATGGCGTAACACGGCCGAGATCGATGCGAGGAGGTAGTGCTATGGACTTTCTCCAATCGGGGACCCATGAAGGGAGACCCGTGGGCCATCTTGCCAAGACACCACCATGATCAACTTGCGTCAAGAGTTCGCTGAAAGCACCGCCTTCTATGGCCCGTATCGCGACCTCGTAATACAGGTCGTGCAGAGGTAGGGTATAGTCTGGCTCAATGGCCATATCCATCTTCCTCATGTAGCGGGGGCTGAGCGATGAGAATCCTAATAGCGCGTATACCCTATCGTGATCGTCGGCACATTTCAAACCTCTCGCCGAAGCTAATATATCAATAGGTGTCCCGAGGGCTACGCTTCGACGCTTGGCGTAATTATCCGCCGCGCATAGTGTGTGTTTCGGTAAGCGCTTATCGTAGTCTAGGATTGCTTCTGCCAATGGTCCGAAATCCATCTCTTCATTTCCCCACATAGCGACAGCAGAGCGAGATAAAGCCACCTCTTGTACTACCCACAGGCGTTCAAACCACTGACAGTACCGTACCATGTCGAGTACGAGACGGTCTCCTGTATCGTTGATGTGTGAATGATAACCTTTGAAATAGTCAAAGGACTCGCGGGCACGATTTCCAGCGTCAGGTCCAAGCCATACGAGCACCTTCGTCGCTCTGTCGTATATAACCCCCATGAGTTTCACTTGGTGTCCTCGTTCTTGAATATCATGTTGATTAATGCAGACACCATCAGCCCACACTATTCGATGGCGATTCTCAAATCGGATTCGTCGTAGGGCTTCGTCAAGGCTGGGTGTTATGGGGATGGTGCCTTCGACGCAACTCAGCGAGTGGGTATAGGACGGCGGGCCCCAGACATATGATAAAGCTTCGTACGATGTAGCAGTGTGCTTGGTTTCCTCGTCCAACCATACGTTAGGCCACGAAGGGCTCGAGTCTTCGTCTGAGGTGTCATCTAGACCGAGGTGGAAGAGATTTCCTCGCAGCGGATCGTTGTGCGCGCCCTGATACAGTTCGAGCAATCGTATGGTGCGAGCAGACTCGACAGGCCGGTAGACATAAGTTGCAGTCGAATTGCTGTGGTTTAATGCCTCAGATGGCGCGCCTGAGGTTTCAGCCTGATCCATCGCTCATCTCCAGGCCTCTTTCCCTGCCTTGTTCGGATTTTGTTGACAGCTTTGTAGTGCACCTCTGCGGACCTGGATATCCGAATACTGAGAAGATTGTTACGCGAACTCCTCAATCGCAATGGAGTGGCTGGATGAGTAGAATGATTGTGGCTCGCCTGATGGAGGCTCGGGAGGCTATCGCGAGCTGTGCGGGGCACTGTGCAGCTGCAGCCTTTGATGCAAGTAAGCAAGCCACAACCTCCGAATCGACGCGATTGGCCCAAATAAACCCACCGGCTTTCTCACCTCTCCAGGCTTCTACCTTATTTTCCACCGAAGAGACAGGCTGCTATTACCAAGAAGCGGCACTTACACCTCTTCCCAAAGCCAACCAGCCGCCCTAGCCGCCCCAAGCCCACTACCATATGCCGCCTACGCCCACCAGCAATCTCCACCCTCCACTCTATCCGGGACGCGTGAGCCAGCTGGGATTGACGACTAAGCTTGTCACTTCGTTGACTTCAGGGAGCCATTGTGTTAGCGGTGAAAAGCCACCTGTTTTACCCCTGTTTCACGCTACCTGGTACCCCCCCCCCTTTCAACATGTGTATATATATAGGGCCCTCTGGCGCCCATACTTCTCAATACAGAGCTCCTTTTCTCCCTGAAACATTGGTATACTCTGTGGCGACGTAGTTCCACTCCCCGTTTCCCAACACCATACTTAGATGTTTCTCGTTCGCTTTCAGCTGGGAACTCAACGTCGGCTTCGCGAGACCGAAATGTGGAACCAAGTAGGCTGAAGTGGTACATGTGATCATATACTTCACGCGGGAACCTAAGCAGCGTTGTGCTGTCTTGCAGTGGACATTGTGCATCTCCGTCAGTTCGGCTCTAGAGGCTTTTGGGAGGACTCGCACGGGTTGTGCGATTTCGCTTTGCTTTTTCTCGTATTAGTCGTCGTTCACAGGCATATTCGGAGCAGCGTTGTGATGAAATCTAGGCAAGCGTACTTGTCACTTCGGCACCGCTTTATCCACATGACCGAATCATGCTTCGAGGTTGGTTGTAGCCATTAAGACAATATTGATAAACAGGCTAGTAGCAGCTCAGGGTATTCAAGACTGATAACTTGGAATCTGAATTTGCTACATAGCCCGATGCCCAACTGGAAACTACTAGAGCACAAGAACAAAACAGCAATCCAATGCGCCAATGTACAGACGATGCATGGGCACAATGGGGAAAAGCCTAGCGATGCAATAACCGCTTCTTCGCCCCTTTTTGTGTAGCTTCCAACTCCTTCATTTCCAGCTCCTTCTGCTCCCTGTCACGCCAAATCTTGGCCAAGTACTCGATCACATCGTCATCATAGTAAGTCCATGAATCAGGCTTATTGAAGTGCCACTCAGTACAGCTTACGTTCCGATTGAGTACAAGGCTCTGGTATCCCGCTGGTCGTTGCTCCACCGGGATTTTGTACAGCTCCATACGAGCGAGATTATCCAGGCGGACCTGCAGATGCCTGATGGATTTATTGTACTCATTATCCGTCTCGTCATAGAGTAGTTCGTAGACATAACGGAGCACTGGGTGACAAATTTTTATGTTGCAGTTGACGTCGTAGAAGGAAATCCCGTTTCTGACCTCCTTGAATAGGTAGAAGGTGGTGGATTCGAGTGCACCGTCGGGAACTGCCGGCTTCGAGACATCCGCAGTCGAGAGGCGGATGACCAACGTATGCTGGTCACCAATGCGGCGAGAGCGCGTAAGCATTTCGCTCGTCATTCCGGGGGCCTTATAGTTCTTCTCGAACCAGTGTATATCCTTTGCCTTGTACCCTCCCTTCGAAAGCTGGTAAAGTGTTGGCCCTACTCGCTCCGATAATTCGACCATCAAGTACCCTTCCTTGTCGATGAATGTGGAGGAAGGAAATAGCGAGTACACCTTATTCCATGTGGCGTAGTTTTGCTGGATCGTTGTTCCACAACTCTTGTCCAAGGGCAGGTGTATGGGAGAATGGTAGGGCTCGGCTCGGACGACTAGAATGGACGCCTTGTTTGCTCCATTGACCGTTCGAGTCGGATGGACGAGCCGAATGCACTCGTCGAAAGCGAAATCATCGCAACCCGATGGGGCCTTCTCGCAAGGAGCCTCGTATCCGTCAGAGATCAAGTACCGCATCATTGCTTTCCGGTCCGGCCCCGGAATAATGACATTGAGGGTAGGATCACTATTAATGAAGTGCTGAGTCCTCGCAATAAAGTCGATTAGCGGATTCCCAGTAATAATAGCGTTGAGTTTGCCTTGGAGACTCCTGAAGTCTTTAGGGTTGCTGAACCAAGTCTGGAGCCAGCTATCCCAGTTTCGGGCCCCTTGAACCACGCTGTGGAGATCTCTACAGACTCCACTCAGCCGAGCAAGGTCCTGCGGCGACAACGCGGATAGGACGGCGTCCTGAATGGGAATGAAGCGGTTGCTTAGCAAATCTGGAAGACTCGGCATGCAGTGCTTCAGACTCATCTGAGCTGGCGATTCAGGAAATGGTTCGTTTGCAAGAGACATTCTGGATTGATGAGTAGATAGTGCGGTAGTCGAGTTAGTTCTAGATTCTGGTGTGGTAATGCCTTATATTAGTTGTGAGGACCTCGGGAGTTTAAGAACCTTATATGCGAGGAGGAAGCAGCCGTAAGTTACGTATATTTACTCGCAAGCGTGAATGCTGGCAGTGAAATATGAAAATCTCGCTTCTACAATACAGTCTATATTTCCCCTAAATCACTGTTACCCCTGATTTCTAGAACCCTGCCTTCTAGTATTAACTTTTAGCGTTCACTGCTAAGAAATTTCTTCTCTACCTAACATACTTCGGTGCAATCAATCTTTTCAATAATCTTCAGTGCAACTCTACCTTTTGGGGTGGGGGCCATTTACAGTCTGTGCAAGGAAATTCCTTAGCTAAGATAACTTCTAGCTATCTAAAAATTACTAAGGAAAATGTAAAGAACCTTAAAAGAGTACTGCAAGAGTCCGAGTTCTGCTCCTATTTAGGGAAATCTGTACTCTAGGGCAGTCCCTGTCGAACCTGCGATCTTCGAGTCAGTTGGAATCCTACTGTGCTGGAAACGACCACGATTGGAGAGAGGAGAGCTTTTCATAATGCGTCTCTAAGACCAACCTAAAGACACCTACTCTAGTAATCATACACCACAATCCCCTCCTCCACCCCCATGAACTCCTGCAACCCCACCACCTCACCTTCGATCCCCTCCCCCACTCTCCCTCTCCCTCTCCCTCAACGCCTCAAACACCCCATCATACCTAAACCCAAAGTCAAAATCCATCGTCTCATCATCCATCTGCACACCCTGCTTGAACTCAAAATGCGCCTTCCGCGTATCCTCCAGCACCCTCTTAGCTCGCGGTCTTCTCACGCTCTCCGCCAGCCGAAGAAGCCGGGGCACGTCCGCGCGGCTCGTGCCCGGCGCGAGAAGGCGCAGGCTTTCCGCGTCCTCGACGCTCATGTTGGCGCCTTGGCCGTGCATAGGCGTCATCGCGTGCGCGGCGTCGCCAATTAGCATGGCGCGGCCGCGCACCCATGAAGGGAGCGGGTCGAGGTCTTGCAGTTCCCAGACTTTGATTTCGGTTGCAGCGCTGTGGGGGTTAGTTTTGGAGCGTTCATGAGGGGGAGGAGGAGGTGAAGACAGAGTGCATTAATTACCCGAGAATCCTTTTCAGCGGCTCGTTGAAATCGCCAAACGCCTCGAGCAACTTCCCCCGATCGCCCTCCGCATGCCACGACTCAGTCGCACTCTTGCTCGAGTTCTGCGTCTGCAAGATACACGAGAGGTTGAAGTACGTTTGGTGGCGAAGCGGATAAGTGACGATAAAGCGCGGCGAGCCGTCGCCGGCGAAGATCATGGAGGAGCGGTTGTTGCAGGTCGCGGGGTCCCACCAGTCGGGCAGGGGCAGGTCGCCAAGGGCTTTCTTCGCGTCCTCGGTGGAGACTGCGACGCGGTAGCAGGTCATTCCCGTCTTTTTGGCTTCGTGGCCTGCGCCGACGATGGTCGTGCGGAAGCGTGAGTGGACGCCGTCGGCGACTGCGCGGGAGTTAGTCTTGTTTGCTTGCGGTAGATGCGTGCTAGTCTACTCACTGATCACGACATCCGCAGTCGCCGTCGACCCGTCTTCCAGCGTGACAACACCCTGATCCGGATCCAACTCCACAACCGCATTGTTAAACACCATCTTCGTGGGCTCGCCTCCAATCCCCAGCTCAGCTGAGGGAGCAGTCGCCAGCCGCATCAGCTCGTCCCTGAAATCCGAGCGCTTCTGCCCCAGGCAATCTGCTCCATACTTGGGCTTCAGGTCCATGTCCTGGTCCTGCAGCATATTGCCCTTCTGGTCGTACATGCGGAAACCGAGGATGGGCACTGCACCAGCGCGATGGGGATCGTATCCCATGGAGTTGAGAATCTTAACGCCGTTGGGCGCGAGCATGATGCCTTGGCCGCCAGTCGCAGCGTCGGGACCGCCGCGTTCGTATACAGTGACGTCGTGGTGCTCGCGGAGGATGCGTGCAGCGGACAAGCCGGCGAGGCCTGAGCCTGCGATGATGGCTTTGAGTCTCTTTTCGTTCACCATGGCTGCCGTGGTGATAGCGCGTAAGGTGGATCTGTGAACTAAAGGGCGAAGTTTGAACGATTTGAGCAGAATGGACATATTCTTACTCACTGAAGGGTACGGCATGACCTCTTCCACGCCCTTATATATTTATCACATCTCCACCGAACCCGAAGCCCGCTCCGAACCATACCCCGACAGATCCGACGCCCTTCTCCGTTTTCCCCGACCCAAGTAAAGGGGCCCTTTGCTCCCCAAGCATGAAATTCACCTCCCTCGCACTTTTCCGCTCGAACGGGCTTAGTGCAGACCCGTGCTCGCACGTGATTCTCTTGGCGGATGCGTCGTGCGTCATGCAAGGCTGAACTAACTCCGAGCGTTATCTCCGCAAACGCAAACAACCAACAACGCGGAAGGCGCCTGCGAGCCTGAGTACCACTCGAATCTTCCTGCTCTTAGGCTCCAGTCCCTTTGTACGACCTCATCTAACTCCTAAGTCCACCCCGTCCGCTTATCTCCGCACGCTCGAACCCTTTATTTTCGCGCAGGAAACCTAGGTAAGCGCAGCCCTGGACATGAGAACCATAAACACAACTTACCACTGCCTTCGCACCCTTCCTTACTCCTTCACTCTCTCCAGAATACTCAACCCGAACAGACCAAAGTTCCACACCTTCGTAACCATGTCGGCACAACAAGCCCTCCCCGCAACACACCGCGCCCTCGTCCAACGCGACTACGGCAAGCCCCTCGTCGTAGAAGACATCCCGACTCCGCAGCCAGTTCCCGGGTCCGCTGTTCTCCGCGTCGAAGCTGCGGCAGTCGTCTCCTACCAGAAGCTCGCATACAACGGCACCTGGCCGAACCGATACTTGACGCCCATCGTCCCTGGCTCCTGGGCCATTGGACGGGTCGCCGCCGTGGGTCCCGATGCCGTGTCCCTCCAGTCCGGCGCGCTCGTTCTGTTCAGCAACTTCATCCATGCGCGCGACGACCCATCGATTGCTTTCCTCTCAGGATTCGCCGACTTTGCGCAGCCCGGATCGAGGAAGCTCATGAGTGGCGAGTGGCGCGAGTCCACCTACGGACAGTACGCTAAAGTGCCGCTGGAGAACTGCTTCCCGCTGGATGAGGCACGTCTATGCGGTTCTCCCGACTCCGGCGGACTTGGGTATAAGATTGAACAGCTGATGTGGGCGGGATTGGCTCTCGTGGGATATGGCGGTCTGCGCAGCATCGAGGTGAAAGCCGGGGAGACGGTCGTTATCGCACCGGCAACGGGTGGGTTCAGTGGAGCGGCGGCAGTCGTGGCTGTCGCCATGGGTGCGCGAGTCATCGCCATGGGCCGCAATAAAGACACGATGAAGTATCTGGAAGGGCTATCGCCTCGGATCCACACCGTACCCATGACTGGGAATGAGGAGGAGGAGATGAAGGAATTGGCTCGGTTTGGCTGCATCGACGCCTTCCTAGACCTTTCTCCAGCCGCCGCTACCGAATCAGCGCACCTGAAGAGCGCCATTAAGTCCCTGCGAGCCGGCGGCCGTGTTAGCCTGATGGGTGGACTGCTTGGCGACTCAGTCTTCCCATACCGGTCCGTTGTTCACAAGAGTCTCACTGTCAAGGGCCAATGGATGTACAGCCCCGAGGACGCGCGAGACATGATCAAGATGATCGAGAACGGCATCCTAAGCTTGAACCACGTCAGCGTGGCCGGCAAGTTCAGCCTGGAGCAGTGGGAACAGGCTTTCGAAGTGGCGGCTGGGATGAAATTCAACGACGTAACGGTGCTGTCAGGATGAGGAGGCGGGATCGGCAGGTTCGTGGACAGCTTCAACGCAAGGAAATGAGGTATGTCTTTGCGTAGCCGATCGGAGGCTGCTTCAACACAAAGGCGCAGATGGAATTGAGGGAAGGGGTACATTTTCGAAGGAACTAAGATGGATAGGAAAATGAGGACTTTTTCCCTCCCTGAGGTGAGGAATGGACATAGCTCGACATGCATAGAGCTATGTACAACCCTTTCAATAGCTGAACAATAACGGAGCCTTAGCTCACTCTGCCTGAGTGCAACTTCGCATTCCATCATTCCTCATCGTTATCGAGAAATGGTGGCGGGACATTCGCACCATATTCATCTCGTCCGTACTCAGCCGGGCGTTGACCGTAATGGGGTACGTGCTCGTTCCGCTGCATCTGCCGCGCTTCGAGTGGATGCGAGCGCTGATGGCGGTCATAGTATTGCGGAACTCTAGACGAAGGACTTTCACCGGTCAACGGGGTGCGGGGTCTGTAGGTCATAGGTGAATGTGGCACCTGTTGCCTCACATCAAGGCAATAATCCAAAGTCCCAACAGGAGGACAGGGTGATACCGGCGGCTGCGCCGTGTACCTGTCGAGCGGCACGGACTGACTGTGTGGCAGCGGAGGCCGCTTCGATTCGGCCCGTGCGCTTGGGCTATAGACCCAATCGTATTTCCCGTCCCGAGCGCTGACCGGTTCTGTGGCATCTTCCTCGGCGTCATCAAATCGCTCCCCGCGCTCATACGCCAGCTCATCATCCGCCTTTCCGAGAACTGCAGTTCTATACTCGTCATATTTCGAGGTAACGGCGGCCACGGTGCTAAAATGTTGAGCGCGAAGCTGTGCCTGTGCACCCGGATTCTCCTGCTTTTCGTAGAGGGCCAGCGAGGATGCGATTTGGAATGCGTTCCTGATCTGTCGCCCGTTCCAGCGACCAACACCACCATTCTTGCCGCACGCGGCAAAGTGCTTCTCAGCAAACTCCAGAATCTCTTTCTTGTAGATGTATATTGGTGATTCGCCGCTCGCCTTGCTCCTTTGCTCCTCGAGTTGTTCTAGGCGGGAGAGATTTAGGTCGAAGATCTCCAAAGTCTCTTCCTTTCCCAGGGGTGGATAGTACAGGCTTACGTGGACTCGTGACTTGATTGCTTCATCTAGTGTCCCAGGCCGGTTAGTTGTCAAGAAAAGCATGCCGCTGTAATATTCCAATGTTCGCAAGAATACTGTTGATTAGTTAGCCAGCCGCTCAATATCTAATGAGCGGGAGCTGTGCGCAGTCTTGGATTACAAGCTTGTTATTTGTTTGGGATCTCCGACACGCACAAGCGTGTTGGGCGAATGCAAGAAAAGCAAAAGAAACGGCACCTCTCGACTTCGGACCGAAATTGAAAATACGACTATTAGAACTGCGAATGGAAGGAATGGGCGGAGGAACGCCTTGGATACGATGTCATACAGTTTTCGTCTGTAGGAATAGAACTTGACGAAAAGCTGCCGAGATTTCCCAGCACAGTGGAGGCACGTACCTGATACCAGCGCATTTCTCTTGAGATCGGTTTTAGCCCGTTGAGAGAGAAACACGTCTGCTTCGTCGAGCAAAGTAACGCAGTTCCAAAGATAAGCGAACCTGAAAATGTCTTTCAAGGACTGTTCCACCTGGTCTGGGGTATAGCCAAGGTCGCCGCAAGTGATGGCAAAGAGAGGTCTCTTCGTTTCCCGCGCGACAGCCTCTGCCGTAGCCGTTTTGCCTACACCTGGCGAGCCATGCAGCAGTATGACTAGGCCTTGCCCTTTCCCACTGATCATGTCTTGAGAACCGATCTTGTGTCCTCTAGCTTCAAGCTCTCGACGCTGAAAGTGGCTGCTGAGCAAGCTTCGAATAATTCGTTTATGCTCTACTGGAATCTTCAACGTCTCGAAAATCTGCTCTGTCTGAGCGATTGGTTTCAGGTTCAACGGGGACGCCATGACGAATCGCCGTTCTTTGATGGAATAGACGGGAATCGATCTTGGAAGAAGGACGAAATCTTCTTCAGAAGGTACGTAATCCGGAGTTGGCGCGGGACGGGGGATGGCTGACCTGTCTCTCTCCGCTAAGAGATCCTCCCATGGATCAAGTGTTACCACTGGCGGGTCAAAGCTTGTGTCATCTGAAACTGCGATGCTTTGGAATTCCACCAGTTCTCCCTCGGCCCATGTTGGCTTCAATGTTGGGTGGGCGTGGAACGTCTCTGCCAAGTCTATTACGACCTCGCCTTTGATGTAATCAGGCCGCCTGTGTCCGATACTGCTATCTCCAACAACGTTAGAAGCCCAGGCGTCATGGTAATAGAATCTCCGGAGCAGTAGCTCGGTGAAAAGTTTGCCGCGAGCGCACGCATCCTCCTTGAGTCGACGATGCGCTTCCAGAAGTCGTAAGGGGAAAACAGGCAGGCTTAGCGGATCTCTTGGCCCAGCGTAAGGATCTATCCGAAACACCCTTCTTACTGCGAGGTACTTTTCTCCGTCGTGATCAAGCCGGTAGCAGGTAAGCTCATGAGCTATCGCGGGTGCATCCAACCTTGCGTCGCGCCGTCGGCATGTCCGAAAGGAGGTTAGTCGCCACAGTCGGTAACTTCCCTCGCTGAAGATATCGCGCTGTGCGTGTTCCTGGCCGTATGAGCAAATGAGCTCCCCCACGTGGAACATACACCAGAGATCCCCAAAGTATATGTCGCCTATACGGCCAGCGCGCAGTTCAAGGTAGCGTGGCATTATTTTCCTGTTCATGAACTCCAGGTAAGTCTCCAGTTGGGGGAATGAGACTTTCTGGAGGCATTCCAGAGCTGCATCGTGTAGCTGAATCAATGATTGGAATGGTCTTTGGAATACGACGCTGCACCAGCGATTCCCTTGAGGCTTGTCGTACACCAAAGTAGCGAGGAGGCTTATAACGTCCGCCGTGTTGATACGGATGTATTCGATGGCATCCGTCCGGTGATACTGGATTGTATACTCCCCGCGTTCACATGAGCTCTTGAGGAAGTCCAGTGCAACTTCTTGGACATCATTCATTGCGGTGGAAGCCAGGACAAGGTATCGACTAGATACACTGTGACTTCCGAGGTCGGGATAATGGCCAAGATGACTTGATCGAGACGTATCTGTCTTAGGGTTAGCTGGGTCACAATTTCGGCATCCAACGAGCTTACGATACGTGAGAAGACCTTTCCGTAGCCCCCACAAATGCGAATAGAGCACTGCAGCTGGAAGACTTAGCTCGCAGTAGTCTTATGGGCATTGATTGCCTATTTCCAAATGTCGAGGCTCTCGATATACCTTGTAATCGTTGGTTTTTTTGCAACGTTGAAAACTGCGAAACGGGACGAGTGGCATCTTAAATAATGCGGCTTGCGTGCCCAGCCTGACTTTCGTGGGGCAGCCGAAACGGAAGAGAGAACGGGGTTCTTCATCCCAGTCAAAACGCCATCGCATCCGGTAGGGGCAGGTGTTACCAGGGCGCTGTCCCACGGTTCCTCACTCCCAATATTTTCAAGTGACATGGCCACAATGTGTGACTTAGGAAACAGGCGCACTCAATACGGCCCTTCGTGCTGGGATGGTCGTACCGTGTCGTGAGACGGTAGCGACGTGGATCGCAGAATGCCCATGAACTCCTCCGCCCAGCCGGGTGGGGTACTTTTTCTTCGCCACCTGCCCACGATGCAGCCCGCATCCTTATCCAAATCTCTCAAATCCCGTTGCAACAGTGATTCAGAGCTACGTACGTTCCGGCAGTGGGTGAGCGTAGAGGGCGCTCGAATGCTACCAGCTATGGCATTCGATACGGATTACGACAGACAGAGGTCGGTTTTCGTCGTCAAGCAACCGTATCGGTAAGATATCAATAGGAGTTTGCGTGGGATACGTCGGCTGACACTCTTGCATTGATCTTCAAGATATCCTAGCAGCGTATGAAGCCTCTGGCGAAAAGATCACTTTCGATGTCTCGAACTGCTCATGGCAAGATGTGTTGGACCAAATGGCAAAAGCCGAGGATGTGTATGTCTCGAAAGGGGAGAAGAACAAGATCCGGTCCGTCCTTCGACACGGGGCGGCAATCTCCAATACTCTGAGTCCATGGACGGCATTCATACCGCAGGACCTTGGGCTGAACGCTTTACAAGCTGGGTTGGCCGTGGTATTCCAGGTTTGCGAGTTTAGTGCAGCAGATGACCTCCACTAACAGGCATTGCAGGCCATACAAAAGCGGGAAGAGAATCGTGAAAAGATCTTCCAAGCGTTCCGGATGATCCCGGAGACGGTCGACCGGGCTAGCCAGATCCGCAAGCTATATCCATCCGATGATACCCTCCGAGATTGCACAAGCCATCTTTTCGAAAGGCTACTCGTAGGAATGAAGGACCTCATCGAGATTCTCCTCCGAAAGGGTGGTAAGAGGAGTAAGTAGAGCCATTAAGTTCTTGCAAATATTCTCGCACGCTGAGGCCCGATACTAGACTTTCTTCGTCGGGTGGCGTCGCCGCAGGACGAAGGAATAGAGATAGATGTGATTCTCGGAGACGTGACGGATGCCACGCAACGGCTCGAACACTGCGTCCAGAACCTAGACCGTCAACAATCAGCCCGGACATACAAAAATACGGACGAAGGCTTACGAGAAGTTAAAGCTGTGCGACAGACCGTCCATAGCACACGGCAGGAAATGCTCCGCCGAATGGACAGTTTCAAGAATCGAATACAAGTGGAAATTCGGAGTCTTTGTCCCGCACTGGCCGCCCACATTCATACCTACCTGTATCAAATGGTTCAAGCAGGCGTTGAATCGAGGAGCATCGAGTTAGCCGAGAGTGGACCACGCCGCCCCTTGCCAGCAGCACTGCTGTGTTACCCGCAGCTTCTAGAAATACTAAACGTCGAGCCTCTCGAAGCGAACGCAGCGGTCGAATACGTCATTCGCCAGGGGTATGGCTTGGAGACCTCTGCACTTGCTCAGAGCAACGCGTTGATGCTCCAGCGAGGGTTCAATAGGTGGCTTAGGAGTAGTGAGTCTGGAATGATTCTCGTGGATGCCCATTGCGATAGAGCAACAATCGGAAGGATCTCCCCAATGTCCGTATTCTGCGCCTCTTTCGCCACCCACTTGAAAACGCTCCGCGAAGCACTCGTTCTGCACTTCTCATGCAGCCTGCATTCCAATCCAAAAGACTCTCTTAGAGGCCCCCAAGGATTGATGCGCAGCCTCATCGCCCAGCTGTTATTCCGCTCCGGGACGGAATCGCCCCGGCTCGACTTCATCAACTCGCAGCGACTAGTCCTGGATCTGGAGAAATGGGAACTCGGCGCGCTATCTCACGTCTTCCGATGCCTAGTCCAACGACTCCCTGGAAGGGCGACGGTTTTCTGCATCGTCGAAGGCATTTCTGAATTCGAGCGGAAACAAGATGGCTGGGGCGCCAAGCTATGCGACGTCGCCCGAGCGCTGCAGATTCTCGCGGCGCCTGGGGATAACGGGCCGATGGTCAAGCTCATGCTAACGAGCAGCACAAGAAGCACGCTCGTTGTGAAGGAGGTGGCAGCTTCTCAACGGATCTCGCTCAGCGCAGGCGAGGCTCTCGACCGGCCCGTCTCCGGACGGGGAATGTTGTTGGACTTCGGGAGAACAAGATCCGCGCAGAACGGCACGTAGTGGAAGCAAAATACCACCTCGCTTCATTTTCTATCTGGAAACATACGAAGCTGCGATGGAAGAGCATTGGAGAGATGGGGGGTGATGATGTGGAGGATGAGCGCAATCGGAAAGAAGGCGGATCCAATGGCCGGCCCGTGCACACACTAGCGACGTCACGTGTCGCAAGCTCTGCTTTGCGAACTGCATTCATTCGCGCGGTATATCCTATCCTAATCTATTGGAACGACGCATCATTATCTTACCGCCATTGCACTCCAGTGTGAAGTTTGTGAACCATTCCTCATCCCGACTTCCCCTCATTCATCTAGTTCCCGTTTTCGGGTCACATAGCAGACCCCAGCGCTGGTAATCTTGCGTATAACCCACAGTACAAGGGGATCAGTAGTCTAAGACTGACGCTCTAAGATTGCTTACGCGAAGATGTGGAGAGGGTGGTTCGGCAGGTAGTGTCCCGGGTCGTTGAAACGCAGTCCCTGGTCCAGCTTGGAGATGGAGTCAATCTCCTCCTTGGACAAGTTGAAGCTGGTCACATCGAGGTTTTGGGCGAGACGGGACTGGTTGTTCGACTTGGGGATGACGGCGATGTTCCTATTATGACGGTCAGCAACCCATACGCCCAAGATATAAGTCTTGTTCCAGACATACCTCTGCGTAGCCCACCTCAACAGAACCTGCGCCGGTGTCTTGCCGTGTTTCTCGGCAATGCTCTTGATCGGCTGCGCGTCGAACAGCAATTCCACCTTGCTCGGCCTGTCCCTGAAGTCTGCCGGGAGCTCGAGGAACGACTGAGGACCGAACGAGGAGTAGGCCGTGATAGCGATGCCGTGCGTCTGCGCCAAATTGATGAGACCGGGCTGGACGAGATACGGATGATGCTCGATCTGGAGGTTGGAGATGGGATGTCTGGCGTAAGTCATGAGGTCATAGAGAGTTTGCCCCTGGCAGTTTGACACGCCGATCGATTTGGCAATGCCCTGGTCGATGAGGGCCTCCATTTGCTCCCAGGTCTCCCGCAAAGAGACCTTTGCCGGCTTGACGGTCTTGTCATCTTCCATCCACCAGCCCTGAGCTTGAAGTTAGCCACCGCAGTAGATCTAGAGGGAGTGAGGACGTACCGGGTATCGCTTCTTCTCCGGGTCAATGTACTCCAGAGCGATGGGGAAGTGGATGAGGAAGAGGTCGATGTACCCTAGGCCCCAGGCCTCGTTCTGAGCCTTCATCATGGGAAACGCATGCTCCTTGCTGTGGTAGTTGTTCCAGAGCTTCGTAGTCACGAAGATGTCCTCTCGCTTCACGAGGCCTTCCTTAATGGCACGCTGGATGCCCTGGCCGGCCTCCTTCTCGTTCTGGTAGTCGTATGCGCCGTCGAAGAGCCTGTAGCCCGCCTTGATGGCCTGAAGAGCTTGTTAGCGCATCTCACGCACATCAGTTCGCTTTCTCACGTTGTAGACTGTATCGGCGGCTGATTCCTTCGGAACCTTCCAGAGACCGAACCCCACGAGAGGCATTTGCTTGCCGGAGGCGAGCTTGACGGTTTCTTTGGACATGTTGTTTTCTAGTAATCAAAGAGCGTTTGGGAGGAGCAGAGGTGTTCAATGAGACGAAGGGGAAAAATGAGCTGAGCTATCGAAAGGTTTTGAGCCCCTCGGAAACTCCAACAAAACTTTTGTGGAACCGGAGGGGTGCAGTGGGTACGACGCAGCTGCGGTCCTGATTGGTGGACTCTTACGATTTCCTATTCCGTGCATGACGTAACGACGCCGCTTTGCCTCTTGTTCCGCGAATGATGCAACCCTCTACAACAGATGGAGAAGGTGACGCTTGGAGTGGTAATTCACAAAAATTTTGCTGTACCTTGGGTACTTTTTTTTTGGATTCTGTTGCGGACAGGCGAGGGCAATGGCAGCTGGGCAGCTATGCCTCTGCCGTCCCAGTCTGGCGACCGGCTGTAACCCCGCAGTGGCTGAATTGTCGCAGGTTTAGTGCTCCGAAGTGGCGCCGGTGCCTATCGTTTCCTCGGAAGATGCTTCGGTAGTCTTTTCTTCCCTTGCTGGGCCGAAGACAATGCAAAAAATTCCTCCATTCAGATCGGATTGTTCGTTCAATGGAGGCCGCAGAGCAAGCTGAAGGTGCCGGCAATCCCGCACTATCCCGGCCGAAGAGGTCTCGGGCGGGCTGTTTGACTTGCCGGACTCGCCGCCGAAAATGTGCGCATGCGTTCAGTTCCGCCTTAGAGCTTTCTAACGTCGAGCAAGGTGACGAAGGCAAACCGAAATGTCAGAATTGTATATCGAAAGGATTCGAATGTCGATATGCGGCGGCTTTCCAGATATTGGGGAAGAATAACTTCACCCCGGGGGTTTCGACCAGTGTGAAGTACAGCAATTTACGGGTAGGTGATCGCAAGTTTCACGACTTGACTGCCTTAGTTACGAGCATCCTGGGTCCGAAATCAAGTTGCCGAGTGCGATCAGAATACTGACGACCGCAGTTTGTGTCTGCAGAAGGCGAGAACAGCGAACAAGAAGCGGGCGATGGAGCTACAAGCCATGACATGCGGGCCGAGGAAGAGAACACCCAAAACGCACCGTTGCGGCCATGGGCACAAGCTACTGCCGGCGAAGACCAAGCAGGAGGTATAAGAATTGTGCCAGAGGCTACCAGTCCGTCTGTCGAACGATATGAATTCGCTCTGCATGGCTTGCTGGCGCTTGGAAATGGGAATGCCGGAGCTATTGATACCCGCATAGACTACGCTCGCAGCCCTCGGCCAAATGATACGCATCTAACACCCTCAGATAGCGATGGAGCGGACCCGTTGCGCATCGACCCAATGCTGGAGGATTTCGCTGGTGGGGGCTTGCCCCAGGGCGCGAAGTCAGATAGCTGGCCTGTGATCAATCTACCGGACGCCATCGGAGGAATGGAGCCGCACGATGACCGTATTCTAGAATTGCTGAAACATTATCGCTATGGGATCGCCCCTTGGGTGAGTTCTCTGTAAGACGCATGGTAGTGTCGGTCCTAACAGAATGACTGAGGTGCTTAGCTGGACATTTGTGACCGCCATCAATGCTTTGGACAAGAAGTCCTGCAGCTTTCGATAGAATCGACTTCCGTTCGCTATGCGGTGTTGTCGCTTGCGGAGGCGTCGCTTTGCGCGCGTCACCTTAGCCAGGAATCGAACATCGCTATGGTTGCGCATTTGCACCGGCAACAAGAAGGGAACGAAAATGAGGTCCACAATGCTCTACTGAATGCTTTCGAACTTACGCGGAGCGCCGTAACGGACCTTTCAGGCTTCTGGATGCAAGGGGATGGTGCCGATTTTGCGCAAGGCATTCTGGAAGTTCTTCTGCCTGAGGTCAATAAGAAGAGGTTAGCGTCTTGTGCGTTTTGGCTGGTAGCAAGACTCCGTAAGCGCCATATCCTCCAATATTCACGTTCCTGGGACAAGCTGATGCAGGATATAGAGCTCAGCGTTGCATTGATAAACTCGTCCCAAGCTAGGCTGGCACCGTCTTCCGCATCCACAACACTTCAGGCGTATAGCGCAAGAGGAGACGCGGATCAAGTGTTCCGATACGCCCATGAAGCCGTGGCGCTATGCACCGACGCTGCCATGTTCGCCCGAGGCGACGAGGATGGATGGCAGGTGCAGCGGTACGGACTGGAGCGTGTGGAACTGTGGAACACGCTCGTCGCGAGCTTCGAGAACTGGTACAAAAATCGCCCTCAAGACTTTCATGCAATTGTTGAGTTGTATCCAAGTGATGGTATGCGTACCGAAGACGAGTTCCCGACCATCATCTTCACGGGCGGAGCGGCAGTCCTAGCGAATCAGCTCTACCACACCGGAATGCTCATTATGCTGCAAAACAAGCCACGCTTTCTAGAGCGAGCCGGTCCCAACACTCCATTCATGTCGCTGCTGTGGCACTCTCACAGGATATGCGGGACCGCGATAAGCAACGATCGATGGGACTGCTGGGATCCGACTCTTTTAGCCTCATTGGTTGTAGCGGCTCGAACGGCTACTCATCAAAGTCAGCACACCGTCATTTTAAACACGTTAGAGCACGCTCAGCAACTGACCGGCTTCAATATCAGCCACCATTTGGACGGCCTCCGGGATGAATGGCGGCTTGCGGAAGGGTGGTGATCACGTCGGTCGATTTTTGGTTGTGTCGCCACCTTGCTTAGACAGCTGAGCTCTCACTCTTCCGCCCGGATCTTATAACCCCAGACGTTCTCCAGATCCCGAACACGCCAGCAGGCGGTCCATCCGGTCAGGGCCTCAATATGGCGGATAGTCTTGACGACCAAAGCCTGCTCTGAGCTGTGACTAAGAAGCCGTCCAGCGATCCAAAGTGGCTGGATGGCGTTGTTTAAGCAGCCTTCGTGAGGGTTGGCTAGAGAAATACCACAGATCCTCTTCGCGTGCCAGAACACGGACGCGATAGGGGACGATCCGAGCATGGCCTTTTGTTTGGGGTTGGAGCTGAGGAGAAGTATGCACGACGTGTGGTATAGCTGGTTTGACGATATCGCCGCCCAATGAGCGAAAAAGATATGGGGAAATGGGGATGTTGTAGTGGTTTTGACGGGCAGCATTTCATTAGGGCGGGAAAGCGCCCAATTCGCAAGCAGATCCCATAATCGAATCCAACGGTCCCGAAAATAGGCATCGTCGCACCCATTCTCTTCTCCGAGTTCGACATACTTGTTGCGATCGGAGATGAGTTCGCAGGTTCTGGCGCAGAGGTAAACTGAAAAGTTTGCGTACATGTCTGGTGAAGAGGTGTGCCGGAACAATGATTCAGCAAAGTCCTCTGGGGTGTCTGGTGGGAGCCATTTGCAAGGTTTCAAGAGCGTGCCTTCGGCGCCGTCCGAAATGAGTGCACCGCAGACGTCTATGCAGTTCGTAAACAAAGGGTCCTGAGAAGAGAGATAGGTAGAGAAACAAAGAGAGACGCACCCATTCGAGCATAGCACCAGAAGACAGCCTGGAGAATATCACCACTGAAGCCGTTGACGCCAAAAGCATCAAATACTGCAGCACAACCTTCGAGGTGACGCCGCCAATCCTGCGCACTAGCGGTGAACATTTCCAGGCAACACAGGATAACACAAGCGGCAATGACCTGGGTGTCGCGAGTTTGGAGGAGTGGAGTAAGGAGCCGGATAGCCTCCTGATACAGCTCTAAGCTATCGAAGGATACCTGGGTTTTCTCCTTGCGCTCGAGCTGCCGCGCCCCAATGGCTAAGATGGCGTATAGCAGGGGAGGCGACTGTTTCGCTAAGGCTGGAAGCTGGATCCCAAATGCGCGATTACTATCGAACATGTCAAGCTGCGTTGATCAGCAGCCACTTCGCAAAGATACGTGTTTTAATGGACCCACCCAAGGTGCCACATGCGAGATATAGTTCTTCAGATACTGAACGCGTCGACCTTTAGCTAGCACTTGCTTGATGTTGAAAGTTGCGCCACTGCCACTTTCTTCCGCGCCCACTGGAGTCCCAGCACGAGTAGGGGCGGTAGAACGGGCTGTGGTGAACAGCAGGGACCGTAGCTCCTCTTGGGAAGCTAGGTAGCTGGGATCAAGCGAAAATTCATCGATCCCCCAGCTTGTTGCAGGGGACAGGAACGGGTCTATGTTGTTGAGGCCATTGCCCGCGGCTCCTGGCTGGCTCTCCGTTGTTGGAGTGGGAAGAAAGGGCGAGAGCAAGTCGTCGGATGCCGCCCCATGGTGAGTGAATCGCGGTCGCTTGCTTGGAGGGGCATCCGTCATGAGGGTAGAGGTGAGACGTGAGATGCAAGATCCATGGATGAGCGAAGGGTGTGGAGTGTGGAGAAGATTGATGGGGAAGCCGCAGGGGTGACTTGAGGAAGGTGGGGAAGCCTGTGGCCCGGTCATGTGAGCGGGCGCTTGGACCGCGGAATGGGGCCCAGACCACGCGTCATCCTATCCACGCCTCGCACTCTGCACCCATCACTCACAGACATGTCACGGCTTTCGATGGCCTCCAATCACGGTTGCAAAATATACATCCACGCGAACAGTACTGACTGATACCAAACGCCCGATCGAAGCGCGTTGTCCCAATGCCGACCACGCTTGCCCACACTCAAAGCTCAACAAACTCATGGCGGAGGAGTGAGTCCGCCTTGATCCTTTCGAGATAATCGCCTATCTTCGCGGCCATTGGACCTACCTCGAATCCGAAGAACTTGTAGGCTTCCTTGCCCGGCAGACTGTGGCCGAAGCGCTTCACACAAACGGCAGCGTTGGCGTACCTCTCCCAGCCGTTGGGCGCATACGGCTCGATGACGATGGCGGGAAGGCGATGCTTTCGCAGTGTGTCGCGCTTATACTCCAGCGACTGAGCCTCGAACAGCCGCTGACACGGAAAACTAATCACCCGAGCCTTCGCGCCCTTAGCCTGCAGCTCCTTGGCCACGTCCACAGCGAAGCACAGCTCAGCCCCGACTCCGATCAGCGTCACGTCTGCGTCCTCGACCTCCTCCAGCACGTACGCGCCCTTCGCCACGCCGTCTCGCCGCGTCTGGCTCAGTTGCGGAAGAGCGTGTCGCGATGTCGAGATGATGGTAGACGTCCGCTTCGCCTCGATCGCCACGATCCACGCACCCGCCGTCTCTTCGCTGTCGCCCGGTCGGATATACAAAACATTCGGCATGGCTCTATATAGGGCGGCCAGCTCGATAGGCTGGTGCGTCGGCCCATCCTCGCCCATGCCAATTGAGTCGTGGGTCGCGGCGTGGATAATCTGAAGGTGCTGCAGCGCGCCCATGCGGACGGCTGGAGCTGCATAGAGATAGAACATGAAGAAAGAGGATGTGACCGGCACGAACGTGTTGGGCGCAAATGCCGCCAAGCCGTTGGAGATGGCGCACATGGCATGCTCTCGCACGCCATAGTGGATATACCGGCCGCCGTAGTTGCCAGTAATGCCGCATGTCGTCTTCAAGTCAGGCTGAGTGGTGTCAGCGAAATTCTCCCGCCCCGACCATTGGACAGGCTCACATGCTGAAAATCAACCTTGCCTTTCCACATCATATTCACCGAAGGCGACAGATCCGCAGTGCCGACCATGAAGCTATTGCACTCCTTAGCTATTGGATTGAACACCAGGCCGGAGGATGCCCTCGTCGCTGTTGGCTTATCCGGGAATATCGTTGGAATCAACTCCTTCCAATTGTCTGGCAAACGACCTTCCACACGCCTCCGGAACTCAGCCCCTAGCTCAGGATATTTCGCCTCATATTCTTGGACCTTCTTCTCCCACGCTCGCACTAGCTCCTGCCCCCTTGTCGGAATATCTTCAAAGAACTGGCGCACCTCGTCGCTTACGACGAAGTGCTCTTCCGGGCTAAATCCATACATCTTCTTCATGTTTGCGACATCCGCCGCGCCAAAGGCTGCTCCATGAGCTACTGCGTTTCCTGCAACGGCGCTTCCGAGTCCGATGATGGTTCGAACGTTGATGAAGGTTGGTTTGTCGGTCGATGCCCTCGCCTTGTTCAGTGCATCGACAATCCCTTCAACATCGAAACACCCATCCTCGACATCGATTACGTCCCATCCACACGCTCTCATCTTAGCATTAATGTCCTCCGTGTTTGTCAGATCTACGCTTCCATCACAAGTGATCTGATTATTATCGTAAATGATCGTAAGGTTATTCAGCTTCAGGTGGCCAGCGAAGGAGATTGCTTCCAGCGCAACGCCTTCCTGAAGACAAGCGTCTCCAATCATACACCACGTGTGGTTCGAGATGATGTCGAAATCCGGCCTGTTATAGGTTGCCTGCAAATTCTTCGTTGCCATTGCGAGGCCGACCGCGTTTGCTACGCCTTGTCCGAGTGGTCCGGTCGTCACCTCGACTCCCTCGTGTTCGATTTCTGGATGTCCAGGACATAGTGCATCGATGCGATCGGAGTGGTATGACTTCAGCTGGTCGAACGTCATGGCTTTGTAGCCTGCGAGGTAGAGGAATGTATACTGAAACAGGCACGTGTGTCCTGTGTAGAGTCAGTATTGCCCGCAACCCATCAAGTTCATCTATACGTTCGAAACGCACCGTTAGACAGAACGAATCGATCCCGGTTGAAGTAATCCGGAGTATGGGGCGCGTATCGCATAACGTACTTCCACAATGCGACTCCAATCGCCGCCATACCAATTGCTCCACTGTCTCGCAGTCAATCGACAGTCGTTCTCTTCTAGCATGCTTTGCTTACCCGGGGTGGCCGCCGTTGAATTGCTGACACAGGTCCGCAATGAGCAGTCTGAAGGTTTTCAAGACATGGTCGTGTTCCTTCGAGAGCTTCTTCATCGCTGCCTTTTCGGTTGTCTCTTCTTTTTTCAATCTATCTACGACATTCCCACCGTACGCCGTCTCTCCATGGCCGTTGGCCCGGGTTTTATCGAGCTCTACATACATGCTGCGTTCCGACGATGACTGCAAAGGCGATCAAGTTGAACAGAGACGAACCTTCAAAGTTGAAATATGAGTTTCAAGCAATGTTTCGACGAATATTTTCACGTCCTCCAGAGCGCGTTACCCACCAAGGGAATCCGACGTGGCTTCGTTTTGGGTGGCAAGACAAAAGCGGTAATCATAACCACCGGCCTCGAAAGAGTATCCGGAGCCACCACCACAGCCAATAAGCGCAAGGCCGATGTAGTGCCTATTCCCCACACCGATCGCGAACCCCACACCCCGAGTATCCACCACTCATCACATTCCGACCGCTGGTGATAGCGAGATGGCAACCTTCTGCCGCCGCTTGCGGAAACATTCCTCCCTCAACAGGTGCCTTCAAGCAACGCGTCTACACGTGGTCGTTCCTCGTACGCAGTCGGCAACCACATCGTCGTAATCCTCCTCACTTCATCATCTCCCTCATCGCGGTACACTCGTTGACTAGCTTCGTGACCATCTCACTGCATAGTTTCAGTCATTGCAATCAAGATGTCTCCTGCAGTTGTCGCCGAGCCTCCCGTTTCTGACGCGATTCGAACTAAGGCTTCACCCCAGACATCAAACGGCATTACGCAAACGAAGAAAATGATGCTCTCCACACCTCTACCGAATCCGTCGCTACAGGTCACCGCGGACCACAGTCTGAAGCAGGTGGATGCACCTGTACATTCACCGGGCAAGGGCGAAGTGCTTTTACACATCAAGGCTACTGGAGTTTGCGGGTATGTCGACCAAGGATACACATTGCTCTAGAAACACAATAGCTGATGGCACGTCAGGTCAGACATACATTTCTGGAGGACCGGACGGATAGGTTCTCTCGTGGTGGAGGGCGATTGCATACTCGGCCATGAAGCAGCCGGTATAGTCTTGAAATGCGGAGAAGGCGTCGCCAACCTCAAGCCTGGTACGAATTCTCGATTCCCTTGTTTTATCTAATGTGCGCCGACAACAATTAGGTGATCGCGTAGCAGTGGAACCCGGTGTCCCTTGTGGCGAGTGCTTCCTCTGCCTCGATGGCCGCTATAATCTCTGTGAAGACGTCCAATTCGCAGGCGTATACCCTTACCATGGCACTATCCAACGGTACAAAACACATCCCTCGAAATGGTGCCACAAGCTCCCCGACAACGTAACGTACACCGAGGGCGCTCTCCTGGAACCCCTATCTGTCGTAATGCACGGCATAAAGTCCGCAGGTCTATCTCTCGGTCGCGGTGTAGTGATATGCGGTGCGGGCCCCATTGGTCTCATCGCACTCGCTGCTGCGCGCGCTTCTGGCGCTCATCCGCTCGTGATTACGGACCTCGAGCCCCGAAGGCTGGAGTTCGCGAAGAAGTTTGTACCATCTTGTCAGACGTATCTGGTTGATAAGAATTTGGATGCGCAGGCCAATTCGAAGCGGATACGGCAGCTCTTCGGCATTGAGATGGTGGGCGAATATGGTGCACCAGAGACGGTGCTCGAGTGCACTGGCGTGGAGAGCAGTGTTGTTACTGCTTGTTATACTGCTCGAAGAGGTGGGACGGTCATGGTGATTGGCGTGGGGAGAGAGATTATGAACAATCTCCCCTTTATGCACCTGTCACTCGCTGAGGTTCGTTGTTCTCTTCTTCATCTTTTGATTCGTGAGCCCTGCTGACAGCGGTCTTTCAGATCGACCTCAAGTTCATCAACCGCTACCGCGATACCTGGCCGTCCGGTCTGCAGTGTCTAGCCGGAAGTATCCTCGACCTAAAGTCTCTCGTCTCGCATACGTTCCCGTTAGAAAAGGCGCTGGATGCGCTGCATACATGTGGGGATCTGAGCAATGGGAGTATTAAGGTGCAGATTGTTGATGAGGTGGAGGATGTGCTTTGAGCCTTGCACACCCCGAACGACTCGCGCCATAATATAAGCTGTTGAGAGCCTGCTTGTCGCTGATGAATGGATGATGTTGGATCGCTCTCCTCCTCTCTCGACACCGGTGACGATGGAGACCACCGCATGGCAAGGCACGATGGGTGCTACTATAGTCCACAGCTAATTTCCATCGACTCCTATTCTGTGGACGCACTACCAGTCGCCGATACGAGGGCCATCAAGCTTGATCGGAGGAACATCGGTCTGCCACTTCGATGAACGATGCATTCCGCAAACGCCTTTGAGACGGAGCCGGCTCATTTCGTTCGATTCCGCTCTCCTCTGACTTCGGTAGCCGTATATTATTACCAAGCTCGACAGAGACTTCATCTAGGCCCACTACCCTAGCGCTTCAAAATACCCAAAACAGCCCACCAAGTCCACGCCTTGATTCATTGCCGGTTGAACTTCGGTTCGTTATGGGAGGATTCATTCGAATCTGACCAATCGGCCAATCATCGGCAATTGGGCGCATAAAGCTATGGATCCTTTCGGCCTAGTTTCCGTCGAATTGAAGGCCATTGAGGGGGATCGGCCGATACTAGTAGGTTTCTCCACGGCGGCAGATCTGGGGACACTCCCTGCAACCACGCATCAACGGGAGACCCCAGGCGCTCGGCTACCCCAGAGGGAAACGGACTCCAGCGACACGCAATGCCTGCGTGACACCACCATGTAGGATCCATACGTCGTTTCCTAGGTATAAAGACGCCCCTGTTTTTACGTTCTGGGGGACCCACATCGCATCCAGGACTTTGGGTGTCGCGGACCACGACCTGTTGGAATCTGCATTCCTACCCCCTCTCCTTTCCTTCCTTCGTCTCCCAAGACAACTTCACCCTCCCCAACCCTCCACCATGCCATCCTCCAAACCCAGCCAAGTTGAAGTCGCCGAGCACGCTCCCGTCACGCTCACAGCAGCAGAGACATCGGAGCTCGGCCACCTTGCCAGCGCTGAAGACCACGAAGTCGGTAAACTTGCCGCATTCCGCAAGTATCCCTGGGCCTGCGCATGGAGCGTATACGCCGTCTGGGTGGTGCTGCTCGTCAGCTTTGAGAACCAGGCAGCGGGGAATGTCATTGGGATTCCAGAGTTTAGAAAGGACTTTGGGAGAGAGTATACGGAGAGCGATGGGAGCACGAGTTATGTGCTGGATGCGAAGTGGCAGAGTGCGTTTCAGGGGGCGCCGGTGGCTTCGTGAGTAATTCCAGGATGTGGAGAATGGAGATGCGAGGCACGGGCTAATAGGCCGAATAGAGCTGTTGTAGGAGCTCTCGGATGCGGACAGCTTGCGGACTGGCTTGGACGTCGCGCGGTCGTTATGATCTGTTTGGTCATTACTTTCGCGGCTGTGACGATGGAGTTCGTTGCTACTACGAACGAGCTTTTCTTCGGTGGGAAGTTTCTCAATGGATTCGCGACTGGGGCTCTCGCTTCGGTCACGGTGACCTATATTGGCGAGGTATGTTTGCTTTGCTTTGCTTTCTATCTAGATAAACTTTGAGGCTTCCGTATTGTGTCTTTTTGACGTGCTGACTTTTGCCAGATCGCTCCACTTGCACTGCGAGGCATGCTCACTTGTCTGACCGCTCTCGCGTACACCCTGGGCCCGCTAACCGTAGCCCTGATCGTGAACTCAACTGGCGTCTACACAAATCGATGGGCATATCGCGCCGTTTTCTGCGCACAGTACGGTTTCGCTGCCATCGCAAGCATCTTAGTCCCCTTCATGCCAGAGTGAGTCCCTCCTCTTCTGCAACCATAGTCCGCACCTCAAACCCTCAGACTGACCCATCTCCCAGATCACCCTGGTGGCTCGTATCCAAAGACCGCCCTCAAGCCGCCCTCAAAGCACTCAACGGCCTCGGCCACCGCGGCCCGGAAGCCTCAAAAAAACTCGCCCTAATCCAAAACACGCTCGAGGAAGTACGCCGCGAGACAGAAGGCGTCACCTACCTCGAATGCTTCCGGTACTCCAATCTTCGGCGCACAGTGATCTCCATCGCACCCCTATCCATCCAATCACTCTCCGGCATCGCGTTCGCAGCAAGCTACAGCACGTACTACATGCAGCTTGCGGGCTTCAGCACCTCTATGAGCTTCAAGCTGCAGATCGTGCAGCAGGTCATCAGCCTGGTGGGGAACGTGATGAGCTGGTATCTAGTCGACCGCGTGGGACGCAGGAACCTGACGTTCTGGGGCCTGTTCGTGCTGACGATCATCCTGTTCGTCATGGCGGGCTGCGCGGTGCTGGGCACGCCCTCTGGGCTCAAAGGCGCCGTCAGCATGATTCTGGTCTACTGCTGGTGGTATAACGTCACCATTGGCGCGACAGCATACACGATCCTCTGCGAAGTCTCGACGTCCCGGCTGCGCATTAAGACGATCGCTATTGGGCTCGCGCTGCAGAATGCGCTCAATACTATGTGGAGCTTCGTCCTGCCGTATCTTTTTAACCCGGATAAGCTGGATCTTGGGGGCAGACTGGGGTTTATCTTCGGAGGGCTATCGGTCGTTTGCTTAGTGTATTTGTGGGTTTATCAGCCGGAGACCGCGGGCAGGAGCTATGAGGAGTTGGATGAGATGTTTATTAAGAAGGTGCCGGCAAGGAGGTTTAGGGGCTATGTGACGGATGCGCAGGCGTTGGGGGAGGCGGTTAGGGAGAAGGGCGGTTTGTGAGGTGAGTGTGGAATCTAAGTGATTTCTGCGTTATTCAATCTTGCGCTTCTTTGCTGGATGCGACTGGGATGCGTACTCCTCTTCCTCCTCCTTCTATCCCACTCTCTCCCTCTAATTGTATAACTTAAGCATATACTGAACAAGGTCGTCATCGTAGCACGTCCAGGATGCAGGATTCTTGAAACCGCAGCACCACCATGGAAGACCCTGAGCTTGAAGTATCCAACCAGAGGTCCATAGACGATCCTTCTCCGGCAATTTAAAGAGCTCCATGCGCGCCAGCGCATCCAAAGCCCCCCAGGAAACTCCATCTCTTTTACCAATTGTCATCAGTGTACTCTATGTCATCGTGTCCTATAAAGCGATTCGTGTGTCGCAAAGCCGGGTGCCAGAACTCGTCATATAGATTGGGTATGAGGTACCCAATAACCCCTCGTGATCTGGACGTAGCTAGAAGTTCATCATTTCATTACGGAGTCGGGAACAACGGACTCTGCAACACCGTCTGTAGAGAGAGGAATGTTCTTAGTGCACTTTTCTCTGATCCGGCGTCGCCGACGAGCTAATAATTCTTTGCCTTTCTCTAAACAAGGTATGTCCGTCATCTTGTATCCCACATCAGCGAGCTGCACCAGTGTTGTGAGCACTATATAGGAAGTTGGCAGAACTCGCACACTCAAAATCTCCTCTTCAAGGTCGTTCTCCCGAGCCATCACATGCTTTCCACCCATTCAAGTTCCTACATGCCCGGATCTAACCACACAACCCTCTGCGCCTAATGCACCGTGAGAACACTTATTGCACACTTCGAGATACTGTACGCAGTAAGGATATACTACGGTTAGCCATTCCCCAAATTAGAGAATTTATCGCGAAAATGCCTCTAAAATGTGTGTCTCTGTAGGGGCAATTTTCGGACAATTCGTTAAATTAGGGGTAATTCTTACCGTAGGAAGGGTTATCCCTGAGCGTGCTGTAGAGAGGCAATTGCTGGAAAGAGGAGTTGAAACCCCACCGCTATTTAGTTTGTGCACATGGTCGTAGCCATAGCAAGAATTTAGATTCATCATGGAATACATAGTAATGAAACACAAACGGCGCACAGCATGAGAAACAAAACCTCCTGCTTGGATGAAAGGAAGCATTAAGATAGAGAAAACTCAAAGCAAATGACGATATTCACAATTTGGCCCTCGTTGCGAATCTGTGAGGTGATCCGTCACGAGTCCCTCCAGCTACTGGAAAATCCCAGCTAGGAAAGCGCTGGTAATAATCGGGCTCATGCCAGTTAGCTGCGCGATGACTGCCTGATACCAAGCTTGCCTCCAAATTACATGCCATGTTACTATATCTCCTCCGCGACCGTGCACTTGCAGAGGAAACTGGTGTCGGCCTTCGCTGGGATTGTCTCCGATATCCGCGCTCCAGTATGTAGCGAAAGCACAGAACGCCGCGAACACCGACTCCTGCTCATCGAGACACTTATGCCAAAGCTCAGCGGTGTATTCCTCAATCGTCTTGAACGTAACTTTGCCGAAAACAACGCTCTCCTCGGGGAGAGGCGAGGTTGGCGAAAGCGCATCCTTGTCGATCTTTTCCTCATCGAAGATGCCGAACAGATGGTAGATATATTTCACGGCATCCTTATAACCTTCAATGCCATCCTGTCTTCCTATCTGACTTTCACTGACATCCAAGTTGAGTCCCGTGGATTTGATGTTCCGAAGCTTAGCTGTTTTGGACGCGAGATCCTTGTCCAGATAGGCGGTGTGCATCATAACAAGGTATTCCGCGTGCCAAAGAGCACTCATGACACTAAAAGCGAGAAGATGAGTGTTCTCTTTGCGCTTACACGCAATCTTGCACATGGGATTAATAGGGCTAGGCGTGTAGAGCCAACGTGCTAATGCACCGATGTCGTCTTTCGTCAGATTCGAAGCCGTGTTGAAGTTTGCCATGACCTTTTCCATGCGAATTGTTTTGCCTCCGCCATAGCTTCCTTCAGCCTGAAAAGCTTCTATCGCCTCGTCTAGAGCCTGGTTCTCGTTTTCTATCTTAGGGCCCCATACTGCATCGAAGCCGCGATCGAGACAAGGCAAGACGTATGTCGTGCCTTCCCGGTGTCTGGTATGTAGTACGACCCTGAGAGTATCTCTTGTATATTTGTGTGGGGCTTGGACGTATGAGTTGGAGCCTGCAGCATCGACGATGAACAGGACAACACCGATAATATTGAGTAGGCCGAGGGTGTAGAGCTCCTGCTTCAGAGCGAAAACGCTCACCGGAAACACGACCATGAGGATAACAGCGTAAAGCAGGATTAAGTATGATGTCCTGATCGATCCTCTCCAGTTCAGATAACCTTGAGAACATTCCATGTGCCATATGTTCCATGGCCCTTTCCAGTTGATGTGGATATGGGCCCACTGAAAAGCCGGATGGTGGGTCGTTCCCGATTCTACATCGTTGACGTCGCCGTTGGAGTCCGATGGTTTGGCATCCAGCTTAGTATTCGGTTTTCGTGATTGACGTAGGACGCGAATCTCATCCACGTATGCAAAAAGCCAGAACAAAAAGAGGACCTGCAATATCCATGGTGCAAAAACCATTCTTGCAACGCATTGCTCCCAGTCTTGTCGGCACGGTCGGTCGTCGAAGAAAACACCACTGAGTATAACCGCTCCAGTCCAGCATGTTGTCAGGGTACCAATGGTGAAGACGATAATCGCATCTGTTGATAGACCTTTCCGACGAAGGGTAAAGCCGGAATTCATGACAGCTCGATGTGCCGTGATGAAAAGAGTGGCGGCGGCTAATGCGGCGGCCTGGTGAAGACCGCCCTCCGGGCCAGATTCGGACGTTTCTGTTGCACGTCGATTGTAGAACATCGTTATATCAATAATTCGAAGAGGTTGAAATACAGCAGGGCTATGGGCATATTGGACAGCCGAACCGAACTCAGGCAGAGTATTTCTATCTTGCGTACGCTTTTCTCATCGTTCGTCAGCCTTCGGTTGATCAGAACATCATAACGCGATCAATGCAAGGTTAAGCGAAAGGAAGGCAGCCGAGCTGAATCGGGTCTTTCGATGGGTTTTCATCGTCCTCACAAGGCTGAAGCCAGCCTGATATCCTAGGTTTCAATAATGTACAATTAGGTGACGGAATGACATAGCGCAAACAAAAGTCTGCTGTCATTGATACGAGTACGGATCTGGATCGCACGAAAAGATGGTTGCGACGGCATGACTAAAATACAACGTAACTTTGTGGGAGAAAGTTCAAGCGAAAGGCATTGCAAGAAAATGTATACCAGGCTGAGAGGTGGTGGACTGATCCAACACCTGCGCCAGCCACTTCGCCATGCGACAAGGGGGTCCGAGGCCACGCCCCGTGATTCTTTTACTCTTGGAGCGTGACTAGAGCGCCCGTCAGTCCACCCTTTCTATTGCCGAACAACATATTTTTGCACTGGCAATTTATTGGCCGATTATTACGAGTTGTTGATTCACAGATGAATTTAAGGACGAGCTGCGTTTCGTCCATTCCGCAACAACACCTTTACGAGAGGCCCACGTGTATAGAAGTTAGACAAGCGTACACCGTCGACTTCAACGCTAACAAGTGTTAGAAAGCGCTGATGCCATCCCAATTCTTTCATATTTGTGGCTGTTTCACGTGGTGTGTAGTTTTCTTCACGAAGTGTGCGACTTCCGCGTACACCATAGCACGCCCCTCCATGGGTTTCGGGGACAAGAGTACGTGATCGCATTGTGTACGCAAGTGATATCGAGGTAGTACAGCTTCCTAAACCCAAAATGATATCCAATTGGTGTCGGATTTTCAACTAGCGTTTCCCATGACTGTGGTGCTATCAAGTCATCCCAGCCGCGAAAAAGATTAGCTGCAACTGTCTAATCGGTAGCTGGCATTGTATACCCACGGCTCTTGAGTGATTTTGATTCTAACCGCTGATTTCACGCTTAGGTCGGCGTATTTCACGATGTGCGCTCACAAGGGCTTTCTATGAGATGTCAAGAGCAACTCGTGGCAGTGTATGAACTGTGTCGACCGTTCTTCTATTAACTATCCGCAACTTAGATAACAGCACGAACTGCTACTGCCTCTACAATGTCCGAGACCGCCCACCCTTACCCAGGACTGATGCCTAATCTTGACGACTTCCTGCAGAACCATCTGACTCGTGTGGATCCACCCGAAGACGAAGCAAATTGTCCAATTTGCAAGGATGATTGGAATGCGGAGGGCTACGGAGAGGTAGTACAGACGCGCTGTCTACACACATTCCACGAGTGTTGTCTCCTTTGCTGGCTCCATGTCGGCCCCACCGAACCAGCTCGGCATATTGCTGAGTCGATAATACATGCCCGTATTGTCGCCAAGTGCTCTTCGACAGGGCCTTGAATCCTTTGAACGGCTTTGTCCCGTATGAGATCTTGCTACCGTACACCAGGTTCTGGGATGCAGATCGGATTATTCGGTTCTACGTATTTCAAGCCGTGAATGAGATTGGCTTGGTACGCTCGTCCGAGCAGGACCGATACCTGAATGCGATTCAGCCAGTCATTCATCATGTGCTTGAACGCTGGCATGATGCGAACCCCACGCACCCGTGGGCCGCACTGCAGTGCGCCAACTGCGATGTAAGTGATGAGGGCATCGCAGTCCAAGCTATCACGCATATGATGAACCTTAGCCACGTGGGGCGATCAGACTTCGAGATCCCTACCCAACTACTCTACAATGGGCGGGACTGTGCATATACTATGAATTTAGTCCAGTACAACCAGCTCTCTCATGAGCGGTATCGGCTCTACCGGGCAAGCGTCGACCGCTTTACAGACGATGAGCGCACTCTCTTCGGCCTTGTGCCCACTGGGTTCAACATCTACATCAACGCCTTGTTCATCTCGCGACCCACGCCTCCAGTAAACGCAATACTTGTGCAGTTGAATCCTGAGAACGAAGTTGTTAATTTTGCACGCCAGTGTGCACAAGGGCAATTGGCGTTCCAGCACGCTTTGGTGTTACTCGAAGACGCTCGCATGTATTCGGATGAAGAGAGCGACTACCATATTCACATTCGGGAGGAATTTCCTGGAGGCTTAGTGGATTTCACTGTAGCGCAGTGTGATCATACGGACTCGATCGCCTTTCTCAGCGAAAATGGGTCTTCTGGCCGGATCGTGTTCCAGTACAAGGAGGGTTTCGCGCCAGACGATCTTTTCGATCCTCCGAAGTTCAGTGTTCGCGGTTAGCCGTCCCCGTGAGGTTTTAAACCTTCCCTGATATTGGCCGTATGTGGCTCTCCGCTGGAACATCTAGCTCCAAGCCCGCATAATGTCTTTCCCTTGTCAGATGGCCGTGCAGGATATAATCAGCCTGTGATCGCTTTGCTTGATAAGGTGATTATCTCACCTAAACCCTTGAGGCCATCCGCGGCCCGCGCCGAAGTAAACTATACCAACCTTCATCATGTGAGAACTTTAGCAGCACAATATTGCCACGTAAACGTATCTAAGAGCGCGTAGATCTACATGCGTAGTTCTTTCGCGATACCTTATACCCATACTGAGATACTTCATACCAAATGCGACTGGACAATGCTTTGAGCGATCTCTGTCTGAATACACCATTCATGGAACAGGTCGTTGGGCTGGGGGCTGTTGAAATAGAGAGCTGTTTTTGTGCTAGACATGGACAATTTAATGTGCCCGCGAAGATGAAATCCTCGATCTAGAGTGCAGATCCAGCAAGCCGTCCCATGATATCGAGCGTTTAGTGAAAGTACTTAGGCGCCACACCCTTGACGCGCAACCACGCTGCATCCAAAGCTTGCACCATCTCTTCCGGCAGTGGTCCCTTCTCAAAATCCACTAGGTTCGCTTCCAACTGCTCCGCACTGCTCGCCCCAATAATAATCTTGTCGCCCCTCTCCTTGTCCATCATGCTGTGATGCGATAGCCACCGTAGCGCACACTCCGCTTCGGTCAGCCCATGTTTCTTAGCAACAGGGCGAATAATATCAAGAGCATCGAAGTAGAAGCTGTTGATATAGCGTCCCTGGTGTAGCTGTCCCTGCCAGCGCTTCGGATCGAACCGAGAGCCTTTTTCGTACTCCTCGTTCTTCATGTCACGGTGATACCGCGAAGTGAGGAAGCCACCTGCGAGTGGCTGGAAGGCATACAGAGCGATACCATACTTGCGCAAGCATGGCATCAACTCAGGCTCTATAGCGCGGTGCAGTGCGTTGTAGATCCCCTGGTAGACGACGGGCTTGATCCATCCGTTGCGCTCGCATATTTCGCATATGGCGGCTACTTCCCACGACATGTAGTTGCTGATGCCGAAGCGGTTGAAGTAGCCCTCCTTGTAGAGATTGTTTACTTCGCGCAGGGTATCCTCGAATGGCGTATTGCGGTCCGGGCCGTGGAGATACCACATGTCGACTTTGTCAGTATTGAGGGCTTTGAGGCTGTCCAAGAGGCCGCGCCGCACATCATCTGGACGATGGGAGTACATGTTGTCGCCCATTTTCATACCTTTACCCTCGTTTGGGTAGAGTTTGGTGTCCATGACGAGCTTCCGGTTCTGCCAGTCTGCGGTGGCCATGTACTCCTCGGAAGAGCCCCCACCGTATAGGCGCGCATTGTCGATCTCATTGTGGCCATGAGATTGGAAAATATCGAGCATTTTGTTGACGTCCTTGTGATCCGACACTCGTATTCCTTCCATGCCGGCCTTGCCAATCGTCATGACGCCAAAGACGATGGGCATTGCGCTCTTCGGTCCGGAGGACATAATTGAATGCTTTGGGAGTTGCGATAATCGAAAGGATTGTGTCGTGGAAGAGCTCAGGGAAGTCTACCCCTGGGCGGTTTCATTCGTGAGCTTCCGCTTTAAGCATATAAAGCACAGAACTCCGTCAAGGAGCACCTGAGCCACGTAATTACGGTAAGCATTACCGTAACTCCGCTTGACGTCAAGCTGAGCCCATTTCCAGTGGCTCCACCATTATTCACCACTAGGTGACGAAGTGTTGCGAAACTGCTGTGACATCGAAACTCCTGTGAGGGACGCTAGTCCTATTCCGCTCTAGCACGTAATCCGGTTGCATTAGCGCGTGGCAATCCCCTGGGCGTCTCGGACCGACCAACGTCCTCACCTCTTTGTCTCTAAACTCCGATCGGAGAATTCTGCTAACCCAGCGGCAGCGCCGTCATCCAGTTGCATAAAGGCCACATGGAAGCGCTTACGATCGTCTTTCAACCATCTCACCTCTTACCTAAGCGCCGACTGTGGGATCTTTCTCGCTGAACGGCTGCACAATGGATGGAAGCAGCTCACCGGAACCTCTGATTGTGGCATTGTTGGGGAAGACTTACCCCTTGGTGGATGCATGGCGTCCAAATGACGACTGGACCGGCGTGACAAGCACGACGGAGAGAAAGAAACGGCAGAATAGAATCAACCAAAGAGCGTACCGTCAGTGCTTCTCTTTGTTCTCTCTTTCACCAGATCTACCGACGCTAATCCTATTTAGGTAGAAGGAAGAACGCTCAGCGGATGCTCCCGCAGAGCCCGAGCCTGCAGAGCAGCCATGTATCACCAATCACTGCGGCTGCAGGTGCTTCTGATTCGTCCGAGAGACGCAGCGGTATAGGGTGCGACTATCGGCTGACCCCTGCTGCATCTGACGGTCCGGTCCTGTTGGTGTCCCCGGATCAAGTCGCCTATCTGCGCGAACTGCTTCGACGCGCCTATGAAGACTACAGCCTCGGAGCGCTTCGTCCCAGCAACCTTGCGGTTCTCATCCGACTCAACGCCCTCAATGCGGTAGCCCGAAATGCCGTCTTGATGGGCTTTCCTGCAGAAGGTCTATGTCGCGACGATTTCGAATCGCCCTACACAGAAGCGGGTCCACGTCTACCACAATCCCAGATTCCGGCACCGGCATGCCCGAAAATGTTAATGCCAACGGCATTACAGCGGACGGTCCAGCATCATCCATGGCTCGACCTGCTCCCCTTCCCGGCATTTAGAGACAACATGCTACGTGCGCTTGATGCCGGAATTTTCGACGATGACGAGTTGTGTGAAGACGTCCTTAATGTTGGTTCTGAAGACCTCGGAGAGAAGCCTGCACTAATTGTGTGGGGCGAGTCATCTGACTCCGGGGCATGGGAGGCGAATGTGCCGTTCTTGCGGAAATGGGGATGGCTTCTTCGCGGGTGTGCTGAGCTGATTGAAGCGACGAATTACTGGCGTGAGAAGAGAGGAGAGAAGAGACTGCGGCTAGACGTGTCGTAGCAGGCCCGATGCATCCTCTTTTCACAAGACCCGTACCCAGGGCCATTATTCACTTATAGAGTTCTAGCTTTCAAGGTATATATTTCCCACCTCTTCCGACCTTTCCACCTTCCACCTTCCAAACTCACACTCAGTCCAACAACTATTGCTGGCAACCATGTTTGAGAACTTCCGGATATCCTCGCCTGAATCCACTGCGGAAGACCCCCGGGCCCCCACGCTCCGACCAATGTCGGATTTCATCGCCAACTCTCTGCGAGCCGTAATTACACCTGACCCAGACGGCATGTGCGCAGTGTGCCAAGAGCGGTTTGGGGATAACCCGATCAACCTCGTTCGGACGCCATGTTCGCATGACTTTCATGGACGATGTCTTCTCGGATGGTTTGGCAGCATAGCCGCAGCTCGTAATCGGTGTCCATCTTGTCGGATGACTCTGTGCCTACACAATGTCTTGACAGCAGAACAAGAGGCGCAGCGTCGAGCTGATGACGAATCCGCGGATGCCCGGATGGCTGCTGGTTTCCAAAGCGTCGAACGCTCTATTGCTGCAAGCAATATGACAACCAGCGACTTCTCTGACGTGGCACACGAGGATGGAGCTCCGATCCAACTCGATTTATGGCTCTGGGACATTATTGACGAGCTTTTCGAACGGGAGAATGCTCGTGCGGATAGCCCAAACTACGTCGGAATCGTGGGCGAAGTTGAAGAGGTGTACCGCTCTCGGCATGGAGATGAGGCATATGCTACGCTTGAGCGTGAACAAAGGGGTCCTCGACACCTAAAGCGAACAATTGCAAACCGCATCCGGAGGAATCTTCTCTGCAATCACGAGAACCTAACTTTCGAGATCGAGGCGCTGCTGTACTATTACCACGCCCTGTGCACGTCGCTGGAGGGGCGGAATTTCGACCGAGAGGAGTGGGAAGAGGACGGTCTGCTGAGCCCAGAGCCCCTGGAAACCCCAATCGTACATGTACGATCACAATCACCACCATCCAATCTTGGCGTCAGGGCCCCAACGCCCTCCCCTCGTCGGGTAGATTCACCGCCTCATCTCTCTCGTTCACCTCCTATGACGATTCCGAACATCCCAGATGCCGGGCGGGAGGATAGCACAGAGCGAGAGCCATTACAGGCCGCTGAACCCCATATACCGTATTCAGACGGTGCATCCGCTCCTCAATATCGAGGGGGAGGTTATTACAGCGACAACGAACTGTATCCTTATCTGGGGTATACGTCTGGTGGTGATTTTCATGCCAGCTCGCCTCCTTACCACCCCGAAACTCCTGCTACCCCACAGGAGTCGCAAATGGACTACGAACGGCAGGATAGTTCGCAAGCGCCAATCCCCACGTCCGAGCCCTCATCCCCGGCCCGTCGTAGTCCTACCCCCCAGGAGTCGCAAATTGACCACGAACCGACCCCGCAAGCGCCAATCCTCACACCCGAGGCCTCCTCCGCTCATCGTCCGACAGAAAGGCGCCGTGAAACTCATCAATGCCGATTCCAAGAAATGCGCAACTTCATACGGCGGCGCTCTCATAGCGTCGTCGCTGAGATTCGAAATGCCGGATCTGCAAAGCGTAGAGGCCGTGACTTCAGCGTCAAGGATCGAAATGGGCGGGTTGTAAGCACAGTGCGGGGTGCAGACGCATTCGTGACAATTGGAGATTATATGATCTTCTATCGGAATGCGTAGGGGCTGTAGTTGGGTAGGAGTTCGGAGACTGTTTGGGAATCGAGGAGGACGAATATTGGACGTTCTGCTTTGCGGGTATGGGAAGTCGCAATCCACGGAACGATCGCGTAGAGGATGACCGAATATGACAATACGAATGTAATCGATACTTTTATGCTTCTGATGGAAAAGAATGACTTGGATAGATGAGTAATGCCAGAGGAAGCGCAACGCGATATCTGGAAAGAGAACCTTGGAAGCCGCTCTATGGCCCGTGCGCATGACACGTGATACTGGAGGCTCCAATTACGGACCGCGCTAAAATATCCGACTACCTTGGGACGAGAGCAAAGAGTTCGCCTAAAGTCCTTCAATGTAACTATGGTGGGCTTGCGCCCAAATTCTAAGGCGATGCGCCACGTGGTATATGTCAACCAAGTATGGGCAGATCCCAACACTGGAACATTGGTACCGAGGCAGGTAATCCCGTGGTCGCCATTACAATTCAACGTCGTTGAGAAAATTCTGGTGACTAGTCTTTGGTCGGCCCAAAATATCTTGTTTCTGATGCCGCATGAAGACTATATATACGTAGGATCCACCACCCTTAAAGTTCAATCTCGTCTAAATTCAGCGTCTACCCTCGACTATACGACAGTCAAATCCAACAGCAAGGAAGAAGTGCATCATGTCGCCCAGACGCACGCGCTTACCGTCACACACCATGAGACCGAAACCGCTCATAAGGCTGGCACAGGTATGGTGAACAAAGTTGTCACGAGGACGGACCACGTCAAGGAAACCGACCACGTTTGGATGACGAAGACGGGGGTAGAGGCGCACAAGACCACGCAGACCGTCACAAAGACCGAGACGACGGCGAAGGAAGTCGAAGCAACTCGCTGGACCACGACGACGAAGACGAATCAAAAGGAAGTCAAAGTCACCAAGACCGTCGTTCAGCCCGGCGCATGCGCTACGCAAGGCCATCAAGCTCCTCAGAAATCTCCCCAGCTTTCAGACGAACAGTGGACGATGCTACAACTCGATGGCCAAATAAATGGCATATGCTGCTTCAATCCCAACAAGAAGCGCGTCGACTGCTACGGCACCACCGGCAAGGATCCAGTCAAGTACAAGGAGGTAAAGGACAAGAAGTTCGAAAAGTGCGTGCGCGAGGGTGATGCACACTGCTTCGACGGGAAATTTCGAAAGGGGCTGCAGATTGGTGTCTTCCTGGACAGACATGACAAGGTGAGGGGCAGTGCGTGCGCAGGAGCAGTAGAGAATGGGAGGGAGCATATCATGTGCTGGGGTACGCCGAATCGCAATCCGATCAAGTACAAGAAGCTTTCCCAGGGGGAGTTGACGGCATGCCTCTACGATGGTAGCAAGTGCAGGCCTCTATGAAGGCTGAAGGGAGGGAGTGCATGGAATGCGGTATGGCGAGGATAGACGCAATGTCAAGTTTGCTTCCATTGGGGTTTCGGTTTCGGCTTAGTAATTTATACGGTTCGCTAACCCACGGACGGACGCTCGTGCCTGGCGTGTGATGACTTGTGCTTGGTTGGCTCTGTGGCGTTGAGGAGCAGAGAAAGTGTTCGTAGATGCTCCAAATTAATTTTCAAATTACACCGAAGTGTTAAGGCTTATGAGATTCTACGAGCTAGCAATCCGATGTACCCGAGTATTTCAATTTCTCAAGAGAATAGAGAGAGAAAATACGAAGGACAGATGACGTTTCAAAACATACAACAAGGGGTCTGGTCAATGAATCTGGTTCGGCGCGAGCTGGCGACTGAGGACTTGCGAAGTGTGAGCCGCAAGGTAGGTTTGAAAGACGCTCGCGCGGTTCCAGAAGATCTCGATGTCCTCCAACTGCAGCTTCCTACGCTCAGTCCTAGCCCGGTTGATCGCCGCGGAAAGTATGTTGCGGATTTGGCGGCCGTTGAACTGGGAATTGAGGCGTTTGTTGACCCAGCGGTGTATTTCATCGTAATCTATATCTTCCCGTGCGATCTGATCAAGAAACATATTGATGACACGTTTCTGTACTCTTTCGTTCATCTGCGGGAATTGAACGGCGAGATGAACCCTAGATTGAACAGCGATGTCGAAGGTAAGGAGTCCTATGATCATTCAGCTAGACTTAAAAAGCTGTGGATAAGACGCACGGTTCGTCGTCAGGAGCAGAATGCCTTCGTAGTATTCTAGGACTTTCAAAAAGACTGCGCACGAGTTAGCCGCAACAAGCGAATACCGGAAACTTACAAACTAACCGGAGACCATGGAGTTCCTTAGCAAGTCAGCCTCGTCCGTCCTTTGCTCGAGCAAGATATCAGCTTCATCAAATAGAAGGACCGCATTCCAGCGAGTGGCTATGTGAAAATGCTCCTCCAATTTTTCCTCGACCGTCGTAATGGTAAGGCCGATGTCGGCGACGCTGACTTTCAACAGAGGTTTCCCGGTGTAGCTGGCGACGGTCTCTAGTCAATGTTCGTTAGCATGGACATACTGGTGAATGAAAGCATACGTACCTGCCATTAGCGTCTTGCCGACACCTGATTCACCTTCGCAAAAATATCAGCTTGCACACGGAAGTCTATACTAGCCAGAAGGTGATTACCATAGAGCAGAATTACGAGTCCTTTACCCTTGCCTTCGACCAGGTCATGAAGAGGCGCAGGTATGCCCGGTTCTTTCCGACTCACTACATTAGTGTGATCTCGAATCAATGTACGGATGAGATCCTTGGTTTCAATCCATTCATCGTCGTCGGGGAGGATGACCTTGTCAAATGCCCAATCTGAAGAGTCGAGTAGGTTGGAAGTGCCTGAGTTAGCCACAGAGAGTTTGTTTATGGGCTGAAGGTTATCGACTTCCATGAAGACCCAAAGCTTTTTGGCCAGAGCGTACCCCGCTACACGTGGAGGGCATATAAGCAACTGTTCTTCCTCGAACTCGGGCCAATCTCCAGAGGGGAGCTTTCGGACGTTATCGTACTTGACTTTGAGAAGCTCCTGTAGTTCAGGGTTCGTCTGGCACTTAATGCAATCACACTCGAAATATCAGCCTATTGCATGTGCATCAAGGGAATTGGTGCAGGTACCTCCTTACAAGGCTCAGGTCGATGAAGTGGCTGATGCCGTCGAGGCCATTGTGGACCGTAGGAATTGTAGGCTTCAATATCAACGATAACGTGGTCGGAATACTAAACACTATTAGCTAGGCTTCCGGGTGGCCCTCATGATCCGGGAGCGCAGGATTACCGGAATAGTCCGAGCGTCCGCATAGACCTCGTTTACTTCGTCCAACTGTAGTGTTGTGAGCACTCGCCAAGATATATGAACGTAGAACATACATCGTCCTGGGGAGACATCCTTCTCCGTCCGCGATTGTGATTGATGATCGACGCTATCATCGTAGCTTGTATGGCCGCGCCAGCATACTTTTCTCCGAAAACATCCTCGGGCCTTTCGCTGCAGAGGTAGATGTTACCTTTGTAGTCAAACATCCTTTCTTCTTTTTCTCGGGTGACGAGAGCTCGAAATTTGCGACCTTTCTCCAGTAGAATGGTGCGCATGTTCTTATTCTCGTGATACTTGAGAGGATAACATCGCAGCATCCGGATTTGCTTCGAGCCCGAGAATTTGTCAATGACGAATCTGAAAGGTTCGCGATTGAAGGAGATGCCATCGAACACTAGCACGATCAGCGATCCGTACAACCAAATTCACGTGCAACATACCATATGTCCAGCAGAAAAGCTGGAACATCCTGGGTTCATACCTGTAGTCACATACACGGAAAGCTTGCGGTTGGTTCGATGCATTGGCAAAGACGACCTCTCCAGGTGGGAACAAGTAGCCCAAATGGCGGTAATGGACTGTCTTTATTCCGCGCTCGAGGTGACGCAAGTAAGAGTTCACATTCTTGCATTTCCGAACTGCATCTAGTAGCCGCCGCAAATGGGTTCCGCAGCTGTCAGTATTCAGCGTGGTATCGGCCACACATTCCAGTCTTTTCCAATTGTGAACAAGGGGGAAGAAGTCGAGTCGGAATTTCATGTGAGGCAAGTCCCAGTGCTCGAAAGGATAATGTTTGAGCTCAGTAGCAAGAAGCTTCCGTAGCTTGGGGCAGTGTATGGTGGCTTCCTGACGCCGGTCTCCATGGCGGCCATCGTAGGTCCGGAAAGTGAACGCGTGATTGTCTTCCGGTATTCCCCTCAGTGGGGCTGGCCGTGGTTCTTCTCCCGCAATTTCCGCCCATTCATGCCTTTCTTCTATCCACCTTCTCGTTCTAAAATCCACCTCTTGTGTGTGTGAGATCTCCAAATGCTCTGTTGTTGAATCAAGATCTTCGTCCGATTCCTCAGTCTCGCTGTGGCTGGGAGTTGGTGCATCGGAAGGCAGCGAAGAGTTTGTCGCTGAGGATGGCCTGAGCTTGGAAAGTTTCCTGAGTTTCATGGTAGTCCTTTCCAAAGCATCGAGGTAGCGTTGCTCTGCGTCAGCCTTCTTCGTTCCAAACTCCTATCGCAATTGTGTAAGCAATGAAAATAGGATGACCGTGATGCTTACATCGGGGAGAGTGCCGATGAGCTTCTCGATAGCGGCTGCCAAGCGCAATGGTATGCTCGAATTCGATTGCGTAGAAACAGATGACGGAGCAGGAGATGATGGCCTTGAATCAGGACCGGGGCCACGCTCTAGAGGCGCGCCGTCAGCGGGCGTAGCGGTATCAACATCAGTGTGCGACATGGGAATAGGCGGTACCGTTTCGACCGTGACCGGCACCGTGCCGTTATCCATTACATTTGAGAGTAAGCGACTGTTCAATGACAAAACAATCCACTCAGAAATCGGAGACTCCTACAAGAGCATAGGACGGAAGACTGCATTTAAACCCTCGTTGCGTTAAATAGGTTTGCGACCAGCCACCTCCTCTGTCGGGCTAGGAGTCGCTTCTCGTGGAGTGATCTGAAATGTCCAGCATAGTCCACAGAAAGGCAAAGTCTGTCGTTGCTGTAAGAGGTCTTTTGGCGTTTGGGCTGAGCTCGTGATATGGTGCGTTTCGATAGTGTTGGTCAGCCGTCACTCAGCCTCAAAGTTTTCGCGAATAGCCGCGTGCGAGTGCAGCCAGCCATCTTCAAAGGTGTGGGTGGGAGCCTCGGGGGTTTGGTGGGCGCAAAATCGCGCCGTATTGACACGCTGCTACAGGAATAGCGTTTGGTCGCAGGCAGCATCGGGGCGACTAGAGATATCATGCCATAGAAATTAATACCTCCAGCCAGTCGCGTACCGGCTGCAAGCGAGAGGCGTAAAGCTCGCGGGCAGGAACCACGTCGTATGATGAAACTCAATGAGGCGGCTCAGCTCGACGCAGGAGGAGGGCTGGAGTGTCCCATGACAATCAGCAGCATGTTTATAGGTAGAGACGTGAAGTGATGGTCCATTATAACGTTATAGGACCCAGAACTCCGTACTATAAGCCTCGAGCATGGCTGCGCAGAATCCTGAGCGCCATCGCCTGATCGAAAAATCGGACGAACACATCGCCAAACTGCCACACTCGAAGGAATTACGGTCGCTGAGCTCAGACCATGATGTTCAGAAATTGATCGAGCGCGTTGCGGAAGAGGCGAGGGAAGCCCAGAAACGAAGGGAGAGGTGGATGTTGAGAAAGGCGGGCGACAGGGTACAGGCATTGGCCAAGCGCGTCTCAGAGTTCTTGGCAGCTTATTCAGGCATCATTGAAGTCGTCAAGAACGTCGCAGGGGAAAAGGCACAGGTCCCTTACACCGCAATCTCCATCCTCTTCATCGTAGCCGTCAATAAAACAGGGATTGAGGAGCATATCGAATCGACTCTCAACTCGATCACCCTGGCCTTTCCCGATCTCGCCCAGATCTGCGACATTGTCGACTACTCTCGATTGCATCCATCATTGGAACGCTTGACCGAGAATGTAATCGCATACAGCAGCGCCGCCGCCCATTATTACAATCGCCGGTGGTTCAGCCGTCTGTGGTACGTGATCGGGCACCCCCCGAACGCCGAGCTGGACACGTTGAAAGAAGCGATCGATAGCGATGCCAAAGCAATCAAGAACAGTACATACAGGTACACGGTGGAGAAGCTCCAATATTTAGTCAATGCGGCTGAAGAACAGCGACAATACGCCGAGGAGCAGCGTCAACTCGCGGAAGAGCTGCGAAAAGATGCTGAGAGACGAAGACAAGCTGAAGAAGGTACGTTGCAAGCATCGATGACCATGAACAATATTGACTGGAGGAAGCCGATATTCTCTCAGATGCGCAAACACTGCTTCAAGTCGACCCATCCTCGTCCACCACGGTCGACGCATACCACTCCGCCCTGCTTTCTATCCAGCACATGTCTAGGTCCAAATACAAGCTCTTTGACCGATCCGTTCTTAATAGTACGGCGTACGACCGCTGGAAGGATAACGAGCATTCATCCCTGTTCCTGCTACAGGGGACCTCCCAAGCCGCCGACTGCACGAGCCTCTCGTGGCTCTCCATAGCAGCCTTTGAGCTATATGGCGAGATCAAAGAAGAGAAAGCCGATTCCTTTATGACACGCCACTTCTTCATGAGTGAAGACAACATGCGCGAAGACGTAGAGGCCTATCTAGGCATGGCTCACGTGATCTACCAAATCGCTGCTGGGGAACCCAAGACCATCACCGAACCCGGGAGATCCCGGTGTCTGAGAACCCATACGCACAGCGAGGAATGGAGTAATCCTGAGCCGGCCGAGCCCTGTCACCTGCTGAGGGATATAATAGACGACGAGGCAATGAGCAGGTATGCCTCGGTGTTCATCTTCCTCGATCGTATTGACAGATGTACCTGCACTGCGAGTGGGTTTGTGGACCAGCTGGTCGGGCTGATCAAAGAGCATACGTGCCATCCTGCCGTTAAGATTTTCGTAATCATGGGAGAGACTCAAAGGGTTACTGAGCGATCAATCCATATGAGAGGAATCAAGGACAGGGTGCACCTTGTAACCGTGGACCAGGAGTTTCTACACCCACGCCATTAAGCAAGGGAGTTGGGCAAGAGTGCGGTAAAACAGAAGAAGTAGTGGAAGAACTTCCGTCTTGAATGTTAGAAGCCGCCTATGTTCACAAGAGAGAAACCGCAAAATTAGACCCGAAACAAATAGGTGCGGAAAAAAGTTTCCTTTCGTACATTATCGGCCTGTGCCCTCTCATAGCAAGGTGCTCATCGACATCGTACAGTGGCTTGACCATTTCACCCACTGGAGAAGCCGCTATCATACACCGGACAGCACACTCCTCCTCCGCCCGTTTCCGTGTATCGTGTATCTCTAACCGTGCCATTCTGCGAAGCCCAGCATCCTCGCAGCCACACATCATAGAATTATAACGCCTCTCCTTTGCCTGCTTATCTTTGCGATCCAACATCAGAGAAAACTGTAACTTCCCGCCAAAGCGTGACATCGCTAATACCGCTGAATGCGAAGATAAAGGGCCATTATGCTGGTCATGTTCTGTAAATCAAGATCAGTATAACCCTTTGCTGTGGTCGACGGTGACAAGATATGGGTTCCGGTTGGAGCGGATCGTGGATACGAGGTAGAAGAGTTAGAAGACGCCTTACGCCGGGGAGTTAGGACCCGGTGTGGAAAAGGGCTTGAGTGCAGAGTGGTTGTGGAGGAAGATGTAAGTGACGTGCATATGTGGCGGGAGTGTTTTTAGCAAGGTACTAGTGTTCGTATCATGCTTTCAGCTCGGCATGCCGTGTTCAGATTGTGTTACAATACATAGCATCCAGCAAGTCGATAGTCTCCACGATCACCATTTTAAGCAGCCAAGTATCACAGAGAAAGCTTGCAAGCTTGCCCACCCTTACGCTCGTCCGAACACCGTCTCCCCGAAGTCCTCTTCCCCTCTTCCCTCCATTCATCGCCTCGCGATGCGGTTTCTGCGGTTTTCTTCGAACTGTAGGCTCTCTTGTAGTGCAACCCGGACTTCTTGTCGGACTTGCCGGGACATAGCGCTCATGAGATCAAGAGTGAATTTGGTCCGACGGCTGGCAGCTCGTCGGGACGTTCGGCGGTCAATGTAAATGCGCAAGCTGTCCATCTCTCCATTACGGTCCATCTGTACATCGTAATAGACGCGCCACTCGTCGAATACGGTTGCGAGACTGAGTCCGGCGGGGTCGTTGAAGAACGCATCTTTGTAGATGGCGTCGCGTAGCTCGCGGGGGAGATCGAGGAAGCCGGTGCGCTTGGGGTCCGCTGTGAAGGTTCGTGATAGCATTCGGGTAATGTCGCTGTTGTATGCAATGGAGCGCAGAGGTAGATGAAAGCCGCAATCCTGGTGTAGAGTATAGAGACTGCGTATTAGTTCTGGCCTTGGAATCCCATTATGCCAGGGCAAGCCGCCCTCTTGAAGCTCGAGCTGAATTCTCGATGTCGGCCAATTGGAAGTGGTGACCTGGTAAAACTCTTTCCATTTCTGGAAAGCGATGTCCTCGGCCGTCTTGCGTGCTGGATCGGCGTCCCATGCTTCCAGCTCCTCGATGATCTTGACCCTGTACCTTTTGCTCCACTCTCCCTCGATCTCGATTCCACGGATGTCAGCCAGGTCGCGCACCACGTCGTTCGGATATGGAAAGTATTTCGACTGGTTTACCTGAAACTTCGGAATTCGCTTTTGTTTCGGCATGATCGGCGGTACGTATATGGGTTTATCGAACTTTTCGAGTGGTTATGTGTGTGTGTGTGTGTGTGTGTGTGTGTGTGTGATTTCGAGGAGAATGTCGGCGGAGGATGATGAAGTTGGAGTGCCGTAATCTCGGCGGAGGGCTGCAAACGCGCCAGTCCGAAAACGATTTAGTCACGGGAGCCCGTGTATGAAGGTGAAAACACTGAAGCGGATCAACCCACAAGTATTGTTCGCCGACACTCTTCATCCAATTGATCGTATCCCGGATTATTGCAGTTAAGTATTTTCCTTGCCGGAAGTACATCTGCATGAATATCTTAGATCTTAGTTGTTCTTGCTCAGCTCGTACTTAGCATGCCCACTCCCACACATAGCCGAGCGAGAGATATCGTTCGTGCTCTGATGTCAACCCAGTGCACTTGAAACGGAGCTCAATCATGAGTGCTTTGTTGGACTAGCAGGCCGCTTTCTTCGCATTAGTTCATCTAACAATTGATCGACCTGTGGTCTAGAAGCATCATTCGGGCAAGCAGAATGTGACCAAAGTAGGGAACATCAGTAAGCACCGTAGAAATAGCTCAAAAGGTAATCCTACAAGTCTCAAGCAGGATCTAAGGAGGTTCCACCCATATAAAAATAGACAGCAGCTAACTTTTCCGCTAGTCCGCTCTATTTAAACTAAGCATATTAATACAGCTTACGAAAACCGCTATCCTGCTCAAGTTAGACACGTCTAAGCTTTGAACACCAGCCAACACAGTGAACATGACTTGTATCTTGCTCTAATTGTCCAGACGAAGTGGCGGTTTCCTAGCACGCACTAGATATTGCTAGCTCATACTCATGAGAGATCCTTCGGGAACTTGAGTTCAAGAACTTCCGGAACAAATATTCAAGAATCCAAGCGAATGTGTTACTAGATAAATGCCTTCAAGAGGTCGCAGAAGTAGACAAACCAAAACTAGTAAGAGAAGGACAATTCGGCATTCCAACACAATTAAACTCCAACCTCGGTCAGTGCCCGGAACGAAAGCATTAAGGAAACTGAGAGCCGCATCAAGATAGACAGACATTTCTTGCAGGAATCATATGTGAATGTCAAGATGCCGAAGTTTTGTAGGGTTCCTGGTCAAAATTAATGAAGCTTCACAAGCCGTGGGCTAATAGGCACAGTAGCGCGCCCCCAGTAGCACGGCTTATGATTGAGTAAATGGGTCGTTCGGTGGCGATGGATGAGTGGTTTTGCTCGAACTGCACCTTATAACGACTTCCAGTGCGTAATATTCAGGGTATAGAGAGCGAGATCAGGAGTAACCCCATTATCAACCATCTTAGACAAGATGAAGTTGGCTTCCATAGGCCATACCTACCATTGAGTTAGGAATAGATGATGCACGTAGTGTACAGCGAAGGCCGTTCAGCGCGAGAGGTGTATAGAGGAACGTGGAGGCTTTCGGGACCTAATGCGGATTCATTAAGGTCTAGAGTAATGGCTTGAAGGCTCCAGGAGGACCTTTGCGTAGGTGATAGTGAGAAGCTGCTCAATGAATTTTCTTGTAAGTGGACCGTTCACTCGCGGGGCTCGGTACCTATTGAAGCCATCCCTCAATGACATCTAGAATCAAGAATAGGACACGCCCGCATGTGTGCCACCATGTTCATACCCATTCCAGAGAACCAAATACTCCGCACTGTCCAGCACTAGGGACGCGGGCTCAGGACCCGAAGGGCGTCAGCATCAGTTATAACAGTGAAGAGCGGGCGCAGTAAAGGACACTGAAGCACTTCAGGGTCTCTGATGGCGATACGGGATGTGGCTATTACGGGCCTCCTCGTGAACTCGTTATAAGATGGGAGATTAGTGGTATAGGCGGGAAGACGAATAGACAAGAGACAGACATAACAGACGACATCGTGATGCACGCTTACCAGATCTAAGGTGAGGAGCCTCTAATCGGCACGGGGAATTTGCTACGACGTTGACGCGGTCCCGTGGCTTTAAAGCGCTCCAACTATTTCATATTGCAGCGCGATGGTGTCGAGCCGGATACCACGGAGGGCACGATGTCATTGACTATATTCCATTATCAAAATTCACACTGGGCAAAGGATGGAGCGAAATGAGATCAAGTGGAAGAGGATTTCATTGACTTGGCCTACGGGATCCGAAAATGCTTTCCATTAACATGGCCGCACAGGTAACAAAATATCTGACGCCATTGGAGGAAGTGTTATTCCCAGCGTGGGTGGGCTTTGTCAATCGAAGGCGTCGGGAAGTGGGTTTCTAGAGTCCAGGCCGGTACTCCTACTCTCGGGCTTCTTTGGCCTCACAGAGCAGGTTGATAATGACGTCGTGTCCACGGTCCTTTGCAGCCTGAAGCGGCGACCTCCAGCCAACGTTCGAATCTGGGTCGGCACCGTGCTCCAGCAAGAACTTCACAGCCGACTTGTCGCCAGCGTTGGCTGCATGCCACAGCGCAGTCACGCCGTCTTCTCCTTTGGAAGTTCCGTCGATGTCTGCTCCATTCTTCAAGAGGATTTTGGCAACCCGGTAGTTGTGGTTTCGGATGGCGTTCATGAGAGGGGTGGTGCTCTTGACGTGATTGGGATCCACCAGGCCTTGGATAAGCAACCTCTTAAGGATCTCAGTTGCTGCCTGGTTAAGGATGCATATGTAGTCATTTTGCGAGGCCTTGAGGGTTCCGCCATATTTGAATCGGAGCGTGGAGCAGATAAGCTCGCTATTGTCGCATCGAACACACTCGCCGAAAGCGAATTTTTCCGTAGTATTGCCTCTATAATTCTGAAGATGAGGGAAATCATAGCCAGAGAATTCCGGGCGCCGCGACAGATACAAGAGCAGCATTTCTCCCGCGTCCTTCTGTCGACCGAAGAAGGCGACGTGGAGAGCATCTTTAAGTCGGTCTTTAAAGACCTTCAGTCGCACACGCTTCCTATGGATTGTATCCGCAAGCTGTTGCTTTCTAATGAACGCAAAGGAGAACTGGTCCAAGATGATTTCCATAACTTCGACCTTTCCAGATCCCGCCGCCGCGGCCAGAATGTTGCGGAACGGGGAGCAGTTGCGAAAGAGGTGTGTGTCGCTCGTTTCAAGCGACTGTCGAACAATACTGGAGTTTCCGGTGGCAGCAGCTGCGGCAATGAACAAGGTCCCTGGAGACTTCGATGTAATTTCGTCGAGAGGAGGCACGAAGACGTCCTGAGGCCGGTTAATGATGACCCCCGGTAGAACTTGGCTGGAAATGTTTTGAGACTGGCCAATTAAGAGCTTCCGTAGGACCTGGCCGGAAACGTTTGCAGCAATGGACTGGCAGAGGTCTTTGGTATATTGCTTCCTTGTGACTTCCGACTCTGAACCTTGCACACGTAGCAATGCCTCGACCATATCTTTAGCCCAGGTAAGGAGGTCGGAGGAGAATCCATTCGGCACCTCGACTCTATTACGCATGATAACCGCACCATAGCGTTTCACGAACCGATCTAGATGCCAGATTTGCTTTTGATTTGATTGAGTGATAGGGTCCGTGAAGGCATCCATAGGTTGAAACGCAACGACGTTCTGGAAGATCTCGGCAGCAAACAGCTCTAGCTTGGTCAGATCGCGAATCTCGAATCGTTAAGAAGTCACTTACTGCATACCGGCCGGTATCGGAAGGCTTCGCAAACGCCCACCGTCTCGACGAGAAGATGGATGACGCGAGCAAACAACTCGTGCGGGATATCGAGTAGCTCCATGGGAGAAATCCGAGGTTGAGTTTCGAGTGCGCAATGTGTTTGACAATTGGGTGAGGACTTCCAACTGGAAGGAATTCAAGGCAACGCCAGTAGGGCTTGTCACGTGGCTGCCGGGAAGACAGATGGGGGAAAGTGACTGGAAAGAGAAAGAAAAGTTATGATCCAGTGAAAGATACGCCTGAGAAGTAGTTGCCCGTACTTTATCGAGTCAACAACAGCAATATTATCGAGGCGAAACGGGGCGTCGTTGCGCTCGCGCTCTCGACTCCGTGTCTCTGCCGCCTGATGGGGAACGCTGAGCTGCAATAAAGTGGACCTGGATATCTTCAAGGGGTTGTCGGAGTCAGGTTTTGGCCGTTCATTAAGACGGTAAAGATCTTTTCGATGAAAATAGAGCAGAGGGAATGTAAAGTCAGGAAACCTAGAATCCCCGCACTACCCAAGACGTCGATTCACCCCGCTACTCTAGAAGCGGCATAGCGTAGTATCTTATCGATAACGAACTTTGGAGCCATCTCAGGCTTCAGCTTTCTCCACCGCACTCGCACCGACTACATGGCCTCCCACTCGTTGCTCAATTCCCACGCATAGGCAGCTCTCAGTACCGTCTCCTCCGCCCACCACCTACCAACGATCTGTAGTCCCACCGGTAGCTTTACGCCCGATCCCGCAAGCGGCCCCTCCTCGATCTCCAACAGCCCCACCGGCATCGTCAAGGCAGGATGGCCGGTCTGGTTGAACTGGCATGTATTGCTGGTCAGACCAACCTGCTTTGCAATCTGCTCTAGGGGCGTTGCATCAGGAGCGGAATGCGAAGTAGCGATATACGGCAACGTCGGCATGACGAGCACGTCGTACTTTTCGAGAGCGGCATCATAGGCAGCGCGTAGCTGGCGGGAGAGATTCGTAGCTTTGGCGAGGAGATATGGGAACGCTATTGCGGCATATGCGCCGTTGAGGTAGATGTTCTTCGTCCTAATTGGCAATCAGCATGATATCGTTACTGCGAGCTGGAGCTGGAGCTGGAGCTACGTACGAGACATAGGCATCGTCCCAGTTCTCCTGCTTCAGGGGATGCATCAGCGCAACCAGATCCCACATCTGATGGCCCCTCCTGCCATACGCTCCGCTCGTCTTATTTAGATATCCGCCGACTTTGCTCACACCAGTCCATATCGCTGGACCCTTCTTATGCATCGGGACACTGACTTCTTCGACCGTCGCTCCGAATTTCCGGAATCCCTCCGCCGCTTTCAAGAACGTCTCTTTGACTCTAGTATCGACTACCGCCCCGATCAAGCCCTCGGATATGACTCCAATCTTGAAGCTGGAAAGATTCTTGGGCGACTCTAGCTTCTTCAAGTTTTCGTAGTACCGGGGTATCGCATCTGGAGCAGGAGCCGCAAAACCCCGGTCGTCGATGTTGTCAGAACCTGCGATGGCTTGCAGAAGAAGAGCATTATCGAGCACCGTCTTGGTCATCGGACCCAAATGGTCATTCGTGGGTTCGTTGGAGCCACAGGCAGTATATGGAATCAGGCCAAAGGTCGGTTTGAAGCCTACAATTCCGCAGTTACATGACGGGATCCGGACGCTGCCTCCTTGATCCGCGCCTATAGCCATATCCACTTCGCCCAGTGCTACTAGGACCCCACAGCCGGACGAACTGCCACCAGAGGAGTAGCCTTTTGCTCGTGGGTTCTCGACTGCTCCTGTAGCTGCGGAGTGGGATGTCGCGCTGTGGCAAAGGTTCTCGCAGACTGCCTTGCCTTCTATAGTGCCGCCAGCTTCCAGCACTCGTGTGACGACGGTTGCGTCGGTTTTCTATTACAACGAGTAAGCGTGCGGCTTACGCAAAGCCCAGGGTACCGCGTACTGGTACATAGCCCTTCACGAACGCAGTCCCCAGCAGCATCGGGACGTCCTTAACCGCGATGTTATCCTTCAGCGCTATCTTCTTGCCAGCCAGTAGCCCATTCAAGCTCTTCGGCGCTCTGTCTTCGATATGCACTTTCCAGGCCCACGCTCCGTACTCATTATCCGCCTTTTCCGGAAAATGCACATTTTCTCTCGGGAATCGCTCCAGATCTGTTTCCGGCTCGTAATCTGGAATCGCCATCAATTCTTCAGCCGACTCATGGAATACAGCGAGCAGCTTTCGGTAATCTTCCTTCTCTTCATCTTTAAGTGTAATCTTGAGCGACGCGCATACTTCGTCGAGCACTTCGGGAGTGACTGGATTCCCGTCCTTAGGCGTTACCGAGAAGACAGACATATTTGCTCCAGGGAGAGTTCATCCATCGTTGCAGGAGGCGATATGTCGTTGCCTGGAGAATGCGTTGCAGCTACGCCAAAGTTCATTCCGGGAGTGATCCGAATTCGGCGATAAGCTCGGCGATGTCCGCTACACTCGAACCATATTGTCAGCCCAAGGTTGAGCTCTCGCATGTAACCGCGGATACCTGCGCTATACCCCACTGCGGGGCTCTGATCGGCATTGGGCGCTGTTTCTTCGTCGGGTCTATTGCTCCCGCGATGGACAGTCTACATCATGACAAAATGATCTGAATAACAAGCGCCTCTCCATTTGAGGGCGCTCACATTCCCGCAACTGCAGCCGTGCCCGTCACTCAACCGCTCATCGCAAAGATGCCTCACGTCGAGGAAGCCATCCAGCTGCCCCGGGACTTCGAAGGTACGTATAAAAGCCTCTCTTCACACCAAACATTTCTAACAGCACAGGCTTCGGCGAAGCCAGCCACGACTGCCAATGGCCCAACGGCGCCCGCATCGCAGTCTCCTTCATCCTCAACTACGAAGAGGGCGGCGAGCGCAGCTGGTACGACGGCGACAACCTCAGCGAACCGTATCTATGGGAGAAGGGCGCGGGCTGGGCGAAAGAAGGCGGCCGCTACGTCAATTCCGAGCAGGACTTCGAGTACGGGAGCAGAGTCGGCTGTTGGCGCATTTTCCGCCTCATGAAGGAGTTTGGGTGGAAGATGACGCTGTGGGCCATCGCGAAGGCAATGGAGCGGAACCCCGAGTTCGCGAAGGCGTGCGTGAGGGAGGGGCATGAGATCGGGGCGCATGGTGAGTTGCTACTTGAGAGATGAGGGGAAAGATATATGGCTGACGAGCGACAGGTCTGCGCTGGCTCGAATTCTGGGACTACGACCTCGAAGCCGACAAACAATACATCCGCGACACGTGGACGGCGCTGCACGCCGCGACGGGCTCGCTCCCCGTGGGTTTCTACTTCGGCCGCGGCACGCCGAACACGCACGCGCTGGTCCCGATCGTGCTGAAAGAAATGGGCCACGCGCTGCTCTACAGTAGCGAATGCTACAATGACGACGTGCCCTACTGGGTCGACCTGCCCTGGGAAGCCAATCTCCCGCCGGAGCAGCGCGAAGGCATGCTCATGCTGCCGTACAACTACGACTGCAACGACGGCAAGTTCCACATGAGCCCGGGGTTTGTGACAAGCGCGGGGCAGACTTACGAGGCGTATTTGAAGAGCACATTTGATATGCTGTATCGCGAGGGCGGGAAGATGATGAATGTTCCGATGCATGCGCGGATTGTGGGGAAGGCGGGGAGGGCGGAGGCGCTGCGGAATTTCATGAGGTATGTTAGTGAGAAGGAGGGCGTTTGGGTGGCGACGAGGAGGGAGATTGCGGAGCATTATCGAGAGAGGTTTCCGTATAAGCCGGGGAGCAGGGCTGGTGGGGAGTAGATGGAGGTGGTGTATGTTCGCGAATGGATTGCATTGAGGTGTTAATCCTAAGCATCTTTAGATTTCGCTGCTGAAAGACTCCTGGAGTCGTTTCCCGCAGCCAGAAGAATACCAGGCCCGCGCATGCTGACGCGTGTATCGCGCAAGTCGTGGAATACCGAGCGCGCTAAGCAGAGCAGGAAACAAATCTTCGGGTAGACCAAGCCGATGGCATCGGAACATCGTCGCCTCACCCTATCTGCATCGGCCCGCACACACGCCCTCGAAACAATGCAACCAGGGCTCCATATCGCGTAACCCACACTATCCATCCCCAACTACCATCTCTCCCCTGCCATCACACCACACCACGCGCGCTTAACTCCATCCCCATTACCGCGCCCTCCCCATGCCATGCCCCTCGCCGATTCCCCACCGTCACGATTCCTCAGCACGCAGCCGCGCAGGGAAATCCGCGCCGCACTATCGCCGTCCCTTATCAGCGCACCCCGGCTCTGATCGCCGCCATGCCCTTCCGGGGGAACGATAAGGTCGCCAATGAGACGCGGGGCTGCGCGCCGCAGGCGGCGTTTATGAAGAGCGGACGGCTGCGACGTTCCGCCGCTGTGGTTCTGTGCCTGCAGTGGAGATTTTTTGCTGAAATTGGGCGTTGTTGCACGGGTTGATACACGAACGGACGTCTGATTTTATTTCTCCGCGCTTTGTACTACACGCGTGCAACGTCACTTTTCGCGAACGTCAAGAGCTTTGAGCAGAGGAAGAGATATTCATTGAAAAGGCAGCATCATGTCCGACGAGAAGAAAGAAATCGAGGCCGCGCCGCGTCCGGCCAGCCTGACGGCCGGCGAGGTCGAAGATGCGGTGTTCGATCCCAAGGCGGAGGATGACTTTGAGGTGTTCAAGAAGACGACGGATGGGGTGCAGTTCCGGCTTGTGGGGTGGCCGAAGGCGTCTGTTATTTTCTTGAAGGGTGAGTAGGCTTCCGCGGATAGGTCTGCAGGCTGACGATGTAGTGTAGTTATCTTCGCGACGGGCGTCCTGAGTATACCTACGGCTATGTTTGGCCTGGGTGCTGTGGGAGGAGCGATGTCGGTCATCGGCTGGGGCGTGTTGAATACGTATTTTGCGATTGTGCAGGGCAACTTTCGCAATCGACATGCGCACTGCCATTCTATTGCTGATATGGCGCTCGTTGTCGGCGGGCCTGTTCTCAAGGAGATCTGTGGCGCGCTGTTCATTGCGGCGTATGTGCTTTGCACGGGCTCTGGTATCGTGGGTCTTGCGACGGGTTTGAATGCGCTGAGCGACCATGCCGCTTGTACGGTTTGGTGGGCGTTTTTGTCCGCGATTGTGATCATGGTGTGTGCAAGTGTGAGGAAGTTTGAGAAGATTGGGTGGCTGTAAGTCGAGTCCTGATTTAGGAACGCGGGCTCGGATACTGATGCGTGCGCAGGACTTGGGCCGGCTTCATCTCCATCTACGTTGCGGTCTTCATCGTGGTCATTGGAGTCACGACGCGTGACCGGCCAGCCGCTGCTCCTCAGACCGGCGACTTCGATCTCGGGTACCACGCCATCGCGTATCCGTCCTTCATTGTCGGCATGACGGCGACGTGCACGATCTTCGTGTCTTCGGCCGGAACGAGCGCGTTTCTTCCCGTCATTTCGGAGATGAAGGTCTGCTCTCCCTACCCTCAAAACTACCTGCCAGCTACTAACTGTCCCAGAATCCCCGCGAATACAACAAAGCCGTCTACGTCTGCATGGCACTGGTGCAAGCCTCCTACCTCACCTTCTCCCTCGTCGTGTACAAATGGTGCGGCAAATGGGTGACGAACCCGTCTCTCGGCTCGGCGGGCGGCACCATCAAGAAAGTCTCATACGGCGTCGGGCTCATCGGCCTCGCCGTCTCCGGGTGTCTCTACCTCCACGTAGCCGCCAAATACGTCTTCGTCCGCATCCTGCGCGATTCGCCGCACCTGCAGCGCAACTCGCTCATCCACTGGGGAACTTGGCTCTCCTGCACCACGATTCTCGGTGCCGTCGCGTTTATCCTGGCGGAGGCGATTCCGATTTTCTCGTATCTGATCGCGTTGACGGGGTCGATCTGCTTCGCGCCCATGGCTATCTGTCTTCCTGGATGGCTGTGGCTGCATGACCATGGAGACTGGAAGAGGGGTGGTGTCGTCAAGATGTTGGCGTACTGGGGCCATTGGCTGTTGATTCTGATCGGCGCGTTTACGTGCGTGGGCGGGACGTATGGGGTTATCAAGCAGATCCAGGTGGCGTATTCTGATGGGATGATTGGAGGGGCGTTCAGCTGTGCGGATAACTCGGGGGTCCATGGGTGATTGAGGACGTGCGATTGTGGGAGGATTGCGACATGTGCGATTGGGGAGTCGAAGTGCTGCGTTTCAGTGGATGAGCGGGTTTGGTGTAATTACCACGGAGCTAGATGTAATGTTATGGGGGAGAAGCAATTTCGGATTCAAGTCATATCAGTGCTGCGTTTTTGGAGGAATAGATGACAATACGAACTCGACGCGTGAGCACGTGCACTCAACGAAAGCTACGAAAAGTGCTGAATGCATCGATTTTCCATCCCAAACCCCAACTTCGGAAGCTGTTGATGGCATTCCGCCATTCATCTCGTCCAGCGCGCATATGCGCCGCCGCAATTGAGATTTCTCAGCGCTCGTGGCAATTGCATGCCAGGGATGCTTATCGACCCACTAGAGCGTAACTCCGAGCATCTCCACGCCCATCTCCTTATCGCCCCATTTCTTGTCAAACCCACCGCGTCCAACGCCTCGTATCGCACATCGGATGGCGGTATGCGATAGGCATATCAGTGCCGTATGGGATTGAGCGCGGAACAGAATCCGGCAATGATTCGGCCTACTGCAGCACCTCCCGAACATGTAGGGAGCCAGCTGCCTTTCCCGGCAGCTTGGAGAGCTTGCTCTTTATAGCAGGGACATGCAGGAGTGGTGCGATGTGCCAGCTGGCCTGCGCTGACCCAGCAATTGCGCCGGAACGAACTCAACATGGCTCCTGGATACAGGCTTGGTGTTGACGTTGGAGGGTAAGCCGTCTCCCTTTCCTTCAGGCAAACGCTGCATCGCGCAGATGGGATGGAACAGCAATGCTAATGCGCACACAGGACCTTCACAGACATCTGCGTCATTACTCCCGACGGCCAATCCGTTCGCGCAAAGGTCCCCACGAATACCTCGGACCAGTCCATCGGCGTGCAGGAGGGCGTCGCGAAAGCGCGCAAGATCCTTCAGGAGAAGTACCACTGGGACGGCAAGTTCGAGTACATACACCATGGCACGACGACCGGCACGAACGCGATACTAGAGGGCAAGGGCGCAAAGGCGGGCTTGATCGTTACCGCAGGGCACAAGGACATCTTGACGGTTCGGAGGAGTCAGATACCGGGCGGTCTGGGCGCGTGGATCAACTTCGTGCAGCCGGAGCCCATTGTGCCGCTGGAGCGCACAGTCGAAGCTTCCGAGCGCGTTACAATTGGCGGCGAGGTGTTTAGAGAGTTGAATGAGGCGCAGTTCCGAGAAAGCCTGGCAGACCTGAAAAGGCAGAAGCCAGAAGCCATCTCGGTGTCGCTGTTGAACTCGTTCAGCAACAACACCCACGAAAACAAGATCCGGGAGATTCTGCACGATGAGTTTGGACCGGATGTCGAGGTCGTCACGTCGACGGACGTGTTGCCCGAGATCCAGGAGTACGAGCGAACGGTCACGACTACCGCGAACGCCATCGTCAAGCCCATCGTCAAGCGATATATGTATAATCTCCAGAAGATGTTGGCAGCGGATACGGATACAATCCGGATTTTAAAGTCGGATGGCGATCTCACATCGGTGGACCTCGCAGGCAACCTGCCAGTCAATATCCTCATGAGCGGCCCAGCCGGTGGTGTCAAGGCCGTGTCGCATCTCATTGCGAAGAACACGCCCTTCAAGAACCTGATTACGTTGGACATGGGAGGAACGAGTACCGATTGCGCTCTGCTCTCTGGATCCGATGTCATTATTCGACGCGAAACCAACGTCGGCTCGCTCGCCGTCAAGGCGCCGTCGGTCGATGTACGAACTGTTGGGGCTGGAGGAGGCTCGATAGCCGTCTACAACGACTTCACGAAGCAGTTGCGCGTTGGTCCAGAGTCAAGCGGCGCTAGCCCCGGCCCTGCGGCATATGGAATGGGTGGAACTCAAGCCACCGTTACCGATGCCAATCTGACCCTTGGCTATCTTCCATCGAAGCTACTGGGCGGCACATTTGAGCTCGATGTCGCTGCTGCCTCAGCCGCCGTGGCATCAATTGCCAAGCAGATGGGCATGGAAATCACAGCCGCAGCCGAGGGTATCATTGACTTGGTCAACGAGTCGATGCACGGCGCTCTTCGTCTTGTGTCCGTCGAGCAAGGTTTCGATCCTCGTGACTTTGCGCTCGTTGCATTTGGTGGTGCCGGTCCTTTGCATGCGAACTCCCTCGGGAAGCTCCTTGGCTCATGGCCCGTCATCGTCCCTCCGAGCCCTGGTATCCTCTGCGCTCAGGGCGATGCTACCACCAAGATGTCCCACGAACAAAGTTGCACCTACATCAAACTCTTCTCCAACATCACAACCGAAGACCTCGCGGCATCACTAGGCGAGCTCAAGGACGGCTGCATGAAGACCATGAAGAATGCGCTCGGTAACGACGACGTACCTCTAAAGGTCATGTATCAATCAGATATGAGATACAAGGGCCAGGCAATGACACTCACCGTCGACTTCAACGAGGAGGATCTGAAGGATACACAGGGCCTTCTTAAGACCCTACGAACGAAGTTCGGTGAGATGCACGAGCAGCAGTTTGGCTTCTCGCACGAAACCGCCGAACTCGAGACCATGCGTATGCGCGCCAAGGTCGTCGATGCTTCGGAAGAGGTGGCCATTAAACCCATCGAAGAAGCTAAAGACTCCACACCGCCTGAAGACGCAATCATGATGAAGCAGGATATCTACTATGAAGGCAAGAAGGTGGAGGCTAACTTCTGGGATCGGGCCAAGCTCATGAAGGCTGGCATCAAGATTGCTGGGCCCGCAATCATCTCCGAGATGGATTCCAACACTCTTATTCTTCCCGGCTATATTGGCGAGATCGACTCTATGGGCAACATTCTGATCTGGCCTGCCGAGAAGAAGACCGAGAAAAAGGCGGCCCATACGAAGGAGTCAGCCGAGCAGCTCATCCAAGAGCAACCTCTCATATCTACATTGATCTCGTCCGCGCTTGGCTCGATTCGCCGAGAGATGGATACTTTGATGCTGAGATGCGCCATGTCTCCTGCGATCCGAGAGCAGCAAGACGAGTTCAACGTCATCACCAATACACGTGGCCAAATGCTGGTCGGCCAGTTCGGCAGCTTCATCACGCAGTTCCTGAATGGCTGGAAGGGGACCATTGAAGAGGGCGACATCTTCGTCACGAACGATGTGTATCAGATCGATGGCGCGGTATCCCACCTTAATGATGTTATCGTCCTGCTTCCGATTTACTACGAACACGAGCTTATCGGATGGGCTGCGAACTTCGGGCATTTAACAGATGTCCAGGGGAAAGTCCCCGGATCGATGAGTATCAACGCCACCACTATCTTCGAGGATGGTCTTCAGATTCCCATCGTCAAGCTCTACGACAAGGGCGTGTACAACCAGCCATTGGCCGAGCTTTTCTTCCGAAACTCTCGCCAGCCGGAGTGGTTCCAGAGCGACTTGGTAGCTTTGGTCGCTGCCTGCAAGACTGCTGCTGCACGTGTTTGCGAGCTGTGCGAGCGCTATGGCTTAGAGGTATACGAAGCAGCTACGGATAACCTCCTCGCTCAGAACCGCGCTGCCATCAAGACCATCATCGACGAGAAAATCGGCAATGAGAGGTCGGGTTTCACGGACTTCATTGATGACGACGGCCACGGTATAGGGCCGTACGCCATTTCCTGCTCGATGCAAAAGCAGGGTGATAAGCTGGTCTTCGACTGGGATGGCACATCACCGCAGTCCAATACTTCGATGAACTTCTATCTCTCCATCACCATGTTCAAGATGTTCATCGGTTACTATCTCCTCGCGGTCTACGACCCACACTGCGTGGTCAACGATGGTTTCCACGACCTTATCGACATCAAGATTCCCACTGGCACGATCCTCCGCCCAGTACGACCTGCGGCCCTCAGTTGCCGGACGCATTTGCTAGGTCGCGTCATGGACGTGATGCAAGCACTCTTCGGCCAGCGCAACCCTGCCTATCGTTGCGCAGCTGGGTTCTCCGACTCGCCCCACCTCTTCTATTCTGGCTTCAAGCCCGACGGCGAATTCTACCTCCTCTATCAGATCGGCTTCGGCGGTGTTCCCGCTCGGCCTATCGGCGACGGCCCAGACTGCCACTGCTTGTTCCCAGCTATCAAATCTATTCCTACCGAGAACATCGAGCTCTACTTCCCGCTCATCCTCGAAGCTAACGAAGCGCTTCCGGATTCCGGAGGCGCCGGATACTTCCGCGGCGGCAATGCGCAGAGGACGCTGTATCGCTTCTTGAGCGAGGGCGAAGTTAGCATCCATGACGACCGGTGGCTCATCAAGCCGTGGGGCGTGAACGGCGGCATGCCGGGTTCCAGGTCGAAGAAGGCTCTGTACAAGAACAACAGCTATGGAACGGATAAGCAGAAAGAGAATACGGAGATGTTGCAGTCGAAACAAGACCACATACACGTCATGCCAGGTAAGTCATCATCCCCCTCCCGCACGAACAATCGCTAACAGTACCTCAGGAGACGTCCTCGAATGGATAACCTGGGGCGGCGGCGGCCTCGGCGACCCGCTGACGCGCCCCGCGCACATCGTCGCCGCGGAAGTCCACCGCAAACTCGTCACCGTCTCCGGTGCCGCCCGGAACTACGGCGTCGTCGTGCGCCCGTCCGACTTCACCGTCAACGAAGGCGCGACTACCGAGCTGCGCCAGAAGATGCGCGAGGAGTGCAAGGGTAAGGGATACAGCGCGGAGCTGAGCTATGATAGAGGCGGCACGATGAGTGAGCTGATGGCGCGGTGTGAAGAGGATACGGGCCTGCCGCCGCCGAGGCCGCAGTGGGAGAAGAATCCGTATGGGCCGCATGTCGGGCTGGAGTATGTGAAGGGCTGGTATGAGAGGATGAGGAGGGAGGGGATGAGGGCATGGGACTTCTAGGAGGATGTCTGGTTGATTGGAAATAGATAGCCGCCTGAAGGCCTGAAGGCCGGTTGGAAATATAGATTATATTACTGCAGCTTGACCTTCGACTATGTCCATGGTCACCATATCTACACCCACTACTCAGTTTCTCCGCCTCTGCCGCCCTCCCCTCTCCAGCCCGCTCCCGCACAACCGGCCCTCCCCCAAACGAAATCCAGGTCCTGCCCACGCCAAATCGCAGCCTTTCAGATCCTTCACACCGCTTACAGTGTCGCGACCATGTCGCCGGTTTCCTTCCTGCCCAGATCGTCGCGCGTCTCATCTCATCTACAGTACAGCACAGCACAGCACCATACCATACCATCAGGACGAATCCATACACAGTCACCTCGAGCCCTGGCAAGTTGGTCGCGTCTCCACCCTTGCAGCGGTCTCGTGCTCCCGCGAGTAGCTGATTCTAGGAACGGACATTCCACTCTGCTGCTAGGCTTTGTTTACCATCACCGTGGGCGGATATCGATATCGCTTGCTCGTTGGTCTGTAGTATGATAACGTTGGGGTGGGTGGGAAATCTAGGGGTAGTGTACGGAGTGCAGCAAAGAGGGAGGGAGGAAGGACCACGGGCGTCATAGGTGGCATGGGGGCTGGTAGTCGGTCGGGTGTGGCAACGCAGCGCAACGCAACGCAGCGCAGCGCTTCCGAGAGGAGTGGAGGAGTGGGTCTAGAGAACACGCAAGCTTAGCAGAAACCAGATCCTTCCAGGGCCTTGCAACCAATGCGTATTCCAAGCCAGCCGTTCAAGCCAGCCATCCGCGTCTTGGAGCTCGGCCACTACTCCATCTAACTCTACAACAAATCCCCCCCCTCCCCCTATCCCTCAACCCCACCCCTCCTCCCCACCTTCCCCCTCCTCCCCCCAACCGCCCTCCAAAGATCCTCCCAAATCCCCAACGGCGGCTCGATACTAGCCTCATACGCATCGATCCTCGGGCGTTCCCACACTAGATCCGCATCCTCCGGCCTCACAAACTTACTCCTCTTCACGAGCTTAAACCCGACCCACAAGATAATGCACACAAAGCACATAGCGTAGTAGGTGAAGAACGTGCCGACGTCGAAGGCGTAGAAGGTCGCGTAGCCGTAGATGGCCAGGATGACGCTGAACAGCACGACGCCGGCGATGGCGACGTACGGCTGCCCCCAGCCTTTGTAGGGCAGCGAGTCGCGCGAGATGCCCTGGGCCTGGAGGGCGCGGTAGAAGAAGAGGTAGGTCGTGCACATTATTATGTAGTCCATTAGTTGCGCGGCTTGGGTTATGTTGGCGAGCCTGGGGGGCGTGTTAGCGGGCTGATGTATGTTGGGAGAGGAGGGATGTGAACGGAAGAGGTGGTGGGAAGCAACGGGGCGGGCTTACCATTTCACGCCCTCGGAGGCGGCGTGGCCGACGGACAGGAAGGCCAGCAGCGGGAAGAACATGGTGACGCAGAAGCAGTAGATAGGGACGCCGGCGCGGGTGGTCTTCTGCAGGAAGCGCGGCGCGTGGCCGTCGATGGAGAGCGAGTACAGCGTGCGCGTGGCGCAGTAGACGTATGAGTTTCCTATTCGCCCCGTCCGTTAGTCTTCGTATCCTCCTCTCCTCCAAAATCACATGGAAGAGGCAAATAACGCACCAGCGGAGAATATACTCGTCACCATCAGCGCGTTCGTCAAGTCCGGCAGCACGCTAATCCCCATATTCCGCATCGCAATCACATACGGGCTGCTCGCGCCGGTGCCGGTGCCCTCCGTCAGCAGCAGGTTGTTCAGCGTGGGGTCGTCGTACGGCAGGATGATGCCGACGCAGAGCGCGCCGAGGATGAAGAACAGGCCGAAGCGGAAGTACATCGTCTTGTAGGCCATTTTGATCGTTTTGCGCGGGTAGATGGCCTCGCCCGCGACCATGGCCACGTACTCGGGCCCGACGCAGGTGAAGGAGGCTTGGAAGAAGGCGCCCAGGAAGCCTTCGAAGCGGCCCAGCGAGCCTGAGTGGATGTACGTGGCGAAGGAGCCCGGCGTGCGCCAGTAGCGGAAGCCGTAGGCGTCGTGCTTGGGGTTGCCGCCCACCATGGTCACGAAGGTGAAGGCGAAGAGCATGAATATTAGGAGGACTTTGCCGGAGGCGCTGGGGCGGGGTGTTAGTGGAGGGGAGCGGTGGAGGGGAGGGAGACGGACAGCCAGAATTCGGACTCGCCGTATGCGCGGACGGCGAACAGATTGATGATGCCGTAGAGGACGATGCAGGCTGCGACGACGGCGGCGACCGGGATGTCGTCGCGCCAGTAGGTGAGGACTAGGTTGAGGGCTGAGATCTCGAACGGGATCAGGACCGCCTCGTAGAGCTGTATCATGGTCAGTTAATTGCCATCCCATCCAAGCTCCCTCCGCGACTCACGAAGAAATTCCACCCCGCCATAAACCCATACGCCTCATCCACCCACTTACTCCCCATGCGCACCCACCCGCCAACCACGGGCATAAACACGCTCATCTCCGCCATGCAGCTGTTCGCCAGCGCGAGGATGAAACAGTACCCCGCGAACGCAATGAACAAGCTACCGGGCCCGCCCTCCACGAGGCCCCAGCCGATGGAGACGAACAGTGCGGTCCCGATCGAGCCGCCGATAGCGATCCATTGGATTTGGCGGTTCGAAAGCCGCCGATGCAGACCGTCGATTACTTCGAGGTTTCCGACTTCATCGTGCTCGGGGACGTCGTACGCGGGGCCTTTTTCGCCGTCTCTGGCGATGGCGATGCCTTCGTGCTGCTTCGTCGCCATTGCGTGCGTCGTCGCAATGCAATAGTCGTGAATAAGTTTGAGCGACAATCTCGGGAAGGTTTCCAGGGCCTCAGGAACCAGGGTCCAGCGCGTCTTTTAAGCTCCGTAGTGAGATCCCGTTACTTTTGCATTTACTAACGCGCGACAAGCAATTGGATACGACGCACGGCGCGGGTGTGGGTAACCTTGTGGATACGGCGATACAGCCGCTGATGTCGCGGTGTGGGTAGATCCTCAGGCAGGCTATCCCAACGGAGGGGCGCGCTAGCCGAGGCCTGGACGAGCTGCTTATCTCGGGGTAGCGCGACGGGCTGGGACGGTGGGCCGGGGCCGTGGACGTGGCGAGCAAGGGATAAGGCATATTTCTGTGGAAAAATTGTACGACGTCGGGCGATGGGATTGCATTCGTGGCTGCTGGAGGAGATCAGACGTCAATTCACTGATGGAACGTGCGTTCGTCAACGGTTCGGCGGGTGGTCTTGGAGAGCTTAGCGGAGCTTGAGGGGCTGGGGAGCGCAGGTGGCTGGAAGTTCCCCACGCTAGAGTCGCCGGTGACGTACTGTATGTGCGCGCGCTACCGGCCAGGTCTCGGTTTTTCAGCAGGGACTTCGTCAAGCACGAGATGATCAGGGCACCGTCTCTGTCGGCCTATGCACCTTTGTATCGATGGAATCTTGTAGGATTTTCAATTCTACGACCGAGCGAACATCACTCAGCCCCACGCGAGCCATACCTAGGTAACTACCTGGATTTTGCGCCTATGTACAGGCTCGACAACCGCTTGAACAATGCACGCAACTCATCGATCAGATATAGTACGGGAAATGGGATGTACTTAACACCACCGACGAGCTCGCACTGAGGAGTATCGCCCGGCGTCAGCGGCACATCCAGACCCATTTCTCAGTCACGACGCGGATTCTCGCTACCCATCCACAAGCTCAGGCCAATGGTGATAAGAAAACAGCCGTATTCAAGAGAGTCATTGTACTCAAACGAGACTACAAGCCCAGTAGGCCTGACGGCTGAGCAACGGGTGGGACCTATTCCCCCCTATCCATCAAAGCCTCTACGCGCCTCCATCGCGCAAATGCTTGAAAAGTCTAGAATACACGAAACACGAAAGCAATCAAAATCGAATACCAAAACTACCTGCTCAGTCTCCGCTGATCGGCAGGCGGCGGTCCAGGAATCATAACCTTGAATGGCATCTCTCTGTGCGCCACTGGCCCAGCTCCCAAGGGTGGATAGGGGCTGATATGCCTTGGGCCCGCAGGAGCCAACGGAGGCGGACCACTGCTCTTTGGTCGCGGAGCTGTACGGGGGCCGTACGGGCTCGGGTACGTTGGGGGTACCTGAGGGGGCAAGGGAGCGGGAGCAAGCTGGCGCGGACCAGGACCGAAATGCGACGTCGGTGGAGGACCAGGCATCGGGCCGGGCATCGAGCCTGACGGCATGGCTGCGAGCGGGGAATTTTGCATCATCATAGGCGGCGGCGGCGGCGGGTAATGCGCCGGCGGATATGCGTTGATTGGGGAGGGTGCCGAGAACGGCGGCGGGGGAGGCGGTTGTGATTGCGGATGCTGATGGACTGGATATGGTTCCGGAGGAGATGCTTCCGCTTGAGTCAATGCTGGGCGCTGCTGGGGCTGCGGTTCTGCAGGTTTCGACGCCGGCGGCGCTGCTGGTGTTCTGCCACCTCGCTTTCCAGGCGATGAATTCGATCTTGAGGTTGGGGCTTTAACGGGGGTGCCGGACTTCTCCTCTAGCTCCTTTTGGCGGGCCTTTCGCTCGGCCCACCAGATGGTCATTGACTGACTTCGCTTTTCGCTCTTAACGCGTGGCTTTCGCTTTGAGCTTGAGGCTGAGTTAGCTGCCGACTCCTCAGCCTGCGGATTGTTGTATTGGCTGAGTGAAGTTGTGTTCATGTAGGTGTCTGGCGTGTGCGCCTTTGAAGATTGACCGTTGGTCCGGCCATCCTGGGGCTGCGGCGTGGCCTGGAAGACAGTCTCGGTATGATGCGGGCCCACAATTGGTGTTGCAATGGTAGGGCCAACTGGTGGATCAATGGAAAACTGGTTCTGACCCTCGCTGATAGACTGGAGAGCTGGAGGTGGAGGGTTCGGACCATGAGCCGACGGAATAGGAGTATCCTCGTCATGCATCCTCTTCCGTGGTGATTTCTTGATTCCATAGTCGCTGCGCCTTCCTACGCCCTTGCTACCTGTAGGCCGGCCGCGTTTATGATATGGAGCTAGATGGCCATCGGTATCGCCTGAGTTCTCGTTCGAGGAGCCGTCGTCGCCTGAGCTGGCAAATGCTGATTCCTCTCGCATTTCCTGTATACGCTGATGGAGCAGCGCACTGGCGACGCCCTTCCCACGCTTGCCGCGTCCGTCAGGTTCTGGAGTCACGGATGCTGCTGGCTGGGCGTATTTACTGACGCCCTTCTTCCGTGCGCCGCCCCAACCACTGTGTTTCTTGGGCGTGTTCGTACCGGTGCCCTGATCACTCCCATCGTACTTGCGGGTGGCGCGACGCTGCCGCTTGGCCGGTCTTCCCTCCTCTTCGTCCTCTTCGTCCTCGCTGGGTGCAGCCGAATCAAGCATGTCACGTGTGCGGCGTTGACGCAATTCCCTGCCGTTGGTTTTCTCATGGCCTGGTCGCTGCTCGAACGGATCCTGCATACCCGGCGGCTTCTTGGGATCGAAAGTGTAGCCGTACAGGTCCGCTTCCTTCATATCTTCGAAGATCTGCGGGTTCATCGGAATGCGGCCGCCATTGCAAGCCTTCTTGGGCGGATGTGCATGTGGTGCGGTCTGTTGGTATTAGCAGCTGCAACATGACATCAATCACTCTATAACTTACCCTCCCGTCCAACATAAGGTATTCATCCTGCCATGCCTTGAGAATCTGCTGCGTGTTCTGCGCAAGCGCATAAAGGGTCTCCGTACTCCGTTGCGCCATTGGGTATTTGGTGAGGTGGGCGATGAGATCTTGAACATCGGCTATGGGCTTGAACCGCGTCTTGAGCAGGTAGTCTGCCCTGTCCTCACACTCAGCTTTGATTGGCGCAGGCAGGCCTTCGATCCATGCATCAGGCATGTCGGAGTCGGACAGCACATCGTCCTCCGGGTCAAGCAGCTTCGGGACTGCAGACTCTGCAGGTGTTGCTACATCCCGGGGCGTATGCGACGCTGACTCCTGGGGTAGTGATATCTTTGGAATAGCAACAGGGACAGGAATCTTCATCGAGGGTTCGTTGTAGGCCTGTATGAGTGCGGCAGGCGGCGAACCGGCCGGCGTGGTAGTAGTAGGCGCCACTTGAATACCCTCCATTGGCTCCCCTTGCTCGGCTTCTTTCTTTGGTTCCTCTTCATCTTTAGGTGGCTCGTTGACAGGCGTGGTTGTTTCCACCGAGTCCACAGAGGGCGAGAGGGAAACCGATCTCTTGGCATCCTCCATCGGCGAGTCCTGATTGGACAGATCCTCGTCGTCGTCTTCTGTAAGTAGAAATGCGGGTGCAGCATTGCGAGATGGTCGCGTTCGAACTGGAGAGACGGTCCGCGCAAGGCTTCCTCGTCCCCTACCTCCGCGGCCTCCTCTGCCTCTGCCTCGTGAGCTGCCGCGTCCGCGACCTCCACGACTGCCACGGCCGCCACGGCCTCGACCCCTGGTTGGCGTAGGATGCGATGGCTCGGGCTCGTCGCTCTCTTCAGAACTCTCTTCTTCGGAATGGGCGAAGAGCGGTGGAAGTGGCGGAGGCTCAGTACGATTATTCTGTCTTGACTTCCGCGGGGCTTTGTGTTCCTTGAGGCTGTCGAAGAACTCCCGGGTCAGGCCGACGACCATGAAAAGCGGCTCTTCGTAGTGGGCGTAGAGGCCATCCCCAGCTTCGATGTTAGCATAGTTTGAGATGTTGGAAGCAGAGCGAGTCGTCTTCCTAGTCGGCGGGGCATTGCTGTTGTGGTTCGAGCTTGCTTTGGGTGATACAATGTCAGGCTTGTCAGCTTTGCCGGCTGACTTTGATCCTCGTCCAGAACGGGTTCGCATTGGCGGTTCCTCCTGCTGGTGAGCGTTTCGCCGCAGCGACGAACGCGCGGGTGGATTCTTGGGGCCCGCCATTTCGCCAGAGGACTATTGACGAGTGCGCAGCCGCGGTGCGAAATGGATGGGAATTGCCAATCGAGTCAAGGTCAGGACGTATATGTATAGTCCCGAGAGGCGTAGCGTGGGTCGCAAGCCTGTCAGGGTGACAGGCGTATGCAGGAGCAAATGGAGAGAACGAAAACTCGGCGACGCCGCGCAAAATGGCGCGCAAATGGTCTGAACGACTAGAACGAATGCGGCCGCAGCAGAGGATATGCAATTCAAGTAGGAGAGTGAGGGTGTTGCTGTGTGGTGATCTTTGTCTTGGGGCGCTCGTGGCTGCTTCCGCAAAACCCAGCCTGGAGGGCTTGGCGCTCCCGGCAGCCAATCAGCGGCGGGACGCTAAATGACTGGCATCTGCGGCCGCTTGCTGCAGCACAACAATAGCACGGGGCTCACTCCACAATAGCGGAGCATGCTATTGTACTCCGTATACTGACACCACGAGCTATCCGACTGCCCACATTCACTATGCCTCCCAAGACGGTCGAGGAGCAGCTCGCGGAGCTCGAGATGGAGGCGGAGGCTCCCGCCGCGCCCCCGCCAAAGAGCTCCAAAGCCGCCAAAGCTGCACGCAAGAGCTCCGAGCAGGAGATCGATGCCCTCAAGGAGCTGGAGGAGCTCGAGGCTCTGGAGAAGTTCCAGCGGCCAGAAGTGCCGCGTCCATCGAGCCGGCCGAACACGCCAAAGATGTCTTCGTCCTCCACCACGTCCAGCAACCCGCGCCGGGCAGGGATCGCGACACCCTCGTCCACCGGCTCCGCGCGAACGAGTGAAGAGAAGGCCCAGGCACCGAGGAAGTCCGGGGAGAGCGCCCGATCATTTCACCAAAGCTTCGCGCCGACCGAGGAGGAGCCCGCGAAGCCTGCGCCCGAGCCCAAGCAATCGGGAGGGTCGTGGTGGGGCGGTCTCCTCTCTACGGCGACCGCGACTGCGGATGCGGCGAGGAAGCGGGCCGAGGCTGCATACCAGGAGATCCAGAAGAACGAGGAAGCCAAGCGTTGGGCGGAGCAGGTCCGTGGGAATGTTGGCGCCTTACGTGGCATTGGTAGGCTGACCTTCCGTCGCATTCTGTATGCAGAAATCCATCTAACACTATACAGGAGGAGAACTGGGAAAGCGCGCTCTTCCTACCTTCACAAACATCCTCCACACAATTGCTCCGCCCATCTCGCAGCACGAACGGCTTCAGATTCACATCACACACGACCTCATCGGATACCCATCGTTAGACCCAATCATTTACCAGACCTTCTCCACGGTTATGGCGCAAGTTGAAGGCGGTGACCTGCTTGTCATTCAGCGCGGATCGGAATCAACACACCGTCGGGACTCGATGGACGGCTACAGAGGAGGCGGAGGCGGATGGAACGATGGCCCCTGGTGGCGCCATACCGATAAGCGAGATCTCAGCGTCGTCAAGGGCTTGGTGGAGGGCACGAAGCTTGTTAGAGTGAGCGCCGAAGCCTATGCAAACGAGTTCTTCGCAGCAAGAGGCGGCCTTGAAGAGGCGGCCAAACAAGCTACCGAGGTGCTCAGTGAGACGAACCCTGTTCGGAGCAGCGACATCTTCCTTGCCATCCAGGCCGTGAGCTACCGTGCTCCGGACGACCTCTTCTCTACCTCGCAGACCACGGAAGAGAAAGAGGGAGGCGTAGAAGAGCACAAAGAGGAGGATGAGCTTGTCGCATTTGCCGTCTACCTCCACGACCCCATTCACGGCATTAGCTACAAAGCGCTCAGCCAGGCATTCCCTGCAAAGTGGGTGGAATGGCTGGACGCTCCTGCCCCGACAGAAGCTGCGGGTGAGGAGGCACAGCTGCCAGCCGAAATACGGCAGATTATTCAGGACGGGGGAGTCGACCCGCGAGAATGGGTTGCTGATTGGATGGAAGAGACTATCAGCCTCAGCGTGGGGGTGGTCGCTCAACGATATGTTGCTCGTAGAATGGGTGTTGGTGAGGGAGGCATTGGTCGAGGAAAGGCACGTGAAGCAATCGTTGAGGCAGGCGGCGGGGAAGCCGCCCGAGCTGGTATCATTTGAGGGGTTTACAAGGTTGGCTATTCCATTTTCTATACCTGTAGCGGGCGTTCCGGAGGCATCTGCCAGCAACGGGCTGTCCTAGCATCTCTTATTCTCCTCGCGCAAGCAGGAATTTTGGGTAATGCAATCCATATCCTTTGGTGGCCGTCCATCAACCGAGCCGAATATTTCCAGCTTTCGTTTGTTCCCGCGTGGCAGTCATGAACGCCAGAAGACCCTAGAGCGTAATGGCTTCCCCATTCCCACGCAGCCGCCTCCAAACCGTTCGACTTGCGGGCGTTGATTTCTCAACCAGAGGCAAACGCTCTTGTGGGCTTCCGAGCCACCAACCGCAAGTAATTCCCTCTCAGAAACATCAGGTTGGTTTTCGAGTACGCAGACCAGAGACTGAGTATCGCAGAAGGCTTGTAAATCGCATAATTCCCACCCCTCACTTCGCCTTCCCCTCCTTATCCTTCTTCCCTCCCCGCAGCATCTCCAGGTGTCCCGCTTTCTCGGCGAGTAGCTTTTCGGTTTTCGCGGTGAGGCCGGCGGTGTGCTTCTTCTTGATCTTGTTCTGGCTGATGAGGGACGCTTTCTTGGGCTTGATGACGCGTGCGCCTCGTTTCGGTCCTGTCTGTGTAGGCCTGCGAGAGAGTGGGTTAGGAAAGAACCCCGCGGAGGGAAGGTGGGACGGTAGTGCATACTTCTTGGTGTTGGCGGGCTTGAACGCCTTCTTGACGGCGCCTTGAGCCATTGCGACTGCGAAGCCGCGGGACCGAAGAGCGCCGGGTGAATGTGGTAAGCGATGGCAGCTTCGAGACGGGCAGTGGATGAATTTCGGTCGCGGCTTCTCGAAAAGTTGGCGATGCTTGGTGTTGTCCCGCACGCACTGTACCGCTTCCAGCCTAGCGCATTGTGGAGATGCCACCCATTTAGCCATTCATCCCCGTTGCCTCCTCTCCATCAACCCGAGGACCCGTCTCCAAGCCAGCTCGAGCCGGCCTGGACATCACCTGCTCAGCCCAAGACGCTCAATCTCGCCGCAATGAAGGCCTACGCCACATCACGCTTCGCCGGAAGAATTCGCTCGCCGGCCGATGCTTCCGATGGTGGAATCCGTATGTGCATTTGGCGCTGTCGTGTTCATCTATCGCGCAGGTACGGTATATGAAGCCGATGGTCCCTTGCATGCCTGCCGCTCCGCGGCCAAGCATCTAGACAGCCCCAGATGGGGAAGACTTCTCGAAGTCATGCGGAATCCGCTCATTTAGCCATACACAATATCCGGGATCGCCATATCGGACCGTGGGCGCGTGCTTGGCGAGGTAGAACTTCCTGGGATTCTGGGGCTGCTGGGTGTAAGGTGCTAGAATTGGATGCGGGCTAGCATATTAAGGGGATAGGGTGCTGGCTCTTGGGGACGTTCATATATTGCGGCGAAGGGCCCGAGGTTGGAGTGGAATTGTTGTGGTAGGCGTGCTTCGACTTTTTGGAAAGGAGCCGTCGTCATGGAGCTGGTTTCGCACGCTCTGTTGAGCTTCCTCTCGTTGTCTGTGTGCTTTACCGCTGTCAGTTCTAAGGCCCTGTCTCAGGATCGCAAACCTACGGTGGACTTCAAGCCGGGGAATGGAAGCTACCTCCTCGCCACGTGCGGCTCGCCCGTCAATCTTATCCTCGATGCCGCCGATTGGCCTGGTGTTTTGCGCGCGGCGCATGATGTCGCGGTTGACTTTGGACGGGTTACAGGCGCCAACGGCACGTTGACTGCCATTGGGAAGAGCACGGCGAATGCTTCTGCCATCTTCAATGTCACGGGAATCGGTGAAGACTGGAGCGTTGGCAAGGCGGGTAATCGGACTACTCCTGGCGCTGGAAAGGGCAAAGGCACGATCATTGCCGGCACAATCGGCAACTCGAGCTTGATCGATGCGCTGGTTAAGAGTGGCAAGCTCGATGTGAGCAAGATCAAGGGCGAGTGGGAGGCGTATGTCAGCGCCGTTGTGAAGAATCCGACGAACGGGACAGACGAGGCATTGATCATTGCTGGTAAGTTTATAAGGACTCGGAAACAAGACGAGCAGAAAATTAACATTTCGTAGGAAGCGACAAGCGTGGCACAATCTACGGCCTCTACGATGTCTCCGAGCAAATTGGCGTTTCCCCATGGTACTGGTTCGCAGACGTCGTACCCAAGTCCCGCACCAACATCTACGCCCTCCGAACGACCAAAGTCCAGAAAACCCCTAGCGTCAGGTACCGAGGCTTCTTCATCAACGATGAAGCGCCAGCCCTGACCGGCTGGGCAAACGCCAAGTATCCCAAGTCTGCATACGGTTGTCCGTTCGGCGCGGAGTTCTACTCCCACGTTTTCGAGCTGCTGCTCAGAAGCAGAGCGAACTACCTCTGGCCTGCGATGTGGAACGGCATGTTCAATGTGGACGATCCGCGCAATCAGCCCCTCGCAGATGAATACGGTATCGTCATGGGCACCTCGCACACGGAGCCTATGGTCCGCGCGACTCAGGAGTGGAACAAGGTGGCCAAGGGCACGGATTCTGGCTGGCAATGGGCCACCAACAATGCCACGCTGTACGATTACTTCATGGAAGGTGCGGTGCGCGCTAAGCCATACGAGAACGTCGTGACAATCGGTATGCGCGGATACCACGACACTGCTATGTCTCAGGATGTGCAGACCAGCGTTCTGGAAGCTGTTGTTGCTGCGCAGCGCGATATCATGGATAAGGTGTGGGGCGATGCTTCGAGCGTGCCTCAGATGTGGTGCTTGTACAAGGAGGTACAGGCTTACTATGAGGCGGGCATGAGGGTGCCAGATGACGTTATCCTGCTATGGACCGAAGATAACTGGCAGAACATTCGCAGGCTACCTGTTGGCGACGAAAAGAACAGATCTGGCGGAGCTGGTGTGTACTATGTGAGTCTTATTCCGCAACCCTCCCTATGCTGTGGCTAATGAGATGTGGAGCACTTTGACTACGTCGGGGACTCGCGAAACTACAAATGGATCAACACAATCCAACTCCAAAAGACCTACGAGCAAATGTTCCTCGCGCACGCCCGCGACGCGAACAAACTGTGGATCGTCAACGTCGGCGACATCAAGCCCTATGAGATCCCCATCAGCCACTGGTTCGACATCGCCTACGACATGGACGCCTACGACGAGACTAGCGTGCCCCAGTGGCTCGAGGGCTGGGCCGCCCGCAACTTCGACGAGCGCCATGCGAAGACTATCTCCACCATCATGGACAAGTACGGCTTCTTGTCGAATATGCGCAAGTTTGAGTGGGTTGAGCCGGGGAGCTATAGCGTGATTAACTACGAGGAGGCGGATAAGTTGTTGGCACAATGGGCGGAGATTGCGGACATGGCGCAGGAGGTGTATGACGAGCTGCCGCAGGCGCAGAAGGGCGCGTTCTACGAGATGGTTCTGCATCCGGTGCTTGCAGGCGGTAACTTCGTCGATGTCCAGGTTGCGGGCGCGCGGAACCAGATCTACTCCGGCATGGGACGCAATAGCGCGAATGATTGGATGGATAGGGTGATTGATGGCATGGGGACAGACCATGAGTTGACGCAGAAGTATCACAAGCTCTTCAACGGGAAGTGGAACCATATGATGGACCAAACCCATCTCGGATACCAAGGATATTGGTAAGTTTCCCCTTCTTCACTCAAATCCTCAAAAGAGGAATGCTGACTAGGAATCAAGGCAACAGCCCATGCGCCAATCCACCCCCTTCCTCCGCTGGGTACAAACATCCGAACGCTCTCTCTCCGGCGACATGGGCGTCGCCGTCGAAGGATCCAACGCCACCATCCCCGGCGACGACCAATGGCACGGCAACGGCGGCGGCTCTCTCGACCTCCCCGCCATGACGCCGTACACGCCCAAGCGCTGGATCGACATCTTCAGCATGGGCACGCAGCCCTTCTCCTGGAACATCAGCGCGGAGCCCTTCATCAAGCTCTCGCAATCCGGCGGCCGCATCGCGCCCTCCGATGCCGACGTGCGCGTCTACATCGACGTCGACTGGGCCAAAGTCCCCGCCGGCTTCGGCAAGAAAACCGTGCTCAACATCTCCTCCTCCACCGACTACGGCACCCAGTTCAGCATGCCCACCGTGAACCTGCAGCTCAACAAAACCAGCCTCCCCAGCAGCTTCAGCGCCGGCTTCGTCGAGTCCGCCGGCGCGCTCGCCTTCGAAGCAGAGCACTACACGCGCCTGACCACCCATGGAAACCTCTCCTACACCCTCCTCCCGCACTACGGTCGCACGCTCTCCGCGCTAAAACTCTCCTCCCCGCTCGCCGAATCCCTCAGCCCCGCCACCGCGCCCGCGCTAGAATACGACTTCTACACCTTCACGCCCACGACGAAAGCCAAGGGCCTCAACCTCACGCTCGTCCTCAGCCCTAGCCTGAACGTCAACCCCAAGCAGCCGCTCGCCTACGTCGCGCAGCTCGACGAGCTGCCCCCGCAGCGCCGCCAGTACGTCGTCGACCAGCCGCAGCCGGACTTCCCGGTCGGCTGGGGCACGGCGGTCGCGCAGAACGCGTGGCTGAATACGACGAATTGGGGGGCCGTGGAGCCCGGGATGCATACGCTGAAGCTGTGGCTGGTCGAGGCGAATGTGCTGCTGCAGAGGGTAGTGGTCGATTTGGGCGGCGTGGTGTATAGTCATAATGGGCCGCCGGAGAGTTATAGGGTAGGTGGGGGCGGGGCGGGGAATGGGACGGCGAGGTGGTGAGCGAGAGATAGAGGGGGAATAAGACCTCGCTTCAAATGGGGGGGTTGGTGTTATCCTATGTAATGCGAGCTGGACTGGAATGTATTATACATACACAGCCCCTGCAGGGAAAACTGAGCCTTTTCGGATAATGTAAGCAGACTACCAAATTACCTTCCGCCCACACAAATACCTACACAATAAGGGCTTTTCGTAGTTTCTAGGTTAGAACTAGATAGAACTAGACTTTAAAGCTGTACAAAAAGTAGTGTTAAGGTGATTAGCCTTAAGAGCTCCACACAAACATTATCTGAAAAGGCTCAGTTTTCCCTGCAGGGGCTGTGATATGCTTTGATGAATGAGTAATGTATTACGTATGCAAGCTTCTTCACGTGCGTTGAGATGCGCATGCTGAACTTTGTCAGATTTGCCACGTGTCAATAAAAGAGCGGAAATACAAATTCTATCGCAATAATACAGACGCATTTGCCATGAGATGATGCCGCTGAAATAAACGAAAGCTCCTCCGAAAATGCAAGGCAAGGCAAGGCATCCACCAGGGAGCCAGCCGTCTAGATAAAACACGCAACCGGAAAAAAACGCCGACTTATACCGCCCAATGTCCGAAAACTTTCCAGCCTACGCAATCCACGCCTTCAATGCGCACCCACGAAAGTACCACTCCATCGCCGTCTCTTACGACAAACCGCCGCCGCTCCCAGCGCCGGGCTCCCCCGCGCCACTGCCCGGCGTCCTGCCCGCCTTCTTCCTCATGCTCTTGCTGCGGTGCGAGTAGTAATTGGGAGGTTCTGCCATTTCCGCCTTGTCTTGTTTGGACTGCGAGGGTTGGAGCTTGCCGGCCTGGTGCGACGAAGAGGGGGAGAGTTTGCTGGCTTTGGAGCCCATTTGGTGCGCGGGTTGGGGGGTTGTTGAGCGGGCGGGTGAGCGCGAGGCGGGGCGCTTGGGGTGCGGGAAGATGATGATTCTGAGAATTGGAAGTCAGTGACGGATGTCTCGATGTTGCGATTGTTGGTGCCTTGGGTGAGCTCTCAGGCGTGCAGCGGGAAATGTCACGCGAGCGAGCGGCAGACTTACGGCGGGGCGGGATCAGGCTCAGGTGGTTCAGGATCGGGATCCGGGTCTGGTACTCTGTGCGGTTTCTTTCGCAGACTGTATCGTGGGCGTGGGCTGCGGGCGCGGCTTAGAGGGATGGTGGAGTTGTAGCTGAAGAGATGGAGGTGTGTACGTACGGCGGTGACGTAGGTGGGTGTGGCGCGGATGCAGGGTCCAGCCCCGGTTCCTGGGTCGTGCGCCGCGATCTGTTTTTGGACAAAATGATGATCCTAGCGCGCCGTTAGCTGTGATTGGCCAGGGCGCATGCGAGACAAGAAGTATTGGACGGGTTATTGGAATTGCTGGGTACGGGGTAGGCAGGACCTACGGAGGTGCTGCTGGCGGCTCCGGATCCGGGTCCGGTTCTGGGTCGTTGTCCCTGGGATTGAAGGATGCTGGCTGCTTGTTCTTCTCGGTAGCGCGACGAGACATGAGGAACTGCAATCAGTGATAACGCCACAAGGAATAGGGATCGGAAGAGGTCGAACTAGAATAAGAAGTACGTCTAGAATACCAATGGCGTCTGGAGGCTTGCGAAAAGAGGAAGTAAACGTGCCCGATGCTCTGGCTCTGGGACCGGATGAGGCCCGAAGAGCCTCCCTACCTTATATACAGACCTTCGTTCGCACTTTTCAGACTGCTTCAGCTTGGCAGTGCGCTGAAGTAGCAGCATGGTGCCACGCAATTCGCAAGATTACTACCCCTCGCAGTATACACTCTTCAGGTCGATGGCCTCGTGATGGCGTCCTCCCATCATCCCATGGCTTTGACGGGTAGTTCTGCTACGAGCCACGAGCCCAGAACGTGCACTTGCTAAAATTGGATAACGTGACTGGGAGCGAGAGGCCGTTTCTGAAGCCTGATTGAACGCGGGTCAACGAGAAGGATTGACTAAGCGAGGCTCAAGTGAAGCACCTCGTACATGCGCCGTTATTACCGTATGGGGCACCGAGATGCGAAGCGCAGACGTCGGACTACTCGGGGTTTTGTAAGGCATACAACGGCCGGTGTGCTGTTTGGAGGTCCTGATTGCCTGCGGGTGGCTGTGCGGCGCCCACTCATGGCGCGTGAGGGCTGGGGTGGGATGGCGCGGAAGCGGAGGAATAATAAGGCCCCTCGCGCGAGGAAAGTATCCGTGGCCACTTAGGCGGCCCCGGCGGGCGTTCGCTCGTGGCAGATGCATGCAGGGCCGGGCGAGCAAGTGGTAGGGCTGAAGGGGCGGATGTTGTGAGATCAGATGGCCGGGGGACGAATCTGGTGATTGACGCGGCCCCGCTTTGTGGCTCCGCGGACGAACCGGCGTGCCTGCCAAGAGTGCGCGATGGCTGCTGCCTTCCGCGGAGGTGCCACCACGCATCCTCCCATACTGCGAAATGCCGACCCCTCTTGCTAGACACCGCTTCCTCCCTCGCTTCCGGGCAGTAGGACTCACAATCTGTCCGGCATGGGAAGCATTGGCCTCAACCGCCCTCCCACGCCGCCGCGCCGAATCGATTCAGCTGTCGTTGCGAGTCCGATGGCTGACCGGGCCCAACAGCATACGTATCCTCCTCCTCCACGCCAAACACTCCTCGTCTTCAGCTCTTGCAAATCTTATGCTTACGGCCTCGCGGTCATCACAAGCACCATCGCACGGGTTCGATGCTGCGAAGCGAGGCGAGGCCACAAATCCGCACCGGTCCGCCCCTCCTCCGACACGGCGACATTTGAGACCCGAGACTTGAGATACGGAATGTTCTGCGACTGGGGCGGAATGCCGGCCTAGCACAGGTTCTAGGCTCTGACAGTGAGAGACTAAGTGTTTGGCATAGATTGCGCCTTGCGAGAGGAACCCTCCGCTTTTACGTGCCATTCGTCCCCTGGCACTTGCCACTCAGACCGCCCAGAGCCCCCAGATGGCCTTAAGAAAGAGATGACAGAACGCGTATGGACTTCGGCGTGGGATGAGGGCGAAGCCGGTCCGGGCTATGTGCGTTGGATATCCCCATCAGTCCCTTGTGCAACGTCCTGTCCAGGGACACCCCACTGTTACTCAATGCGCAACACCACCATATTAGGGCGCACCAGAATTGCCTGCCTCAGGCAACCCTCGGATATTGAACAGTCAAACATCTCGGTGTCTGGGCTCTGATCCTCACCGGCCCGTTGCAGAACGCTACGACGGCGAAACCGCCCCTGCATGAATTCCACCTCGACTCCGGCATGCAATGCCTACTTCTACCACAAACTTTTTTATATCTGTCAGAACTTTCTTGCAACTACGCGTTGGGGTAGTAGCCGTAGTCGATCCTTCGGTACATGGGACGCCTGGATCCATGTGATCGGCATCGCCGACAGTTTCTCCACAGCCCTACCCGTGAAAAGGCAGTGGATCACGAGTAAGTTCCATGGGACGACTATTTCGCATTGTTGCGCCATGTTGCGCCATGGTCGGATCGCCTACTCATTTGAGACAATGTCAAGGAAAAAGCTAAGAGTGATTGGCTACTTAATTGTGGCAAGGCTGACCCTTCTACTTGGCTGCATCCCGCGCGCCGAAAGCGCCGATATCGAACTCTCAGGTCAACCCTCCGAAACTACCGCTGCTGTTGGAGCGAACAACGTGACTTGCCTCGAGCTAATACTTGTTGCCCGACGCGCTAGAACACGTTCTCTCTCTCTCCTCGCAATACGACGTAGACGGACATCGCAGCTTCATAGTGTTCCCTCTACACAGGATTCCACGCCGACGAACAGTAGTACCATTAGATAGGCGACCTCGGCATCAAGGCCCCGACCACCAACATCCATTCGCTCCGCGAGGTCCGCGAGGAGGATCTCAGTCTTGCGCGCCCACCTCCTGGAGGTCCCAACGTCCAATTCTCACCACGGCGACTAGCCGGGGTTCCCCGGGCCGGTTCGCAAGGGTGTCGTGGGAAGCAGGCACTTGCGCTACATCTTGCGGTAGGAAATTCTTCGGATTTTAGCCTTCACCGTGCAAATAAGATTGTTCATAGCTGATTATACGTGCCATTCTACGTGCCTATGAAGGAGTACACCTCGCGGGTCAGAACACGACTGTACTAAACGGCATGGAACAGGTTGTGGCGCACATCTGATGTGGCTGAGGGGGGCTTGACATCCTCGCGAATCGACTTGGCGATCTACCTACCGCAGCGTCATAGATCGGACAGGGACGGGATCGTCGCGATGCATCGTGAAGGCGCGATTGGAGCTAAGCTCGGCGTCGCGGCTTCTCCTTTTCTCCTTTCCCTACTGTAGACAGTCTGCTTTCGCTGCATGCACAGAGAACTCTCCCTCCACAATGCCGCCAAAACGCAAAGCAAAGGCGGCCAACGCAACCGCATACACCGACCCAGCAGGCACCGCGCCAAACAAGCGCTCCAAAGCGTCGAAGCCAGCAGCCGCAAACGGCCAATCTCCTGCCAATGGAGAAACAGGACGCGGCGATACAGAACACCAAGACGAAGAACACCCAGATGCAGAAAAAGAAGCACCGCACTTCGACCACTCGCGCCCGGAAGAACGCACCGGCATCGTAGACCGTCGCTTCTACCCCGCGGAAATGAGCAATGAGCGCTGCGCGCTGTACAACGCCGACGCGATCCCGCGGCCGATCGAGCTGCTCAACCGCGCCCTCGACGCGACGAGAGCGCAAAGAGAGCGGGTGAGGAACGCAGAGCCGGGCGCGGCGGTGGTGCATTGGTTCAAGCGGGATTTACGCATCAGGGATAACACGGGGTTGAGCAGGGCGGCGCAGCTGGCGAGGGAGAAGGGCGTCGGTGTCATTGGGGTGTGGATTCTCAGCCCGCGCGATTGGGAGGCGCATTTGGTTAGTCCTGCGAAATGTGATTTTGAAATTAGGACTGTGGGGGTGCTGGGGAGGGAGCTGGCGGAGTTGGATGTACCGCTGTTTGTGGAGTGCGTTGGGGAGCGCGGGGATGTGGAGAGGAGGTTGGTGGAGGTGTGTGAGGAGTGGGGTGTGAAGAATGTGTTTTGCAATCTGGAGTACGAACCTGATGAGTTGAGGAGGGAGACGCAGCTGGTGAAGTTGTGCGCGGAGAAAGGCATTAATTTCGAGCCGCAGCACGACGATTGCGTTGTCCCGCCGGGCAGTCTGAGGACGGGCGGTGGACGGCAGTATGCGGTGTATACCCCGTGGTATCGGAGCTGGGTGGCTCACCTACACGCGCACCCGCATCTGCTCGATGAGAGGCCGCTGCCTGGGAGGAATCCGCCGGGCTTCAGAGACAGGTTCAAGCACCTGTTTGACATGCCGGTCCCCCCAGCTCCCGCGTCTAAAGGCCTCTCCACCGAGGAAAAGGAGCGCTTCGCACGCCTCTGGCCGGCGGGTGAAGGCGCGGCTCTCGACCGCTTGCAGCTGTTTCTGACGGAGAAGATCGGCCGGTATCAGGCAACGCGCAATTTCCCCTCGGCGAACAGCACCGCGTGCGTGAGTGTGCATCATGCCGCGGGTACGTTGGCGGCGCGTACGAGCGTGAGGATGGCAAGGGATGTGAATAGTACGAAGAAGCTGGATGGCGGCATTGAGGGGATACGCGGCTGGATTAGCGAGGTTGCTTGGAGGGACTTTTACAGGCATGTCCTTGTGCATTGGCCGTATGTCTGGTACGTTACCTTTCCTCTTCCCCCTTACCATGAGACTCTCATTCTGATTTGGCGGGCTAGCATGAACAAACCCTTCAAATTCGAATACACAAACATCGAATGGGAGTACAGCGACGCGCACTTCCGAGCCTGGACCGAGGGAAAAACCGGCTACCCCATCGTCGACGCGGCGATGCGATGCCTGAACCACACGGCCTACATGCACAACCGCCTCCGCATGGTCACCGCGTCCTTTCTCGCTAAACATCTTCTGCTCGACTGGCGCTGTGGTGAGCAGTACTTCATCAGCCATCTTATCGACGGCGATTTCGCGAGTAATAATGGCGGCTGGGGGTTTGCGAGCTCGACGGGCGTGGATCCGCAGCCGTATTTTCGCGTGTTTAATCCGTGGTGTACGTATTCTATGCTTCTACTCTGATGTGTTTTGCTGGAGTACTGACGAGAAGTGTGTAGTGCAGAGCGAGAAGTTCGATGCTGATGGGGAGTTTATCAGGAAGTGGGTGCCTGAGCTGCAGGGCGTGGAGGGTATGGCTATTCATAACCCGTACGAGCATGGGGGGAAGGCGGCCGAGGTTGCGAGGAGGAATGGCTATCCGAAGCCGATTGTGGAGCATAAGTTCGCGAGGGAGAGGTGTTTGATGAGGTATAAGGCGGGCATTGGGAGGGATACTGCATGAATACTTCTCTACTGTTGGAACTTGTGGACCGACCTCTTTGGGACGTGGTTGTAAGGGAGCTTGGAGTTTTGCGGATCTTGGAGTATCTGCTTTGGCATAATCTTACTTATCGGGCCTTCAATGGATGACAGCCTGTATTGCATTCGACGGGTGATGGATAGACGGTGACAGAGCACGTTTGGTGTCGGGTTTTTCTCCGAGGGGCAGGGTGGCTTGCGCGGCCGAATGCAGGGCGAGAATTGGGATCGGGTGCGGTCGGGCAGCATGTGAGAGTGCGACGGCAACTAGGATTAAGGATTAGGGTTAGTAGGACGTTGTTGTTAGAGCTCAAGCTAGAGCTGGGGTTGGTGTTGGTGTTGGAGGTGGCTGGTGGTTGATGCGCACGGTTGGGGAACACCTGTGGGCGCGTGGCGGCTTCCCCGCGGCCGGCAACTGTCCGAAACGACCCGAGCACGCGAGCAAACCTCAACACCTCCCATCGCTTCGATGCTTATTTCGCGCATTGCTACCATCCAACATGCCCTCTTCGCAAAGCACTAGCTACTCCAGATAACGGCCGTTGTCTAGCCTGGTTGTCCACGGCGGCTGTCAGGCACCAACGCTCCCATTAGCATTCGTGCAATGATCCAGGGAAGAGACAAATTTCCAGCAGCACTCCAATACCATCTTTCGGCGGTTGCAACGGGACAACGCTTTCCGCCCAGAACCTCGTGGTCTCTAATCCGCTGGCTCTACCGCTTAGATACATGGCCGGCGCGAACACCGTGCTACACGTTCCACCCGCAAACATGGACGACGCGACGGCGGTCGAAAGAAGCCCGAGCAAGACGCTCGGCTGACGCTATCGTCAGCCCGCCTGCACGCCTCTGTCCTTGGCTGTCGTACGCGCCGTTTTTCCTCTCTCGGCGCACAAGGAATGGCTGAAGCTTCTGCAAATACGGTGAGCTTCAGCTCAACCGAGAATGCTTGCCGGCGGGGTGGACTGCCAAGCTGTCGGCCAAGCGGACGGCAGGCGTGCCTCGGCGGGAGCTTTTCCTGGTTCAAGTCCTGCTGAGGTGTTACACCGAAGGCTTCTTCTACGCCATCCGGGACGCAAGAAATGGCTGTGTACCGTTGCTTCCAGGACGCGCTGACGATGGTTGGCGTCCCCGCACCGATATTCCTCGCGTACGACACAAACAGCGGAGAAAGTCGGATCCCCGTGGGGTCATGGGCCTGGACGTGCACCCTCCCGCGAATGTACCTCCTACTGGACGCGACATGATCGTCGTCGATGGAGTTGTTTCTGCTTCCGTTTCCTCGCCCGTACGTTGGGTGCGCCCGGTCCGCCGAAGTGCTTAGTTGCCTTGGCTGCCTGAGCGTGGGCTCACTGAGCATGCGTCTTGCTCTTGACCTGCTACTCTGGGCCACTTGGCATCCCTTGGCTCGTCACACCCTCCGAGATGCGGTACAATCATCCTGCGAGCCCAACGAGCGACAGGCGTGTTCCCATGGCGGGAACCCCGCCGAAGCTTGCCCCGCTGGCTATATATGTGAGCAACTGGTCCCCGCTTGAAAATCCGCATGCTGGATCCTGCTGGGACCTTTGGTTATCGAGCAGTCACCACTTGTAACAGTCTTTCTTTCCAATTTCCAACTCGTCATGGCTACCGGCTATGACCCTGCGGACCCTCTGGCTAAGGGCACCTTCGCCACAGCCAAGCAAGGCTGGAAAGACCTCTTCATCTGGAAGCAGCGAGTTGTCGTCACAAACGACTTCGGCGAAGAGCACACGGAATGGCAAGCACCTGCTCCATTGAAGAACCCTATCAGCCTCTTCGCGCAGCTTAATGCCAAGGACTGGACATACTTTCTGGTTGGCTTCAGCGCATGGGCCGCAGATGCTTTCGACTTCCATGCCCTCTCAATCCAGACAACCAAACTCGCCAAGTACTATCATCGGACCAACACAGACATTACCACCGCCATCACTCTTACCCTGCTTCTTCGCTCCGTCGGTGCCGCCATCTTTGGCCTTGCTGGAGACAAGTTCGGCCGAAAATGGCCGATGGTGATGAACATGATCGTCCTGGGTCTCTTACAGATCGCGACCATCTACTCGGCGACCTTCCAGCAGTTTCTTGCAGTCCGAAGCCTGTTTGGATTGTTCATGGGTGGAGTGTACGGTAACGCTATTGCGATGGCCTTGGAGAATTGCCCGTAAGCTTATCCTAATCTATGCGGTTACCAAGCTAACATCCGTCGTAGTGTGAACGCGAGAGGCTTGATGAGCGGCATCCTCCAGCAGGGCTATTCCTTCGGCTATGTACTTGCGGCTTGCGTGAACCTCGGAGTCGGTGGCTCAACGAATTCTTGGAAAACAGTCTTCTGGGTCGGCGCTGGACTCTCCATCGGCATTGGGTTTGTTCGTGCCTGCTTCCCTGAGTCCAAGCAGTTCATCGAGGCCAGGAAGGCTGGCAAGCGAGCAAAGGCCCCCGACGTCTTCTGGCAGGAGACCAAGAAGATGCTGCGCCAGGAATGGAGAATGTGCATTTACTGCATCATCTTGATGACATGGGTGAGTCTGCCGGGCCAGGGTGTCTGATATCAAACGGTCACGGAGCTGACTCTCTCCAGTTCAATTACTATTCGCATACTAGTCAGGACAGCTACACGACCTTCATGCTTACGCAGAAGGCGCTTCCCTCCGCCGGAGCTACTCGCGCCTCCATCCTCATGAAGACGGGCGCGTGCGTTGGCGGAACCATTATCGGATACCTCTCTCAGTGGTTTGGTCGACGCCGGACTATCATTTGCGCCGCGATCATCTCCGCCTGCCTTATCCCTGCTTGGATTCTTCCCACAACTGAGGGTGGCCTCTCAGCATCTGGGTTTATGATCCAATTTTTCGTCCAAGGTGCCTGGGGAGTCATCCCGATCCACCTGAACGAGCTGTCTCCTCCGGCTTTCCGATCTAGTTTCCCTGGTGTTACATACCAGCTGGGGAACATGATCTCATCGCCTTCCGCTCAAATCGTCAACGCCATCGCCGAGAGCCACTCCGTGAAGTCGAGCAACGGAAAGCCGGCTTCGGCTTATGGACCAGTTATGGGGGTAGCGACAGCCATCATTGCTCTCGGCATTGCGGTTACCACAGCTTTGGGTCCCGAGAAGAGGGGCCGTCATTTCGAGACTGTCGGTCCGCCAGTTGCTGAGGTGGTTGCGAAGGACATCGAGGAGGGTCGCGTTAGTTACGAGAAAGCGGAAACTAGGGCTACCGAAACTGTGGATGAAGAGACGGGGTCCACAGACAGAGACACTGAGAAGAAGTGATCTGCAGAGGCAGGTGGATGACAAGGCCGATAGTCGCAGTGGGCGAAGGCGGCCCGTCTGAGGAGAATACTGCCGGATAGTGCCATCACTCTACACTCGACATATACCGCCATGTAGGACTAAATAATACCACACTCGTTTCACCTTCAAAACCCCGGGGAGCTGATATGACCCTCAAGTCCTCGCTTCGGATCACTCATGCTGGCAGCCCTCGTTTCTGGGCGTGGCGCTGACTCGTTGTCGAGTAGTTTACTAACGCAACTAGTCACTAGCTCAGCCTCTCAGTAGGATACGCGACCACCCCGCCTTCGGCCGTTTTTCTACAGCCGACATCCCTCATTCTCGTTCCAGGACTCTGGAACCCTCCCGGGCGCCGTCAGCAACGCCTACTCGATTCTTACGTTCTGCCTTTTCGACTAATCCGAAGTGTCCTCGCTACTGCTGAGATGGCTATGCAGGATAGTACTGCGGGTGTAACAGGCGGGGCAGGAGATGCGACTTCGACCCAGAACACGCAGTATGATCAGATCGGCACACGCTACAATTCCATGCATGACCTGCCTGCTGTGCAACCCGAGCGACCATCTGTTGTTGCTGCCTTAGGGGACATCAAAGGGAAACGATGCCTTGGTGCGTTGTCTTGAGTCTCTCGTTGGATCGGGCCATCCCCACTCTCTAGACCAGATGCACGTGATAACTGAATACTCCAAATTCCACACCTCCCTTCCAAGACTGATGTTCAGCTTAAGAATCCGGTAACACTATGCTAACCGACTCCTCCTGCACACAGACCTCGCCTGCGGCACAGGCCGCTACACCGCCCTCCTCGCCTCCCTCGGCGCCTCCTCCGTCCACGGCTACGACATCTCCGCCGCCATGATCGCCGGCGCGCTCGCCACCTACCCGCCTTCCGCCCACCCCACCCTCCACTTCTCCGTCGCAGACTGCAGCAAGCCCGAAAACATCCCCGCCTCGCCCCCCTTCGACGTCATCTTCGCCGGCTGGTTCCTCAACTACGCTGGCACCGAGGCCGAGCTCGTTAGCATGTTCAAAGCCATCGCGCAGAACCTCGCCCCCGGCGGGCGGTTCATCGGCATCACGACGAATGTGCACGACGAGCGGATGAAGGAGCCGAAGATGGCGTTTTATGGCCTCGATGTGCTGGTTTTGGAGGAGCGGTATGTGGCGCCGGATACGGGGAGGGAGGTCGGGATTAGGGCGCGTGTGGTCGCGCATACGCAGCCTGTGGTGCAGTTTGATGTTTTTCAGTTTAGGAAAGAGGTTTATGAGAGGTGTGCGGCAGAGGCGGGGTTGAGGTTGGGCTGGAGGGATGCGGTGGTGCCGGACGAGAGGAAGGAGGGGGGCTATTGGGAGAGGTGGCTAGAGAGGCCGACGTTTGTTATTGTTGAGGCTATCAGGGCGTAGGGAGGGGGTTTGCGTCGGGGTTGGGGCGAGGGGGCGGTTGGATGGTAGATGGTGGGTGGTGGGTAGGTGATATGGTTAAGACGTTTGCAATCTGAGTTCTCGTTCCTCTCTCACATCCTGTCCTATTCGAGATTACGGGATTTCGACTTCTCTATGCTTCTACGGTTTCCGATTCCACGGGTCGGCCCTGGCTGAATACAGATATAAAGGAGGAACGCATAGGAAACGCTATGACCTGCATTTCGAGCACTTCCTGCTGACCTACCAATTCCTGTATTGTACCAGGACGAGGTGAAGCCTTCACTGTCGGCGGACCTACCCCGGCACTGCCCTGTGCGCGTTCTCAACGCCCTATGTATATAAACCTCTCCCGACCCCACTTCTGCATTTTGATATCAACACACGCCTCGACCGCAAGCTCAACCGGCCCCTCGCCTTCCCGCCCAACCACCACAATGCCCCCGCTATGGGACCCGCTCGTCGTCCTCAACATCGCCGCCGACAACAAGTGCCTGGGCCACCTCATACGCGACCCCGCTTCCACCTGCAAGAAGCTGCTGTCTGCCCACAACACGGCGGAGAAGCACCGCTACCTCGATCTCCTGGCGCATTGTAGCCCGCAGAATGTCACCGTTGAGCACTTCTGGTTGCTGCTTGGGGTTGGGTTGTGCAAGACTCATGCGCGTCAGGCGGAGGAGATTGCTCGCGGGTATATGCAGGTGGTGGAGGGTGTGCTGGCGGCACGACCAACGGGAGTAGGAGTTCAGGAGACTGGTGCTCAGGTGGGAGGTGGTGACAAAGATGACGGAGAAGCAGCTGAGTCCTCCACCGAGCCGCCGCCGCCTACCCAAGGTACGCAGCTTGCTGGGGAACTCGACGCAATGGACATCGACTCCCCGCCGTCCTCTCAGCCAGAGCCTGAGCCCGAGCCCGAGCTCACCCCTGCCCAGCAGATCATCCGCGAGCTGCGGCGCCTCGACCATGTCATGGAGCTCCCACATGACCCTTATGAACACCTGTGGCGCAACCCAGCGCCCGCCAACCAGCAAAATCAAGACGCTGGCCAGATTATGGACGGCAATCCCTCCAACGCCCTGTCCGAGACTGACAGCGTTGGACCCTTTGCAGTACCCTCCTCGCCCATTCCGTTCTCAGCGGGTGAATTGAGCCCTCGACCCCCACCTTCCCCTTCGTCATCTGGCGACACAACCATGGAAGCCCGTCTGCGCCCGCGTCCATCACCACCTCAACGCCGCGCCCCTGTACCCCAACCCGCAGGATCCCCACCGCCTGCACCAGCCAGCACTCGCGCGGCTCGTTCCCGCCGTAGTATCCTCGCGGGACTCCCACCACGCCCACGTAACTTGCCTAGCGTCTTTGACCAGCCAGGTGGCTCGCGGAACCTGCGCAAGCGCCTCTTCCGTGGTCCGTCGGTTGAGGTGTCTATTGAGGATATGTATGCCCATATGCGGGCTACTGAGGCGCACGCGCAGCGCGTTCAACAGGAGACTCGGGAACGCATTGCGGCGGCTCGGGAGGCGGAGATGCGAGCTGCGGAGCAGATTCGCACCGTGCGAGAGCGATTTCGTACCGCCGAGGAGCGAGCGCGCGTCGCAGAAGAGCAGGCTCGCATCACAGAAGAGCAGGCTCGTATCGCGGAAGGGCAAGCTCGCATCGCGGCGGAGCATGTCCGAATGGCGGCAGAGCGAGCTCATTATGCTGGACAGGAAGCCAGCGCCGCTGAAGAGCAAGCCCGCAATGCCGAAGCAGAAGCTCGTGCCGCCCAACTGCAGGCCGATGAGCAAGATCGCAAGGCGAAAGAAGAAGCCCGCAAAGCCGTGGACCGATTGCGCCGCAAGCTCCGAAAACCCGCATACCAGACACAGCTCCAGCAGCGCTGCGAAACCCACGTTCCCCGCCGCCCCTTCACCGAGGAGTGCACCGTTTGCCAAGAACCCATGGACGGCAGTGACCCTGGAAACCTGTGGTGGTGCATGGCAGGTTGCGGCAATAGTTTCCATACTGCTTGCATCAGCGAGTGGCTGAAGGAGCACCCGACTTGTGGTCTTTGCCGCCATCCTTGGAGCCACGAGCTGTGTGCTTGCCATCCGCTCCTTGCTCGGTTCAAGTAAACACTAGGAGGGATCCACAGACTACCTGACTGAGGTAAGATCGGATTCCTGTTTCACTGTATCGCAGTTTTATTCTAATTTTGTTCAAGTAACCAGCCTTTGAAGAGGTTACTCTCCTTTCGCCCCTTCCCTCGTCCACAACGCCCCCGGGACATCCACGTACCATTGCTTCGGAGGATTGACGCATGCAATATTACAATCCACTTTCACAAATTGGCTTTATGATTCTCGACTGCGGTGTAATTGAATTGGGTGACAGTGCGACGAATTTGAAGGAGGTGTGACATAACGGTTGAGGGTGCCTCCACTTCTTGTTCTATAATTTTCAGACAGCACTACTAGCCACACATCTGCTTCAATCCAGACTGTTACCTGTTACGAGAATATACCACCACATTCCCATGTCCGCCAGACCAAGTCCCGCATCCTTCCCCATTGTTCACCGCGTCCAATTACAATGTTCCACAATGTATCCAATTCACCTCCTACCTTCTATATCAACTCCCCTTCCCTTAACACACCCCGCCATCAATCCCAAGCCCCCCTTCCTATACCGTCCCATCCCACAAAAATGGTAGCCCACTCCCAGCGCCCCACCACCATCAGCTCCAAGCCCAGAAAAATCACCAAGCCCAAGCCCAAGACCTCCAAGCCCAAGCCCCTCAAGTCCAAGTCCACGCCCAACCTCACAGACTCCTCCTCCGCCCACCTCACCCGCCTCTTCCCCCCTCCCACCCTTACCTCCCCCGGCGCCATCACAGACGCCGGCTTCGGCGTCGGCAAAGCCGCCGGAGAAACCGAGCCCTTCCCGCCTTTCGTAGACGAGCGGATGGATGTAGGTGTAGGTGCTGAGCACCACTGCATGGCGTGCTGCGAGCACGCGCTGTGTGAGGAGATGCGGAGGACGTATGAAAGCAGGGCGAGAACGTATGGGAGTAGACGCATTGTGGTGGAGTGTAGGACGTATGAGACTTGTCGGCGGGTTAGGAGGAGGAGGTTAGGGCTGAGGAGGCTGTGGTGAGGGTGAGGAGGGGATGGGATGAGGGGAGTAGAGTCCGTCGGCGTTCTGTACACTTCGCAAATGTCCTCGTCGACTCACGCTCTTTAGGAGCGGGGTGTGTGGATGTAGGAGTGTGTGTTGGTGGGTAATGTGGGGATGGTGCTGGCGAGATAGTTCGAAAGGGAGTGTGGATTGCCGTTCTGGATGCTAGGATGAGATCAGGCTTCGTGCTTGATAGATCTGCGAGTAGGTCTGTCTGTAGCAGCAGCGAGCTCAACTATACGAATTCGCCATTAATCGACTTAGATTGCAGATATGAAGATCTTTCCCCTGGTAATGGCTTGGATGCTGGACATGCTGATAGCCTTTGGAGTATCTTCTCACAAATAATAGCATAAAAGGCTGAGACGCTGGCTCGCCTACCGCAACTTATAGCTATTCCATTGTGTTGGTATAATATCCCTACGGTTAAACTCCTGTATACCTCCGTCCGCAGCAGCACATGTAAAATTCTAGAATTTAACTATATATTAGTACTACCTAATATATCCTTTTACTGCTTCTTAGTATACCGTCCACCTGCCTTACTAACTGTCTTACAGTACATGTCTCTTCGGAGCGTCCTGGACATAACCTGGAGCGATCTACAGAATATATTGTAATGGACCTCCTCTGTTCCAGATGGGAAGATTTCGTGAACGACATTCCTGAATAGAAAGTCCTTTGCAGACTGGTGCACAAAATAGACCGTATCTTCTCGAATCGTAAGGAATGAGCTACAAAGGCCAATGATCTCACGTAGTAACTCAACATCATCCGCCATATCCTCAAGCATCTCTAGAAGGCGGGAAGGCTAGGGACGACGTGGCTTGGTAGGCTGGAGTATATACGCATCCTTCCGTATTTGCCGACTACTACTTAACTATTCCTTTCATCTCTTACGCCCAGGTGCCTACTTCAACATCGGCCTCGCTGATCTGGAAGGGTACTCGGGTCTAATTTACGGCTCTTGCGAGACAATGTCTACTATTCAAACCCTGCAACAAGCAAGGCTATTTCCAGCCATATTAAGGTACTATATCCGACGGTTTCGTCTTGAATGGAGTATTCTATTACGTGGTTTTCTAGTCGGATTGCATTTCGTCATGTATAGAAATATCCTACTTGAGATGAACGAAGTAAACATCGAACTTGAAGGAGAATTTGACGCGACTTTTAGTGACTTGGGTCTCGTAAAGCTTAAATTGGCAGCTTTTTTGTCAGCACGAAATCGCCATTGGATGCACCAAATCTGGAGCCCCACTGGCCTTTCATACGCCATCCGCCGGTTTCAGTCTCCTCAACCATTCCCTCATACATCCAGCCATGACTGGGATATAGCTTCACGAATCGGACAGTCCTTCCACTCTTGACCTGACCATGGATATCAAACTTCGCGACCTCGTCTGTTCCGCAACCTTCGAACAGCGTTACATCCTTCTTCAGCATGCTCAGAGACTTATTACTGGCCTCATCGACCTTGAACGAAGTGGGCTCCTTGTAATCGGGGCGGGATACCCCATAATCATAGGTGTAGTGTCCTTCCCACTCCCCGACGAGAGCGTTCTGCCACCACTCGAGATCGCGGTTCTCGTCGTCGCGGGGGGCGCTGACCTGGGTGTCCGTGCCTGCATCTTCAGACAGATCATCCTCTATTCCGGAGTCGTTGCCCTCTTCTTTCGGCACGGCATCATCATGCTCTGGAACAGTAGCATTCCCCTTTCCTATACTGTCGGTGTCGGCATCTGCATCTAAGGCGCCATGTGCGATCAGCATCCTCGTCAGGTCGGTGCGGCTCATGCCCCCCCTATTCCCGGCGCTCTCCAGAGCGGTCAGTAGAGCGATCCCGCTCTTGTCAGCCGCCGGGCGCTGGCCCTTCTCCAGCATTAGCGCCACGAGCTCACGCGAGTTCTGGTAGACAGCCATTAGCAGAGGGGACATGGGCGACGACGACGAAGAGAATCGCGACCACGCCGCGGCACCGCTGAATCGAATCTGGCGATAGACATCGGCTCCTCGCTGCAGAAGCAGTGTGACCACGTCTAGCGCCCGGTTGGCTACCGCTATGGGTAGAATCGCATCAGGAACGATATCCCTTGCTGCGGTATAGGATCGCCAGATGGTATCCAAAGCCATTGCCTTCTGAGTATCGGTGCCCCAAGACATAGTTGCGATCGTGTGCTCCTCGTCATCGGACCAAAGCACCACGCGATCAGGTAGACTGGTCAAGTCCGTATCCGAGGTCTTCGGCTTCTGTATGCACTCTACGAGCGTGTTGAAGAGATCCTCCCGATCCGACCTAATGGCCAACTCCAAGATATCCCGGACATCGTCGACGCTGAGACCTGACCGTATAGAAGACTTCAGCAGCGAGTCGACGAGACTCGCGTCTCCGGTGTCCAACGCCGCGGCAAATAACTCGGAGACCGCAGCATCATTAGCGCGTATGGTTTCTTGCTTGCTAAACAACTCGATCACGTCCTTGGAACATTCCTGCGCCGCCACGCCACAGGGTGTCATAATGTCGGTACCCCCTTCTTTTCCCAGGGGAGAGGCACCGTGAGCTAAAAGAAGCTCGGCGACTGCTTTAGAGTCGGTTTGAGCGGCATAGTGCAATGGCGTCCATCCGAAATTGTCCGTTTTATCCACCTTTATAGTACTTTGCTTGAGTAGCAGCCGTGTCAGTGCTGCTGAGCCTTCGTAACAGGCCACATGCAGCGCCGTCAAACCCCATCGGTTGGATAGGCACGGATCTGCGTGATGCTCGAGCAAAAGCTGGACCATAGGCTCGCCCCGGGATTCGACGGCGAGTAGTAGAGGAGTTTCGTTATTGCGAATTCGCTCGTTCACGTTGACGCCGCTTTTGAGGAGAAACTCAACAACTTTAAGGTGGTCCCGCGTTATCGCCCGAACTAGGGGCGACCGACCAGACTTGGGCTTCAAGTTCATGTCGGCACCCGCCTCAATGAGCCTTCTGACCATGTCAAGAGACCCGAGGGCGCAGGCGTGGTACAGCGCCGTCTTCCCATCTCCATCGACGGCGTCCAGCTCCCCACAGGCATCAACAAGCTGACCAAAGATGTCGTTCGATCCGAGCACGACCGCCGCAATCAGGGGTGTGCCGTACCTTCCGCCTGTTTCAGAGGGATTGGCCTTATGCTTGAGCAATATCTTCACTGCTGCTCCCTCTCCATTCACGACGGCTGCTTGGAGGGGATTTCCCAACTCTCCTCCCCCTAGGGAGCAGCCGCTTGGATTGCGGTCGATCAGCCGCTGCAAAACCTCGGTGAGGCCAAGCATCGCAGCATAGTAAACTGGATTCGGGCTAATTTCATCCTTTTTGGCGAAGTCGGACACTTTGGATTTCTCGTCCTCTGACTCGGTCCCTGAATCTTCACGATCGGACCCGCTCACTGAACCCTCGCCATCTGACATGTCGGAAGTATCAGCTTCAGGAATTTCCAGGCTCTCGTAGCCACTATCAGCACGCTTGCCAGCACCCGGCCGCCGTAACGTGCCAGTTGCATCACGACTTGTCTCGTGCAAGTGCCTTTCGAACATCTCAGCCCAGATCCTCCAATTCTGTGTGCTGAAGAGTCCCCACAAAATCTCTGAGGTTTCAGCCCTACTATCGCTGCCTTCGCCTCGGAGATAGTGGTCGTGCCAGTTGGCGGCAGTGTAGGAAAAAAACGGATACGTCCGGCTGAAGGTGGACATGCTGGCAACGCCAGTCTGAGCCGCGTCGTCAAATTCGTCGTAGCACATGTATTGGAGACATAGGGAAGCGACCCAGTTGTGTTCGGTGGTCTCTGCCCCAAAGCAAAGCGTACGATTTGACGTCGGGACACGGGATGGGTTTTGTTGCAAATACTCCTTGACCGAGAAATGGACGAAGTGGATCGTGCACGCTTCCATCGGCGTGTCCTCGTAGGCTTTGCGCAGCTCAATAAGTGACCCACACGGCATACGTATATAGTTCTGAACGTACTCCTCGCTGACAGCCGCTTCTGCAAAGTCAGAGGGGAGGTCCTCGTGGGGGTATGTTGGGGGTTCCTCGTTGAAGGTGACAGCAAGCGCCTCGGTCATTTCGCGCACAGTCAGCGGTCGAGCAGCATAAAGAATCCATTTGAGAATCACGACCGCTCGAGCGGTATTGTCCCCATTGGGGTCGAGAATCTTGTCCAGTTCTGCCCGGTAAGCGCCGTATATCTCTCTAGGCGTTTTCTTCACCAAGTCCTTGACCCGCCTAGTCGTGGCGCCCTTCCCGAGCTTCTTGTCGATAAGGTAAATCCAAAGGAACATGCCGTCGCTTTTTTCAACAGCCTCGTCTGCCATTGCGCTCAGTGTTTTGTTCTTGCCAATTTTGTTCTCGAAGATGGTCTGCGAGTAGGACGACAAGTCCTGCTTTGTATCTTCCTTCGTGACCCCCTGCTCGATCAATTCCAACCTTTCTGGGTTCACGCAAGACTCCTTCAGAGCCGTGTCAATGTCCGGTTGATTACGACTCACCAGTAGGACTCGGATGCCCGTCCCCCGAATGGTTTCGGAGAGTCTCTGCAGAAAGTGAGCTCGGCATGGTTCTGTATCGTATTTGGATATCTTTGTATGAACGTCGAGGCATTCGTCGTACCCATCTATGACCAGAGTCCAATGGGAGCTCTGAGTCATCAGCTTGGAGAGAAGTGACCATAGGTAGTCTTGTTCAGCTTCCGAGGCAATGCTTCCGTCGTTGATATTCTGCTGCGCCTGCTCATCCTTCATAACCGTGCCCACAGCTTCGTCCACCCTGGCAACCAACTGCCAGATCCAGGACTTAAGAATGGCGAACGGGTGTCTCCTGGCAGAATCTTCTCCAGAACAGTAGAAAAACAGCACCCGGCCGTAGTTGCTGCTGTCCCCTTGCATGTGGTCAATGACCCTGGCGCACAGGACCGACTTGCCGAAACCGGCGGGAGCATGAATCCAAAGGATCTTGGATACTTTGCTGTCGTATTGGGACCACTTCTCGAATTTGGGGCTTGCCAGGAACCAGTCACACGTCGTTCCGTGTCGAAGATTGAAGGCCTTCTTTTGAGCACCATCTGTGACTATTGGCGCTAGCCACTCCCGGATCTGAGCCCGTTGTTCCTGGATAGCTTGTTTGGGCTTTGTGAGCACTTCGCACAGCTCTTTAAGATATGACATGGTCTCCCTGTGACGCTCCTCACTTTTCGCATTGCTCTCTGGCAGGAAAGTGTCAGTCCATCATACTCGTCTGGTTCTAGACCTCGCTTGCTGACAGGCAAGTCTAGTACATATACTAGTCACCTACCTTGCCACTTAGCCTCGTTTGATATACGGTACACACTGGTAATTTTTTCTGAAATACCATCCACTAATTCTTTGACGGCCAACTGTAAGCCTCGGAAGATTCCTTTTACCCATCGAACTAGGTGCATCCGGGTTAGTGCTTGCCGAAGTCATGGAGAATCCAGTGATGCGTCTTACCACCGGCGTTCTTGTCGAAGAACCTTCGGGCCATTGCCAGAAACTTCAATACTTGGACATATGTGTCGACAATTGTCCGAGAAAGCTCCGTGTTGAGCTCTGTAAGCTTAGAACGGGGCATGTCCCTTTCCACCTCTGCGACTTGCACTATGACGCGTGACACTATTTCGAGTCCGTCAGCCATCTTAGCATACGTCTCGAAGTCGCTGGCAGCAATCTGAATAACAAACATCAGCAACCCACCGGTCACGGCACGCCTCCATGGAAGGAACATTACCTCGATGAGAAACTTGACGCCAGCCCAAGGCAAAGCTGCGTGCATCGGATCGAAGCTGGCCACCATGTCTCCAACCTTCTCGAATCTCCTGAACCAGAACACGATCTTCTCGAGGATGTCTCGGACTTTAACCTCGCTCCCATCATTCCGTTTGAACAGCTTCAATTTCCATTTCTTCTCATCACATTCATTCTTCTTCTTTTCGAGGCACTGAGTGAAGTCTTGGACTTTGATGCGCAGTGCTTTGTTCAGGCCAAGCGTCGCCTTGTCACTAGCGCTAAGCCTGCGGAAGGCTTCGTCCCATCGACCGTAACGTGCGCTACATTACGACACATTAGCCTCTACGGCCTTTGACAACTGATAGCAAATTGCATCAATATGCAGGCATTCTTACCTGCGCCGAGCCTGCATATGCTGAATTGCCAACCGGGCCACCGCAATCTGCTCAACGGACAACGTACGATCAGACCTAGCCATTGCGCTGATGACCTGATTGTGTCTCAGGAGAGGGAATGCCGTGAATCAAATTGAAGAACCAAGAATATTTGGTGTTCATTCAGAGTACTTGGAATCCGAGAACCGCCTTGCCGGTGGTTAGATAGGAAAAGGCTTTGTCGGCAGCTTAAATCCCATCAGGACGAGCTCTACCTACTGCAAGGTTTCAGATTAGTAGAACGGGCTTGATTGGATCTTACGTTTCACAGACGGAGTTTTTGCGGGGATAGGTGCTAGATCAGTGTTCGGCTGCAGGAGGCTTCTCGTCTCGTGTCTTCATCAACCAATTACAGCCCTGTCATCAGACCACGAATGCAGCAAAAAGCGAAAGCTGAGCGTCCACAAAGCCCAGGATCTGCATTGTGACTCGTGAGATCTGTGGGGACCCGTCGAAAGGGTTCAACAAGCGATCCTGGGGGGCGGGTGAAACAGCAGGCTGATGGTAAGGCGTCGCCAATACACCATCCTCTCTACCCCACTCACAGATGCAGGACAGCTAGCCCACACCCGAGGCCGGCAGTCAAATGTCAACGGCACTTGTGGGCGGCGGTGTCTGATCAGATAAAGATAGGTTAGGTATTTCTCTAGAATAGGGCCAGAAATAGGCCCTTCTTGCGGTGGTAAAGTGCTTTGATGAACGTCGGTTTCAAGAGGCTGGAAATTAGAATGACACGAATGAGAGGGGTTAAGATTGTTCCCTGTAAAGGTTGATTTTCTCTCGCAGCTTGGCGTGTTTCCAGTTACATGGGGCGGTTTGCCCTGTTGCCTTCCTCTCGGAGGACCCAAATGCGCGGGTATGTATCTTCGGCTACATAAGCAGGGCCACGTTACATTCCCTGTTTGCGTCTGACCACCATTACCGATTTCGGCTAGCTGTCGGAAGTCCCTAATCTGCGAACGCTGAGGACTAGGCGATTAGGCGAACCGAGTACTTCACCGGAACAGCATTGGGCGAACCGAAAGAACGCCACGAAATTGCCGACAGCCCTTCCACGGGGGTGGGCTTGAAGGATGCTCGTTGATTGCTGGCCCTTTCAGCTGCTCCATGCTTTTTCCAACCCCCACTTCCGTTTCCGTTCCCTCGTATCAAGGCTCCGCCAATAAACTCATCCCATATCAATAATACCTCATAGTCACTGTGCTGGAATGGCTCCCTCACCGATGCTACAGAATTGTCACGTCGGTCATTTCCCATCCCTCGTATGATGGCTTCGAATAATCAAACTCCCTGGGCTTCTCCAATTGCAAATGTGAGTAATCCACACCTCTCACAATCCACGGACGGGGCGGTTCTGGGATCTCAACATCCCACCTACCAATTCGGAAATACGTCGACTCTCCTTTGCCTGTCAGGTAGAGGAGAAGGCACTGCCTTGTGGCATACGGCTCCTCGCCAAGGTAGCCATGCGAGATGTTACGGACGGAAAGACATAATATGCGCTCGTCGCCAAGGTCGATGCGAACGTCATCACATTCGAAATATACTGAACGTATACGCTGGTCGTCCTCGAAGAGGAGGTCGGTGACTCCTTGGACATTGTTAAACTCGTTCGTAGGGAGGCCGGCAGTAGCAGCGACTTCCTTCAGTCGCAGCGGTCGGTAGGCGAGGGTGACGGACCGAAGAATGTCCTCGCAGAACCGCGCCGTCTGTGTATCATTCTGAGCCAGGATCTGCTCTATCATACGATCGTAAAGCGGGTCTAGCCCGGGCGGCAGCTCCCGCAGCACTGTTCGCGTACGATACAGCGGCACACTCTCCAGCTCTTTGCAAACCAGCGATACCCACAGAAACGTGCCCTCTGCTTTTTTGCGGAGCAGCAGCTGCACCTCTGCTTGCGTCTCAGCATCGTGACTTTGTGCGGCGGCTAAGCGCTGCACCTTAAAGTCTACAAACGACGCGACCGCTTTCGACACGTGACTAGCGCTGAGCTCAAGGCTGACCTTGACGCCGAGCGAGTCGGGCTGCAGGAAACGCTCAATGTCTGGAACATTGCGGCTCGTCACCAGCCACTTGACTCTCGACCGCCAGGCTAGATTGTGGTCGGTGATGATGTGCAAGAGATCGGACAGTCCGGATGCGCACTCGTCGAGCGCGTCGACTAGAAGATACGTCAGTTGCAGAGAATCGCCGTTTAGGATGTCTGACAGAATCTCCCTCAGCGCATAGATGGCGCTGGACCCTCGAATAACTGCCGACCTGCAGTCTCGTACCGCTTCTGTACATGTCGTATGAGATCCTCTCTTTGCACCACGAGTAGGTAAATGAGCCCTCGGAGCACCGAGGCTGCGTTGTTCAGCTCCGACCTGGTGCTCTGGCAGAAGAAGTACGCTAGCAGACATGGCTGAGAGCTGGGCTTGGAGCTGAGCTTGGAGCTGAGCTTAGAGCTAACTTTTAGTTTGGCAAGAATCGTTGACATCGTCTTCTATGACAGTCCAGCCACATCTCCCTGAGACAGTTCGGCGATCAGACCCATCATCATCATCGTATTGCCTTTGCCCGGGTCGCCCTTAATCCACAGCAGTCGCGCGTCTACATGTGTCTTCCAGTGCTGGAACCCTGGGTCGTCCAGAATCCAGGCATAGCATTGTTTGAGCAGCCTGTCCTTGTCCTGTTCAATCCGTGTTCTGTCTTCGCGTGGGTCCGTGATTCTCAGGTCGCGGAGGCACTGGCTGGTTGCTAGCCCGCGGGGCCTGCTGGGAAAGTGCACGTCTCCATAGACGTTGCCGTAGATGTTCGTTGAATCGCCGTCGGCTCTGTTGCCAGTATACGCTGTAGGACCGTCAATGGGTGGTTTGCATTTACATGAATCTAGACGTTGATTTAACCTACAGCCGTATCACGCGCTCGCGGAGGAAGCTTACCGCGTTTTGCCTGCGGGGTTCGGTCAAGCATGGGTCCGAGGCGGTTCTGTGCCGTCTTTCAGCATGCAAGCGGCGGTCCGAGCGTCAGGGAAGAGGTTCACTGTTCTGCAGCCGTCGGTTTCGAGTCGATGTGACAAGCTCGAGGTAGAATGCTCCTGGACGGCTTTCAGACTAGGTGTTTCTAATCTAGTCTCTCCTCTTGAGAAGTGATGATATCCGCAGGATATTCCTTAAGACTTCACAATTTGCCTGGATCAGATGACTTCGTGCGACGATCGCGGACGCGGTGCCATGTAGGATCAGGACGCTAATCCCAACAAAGAAGGCCCTGCATCGCCGAATGCAAGCCACTCGCACCAAAATACGAGCACCATGCCCTCGATAAGTACAAACAATCCGCTTGCCCCTCCAAATCCTCAACCTCAATTCTTCCTACCTACCTCATTCCAATCTCCCCTCTCAATGGCCACCGACAAGAACCCACCTATAAGCGTCACCTCGACGCCTCCCGCCTTCCCAACACCCACGCCCACCCCTCCACCGTGTGACTCACAACCTGCAAAGCTAGAAACGCGCCTCCACCACGCGCGCCATCTCCTCGCGGACCCGGGCCTCGCAGCACGCATAACCGCCTTTGTAAACCACGGATATAAATACTTCAATCCGTCGCTGGAGGGTCGCTGGGTCATGAGCGACCGCTTCTCCTCGCCTACCGCTATCCACGACACCCTCGGAGCTGATGGGATCTTTGCCGTAACGTACGCCGACGACTTACCCGTCGCGTGTGCGAGCGTGAGCCGGTGGAACGGCGATATGGAAGGGCGCGGTGAGGAGGCGGGAGAGGAGGGGTGGGAGATTAAGACGGTGACGACGCGGATGGGGTGGATGAAGAAGGGGTTGGCGGGGCGGTGTATAGCGGAGTTGACGGAGGAGCTTGTGAGGCAGGAGAGGGAGAGGGGTAGGAATGGGAATGGAGAAGGGGAAGAGGACGGAAGGAGAAAGCTGAGACTCTGGATTCACGTGGTGGACGAGCTTAACTGGGAGTATTGGAGACGTAGGGGATGGGAGTATGTGCGAGGATACGAAAGGCCGGCGGGAGAGATGGGTTCGAAGCACGGGTTTCGGTTATTGGTTGCGTTCAAGGAGGTGGATATCGATGGGGGGCTAGGTAAAGATGCAAGGGCGAGGGGCGTACTTGATGGGCTGGGTAGACCCACGTGACTTGCTGTTCGAGATCTGAAGAAGACAAGAAGATACACCATGGGTAGAGAAGCGCAAACAAGCTCCTATTCATCTACAACTCTGCTCAATCTCCAACTGCTCGACTCTCCGCTATCACTCGCCAAAGCATCAACAAACCCCTCTATGCCTCATAGAGGACCTCCTTCTTCTCCTTCCTCGGCGGGCGGAAACCGCAGTACCTGCAGCTATCCGGATATCCAGTCCAGGGGCTGTTGGGTACCGGCTTACCACCCTGCGCCGTCCACATGTTGACAGGCTGCGGGTTCTGCCTGGCCTTGGGGTTAACACCAACATCGATAGTCGCATAAAGGCCGTCCTCAATCGTGCTGCCAATGAGAGAGATCTTCAACACTGGGTCATCACCGCCCTGCTTGCCCATGTTGAACAGCATGTCCTGGGCATTGGTCGTCTGGGCCTGCTTGTTGGTGTTGTAGGGAGCCGTCTTCTCGACCTGGCCGAGGAAGGTCTGCTCGACGTAGAATTGGCCGACGTGCGAGATGGTGCCGCCCTGGATGGTGTTGTTAGGGAGGAGAGTGGCGCCGTGGTGGATGATGGCTGTGGAGGGTTAGTGGACGCGGTCCCTTGATATGAGAGGGATGAAAGAGGACATACTGTGCAGATGGTTGGTTCGGCCAACATAGTGTCCTGGGATGAGGGTGATGAACGTGGCAGTTCCGTTCGTGCCCGTCTTCTGCAGGCCACGCAGGGCATTGGTTGCGATCGCGGTGGCGGAGCCGTCGCCGTTGCCGCGTGCTTGGACACCGGTGTACACGCCCTAACGCCGTTAGTATCGAGTTCCTATGCTGATCCTGGGAGGACTTACGGTGGAGTTGGTACCCCACATCTCAACGTAGGCATCAGTAACAGGTTTGCAGGTCGACGTGTCGACGACGTTGATATCCAAGTGCGTCACAGCGCCCTTCTCGCCGGTGAGGAGATCCTGGCGGATGAGCTCACCAATGACCCCTATGCCGCGTCAGTACACTTCATGAGATGTCCTGCAAGGGATCGCTTACAGTAGGGGCCCTCAGTGGCCTCGGGATCAAGGGTGCAAGCCGCGCTCACACCATACTCGTCCTCAACCTCGCCGACATCACGGCGAACAATATCCTCAGGCTTCGCAAAGCCGGCAGCAACTCGCAGCTCGTGCAGCCTAGCCTCACGCCTCAAGTGCTGCTCCCTGACCCAGCCGCTCTCCACAAGGTCCCTCTTGCATGACTGCACGGATCGTCGCTCGGGGTGGTCAAGATGGGCCTGCCTCCTGAGGATTTCCTTGTTGGTGTTGCCGCCCGGGTGGGCAACGACACCGGAGGCCAAAAGAGCGGCGGCGAAAGCCTGCGAGAAGTGAACCATGGCGATGTTGTCTCGAAGTCGTGAATCGAGTTGGCCAAGAGAACGAGACGCACGAAAGCCACGGCGACGGCGCCCTCTCTTATTATATGCCCGGTTGCCAGATGTTGCCTCTCGGGATATCTCCTGGGTTTGCCGACAGCCATCTGGACACCCGGATCTTACGCGTGCACTGCTTCTCTCCTTCCATCTCTTGCTCCTGCTGCTCAAAAGCTGCTATACAGCAACCAGGCCCACGAGATTGCTGGTCATAATCGCAGTTGCGCTGATAGGTTGTTGAAATGGAGCCAAGGCCGGTGAGCTTCGGCTAGATTGCGAAGAATGAATTGTGAGGACCATGCGGGGTCTTGGCGTCTGGGGTGCATGGTGGCACTTGGAAAAGCTTGACTGGGTAATTGGTGTGTCTGCGGCGAAGGTTCTTACGGAACATTAGCCGGTCCTATGGAGGTGGCGCGTTCTTTCACTCGGTAGTTGGAGAGACGATGAGGGGACATGTTGGGGGAGGGGAGGCGCTGAGGAGGGGGCGAATTGCGACTGAACGGTAGCTTCTGCCACTCTATTGCTTATAATCAGCACGACATGATTCGATAGCCATCGGGGGATGTCTCGTGTTGCGCATAGTGTCGTGATAGATGACACGCCGTCGTCTGAACTTTTGAGCACGTCAGGCTTCATGCCGACCTACCTTCTCCGTCCACGTTCGAGGCGACGTCTCTCGCCCTGTCTCCTCGAGCTGGCAACAATAGCGCATGCGCCTTGCGTCTCTCAAAAGCTTTCCTCGAGAAATCGCATTGTGTGTGCCCGGGTAGCAACCGGCTTGCGGAAAGGGAAGCCCATATTGACTCTCGGCACTTGGCTTTACCCCACAGTTCCGAGAGCCAAAGCCGACTGCGAGATTGATATTACATGCCACAGCATCGCACGTGCGCTCAGATCGGACCAAGCGCACTCTATCTTCATGCAGGAAAATTGCTTCGTGGCTATTCCGAGGAAGGTGGTATACAGAGCGGCAAAAGTGCCTCTGTGAAGCCAGGGTTTAGACGCCCGCTTCGTAGGAGTAAGATTTGGTACGGCCGCGCAGGTGTGGGCATCGGCGGTGTAAAACCGATGCAGTTGGGCAGCAGGTCGTACATTCGAAACAAGTTCTGGAAGCGCTGATCGATGGAAGTGCATGTTTTGATGAATTGCGTTGATCGCCCTGGTGCCGACCTAATTGCCTTCCGCGGGCTGGGACCGTCTTGAAGATTGATGTGCCTTCTTGGGGGCTTGGAAAGCGTCCTCCATCTTGACATATTGGCAGTCGACTGATCGAGGCATACTTTTGTGTCATTCCTCTTGCTGAATGAATGTGGTTTGGGTGCGCAGTCGATGGCCAAGGGCAGGCGAACTTTTCGCGGTTCCTCCTTGGCGACAGATGAAACTCCTTGCCCTCGCTCCTTGGCACGAGGTTGTTTCTCAAGCGGTAGTGGAAGAGATGAAGAGTAGAATGCTAGGTGTATCCGTTGCGATAGCGAAGGCGTCGTAGTTGGGACGGAGCGTTGGAGAGAGTGCGGGGAGACGCGATCGGGTCTAGCCTAACCGGCTCTAGCGCTTGCAGAGAGCCTCCAAACACCAACAACAGCACCTCTCCTAGATTTTCCCATTCATAAGTCGTTGGCGCTGTTGAAACCGTACAGCTTGGAGATGGAATTTGTCTTTCCCCTTTGTGGGGGATCCGGCCTTTGTGGACTGCATGATGGATTTTGAAATAGGAAGACGCCGCGCCAAAATACGGAGGCTGGGGAGGACGGGATGGCGTCAGTACCAACGATAAGCTCCACAACCAGCGCTCAATTCCATCTTCCCACCTTGAATTAACTGCGAGCTGCTGAGGGAGGTCGAACTCTAACTCGTTGAGCTTCAAGTCGATATTGTCCGCCTATTCATTCTTCCTCTCTGTGGAACGGAAAGCGACCCACCAGCCGCCAGTTGATCGCATCGGATCAATCGCAAAGATGGACAAACCCCATCCAGAAGGCTTACCGACGTACAGTGATGCGACAGCGTCCACATCCCGACAGCAGCCACGCTGGCTCAACCGCCGACAGAAGCGCAGAACACTCCGTCTCGTCGCCATCACGTGTCTGGCATACCTCGCTTACTCCGCCTCCAAGATCGCCGGCAACACCAAGAAACTGGAAAGCACCCTCTCCATTGAGCGCTTACACGAAGACTATGCTACATGTGCCACCCTACGAAGGAAACCAGTCGAGCCTACTTCGCGCCGCGAACACAACAAAAGATGGATGAACGGGACGAAACCCCTGCTTATCCGCAACGCGACGATTTGGACCGGCGAGCCTGCGCGCGGGACTTCCGAAGAGGATGCAAGAGCCGGAAAGGGATGGTCCTGGATCATCTCTTCCGACGTCTTCGTTGACCGCGGCCTGATCGTTGAAATCGCTCCCGATATCCCGATCCGCGCGCTTCCACAGGATAAAGAAGTATTCGACGCGCAAGGCCGATTGCTCACGGCTGGCATCGTGGATATGCATTCGCATGCGGGCCTTTCTAGTGTGGGTAACCTGCAAGACGACGTTAACGAGCTTTCTGGCGATATCACGCCTTACGTCCGCTCGATTGACGGCCTCGACCCCCTGCAGCCGGAAATGCAATACATCAAAAGCGGCGGCGTGACGACGTCGCTCTTCTTGCCTGGCAGCGGGAATAACATGGGTGGTGAGGCTTACGTGCTGAAGTTCGCGGTTGGGAAGAAGAACGGGAGAGAAGAGATCAGCCAGCGGGACATGTTCGCTGACCCCGACAGGAATTGGCGCTACATGAAGATGGCGTGTGGCGAGAATCCGAAGAGAACGTATGGTCGGGCAGGCAAGCATGGACCCTACAGCAGGTTGGGCGAAGCGTGGGAGTTCCGGCACGCGCTTGAGCAGGCGACGAAGTACGTCAAAGAGCAGGACGATTGGTGTGCGGCTGCTGATGCGACTGGTGTCGAGAAGATGCGCACTTACCTGAAGCAAGAGCTGGAGTGGGAGTCGCTGGGTGCGGTGTTGAGAGGCCAGGTTCGCGTGAACACGCACTGCTACACCATTCCCGATCTTGAGGCCTTCGTTCGACATACGAACGAGTTCAAATTCAGGGTCTATGCTTTCCATCATGCGCATCAGACGTTTTTGGTGCCTGAGGTGCTCAAGAGGGCCTGGGGCGGGACGCCGGCTGCTGCGCTCTTCGCCGACAACAGTAAGTTCCGGACGTTGCTTTGGGGAGCATCCTGCTAACGGAGATCAAAGTGTACTACAAGGTCGAAGCATACCGTGCCTCCGAGCGTGCCGGAGCTCTTCTCTACGCGCACAACATCACACCTACCTACGTCTCTGATAACCCGGTGCTCAACTCACAACATGTCGTCTTCGAGGCCGCGAAAGCGTATGGCTATGGATTGCCGTATCATGCTGCCCTAGCTGGTGTCACGTCTGCGCCTGCTGAGCTACTGGGTCTCGGGAGCAGGATTGGCAAAATAAAAGAGGGCTTTGATGCTGATATCGTGGTGTGGGATTCGGATCCGCTAAGTGTTGGCGCGACGCCCGTGCAGGTCTGGATTGATGGCGCAAAGCAGTTCGAGGATCCGGTAGTGCTAAAGAAGCCAGCAGCCAAGGCGATCGACCCGGACCCAGAACTAGTGAACGAGTTGATGATGGAAGTGCACACAGGCACTGTGGTGTACAAAGGCATATCGCACGTCTATCACGCTGACGTCTTGGGGGCTCACGACGCCTCGCAAGAGCTGGTAGCCGTTATCTCAAACGGGGAACTCACCTGCATAGGCCCTTGCGCAGACGAAGTCGACGCCGCTCAAACCTCCGGCACGCCCATAATCACGCTCAAGAACGGATACATAACGCCTCCCTTCACCGCGTTCAGTTCTTCACTAGGGCTTATCGAAATCGACGCTGAGCGCGACACCCATGACGGCAAACTGCCAACCGACGGCGTATCCCGCGCCGTTGACGGACTTCTCTTCGGCGGCAAGCAGCTTGCTCGAGCGTGGGAGCACGGCGTGACGCGCGCTATCTCCGCACCCAGCACCGGCAGTATCGACGCGAAGGGCGTGAGCGCCGGCTTCAAGACTGCTGCGAAGCATAAGTTAAAGGAAGGTGCGATATGGGCTGATGAAGTGGGATTGCATTACACGCTCACCCTGAGCGCGAAGAGCGACAAGACGCCAAGTATGTCGAGTGCGATCGGGGCGCTGAGGGCGAAACTGCTTGATGCCATCGACGCAGGAGAAATAAATGAGACAAGCGTTCCGACCAAGGAGCAATACGAAGAAAAGACGTACCTGCGCCGAGTCGTTTCCGGCTCCATGCCGCTCATCCTTAGCGCTCACAGCGCCGACACCATCGCCTCCATCATCCGCCTAAAAGCCGAAGTCGAAGCCGCGATCGCCAGGTCAGCATTCACATCTGCTCCCACACTCCGCGTCGTCGTCATCGGCGGCGCGGAGTCGCACCTCGTAGCGCAAGAACTCTCCGCTACCGCCATTGCCGTCGTACTCGCCCCTCTTCTCCCGCATGCACAAACGTGGGATCAGCGACGCTCTCTCACCGGCGCACCACTCACCAACGGTACCACCATCAACTATCTCCTCGATGCCGGCGTGCTCATCGGGATAAGCGTTGAAGAGGTGTGGGAGACTAGGGATCTGGGTCTGCTTGCTGGAATAGCGTATGCGAATAGCGAGGGGAGGCTGAGCTTCAAGGAAGCACTAGATCTTATAGGCGCGAACTTTTATAAGATGTTAGGAATAGAAGGAGTGGCGGAGAGCGGGAGAGGCGTGGATTGGGTGGTCTGGGAAGGGAGTCCGCTGGAGATAGGCGGCAGGATTAGAGGCATGGGAGGGCAGGATAAAGTTTTCGTGTGGCAGTGAGAAGCTTGTTCCGCGGCCCGCGCTGCGAAGTAGTTGTGCAGCCTGAAGACCCTCGGCGCTTCTTTTCAGCACCGCAATTCCCTACTCGCAGTAAATGGCTCGGCCCTTGAATTGGCTACCTAGGTAGAGTTCAAGAAAAACGACGGGTTTGTCGTCCGAACCAGACTCACAGAAACTCATCAAGTGGCTATGTCTACCACTCTGAACCTCTGGCGCCATCTCCTTCCTCCTGTGGAAGTGCGTCGAACCCGTCCTGCTTCCATCTATTCTTAGGCGCCCATCGCTCGAAGCGCCCACGCGCGCGTGCGGCACAGCACACCTACCCTCCCGTCCACTCACCCACCGGGCCGTCCCTCCATCAAGCACCTCAAGAAACACAGCACGTATCGGCTGAATTGCAGATCCAAGTCGTCGGACCCAGCTAGCCAATGACGTTGCGACTACGCCGCACCAGCCCCAGCAGCTCCACCGAGCATAATGAACGCGTGAGCAGTGCCAGTCTCGCAGCTCGCAGCCTCGTTCCCCAAAAGACAAGACGAGGCGGGCTTCCCCCACGCTGCTGAGGAGATGCAGGATGGAAGTGTGCGTAGACTAAGACGTTTGTGGTAGACGGCCGTGTTTTCAGACCATGCAGGCGGGGAGCGGAGCGGTTCGGATTGCCTGTGTGAAGGCACAGCCACAGTCGCGCATTACCGTGGTGGATGGAAGAGGAAAGGAAGGGGAAGCTTGTGGCTAAGCCTTTCGGGCTGGTGTCTAGGGTGGGTGTCTAAGCCTTTGAGACATTGGGCTTGAGGAGGATGTACATATATTCTCAGGGCGAAGTCAAAGAGTCTACTCCTCATCAGCAGCTCACTCACACACTTGTGGAGAGAAGACAGCAGCAGATTATCCAATACTACAGATTGTTACCGGTCACAATGACATCGTACCTTTCTCGATCCACAACCACGTCTACCGACCCGCTTTCCTCCAGCACGCACCGGGCGCCGCTTTGGGACCCTCGAGCTACCCTACAACTTGAACATGATGGTCGCTGCGTAGGATACGCTCCCTCCAAAGGACGCAAATGCCGAAACATCATCGCAGGGCACAACCTGTCGAAAGCCAATACGATCCTCCACGACATGGCAAGGCAGCAGCCAGATCCCGAAGCCCTTCGGTCAAAGTTATGGCGGCTGGCCCAGCATCATCTCTGCATTCGATGGCACCAGAACCAAGCCCGAGATATGGTGGAGAAATGGACCGACAGGATGATCGAGGCCTATCCACATGCCAGCGTTGAGACTCGTCGGCGATCGTCGCGGGGGGACACCATCTCTCGCAGAGACAGCCAGCTAGAGCGATTAGAAAGCCAGCTAGATCGATTACTGGCGCTAGTTGCCGAGCGTGACAGCCGCAGGTCTCGCGCGTCGGTGACTCCATCCGTGCCCTCACGGCAGCGTCCGATCTCTTCTCCGACCCCGACTGTATCCTCATCTGCATCGCTACCAGACTTGTCTGGGCGCGAGACGTTCCAGGACACCATTTCAAGCATGCAGGAAACAGTTCGCATTGCTCAGCGTCGTTTGTCCGTGGCGGAGAATACCCATTCACCCGGCCAACGGAGTCCATCCGTATCGCGCGTTTCAACGTCGGATATCTCTTCTCTACACCTCTCGAGAACTTCAACCACGCGATCTTCCGCCACGGCTGCAGTCTCTTCGTCTCCTCGCTCCATTACCAATACGACCGCGAGCTCATCCCGCACCTGCACCCGCGCCCATGTCCGACGACGCGCTATCGACGACGAATGTCCGATTTGTCGGGAAAACTTCTTGGTCGGGGAACAGCTCGTGTGGTGCAAAGACAGTTGTGGAAGGACTGTGCATAAGGGCTGCTTTGAGCAATGGCGGGCGGAGTGTATAGCTGATAGGAGGAGGACAACGTGTACGATTTGTAGGGCGGAATGGGGACCGGACTGTGGTTGTGAGGATAGGCGCCCAGCGCGGTCGTAAGTGAGAACAGATAGACGGCATAGAGTATGGCGTTCAATCGAGACTTTCGATATCGCATATGCCTTTTCGTGCGGAGGTCTCACAATCGACTCTGTAATCGTGATTCGCATCCGTCCTCGGAGCCCTCTGGGATGAATGTCCCACTTCGTAAACCTCCAGGCTGCTTCAACCTATTTTCTCGCCGCCTCATTCTTCCTCGCTAGCTCTCTCGCAGGAGCCGTGAACTGCGTCTTTAAATCTCCCCGACTCTTAACTTGCATCTTCTTCTCAGCCTCCTGCATCTGCTTCAGCTGCTCTTCCTCGCTCTGGATCTTCCTCTTCAGCACCACCTCAAACATGTCCCTCCCCTTCCTCCTTCCTTTCAATCCATTATCGTCCTTATCAAAGTATAATGCCCATCTGAGCCCTTCTCTACCCCACTCGGTTGTGTTGTCCTCGTCGGCGCCGTCCCACTCGTCGATGGCAATGAAGCCTTCCCAGCCGTCGAGCGTGATGCAGGTCTCGTCTTCAGTCCAATCCCACACGCCGACTATGTGCGTAATGGACGCGCTGCGGTTGCCGTACCTGAGCTCGTAGGTTTGCTTGTCGCAGTAGATCCAGTTCAGCATGGGTGGATCGTCGGATATAGTGGATACGAGGCCACGCTCGGGCGGCGAGCGGTCGTCGTCGGGGTACTGGATATAGAAACCGGCGAACGCGTGGAGGGGGGGCTTCATGTCAGGGACGGGTGATATTGGCTTATTCTTTTCATCTCGAGGTACTATCCAGACCTGTACGCTCGCTCATCGTAATCAGTCAAGCAATTCGCCAGGGAGTGCATGGGGGGTCCCAAAGAAGCAGCAGACGCACCTTGTTGTGCCGCAGCACCAGAATCCCGTTGTCGACCTCGTCGGCGATCTCGTCATCGCTTTCGCACGATACAAAAGCATTGAACTTCGTCATGCGCGTCTCATTCGCAGCCTCTTCGTTCTGTTTCTTCTGGTGCTCGACGCCCTCCGCGACGCCAGTTACGACGGGGATAGCGAGGATGGATCCACCCAAGAAGAGACCGAGACCGAGAGCCGCCATGTTGGATGTTGATAGTTGTTTTGCGAGAACTAAAGAGGAAATTGAGGAGCGTAAAAAGGCGCGGGTTGTGGTGGGTTGGGTGGTTGATGGGGGTGGCCGTTGCAACGATGCACGGATCGCGCTTGACGCCTGGCCACTGCTGCGTCACTAGACAGGGATAGTAAGGCTACGCGAACTTAGCGGCACCTGGCCAGTCACGGCAGTCTCAATGACTCAAGAACTCCTACAACGCCCTCGCTTCCTTAACCGTCATACCAGAGTATCGGCATGCCCTGGAGTCTCCGTTGACCTTGTTCTCCGGCCCCGGATTCGCAGAAGATCGGACATACTTAGGTATTCGCAATCGGCACGCGTCACTCACCAAGCGCCATCAACAAGAAACCCCAACAGGCCGATGGGACGGCGCTGCCATAGAAGAAGGAGTTGTTCTTTTGGTACACGACCTACAAGAAGCTCTGGCAGATCTGCACTTGCGCAAATATGGGGTTGACAAGGGTGCGCCCTGGGATTGGTATACCGTTGCCCCGGTGGACTCCCTGAAGGGGAGAACAAGCATATGGTAGTTGCAATGCGCCCACGTACGGCTAGTAGAGAGGTGGACCTAGGTCTGCGAAATCGAAGCCTTGCCTGCAAGATCTGCTGCTCACTCTGTACCTAGATACCGCACTCCTCGATTGCGCTTCCTGCTCGCCATCGCATGCTTGGGAAGTCCTGGACCCAGGAGTCAGCACTCGCTTTCTGAAGAATACAAGCACTAGCTACGGCTTTCGTGGGGGTGCGCAACTCGAACTGAAGCCAACCAGGCATTGCTTTCCGTCGTCCAGATATGTACCCTCGTAACCAAGCGGCTGTGACTATTAGTACTACGATGACCCCACCGCTGCGGTCGACTCATCCTCTGCGCTGCCAACGAGTCTCGGCGGGCCGTCATGACTCTCGAACGCCCATGACTGAAGGTGTCGACTTGAGTCAATCCCCAGGATAAATACGGCTTCAACGAGAATATTCCCTTCTTCCACCACCAGCATTTGAACACTTCAGATACGCAGATCTACATCTCCCAAAGCACAGAATACCAGCACGCCAACAAACGCCAAGCCCCAGACGTCATCAGCAGAGTCAATATGTCCCTCCCTGTCAGCCACACCCATTCCGCGCCCGCAGAAAAGGCCATCCGCGACCCACCAGATGGGGACCATAGGCTAGACCCCGACCTAAATAGCCGCATATACTGGAACAATATTCCCCGCTACGAGGACGTCGACAGAAAGGTAGACCAGGTCTGGTCCATCCGGATTCCCCGAGGAGACTGGGAAGCGGTATCTTTGGGGGATCAAGATCACTATTTGCGCGAAGCGCAGTGGGGTCTTACCATGGACCCGAGTCTTGCGAAAGCGTGTCAAAAGGCCGGGTTCATTGTTGAAGGAGCGCGCCTCAACGTGCTTGCAACTGATTCCATGCAGACACAAGAGGATTCTCGAATCATGGCGTGGTATAGGGGCAACAAGCGTGGGCGTAGAATAGCCGGCAAATGGGTTACACTTAACCAGCTGAACTGCACCGAAAACCGTAAGCAAACCCTTTTATGTGCATGCGGGTTCCGCACCGAAGACTAACGGCCGAGCAGTGCTGCGCTTCCTGAGTCACCCCAAGGTAGACGATGTCTTGCCGCCAGATCGTCGACAGTTGGTTAGGCGCCTGAACTTTGGGGAGGAGTTTTCGGATGAGAAGCTTCCAGACGACGAGCGGAGCTCGTTGACCCCAGGGCAATCTCGCATCAGGAGGTCGCCTATTCCGTCTCAGACTGGTTCTGCGGGAACGGCTCAGCCCGCATTGCCTTCTTTCTTCGACACGGTACTCGGCACGTCACCTCCTGTTGCTCAGCCCGATACTGCAGGGACGGCTCAGCCCGCATTGCCTTCTTTCCTCGACACGGTACTCAGCACGTCACCTCCTGCTGCTCAGCCCGATACTGCAGGGACGGCTCAGCCCGCATTGCCTTCTTTCCTCGACACGGTCCTCAGCACGTCACCTCCTGCTGTTCAGCCCGATACTACAGAGCCGGCTCAGCCAGGCCCGAGTAAGTAAGCGGTTTGTTCTTTACAGGGAATCTCACGCCGAGAAGGAGGCTTTTCTTATACGGCTTTGTTCTTCTGGATTCTTCCGCTTCCTACTACATTCAGACTTAGATTGGGATTTGGTAGTTGAGGTTGTGTTTTCTGTATTTGGATCTTGGTCTCTCTTTCTTGCTGTACGATGAAAATACTGGGCTATTAATACTTAGACGATATAGACGCCCTTTCTCATCTTCCGATATTTCTCTTCATTCACTACAACAGAGCAGTCACCACGCCCTTTACATACCCCCTCAGCCCCTTCTTCCTGCTCTGCTCTAGCTCCGTGATGCTACTCCGCCTAACCTCCTCAATGCCGATACCAGAAAGCACTTTCTGCTCCTCGCGCATGCCAGTAAGAACGTCGATCTCCTTGATAGGGATAGAGCTTGCGGTGCGAGGGGTATTTCTTCCAGGAGTACGCCTTCCTGAAGTAGAAGAAGAAGATGAGCGGGAGAGCGATGTAGGCGCTGAAGAAGTTTTCAGCGTCGGGCTTGCTACCGATGAGCTGCGACATCGTTAGTAAGTGGGCGATGAGAAAGTGAAGATTTAACAAAAGTACGTACCCAGAGAGCGACATCTGCGCTGCCAGGCAGATGAAGTCCAGAAAGACGCCGATCCAGCTCCCCCAGACGCCGAACATGGCGCGGTACGGCAGCTCCTCGATTGCGTGGCCCTAGTACTTCCAAGCCTGTCGGAAACGGATATGCGCCAAGCAGATGCTGCCGTAAACGAAGAAGTTAGCGATCCCGCTGAGGGCAAGCAGCCAGCCGAAGATGACGCCGCCGGTCTCAGACGCTTCGTTGATGAACGCAAGGAGGCCGAAGAGCAGCTGCAGGATAACAGTGGGCATCGGTCGGCCCTTGCTGTCGACGTAGGCGAGTAGCTTTGGAGCCATGCCGTTGGCGGCCATCGCTTGGAGGGTTCTGGTGGACGCGTAGGTTGCCAAGTTCGCGACCGAGATGACGGCGACCGTGATCACGGCGTTGAAGACGGACGGTAGACCTTTCACGCCAGCCATCTGGATAGCGAGCACAAACGGCGACGCCTTGGTGTTAGCGCCCTTCGAACCGAGCAGTACGTTGGAACTCGACGGCACTATGAGGCCGAGGATAAACAGGTTCACAATGTAGAAGAACGTTAGCCGCCAGAACACTTGCTTGGTGGCTTTCGGGATCTCCTTCTTGGGGTCTACTGCTTCGGCTGCCGCCAGTCCTGTCAGTTCGGTGCCGCCGAATGCAAACGACGCGGTGACGAAGACAGAGCAGAAGCCCTTGAAGCCATTGCGGAATGCTTGTTCGGGCGCGTGCCAGTACCGTCCGCCGATGTAGCCCCGGGTCGTCGCTTGGGACGCCGCCGCAGTTGACGATGATGCCGAAGAGGATGAAGCCGGTGCAGGCGGCGATCTTGATCATGCTGAGGACGAACTCGACTTCGCCATAGCCGCGGACTCCGAAGATCTGGATTATGGCAAGGATGGTGAGGAAGTCTGCGATCCAGATCTGCTTTCTCTCAGAACTGATTCCGCGGGTAAGCAGGGGAGAGACATACCCCAATGTTGTAGTGTTTCCAGTAGTCAATTGTGATACCGGCGGCTGTAATCTCGAATGGGAGGATTGTCAGCCACTGAATGGTGTAGTCCCAGCCAATCGCAAATCCCCTGGCACAATCAGTATTCTTTATCATATAAAGCGAGAGCACTGAGTAACTCACCAAGCTGGGTCGACGAATCGAACGATGTACTGATAAAAGGCGCCGTTCACCGGATACATGACAGCAAGTTCGGCCAATGCTTGCATCATGAGCTGCATCATGACTCCAATGATCATGAAGCAAGGCAACTACAGCGCAATCGTCAGCATCCTAAAACTGAATATGCATAGCCGAGAAACGCACAAGACTCGCGGGCCCACCCTGGGAAAGTGCATTGGCACTTCCGACGAAAAGACCAGCGCCAATCGCTCCCCCGATGGCGATCATTTGCATGTGACGGCCATGAAGACCGCGCTTCAGCTGGTTGGTATCCCCTGTAACGATGGCCTCGTTCGCAGGATCGAGCTGGCTACCACGTCGATGGTCTTTTATTGGATGAATTGCAGAGTATTGAGACATGAGTTGATTGATTGAGAATACGAGAAATATGGCTATATATATACATGACCAGGTCACGTGAAGTAGTAACCATATCCGGCAACATCTTTGAAGGTATGCGAAACGCGGGGCTGCGCATCCTTCTCAGGGTCATAGCCCGGGGGCGAGAAATTCATGGCGGAGGTTCTGGGACGCGGAAGGAGGAGTGCTCATCGAAAGCTGGATAGAAAGAAGGGAAGACGTCTGAATATATACCTGACAGCTGCGCGAATTAGCTTATCCCAGTTCAATCGCACGAGAACGTCCATCGCAGCGGGTGCATCTAACTCGCACCCCTGTTATCTCTCTCCCGTTGGCGAACCGGCATCCACTCCATTGGACCAGGACCCTCTAGCCATTAAATCATGACGACGGATTCTGGAAGGTGGTATGATTAGCCGACATGTCGACTAACCAGAATCGAGATGGCTGGCATACCAAGCCGGGATCGAAAGCTTGACTTTGCGCTTGAATCGCACCCGCGATTTGTCTGTGGCACCTCGGGAAGAACGAGATCGATGTCAGGGTGCGCTTGTGCGCGTCACGAGTCCGGAACGTAAAGGATAAGTTGGTATGTGGTACGGGGCGGCGTACACTTGTGCTGTAGATGAGAATTAGCCTGCGAGTGGAGGAAACACGTCGGGGATTGCAGAACCTTACGCAACCAGGAGAGGTCTCGCCTTGCATCGTGGATAAGATCGATGCGTCAGCGCCGCACTCCTGCATGGCGCCCAACGACATAGCTATTCTCTCAATTCGACGTATGGCTAATGTCAAATGTCGGCGATGATGGGATCGGCGGAGCAGAGGCCGAATGAGGAAGTTCGCGGCGCGCGCGACTTTGGGATGCCGCACGATAGCGGGGTTGGAAGATCTGGATTCTGGCTTACGGGTCAACGAAGGGAACCGTGAAACTGTTCCGCGGTGTTTTAAAGGATGGTCATAGCTAGCAGAAACATAGAGAGTGTTGAGCGCTCACCCGTGGCTCATGCCGGTATGAGTAAGGCGGAGGGCGTCGTCCGCAACCGAAGAGAAGCGCGATGCCAAGCCTAGCGAGCACTCCGAGGATCTTCACGACAAGCCACGCGGTGACATCGATTATTCCGCGATGATGATGGCTGAGGCGTATCGATGGAGAGAACGGGAGGAGGCGATAAGGATGGAATTTGTGCGTCATGCACTAAGCACGCGGGAGGCGTCAATTGCCGATCCGCCGCAAAACAGCATACTCCCCGCTGATCCTTCTACATGCTTGATACTCGTTTTGGAGGCTTAAAACGCCATGTCCCGAAGTCCTTCGTAAATAGAAACGACACGTGGAAACTAGCCAAATAGAGCTTAGTGCTTTCGATCCCTGAAACCAAGATCGCGGGCCGACTTACAAGGCAACCATCATAACGTTCTCCTCCATCTCAATCTGCTCTCATCCATCTCTATACCGACTGCGAATACTGTGCTAGACGTTGCGAATCGGTGAAAAGGCCGCTGACGTGTTGGTCGGTGGACGCGAGAGGTGGACTGAGTTAGAATACAGTCCGCCGATTCCACTATCAACTTCTCTGGGAGGGGTCCGGCTTTGGATTGATTCCACAGAATGACCCGCACGGGGAAATGCGATACTTGTAGGCTGCGCAAGGTCAAGGTTAGATCTCCTCTCGAAGTCCTGCATCCGGGGCCATTGCCTTTCCCGACACAACCCTCGTCTCCAATTACATGCTGACCTTTGTGACTCGTAGTGCGATGAGCAAAAGCCGAAATGCAGCGCGTGCCAGAAGCGGGACAGGCCATGCGCGTATTCGTATGGAAAAGTATCCGCTCTCGTGGTCGAGGATCCAAACCTGCTGTCGAAGCACGGAAAGCCGAAAGTCGCTCCTCTCGTCTATCCCTTGATTTCATACAGCGATTCCAGCTCCGCATCTTCGCCCTCGTCAGACCTTCGAGTGACAGCCGAGAGGGCAGCAGACGAAGGCCAAGGCGTCTTCAAAACATTTACTCCCGCTTCAAAGGAGAGACAGTTGCGCGTTCGAAAACCCACGGCGCAGCAGAGGAGGAAACTGCACGCATATTTGACTCAGCTCAGAGCAGCTTCGACCTTGCAGTCGCGGCTCTCGTCGTCGGAAAGCGTCCTCATAACTCGCTATATGGGCTTGCTTGGTTCTCTGCCTCTGAATGAGAAACCGCTCATGATATTGGGTTCATGGATCTTGTCCATACCATCTCGTATTGGAGCTAATCCCGTTGTCGACCTGGCCGTGGAATACCTCGTGGACCAATTTGCCGTCTACCGGGACGACAATTTCTCAAACAGGAGGCTAGCTCTGGCTTCGAAAGCAAAAGCCTTGGAGGAATTGCAACTGGCGACAAGCGACGATAAATCCTGGAGGACTTACGATACGGTTCTTGCGATGAAGTTACACTATTCAGCCGAGGTAGGTCATACACCTGTTAGGAGCCCAAGTTGAGCTGACCCCCTATAGGTCTTGGTAGGTATGAGGAGTCTACGCCACGTCATACATGGTGCCGCACTCGCGGAGATACTGAAGTTGGGACCCGTAGCCGGATTAGATGAGGAACACTATTGGGGTTTTCTTGATAATACATACATTGACGACGTAAGTATACCTCTCATTCAGCGCATACGTGCTAACAGGCGCATGTAGGTTGTCGAGGCAATGGTCTCAGGCCGCACGTCAGTGTACGACAACGATTTCTATCTGTCTATGACATATCCTCCTTCTCCGCCTACTTGTACCGAATTGGACAACCTCGCCTTGCGCTTTTCGGTTGCAATGATGCATATATTGATCCAGGTGCCCCGGCTTGTTTGCATTGTTCGGCATTGCATCAATAACCCAGCCAACGCAAGGGTTCTGGCACTGGCCGTCACTTTATCAGAGTCACTGTGGCACGCGGTTCCGGTCAACCTCATGCACCAATTATTACGCAAGTCCACTACGGTAGTTGAAATCCCGCCATCGCCCGATATAAGCGACATAATTTCGGACTCGTTCCACTTCGACTCAATAGAGAGCATGACTCTTGTCTCGCGGTTTTGGATGCTGCAGCATTACCTCTGCGGGCTGATACAATCCATCTACCAACACTTTCCGATCCTGGCGACCGACTCTCTACTTCCAGATCTGGCCACGTTATATGCTATCGACATTGATGCTGCGATCAACCAAGCGCGCTGTGTCCAATACGCTCTTAACCTCTGCCCGTCCTTTCCCCTCGTCCCTTTACGCGTCCATGTCCCGCTGGAAGTAGCGATCGGAGCCTGGCACAGGCTCAGTCAGCGTCTGAGTCGGGCACCAAAAGCCCTCGGCAGCAGTTCTGTATCACCCGCCGGTCTTAACGGATTAGAAGAAATCCTGAAAGCTCAGAGGATGGAGGATTGGATCGTTGAAACCATCAGCTGCATACACGACCAATGGGATGTCCACCCGATGACGAATCAGTTCCTGAAGAAGTTTATGCAAGAATCCGTCGAGGCTATGTGTGGTGGGCCAATTCCTGATTGGCTACCCCTTCGCGTGAGCTTCACCTGCGAGGAAGGAGATATGGTGATGAAGCTAGAATATGACTTGCCGGGCCCAATGATCGAAAAAATGTATGGGAAGCCGGAGGAGTCATGGACACGGAGCACTACTACTTCTTTGCCTTTTCCGGTGTCTGACTCACAAGACAGCGTTCCAACGGAAAGCTTTCCAAGCGAGTGAGTGTACAGCCTTTCTTTTGTGTTCAATAAGAAAGAAAGCAGTAGTTCGTAGACGTAGCTAACAAGAATAAGGATAGCGAAAAGACCATCCCACACAACCCTCCCTCATAGAACGACGCAGCTCTATCCTGCTAATAGCCCGGAGAATGTTACACATATTGGTCACGTTTCTGTTCGCTTATGATTAGCGCGTTGGTAGTCCTTGCAATTTTAAGATTAGCTCCAATTCCGTGCTCTAATCGAGTGAAAGTGAAGTGGAGGCAGCCAGTATAAAAATCTGTCTCCAGGCACGAAAACTCTTTGGCACACGACACCTCCTCACCTCCACCACAAAGTCTCTTCAAAGCTTTTTTTTTTTTTCCATAATAAAAAAAGCCTTCATCATGTCTGCTCCCGCTCGCCCCGTCGAGCTCATCAACAATGAGCTCATCGAGACCATCAACATCGTAGGTAACATGATTCCTTGAAGAGAGCCTTTCTCACACAACTTTTTAGTTAGGCAGAGCCTTGCGGGCCCACCACAGGGCGATCGCGACCGGCCGCGCCCTCCAGACGCCGCTCGGTCATGCGGCCCGTGAGGGCCTCATTCTTCAACTTCTGCCCCGCGCCTGGCGGCTCCAGCTCGAGCTCCGGGTGGCGTTCATCATCAACGGTGACCGTAAGTCAACACACCCTCATTGTCCTTAAAATCCTGCTAACAATCTGGAAGTGGACCAGTGGTGAGCCCGCTCGCCGCCCGCCGCCCGCCCGCCGCGACCGCTTCGGCGGTCAACTTTTCACGTCACGACTTCCGGCAACGCCTCTGCGCGATGGGATCGGGCCAACGGTCGGCTCTGGGGCAGTGGGATGGGTTGGGTCTTCATGGTTTACTGCCTTGTAGCATAGGCTACGGAGTTCACGGTTCTCGGGATCCACACATGGAATGATACCATAATTCTTCACAATTGCTGCTTCTTGCTGTGCCTTGCTACGTGATGCTGTGATTTGCTACGTGCCGCGTTGATTTGGCGCCTTCGGCGCGCTATTCTGGTGAAGCCACCTGCGGAGTGCGAAAGCGGAAGGCACGTGCACTACACGTTGCTATCGGGGACAGGCAGCTGCCTCGAAAAGTCTTCCACAACACCACGCTAACAGCAGCTGACGACCTCAAGCAACCACCTTCCTCCACCAGTTCACACCGTCGACTCCTTACAGTACAGCGCTACTCGACGTTGCTGAGCTTCGGCTCCCTCGAACAGTGACGATTAGCATACCACACGAATACTCGAAGGCGTCGAGGGACGCTCCACTTCGACTCGTGAGTACCCTCCCGCTACTGCTAATCCTTTTGTGCAATGATGAAACAACAACTTGATCTTCTGATGAAACCCATTCCGAAAGGATATCGGGTTTTATTGACGCAAATATCAGAGCTGCCTGAGCACAATCTTCCTCTTCTGACTATTTTGTGGCAACAAAGAGCCTTGGCTAACTGAGACCTGCAGGGGCCGGTATTTGGCTATCTTCTTGCACTCCCGCCTGACGTGCCGAACGCGCTCCGAGATTTCACGTTGATAACGACATGGTTGGAAGTGGGACGCCGGGAGTCATGTGGTGCTGAGGTATTTGGTCCACGCAGAGGCGAGGAAGAGATACGCAGCAATACATCTATACACTGTGGCTTCTCAGCCTAACCACGGCAGACGTTGGGAGGCTTCTAGGCACAGGTGGAGCGGGATTTTGATGCTTTTAGGAACTACGCAAGGCGTCTCCGGGTGGAAATTGGGCGTACATAGAGTCTCGGAAACTTGTAGAGCAGGTATCTGCCGTACAGTCTTAATTGTAACCAAATGATCGCAGTCCTCCTAAGGGAAGCAAACACGTACAAGAGTCCGTTCCGCTATACTGGTCTTGTAGGACTTGCCTGGTGGAACTTGTCCATTCTTGGGACTCAAAAACGTCAGCTTGATAGTGACGGCGCCAGTACCACACACGCCTCTATCTGTTTTAAATACCATCACGTAAGGATCCTCCGGAGGCGGAAAACAGCCTCCTAAAGCGGTCGGAATGCCGTAAAGGCATAAAGCCATCAAAACCATAAGTCCTATATGGCTGGCCGCTTTTCGGGCATTCCAACTGTCTCCCGTGACAAATAATGAGAAAAGTGCGGGCTGTGCCGCCTAAATGACTTCAGTTCGAAGGGCCACTTGCCCCATAGGGCAGACACTCTTGAACCTCGCCCACGGCAGAAACGGCGTGTATATAGATCAAACAAGCTCAGTTCACTCCTATCAAACAAATATCCACGAGTCGTAGCTCAAGTGGTAGAGCCCCCCGTTAGGTTCGCCCCGGGCACCTGTACCGCCCAGACCCGAGTGGGGTGATCCACTTACTTCCTTGGGAAGACTCAGGTTCGATTCCTGACGACTCGCAAATGCCAAATTTTTTTACTTGGTGCTTTTTTGGGAAGGGGTTTTACTTTTTGGCGTATTGCTTTTGCCTATGTGCACGGCGGGACTACGACGAGATCGAACTAAGCATTACTTGATCTTCTGGCTGCGCCATAATGGCTGATAGGCAGAAAAAAATGCGTATAAGCTCCCAAACTAACGCTCCTTTCTGTGGTGAGCATGTGGCACGAGGAAGACTTGCACTTGACTACTACGGCATCATTAGGGTTTTCATCGATAACGAGAAGGTGTCCTCTCAACCGGGAAGCTATTCTTCCATGAGTCAGCCTAGAATATTGGCTTCTGCCTGTTGGATCGACATCAATGAGATTGCAGGGCGTTCCTATGCCGTCCGTGCGGAGGTTCTGGGCAGGTATAAAGTTTCCTAACTGACTTCAGCCCTATTCGTACTCCACAATAGACTGGGTCAATCGAAACCAAGCAGAGCCTCCGCATATTACTGCGTTCAGAATCGCATCGCCGCATTTGCATCGTTCCATTAGCTCGTCGTTGCTTGAAGGGATCCGAGCCGGTTCTTTCACCGTGGCTACCATACCCAGCCCCGCCACTCGCTCGGCACTCTCCGCCTCTCGCTCAACCAGCTCCTTAGGCACGGCGACCTGTACCACCGCCATTCGCAAAGGTGATCATGTCGAGGAAATCACACCCGGCAACGCATTCTACGCCTACGACCCGATCTTCGAAGCCACCGCCCTATTCTGCGTACTCTCGGACCTCTTCCAGCCAGCCACCCACTTCGTCCAAGCACTTCTACAAGAAACGATACACCGGAGCAAATCATCACGGGCGCCTTGTACCTAGGTAGGAGCTCGTGGGTTTCGTCGTAGGAGGGCCGGGGACACGCGACCGGCAGGATCTACTGCTTGCCATTGTCTCGCAGATCCTGCTTCTGCTTGCGGCTCTTTGTATGCCACTTGGCGGCTCTCGAGGCCTATTCATATCGCGGCAGCTAACGACCCCTAGGGATAAATGTCTTTGCCTCCATGGCTCTCGGTCGCTTGTTCCACTACGTCCACCTAAATACGCGCATTCGTGAAGCCGGCGCTTCTATAGCCACGAATACTTCGTCTGGGCAGATATCATTTTCTTTCGAGTGCGAGGCGTGGGCGAGGGTAGACTGGATCCCAATAACGGCGCGAGGATGATGGACATCGGCCTGAAGGTACAGATAGCCGGCGTTGGGATGGAGAAGTCCTCCATTGCGCGTCGACGCTGGTTCTGGAGAGCTAGCGAAGAGACTGATCTGCATTAGGTCATGTTCATACTGCCTGGGATTGGATTTAGGCCGACATGCCGAACCTCGAAGGGAAGGGCGCTCGAAGCCCGGGTCGCAGGCTGGAGAGCACAGATGTGGAACATGAAGCTGTGCTTGCTCTGATTCTCGTAAGTCCCTCATGGTTGACCAAAAACCTCCTTGTTCCCCATCGCCTCTTTGGCTTCAAGACTGACGTTCGAGCTACCAGAACGGTATTAAATTCCCCTCCTCGACTTCGCGCGCGGCCACGGCCAACGCAGTCCCATCCTCTACCACTACGATATCATCCACGACTTCGACGCGATGCCCGTGTTCTTCCAGGTTGCCCTCCTCAGCATCTTTCGCCCCGGCCGTGTTTGTGTCGCTCCCGACGGTAAATTGCGTTGGCTATTAGCGGAGAAGACAAAGGTCATGAACAGGAGAATAAGGAAGCTGCCAGAGCAGAAGTGGGAAGGAGAAAGGGGAGCCGGTGGGCAATTAACGAAGAGCCAAAGGCATACACGTTGGAGGAGGATCCTGATTGGGACAGTGTTATAAGACTGCGGCGCTGAGCTGTTCGAGGCGGGACTGCGTAGAGCTATGAAGCCAGCCACGCTCATGCCTGAGGGACGTGGTTTACCGGATACTAGTCACTCCTATGGGGAGAATGCACAGATGGAAGAGAAGTGGAGTGCTGAGCTTGACTGAAATCAGGCCCAGCAACCGCGTTTACTGGGACCGCTAGGTCTCTGGCCGCGGTTGGGAGTCTGGCGCAGCGGTGCGTAGCGCGAACGTGTGCAGTTCAAAATGTCCATGTAGATATTATACGAATAAGGCAAGAAGGCAAAGCTACAGGGTGCAGTTTTATAGTGCGTGAGCTTGCTCGCTACTCAGGTCGGGGCAAGGTTAGCAGTCCAGAGTTCCGTCATAGCCGCAATTGAAGATGTTTTAAAACTCAATCCGCTGAAGCATATCCCGTGGAGTCATCTTGGGACCGTTATTCGTACCTGAAGTTGAGCTTTTTCAGCCACGAGGGGCTATTGTGCACGAATGACCTTGTCATATGCTGAGACGGTGGACGCTGCTATCTTGCTAGTTGTCTAAAATCAGACCGCTTGTCGCTCCACCAACGCTAGGCCGTACCAGGTGATCGGAACAAAAATATAGCGCAAGCTCTGTGCCCACCAAAGCTTCCAGCTTGCCATACAGACAACGCCGAAGAAATACCAGCAAAAAGGAAAGCAACTTAGATTAGGCAAAATAAAAAAGCAAAAAGAAGATTTGATGTGAGGCTGGGGCCGATTCGAACGGCAATCTCTCCCTCAATGTGTGTGACGGCTTTAAGTGACATGGCGGTATTTGTCACTGGGAGGCTTTCCCACTTAAGCTACCAGCCTGTAGTATTTGTTAGTATTTGTTTCATAACAGTATCTCAAAACTATTCAATATATATACAAGACTTTATTCGCTGTTAGACAGCGGGAAATTGGTCAGTGAGGGCCAGCTGAGTGTGCTCGTTGACGTCAACGCGCAAGCGTTACGCGGGGCTGTCACCTTGAATTGGTTGCGTGCCTGCAAACGGTCCGCTGCTGCCCTGCTCGGTTTTTACTAAACCCCGAAGTGACTCAGAGCTGTGACAATAGCCATCTTAGGTTCTAGCAACAATACGGAGGGACTGCGTAGGCAGCAATAGGAAGGACGTCTATTACAATAATAGTATCTTGAATCGAGGCTACAGCTATTCTGCCAGCATATTCTAGGTTCTACTTTCTTATTGTGATGTGCTTAAGCATTGTCTTCAATTGTGGAAGTCCTTTTCAATAGTAAAGCTAGCGCGCCGCCAGCACGTCTATTGTGTCTTCTGCCTATATAAACCATCTCCCGAAACCTTCTCCGTACTTAATCCTCTCCACTGCAACTACGATACCACATCCACAAATCTTACGAAAGCTATCAAGACCCCACACCACCTTCAAACTCCTTTCAAAACCACAACCAACGTAAGAGCCATTTTATAAACGAGAACCCCCAGTTAATCAAGCCTAGAACCAAACCACACCACCGAACATCAAGATGCCGCGAGTCAAAGACACCGTCACCATCAAGTACATCTGCGCCCACTGCGGCAAATGGAGCACCAACACGGGCGTTAAGCGCTCTCCGATCCCGCAGTGGCTCCTCATCTGCTGCCACTGTGGCGCTCAGAACGGCATCGGCATGTACCAGGAGTTCGAGGAGTTTGAGGATTGAGGGGAGTTCAGGGGAGGGAAGGTGGTGGGAAGGGGAAGGCGGAATGGAGCGGAGGAAGTGATGGTGGAGTGGTGGTAGGCTCTGGATTGCTCCAGATGAGCAAGAGTAGATTGAGAAAATGCTACTGAAGCGCTTCAACCCTCACTTTCCATTTTCCCTATTCGTGCAGGCTCATTCCCATGCCTTATGTCTCCCTGTGCAGGGTCGATTACTCCGTGAGGAAGGTTGAAATAGCCTGACATGTTGTAGCCCTTCATACGCTTGCTCAACGGCGAGAGGAACCCGTGCTGAGCACCCTCAGCCCACCCTTTCCATCCACCGCCCCAATCCAAACACTTCAAATGCAAGAACAAGAGCGAATTAGCCTGAAATGCTTCAGCCCTTCATGAGCTTGCTCAACGGCAAAAGGAACCCCTACTGAAGACCCCCACCCCTCCCCTTCCGCCCACCGCCCCTATCCACAACCCCTCAATTACGAGAACAAGTACGAACCAGGCTGACATGTTGCAGCCCTCCATACACTTGCTCAACGGCAAAAGGAACCCCTACTAAAGACCCCCAGCCCCCCCTTTCCACCCACCGCCCCAATCCGTAACCCCTCAACTACAAAAACGCCGCTACGCCCACCAAAGCCGCCACACCCACCGCCCCAGCCGCACCTGTAGCCCTCAGCCCCGCCGCACCCGGACTCCCCGTCACCGTAACCCCAGCACCCGCAATCTTCCCCCTCCCGACCACAGTCCTATACACCGTGCCACTCACATCCATGCTGCTCTGCGCCGAGCTGATCTTGCCACTATACTCCCCATCATCCGGATCAATGACCTCTGCACACGACAGCGGCGGATGTGTGTCGTCGATAGTAGCGGGGCCGTTGCATACGGGCCATCCGGGGCAGGAGGAGAGCTAGATGGAGACGGCGCCGCAGACGCAGCAGCCTTAGGTTCCGAGCTCGTCGAAGAGCACGCCGGGGCAGGATTTGCCGACTAGGTCGAGGAGGCCGCGGGCGGCTTTGAGGTTCGGGGCGGTGGTGATGGTTGGGTTCTGAGGGGATTAGACGGGGGCGAGAGAAGGGGCAGGGTTAGGAAACGTACAGGTGGGCTAGCAGCCGCATAAAAGATCACATTGAGGGTAGAGAGTGCCAGGGCTGTCGTAAGGAACTGCATGGTGGCAAGGATGCACGTGAAGCGGGTCACGGCAGACTGATTGGTATCGACTTGTAGCGGTACCAGTGAGTCCTATATTGCGGTATAATTTCCACAAGGCGTAGGAGAGGAGAATGAAGTCGCTAGGATAAGGAGGGAGCGGGGTTGGGGATTTTTCTTCCCAGCTCAAAGTCATGTGGTTTGAAAGATATTAGGCGTATAGGTCCCGCTCGGTTCGCAAGGGAAGAGGCGCGAGTGGGAAAGTTGCAGTGCATACAATTCGGCGAAGGCTAGATATTGGCGGCTTTATATCCTCTCCGAACTTTCCCAGCAGATGCTTTAACCGAAGGTAGCGGCATTGACATACATGAAAGGCTCAAGTTGCATGCCCGTCTCATTTCGCACCGATTCTCGCATTTACAGTCTCTTTCCTCACAAAAATCCCTGCATAGCATTAGCCGCCGTCAAACTTAGCTCTTTAAATCCTGGAAAGGGGAATGCTTGGTTGTGCGAAGGCGCGGCTGAGCCTGGGTCCAGGTTTATTTCCAAATTTGGAATAGAACTGCGACCATGCTGCGAAACATTCTGCGAGAACGTCAAAGCGTACTCGCACTGCCGGGTGGGCGCTTACGCACGAACAAGATATCCGAGATGCATTTACTGGTACCAGTCGGTACGCAAAGAATGTAGCGCCTTTAGCCCAATGGGTCTCCCGGTATCTCTAAGCGACTCCCTAAGGGCCTCCCTTGTAACAGGAACAATGCTTCACCGAGGGGTGAGAAAGACCCTAGGGAGAGTAAGGAGACGGATCCGCTTGAAGTTTAGTAGGTCATCGAGATCGTCTTCACGAAGGGTGGTGTTTTCGTGAGAGTGACCCAACGGGCTCGGACACGTCCACGATGCCCCATCATCAGGAAGCTCCACTATACGTCTGAAGATCATTCCGCAGTTTGGGCTACTCAGCTCAGTAAGGTTCTCATTATCGGGAGAGCATCGGAACTGTATTCGACTTACCAATGAACATCTGAATCACTCTGCGACTTTTCCGGGAGCCATTGACATCTTGGACATGTGACTGATGAGTGCCAAGGCCCGTACATATCCCGTTCTTCCGTAGATATAAATACGACACTCATATCGACTCGTTGACCTGGCAGGAAAGTCAGATCGAGCGGCCGGTGTCGGTGGATCTCAGTTCGGGTAGCTCGGTCTTCGAGTACAAACTGCCTCCGTTTGACCTTGTCCAGTCCTGGGAGGCCTTCGAAACGTAACTGGAGCACCGCATCGAACATCGCCCACGTCGAGATAAACTGCATGTGGACCGGCGCGATCCTTCCGAGGGCGTCTTCAAGGATGAACGGCTCCTGGAAGTACGCCGTCGACCGTTCTGCGGGTGTCGGAAGCTTTGATTGAAGTGAGAGTACCGTTTGATAGGTGGCAACGTTGACGAAGAAGATCCTTTGCATCAAGGACTTGATCGCTGACCCGAGATCTCTGAGCCATTGGAGCGGAAGGGCGTCAAGAACTCCATTAGTTGCTCTTTGTATAGAAGAAAGTGCGTCCGAGTTCTCAGACAGACGTTGCTGGATCTGGGTCAGTGTAGCGTCCTGGTCGGCGAGCGCCTGCATCACCGTTCCGCTGTTGTCGGCCATGGTGACTGCTAGCCTTCGCTCGTTAAGCGTTTCCATTCTCCTGAGCCGCGTCAGCCTACCGCGTCGTATATAACCTAACCCCCAGACTTACATACTTGCGATCGTCAGAAGCATATTTAAGGAGGAGCTATGGGCCAGGATTTCCCCGCGAAATTTTGATAGCTCGTCTTTCTCGACTAATCGCCATTGCACCTTTCTCGAAGATCTACTAATCGGGTTCGCCGTCGGAGACTGACCCAAAGCCAATCGATACTTCGCTATTCTTTCGAGGAGGTCTTCCACGCACTTGCGGCACTCTATGACAGCTTGCTGGGCGGTCTGAACGAGGGCTATCAGCTCCGGCTCCGCGCTGGCCTCATGCTCCTTGAATAGTTGAGCGATCTGGAGCAAAGCTCTGTCGAGAATATATAGCTCCCGGATAATAGCCTGGTACTCTGCGGAAGAGCCACGGCTGTCGTCAAGTGCGGCTAGGACGTCCTTCACGAGCAGGGAGACAGAGATGATGTCCCCGACTGAACCGAACGTTATGGGCATGGCGCCAAGGAGAGTTCACAGAATGGAGATGATGACAGCTCGGGAGGGGACAGGACGGGTTTGTTAAGTGCATTTCACCCTATATGGCGTGACCCAGCCGAGTCTGGACAAAATAGACGAAGGCGCAGCTCCAGCCAAGGGTGGCGGATTCGTATTTGGCATGACTTCAGACGAGACCGTGTCTGATGATTGCCGCTGAGAGGAAGACGCCGTGGATCCGGAAGGCGAAGACAGGATTCGGGAGGAGATTTTCTGTCGCAGACGCCGCGCCGTGAGACAACTATGGGATAGCTTAGTAAGGTTGAGGACCGTCAATCCAGTATTGCTGCTAATCTTGGCGACGCCTCGCTTGAACGGTCGAAATGCGTAATATGATAATCTGGGATTGCGAAGTCGCATCGCGAGCAGGCAAGCTTCTAGCTAGGATACACTATCGTAGAATGAGACCAGGATGGCGAGACAAAGCACCTCGGGCTATGATTCGTGAACCGCTGCAGTCCTTTCAGGAAGGGGATCGCACGCGGTGTGCGTGGAATATTCACCGGTTTGAAGTAGCAAGGCGCGGGGTCAGGCGATGCGAATCGTACAGGTGCGGTGGCGCAGGTGGCACAGGTGGCACAGGTGGCTGGTGGACTATATCAGCAAACTAGAGCCTCTTGGAAAGGGAAGAATTGAGGAGAGCGTGCAGTACCGAATACAAGGGCCAACTTGTAAGTTCCGGCATTGACCGCGAGCGTGCAAGCAGCGGAGTGGAGATATGGTTTGTTCGAGAAAGACGACAAGGGCTCTGCGCGGCAGATGTTGCAATTCCCAGTCGTGAAAAGACGGACGAGAGGTCGTGCCCGAGACGAGAGACGAGACAAGAGCTGTAATATATCAGCCCAGGACCCAATACACCAATATGCAAGCAACCGCTTACCTAATGCCGAACGCGAAGGGCAAGCTTCGCCAAGAAACAGAGAGTGAAGCACGTGACAGCGCGGTCTTTTCGCGACATCCATCTCCCAGGTTAGCGGGTCGACTGAGACGGACCTTGGAGAATGTGGGAAGCTTACCTTGGTCCCCTGCACAGTTCCAAAGTCGCTCTTCCCATCCAGAAATGGCGTGATCGCGAAGGTCGCGGGAGAGGCAGGAACATGCCTCGGCGTTCCTACCCTTCCAACTTGGACGGCCGTCGCGAGCCTCCAAGTGTGGAAAGCCTATCCTGCAGGCCGTCAGCAGGCAGTGTATATCCGCCTAGAAAGTGGGGCCTACTTACGGGCATGCATGCGTCCGCGACTCTTCCTAGTGTGGAAAACCTATCCCGAAGGCCTTCAGCTGGCAAAGAGCACGGAAGAAGCCCCGGCTCTATGACATATTGCTTGATTGGCTCGCTCTGAGAGGAGCTACTAGATACTCATCTATCATACTCATCATTCATAACACATGTTCACGTGACCCATATACACATTACCCTCATCTTTTCATCACCATCTCCACATGCGTAAACCCCACCAGAAGCCTCCGAGACCCCTAATGCATGAACCACCTAGAAAAGACCCTTACGCAGCGGGTGGCGCGCTCCGCCTGCCTTGTTCGCCCTGGTGATGACGCAAATGCCCATCTCCTCGCACCACCTCCTTACCATCCACGTTTCTAAGTCTTTCCTCACCGCCAGCACCTGGCCCGCAGCAACGCGCGGCTTCTCTTCGTGAACCCTCGCGTATCTAAGCCATGTCTTGTACTGCTTTTGCGTGGCGCGCTTGTACGTCCTAATGAATGTCGTCTTGTTGAGCCAGTTGGTGAAGTCCTCTAGGATGAAGGGATAGAACGAAAACATCTTCTCACGCCAGTTCATGACGAAGGGATCATCGGATGGGGCGAGGTTTCCGATCTCCTTGCTAATCTCGCTGGAAACTATGGGTTTCAGATTGACCCATTCTAGCAGCAATGCTTCGATGCGGAAGATAGGAACGAGATCATCCGGCTCGTCGGGAAGGCTCGGCGAGAGCGGCGGCGGAGGCGAATCTACTAGTCTGCCGACGCGCGGGGGAGTGGGGGATAAAGCTTCGTCATCCTCCGAGTCGAGAATCTCTTCCACGTTGGCGAACCGACCCTTTGTGCGTGGTGGCGTTGGCGGAGCGGAGTCTGGCTTTGGCTTAGCCTTTGCTTTCGGCGGTCCACCACGGCGCTTCTTAGGGGTGCCCCAGGCCGCAGCCGGTGCGGAGGTAGGACGAGGGAACGGCTGTGCGGACGGAGGAAAGTCATCGATGTCGGCGAAGCTCGAGTCTACATGCTGATTTGAAGGCGGTGGCTCTTGTGGGAAGTCCTCGATGTCGACAAATGACGTGGCGTTCTCTTCAACACGGCTTGGGGAATCGATGGGATCAGCTGCATTCATAGCAGGGGCAGTCGGAAAATTGGTCGAGGTCCCGTTCGAAGTAGGCGGCCTAAAGTCGTCGATGTGGACGAAGGAGCTATCGCGCTCGTCGCATGCGCCATCTATGAAGAGAGGAAAGTCCTGGGTGCGGTCGGGGTCCGGCATGTAGACGTCGTTTTGCTTCTCGAGGAGTTGACCGTATTCATCTCTGGAACCGGCATCCCAGAGGCTTCGGTTGCTTGCTGCCTGGTCCAGTCGTGGCCACATCGCGCGGCGAGAAGAAGCATCGGAGGCCGCGCCTTCCTGCATCTGGGCATCATCCTCAGATGCACGAATGGCTTGCTGAATGCCTCGAACGGTGGTGGGTGATTCATCGAGAGCGAGTTGACTCGAAGTTCCAAAGAGAACGTCTTGCCTGTTGAGTTTCATCACGGCAGACGAAGGACTGAGTAGTTTGGTGGCGACCATTTTGGGTTCAGCGCCAGCCTTGGCAGAGGCTTTCTTCAGCTTCGTTGTCATTTCACCCTTTCCCGATGCGGTCTTCGACGATGAACGTTTGCGAGTCGGCTTGGTGGGGTTGGTAGCGTCGTGCTCGGTTGAGTCGTTCAGTGGCACTTTCGTTGTTGTGGTGCGAGGGGCGAAAAAGTCGCTAGTGACGGAAGTCGCCTCTGCGTTGGGGTCCTTGGGAATGTATTGGCGGGTTACTAGATCGGTGATAGTCCGGGCTTTCCTCTTCGATGCTCTCCCCTTCTCTGGAGATGGCGGACGCGGGGCGGCCTGGTTGCCGCGGACCTCAACGAGCTGCAGGCCTTTGTTAACTGTGTTACTCTTATAATAAATGGTGGGCAATGCATACTTCGACCTTGCGCCGTTTCGTGCTGCCCGCGACCTCAAAGCGGGTTGACTTTGATGTTATGGTGTCTGAGGTGAGGTCTAGGTGTGTATAAGTGTAACCGGAGAGCATGTTGGTGAATTCACCAGTCTCCATCTGGGCGGCAGAAGGCTTGTTCTCTTTGCCCGGTAAATCTGCAAGCATGTCATGCGCACCGGTATCCACAGTGTCCGCGGGCGGAGTCCAATCACGGCGTCGATGTACTGCCTCATCTAGCTCTAGCGGTTGGTTTATGGTGCCTGACGGTCGCTTCTTGACAGGAGCGAAGTTCTGATTGGAAGGGCTCAATGGGACATCCCAGATAGAGTCTTCATTCTCACGAGGTTTGTGCATGCGTGCGCCCGGAAGCGGCTCCGATTCTTCAGTTTCGGCGTCGGCTGCACTACCAGCGTCCTTGCCTTTCCGGAAATGTTCAGACAGAACGCCAGTATCCGTCCTGTGCGACCTTGCCGCAGATCTTGTGGGACCCTTCGGCTTGCTAGCCCTAATGTTATTGAGCTTGGGTGGTAGCTCGCTGCCGGAGTCGGTTGTTGTGCGATGGATTCGAGGCTTGACTGGCTTTCGCTCTCGGAGCTTCGGCTTCGACTCCGCGATATCACCGTTGGCGGTAGCCTTCGTGACTCGCCGCTTCGGTTTCTTCGCAGATTCGTCTTCGCCTTCGTAGCCCTCCGCGAGGGTCTGCCGTGACAGAGCTTCTTGTATCGTCTTGAAATCCTCGTCCAATTGCAGGACGCTGCGGGCAGTGGCGAACCCTCTCGCGATGTCCGCGGGGACAGCAGCAGCTCCCGGGGCTGCCTTTGACGTGCCGAGTGCCTCCCTCCTTGGAGACACTCCAGGAGAGAGCGACAGGGGCGAAATAGCGCCCATAGGGACGCGTCGATCGGAGGGCGAGAGAGGGCTCAGCGGGCGCGGGGCTGAGCCGACGTCCTCAGGAGGTGAGGACGAGATAACGACGATTTCGGGGTGCGCCCCTGCCATTCTGCAGAACCGGGGAAGGCCCCTGCAGGGTTGACAGGTGCGGAGAGGGGAGTATGTAGTGATGGTGGTGCAGGTGCGTCCTCGAACATAAACTTGAGGCGCTTGGACCACGCCTGCCTCTCCAGTGGCCGTCTTGCGCTAGGCCAACGAGCCCCCTCCAACACCACCCTACCACCACCCTCTTCAATCGATTTCTGGTGCTCTGTTCAGCCTTGTATGCTTCTTTGCATCTTCGTCGTGTACTTTTCCCCGTCTCCTTGAGGGCTTTGCTGCCGAAATGCACGCCCCCTGCGACTCACGTGCGCGCACCTCCGCCGACTTCTGTGGATGCTTCTATTGCCATAGACGCTGGCAAAGCAGCTTGCGAGCATGCTGGCAGCGTCCTCGATGCCCTCGCTCCATTTTCTCGGCTTCCGATTCATGGCGGTGTCGGCGCTGCGATCTTGGGCCCCTGGGGCGCTGAACGCCTTCCCCGTAACCACACCCGAATCCCAACAACTACAAGAAGCCTCTCAGATCTGGGAAGTCTGTACGGACGATGAGGAGGGCCGTAAGTACGCCCTTGATGGTTGCAGCGCACTCGGTAGGCCATGGTTTTCGAATATGCGGTCTTGACGGCGACCCCGCTTCGCCTGCGGCTTCGCTCACCCTCACCACCAAGACAGGAGCGACCACACAGCTCCAACTGCACCAGAAACTACCCGCTGTCGATATTGTGCCTGCTAAGGTCTCTCTCATTCGAGCTTGCGGTATTTAGCGCTCGCAGCGACTTCGTCTCCCGTCGTCGGCGATGCTCCTGCGCGCACGAGCTCCGCTCCTTGCCTAAGGTACGTCTGACCTTCACCCACGACGTTCGGATGCTGCAATGGCGGCACACCCTGCGTCGCTCATCTCCTCGATCAATGTATAGAGAGACCGCTCGAGTCGGTGCCGCTAAGGGGGGGGGTCTGCGTCCTCTGATGCAGGCGGCCCGTGGCGTTCGGCGGCGGCTCTCTGCTCGAACCGGAGCACAGCCGCATTCCCGCAGGAATGGAAGATGTCGAAAAGATAAACATGCTGCTGACTATCCTTTGGGCAGAATAGTTTGCGAAACGACTTGTTCCTTAATCGCCGAGCAGACACTATGAGTCGAGATCGCCTTTGTCCGATACAGACACCGCCGCAGACAATTTTCGATATCCGGAGTTCGAACAACGGAACCTCCGGTGACTGTGCGCCTCAAGGTAGCTTCTCTCGAGATTGCTGACATTCCCGGACTCGGAAAACCCTCGAGACAGGCTTCCTTTGCCGGAGCTCACGTGCCTCCACCCCGCCCCGGACCTCCCTTGGAAGAGCGATCTTGGGTCTCGACTTCATACTGGAGGACCACGTCTCGATGCGAACCAAGTTGCCGTCCTCGAGCTCGTACAAGGACTCCAAAATTGAGAGCTGCCTCGCACCCTCGCATTTTGCCGGAAGCGTATTACACAATAGCGGTCTAGAAGACTGTTGGGTCCGTCGTGTTGCTGGTGGAAGCTCACCCGCCCGCGGGTCGCGATGGCTTTGCGTTCCGAACCATGGAATACATGTCGGCAACAACATGGTACTTGAGTCATAACTTCTATCATTGCCATCAAGGACGACGAACCGGCAGATATCGAATCGTTTCCTTTGAGACCTGGTTCGATAAGGGCTGCGTTCTTCGGCAAGTCTTGGCGCGCTCTTCATGTCTCAGAGATGTCCACCTGCCCGGCCGTTGGTACGAACGCACACACCTCAACGGAAAGGAAGTCGCAGCATTTTGGAATCGCCGTAAGCTTCATTGCTTCTATCGTGTCGTCAGACCGGATATCTCGATTCGATGGGCCTCTCTTACTTTGCACATGCGTTCGATACCCCGCACGACCTAATCCTTGAGGTCCCGTTGCCTTTTCGCACCCTCCGGCATCTTGAGCCAACAAATGCGAAGCCGTTCTGCGTACCCGTCTCACTGCCCTACGGCCGCTTGCCAGGGAAACACGAGTAACGTGCCCGAGCCGCGAGAACACGTCGCCGGAGTCCTGTTCCTGGGCGAGCACAAAGACGTTGGATTCTTTACTCCAGCAGAACTGGTGACCAGAACAGCATGATAACAAATGCGAAGCGCTTCGCCCAGGTCGTATCGGGGTCCTTTGCCAGGAAGACACGAGTAACGTGCCCGAACCGCGAGAACACGTCGCGAAGGTTCTTTTCTCTTCCCGTGACGCCGTGCTGCTCCTCAGATTTATCATCTTCGGACACCGATCGCGATCCTTCTTGAGCCAGTTACATTCGAAGCAGTGGAAGGCGTCGAAGATTCCCTTGCCGCCGCAGACGAGACGCTTGTTTTGGTAGTTTCCCAAGGAGCACTCGTCGCAGATGTAGGTGACCAGTGCCGGGGGAGAGTCATGCGACAGACCGATCATGGCCCCTATCGCACCATTCCTGCGACAATTCTGGGAATCAGATGCAGCACTTCTCTGAGCGTGTAGCTCGCAGTGTTCGATAACGATGTGGACCACGTTGTTGTTCCTTCTCGTCGCCAGACGTCCTTCGCGATTCCGGGGGAGGCGGCACACACTTTATTAATGTAGCTTCCCGGGGAGAGCCATGCAACGGGCTTGACCATTGCTCTCCCCGGGCACTCTCTGATACTCCACTCTCTTCCCGTCTCACTCCGGGAGAGACAGCAAGCCGCTCATTGTCGAAAAAGCTACCCGGGGCGAGCCATGCAACGGGCTTGACCATTGCTCTCCCCGGGCATTTCCTCTGATACTCCACCTCTTCTCACTCCATTTTGGAGGAGCGAAGAGTCGCTCATATAATGAACCGCAAGGCCGCGTCTCAACTCGACGAGCCGATGTGATGACCGAAACCGTCTGGTAATAGGGTTAGTTAAAGATAGAGACCAGTGCTGGAGACCACACTCACATCCATCCATACTTCTCACAAGTCCTTGCGGCATCTGTCCGGTCTCGGCACCGGGAGCCGTCGGCGGCGAGCTCCAGTGTCTGGCGCTGGGCCGAGCGCCTCGACCTCAGAAGAGGCCCACAATGAAACAAGTGGGGAGAAGTATCCAACCCTCCGGACACACAGGCCCATGGCTTAGGACCCGGGCATCCTTCCGAATTCGATTTCTGATTTGCACTTCGGGAGATTGCCGCAGCACACTTCTTGCATCTCGGACAGTGCCTTCTGCTGATCCTCCTCGCTAGTGAAGCGGACGAAGCCTTCGCCGCGAGAGACGGCTGAGCGCGTACTCTGCACCGCTGGGTACGTGTTCTCCGGGCAGAAACACGGAGCATACCATGGTCGAACTGTCGAATGTCCTTGAAGTGGACGGTTTTCTTTCCGTCTTCGGCAAGGGGGGTCGCCGATCTGCGAGTGCTCTGAGAATTCAGGAACCACCAACAAAGACGGTGGTATTATTCGGGTCGATGAACTGGTTCATGGGCTGTGGTGCCCAGTAGTTTGCCATCGCGGAAGCGCCCGTCGAGTACATGCCGACAGGTCCGCCAACAAAGACGGTGGTATTATTCGGGTCGGTGAACTGGTTCATGGGCTGCGGTGCCCCGTAGTATCCCATCGGGGGAGCGCCCATCGACTACATGCCGACAGGTCCGCCGCCGCCAGGAGGCATGCCCATACCCGGTCCACCGGGTCCGCCACTCTTGAGGGTCGGGCAAGATTGCACTGCACAGAAAAATCGAAACGAAGCGGAGTCCACGGGACATTTCGGACGTGATTGATTGCTTTGTCTCGTTTTGAGTCACCAACCTGGAGAGGTTATGCTGACATGATCCCTCTTCACGAGTATCAGAATTGAAAGCCATTGGTGGTTGGAAGCACTGATTCGGTATACCCTGGATACCTGCGATAGTGACCTCATGGAGGGGATAGGGGGGCCGAAGAACTGGTGAGATCGGCCTTCATAAGGGGTCATGGAAGAGGCCAACTGGGTGGAATCCCCGTCTTCCGGTGACCCCTCTCCGATCGGCGTAAGGAATTTTTTCGAACTATTCGGATCGGAAAGAAGACCAGATCGCTAGGGTCATTCTGGGCGAGTTCCAGGAAGCTGTCGGTCCGGGTGCTGAAGTAACACGCCCGACTGCGAACTCACCGTGTCAAGCTCCTTTCCGACTGCCAGGAGCTCGGTGCCAACGTCGATTTCCTGCTCTTTCGGACCTGGTACCTCAACGGGAGGGAGACATGAGCTTGGTGTCCGGTACACTAAGGGTGAGGAGTTCTCCGACGTGGTGTGCAAACATCATGACCCGATTCGACTGTAGGAAGAATAGCGACGGTGACAGCGACGACGGCAATGAGGACAACGTAGAAACCGAGCGTAGGGCAGAGCGAATGTCCGACGACAGGCCGTTCGGGTGCAAGCAGAGGAACCTGCGAGAGCTGTCAGAATGCTGTCAGCGGTTGCAGTTTCCACGAGGGGTCGCGGTGTGTTTGCTACTCACGACAATGTTTGCTACCGCGCCCGAGCCCGCTGATCGGAGGAAGCACCTACGCTTACGCAAAAGCCCGCCGTACCTCGAAGAGGCACGATGCGTTGGGCGGATGTGACGGAAGCCATCGTGCGGTGTGCCGATGTTGCGGAACAGTCCCATCGACAGGGCTGTGACCTGACTCGCCGTCAATATCAATCATCAGGCCACTTGGGCACTGTTAAACCTACGATTGGTACCTGCGGTCCGCTCGCTGAGAGGTCGCTGTCGGTCGTCGACGCCGCTAAAGATCCATTGCAGCCGGCGTGCGGTGGGGACGAATGCAGAAGATGACGCAAAGTTTAATCGGAGTCCGCCATGGTTCTTTCAAGAAGTGTACAAACTGCTCGCGGGTTCCAGTCTCTCAGGGTACCGATCTGGCGGTCTGAATAGGCGTAGCCATACCATAAAGTCGAAGGGGTGCTACCGTTAGTTGCGCCTGCAGCGGGGGTGTATCGCGAAGGCGCTCAAGGCGCCGACCCGCCCAAAGCTGGAGGCCGTGTCGTTGGCAATGCTATTGTCGCTAGTGGAGTCCTCGCCATAGCAGGCATTTTGTGTGTCCGCTGGGAGTTGCTGTTGGTGAGGCGTGTCAGCAATACCAAACATAAGCGGCGATGGCGACGGCGCCGAATCAACGAGACCGCGTACCGCAGAGTCAGGAGACGAACGTGCTGCATTGACTGGAGCGTTGGATGCAGGCTCGCTGTCGCCCGAAGCCTCGTTGGCCGCGGAGGTTGGTGATGCCATCCCGCAGCCGCCTCAAGCTCCGGGTAGCGGGTTGCCGGCGGGGGTTGTAAGGCGAGTCAGTACGTACTTTGGCCAGCTTGAGAACATCCGCAACGTCTTCTGAAGCAGCTGGTCGCCCTTCTGAGACCCTATCGCAGGTGTTGAGGTCAAAGCAGGTCGGGGTGGTGAGGTGTTGAAGATGAGGGCTCCGACGGTCAGGAGGACGCCACCAAAGCGGACCTTGCCGTCAACAGCAGAACAAGCTCAGGAGATCGCGAAGGAGCGCAAGAAGTACAGAAACTGCTCGCCATGCCCTCGCCGCCGATTCAGCAGGCGCGGAGTGGGTGGTGTCGGTGGTGTCGAAAGTTTGGTGGCGGACGACCAAACGGCACCCGCCTTCGCGGCTATCACTCTCACCTCTTGAGCGCACGGGCCACGACCAACGCTAGCCCATCGAGACGGATGTCTGCGCTAGGTGTCAGCGATGAGCTGCAAGAGGGGAGGATAGCCGCTGGAATGGTCTGCATGCATATGAGGCCCATCACCAGCAATTGGACTTAGGCGGGGTCGAGAACTGGAGCATTCGGCAAACAAGATGCCTCCAGGAGATCAGACAAGCGCCGCACCACCCCTGAGGATGCCCCGACCTCGTGAGACTTTCGGAAGAGCGAGCAGTTGGTCAGCTTGCCTTTGGAGTCCTCGGCGAAGGTGTCATGAAATCCCTGCGTGAACTATGTGAATGCCACCAACTCTGTGTTCATCCTGCATCGAGACTGGACGGGAAAGCGCGTTACACATCGCCTGCAAGCACCCCCGTTTTGCAGACCACACTCAACACGCTACAACGCTCAGACGGGCATAGAAATGCTGGGATTCTGTCAAACTCTCCTCAGGCCACCTTTCGGCGTCATGCACGACAATAGCACATCAGGGGCTCGTCCTACTGTGCCCCGGCGCCTGAAGCAGCCGCGGGATGCTCCGCGCTGAGCTGACACGGAAAGAGCAACTATCTGGCGGCCATATCAATGACTTTGACAAGGACAATTGCGAAAGCCTGCTTTGCCTCTTCTGAATTGCTATGCTCGCCGCAACATTTGCAACTCTCCGGCCAGCAGCGACCCGTTTGAAGACGCCGGTCCCATTCTTCATACGCAAGTGAGAGAACTCTGGACTCTTACAGGCCACTCTAGGTCTGGACAAGCTTCGGCCCTGCGCCTTTACTCGTCCAGTGCGCTTCGTTCCACCGCGAACAGTATCTTGGTAAAACTTGTCTGAACGGAGCGTGCATGTCAAGTTCTGTGAGATCTCATATCCCATTCCAGGGATTCAAGCATTCTTATATGGAGAGATCATAAGCCCGCAATTCCATTTTTGAAGCACTCGGAGAGCTATAATCACGGTTAAAGTGCATGCGACACGACATCTTAAGTCGATGTTCAGCACCTCTGGGAACCCATGAGAGCACTCCAGATGAAAGACCAATTCTAGGACATACCTGCGTTTGGCAAGTCGTCGGCCTGCACGCGTTCCCTTACTGTCTCCTGAACGGCTACCTGGGACCTTCGAACCTGCTCGCATGTTTTGGTTTACCCCTGGATTTACGGACTTCAATAGCTTGATTGAATCGAGGTGTATGCTGTCCTTAACCACAAGGAGCGCTCGACGCATGCCTCCAAGAGCGGCCTCTCAAAGGTCACTTTAATACTAATTCTACTGGCTTCTCATCGCCGGGAATTGCTCCCTAAGCAGGTATGAAAGGATGCCTTTGGAGTTCCCCAGGAATATCCGGACCCGCCATACGTGCATCTACCATCTCGGCCGTAAACACGATCTCTTCGGGGAGCTTATAGTCGTGCTTGTAAATGTTCCGGATTCTCGGGCATAGACCACTTCGTCTGACTGCTGACGCAAAGTCTCATCCTTTGATGTCGCAGACGCTGGACCTATTCATGATCTGATCATGTCCGAGCTTGACAAGTCTAAAACAGACCTTGTAGTTGCCGGCTCTAGACTATGGACATCGGTATTGAGAAAGTTCCGAACCGCTCAAGAGCCCAGCAGCCTCAAGTCTGCGATATTAGCCCTAGTGATCAGGAATTGGCTAAAATCAACTTCTCAATGATTCGAGAATATCCAAATCCGGAAGGCAGGAAGCTACGAGAACCTCGTCAACGTATCTCCCCTCTCTGGATCTTGCCCCTCGATTAATCATTCACGAGTAATATCCTGTGGATTGTACAATACCGGAACTTGTGGTGCACCTGGTATTCTTACTCCCGTCTTCGGGCACCAGACCGGGTGACTTCCTGGACCGTCGCCCAACCAAGTACGGATGGCTATTGGAACCCTCCTCAGGGTCGACAACTCAATGGAACTCGCATAGACTCTGCTGTTGGGTAAGTGTACTCTCAGTTCTGTCTCATTATCCGGTTTGGATCCTCGGATATCTTTCTGGTTACGAATATCAATCGAAAGGACAAGAGTCTCATTACACCCACTTCCTGAATAACGATTCCTTTGGTGCTCCTATGAACTCCGTATTCTGATGCGTGTGCTTCTCACTTGCTCGACTTTCCCGTTCCTGATTCCCCGGCATACATCCCGGTGAGTTTAAGCTCGATGTCTTCAAATTACCTTGGTACCGGAATCACATCGACCCCCATCTTACATACCCACTCACGACCCTGGGATCATCTCACGGTGGCGTCAAGCTCAACTAGGACTATTCTAGGTTCTCTTGCACTTGCCATGTTGCGTAATGTATTGCCAATCTATACATGCTACAGTTCCAACGTACCGGAGCGGCACCACCAAGTACATTCCTTGGATTGTATCCGGATGATCCGCTTACTACCTCTTGTCCATGATAATCCTCCCTCGGAGTCTTCCTGGAACTTCGGACGCCTCCGCCTCGACATTGTTATCTTCCATGGTATCCATTACTACCCTCCGTCAGGCCGGTCATCATCTGGTTTTCTGTTTCCTTCTCGGTGGGATCGTCAAGCTGTAGGAGACTTGACGTGGAGGCCTCTACGCGTAAGCGCAGGTGTGCTGTCGGTTCGAATCCGGCTCCCATCTTGCCTTGTCCTGCAACATCATCCGGGGACGACTTGGGCTGTGTGCTGTCGTTTCCCGTTCGTAGACATGCATTGTGATGCTACCCATCCGGACCGTCCGCTCGTAGACTGCGGTCTTGGTCCTCTTTAGTAGGTGTTACCCCTTTCCTTCCCCTCCCGTCGTCCTCGTATCCCCAAGTAGTATCCAGCGTCCTCCATCCCATCATAGCGGCATCGCACCTCAACTCCTGAGCATCTCAACACCGACAACTCCCACCCCTCAAACGCCATCCACTTTCTCAACCCACCAGACAAACACAGTATCTTCACATCCGCCCAGTGTCAACCCCGCACGACCTAGTAGCAACCTCCTCTCAGTACCTCTTCGATAAGATCCGCGCGATCTTCTTTCGAACGTCGAGAGCTGAGCGATCGGCGAACGGCCCGTTGGCGGCGTTTGGAACCTGACACAAACATTGGAAGGGTAAGCAGCATCCTTTACTGAAAAGCTGGTGGCCTCGTCGTTGCAGACAAGCTCATGGTAGCAGCGTCTTCCTACCTGTGTACCTCCCCTTTCCTATCCTTGTTCCGACGCTTGCGTCGCCAGGCCCTGGGATTGCGCGGAGTGCCAGGAAGACCGAAACCTGACGCCATCGTGCCGTGTGGTATTGGATGTTGTGGGTTCCGATGAGGAGTTATATCCGAGGGACCTGCCCGCTGTGGAGTATGCTGTGTGACATGTGGTAGGGAGGGATTGTGGTGCGGTGCGCGGGCTTGCTGGGAGTTCGTGCGGGATGTATATGGGGGAGAGGGGTGGTAGGTGTGCGTGGGTTTGGTTGTCGCCGTGCCTGCTGCTGTAAGTTTCGCCATTTCATATACCCGTTTGTTCATGCTCGTCAGAGCAAATCCCTTTCGTATTCAGCGCTCGGGTTATGCCCTTCCTCTTTGCTCCTCCTTATCATACAGAAGCCGCGGCGGCTTCAATACCGGCCGCGTATTGCCCTCGCTCTCCGCTATATCATCCCCTTTGTCATCACTAGCCCTATCCCCTTTTATTTCTCCGTCCGCGAAGACATCTCCTATTTCCCCCTTCCTACTGTCCCGTCGCCAACGCCGCATTCTCTCTACGATCCTTGTAGAGGGCCGCCGCGCACTTGAGGAGGTAGAAGATCTCTGGGACGCGCTTTGCGTCGCGGTCAGCGCTTCCGGGCTCGAGGTGTTTCTTCTCGCGCGCGTAGATCTCGTTGACCGCGCTCCAAGGAGACGTTGTGCTCTCCTTGGTGTATTCCATGAAGACGGCGCCATCCGCTTGCCCGTTGACAGGCAGCCAGTCTTCGCCGCCGCGGTGCTTCCAGACGGACGCCTCCAGGTTGTCCATCTGCTCGAAGAACTCCTCCGCCTCGTCGCTGTTGTCCCTCAACGCCGGCCGGTACTCGTACATGAGGAAGATGAAGGCGATATTCGCTGCCACGACGTCACCCGCGGCCAGGTTCATGCGCGTGCGGAGGAAGTTCTCGCTGTTGGCGGCCTTGGTGTTGAGCTCCGCGGCGGGCTGGAAGTTTGTAAGGAGTGGCATGATTGCTTGCTGCGAGGAAGAAGACTATGCTCGCGTTAGTTATTGAGGGTAGGACTTTCTTTTAAAGGTAGGGAGTGTAGGCAGCGGAGATGGTGTTGTCGCCTGGAGCTCACAGTAAGAGCATGCTGTACTCTGGCTTGGCCTAGGGGCCGTGCTCATCCCATCTTTTTGTCACCATGAACGGATTTGAAGTTTTCTCTTTAAGGGAGGCTTCAAATCGATCAAGGATGGTAGTCATTTACGAACGGGAGAAGTGCTGTCGCGTTTTTCTCGTTTTGGAGTTCGTGTTTGCGGATTCTGCTCCTATGCATGGTAAGGACGCGGGATTTTCCTCAATGTCCACCTGGGTACACGATTCTCTTCCATGTTTATCTTCCCATCTGCTTCGGTGTTTTGCAAGGTTATTTGTTCAATGATTGCTATTTCCTTTATGTTATTTGCAGGTCATCTATGGTTCTGAAGTTCTTGAGCCCATGTTCGCGGGTAGGTGTTCGACCAAGTCCACCCGGGTAGCACCACAACAACCCAACGCCGCCTTCACTGCTTGCACACAGCACCTACCCTTGTTTGCACCGCCACCCTCACTTGCAGGCAAAAAGAATGCAAAAAGAACAATGTGGCTATTGCCGACAACACCACTCGAACCCAAGTACATAGCAAAAAGCAAAAAGGAAACCCAGGGGGCTGGGAAAACCTCCTGTATAGATATGTTAGCGGAGTTCTGAATCATGAGAGGCTGTAATCAGTTAGCTGCCAAACTGCCAAACGCTGCAACGCCGCTACCACTAAGCTATCTGAGTCTATGTACCAGGCACAACTGGCGGGGTCTAATTCATTCCCGGATTATGAAAACTGAGTAGAATTAACTAATATATATACTACAAATCGCCAGGTTTTGGCAAGTAAAAGGATTTGTGGGCCGGCTGACGCGCGTTTGATATGGGTGGCCGGCTGCTCAGTTGTTTTGACCTTCACTGACACAGAAACGCGCAGGTGGGGTTGCTACGTCGCAAAAGAGGGGTTCCCCAGCGGGTTCCGACCACGGAAATCCCCTTAGGACGCCTCAGCTGCCAGGAATACGCTTATCTACGATTACACCTTGGATGGCCTCCAAGCTACACCCGATAGCTCAACTTCCTGGAAGCCAGGCCGTTCGCTCTTCTACCATGAGGCAGTCGGCTATTAGCCTGTCGGCGACTACTTAGATACACAAGAGTTTTGACAGACATGTACGGTACTCTCATAAAGCTACCACAATCTTCGAGAAACTTGGGAGCGAGACTATCACACTAGAAGCTCCAAAGTTGCGCTGACGCTTCCACACGTTTCTCCGCTACCAGTCACACCTGTACCTCTAGTCCATCAATAAAATATCCCAGATACGTTTACTGTCCTCGCCGCACCGCTTCAGACGGTGTCGAACGCCTCTTCTCGGGCCGCTATGTCCTAGACTTCTCGATTTCCTGACCGTCCCACGGCTTGCTTACCTTTACAAAGGTCGGTGGGGAGTCTATAACAAAGAACAGAGGATATCGCGGATGTAGGAAGAATACAAGTTAGGAAGAGTGTCATTTCTATGAACTGTGAGGCTCGTAGCAGGGACAGAGCTCTCCTTAGTTTCGGAGTCATCGAGCTTTCTGTATAGGGAGTCCGAGGCACCCGACGTTCAGCCTACACACTTTCCTTGTGGGATGTGTTTCCACTTCGTATTTGTGAGGGTGGGACACACGAGCGGCGAAAGGTCGAGAAACGCACGGGGTAGCTATGAGCGCTCAAATAGCCGAGGCAGCTTGCGTAGGCTGAAGGGAATATCTTGATTGCGCCCCTACGACAGCCCGAGTTCATTCAACATCGGTATTAGAACACCTTCCTAAGCCCCTGCCGGCAGACCCACTTGAGAACTCTCCATAACATCACATTCGGAGTGAGTAAATCCTCCTATTCCGCGATGCCTCGTATGGTCCCAGCCCTGTCTGTATCTCCTTCCCAAGGAAAAGGACATCGTCTGTCTGCCCAAGCCGAGCGCAGCCCCGGTCGCAAAACCTCCATCTTGTAGTGTGCCCGTTAGGTTGTGTCTCATCTCCCTGTCCCGAACAACCAGCAGACCCGTCCATATTCTCCTCACTGATATCTCCAGCTCCCTGGCTTCCTTGTCTGTGTGTCTCTCCAACCCCTCTTCTCTTCTTTCCTTGGTCCTTGCGCTTAGCGTGCTCAATCATTGTGTAAGCGGACTGCGACGGCAACTGTCTCTCCCGAGGTCCTATCCAATCCCCTGACACCTTGCTTCACCGTTGTATGGGAGATTCCGGCTACTTCGGCGCATCGTGGACGCGGTTTAAGATGTCTGCGAAGGGTCGTCGACGAGAACGGTGCATGCTTGCGCGAGCAGGACGAGGCGGTGCGACTTCGATCGTTTTAGAGTTTGTTCGGGACGGCGTTTCGTAGGCAATGGCGCGAACTGTGTTATTGGACAGTATGTATATTGTCGGATTCTATCAGTCTGTTAGCGGTGGGTGTGGCTCTTAAAAGGGCTGGTTCTAAAGTCGAATCTGGGAATTGAATTCGATGCGGAGGGACGTGACCCATTGCAAGAGGTGCTGACCGAGGAGGTGGATATGCCGGTAGAGCTTGCCAGCGGGCTGCATTGTTGCTAAAGCTCTGTAGCTGATGCCCTGTAGAGAAAGAGAAAATGCCTCGAGCCATGTTGTCCAATTGGATGGTGGTTATCTGTTGTAGTTACTCCCCTCTCTCAATCGACAGGTCAACGTGCCTCCGGTCGTTGATGTTTTCGAATGCTCGTGGGGTTTTCTGTTCGATCTTGAAGCTGTGACCTTTACAAATGGGAATTATCCTGCCTGGAGGTGTAGACTCTTTCGAGTGGATTTTACCGCGCTGGCGGCATGTTGGTGTTTGAGCTTGACTGAGGTCATGTCCGTCCCTCCGAAAGCAAAAGCGCTTCTGACGCCGCAATTGTCCCTTTCTTGAACCAGAATATGTGCATCGACTCAGTTGCCCGAGCGCTCTTCTGTTCTTGTTTTGTGGTCCCGATAATAGTGTTGCGGAGGGTCCGGTGGGCGGCGCGAGCGCGAAGGGCGGTTATTGCGTTCGCAGTCGACTTCAACGTTTTCGCTAATATTACCATCTCCAAACCAAGCCTGCGATTCTTTTTCAGAGTATTGAAACGTCGCCCTTTTCTCTCCTCATATCGACCGGGTTTTCGCGGCTGATGTTGCTCGACGAGACTCTTGGCGCATGTGGTTGTCGCGGCCAATCGGTGGCTTTCCGAGCGTCAGGATGTTGACCCCATCACGCTTCAGATTCTGACAGCGTTGCCTCCTTCTCCCAGCACCACGCATCCACGTCTTCTATCCTCCCCATGTTATGATGCCGTACTGTGAGTGTCGTCCAGATCGATGTTTGCGGAGGTTCTCAGAAACGGTGAATCGGTGTGAGACGCCGGGAATCGAGGATATCGTCGCGTGTAAGTACGTATCGACCGCTTCGGAGGTCTCGTGGGTCGTGGATCGTTGAAGAGCGTAGGATATCGACCAAAACGTTGTTGAAGGTCGAGCAGAAGCTGTTGAGTTATGAAAAGCTTCTGCAGAGCAGGGTGTCGAGTCTGGTGTAGACGTAGCTCGACGAGGGAATCTTGGCACCCGTTGTAAGACTTGATCGGGTGAGCCGCAGCGCTACTCCAAAGCGCCCCTCATGCTGCGGTACCCCTAGACCGCACTGGAGAACCCTTGCCGCTGGCCCCGCAGGAGACACCGGCGCGCTTCGGCATTTGAGGCCTCCGTCAAACACCGGGCAACTTTGAAGGCATGACGGCGAAGAAGTTCAACCAGCCGTCTAGGGGCGCCCTGCTCTCTACCTCATCCACCACCTCTTCCTCCCGAACTCCCCCAGCCTACGCTGGGTGCCCAAAGGCCAGCAGCCAAGGACCCTGAGCACTCTCTCCGCCCGGTACGCGCTCCACTCCTTCAGCAGAGGCCAGCCGGGCCCGAACTGGACACCCGTAATGTCCAGGGCATACGCTACTCCACTTCGCATGGCCACCACGAAGAGGTGGTGTTTATACGAGAGGTAGGCGTGCGTCGCGATCTCGACCTCGAAAACCTCCTCGACGGGGCTCAGAGGATTGCCTATACTGATTAGCTCAAATTTTACCTTGACACGTAGTCCACTCACCTAGCAGAAGGAACCGCCGAGCACAGCTTGCAAGATGCCATAAGCTATATATGCACATGTTCTTGAAGATCCGGCAGTCCGCCAACCTCTCGCCCACGGCAGAGTAGCGCATAAGGGAGTAATCGCTCTCCCGCCCCAGAGCGATCAGATGCTCGCGGAAAATATTCTGCATCCTATAGGCGCAGGCACCAACGAACATCTCCTCCGTCAGCCCCACAAACGAATGGGCAGGGCAGCGAAGATCCCAGTCGCTGGCGTCGGTCGTGACTCGGACGCCGCAGATCTCGCAATATGAACCGGCCAGAGCCGGGAGCAGGAAGTCCTGCAGCTCGTTGAAGTCGCGCAGAGGTCGGTTTCGTGTGGACATAATGGGCGATGGTGTGTATGTGCTGCCGAAGGTCAAAGTGCAAGCGTTTACCAGAACTACAATGTCTACGTGCCAAGCCTCACCGAGACCCCTACGGAGGAACAGCACCGCCGATAAGCGAAATACATACAGCCAGCCTCCTCTAGAGGAATGGGCAGAGTTACAGGTTTCTACAGCTCTTCGGAGCCCGTATTACGGTGCTTGCCCTCATGTCGCCGCTACAGTAGGCAGCGGTAGCATCAATTCCCCTCAAGTGCAGCAATTCGACGTCTTTCCAGGCAGTCTGGGGGTACTACGTTTCAGCACCGCTACGCCATGTATTTCAACAGCTGCTGGTCAAGTGAGGCTGGCGGCGGGATCAGGGCAACGGACGCCTATGCACGTCACGGAGAACCAAAGACAGCTAGCTTCTTCCTCAAGTATCCAGCAGCGCTAGATAGCTCAATGAAAAAGAGTGGTCGCGTCAGCCGGAGGTAGTGCAATACCTGGAGGAGTCAGTGAGTCTGATCAGAAGCTGTGGGTGAGGAAGGAACGTACCGGCGACACTGTGGCCTCAACTATGAGCAAGCCCAGTGAGAGGAGGCCCGGGGACAAAAATTGAAAGAAAAGGTTATGTGCCACGCCCTGCGTGCTACGTCGGAAGCCGAGAAGCTACTTACGACCCCTAAGCAACACTGTCAGGGCGCGGCACTGGTGCTCCCCTGCCAAGGAGGAGGAAAAACCTTGAAGAAAAAAAAAAGTGAGAAAGGCGGGGAGGGCGAGGTTATATAGACGGGAGAGCTGGCGCGCACGGGCCGTCCACTAGGCTCGCTGACTCAGCCTAACTCGCTCAAGCTCGATGGAGGGCGGTGGAAGCGTATGGTCGTCTGCGTGATGTCACCCAGAGTAGGGCGTGAAGGTGCTTATTCGGATATGACGCTACAAACGCGACGACGAGACTTTGCTGCGATTGATCAGCCCAGTGAGCCTCTCACAGCTTCGGAATGACTTTATTCAGTATTAACCCATGATCATCTTATTTCTCTAAGTGTAGCAGCCGCCAGAGCATCGTCTCGATCAGGAAAGTTCAGTGAGCGGGATTACGAAGATCAACGGCAACATTGGGCTCCTTCTGGGCAAAGTATGCTGTAAAGTGTCTCTGCATCGACGACATTGCATTTCATGCTGTCTGGCACCACTTTGTTTGAGTTTGGGAGTCTCCCTAAGAACCGTACCTTCACCGTCAGTGCCGAGCCAATCTATCATGCCACCATAGAACGTCATGGAAACATGCTCACGGTCGCAATCACAAGGCACGAAGACCCGGCCAATGAAGTGTCTCGCTCTGGAGGCAGCCGTCGCCCAAGCAACTCCTCGCCCGTGACCGTCGTTAGTCAGCCCGAAGCGAGGCGTCCGTGCGCGCGCAGTCTCCGGTCTATATAAGCCTGCCCTCTCCCTCCTTCTCTCCTCTTTTCTTCCTATCGCCGTACCGGGCTAATTTGTACTCTCTTCTAGGACAGCCCGGACCCAACCAGTGAAGAGTTCTCTGAGGTTGCTCTCTACGCGTTTTACTACGCGGCGGCTGGACGCCGTGCTCCTGTGGGCATTGCCCACAGGGTATTTTTGGAACTCTACATCTTTTTTCTTTTCATTGAGTCCTTTAGCATCTGCTGAAGGCTTGAGGAAGAGATCGTTGACTGTTCGATGTACACGCTATGCTTCCAATCTCGTGCTACTCTCAGCGAGTGAGGTGGTGATGATGTAGTGTGGCTGCCGTGAGCCCCGGTGTCGACAAGTGCTGACCTCGCAGCATCCCCGTTATCCTATCTACTTTCTACTATACTAGGTGTCGCATAGTCTACAGTATCGCTTTATAGAGCGCTTAAAGCCACGCGCAACATACACGGTCGACAACGTCGCGAAGCGCTTGCAAGACCTTCCCTGCACCTTACCCTGACTCACGCTAACTGCTATTGTGAAAGCAGCTTCTCAGTCAGTCCAACTGGGTTGAAAAATATGTCGAATTGCTCAGCGTCCCCAGTGGCGCCTGGAAGATCCGCTCGTAGAACGCCGTACCGGCGCCGCCCTCGTTCAGACATCCACCAACCCTCGAACCCGCCGCTCGCGACCCTCACAATTGACGACGGCAATATGGATAACGACACTCGTGAGGATAGCAAGCGGTGCTGAGATAGAGCAGGAAGTCAGGATCGCTCGAACGAATGACTTCGTCGGGAGCGAGAGGGTGAGTGCAAGCTCCCAAGGTTATATCCCGCCTACGGTCATGGCTGACACCCCACAGGCAAAAAAGAAGGCCATTCTCAGCAACGCCCAGGAGATCCAGGAGAGAAGCGGTCGCAAGCCTACCTGCTCCCGATACAGGGACAACCCAGCTACTACCCTGCGTCTTTGCTGCGACTCGGTACCGTCCCAGTTTGATCTTTCGACGGTTGCAGATCTAACATTTCGCAGGATGCCGATGCCTCGCTGTCTCCGAAGCGCCTACCGAAATCGACTGTACAGACCGCTGGAAAGCGCCTTCCAAAGCCACCAGCGGGAAAGCGACTCCCAAAACCTCCAGCTTCCTGTCAACCCCAGAGTCCCGCACTTCCACCAACTTCGCCGCTCCAAGACTACGGGTCAGACTGGACGTTTGAGATGAACGGGTTCTTATACGGGTGGGTGGCTACGGACTGGGAGATTGCTAGGGCGTATAATATGTGCTTTGTGCCAGAGTCTGGGACTGCATGATAGCTACCGCAGAGTGGTAGATATAATGGGCAGCAGAATAGGAGCAGTGGGCGCTGAAACCCAGCAACGCGATCAGCCTGCTCCGCATGCGCTGTAGCGAAAGGTAACTCGTTGCTGAGTTTCATTAGGAATCTAGTCCATATGAATCAATAAAAATCTATGAGAAGTGGCATCACGGATTTTTCGAAGGATTTTGTGACGTGTTTGCCGGAACTCCGCCAGTGGTGAACACATGCATTTGTAACCCTTCCGACCCTCCCGACCAGCTATCTACTCCCAATCCTGCCCCATCTTCTGCGCCTTCTCGAGAAGACGTTCCTCCTGCTCCTTCATGCTCTCCTCCCGATCCTTGCGAAAGAGGGCGCCGCGAACTCTCTCCATCCCGGCCTTGCGGCGCTGCTCCTTCTCCCTCTTCGCCGCCCTCTTCAACCCCTCTTGCTCTCTTGCTCTCGAATCCAAGCCAGACCCTCAAGCAGCTCTATCTCTCTCTCCCTCAACTCCTCCGCCATCGCTTCCTTGTCCTCCTTCTCGTCCTGCGCCTTGATGACTTTCCAAATATGGAGCTGGGTTTGACACGCCAGCGCGGCGGTGAATTCGCTGAAGCCCTCGTCATCGCCGTGGGCGTGGCTCTTGGTGTGTCTCTCGAACTCGAAAAATTCTTCAAGTTCTTTCCGGTTCTCGTCGAGAGAGTTCTTGGTGTACTTGCGGTACGCGGGGATCTTGGCCATCTTGGCGAGGGCGTTTGCGGCTCGGAGACATTCTTGAAGGCGGTCGCCGAGGTCGTCTTGGACGTTCTTGAGTTGCTGTAGAATTGTGGACTTGCGCTCGCCGAGAGGAATATGGACGGGGGAAGCGGAGGACATGATCGATGAATGATAAATGTTCGATGATAGTGTATGAAGGCTTTGTCGTGCTGAGAGCAGTCTGACGAAGGATAGCGGGTGTGATGTTTGTCGCAAAGTCAGTTTCTTGCACGGTTGATTTTTACGGCTAGGCTACGTTCAGGCTTGGCAATACATTCACTTTTCAGATTTGATAACTATCACGGCTTACACACCACCCAAATAAAGCCAAAGTTATAAGAAACTATCGGCGTCAATACATCTACAATTTGCAATAAGCTATCTAGCAGTATTCCAGACTTGATTCCGGCCCCGTACTGCTGAGTCAGCACCCGGCGGAAGTTTTCGTGTCCATTCTGGCTTCCAGTACGGCGTCAGACGCTTATCTGGGCATCCTTGAGTCTTTCAAGTCCTTCGCGCGTTACTTTATTTTATCTGCCTTGATTCTAGCTCTCCGGGAAACAGTCTGGGTTGCTACGTAGAGGGTGCGGCTGTTTTGTTCTAGTCTGTCTTCATATCCCTAAAACTCAGCGCCACGTCCTATCTACCACGTAGCACTCTGCAGCGGCCTTCAAGGCCTTGCCGGCCTCATGCGTGGTGTCCGATACCCACCTCTCATGTTACTTTATGGGACTCGAGAGACCATCACCACTAAAGGGCATCAGGCTGGCGTTTCCCAAGTCGGACCCAATCTCAGATCCAGCGCTCATATACTCATCCAACCCCCAACTCATAGCTGTCTCATGTACCAGCGGCTGTTCAGCGTCCTTCTGAACATTCCTAGTGCTCATATTGTGTTCCAAGGTTGCATTCCAGGATCTCGCAGATCTCTAGCCCACCAGCCCTGCATCTCGAATCTATTCGCCCGTAGAGTGGAGAACTGATAGATTCCTTAGCACTTTCCAAAACTATCAAAATATCTCCTACTACTCTATGTCATCGTCGCCTGGCGCGGCACTTCGTCGATTCAGAAGGGAACTAGCTACGCGATGAGGGCGTACGTTATGGCGGTCAAGAACTTCTGGAGACAAAATCGTGTTCCGTATAGTAAATCAGCAGCATATTTACAGAATGCCCATCTGAATTATCTGTGCTGAGTAAACACAGTGTCTGTCTATTCATGCATGCGTCCCAGAATGCATAGCAGCAGGCGCCCATCTTCCGCATCAATGCTTGCCTTACACCTCCGAACACGGAGCCGATGACGTGCTCGTGCAAGCCCTCGGGTGCCTTTGGAAATTGCGGTGACGTTTTCACTCTTGCGCCTCGTCTTGTTGCTAAGGCAGCTTCTGCGAGCTTTCTTGGCCTCCCCACCAACACACACTTTCTTCCCGCTCCAACAACAAAATTTTCGCCGCCCTCATATGACAGCGGCCTAATCCGTCCATATTTTATCTGTTTAAGACTCTATCTGCATCTCTTTCTGCCCTCCTCACTCCTGTGGACTTCGAGCTATGTACAGTGCGCTCTCCCTCCCGTCAACGGCTCCGGCAGCTCAGAGGCCAGTTGCAGCGACCACACCCCACTCCCCGAGACCACCAATTCGGTCTCTAATTGGCAGGACTTGCTGGCGGCACCCAAGGTACAGTATCTGTTCACTGCCTTCGCCTGCGATGCTCGGCTACGTCGACATCACTGACGCCGTGGCAGCGAAACGCGCCCGTTTGCATCGCGCCACCCAAGGCTTCGGGCGCCTCGAGAAAGTCAACAAAGCCCTTGCCGCTCCACGCCCCGGACCTCGCATGCTCGCCACTATTGCTTCCTCGTGGCATACGTCCCGCATGCGAGGGCTGGAGCATATCTCTCCCTAGGCGAGTACCGGCTATGTGAGTCAGACTTTCATCTTCACCATTTCTCCGTTTGATCGCACCGAAACTTCTGAGCTTGACTGACTGACAGCCAGCCCAGCGACCGGCTCTGCCTAGAGTCCACGGTTTGATCGACACTGTCTGTTCTGTCACCGGAGCTCGAGCCCACTCCCGAAAAGCTTCGACCACGACATCGCTGTGAGTGCCCCCTCTCCGCACCCTCTTTCCTAGTCTAGATGATGAGAAACCGCCCAACTACACACACAAGCAGCTCTGGGTGTCATAGGCAGCCTCCTGGCGTGCTTTGTCACGGCGGGGTGGTTACACTTGATGACATGTGCCTGAAAAGAACTCTGATAGACGCCAATTCCCTAGTTTCGATCACTACAGCTCTCTCGTGTCTGTGCTAATGCTAGCCCTAGTTTCTTTCTTCACCGGCTTCGAACACGATATGAGTGTAAGTCCACTCCTTGCCCGCGCCAATTTCTTGTATTGTCCAATGATGACAACATCACTCCCCACTACACACGAGCCTTTTCTTGGGGAGCCGCATTTATCCTGCCGTCGTGCTTGACGACGGTGCGGGTCTACATGTTGACCAAACTTGTTCTCTTTTAAACTGAGAGAACATCTGAGGACAATGATTCCCTGGTTTCATTCAGACCAAGTCCATTGACTCTTTGCTAATTATATCTGCCAGGTCCTCCACCTCGACCAACGTAAGGAAGGATATCACCTACCGTGAGTTAGCCCTCTCTTCCCCCCAATTCCCCATTTCCGCTCCATGATGATACCCTATATACTACCGCCTACATGGCCCTCAGACTGAGAAATCCGAGCGTTCGTCTTGTGCGCCCTCTGGATATATTGAAGAAGGAAAGAAGATATGATCGGAGCCCTATCTTCCCTATCGCAAGTTTTCGACCTCCTTGAGACTTAGCTAATCATCCGTACCAGACAATCCACCCACCAATCTCTCGAGAACACTTACTAAGTTCAAATGGGCTCTTTAGTCCAGCACGTTATTCCGTCGTTCTGCGTAAGCCGTCCTTGCGCAATCGCACGTCTCCAGGCTAATCCCCTCCGACGCTATCCACCGCGACCGACAGAGTCATGGTCAATAACGAGCATCAGTAAGTCCACCCTTATCCCACCGGTCTCTGTTTGGGGTTACATGATTACTATCTACACGGGCTTTTTTTTTTTGAGGAAACCGCACGCGTGCTCAGTCACGGCTTCTTATCACGTTGGAAGTTGTGCTGGTTCCTATGGCTGCTGGGCGTTGCTCAATTGCTTCAACAGCTGGGCCGGGCTCAGCTGAAAAGAAGATATGAGTTTTGACTCTTGCATTCATTTTTAAATCGCTCGACGTATTTGAACCCGGCTAACTCTCTGCGACAGACAACACATCCCTAGGCCAAATGCCATTGCCATCTTCACGCTCATGCCCGTCCGCCTTCTCCTCTCCCGAACACAGCTAATCATCCACTTCAAGTTGCCCGCGCAGATGCTCGGTCAGCACCACGTAACGTAAGTTCATCCTCTACTACATCTCCCTTTTTTTTCGTCAATGATGAGCACTTGATAAGAGCTTAAAATTATCCAAATATGGCAGAGTGAACAGCAAATCAGACGGCTTCTACTTCATTGTGGAGGTCGTGCATGTTCACAGTGCTGAGATGGGCTTTGCCCGGAAAAGAAGATCTGAGACAGCCTTCCCCTATTCCTTCATTCATTCGAAGTTCTCGGGCATCGCTAATCGTCTGCATCAGTGTAGCTACCCAGAACCTCTTTCCGAGACCCTCCGATAGGACGTCCCATGCCGTCCTTACCTCCTCCGTCCTAGCCCCTGCTGACTCCCACAAGCGATGGCGGTAGCTCCAATCCTACACGGTGGCACTTTGCAGTCGGCAGCGGATACTCTATATACCTGGTGCCACGGACAGGCCATGTCTCCCGATATACACTCCCGGTGAGACCTTCCCTTTCCTCTACCCGCGTCTAGTCCTTTCCATGATGAGAACTCTTTGAGCTTTCTAAGCCGTTCCCTTCCATTCGACATGGTAGCGGCCATGATTACCGACATAATGGATACTATTCTGAACAGTGCTTTTTCTTCCCTTCTATCCTTTCCGCCCACTTGGGAACCATTGGCTTACTATCTTCCCTAGATGCGCTTACAGGGCGACGAGAGTGACCCAAGGATGTGCATAAAATCTCCCGAGGCCCCTCTTCCTCCGGTAAGCTGGTCTTTCCACTTCCTTTCCGCCACATGATGAAATCATGAAATTTCATTCCAAACCGACAGGCTCTATGAGTCTGATGACGAAGTTTCAGTGCTGATTACGCGCCTCTTCCCGAGCTTGCTCCCTGTCGATCCGAGTCATACCAGCTGACCAGCACTCCAGAAAACCGTTGCATCCAGACCACGGGTGTGGTCATTCTGCCAAATCTCCAAATCTCCAATGTCTGGTCGCGCTGCTGAACGAAATGGTTGGCCGTCGTGTCTCCGCCTGCTCTTTTACTAGTAAGTCATGAACTCGTCATTCACCGTGGCATGATGATCGTTGTACCGTTACTTATACATCTCCTTGATGACACAAGGCATTCCCCTGATAACCGCACTTTTCAAAGATAATGTGTTCGTTGTCGTTCTCTGATTGCGGCTAATGCTTGCTAGAAATCCTCCCGTTCGCCTCTATGGCCTTTGCTCTGGCATTCGGCTCTTCCCCTCGGTCCGATGGACGAGATTATGCCGTTCTATCCCAGAACTTTGTCATACGCAAATGTAAGCACGGATACCCTTAGAATGCTATATGTTAGAAGATGAACCCACATCGCTTCTCACGACAGACGACAAGTCCCAGCGCTGAGGACTTAGGAAGTCCATTGATCACAAAGATGTACACTGATAGTCCCTTACAAGGAACATCTGCCCCCTCCCCCCCAACTTGCTCTTTTAATGCGGTTAGCTAACCCTTTTCCACGACAGTGTACCAATTCACGCCATCGAGAAACCGCCAGCGCGCCCCGCTTACCCAACGCCGTCTTCCTCAGACGGCGTCTTAGCATGACTATTTACGGAACCTCTTCCTCTGACCTTTCTCGCCTTGGTAGTAAGTGTTCAGATTCTTCTATTAGCATATATACGCACAGCACGCTACCTGAATCCAACCCCCTTCGGTCAAAACAGCTGGCTAACGAACCTTCACAATAGGGCACATGTTTCAACTCTCCTCAAAAGCAAGTGAGTAAACCCACCTACAACGCACACACATCGCGGTGATGAAACCCGGAATTTGCCGATCTGAGGGCAAAGGCCCATTGAGGCCAACAATCCTTCCCAATCCGTTTTCTTACGTGAAGCTCGAACGCATCGCTCGTACCCTGCTCCGTCGTATTAAGGACCACTAGCTAACTTTTCTTTATGACAGGAGATGGATTATACTATGGCGGACTTCAGATATCCTCACCTTGGCGAGTACGTCTTCCTCCTGCCTTTCCCCTCCCGTCTTCACTCAAGCGCGGATGGAGTCGATATTGCGATTCTTACCTTTAGAGACTAAAATTAGTTCTTCATCATGCCGCTCTTATGTCGCCTGTGTGACTACGGTCCTCCAGCCTTCTCGTTCTACCGGTTTGTTTCACAGAAGCTAACGTGCGCGAAGGGAAGCTCTTCGAGCTTCATGTACCCGATAATCCGTCCCCGCGTGTAAGCCTTCACAATCTCTCTCTACGCGACGGCTTCTAATGGTGGGCGAGCAAGAAAAGAACCTCGTAAGACGGACGGGATCCGCTTTCGGCATAACTACACACTTCCAAGGTTGTGACATTCCAAGCGCAACGCCAGCAGCATACCCTCATCTGGAGACTACTTGCTAATGCTCCCCCGACAGTTCATAGACACTTCGCCAGCGAGTGCTCCAATCCGATTGGCACACCGGTGCGATGCGATCCCAATCCGACCCGTTGCAGTCCTCCAGAGGACATTCATATCCAGTGGCGACAGAATAGCTGGGAGGACTAGACATGGCGAGTTCTCCCCCAGATCGTTACTCGATACTGTCCAAGGACGAATCCTATCACCAAATCTGCCTCACATTCCTTCGTTCTCAGCGGGTTTGGGTCTTCTGATTCCAGATGAACCACTACGATCTGATACACCACCACTTCACGGCTTTCCGCTTCTCGAGACCATGGACAAAGATGCTGACCATTTAGTATCACAGGACATTCTCATGGAGCGCTTTGCATGACCTATCCGGCGCTTATGTCCTCGCAAGTATGCAAAGGTAAGGGCCACTCCACTCGCTCTTCTTAGGCGGATGATGAAATAAACGAACTCCGAAGGACGACGTCCTGGTGATGTGCTTCTCCATCCTGAACATGTCTGAGAAATTTCCTTGTCCTCCCGCTTGATCTCCTATCTAGGAATTACTCGCTAACATAGAGCATAGGCAGCTAGGTCCTCTTCTCAACGGCCTCATTCTGCCGTTCGAGATCGACTTCTCCACGCACCGTACGTAAGGTCCACCCAAGGAGGCAGATACTAACTAGCCTCAGTTGTCGCAGCCCTTACGGTATACGGTGGAGGACATCCGGCTTCGACAAGGTACATCTCCCCGCTCCCCACTACTCCTCCGTATTCTAACCGCGTCTAGACTTCTGGTACGGCACGAACTGATTGGTGACGGCTCTCATAGCCAAAGCCTTTCTCTTCAAATGCTCAGAAAATCGAACGCCTCTGCCATTGAAAAGCTCCACAAGAGAGCGGCATGCTTGAAGGGCTAGAAGGTTTGACTGCGGCGAACGTCACTTCAACGTGTCTGCGGTTGATTCCCGCTCATACATTCCCATTTGGGGGTGCTGCTTACTGTCTAGGTTCGGTTTACGGTATATTTGCGCCTCTTCCTCGATCACAACGCGCTAGCGATGATATTTGGCAGGGAACGGGGGCTATAGGATCAGTGGCGTCATACGAGAGGTGCGTCTACTACTTTACGTCCAGCTGGTATAGATGACGAGGACAATTATCTTGCGGAGGGAGGAGTAGTCGCCAGAAAGTCTTGTCAGATCGATGACACTCTTTGCTCTGTTTGGTTCTGCAATTGGTTCTAGTCACCTCTTTCTATTATATCGCTTGAGGTAGCCTTGCTAATGCTATTGGTCTTTGTAGGTCGATCGTGGGCGTTCTCGAGGTCGAGGGTCACCGGAAGAGAGGGGATCGAGAAGGGAGAGGCGAGACGGAGAGGGACGGTTTGGAGTCGTGTGGGAAAGCTATTCGGTATTTCCGTAGACAATAGAAATTGACGAAGGGAATGGTTGGCCTGGAGTACCTCATCTTTAGCATGGATCCAGTGAACGTGAGGGCACTCAATCGTGAATGTTATAGAAGCACGACAGGACAGGCAATATTCAACCGAGTTTGAGTCTAATTCACCCTTCGAGGACCTCAAGATAGATTTTGCTATGCCCCCAAATGAGATACGCCGTCTTTACACTGTTCTAAGAGCGCTTCCCAACGCCAATTATCCTGAGACCTTGACAATGACAACCTTCGCGATCCACTTATGATTCAGCCTGGTGCGTGAGAGCGGAATGGGTCGTATAACAGAAAGGAATTTCTGGGGCATGAGGCATTGCTTTTGGCTGTTCCTGGACATGGTGGGAAATGGAGGTGAGACTCGTTGGCCTGATATAACGTTAGCATGAAATCAGCGAGTGCGATGTTACACATAGTACATGCCGCCGGAGCTCTGAATTACGACAGCGGGCGCCCTACGCAACCCTATTCACATCTGTTCCGCCCGTTCAAGGCCCTCAGGTTCAACTTTGCGGTGCTTCGAATTGACGTGCTAACCATGTACGGTTCCGGCTTGCTTCGTGTTGCCGTCGGCTCAGGCATCTGGACTGGCAATGCCGTTTGAAGAATGCCGTCACTATTAGCAAACTTGAGATGCCGTAGGCGCCTCTTATGCATACGTAATCTCGCCACTCGTGAGAGATCCGAAGGAGCTTTCTTCACCACGGATTTGGGGCGGCACGCTGCTCCTTCCTCTGGCAAATTGGCACTGTGGGTCTGGGCCGAAATCCGTTAGCGCCACCCACTCGGCCCTTATTTCCCCCTCCCTCGCCTCGCACTCACTTTTCTCTCTCCCACCTACTCCCTCGACGCAAAAGTTTTTGCCAGCACGCTGGCTGGCCTACGAGTCTCGACTTTCAGGGTAGGCTTTCTCCTCTCCGTGTACTCAAAAACATCACTGACACCGCAACAGCCATTGGCCACAGAGTTTGGATGAGCGAAAATTGGGCGCTGCCGGCAACGGAAAGAACGTATCGACAGCTCTGTCGATGAGACAGTCGTGCCGGCAGCGCCCAGTATGTGTATATATCGTTATGTCTACGGCCGGTGGCCGGGTGAGTACCTTACCTCTTGCTTCTTTCGCAATCTACTAACCGAACCTTCAGCCCTACCCGGCCTACGGCCTATGGCCGCGAGCTCGCTGTAGCTCGCGGCCTCGCGCTGCCAACACTCGGAGCTTTACCAGGTCGCGTGTGCGACTCAAACCTGTGAGTATTCTTCCCCGCACTACTCGGACTATTAGTTGACCCGCCCTTCAGGGATGTCTTCCGGCGAAATTTGAGGTCGGTCCCGTGACGCCACGCTGCCTCCTGCCAGAGGGGCTGGTATTCGGGGCCGTAGAGACCGAGACCGTGGCGGTGATTACTACATGGGCAGTCAAGAGGTCGGCCCCGTGACGCCATGCTGCCTCCCGCCAGAGGGGCTGGTATTCGGGGC